TCTTGGACCTCAAAGAGCCTGCATCGTATGCTCTGCTGAATCGATCTGGTACCTACACACCTCCATCGTATCTGCCAACCGCAGATGACACCGCGGCGGCAGAGGATCTTCGTTCCAATCTGAAAGCCATTGGTATCAAGGGTGCCACCCAGAGGCATCTGTTGTCTGTTCTTGCTGGTTTGCTCAAACTCGGAAATGCTGCAGGACTTATGGTGGACCAGGAAGACCTGGAGGAGACCTGCGAGGATGTGGGTGGTTTGCTGGGAATTGACCCTGAGGTCCTTCTGCACAAATGCTCTACCGACGAGCGTGAGATCTTGATTGCGGGTATCTACGAAGCCCTTGTGGACTGGATCATTGCGAAAGCGAATGACGCCATCTCGGTTAATATCCAGAACATCCTGGAGAATGACTCTAGCGTCGGTGGTCCTAGCGCCGCCCAGCTGGCGAACGAGGATACGGTCAGCCTGACTGTAATTGATGTGCCACGCCCAGCCCTCGGAAAGGCCATCTCTATGAGAGGCGTTTTTGATGACGACCTGGGTATTAACGCTGAAATGAAAGACGACGGCATTACCATCCCTCCTACCGGCCAATCCGTGATGACTGAAATGAGCTCTGCTGTGTCTCAAGTGGAGGCAGATCTCGGCATCGCAGGAAGTGCTGCGCGTGAACGTGAGCATGAACTTGACAGACGACAAGGTGTTCTGGAGAAAGTTGGAGTCGAATTCGAGACAGATTCATTCCTGCGGAAATTGCTGTTCCCGGTCGATGGCGAAGGTATTTCCTTGGGCAAACGGGGCCGCTTCGATCTTGCAACGACTCTTTTGAGCAGCCGTGCTTGGTACCATCTCTCCATCCACCCCACCGATGACCTACCCGAGCAGCTGAACGGCTCAAACCCCGCCTGGTCAGCCGGTACAGTGTCTCGACAGCTACGTGATTGGCGACTTCCTGAGTGGGCAAACCGTCGCCTAAAGCAGCTAGACTTCACCGCAGACTTTGACGTTGAAGAGTTTGTCGATCGGTATGCCCGCCTGGGATGCGCTGAAGGCCAGGACGGCGTTGAAAGTTGGATTCTCGAGAGAGGATGGAGCAACGGTGATGCAGTCGTGGGACATCAACGCATTTGGATGCGAGAGGGGGCATGGCGGGAAGCCGAAACCATGCTCGATCTCAAGCCAGACGAGAGTCCCATGAACCCCTTTGGATATGGTGCTGCGTTGTACGAACCAGGCATTACTCCCGATGGAAATCCTGTTGGCGAATCGTCTAACCTCCTTGGGGGTCAGCATGATTATATCTTGAACCAGTCTGCCATGATTCCCCCAAGTGTGATGGGAGGCGCGAAGTCGATTGCCCCGACCTATGCTGCTGGTGGCGGTGACTATGGTCTCGGTCATAAGGGAGACGATAACAAGGGAGATGTTGCGTACTACGATGACTATGGTCGTTACATCGGTGACCTCGACGCTGAATTTGGAGATCCCAAACACATTGAGAAAAAGAAAATTCCTTTCAGTCGTCGAATCTGGGCAGGTTTTGTTTGGGCAATGACATTCTGGATCCCTTCCTTCGTTCTCCGATATGTTGGGCGCATGAAGCGCCCAGATGTTCGGATGGCATGGAGAGAAAAGGTTGTTCTGGTTTTCCTTATTCTACTTTTCAACGGCATTGTTTGTTTCTACATCATTGCTTTTGGTGATCTTCTTTGTCCCAATAAGGGCAAAGTGTGGAACACCAAGGAAGTCAGCTGGCATACTGGAGATGACAATTTCTTTGTTAGCATCCATGGTCGAGTCTACGATATCAGCAAGTTCTGGCGTAAGCAGCATAGTGACACTGACACTGAGACGACCTCGACGAATATGAAGGTTTTCGCAGGCTTGAATTTGGATGCTTATTTCCCTCCGCCGCTCACCCAATTCTGTGATCCCTTCGTGACAAGCACGTCAATTGCGCTGCAGAATAACGACACCAGCGCACTTCTGTACACAGATGCCGATCACGACTGTGGCCCTACCAATTACCCATCAAACACCACTAAACTCCACAAGATCACCTGGTATGAGGACGTCTTTTTGCCAAAGATCGCCGATTATTACAAGGGTGAGCTGGTCTGGACCAAGTCGACTATCGAGAAGCAAGCCAACGATTATTCACGGTATTGGGTAATTGTAAATCAAAAGGTTTACGACTTGACGAATTATTTCTACACACTCGATTTGTATTCTACGGACACCTCTTATGAATTCTTGCCTTCTGCCGTTACGACGCTATTCAAAAACAATGCCGGAACCGATGTGACAGACAAATGGGGGACGAGCAAAGAGTGGCAGGAAGCTACCAGGTGCCTCGATTATGTCTTCTATGAAGGCAAGGTGGACTTCCGAGAAGATGCTCGATGCACTGTGAACAATTGGATTCTTCTTTCCTTCACCATTCTCATTTGTGCCGTGGTGCTCGTCAAGTTCTTGGCTGCCCTGCAGCTGGGTTCCAAGCGAAAACCGGCACCTCAAGACAAGTTTGTGATTTGCTTGGTGCCCGCCTACACCGAAGGTGAAGACGCCTTGCGAAAGGGTCTGGATTCCCTGACGGCCTTGCAGTATGACAACAAGAGGAAGCTCATATTCGTGATCTGTGATGGTATGATTGTTGGTGGCGGTAACGACCGACCGACGCCCAAGATTGTTCTGGATATCCTTGGCGTGGACCCAAAACTGGATCCCCCCGCTCTACCGTTCAGATCCGTCGGACAAGGTAGTGAACAGCTGAACTATGCGAAGGTTTACTCCGGTCTGTACGAGTTCGAAGGCAATGTCGTCCCCTACATTGTGGTGGTGAAGGTTGGCAAGGAGTCCGAGCAGACGAAGACCAAGCCTGGTAACCGTGGAAAACGGGATTCACAGGTCCTGTTGATGCACTTCTTGAACCGTGTGCATCATCGCGCTCCGATGTCTCCCATGGAACTGGAAATTTTCCACCAGATCAATAATATCATTGGTGTGGACCCCGAACTCTACGAGTACTGCTTCATGGTCGACGCAGATACCAGTGTCAAGGAAGATTCATTGAATCGCTTGGTGGCCGCTTGCGCAGCAGATGCTAAAATTGCCGGTATCTGTGGTGAGACTAGCTTGCAGAACGAAGAGCGAAGTTGGTGGACGATGATTCAGGTCTACGAATACTACATCTCGCATCACTTGTCGAAGTCATTCGAATCGTTGTTTGGCAGTGTGACCTGTCTTCCTGGATGGTAAGTTGTGTTCCAACAGAGGTTCAAAAGCCCAACTAACCGGCGTGTAGTTTCACTATGTATCGCCTTCGTACCGCAGACAAGGGTCGTCCTCTGATTATCTCCGACAAAGTGATCAAGGAATACGCTGACATCGATATTGATACACTTCATAAGAAGAACCTGCTGTCCCTGGGTGAGGATCGTTTCTTGACAACTCTGATGACCAAACACTTCCCGACAATGAGTTACAAGTTCCTTCCCGGCGCCTACGCTAGTACAGCTGCCCCAGAGACATGGGGTGTTCTTGTCTCGCAGAGACGTCGTTGGATCAATTCCACCATCCACAACCTGGTGGAACTTGCTGCTCTCGAGGACCTCTGCGGCTTCTGCTGTTTCAGTATGCGTTTCGTCGTCCTAGTGGATCTTCTGGGAACAATCATTCTCCCTGCAACATGTGTCTACCTCGTGTACCTGGTATATCGCGTCGCCAGTGGCACTGGTCCGTTCCCATTGATCTCGATTATCATGTTAGCTGGTATCTACGGCCTTCAAGCCATCATCTTTATCATCAAACGCCAATGGCAACACATCGGATGGATGATCATCTATCTTTTGGCATTCCCGATCTTCAGTTTCGTGCTGCCCCTTTACTCATTCTGGAAACAGGATGATTTCACCTGGGGTAGCACCCGTGTGGTCATTGGTGAGAAGGGTGATAACCGTGTCATCGCTGTGGAAGACGAAGCGTTTGACCCTCGCAGCATTCCCCTGCAACGGTGGGATGACTATGCCTTGGCCAACAACCTGCCTGGCCGACGTGCAGAGCTTGGCTCCGAGAAGGTCTACGCTACTGGCCAATATGTGGATGACATGGAGATGGATGAAATGCACTCACAGTACTCATCCGTGAAGCCTGCCTCCACTATCCTCACTGGTTTCCCGGGCCATGGCCGCGCCACTGGTCCGTACATGCCACCTCAGTCGCCGGCCCCATATGTCGGTAGCAACGTAGCTGGTAACCGGAACTCACATATGTCCAATTTATCCCGCTACACCGATTACCCCCAGCTGGGCGGCCATCCCGCAGCTACATCTCGTCACATGTCTATGGGCAACATGAGTGGCTACCTGGAAAGCCCAAACAACGCCAGTCGCCACAGCGTTGCCTTCATGCAGAGCAATGACAACCTGGCACGGTCACGTAGCCCCATGGGCCAATACCCCCCACGTCCAGCCAGCACCGCCTTTGATTTCCGTAGCAGCGGTACTGGACCCGACGAGGCCTCCATCACCGAAGCTATCCGCGGATGTCTCGCAGAGGTGGATCTCGACACAGTCACTAAGAAGCAGGGTAAGCTCAAACTCTCTCCATGACGCAAGCTGCAAGAAGCTAACATTTCTTAGTCCGTGTTCTTGTTGAACAGCGCCTTCAAACCACGCTCTCGGGCGAGAAGCGTGTATTCTTGGATCAGCAGATTGACAACGAACTCGCCAATATGTGATTCTATCTCGCCCCTTCTGCGCACATCTTTTAATTTTTGTAATATGCATCTATTCAGCGCAATTGTCTTTACTGTCTAAGAATTTTCTCGGCATATATGGCGTTATTGGGATGGGGTTGTCCCCTATTACATTACAAGAACAGCATTCAGCGAATTGATATGACAGGCCAAGCGAGCCTGCTTAATGAAAACTATGGAATTGCTATCCCATAATCTCCATCACATCACTTAACCCCTTAATCTAATAGTACGCCACTTAATCACCGATGAAGGACATGTCTTCCTTGCTCAATCAGCTTCTTCCACCCTTTAGATCCATGCGTCTGCACGCCAACATGATCGTAGTAATAATCCTTCGCAGCATCCATAATAGCCTTAACCCGCGCAACGGGTACTTTTTCCTTTCGGTCATAAGAATAGAGACCATTAACCTCCTGCTCAATATCACACCTGGAGGAAGACGTCAGCAACTCAATCTAATAAGATCTTAATAAAAGACTTACAGCTGCGTATAAACCAATCCACAAGTATGACCACCCTTAACAACCCCCATAACCAACTTCTCATATCTCACCAAGAAATCCTCCACATCAGCAGCAGTCGTATAACCCCAATCCCTTTCTCCCTTCTGGTCATCTTTCGCTGGAGCAATATTCACGCCTCCGAACTCAGTGCAGATCACCGGTGCACCTGCTTTGTGTTGCGTACCGGCATCGAGGAGCGTGTGTCCTGCGAAACCCGAGTAGATGGGTTTTGCGAACATGTCATGTCCGGCTTTTGGGGCTAGGATTCCGGTTTCCATTTTTGAGCATGTGCTTGTTAGTTCGGCTGAGTCGGCGTAGTCGTGGTAGGTTGTCAGGTCTGTTAGGACGTGTTGCCAGCCGCAGTTGTCATTGATGGGTCTGCTGGGATCGATGGATCTTACAATGATCTGTTAGTTTCTCTCTCCATCTAGGGTACGGGTTATGGTGGTTTCTGGGTGACATACTTGGTCAAATAATAGAGTGACCGCAGGTGATTCCTTTGCTCAATACTCCCCTTCAAATCGGTGTACGCCCAACTCTCGTTTACAGGCGTCCATGTCACGATACAAGGATGATTGATGTCCCTCCTGATGGCGGCTGCCCACTCAGCATCCATCCGCTCAACATAATCAGGTCCGAACTCGTATGCATTCGCCATCTCACCCCATACAAGCCATCCGAGCCGATCAGCCCAGTACTGGAATCGATGGTCTTCGACTTTCTGATGCTTGCGGCACCCATTGTACCCAAGAGCCTTGGCCATCTCGATATCCGTCCGAAGAGCCTCGGACGAGGGTGGCGTAAGTCCTGTCTCAGGCCAGTATCCCTGATCAAGGAAGAGCATCTGGAAATAAGGACGGCCGTTCAATCGGAAGGTTCCGTCGCCGGTTGTCCAGGACAAACTGCGCATACCAGTTGTAGTATGCACCTCATCAACAAGCCCACCCGAATAATCATAGAGCCGGATAACCAAATCGTATAGAATCGGATGCTCGGGTGCCCAGAGCGCAACGCCGTCATGCCATGCCCCCTCAATATCGATGTACTCCAACTCCTTCCTTTTTTTCAATACGTGAACATCCTTCTCGGAAACATTCACGTTAGCTTCCAACTCGGCCCAATCTCGATTCGCGTGAACATCAGCTCGAGTCGTACTAACGACCACACCGGCAATCGAAACCTCGATCTCAACACTTGGTCTTCCTTGCTCCTTGGCAGATGATCGTCCGGCAATAGCCACATGAGCACGAATCCGTCCACCATCGATATCATCTGATCGTAGCACCGTCCCACCACTCCCATCACACAATCTCATCTTAGGCACACTCTCCATCCAAACAGACAGCCAGATCCCACTGGTAGGCGTATAGAAGATATTCTCGGGGACAGGGCCCCAGAACTGTTTTCCGCGTGGCTGGGCTAGATCTGTTGCGGAGTCACGGACACGTAATGTAAGTCTTGCCTCCGTGGACGTGGAAGTAAACGCATCCGTAACGTCCATGTCGAAGGGGACATGTCCGCCCCGATGAGAGCCTACGAAATTCCCATCGACCCAGATCGTACATTCGTAATCGACAGCACCGAATCGGACAATGATTCTATTTTGCTTGATTTTCTCGGCTTCTGTTCGGATATCAGTTATGAGTCTTTCGTACCATAGTACTTCGTGGACTTCGTGGATGTTTATGCCTGATGCTGGAGTTTGGAATGCGTAGGGAACTGTGATGGGTCGTTTCTTTTGGGTTGGGGTTTCTGTTGGGAGGGACTTTTGCCATTGGGCTGAGAGGCCTTCATCTTTGTCGTCGAAGAGGATGGACCAGGGGCCGTCTAGGGATTTCCAGGTTGGGTTGCGGTTAAAGTCTGGGCGGGGATAGGATTCCATCTTGATTTTGTTTATTTGCTTTGGGGTTGGTTTGAATTGAACTGCCTTTAGGGATTTTATTCAATGTTCACTAGGTATCAGTGGTTGGAGTAGGGAAGTATGAGAGGGGTTTACCCCACGCTTCCGATGCTACGTCAGCGAGATCGTCATGTTTCACCGACTATCTCCCCTGATAGTGTAGGTCCGTATGTCTGCCATTGCACGTTCTACCGAGCTCGTATGAGGGACTTGCAGGCCTCTCGAGCGGTAGAGTGATTTGGATTATATCTACAGTGTAGGGTTAGGTCTCGGGTGTGTATGAGGGTCGGCGAGGGTTGATAGCAATGTCAGATCCACGAAGAGCAAAATGTGGAGATGGTAGACTAGTCTAGTGGCGTATAGACGTCGAACTTGATATAATGATGCCTCTACTGGCGCAATTCTATTCTAAATTTCAAGATTACGTGTACTGATCTGAAATCGTCTAAGTCAAATCTTATTGATGGGGATATCAAAAAGGTATAACATCAACAGGATAGAAAGCATCAACCAAATTCAGGCATGGCATGGAAAGAAACGGGTCCAGGCGATGAACTTATCACACCGGAACTCGTCACATCAACAAATTGCAACAAAAAATCAAACACATAATAGAATGGGCAAGGAAACCCTCCCCGCTCTATCTCGCGCACAGATCTTGGATATCTCATTTTCTTTTCTGACGCCTTCGTTGCTTGCGTTCCGTGGTATCAATCAATAAATCAGAGACCAAATAAAAGAAACAGAAAAGAAAAAAGACACATAGACCCGAAAAAACAACACGCTGGGAATAAAAAACAAATCAATCACAACCAAGAGGGTATACTGCTGTAAATGGATATTTTGGGTTTAACGCGGTGGCCCAATGGGGGCCGGGTATCCAGAAGTAGAATTCGAAGTGCTAGGGCGACCACTGTCAAAAGAGGCGCGCGGATCATGCTTGGGTGTCATGTCTCCGGGCGCCGTACCGAAAGGAAACTTCGTGTCAAAGCGTGCAGGCCAGCCGTTGGTGTTGTTGCTGTTGCTGCTCTTGTGGCTGTGGGAGCTCCCGAGGACGGGCACGTCATCCTCGGGGAGGTTCACGCCGGAGTCGTTCCATGGGTTGCGGTAGCCGCTATCTCGAGATTCCATCGAGACAAGTGATGCCTTTGAGGCATTGCTAGACGCATGTTTAAAGAACGAGGCCGGCGATCCGGAGTGGTTCTTACGGCCGATAAACGAGGAGAAGGAGGAGATGCTGCCGGGTTTGCGGAGACGCTCGAAGATCGATCCGCGCTCGCTGACCTCATCCACAAAGCTAGGTCGTGTGGGAGAGTCGGTCACGAGCGGGGCTGGGGCGTGCTGCAACAATTTCGAGTCGAAGAAGGGCAAGGACTCCTCGAACGAGTCCGACTTGGGGCGCGGGATCGCACCCTTGACGGTGTTGGCGTCGAGGCCGTGGGCAACAAAACAGGAGATCAGGAAGTCGATAGCATCCTTGAGACCACCAGCGTTGTTTCTGGTGTAACCAAGAACAACCAGATCTTCTGGGGCGGGGTCGGGGGAAGAAGATCCGTCCTCCTGGTCTTGAAGATCGGCACTGGTGTCGACATTAATGTCGACCTCGTATTGCTCTTTGAGCTTGGTGCGAACATCCGCGAGGAAATCGGGGGACTTGAAGTACACACGCAGCTCGGCGGAGCTTTGGAAGTGAAGCTCATGGCTTTCCGGAACCATACCCAACAGGGCGTCGACCGCCTGAGGGACCTGATATTCAGGACCGGAGATGTTAACGACGTCACTGGCAAGTTCGGTGCTAGGGAACTCGATCTTGCAGTTCCATTTCTTCTCCAACTCATCGATCTCCGTCATACGAGCCAGTAACTCGCGGTGGTATAGTCGGTTGATGACGACTCTCTCGGAGACATACTCGGCATCGACCTTCTCGACCATGTCCATAATCTCCTGCTTGACAAGGTCCAGGCTTTGGGCGTTGCGAGCAGGAGTCCGGCAAATCACATTATCGACCTTGATGTCATCATCCTCCTTGCCCATTCCACCACGGTCCATGGCGTTGGAGAACTTGACGAAGACGGAGTATTTCTTCATAATGCGCTGGATGTGCTGTCCACCGATACCAATAATGCGCTTGTGGTACTGATCCGGCACATGGAATGAGATGGAAGCAGGCATCTCCTGCTCGACCAGATCAAGGCCATTCTTGGTGGACTCGTATTGGTTTCCACAGACGTCGATATAGAAATTGTACTCGTTGAAGCCGTCGAAGATGATTTGGACATTGCCTGCTTGTTCATTAGTTCTTGTCTTTGCCAGTAGACCAAGGGCAACTTACTCTGACCCATAATCTTGTTGATCTTGCCGTTCTTCTTGCCACTGACGAATTCCTTATGCTCATTAGCCAGTTCAATCTTGACTCGCATTTGGTACTGGCTCCGAGTGACGAATGGAATCTGGTTCACGACAGTCATGGCTGCCTTGACGGCATCGTCGGATCCGTTGATAGTAAACGTCAGGTTATCGAAGCTGACTTCTGCCTCTGAGTTGGTACAGATATCCGAAAGCATCGAGCGAACGTCCGCTGTCGAAGGAGCCCGAATACCACCTTGTGCAGGGTCAGGCATGATGATCCACCACGAGGCGCTGTAGAATTGGCCAGCCTAAGTAAGGTTAGCTTGTTGGTATGTAAAATGCAGTATGGTTGTCATACCAGAGCCATAATTTCCCGAACCGTCCGCTCGACATGCAAGACTTCGGTGCCTTGAATTCGAACAAGACCGCGCTGGCTGCCCAGCTGCGGGAAAAGAACATAAGAGCCATTCATCTCCATCACCTTGCGGACCTTGTCCAGCCGGTCAAGCAAGATGTTGTCGATTTTGCTGGAGTTAACCACGACATCTTTGACGTAAATCTTGACACCCATGACTAGCTCACGCAGTTTCTGCTTCGCCCTAGCAATCTGCTCCGGCGACTCGCCCGTAATGTATACTTCATCTTCGCTTCGACGATTCGCACCGGGAGGGGTGTACCCGAAAATTCGGGGGAATGGAGGAGGGAAGTAGATAGCGGTGCCAGTGGCAGCTTCGATGAGCTTTATATTCTTGCGAGTGCGACCACACACCAAGGTGTGCATGGTCAGCTCCAGCTTGATAGCATCAACATGGCGTTTGAGCTATAAATATGTTAGCCGGTTTCATCTGAGGGCGGCGCACGGATAAAACCCACAATTTGATCGATCATGATCAGGACTCGTGTCTTGGCATGCTCCGAGCTTTCCATGTCACCGTAAATAGCGACTCGGAAGCGTTGGTCCAAGTCATTATCAGACGCATAGCCATAGGAGGAAACGACCGCACTGTCCGCATCGTGGAGTTTGGGTGTGAGTAAGAAAATGTCGGTTCCGGTGTAGGCGGCCAAAGTGTCCATGTGCTCAAGCACGCTTGCTCGAATTCCTTTGGTTGATCCATCCATAATCAAGTGCATATCCATGTCGACAGTTGCACAGCGCTGATCAGTCGAAAACACAGCCATTAGCAAGGGATGCCTTTTTTCTGTCGACGGAGCTTCCAAAATGCCGAGTGAAAAAAAAAATCGAAAAATCAACCACATACCAGCATGATCGGGGTATCATTCAGAATCTTCGCTCGCATCTTGCGCGCGGTCTCGCCATCACCGGTAACACAGACATTAGTCACTAAGCCGTTGGGTCGTCTTTGTAGCGACGGTACAGCCTTGGGTTCGGACGATGTGACGGTGGCTTCGATGCGACCACCGCTGCTTTCAGTGATCTGCCGACATAACCTCCGCAGTCCTTCGACATTGCTGGTGTGCACAGGCAGCTGGTGCACCAAAGTACCTTCGGGGGTGCCTTCTGGGAATGTCCAGCGTTGTAGGGCGGCGGGACTGGCGTGGAGCACATCTTCGACATCGGGGCCGGCCAAGGTGGAGGAGAAGGGAACGTTGAAGGACAGGTTGACAGTCGGATCGATGCTAGTCGGAGGGGTCATCGGCGGAGCACCATGCGGCCGGCGGAAGGCCATGTCGGTATGAGGTCTAGTGATCCCGAAAGTTGGCGTCATTCGTTCCCAACCATGACGGGCCTGGCCCGTAAAGTTGGAGATCTTGTGCATGACCGGAGGGGGGTAGAGCGGAATCCTTCTCTCTCACCCCTACGGAACTTGGGGGTTAAGAGGGAAAGGGGGATGGTGGTGGTGAGGGGGGAGGTGTAGAAGAGATCAAGGCTACCGTTCTCGACAGGGATAGGAATGGCGCTGTGTGGGCGTTTCGGGAATGGTGGGAACGAAGATCGATCGATTGGGGTACAAGAACAAGAAAAAAAAAATAGAAAAAAAAGAAAGGACCGGATCCACGAACACCAGTGTATTTCTTCAACAGACAAAATAAATCAAATAGAATCAGAATAGAAGAATCGCATTAATTAGATTGTATTCGAATTGAAAATCGAGAAGGGATCGAAGTGTCGTCAGTTGTGCGGGTCATTTCATTACGGTAAAGATGGTCCAACGGAGGATATTACACTCTATGTGACTGTGACGTCCAATTCAAACCCGAAAACTCTAGACTACTTCTTTATAACACATCCTCTAGATTCATCTATTTGCAGAAAGTCTGTCCTTTCCTTCTTTAAGGGGAAGTGGTACGGAGTACACGAATCCACATTTCAGCACTGCCTCGCTGGCAAAGAATGCGGCCGATCCGAGAGAATGACCTGGCAAGGGTTCTCTTGGCGGCATCAAATAGTCTCGGGTGGTACTTTTGACAGGTCCGAAGTACGGTCAGGTGAATTCAATATGTGTAGTGGGGGTAAACAGTAAAGCTACAGTACTGTATGCAGAACGCCATATGGCATAGAGCGAGTCAAGCAAATGTTTGCTGGTCCAGGGTGGCGATTTTATCACGTGACGGTATGGATCATACATCCACAGGGAACAAAAGTACCTTTGGATGAGTCGGTGGAGGACTTTTTGGGGCCCAATGCTTGGCTTTGGCACCGTCGCCGTTGGTGCGTCTGATGGCAGATCCAGATTTTCTGACCATTGAATCAGAACGCAGGATCCGAGTCCTTCCGCGTCTCCAACACAAGCCATACCACCGATCCTGCCTCTCATAGGTCGCGGGAGAGGAAGCCCTGTACAACGTATCTGACCCGATCCACTTTAGAGAGGCCCTGGCCCCGGCTGGCCCGGACACGGCCATCGACCTGATTCACTCGCAACTGGAGGAGGGGGTTCTCAGCCCGGTGGATCATGAGGAACCTATTGCCGCTGATGCTGATGCCTGGAGGAGGGGGTAGGAAACGCAGACCTCTCCACCCTCATCCCCTAATAGCCATGTGCCACTCCATGGGGAACGAGCTTTTCGGTATTTGTTTTCTGTAAAAAGCGGGCCACAATCCATTGTTTGAAGCTGTACCACTGTATCTTCAGAGGCGAAACCCAGCGAATGATTAGGGAAAGATCGGACAGGTTGCTCTAAAATGGTCGACGTCATTCTCTCGTATGGCGTGGTGGGTCGCTTGCTTCCAACGCAATCACGAAGACTCGACACCTCGAAATCAATTCCGACTGGATGGACCATGGAGGTCACTTTGAAAGCTGACTGCAGGAGTCCTGCCGCATCCCCAGTTTTTGGCCCCAGCGCAGGCGCTACTTGCTACAGTACTGTATGTAAGCTGCCCAGGTGCTTGGGTTTGTGGTGGTGATCGTCGTGACACTCATAGCCTTATCCACCCCAAAGCTAATCGGTGCCAATGGCCACGCCAACCTCCTGAGTAAGTTTTATTCACTTTTAGCTACTGTACGCTGCGTACATATAGTTGGTATTGTGACCACGTACTTAAAAATGGGAATTGTTTCATATCCACTTGCTAATCAATACATAAAATTGAGTTGGAACTGCAGATCCTGCTTTAATATATCTGTCACCTACACCTCAGCCACCGAGGCAGCCAAGCGCCCAGTTCCAGTTTTCTTCCTCAAGCTCCATATAAATGGGCGCATTCCAACCTTGGATAATGTACCGTGCCTACCCGGTACCTAGGAAGCATAATGTCTTAGTGAACCGGTTGAGCCGGGGAAGAACCCACTTAAATTACCCCCTGCAAGCGAATCACAAAACACGTAAAGAGACTATGAGAGACAATGTATAAGAATGGACTAGACAAGCGCAAAGTCAAATTTTCAGTAGATAACAGAAAGACCATAAGATCACAAAAAAGCCAAGCCTATGTCCAGGGCTGCATATTTATCGATTGGATCCTAAATCTGCTCCCGATTCAGGTATTCATCCCAAATCATCAACGCCTGCTCAAACCTCTCAGGGGCACACACAAATCCCACCCTCAAGTACCCCTTAAAGTCCTTTCCATCTTCTGTACCAAAAGTCTCACCACCAGGCACAATCAACAGTCCAGATTCACGAATCAGCCCCTCACAGTAGACCTTGTCATCAACCGGCGCACCAGTCTTGGGATCTATCACCCGCACAAATGCCGCCGACGCACCATTCGGCTTAACCCAACGCAATTTGTCGGCATGCGACGCAATAAATCTCTCTAGTGTACAGAGGTTGCGTTTGCATACCGCTAATGATCGCTGAAGAATTCTATCTCGTACCGAGGCATCGAGCGCATAGGTCGCGATGTCTTGGTCTACCTGTGAGACTGAAATCGTAGTGTAGTCCCTGGCCATGACAACCTGGTGCACTATATCCGCGCTAGGAGAGATAACCCAACCAACCCGGATCCCTGGTAGTGAGTATGCCTTTGATAGGCTAGACGTAGCGATAATGTTCTTATACCGCCCGGCGAAGGAGATGATCGAAGGAGGATTCTCCGTGGGACGGTGAAAGAGAGGGGCGGAAAACCTCGTCACTGAGGATTGTTATACCTCGTTTCTCGGCAAAGGAGACGATTTCCTCAAGAACTTGATTTGGGATTGATGCACCGGTCGGGTTGTTGGGGTTGCTGGTTGACGGCATTAGCAATTGCCACAGAGGGAGAAGAAAACATCTACTTGATTATTATCATCTTTGTGTTCTTCCTGACCAGCGACGAGAGTGCAGTCGTATCAGGGATCCATTCTTTCTCCTCGCAGGTATGCCATAGTGATACCTCTGCACCCGCTCGGCGGGGTACATCGTATAGTTGTTGATATGTAGGATACTGGCAGATAACATGGTCGCCCGGACCTAGAAGTGTATCTAGGACCAAGAAGTTGGCAGATATGGCACCCTGCGTGACGGTAAGAGATAAATCTTTGGCGGTATTAGCCACGTCGCTGGCGTAGAGCGAGAGAATCTTTTCTCGAAGGCTAGGACTTCCCAAAACGGAACCATAAAGCAAGGCATTGGACGCATTGATAGGACCGGGTGACGAGTCAGAAGCCTGAAGTTGTGAGAGTTCTTGCAATGATAGTGGATCCACGCAGGTATCTGATTTTGCCTAGCTGTTAGACATTGTGAACTACAGGAATATGGCTGAGAACATATATACCGTGAAGATATGCGCTGGCCGAAGGCTATTGAGTCATATGTCAGTTAATTTGTATGATAACGCATTTACTTATGCTTACTTTGAACTGGCGAACTATTGTGGTCGATGTTAGCGGTGACTCCTTTCTCATCCGAATCGAGTGTAGTTACCCCAGTTATCGAGAACGAAAGGTTTCACGTAGACCATCTGAAATTTTGCGAAATACTTTTGGAAACCGTAGTTACGAATATTGAGCAACTATAAGGGACTGACAGGTAAGCTTGACTGATTACTCCAATGAGTCATCGGTTGGTCTTATCTGCAGTAAGTAAACAATGCTTGGCTAAAAATTGATCATTCTATGTGAGACTACCTCATTGGTCAATTAACTATGCTACCACAGTTTCTCGAAATTTCTGAAATCTAGTAAACCTGGAAAACTGACCTTGTGCTACTACAAATATTCAATATTTGCTAGACGATCTACGCAAAGGCTTGATCGACAAACCGATCAGCAATTTCCAGCTGTGTAACTTGCGATTGATGATATAGTCTTTCAATTCAGCAAGTCTACGATACGATCTCAGACAACTCCTTCTGAAGCTCCCTTGCAACAGCAATCAGCTTGACCACCTTCTCTGCCACCTCCCGAGCAGAGGTTTCCCCAACAAAGAAGAAATGACTACCAGCAACAGGGAAACAGAGACGTCCCGGAGCAGCGTGAACAAAATCCATCAGCTGCTGCCATCTTGCTGTCTCTTTTACCTTCTGCAGCCCTCGTTTCCCAATCATAGCCTCCAGTTGATAGCTAATCAAGAAGCCCCAGCTAGCCTGATCCGTTAATGCATGACTAGCATCAAGAATACCAGTCGGGTAAAGAGCCGTTATGAAAGGGATGTTGACCACATCAAAAACCTTTGTATCCTCTTCATGAGTCAACTCATCTTGAACAAAAGATCCCTTCCCATCATATTTCAATCGCACGCCTGTTAAATTGATCGGTGTCCCGCCGACGTATTCACGTAAGAAAATATCCTTGGAGATAGACGTTCGGCCATCATTGAAGTCCTCCATATATTGCACTTGTTGATAGAAATTACTCAATCGATCAGGGATGCAGAAGTACCCTGCCTCGCTGCAGGCCATACCCGGCGCCGGGGTACGGATACTTGAGATCCCAGGAGTGGCTGCGAAACTGATGAATTGCTGGACATCCAAGCCTAGCTCTTTAGCTGAGATGTTAAAATGGACTATCATTCGGCCGCCCATGCTCCACGCGATTAGAACGATAGACCGTGTCGGCAGGTCCTTCTCGCCCATGACTTTTTTGACCGTGGTAGCGGCTTGACGGCCCCAATCTTGGATCCGGAAATTTGCACCGGTTGCCGGCATAATTTCTGGGGTTGTTTCGAGAGGATAGGAGATTGATAGCACGTTGAATCCAAGGTTGCTGAGCTGGTATGTTAGAAAATTGTTTGGGCTTGATCCTTCGTGTCCGCCGTAGAAAATTCGGCCTAGATGCATGGATCCGGGTATGCACACAACCAATGGCTTGGGATTCGAACAGCCATCTTGTTGGGTTTTGCTCGGTTGATAATGATATATTGTGGGGAATCCGGCTATGGTTTCAAGAACTTCCCCTGGGTAGAGCGAAGGACCGATATGGTCCGTCATGGCGTTTTGGGAGGCCTTGGGACCAGTGCCTCAAATTGATCCGCGAAACCTTAAGGGGCGCTTGGACAGTTGCGAAAGAATTGACAGGGCTGTTGACTAAATTTTCCCCCGCATTTCCCCCCATGTTCTCCGTATATGGACCCGTTAGCAGTCACGTGCCAATGGGACGACGTTTGTGTGACAACAGTGTGGTTCAAACCGGAATTTGCATGTTTGTTCTGTGTATTTAGTGATCACATAACTCTTTCAGCCTTCTAGAGGCTTATATATACATGGTCTATAAACCAACGATGACGTATTAGTGTGTTGTGTATAAACCAGCGAATAGATAGTGTTTCCCCAGACATGTACACAGGGACCGAGGCAGGCGATCAGGAGCTCATCTGCCTTAAAATTTGCCGAATCCTAGGTGCATCTCCCAATTGATAGACAGTAATGTAACCCCTTCGAGGAGAATTGCTCCGTCCAACAATGCACGGACTTCGTTCATAACCTAGTTTTCCATAACTAATGGATGATGAGGGGTTACATATTGTATATAAGTATGTATAGGGGCGATGGTATGAATCGAAAAAGAAACAAAGTTTCACTCGAGTTGAAAAATCCGGCGCGCTCAATTGCTAGTGGATGCCCCCTTTTGCTTCCCAGAATGTACCTGAAGATACCGATTTTGATCGCATTTTTGGCGCAATTGGGGCTGGGAGTGAATCAACCGACAAGGTTTTCTGAAAAGAGTTGCTCCCTCCCTACGAATAACGATGGAAATTTCGAAACCGCGACACCAGAAGAGGTCGGCCTATCATCATCCCAAGTTGACGAAGCATTGGCATATGCAAGCCTTCACGGGCGCTCTTCTGTTCAGATATTTCGCAACAATTGCCTAGTTGGCCGAGGACCAGCAGATCCAATCACAGCTTCCATACCAGCTCAGGTCTGGTCAGTCACCAAATCCGTTGTCGGGATGCTTGCCGGTATGGCCATCGCAGATGGAAAGCTCGATATTGATCGTCGCATTGGCGACTACCTACCCAATGAACCGTGTTGGGGTAATGAAGCCCACCGGGCTATCACTGTCCGAGACATTCTGACCGAAACCTCCGGAACTCAGGAGGCTATCATCGCTGAAGCTGCGACCGTCGCGACGGATCCTAGCATCATGCAGGAATTCTTAGCACAGAAGATTACTCACCCGCCAGGGACGCATTTTGAGTATGGGCAGCGCGATGCTGATGCTGCGGCTTATATTGTTCAGAGTGCTCTTGGCCGTGACCTACAGGACTATGCCCAGGAACGGCTGTTTGGCCCATTAGCTATCGATAAATCGTCCTACTTCTGGCTACGCGATCGATCTGGAAACACCTATGGTTATGCTTGGCTATTTATTGCGCCTAAGTATCTTGCCCGCCTAGGACTTATGATGCAGAATGGAGGGCAGTATGCTGGTCAACAAGTTGTGCCTTTTGAATGGGTCCAGGCTGTGGCTACTCCCTCTCCGAAGAATCCTTGCTACGGATATCTTTTCTGGAATAATCGTGGCAAGCCATGTACCGGTGCGAATATCCCGGTTGCTACTACAATCCAGCAGACGAGTGTTGCGAGTGCGCCACATGATCTATTTGCCATGGTGGGAGCTTTGCAGCAGAACAACTTTATGATTCCTTCCCTGAATATGACGGTCACTTGGACTGGAGTGTTCGGTGACACGGCACCGAATCTATCAGTGCTTTTGAGTGCCACGCCTGGTAATCTCTACTATGATTTCTTTCGTATCCTTATGCAAGCGGTTTCTGATCGTAAGGTCCCGGATGCGGGTCCGTATGAGTCGCCGCCGCTCAGTCTCGATATAAACCCGTTCAACTACTTGGACCCAGAGGTCTTGCTTGATGATTTACTTTCGAACCCGGATTGCAACATCTTGGTCTGTAATGGCGGGATCCCTACGGAGGGTTTATTCGACAATCTTGAGGCTATCCTTGGCTACCGGCCAACATTGTAAATCTCTTATTGGCAAAGCTCCCTTGGGTTTGTTGTGTTGTCATGTGAGTCAACATACCTTCACCTAAATTATCAGGATGAGCTCAATGGAGTCAAAAAACGGCATTATATTAAGAGGGCTATTGAGTCTGCTGAGTATACAGAACTTCAATTAAACCCATTGTGGCTGGCAATATAGACCTCATACTTTTGGTTATTAACATATCTCCGCATAAGCTTCATCAGAAACACCTTCAAAGTCATTATGAAACGATAGTGGTTATGCCACCTCCGTACGGCTCGAAGCTTCCTTTGAAGAAGGATCGATTATCTCCAGAACATCGAAACCGACGGGAAGCTCCTTGGCCACACGGACAGGATCCCAGATAGACTTGGATTGACGGAAAATCTCATCAATCTCCTCCAATGACCGACCTCGTGTCTCTGGGAAGAACAGGTAGATGAGAACACAGCCTGCTGCGCTGGTCGCTGCATACACGATGTCGTACTTCCAACCAATATTTTCGCGCGCAACGGGAGTGACTTCAGCCACCATGAAGTTGAAAAGCCAGCTAGACACGGCTGTGACCGCTGCAAGAATGTGACGGATCGATAGAGGAGCAATTTCAGACCCGTACATGAAAGGCATAATGAACATGCCAATAGGGAGGAAGTACATGGCGAAGAAGTAGAAGAAAACAGCTGCTTTGCCAGTAGCAGGATTTGTCAGATCCGAAGTCAAGCCTGCAACCGCTGCCTGAGCAATAACCATGGAGCCTGTGGAGAATATCATCATTGGGCGACGGCCAATTCGGTCGACCAGGAAGATTGCGGTCAAGGCTCCTAGTGCCAAAGCCATCTGCAGACAGGCAGAGAAAATTCTGGCATCGCTGCCTGAGTAACCAAGAGTTTCCTCGAAGATGGATGTGGAATATCCCGCGATCACGTTGATACCGGTCATTTGAGTGATCATGGTTCCAGTAGCTGCGATCAACAGTCGGTGGAGATGTCTGTTCTCGTTCATTGAGAAAGGATTGGCGGAGTGCTTTTCGCGATGCCCGATGTCCCGGGCAAGGGCGGCTTGTATCACAGCAATCTCGTTGGACACTTGAGTGTCATCCTCGGAAAGACCCAGCAATCTTGCCATAATAGCGGTCGCTTCTTCAATTCTTCCCTTTTTGACCAGATATCGAGGAGATTCCGGGAGCCATGGGGTGAGCGAAACGATAATAATGATGAAAACCAGCTGGAGGGCAATGGGGAACCTCCAACTGACTGAGCCTGTTGTATAGAACATGCCGAAGTTGACCCATGATGCGATAGCCAGACCACTTAGTGCAAAGACACCTTCTACCAGTACAAGCTGTCCTCGCTTTGTGGCACTGGATGACTCGCTCACGTACATAGGAACAGTTCCTGTGTAAAGACCGATTCCAACACCTATGACACGGCTTTAGCTTTTCGAACGATGAGTCTTCAGTCAAAGATGAGCGTACCGGTTACAATCCTGCCAACTAGAATTTGCGCAAGGGAGTAGGTAGATGCTTGTATCACCACTCCTATTATGCAGATAAATCCAGCTACCAACATTGTCTTGGGACGACCGAGCCTATCACCAATAGCCAGGCATGAGAGAGCACCAATAGCAGAGCCCAGTTCAAAGATAGCCACCACGAGACCTGTGAAAATCGTCAGTGAATCACTTCGCAAGGGGGGTCGATGTATTACTCACCTAGGATTGTGGAATTATGCGACGCCTGCGCGCCTGTAGTATTAACAGTATCGACCTGCGGAATCGCAGCCAGGAAACTGGGCAGTGTAGTGAAGCCATTCATAACAGACTGATTATATCCTTGAATCAGAAAAGCGACCGCGCCAAGGACGGCAATCATGCGCTGAAGACCCTCTCCCTGTACATTGCGGATACCCATGTTGACTGGTCCACCAAGGGATAACAACTGACGTCCGAGTCAACAGTAAAGACCCGAATTCAGAAACGGTGCACGTTCTGGGGTAATTGAACTATGAAATCGCAAAAAAAAGACAAAACGAAATGAAACAATGCTGGCGAGGAGTCATAGCGGCCCTCGGAGTTACCCCTGGAGTCCCCGACTGTATGTGCACCCTCAGCTGCAGTCTGCATACATGCATCGTGATTGGTACAGAATCCAAGAATGAGGGTCTGCGGGGATGGCGAGCTTGGCCGATATCGGGATCTAACCAATGAGCTCGATTTCTGACTTGTTTCGTTCCCCACTCCGAAGTTTAATTGGTTATTAGTTCGGCAAATCATTGACAACCCCGGCGGAAAGGATTGCGGGATCGGCGGCGGCATGCGTTTATGTATCATGCAAATGTGTGCATATAAATTTGTTGCCGTAGGGCAATATGGTGGAATAAGATTCACGGCTTTTTTTGAATGCAAAAGTCCGCAGATGATGGTATAGATGCTCCACACGTGACAAAGTTGAACCCTTAATGGTTGGCAGTGTCAGTCTTAGCCAGACACGCAGACAGCTCGCTGCTGTGGAGCTTATTGATTCGTGAGGTTCCATTATTATTATTATTGTTGTTGTTGTTGATCTTTTGGAATTGGAATCTTCAAATTTCATCTTTAGCTGTTCCTGAAGTAGTTATATCAGCCAATGTAACTTATGAGTCTTAAGAAGTTCTGGTTTGGTCGTTGAAAGCTTGCAAAACGAGATGAATTCATAAAGGCGGACAATGTTGTACTTCAAGCTCGGACATAGCTGACCAGGATGATATACAGTCAAAATTCCGTTTGGAAAGTTGCCATGGAATGTGTACAAACCAAGATCTATGTGATTAAAAGCTGCTTTCTACGTGATGAGAGGTAGCGCTTTCTGCGTAACGCTAAATAACGCTTTTTACGTGACTATCAATAATCCCTTCGTCGCATCTCTTTTGCTTTTCCTCTGGCCGCAACCTTCCTCTCCCCTCCTCTCTCTCGCAGAACATTCTCTCTTGCCAAGTCTTCTTTAGTAACTTCTTGGATACATTACCTTCAAGCCCATCTGAGCCTTATGTTGTCTATGACAGATGCATGTTGAACAAATCACTTTCTGAGGGACTGGACGAGATAAACACGCATTTTTGATAAGTTGCGGTGGTTTGATCGCTCATGCTTTTTGAGATCTCTAGTGAGTTCGCCAATTTCGACCTCAAACTGCCCCATGCTAAGCCACCACAATATTATACTTCCAGTGATCAACATAGCGGGACGCGTCGAGTCTCGAGTACATTAACAGAAGGCATGCTCGGTGGGCGAAAGTTTCATGCTAATCATGCAACATGTTGTTCAAAGTCTGCATATGATACCTTTACTTTCCCCCCCCCCAGAATTTTCAATGGTTTGAATATCCCAGGATGAGTAGTTTCATGTAATGCCTTGCAAATGATGAACAAAATTCGTGAATTGAACCTCACGGTCGTGAAATTGAACCTATTTCTGATGCAGGACGATTACTTTCCACCTTCAGATATCAACGGCTACCGCATCGAAAAGATCACATGTTATGCAGCTCGATTTTAACGGTTACCACTAGATACAACGTCGCTGGATCTTTCTGTCTATACTCAAGGTAAGCAGCTTTATCTCGTGAGACAGGCTTTACAATATGTATATGTGATGACATCTTCACTTTCGGATTAACCATGCCGACCATCTTTGAGACCTGAACGAAACACTACCTATGTTTTCAAAACTTGCCATTGCCGATTACTGTGACTATGAACTGGTTTTAACACCAGTACTAAGTCCTGAATACTCCAGGTCCGACCGATAACACCAGCCCGAACGCCAGACTGCTCGGACCCCGGATGCACGGTTAACTATGGCCAACTAGCCTCTGTATATCTGATATTTGGATACTACAGCAATCACTGATCAGTCCTGGATACGAAGAAAGCTCAACCGTCTGCGGATGTTCATCATGGAGTACCAGGCAAAGGAAATCAATACAGGAGCCATCAATTGTTCCCGTTTGACTGATTGAATGCTTGCGTACAAGATGGTGGATTCTGTGAATTGCAGAAAGCTAACATGTATCTAGATATCTACGAAGCTGGAGGAACACCATCGTCAAATCTATGCTACAGGGCTTGGTATGCCTACCTTTCGCCTGGGCTCTACTGCATTGCGACCCCTAGATAATGGTCTGAGCCTCACAGTTGATGGTGGTCAGTTAACTCAAAGATATCATAACATGTCACAAGAAGCTTCTTTCTGATGTGAGGCGAAGGGAATCATGCTATCCATCAGAGCAGAGTGCGCATCCTTGAAGTTTTGTTGCTCGGAAACAATGACATGGCCTGCTGACATCTATTTACATACCCAGATATGCAGAAGGCCGAGCGAAAACCCTCATGGACACCTTCGCCTTCCAATGTATGGCTCAATCTTTACAGGTTCATCTGGGTATTTTACTGCGTTGTGGCCCTCCCGTGAGTTAGCCTGATTGATGATCTGAACCTCGCACATGATGAAACCCATAGCGAATGGAATCATACTATGCCACAAACCGTATGAGTCTAATGCGAGGTGAAAAGAAAGATACCATCCGTCGGGGCAGAGTGTGTGTGCGTCTTTGAAGTTACTCGCTCCGGAATAACCATATAGCCTGTGGGGGACATTATTGACCGGGCACGTCAAATTACGGTAAGCTTTTCGAGGCGCTATTGAATCATACATCGAGAAGATTGACCAATTCGTAAGTAACTCTATGTGATTGGATACCATGTGAGCAATGAGTTACCTTGGTATGTACTCGATAATGTTGCTATCAAGTTCGAATACCACACCTTGCCTGATACTGTAATTGTGATGTTCAGCTAGGACTGCGTAGGATCGATCAAATGCGGGCTTTTATAAGACATTAACTTGTTGTACATTAATGGGAAGCTAATCGAACCGATGGAAAGTTTTTGGCTTCAAAATAGTCAACATTACATGAGTGAAATAATAAATCAAAGCACGCCGAATGCAGATGCACGATGAAAGAGATGGCTAAAAAAAAATAAGCGCCTAGTAATGCTGAGGAGCACGATGCACAGACTCCGTATTTCCATCCAACGCCATGCGATTTCCATCATCACCTTCATAATAACGTCTTTCTCGGACGTAGTAGGGTCGCTCAACATAGTCACCCATGGGTCTTTCATCCATGTAGACCTCACGGCTAGCTCCAGCGGGGCGGGAATTTCCAACACGCTGTATAATTTCATGGGGCTGCTCCTCATATCGATGCTGATGAGGTTGGGGTCGCACGCTAGCGGTGCGAATCACTCTTTCCTGGGGAATAGAGTGCTCTTCTACATAATTTTGACGGCGAGGCATATATTCGGCAACTTGCACACTACCAGCACGGGAATATGGCTCATGTCCTTCCAAGGGCGCGACGTAAGTCTGTCGTTCACCAGCAATGGGCCGAGCGTAGTCACTGGGGACGCGCCTGTAGATCGGTTGGGGAGGTGGCATCTCTTGAATATATCGGTTGTCCATGTAAGGTTCTTGCACAATTGATGGAGCACGAACACTGGCAGTGCGGATAGGAGCACGGTCGTCGTAGATCTCGGCTTGTGGAGGGGGAGCGCGAGATGCTGGACGAGGTGGTGGTGCCATGGTTTGTGTTCTTCGAGATGGTACCATTTCATACTCGTTGCCATGCTCGTCCACGAAATACCGGCGCGGGGGCGGCGGCATGGCCCGCGGGGGTTGAGGTTCCTCGTAATACTGGGGTCGGTAGGTGGGTGGCGGTTGATCGTCCACCTCGATATAACGTGGTCCATAAGACGGAACCTCCTCGTAGTATCTGGATTGTTCTGGAAGGCGCCTCTCAACTACTGCGTAGGATGCAGATCTGATGTCACGGGGGTCGTGCTCGATGTACCCTTGAGAATACTCAGGCTGTCTCGCGTACTGCATACTGGCGACTCGTCGCAGGTTGGGATCGTCAAGAACTGGACGTCTGGTGCTAACTCGAGACATGGTCCGTGGTGGACCTTGTTCAACGGGGACCTCGCGATATTGATCGACCTCGTATACTGGTCCTCGACCGGACAGTTCGCGTCGTTCAATTACGGGATTATATCCCGGGGACGAGATGTCAATGTACACAGGCTGTTCCTGAGGCTGGCGGCTTCTCGAAATAGCATGGTCATCAGTGAAAGGTGGCGGTGACACTGGTTCTTCCTTAATGTAGGCATCAGAAGAATCAGCATTCTGTCTCTTGTATGACACACGAACGTCTTGTCCTTTCTCCTGTCTTCTTCGCTTTCGAGAAATGGGCTGCGAGACCGGGCCATTGGGACTGGCCCGGCCAGACTCGGGATCAGAATAAACACGTTCTAACACATGTTCAAACCGTTCGTCCCGGATTTGTTGGACTGCAGGGAGCTTTTGAGTTGCCAATGGTGAGACACGAGACGGTCGAGGAGCTGCTGGGGATGTGATATGGTTTCGGACTACAGTGACATTGTGCCCATTGGGAAGTGCTTGTACATCTCGAGGCTGCTCTGCGTATCTAGCTCTGCCTTGGCTGTTTGCTGCCTCTCGCTGATAATCCCTGTGGTCAATCGGCGGGGCCACTGGGGCAGGAGGCGAGTATTCAGGTTCCTCCAGGGGATCAATGTGATGTGCTTTATGGAGCCGGCTAGCCTCGGTTTGGTTTGGGTGCAGCTGCTTCTGGGGATGGGGGATGCGATGGTCAGCAACAGAGTAAGCATCTTGCATTTCCTGATCGGATCCAGTCCTATTCAGAGTTTCAAGTCGCTGTAACTCATCTGCAAATTGCTCTACCGAAGCCCCTGCGGAGGCACCCAGTGCCCGAGCCGGGACCACAGGAGATGGGTCTTGATGCTCGCCAACAGCAGGCGGCGAGTCAGGTGCTTTACTGGAGTAATAGGAATTTTCATCAAACGAATTCTCCGATGGATCGCTCAGAGAGACAGGCTTCACAATCTCGAGAGCCCTGTTCAGCACATCTGAAACATCAAAATTCGGTTTTGTGTCCTGAACTGAGGGTTTCTGCTTTAGATCCTGCTTTTTCTGTTCCAGCTGATCACGAAGTGTTCTTTCCACCCTCTGCCGTTGTAATTGAAGCTCCGCCCTGACTAAATCATCCGATTTTGTCAAGAATATGGGATCGATTTCAGACGAGGGCTTCGCAGCTACGCGAGCAGGTGTTGCACTGGCGGTGGCAGGAAACGACGCGTTTCCTGGAGTTTTCGCTTGAATATTTTGAGGGTGGCGGGAATTATCGATCTGAGGTACAGGCTCTGGTACCATGGGCTTGCTTTTCAGTGTCTGTTGGGCCAACTGACCATTCTGGCCTGGTTGACCCTTCGGCTTGCGCACAAACTTTTGGGGCACCTTGAGACGGGGGTGTGACCCCGAGAAAATCTCATCGCTGATTTTCAGAATCCTCTCATATTCCCGTACCTCATCGGCTGTTATTGATGCGGAAGATGCCATCGGTCCTGCTGTAAGGTGAGTTGCATGAGCTGTCGCCATGATCCAAAGCTTGAGGAAAGGGATCAAGATGAAGCTAGAGCAGTAGCTGTTTAAAGATGGGAAAAGTGATCACTAGAGGGGGTATAACCTCATGTCACTTGCGCTAATATTCGAGCGGTCAGAATAGAAGGCTTACTTTTGCAGACCGCAAGAATGGAGTCGAAGCAAAACAAGAAGAAAAGTGACGAATGCGCTTTTTCACGCTAGGGCGGATTAGGTAACGCGGCTTCTTCTCCGCGCTGCCAATGACAATCCCCCAAGCCAACTCGTTCTACTTTGGGTCCCCGACTCGACCCTTCCTCCTATTTCTACCCATGCATCGCTCGTTCTTTTCTTTACCTGCTCGTCAGTTTATCCGCCCTACTTCAATTATTCCTAAGATACCTGCAACTTTCCCCCGAATTAATCGATACTCTACAATGACTGCCAACGGTGCAAACGGAGCCGGAGGTGACTCACGGCCAGTGTTCTTCTTCGACATTGACAACTGTGTATGTGCAACGGCGGAGTGACTCTGTATTTGGGATCGCGGGAATAATTTTGCTAATCTAAAGTGCCTTTTACCAGCTGTACTCTAAAGGTGTGGCTGCGAAACCAATTGCGACTACGTCGAGATACACCGATACTGACCCTTGCGCGCAGGATGCAATATTCATGATGAGATGCAGAAATTGATCAGTGGGTAATCCTGGCTTCAATACGTCAATTGCGCTGTGACTAACCACTGTTGCGCTTAAGACAAGTTCTTCTGCAAGCACCTCGATCTTACTCCGGAAGATGCGCACATGCTGCACCAGAAATACTACAAGGAGTACGGCCTTGCGATTGAAGGTCTGACCCGCCATCACAAGATCGACCCGCTCGAATTCAACTACGAAGTGGATGATGCCCTTCCCCTCGATACAATCTTGAAGCCAAACCCCAAGCTGCGCTCTCTGCTGGAGTCTCTGGACACCACCAAAGTGAAGCCCTGGCTGCTCACCAATGCTTATGTCAGCCATGGAAAGCGAGTGGTGAAACTGTTGGGTATTGAAGATCTGTTTGAGGGTATTACGTACTGTGACTATGGCTCGTTACCGTTGGTTTGCAAACCGAGCCAGGATATGTATGCAAAGGCAGAGAAAGAGGCCAGGGCTCCCAGCACCGAATCGTGCTACTTTGTCGGTAAGTAGCTTTGTAAAGCTGCCGTGTTTTGCGGTGAGGGTCGGGTCTCTAAACAAATGCTGACAAGTTTGACTGTACAGATGATTCATATCTGAACTGCAAGCATGCAGCGGCTCGAGGCTGGTCAACTGTCCACTTTGTGGAAGCGGGAGTCGAAGTCCCGCGCATCCCGGCATCGAAATACCAAATCTCAGACCTTGAGGAGCTACGTGTCCATTTCCCGGAGGTATTCAAGTCGTAAGACGATCTTGGGTTTTGATTTGATGAGTTCAACGATTTCATTTCTTGTGTATAAAGGTTCGAAATGACCCTAGATCTATAGCCCGACGGTTTTACTTGATTGAGCTGTTTGGTTGCGGTCACGGTTCCTTCCCGAAGGAATACTGTGTTAGAGAAGAATAGACTACCATTCCAAGTATCAAAGACATTTACAATTTAACAATTATTACGATTCTAACCAATCTCAAAATATTCCAAAATTTCTGTTCGCATATAATCTACAGTCTTGGCCACTCAATGTACAAATCACTAGGTTGTTTTGCTCCGTTCTTTCAAAAATAATAATAACAATAATAAACCTGAATCTCCGGGTCTGGTTTCCTTATCACGGTTGGATTGGTGGATAGGACCAAAACCAGACCCCTGATACAATAAGTGCATGGTATCTACTTGCTACTGAACACCTTATAAATACCATGAATACACCTGAAGACACGGGTACTGCACCTATGTAGAGCGTAATGTTTATACTTCGTGCTGTTTAGTATGAGTGTATGTCAGTATTTCTGCCTCAGGCCATAATTGATCGGCGGCGCGTGAAGCGGACTCCTTAGTGCCTCAGGGCCCCGTCCCTCTTCTCCCAACTCACTTCGACAAACACCGCCCCGGTTACCGTTTAAGCGCATCGTGGGTCTTTGATCCTTTGTCCTCACGATGTCTGGTCAAGATATATCACCTGGCTCGGTGATCACCTTGACCGACGGACGACAAGCCACCGTGCGCTTCATTGGCAGCACTCACTTCGCAGCTGGAGATTGGATTGGTGTTGAATTGACAGACGCCACGGGCAAGAATGATGGCGCAGTCCAAGGGGAGCGTTACTTTGATTGCGAAGCAGGCTATGGCATGTTCATCCGGCCCACAGCCGTGGGTGCGGTTCTACCACAAGCTCCGCGGGAGAGTAAACAAAGGAGCCGAGCCGGTACCAATGCAACCACCGGTAGGCCATCGATCTCGACAGCTGCAAAGAAGCCTCCTGGAGTGCCACCAAGTGCAGCTAAACGACAGAGCGTCAATGGATCCACCCCTACGCCGGCCCCGAAGATGGGTGCTCGATCATCTCTAAGGGTGTGTAACGATCTTAATGGGTTGTCGCGCAAGTACTTACGAGTCTCTTATTTTAGTCCCCCACCAAGTCTCCAACAAAACAGCTGTCCTCAGGCGCCCCTGCCCGCCCTTCGATGGGTGGTGCTTCGCGCACTTCCACCGTGGCATCTAATCGACCCCGACCAGCACCTACCACTCGAGCCTCGGCCGGCCCATCTTCAACACCGGCAGCTCCCAGATCCTCGCGCCCTTCCATTTCCGGCTCAACCCGAACATCACGACCGAGCTCTCAGGCCAACGTGTCAGCACCTGGGCTGTCGAAACGACCCTCTGTACGCCAGGCTGCCCCCACAAAAGCATCAGATGGTGAAGCCGAAACAAGCGGACCATCAGAAGAGCCCACGGATGTTGAGTCTCTGGATGCTGAGGGTGGGCCGCAAGATACAGAAATGGCACCTCCACCCGCCGCTAAGCCACCTCGACAGTCAATGACTGCTGCGCGACCTGCAGCTGCTCGGCCGGGAGCTGCGACATCCACAACCCAGCGTCAAGCCCAGAGCGCTGCTGTCAGTCGAGAGCTGGAAGAGCTTCAGACCAAGCTTCGTGTTATGGAAAAGAAGCGGTCTGATGACCGTGAAAAGATGAAAGCCCTGGAGCAGTTGCAGTCTGAACGCGATAAATTCGAATCTATCATTCAGAAGTTGCAGGCGAAATATCAACCCCAGCAAATGGAGATTACGGATTTACGCAAGAAACTGAGGGACACGGAAGCTCGTTTAGAGGAATTGGATCGTATGCAGGCTGAGCATGAATCGCTCATGGAAATGGCGGGACTTGACCGGGAGATGGCAGAGGAGACGGCCGATGCATTCAAGCACGAGTGCGATGCGCTCCGGTCGAAAATGGAAGAGCTCCAGTTGGAGGTTGAGGTTCTCCGTGAGGAGAATGAAGAGTTCAGCCAAGTCACGAGCCCCGAGGAACGATCTAGTCATGGATGGCTACAAATGGAGAAGACCAACGAACGCCTTCGCGAAGCTCTCATCCGACTTCGTGATATGACGCAGCAGCAAGAAGCTGACCTGAAAGACCAGATCAAGGAACTAGAACAGGATCTCGAGGAATATTCTGCTGTGAAATCCGACTTTGAAGCCACCAAAGAAAAGCTTTTGGTTGCGGAGACAAACGTGGATGACCTCAAACAGCAACTCGAGACCGCTCTGGGTGCCGAGGAAATGATTGAAGAGCTTGCCGACAAAAATATGCGCTATCAAGAGGAGATCAGCGAACTAAAGGCTGCCATTGAAGACCTGGAAGCCCTGAGAGAAATTAGCGACGAACTGGAATATACACATATCGAGACTGAAAAACAACTCCAAGAAGAGATCGATTACCGGGACGGCGTGTTCAGTGAACAATCCCGGAAAATTACGCAACAAGATGAAGTCATTGAAGATTTGGAGTATACATTGTCCCGCTTCAGAGAACTAGTGACCAACCTCCAAGCCGATTTGGAAGATATGCGGGCGTCTCAGCAGATTTCCGAAGCTGAGGCTACTGACCTCACGACACGATCTCGCGCGATGATGGACCTAAACATGAAACTTCATGCCTCGGTATCAAAGGCGCAGACGAAGTCCATTGATGTTGAGCTTAAGCGTATGGAAGCTGAAGAAGCCGCACAACATCTCTCAATTGTGAAGCTTTATCTGCCGGAATACTATGAGGGAGAACGGAACGCCGTTCTGGCTCTGCTTCGATTCCAGCGCGTGAGTTTCAAGGCTGCTGTGATGAGCGGCACGATTCGTGAGCGCATCGCTGAGCAATCTGCGATCTCCAGCCACGAGGAAATTTTCAATGCCCTGGAGGTCTCTGAGCATCTTCTATGGATCTCGACTGTTTGCGACCGGTTCGTGACATATATCAATGCCTGCACACCGGAGCAATTTAACAGCACCAAGGCCGCTTTGTTCGAAATGGAGCCCGTGGAGCGCACGCTTAACTTTTGGATTGAGAATTTGAAGAAAAACGAGGTCAACATGGCCAAATTTGCTGTAGAATTGCAACGATCCATTGCTCTGATTGCACACCTGGCAGAGACTCTTCTTCCATCAAGCCCGGAGAACTTTGCAGGTGAGCTGTCCATGCGCACCAACTTATCTCAGTCATACCTCGACCATGCTGCTACTGCTATTGCTCGGCTGAAGGCTCTCATTCAGTCCAAGTTGCCTGCGCCAAAGGAGGCCGGCGAAAAAAACGAAGGCAATGAAGGCAATGAAGACAAAGAGGGCAGTGAAGGAGACGAAGTTGACACAAGCAACGAAGAAATCACCTTCGCTTTCAACAAACTGGATGCTTTTGTTTCTCATGCCCGTGGATACAAGGTAGCGATGGGCAAGATCCACCGGGCTGTTGAAGATTTGCGTTCGAGGTCTCTTGTACTTTCAGAGCAAGCCGATGAGCCATTCAAGAAGACCGAGGACTTCACACGAGGACTCTCGGAACTTGCTCGGAAGCTGGGTGAAGCTGTGGTGAGTCTGACTAGTGATGAAGGTCGTGCAGAACCCTATACTCTCCAAGAGATATTGGACAGCATGTCGCTAGCCTCCACCGCTTTGGTGCAGGGCTCAGACACTCCCACCGAAAGCAATGACCCGCTCTCTTTACTAGTGAACAAGCTGCGCGATCTGGCTAGCCAACTTGAGGAGCTGGACTCAATTTCAACGGATCTTTCTAAGACTACCGAGTTCGAGAGGGGCGCCTTCCCTTGGATTGCGCGAGCAGAGGAGCTCAAATCTAACAAGACAATTTCTCCAGACGCCGACGAAGAAATTCGCCGCCTCAAAAACGAAGTTCATGAAGTTTCAACTGCTTTGGGTGTTAAGGACAATACTCTTGAAGAGCAAGGCATCAAGATTGAACTCCTAGAGTCGCGGATGAAGGAAGCGAGCAAGAAAGCGTCTATGGTTAAGGATCTTGAAGCCAAGATCGAAGAAAGCCAGAACATGAGCGCCGAGCTGGAGAAGACTGTTGAGCGACAAAGGAAAGAGCTTCAAACCGCCGAAGCAGAGCGCGATGAGTATAAGAATCGCCTCGAAAGAATGAAGCGAGTCTCCGGAACCGCAGGTGTGACAGCTACAGCTGGTGGTCTCGTCATCGACAATGAGGCTTCTCTGGCCGCAATGCACGAGAACGAGTCTCTACGCGCTGAAGTTGAAAGCCTCCAATCCGCCGTCCGTTATCTTCGTGAAGAGAACCGCCGTGCGAACCACATGGACCCATACTCTGTACAGCGCTCAACAGACATGTATGCCTGGCTGGATGCACCTCTCACTCGCACAAACCCGACGATAGAACAAGAGAAGATCCAGCGCACGGCACTGGAAAGCCGAGATGTCTTCACTCACCTCCTCAAGCTGACCAAGGACTCACGTGTCCCAGACCTGAAGTCTACAATGGTCCCACAGGCCAGCGAGGAAGATGCCATCAACCGTAACGCATGGCGCCCATCCAAATCCCGACTCAGATATCAAGTCCTCCGCCAACGCGAGAACTTCGAACACTGGTCCGAATGGCGCGATGACATCGTCAATCATGAACGCGAACAAGACCGGCTGGCTGCTGCCAAGCGCGAGCGTGCTCTACGTGATCGCATGCCCAAACACGCCCATAAAGCTTCTGTCGAGTTTCCTCAGGGTCTTGGACATGGTATGATGGGACGTGCATGGCAAATTCTCGGCATGCAGAATTCTCGCAAGAACGTTGCGACAGGTGGACCTACGCCTGATGGTGTAGAGATCGTTTCGTCGGAATAAGCGGCTTGTTAGGCCTGTATAGTAGTATTTTGTCCTTTTTTTCTTCCTTCATGTGCATCCTTTTTGGCTTCGACAGATACCCTCACTGCACATATGTCTTTGCATATCATTGTCATACTTCTTGTGGAATATTATAGGCCGGTGGATAACGGATACTGTTAGATGCACAATTCGATATGATACCCGTACGGGACTTTCAAACTTGTCAATTATATCGTAAGACAAACGAACACACCAAGAATCTGGGCATTCAAGTCCCGACCCGTTGGAATAGAACCAAGAGCCGTTAGCGTACTTACTCCAAGTTATACATGTACCCCACTCCACGATATATCCATGCTTATCGCATACATATCCAGCAACATCCCCACCATCTATACAACTACCTCCCAGATTAAATCACCACAAAATGACAAACTCCTTCAAAACAATCCCAGCCACAGAAATAGGCGCCTTCACGCCTGGCGGCCCAACAACAGCATTCAACCCACCGCTAGATCCCGCAACAAAAGACTACCGCCTAAACCACCTCGCCCTCCGCATAACCGACCCCGCACGCTCCCTCCACTTCTACGTCGACCTCCTCGGCATGCGCGTAGTCTTTAACATGAATGCTGGTCCATTCACGATCTATTATCTTGGTCACCCGCCCGCAGACACGGATAGTACAGGAAAAGAGGGGATGGAGAAGTGGGCAGAAACTACATCCCAGATGCCCGTTTTAACTAGGACTAGTGGGCTTTTGGAGCTTTTCCATGTGCACGGCACTGAGGATAGCGCTGATAATAATGGGGAGCTGGGGGTAGGTGTTTCCAATGGAAATGTCCCGCCGAATTTGGGATTCGCGCATCTAGGGTTTACGGTTCCGGACGTAAATGCTGCTGTTGAGAGGTTGAGGGATGGTGGAGTGGAGATTTTGAAGGAGCCTGGTGTTTGTACGAGGGAGTCTGTGCCTTTGAGTGAGTGGGAGGCTGAGAGGGGGGTTGGAGTTGGGGAGATTCATGGGAATTATGCTTGGTTCTTTGAGAAGTTTGCTATGGTTGCTGATCCGGTGAGTACTATATCCATTTCAAGGTTGATCTATGAATCAGGGTTCATATATATTGACTGCTATTTAGGATGGATATATGGTGGAGTTGACACCACAGAATATTTAGATTGGTTTACGGTTTCAAGGGAGTGATATATGAGAGGGTCGAGATCAAAGTATCTCTGAAGAAGATAAATGTAGCCTATTCACAGGGTCCAAAGTACATGAGATAAGAGAGATTGACTATGCACCCCAGCCATCATCTTCAGCAACATCATAATCCATATCGCGAGGTGGCTGCTGGGGCGCCGGGGCGGACGGCGTGGTGTCCATGGCTGTGTCCTGTTCCTCGTCGAGACCATTCTTCGGCTCTGTTGATGCAGTGGGAAGTGTGATAGGAGGGTTGGGAAGCCATGACAGCTGGACCTCGCCTACGTTGGGAATGTTCCATGGGCTGAACATAAACTTCTCGGCCTGGTATCGCTCTTTGAAGGCCACAACGATAGAGCCAGGTGTGTTCGGGTTAGCCTCGATGGACTCGTACTCGCCAATGCCCTGAAAAATATGTTAATTTGTGATTTCTCTACTGATGAAAAGGTAGAACTTACAATCAGGTGCTGACGCAGGGCTTCGTCCTTATCCGAGTGGAGCTCCACGCCTGTCACGGCAACTCGCCGAGGACGGTTGTCAAGACGCAAGACACCGCCCCGCCCACGAGGAGCGAATCCACCGCGACCCCGGTAGCCGCCACGGAATGAAGGGTCGAAGCCTCCGCGGCCACGGAACCCGCCTCGGCCACGGTAACCACCACGACCCCGGTATCCGCCCCGGCCAGGTGATGACGGGTCGGAGGGGTCAATACCGAGACTTTGTGCCTCTGCCTCAAGAGCAGCCAACTGTGCGCGCAGCTTCTTGGTTTCCTCGCTCGCATTCTCATCAGCTGGTTCTTCGGACTGAACCTCCGCAGTATTGGGGCCGTTATTTGATGAGACGCCAAGACGCTGCATTAAGAGTGCTTTTTCTTCTTGCTGCTTTTTCATGAGTTCATCACGCTTGCGCTCGAGTTCCTCCTTGGCTTTTTCGGTCTCCAGTCGCTTCCTCGTCTTCTCCTCATGTGCTCTCTGGGCCTCTTCTTGCTGTTTCTCGAACTCTTCCTGATTGAATGCTGGAGTCTCAGGCTGGGATTCCCCGTTCCTGTCATTCGGCTTAGGCTTATGCCAGTATACTTTCACAAACCGGTTGTCAAAGATAACCTTTGGGCTGGACCATGCTTGTTTGGCCTCCGGGAATGTCTCATATTTAACAAGAGCAAGCTTCTTCCAGGGCTGCAAAGTCACTTCCACAATGTTGCCGAATTGGGAGAAGAACTCGCGCACAGCTTCTTCTGAGAGCTTCTCGTCGGGAATCTGCTCGACCACGATTGTTGTGATTGTGCGATCCTCATTGGGTCCTGCAGATGAGAAGTCGGACCGGCCGCGTCCTCGTCCGCTGAAGCCACCACGTCCACGACCCCGGCCTCGCTCGCTGCCGCGCGAAAAGTCGCCATCTCTGTTCGGGATTGTTGCGCTCTTCGGGTCATATTCTAATAAAAAGATTAGTCCAATCTCCAGATAGACACAAGCTACTAGCCTTACCGTCATTCTTTCCTCCAGCATCCCCATGTTTGTAAGGACAAGCAGCACCCAAATAACAGATACCTTGAGTATCATAGAACGGGCAGCGCTGGTTGGCCAGGTGTTCCATGCCCGGCTGACCGGGCATTCCAGGCATTGGCATCCCAGGCATTTGAGGGAAACCCATTCCCTGCATCATCATAGCAGCGGCCATAGGATCATTCTGGTCGAAGCCCGGAAACCCAGGCATCATAGGAGGGAATCCACCCTGCTGGCCCGGGAATTGCTGACCACCCTGCATAGGGTGACCACCTCCACCCATCCAATCACCGCGGCCAACACCACCTCCACGACCTCTTCGAGGAGTCTTGAAGGCGCGATTCTGAATTGAGCCATCCTCGACCCCCTGATCTCCCTGGAAACCCTCGTTGAAAGTTCGTTTCCGGCTGTTAAAATCATTTCTAGGTCCACTGGGCGGGTTGAATGGCTGAGCGGTAGCAGAGAAGGTATGAGGTTGCTGCTGCGGGGGCTGGGACTGCGGAGCAGGGGCAGCCTGCTTCGGGCCAAATGTGGAGAAGAGCTCGTCAACAAACGGCTGAGTATCTGGTGGGTGTCAGCATCAGTCGACTAGACTGCATAGTCGAAGTGTCAAGCGCACGTTCTCGCAAAAAGTCCTCCAAGTTTTCCACCGAAGCTTGTCGGATTTCATCGTCTGGCGCATCAGTTCTGATTAGGGCAAGTACGTAGTCGGCAAGGACATCAGAGTCCGCATCGGAGCTGCAAGCATTGCGATCATATATTAGCCGAGACTCCCGAAGTGTTGGAGCTATGGTGGATTGGGCATAACTTGGGTGAAACTCACATATCCTCCAGCTTCCTCACTACCCATGACTTCACGTCCGCGGCTTCTGGGTCAGTAAAGTGCATTTTGGCGATAAATCCGGTAAGAATAGGACTGAATGTGAAGCAGAATTGAGGTCCGAGGTGTCGCTGTTCGCAGGGATCCGGGTTGACGGTAAGCTGCAGACCGTCGAATAACCAGAACCGACACTTTCCAATGGAAATTGCGGGTTGTAAAAAGCAATGTCTGACTCTCAGGTTGAGAAGGGTATCACTGTAAGCAAAAAATGACTCCAACCATGGCAAGGGGAGTCGTTGAGAGCAACACAGGTCTGGGTGCACAGAATTTCTGGAAACGCGAAGGCGCGCAAGCTAGCACGTGACTCTGCAGAAACCGGATGGCAAAAGCGTGCAGCAGATGCAATTACAATGGAGCTTAAATCTACATGTCCAAATTCTAGAAATTTACAAATTTACTATCCAAAGCTTTGTTTAGCATACCATGTTGATTTCATATCCAAACTGGTAAGCTAAACTAGCAAATAGGAAAGGCGAAAGAACCAAATATCACATAAAGCAATTAATGAGACACCAGCAAAGGAGATCCAAGGATATGGATATTCATAGAAACCTCGCAGGCTCTTAAAAGGTAACAGAAGCTTGCCTACTTAGGCAATTTTTGATTGAACTGGGAAATTGTATTGCATTCATCAATCTCATAAAAAAAGATTCGCGTTGATTGGTAGAAAGGTAATCTGGCCAATGAACATTTTTACAGCTTGTCGTAGTACTATAGATAGAGTTAGCAGATGATTCCAAACTAATTCCAGCTTCAGGAGGTGTATAACTTACGTTCTCGTAGCCGGGGACCTCGGGCTTGATACCCTTGCGGGTACGCATCTCAAGGACGACCTGACCGGGCTTGGTGGTCTTGTCCAAGGGGTCACCACCGGGAAGAATAGCCCAGTGATCGAAGACAGACTGGGGGAAGGCCTGACCACCAGTGGCGGAACGCAGGTCGGCGGGGAAACCGAAGGACTCGTTGACGGGCAAGTAAGCCTTGACCATGAACAGAGGAGTACCGGGACGCTGCTCCTCAGAGTAGACGTGACCACGACGGCGGGTAAGGACACCGTAGATACCACCCATAGCCTGCTCGGGAACCTGGATCTCGACGTTGAAGATGGGCTCGAGGATACCGGGGGAGGAGAGCAGTGTGGAGGCGAGCAGGACACGACGAGCAGTGGGGATAAGCTGACCACCACCACGGTGAATGGCATCGGCGTGGAGGGTAACATCCATGATGTTGAAGCGGACGGAGCGGAGGGGCTCCTCAGCAACGGGACCCTCACGGGTGGCCCACTGGAAACCGGAAACAACGGAATCCTTGATCTCGTTCAAGTACTGAACAGCCTTGGTCTGGTCAACCAGCAAGTTGGCACCGGTGGTGTCGGGACCGAAACACCAAATCTTACGGGCATCGGTGACATCCCACTCGTACTCGTCAGCCATGAGACGGGCACGGAGCTTGAAGTCGTCACGGGGGCTAATCTTGCCAGACTCAATGGCGAGAGAGAGCTCCTCGGACATGGGCTCAGCAGTCATGTACAGACGGTTGTGCTTGTTGGGAGACTTGGAGAGAGCAGTCATGCTGGAAGTGGCAGTGACGGTCTCACGGTAAGAGACGACGGGGTCGGAGATGCGCAGGGGAACACCGGCGTGGTCCTCCTCAAGATCCTTAAGACAAATCTCGAGGTGGAGCTCACCAGCACCAGCAACAACGTGCTGACCGGACTCGTTGATCATGGTCAGGACACAGGGGTCGGACTTGGACAGACGCTTAAGACCCTCAACGAGCTTGGGCAGATCCTGGGCGTTCTTGACCTCAACGGAACGCTGCACAACGGGGGAGACAGAGAACTTCATGACCTTCAGGTTGTGGGCGGTCTCATCGGTGGTCAGGGTACCGGACTTGAGCAGGAACTGATCGACACCGACCAGACCGACAATGTTACCGGCGGGAACGTCATCAATGGGCTCAACGAAGCGACCCATCATGAGAATGGTACGCTGGATAGCCTTGATGTACAGATCCTCCTTCTTGCCAGGGACGTAGTTGGGACCCTGGATACGGACCTTGATACCGGACTTGACGGTACCGGCGTAGACACGACCGAAGGCGTAGAAACGACCCTTATCGGAGGTGGGCACCATCTTGGAGACGTACAGCATGAGGGGAGCAGTGGGGTCACAGTCACGGATACCAATGCAGGCACGGTCGTCCTGGGGACCCTCGTACAGAGTCTCGGCACGGTACTTCTGGGCAGTGACGGGGGAGGGCAGGTGGATACAGATCATCTCAAGCAGGGCATCGGCGGCAGGCAAGAACTTGCGCATGATGACCTTGAGGATGGCCTTACCCTCGAGCTCCTTCTCCTCGGTGGTGAGCTTGATCTCAAGCTTGTCAACGAGGGTGGCGATCTCGTCCTTCTTGGCGTTGTTGACAGCGGCGAAGATACGGAAGATGGGGTCCAAGATGAACATGTTGAAGGCACGCTCAAGGGGCTTGCCCTCAGCATCCTCACCCTTGTTGGTCCACTTCTTGGTCTTGGGGTTGAAGTAGTTGTCGCCCCACAGACGCTCAAGCATCTTCTTGCGGTCAACACCGAACTTCTTGGCGTACTTGACGGCGAACTGACGGACGGTGAAACACCAACCGTGCAGACCGGAACCGAAAGCGATCGTACCCTTGTAGGGGTAGACCTGGACATCACCGAGAACCTTGTCGAAGTAGGTGGAGATGATGACGTTGACGGACTCGATGGTACGGGAGAAGGACTGGTACAGATCCTCCTTGGAGACCTGGAGCTCGAGAAGAGCACGGTCAACCTTGTTGATACACAGAACGGGCTTGATACGCTCGGTCAGGGCCTGACGCAGGACAGTCTCGGTCTGGACACAGACACCGGAGACACAGTCGACAACGACAAGGGCACCGTCAGTGACACGGAGAGCGGCAGTAACCTCAGACGAGAAATCAACGTGACCGGGGGAATCGATCAAGTTGATCAGGAACTCGGAACCATCGACCTTCTGCTCAATCTCCTTAAGATCCTCTGGGTCGGGGAACTTGGCGTACAAGGAGATGGCGGTGGACTTGATGGTAATGCAACGATCCTGCTCATCGGGACGGGTGTCCATGAAACGGGTCTCACCAGCCTTAGCGGCGGAGATAATACCGGCACGCTGGACAAGGGAGTCGGAAAGGGTGGACTTTCCGTGATCGACTAGAGAGAAGCAGGTCAGTCCAAGTGGCCCTCATTTCGACATTCTGGAGGATATCATACCGTGAGCAATGACGGACATGTTACGGATGTTGGCCGGCTTGTCCATCAGACCACGGATCTCCTCAATGGTGAAGCTGTTGAGAGAGTCGATATTAGCAACCTGAACAAAATTTGCTTGGTGGGCGTGAAGCCTCCATCCGGGCTGATGAGTTCGACTTACTTGACCATCTTGGCGGTTTACTTCTCAAATTAGCCTTAGAGGCAAAGGGAAGTATGAAAGAATAGAAAGAAGCAAACACACAGATGATCAGGACCTGGGGACCTAATCAATCAAGCCTATGTGCAAGTGCTCCGGAGAGGGAAGGGATGGAGAGGAAAAGAGGAAGGAGAAGGAGGGGTGCAGAGAAAAGTGGGAGAAAAAAAATGAGAGCGAGAGTGGGGACTTTGTGTGCCCCGCTCCGGGTTTGTGTGCGTTTCCAGATTATTTAATGCCAGTCACAGTAGTACAACACCAGCCATCCTATTTATCATGCTTTTCCTTTTTATTCCTTTACCAACCTATCTCTTCTATATGAGTCTTAATAGTCTTTGCCATGTAGATTGGAAATCAATCTTCGATGCATTTGACTCACTTTCCGAAGACATCCGTGGTTACAGCTTATTACTGCAACGGAGCTAAAGCTAGCTAAAACCGAGCCCAATTTTGCCTCCCACTGTTTCCAGTAATAATATCCCATCTTTTAATGTAAAATTACTGTAAGGAATACATGGAAAACGAAAAAATTTGACTCGCATCCAATCAGCCCCGCTATCTCACCGCCTGCGCGGGGTGGTGGGCTATTGTGGATTAATAATACACAGTGAGGGACGATCCCGCGCAGGAAAGGACAGTGTAATCTACCTCAGACAGGGTTAGTTCGGTCATATGCTGGTATCTGTCAAGAAAACTCTTACACTATGCCCAACCCCTCATGAAATCATTTGGAAAAAATCTTCTGCACCGTGGTCCTCCTATCCAATCAGCCATACGAATTCCCCATGATTATATAATATCTAGCTACCGAGCTCGGGAGGTATATCCATGGATGCCATACCTAAAGCTAAGCTACATACTGGGTGCATAGCTCTTCGTATGGATTAATTTTTAATTTTTAACTTTTGTACAAAGTCAACCTTGGATAAATATCTCGAATGCAAGGGGTATTAATACAGAAAAATGCAACATGGCTCAAATGAACATTAGTAAGAACAAGAAAGGAAAAAAGGGCAAAATATGGACAGGCTTCAAAGCTACTAAAGGCTCCAAGGGGTATAAGGTGTTCAAGTTCCCAAAATTGTCCCATAGGCATCTTCTACCTCCTTTGCGATCTCCAATAAGGTCACAATAATGATCTGGTGCGTAACGTTGGGCAGCTTATCACGTTGTAACCCGATCCACTCCAGCGGGGGCGTTGCCTCTCCCATGTCCCGCAGCTGTGGCGTCTCAATAACCGGCGGCTCCAATGCGGTATATGTATACTTGGATTGTGGCACATTGACTACTGCAGTAATCTTCTCTTGCTGCTCAGCCCCTTCGCCGCCCCCTTCGATACCGGTGCCGGGACCACCAGTAATTCGCACCGCAGACGGCGCGAGCGGCTTACCAAGCCGTGAGGCGAGGGCACGTAAATGCGTCTCCCACATGTCGCGGATGAAACTGATGCGAGAGTAGTTCCAGCCCACATCTACTTTGCCTTCGAAGCTGCTGTGGAAGATGTACTCGATCTCCCGACCACCCGGTACTTGCCAGGTTTCCATGCCCGCCACCAGTCGCGGTACCTTGAGAATGGTGCCACCGCGAGAGCCGGCGGCTCGTTGGGCGATCTCATCCACAGAGAGCTCTTCCAGTTGGGCGGAGCTAGGACGGCTGATTCCAGAAAGTGCCACGCGAAGCTGACCAAGCGTTAAGCCTAGTGCGCTGTGGATTTTGTCGGATTCCAGTGAGACCGCAAAGCGGGCCTGGGCATCATAGGCCTCCAGCTTGAAGATTTGGTTATCGAAAAACGAGCTGGGGAAGGCACCAATATTGATATGGCGAATGCTGACAACTACACCGGTATGCAGTTGAATGGGTGCCCTCTCGGATTCATCATCCTTCTTGGTCTGTTCTTTAGCGCGCGTCTCCAACTGAGAGGGAACCGCAGAGGATTTGCGACGAAGATATCGCTCAACTTCCCGTAGAGAAGACTCGTAAGCGGATTGCTTGTCTTGGAATAGTCTCTGCCAGGCTTGGAACAACGCGAGGGCTTGAGATGCCGTCAAAGATGTGCAGAAGACTTGGACTTCATCGCCTTCAAGTATACTGAAGAGCCGTTGACTCTGTTCACCAGAGGGTTCACGAACGTTGTACATAAAAAAGTCAAACATGGCAATATGTGCGACCAAGAAAGGCTGATAGTCGAAGGAAACCTTGGCTTGAAGATGATGGAAAGCGATGGAGGCTTGAATAAGTGGCGTATGCCCAGCTTCGCGGGACTCTGGCCATTCAATGGAGGTGCTAATCTTGAGAGTGCGCAGTTCAACGATGCCACTCATGCGACCCTTGCTTTCGATAGCAACGGAATCAAAGTTGATGCACATACTTTGCTCGTTATCGGAGGTTTTGTTGGAGGAAACCCATAAGTTGTCAATGGCAAACTGCGCCTTGCCGAGCGTTGATCCCAGATCCAGCTGCATTTCGAGCTTCTCGATGGCAATAGTCGTGTTCCAGGGGAACGCTGACGCTGCAGCGACCTGTTGATAGCGCTGTACAATGTAGGTCTGGGCTTCTGGCTCATGCGGTTCCTCAGGCTGTGGAGTTGCGCTGGGGCTAGGCTCATCATCGGATGGTAGCCAAATCTCTTGGAACAACAAAGAATCTTGAACCTGTTTTGCATTCAGGATGACCTTCATGGGGCTCACTTTGAGAATAGCCGACACGCCACTCGTTCGGCCAAGGTGCTTGCTGTTCATCAAAGATAGCACCACAGACTGAACTTCGAAACTCGCCGTGGACTCATTGGAATAAACATGCTTCACCGAGGCTTCCAAATTATTGAATGCCAGAGAAAGAGCAATGAAGCGACCCTGTTCGTTGGATAGAATCGTGTTGACTGTAACGTAGACACTCTCGAATCGTGCTGTTGCTGCTACCCTGGCGATCGGCTGACAACTAAGACTGAATTCTTGTTTACAGAACAACAACCCAAGGTTGACCTTGCACCGCCCAAGAATGGAACTTGGATCCGGCGCACCGAATGGGGGTTCCTGCATGATCTTTTGAGGCTGCAGCAAAGCTGCAGCGGATTGACGGCGAGGACGATGTTGTAGATCTTTCTCTCTCATGATTTCTTTCACAGTAGCAGTCATTTGCTTGACTAAAGGCACAAGCGTGGGGTATAAGACATTATTGGATGGGTTGACCTTTAGCTCTGCATTCAAAGCTGGATCATCGGTCCCATTATCTTCGAAATGAACTTTCAAAGCCACTCCTGGCGCCTGTAAAGTCGCAGTAGTTGCGGAATCTCCTTGTACATACTCGCCATATTTCGCATCGGAGAGTCGGCTACCCGCAATGTTGGCAGCCATCAAAGTCTGAGGGTCCTGACTTCGTTTTCCCTGTAGCGAGACCGTAGCACCGGCGAAATCAACGTCCACAAGAACAGATCGAAGGCGTCTTTTGCCGAAGAGACTCTGGCTTTTTGGGCCATTCTCCGGATTGGGAGTTGGCTTCGTAGCCCAAGCAGCCTTGCCCTCACGCAAAGCCTCAGTTGCGGACGCGATGGAGTTCCGGATCATATTTCCTGGGATGATAAATTCAGATGTCGCACGAATGTCGAGGGATTTACCTGCTGCCTGGAAAGCAAGCCACAGTTCTTTCCCGATGGAATGATAGGCGACATTAAATACTAGTTGAGGCATGAGAGCGGAGTTCAGCGACCGCTTTTTCCGGTCTGCACGGAATGGAACCATCTGGAGTTGCATGTTCTCAATCCGAAGTCTGGCTGTATTCTTCTTCTTATTGGACAGCTCAATTTGTTGAATTGAGAAGACAAGGTCCTCTGGCTGGCGACCAGCGCCAGCAGAGAGAGGAGACGACATGTTCCATGCCACCTGGATGCCCCGGAAGTGGAACGAGTATAAGGCGTTGAGGAATACTTGTGCAGCAGCATCGTCATTCACCTGAATCTCTGGAACATCAGATCCAGCATGGTTCATTTCCTTATGATGGCGATGGCGGAGCCTGCGTAGACGTTTGACTTCATGAGAGAGATCCAAGGTCTTGATACGCTCCTGTGTGTGAATGGCAATATCCACAACCAAGGCAGCTGTCTCAGCGAAAAGTTCAATGTCGAACTTATCGCTTGTGAAGTGGTAAGCTCGCATGACCTCTCCATTCTCACGAACAGCAGATGTCCCGAGAAGTTTGACAGCGAATGTGAAACCGCCGTAAGATTTGGCCTTGGTTCTCTCCAGACGCCGCAACAGGAAGCTAATTTGCGAGGCGTCGATGTTAAACTCTGGATACTCCATGGCGTAGCCTCTATCTAGGCCATTCTGGATACTCATCTGCATCGTTCCAAGGCTGAAAACCATTTCAGCCTTGTAATCCCTTCCATTTAAACCAGGCGCGACAGCGTGTATCTCAAAGCCAGCCATTGTAAGGCGAGCTTTGTATAAAATTGTCGACTCTTCAGATAGAGGCTTCGGTTCTGCGTTTGCCTTTTCAAGCGAAAGCGCTTCGCTCAAGTGGGATTGAAGGACGTCCAGGTTTTGTTTGAGGTCTTCCAGGAGATGGGCAACATCTGGTCCTGTCAGAACACCCAAGAGACTTCGGACCGCGCTGGCCTCAAGACGAATCAATTCAACAGTTAGGTCAACCTCCAACTCCTTGCGATTAGATGAAATATTTGCAAGGATCCGGCCATTGGTTGGAGGGATATCCAACTTCGAAAGCGTGCGCGACTTGGTGCCTTCATCCGACAAGAACAGATGGGAATTTTGCTTCACGTCAAAGTCAACCTCAATCTGGGATGACTTTGTAGGCATGACCGACATGCGGGCTACGTCACCAGTGATAAGATATGTCAAAGACGGAAGGAGGCTGAATCTTAGCTGATAGTCATCCAGGAACATGGCCACATTGATGTGGTGGTGGGTGGGCTTTTCCGACGCAGGTGGCAGTTCAACTTCAGGCGTAGCAGGCTTCGGAAGTTTGCAATTGTTGGTAAGCTGCCGAATGTACCTGACTTCATCGTCAATGATACGGTCTGCCACATGGGCAAGACCGACAGGATCCTCCTTCATCTCAAAGCGAAGTCTCCGGCACGACGCAACCACCCTCCAATCGTTCCTACTCTGGATCTCGTCTTCTTCAGAGACGAGTGAGAAATAGAAGTATGGATCCGAGATTCTTGACAGCATGAGCGACCCCGACTGACTCAGAAGTTCAGAAGAACATGCATCCGCACTGAACAAAAGAGCAAGATCCTCCTTGTGGGCCGGTTTTGCGCCGTGGGAGCTGTGAACAATGGAGCTTCGTAAGGCCTTGGAGACCAGAGCAAGCTTGACATTGATACCGTCAAGGGTGATTGAGCCGAAATCAGTGCCGAATACAATCTGCAACTCTGTTGGCTCTTTCTCTCCATCACTCGGTGATGACTGAGCTGGCTTCGATTCAAGCGTGACTGTAGACATGACCTTCATAATACCCTCAACAAGATCCAAGACCTCCCATCTTACATGTAGAGCAGCAGACGAACAGTACGCCTGCGATGTGACGAGTTTCTTGAACTTCATGTTATCGTCATCTAGGGATATGGGTTCAGCCACAAGAGATGTGGCTGTCGACAAGTTCTCCACAATAAGATCAGTCCCTCTTGGACCGGGGTCCAATGAAAACCTGAATGTCTTCACTGTACAAGACATGAACATAGAGGGCTTGGTGGTAGCCTTTTGGGGTTCAGGACTTGACCAAATTCTGCGCATGACATAACTTTTTTCAACATGGGCTAGATCCCATGCTCTCCACTGGTCAAAACCAGTAAAGACAGTGGACCTAGCATTGTGTGGCAATGGAAGATTGTTGCCAAGACATTTACGGTCCAGCTCGCGCCGGTGCTGTACCGGAAGATTTCTATAGATGTTTCGAATGCGAGAAATGATCTTCCAGGAATCATGTTGTCGCAGATGAGTCGAAGCAAGTCGAAGTACATAGGAAATGCGTGCAAGGAATATTGGGTCCGGAATATCAGTGGCCGATAGCGTTGCAAAATAGATAAGATATTGGAGTCGCCGTGTACTTGCAGTCGAGACTTGCTGAAAAGCCGATGCAACAGAGTCAAACATAGTCGTGGCTCGTCGGACAAGGAATGCCAATCGTTCCACAGACTTAGCGGAAGTAACAGTGTTGAAGGTCCGCATCTGCAAATTCGAGCGAATATTTGGGGAGGTAACGAGCCAGAAATTCATATCACTCAGGTTGCACTTGAACTCAGCCTTTTCCTGAAAAGCATCTGTTCGACTTCCCTCAACGGAAACAGAGATATGATCTGCTGCTGCATGGATAGTAATGCCTTGTTTGAGACCTTTAAGAAGATCGCCCTTTTGCCGCTGAACACGTCTTTGAAACTCGGTCCGAAGCTTGTGAACTTCAATGCTATATTCATCTCGAAACTCGACGTGTTTGTTGTTTGGGGATTCCGAAATGTCCACTAATCTCAAGTGGATTAGTGGAATGCGAAGAGAAACAGCAGTTGTTTTCTTCGGCTGGCTCATGGACTTGTCGTAGCCAACTATATCGGAGATCACATCTTTCTGGAGCGAATCAATGATTTGAACTGGATGTTTTGGCTCCAATCCATCTAGCAAGGCAGATAAGCTGAACAAGAACCTTGGAGTACAGAAGCCCCTGATGCCTAACGGCAGATCCAGCGCGAGGTTGGTGTATGTGGTTTGGTCGTCTTCGAAAGTCAAAAACATGGAATGTGTGGTCGGGTATTCATCATCTTCATTTTCGCCAGACTCGTTGCTGAAAGTGGATGGCAGCTCAGATGTATCCAAGGAAATCTTGTAATACGAGAATCGTGGCAAGATCCATGGGTTTGCATCTCTAATTGCAGCTGGAGAATACGAGGTTGCTCTGGGAGTGGAAAACCCATAGCTGTCATTATCTTTGAATCGATTGGCTTGCAGCGTGCTCCAACTTGCACCACGGTGAGATACAACGGGGCGGCGTCCAGACTCTGAGCTTGAGCCCGATACAGTGCGTTGCAAACCATTGCCACGAACTTTTGTGCTTTTGAGACTGGATGTTTCGGAATGGACAAGAAAGCTCCTAGCGCTTCCCGCAGGTTGAGTCCCTGAGAATCCTCTATAAGACGGGGCGTTTGCGGAGCTTAATCTTTGATGCATAGGTTCAGGCATCGAGGGTATGGCAATGGTTGGAATTGAAAGGCCATCGGCGTGAGGGATAGATGAAATTGGGGCAATTTCTTCCCAGTCAAAGAGCAGCCACTGGGATCGATGTGTGCGCTGATCATGGACTCGGATATGCTCCTGTTGGAGGCGTCTACTTTCGGTGATGTCCTGTTTCCGAAGAGCCATCTTGAAACCTATCGTCACCTGGATAATGCCGAGAGGATCAATTCTCTTGTCGGGCGATCGAATAGCCAGATTCACGGACTGACGATCGACTGCAGCGATAGTCAAGTCAGGCATCAACAAGTTCATGCGTTTTGAGAACTTCGTGTTCGCCCAATCGTTGAAGTTGATTGTCAATGGCTTAGAGCTCAATATGACAGCTGTTTGATCCAGTAAAACACTGATATGAATCGAGCTAATCTTGGCCCTCAAAAAGGTCACGTCATGGAGAACAGGCGGGAAGAGCGGGTGCAGGGTATTTTCTTCGTTATCGAACGAAAAGTCAAAGCTTTTGATGCTGGATGCTAGGCAAGCCAGAAACTCCGGGGAGCATTCACCTATGATTTTGCCCACTTCGAAGTCCCAATTGCACACGTAGGTTGGCTCAGCGGGAGGCAATCCAAAAAGACGATGACCATAGGCCGAAATACCGTCGATAAATAGCTGAGTATCGGACACGGATGCTGAACCATCTTCCTGGGCGGATTGCTGATCAATTTTGAGTGGACTGATTGATAGTTGCATGTCCATATAGTAGTTCGTGAATCGCAGATCAGCCTCAAGGGAAGCAGCGCGAAGTCTTGTGCATTCTAACTGGTCGTAGATGTTTTCAGGGAGTAGAGCACATGGACTGTCCACAAATATATGAATCAAAACATCCATGTCATTTGACTTCCGATTTGGATTAATGCCTGTAGGATTCACAGGCGGTTCATCGGCGTAGGCTAGCTCTTGATATTCTTCTAGAGTCCTAAAGTGCATCTCATCACCAAAGTAGTTCTCCTTCACGGCCATGAAGCTCTTGACCAAGAATCCATAGAGATAACACCTAGGCGAAGCGCCATCAAGGTTAAGCACAAGAGTATCTGTCAAGTCCGGGGACGTTGAAAGGAAATAAGTGTAAGAGCCATCAATAAGAAGGCTATCCAGTGTTGCCATTGAAGTTCCGGGCAGGAAAGAATGGTGTGTATCCCAGGCAGGAATTAAGTGATCGACACCCCCGTCCTGGAGATTGACCTTGAACTCCACTGCGTTCTGTTCAGGTTGATACTTGTCCAATGGGATCATGACATTTGCGGACAATTGCTTGCCCTTGATGACGATGAATCGATTGTCTTCCCGATCAGAGGGATTACTAATGATGTTCCGATCATTGACATTGACTAATAGCTGCAAGTCCGAGAAGTTGAGGTCGATGTTGTAGATGAATGGGACATATGTGTAGTATTCGGATGGAGGACCCGATGCCCAGTCAGTGACGAGGTCAGTCAAAAGAAAAATGTGATCTCGCAAGAGAAAAAGCTCCATTCCATCACTGTCAACTGTAAATGTCCACGACCGCAGGCTATTCCAACAGAGGGGGTTGGACAAGTCGCAAGTGACTAATTGTCGTACGCATTGCCATAGAAGACCATGGTTCACACTGGACGAGAGCTTCGATTCACGCAATTCAAGAGCAAGCTCATTTCGGTACCCTGTACTTGATGCCGCCATGTCCATAGTATAGGTAATGGTAGAGTCAGGGCCCATGCGGAGGGAGAGCCACCCAAAAGGTCGAATATCAGGACCAATGTTGCCCTTTTCACCTTCCTTAGGGCGTGATTTACCCCTCTCACTTTGCTTCTTCCCTTTGGAAGTTCCTCCGATAGCATCTGCGCGGCCTTTCCACTGCCAGTCTTTCGACTGCTCGCGTGTAGGGATTCGGAGTATAAGCTCTTCACTGATCTCAACCCGCAACTTGAAGGAGGTGCTTTGTCTCAACATGCCAGGTGTTAATGGCTCTGCTGATTCTGCACTGCGGTAAAAATTGGGGAAAAAGACGTTTTGCAGGCCGATCCGCTCCCTGTCAGCCCAGGGTCCATAGTTGATCGTTCCGCCCTCTATCTTGAGATCTATTCCCCATTCTGGTGGAGGGGCATGGTTGATAATTTCGCCCGAGTCCTGGGAGGAGCTTAGGTTTTCAGGTCGCACACGTCCGGGAATGTCCCAGAAATAAGTCAAGTCTAGGCTTGAGCCATCGAAGATAGTGGAGAATCGCGCATACTCGACTGAGTTCCATTTTTCATGGTCATCACCATCATCATCGTCCAGGTACCGAGAAAGGCCAGTCCAGCGGATAGCATCTGGGAATTCTGCCTGACTTCTGGGCATGGTATCGGCTTTTTTATGCCCCAAGGTGAATGACTCGACGGAGGTTTGGAAATAAGGAACAAGTTCACGAATGCCGTGCCATATCTTGCGTCTCTGAAACCGATAGCTGAATAAGTTCCCCAGCTTAGGCTTAGGAACAGGTTCTTCCTCTTCTGCGGAACTCAACACTTTAGCAGTGGCCAATTGCGTTTGTTTGAAGTCCGGATTGGGCCGCATCTGGATCACTGGGTGCTTGAATTGGAACGAAAAAAGCTGACGGTACAAGTCAAGAGGACCTGCCTTGCAAGCAGCAATGTTTCCCGTTGCGCGATCAAAAGTGGTTGTCAAGACCGAGCGGGTGTGTTCATTCCCCATCACAATCGCTCCTTTGTTGCAGTCTAGCTTCACCGGCAAGAGTTCAAGCATATTCGATACCGGGTCCGAGAGTTCGGCATGAATACTCGAGCTTTGGTACTCCAGAGGTTCCCGTCCATCCATGCTTCGCTTGGAACCGTTTTCGAAGCTTCCTTTTTTGCCGGACCCAGGATCCATTGTAAATGTCGTATCAGCCCGCCCTGGCTGCCCATCGGGTTGGGGGTGTCCATTGTCCTCGTCATCATCCCACCGACCCTCGGTGTACCCGAAGCCAGCGAGGATACTATCATAAGCTGGGGTTCGGTTGTAGATGAACCATTCCAGACCATAGACCTTGATTGAAATTCGACAAGGAAGACGGATTGTCTTCTCCGCTCCGCCTTGCTCTCCAAAATTGGCGTCTTTGTCGCTGGAAGCGCCCGGAACAGAGCCTTTTCGTTCGTTCTCTGCGCTGTAGTCCCTTGTATTCTCCTTCACGCTGGATAGATCGGTGCGTGCCACTGGACGTTTCCAATACCTCCATGTAATGAACCCTCCATGGATGAAGATCGTCTCGTTCACGCCATGATATCGAATGCCTTTGAAGAATATTCTGCCACCCAACAACGATATCTGCAGCGCGTTGATATCCACATAGACACGGTAGTAGTGCCAGGTGTAGGCTCTGATGCCGTATGAGAGAAGGGTCGCGAACAGCCGATTAAAGTAGAGCAGGAAGAATAAAACACTAAGACATTAGCGAAAAGTCAATCTTGAATTTATAGACACTCACAGAATACAACAAACAATAAGCTCCAGGAGAAAAAACCTAAGTCTCAATTAGTTATGCACTACTCGCGCAAGAGTCACAAATTCAACGGACCAATTGAAGCTTGGGTCCGGCGTCAGATAAGAAGCCGTCAAGCTTGTACTGGCCATTTCTCCGTGAAGCTGCCAGCTGGCATGAGCATCGTCAGCGAGATAGATTGACTCGCAAGCGACGAGCCCAATAAATGAGCTTTATCATTCCAGAATCCAAGGAAATGTCAGGAAGCGTGGAAGTCGCGAATGTTGGAGATGCGGGATTGTTTTAATCTAAGGCGGTGTCACGAGAATGATCGTCATCGGAACACGCCTCCTGGCTGCCATTTATTCCTTTTGAGCTCTCCCGCCCTCTCAGCGCGCCGGGTCACCATGTCTTACGCCTCTGACGAGTTTACGAAATGACTTATTGTATCTAGAATCGCGGTCTTTTCTATCCGCGCTTGTCATACTCGTCCGCAAATATGCACGTCGCCGCCGGTGGAGGAACAGGCTCCAGCCTAGCTCGTGCGATCATTATTGTCACTGGCGTTTCAGCTCTAGTAGCATCGCTACTCTCTCTTGTGTAAGTTGGCGGCCCTCAGAAATCATACTGTCCGATTCCTTGTTGACTACGAAGCTAACGTCTCCATGTTTTGTGCAGGTCCATATGGTTCCAAACGTACGAGCCCCGTTCGCGACTAGACTCCCTCCGATAGTTGCTAATTTGGGTATTATAGCAAAAACTATCGAAAGCCGTTACTCCAGAGATATGTTGTGCGCATTCTTTTGATGTGAGTACTGGTTGTCACCTAATCTCGGGAGGCTCAGGAGCTGCAAAGAGCAATGCTGATCAAGATCAGGGTGCCAATATTCGCGGCAGCATCATGGACAAGCATCATATCCCTGACTGCAGCTCAGTTTCTTGATCCAATCCGTGATATTTATGAGGTATCTCATTTCGCCCATTCTGGCGTATAGTGGAGTTATGCTGACGGGCGACTTTGATAGGCCTTCACAATCTACACATTCTTCCAGCTGCTCATCAACTTCCTTGGGGGTGAGCGAGCTGTGATTATCATGGCCCATGGCCGTCCACCAGTATCGCATGCCTGGCCGCTCAACCACATGCTGCCGAAGGTCGATATCTCCGACCCGCATACCTTCTTAGCTGTCAAGCGTGGCATCCTGCAATATGCCTGGATGAAGCCCATCTTGGCTATTGCATCGATTGTGATGAAAGCAACCGATACCTACCACGAGGGATATTTGGATCTCGGTTCAGGCTATCTGTGGACCGGCCTCATATACAACGCCAGTGTCACTCTCAGTCTGTATTCTCTTGCGATGTTCTGGGTATGCCTTCACGATGACCTTTTGCCATTCCGCCCTGTTCCCAAATTCCTGTGTGTCAAGCTCATTATCTTTGCCTCATACTGGCAAGGATTTTTCTTGTCTATCCTGCAATTCCTGGGCGCTCTTGGGAATGGCGTTGCGGGGTACACCCCGGACAATCTCGCTGCGGCCATCCAGGATAGCCTGCTCTGCTTTGAGATGCCTTTCTTTGCCATAGCGCACTGGTATGCCTTCTCATGGCATGATTATGCGGACCCTACCATCTCGGCCGCCCGGATGCCAGTGAAATACGCGTTCCGCGACGCATTTGGCCCTCTCGATCTAATCGAGGACACAAAGATCACACTGCGAGGAGACAATTATGACTACCGAATTTTCGACTCAGGCGACAACATCATCGCGCACGAGGAGTCAGATTCACGGGTCAAGCGAGTCATGGATGGAATGAGATATGAACGCGGAGGAAAGGCAAAATACTGGATTCCCAAGCCAGGCGAGGCTAGCAAGTCCGTAGAGACCGATAGCCGCACCCCACTTCTTGCTGGCGGGAGCTCCAGTGCTCGTGGTCGTAACGAGGGGGGCGGCGGTAGTTCTGCCGACCGATACCGATCCTATAGTGAAATTGAGGCTACGCTAGACGATGAGGATGAACACCTATTCACAAACGCGCGGGCACTGGAGTTTGGAGATTGGAATGTAAGTCATCAACGAGGGATTGTCGCTGCACGAAAGACTAATTTGAAATGCTGCTAGTATCCTGTCATCACCGCCAACGAAGTTCCCAGAGACCAACGACTGCCAAGAACCAGGAGTTACCAACAGCCCAATCAATCAAGTGAGGACCACGTGAGAAAGTCTCGCACACATCGAAAGGGCCGAACGTCGGGCAGCGAAAGCAGGCGGGATCCCAATTCCTCGCGCAAGTCCAGCAAGAGCTCCCGTGGACCAGGTCCCTTGCAGCGCAACGCCAGCTCCACAAGTTCCCATCAGTCGCATCGCAGCCAGCTTGTCGACCTTGTAGTGGAGAACCAGGAGGCTGAGGAGGAAGACCGAGCCCAGGCACAACGGGAAACCGGCTCTGCCTGGGGTGCTGAACCCCGCCACTACGAGTAAGTTTACTGATCGATTGGTCTATAGCTTTCATTGGATTGCCCCTGTTGACCCGATTTCTAGGAGACCATCCGGACAGCCAATCGAGGAAGAGACTGAACCCGAAGCCCCGGCCCAGGAATCTCCAACCGAGCCGGGCCACGACCAAGCTGCCACGCGATGGGCGTACAGTGCCCTGGGGGACGACAATGATGTGTGGAGCAAATAATACTTCTTTTCGGACTTCCATATCATTCGGAACAAGCAGAGCCTATCGAGTCGACTGGTCTCAAATCTTTGGTCTCCTGCGCACGGTGTCGTAGTTTGTCCCGCACTCTATTTCCGGAAAACGTGAGAAATGGACCTTAAACCCCTTCCAAGGCGTCTTGACTATCCTGAATCGGGCCAATAGACGGTTTATTTTGAATATGTCCCTGAAATAAAAACCACAAGATTACGCCCAACCTGCCCGTTGCTCTTTCTTAGGCGCCCGAGTACGTGACAGCCCCACTTACATACATAAGCCACAAATCTCCCGGTACTCAGACAAGGATGTCACATCTTTTTCCGAATCGGCGAATAAGGCATCATTCCAAACAGTGGAGTAAATCTAGAGCCTTCAGGAACTGTACACGTAGGCTGCCCTGAGCAGTAGCATTCTGTGAAGAGCCGCATCGGGCTAAGACATCGTACCTGACTTGGAGTGAGATCCGAATTAGATAGAAATAGGCGGTCTTTTGAACCCAATCGTCGCCGTCCAAAAATTCCACTGCTTATATGCTATGTACATGTACAGTAGGTACATAGGCATGTACTAGCTTGCCAGCCACCAATCATCAAACAAAGAGTTGCCAAGTCATGAGGAAACGTCCTTGACCGCTACAACGGTCTTCCTGCCATGGCAGTTGAAAAGTCAAGAGGAAACAGTCATGCCTTGACGTGGTCTATAACAGTTCGATTCTTTGTATGAGCAGCCGTAGGAATGCCTACCCTGTACGCTAGACTTCATTTGAACAGGGGTATTCTCCTGAGCTTAGGCATTGATGATCCCAAATAATCCCCGAAAGCACAGGATTATGCAGATCTTAGCATGTGGATCATGGAACTCATGTACAACGTCAATTATGACCGAGCAAAAATATGAGCGACGAACTATAACCCTGAAATGTGGAGTACCTGTCCCGCATTTAGGTACATGTATTTGGATGGTTGGGTATACGCACAATCATCATGAAACTGGCCAATCATACTCAACTTCCCGTTGAAACGAGAACGAAGAATGAAAACCAAAAATTCGAGATACGAAAGCCAACGCAGCCTGTCCCTCATACGCGCCCAAAGGTGTGATGCCCCACTCTTCTACATGGACAAAGCTCCTGATAAGCACAAAGTTGTGATGACTCCACTCGGACTGACGAATGAGACTTCCTAATTGACTCCGCAGGGACGATCCCCATCACCCAGCCCGTCCGCTGAGAGTAAGTCACTAGGATGACTTGCTCTGTCCGGTATAGTTCCGGATCTTAGCGGCACACCGTCTCACCCGTGGTCTACCATGGTCCCTGACGAGTCAAAGCTGGCGAGCGCACGGGCACTAGAGGAATATCCTGTCGTACGAGCTTTTGTTTTTGAGTCGAGAGGTTTCTTCTTTCCTCTCTCGAATTGCGAGTCCCTCCTTTATACCCCCATCCCCACCCTTTTACTCCATCCCACCTTCAGGAAAGGTGATGGATTAACTTCGTCGAAGCGCTGGTCGCCATGACAGCTTCTGAGCAAGCGGGGTCGCTATTCACCGGTTGGATACGATCGTGCTGGTCATGCTTGTCACCAGGAGAGAAGGGTCAGGATGCCTTGCCAAGTGAGAGTTATGGTAAGGCACTCATCAAACTTCATTGAGAACAATCATGGAAGTAGAATTAACGTTTATGTTGGATTCACAGGTGTCAAGCGGGAGATGGAAGTATGCCATTCTCAACCGCATCTTGTGCCCCCTATGAAGCTGAAGGTGTACGATGATCTCCCCAATCCGAGAATAAATCACACTCGGAACTCGCACTCCTTGTCGTCATGGCTAGAGGAGGGTCGGAATCTGGCTTCAAGGGCATCGAACCGGGCAAGTCTGACTACGTCTCGAAGGAGACACCCAAGCACGCCGTTGAAAATCAGTGGCCCTTCGGATTTCCGTCGAGTGGAATCCTTTCATGATTATGTTGCTGTTGTTGGCAGATACCAACCACTTGATCTGAGCATCCATCGGTCGGGTCACCGATTGTCAGATCTACCCTCGTTTGATTCCTTCCAGCTAGACGAGGATCATCAGTTCCCCGTGCTGGCAGTGCCACCCCGGGCTCTCTCACATCAAAGTATCCGTCATCGACGATGTGTGTCAACTGCTTCTGTATTCACTGTATCTCGAAAGCCCGTTGGCTCAGGGGATCGCCGTTCTCTCGGAAGCGTGCGTCTCACAATCGAGCCCGAATATCAGAAGCCGGTTCACATTGCAAGCCCTTTGGTGCCTCATTTCTCTGTTATCACCCCTGTCAAAGTGAAAGCAAACGATATCCTTCATCCAAAGGGACCTTTACCGGCGTCTGCGTTACGACACAACAGAACCAACTCGGAAGAGAGCAAGCTCACCCTGGATACCGATATCTTATCCGACAACTCCAGTGATGCCCAAACACCACGAGCAGTTCAAGACCTCCCCCAGACCCCAGTGAGATGGAGGGATCCGGAGAACACATCAAGCCAGCACTCGCCGAACGAATCCTCATTCTCATTCCTTAGAGATTCTCCCTCGGCATCTAGCTCAATCACGTTCCCATCCCGGCTATCATCATTGCGCCGTCCTTCCTTCACACCAAGCGACTACCGTAAGACCGTCTCATCCGTGCCCCTTCCAGACCGTGTCTCACAATGGTTCTGCCGAGAGCAAGACACCTCGCCCAAACCAATCTCCCTTGATGGTGAGAATGAATTTGAGTGGGAACGAACTCGCACGTTGAGTGGTACTACCGTTGGCTCAACCATTACCACCATTACTGGCGGTGCCAAGTCACGTCCGCCCAATTTTTCTATCTCCAGTTCATTTGCGGGCAGTCCTACTCCGCGAGCCTCGCTGCATAAACCATCTATAAGCAGGGAAAAGGAGCTCGAGTCGGAGATTTATCATCCAACGAACTATGAAGGTCGGCTGCAACGTCACGGGTTCGCGTCTCGCCATGGCGAGCCCATTTTGCTACCGGAGGCTACTATCGGTGTCGCTTTCTAGTCATCATGGTTCTTCACCCTGAAATATCGGGGGATTTCTGGATATGAGGCCTAGTCGGTCATTTCGATTTATTTACAAATACGTTTTCCTTGCTTTATTCAGATTATTTCTCGAATACCCTATGCTGAAATACCCCCTTTTATCGCGATTTTTATTCTTTGTTCACTTTTACTCAGTTTTGCGGGAAGGTAATGAGCTTGTGGGTGGTTCCTTGCTATAAATGGGCGAATTGATTTGAAAACCGCTTGTCATCTTTCGATTTGATTTATTGAAGATAATGGATTGACATCCTTAATCAAAGTCTCTTATTTATCGATACGGTCATGAAGCCTTGCATTCCATAGAATCATGTTGGAGCTCGTATACAATCTCTTAATTATGGGTCTCAGACTAGATAATAGCAGGATATAAGCCACCTGTAGAACGAGTATCTTGTGGGTACAGGTAATTCGAAGCAATGGAGAATATGGCAGGAAGTCCTTCCAGATTCCTTAGAGGTCTGCCAGGCAGAAAACGCTTAGTTAGGGCAACGATGGTTATCAAACATCCTTCCTTTGGACTTGACATGCAGGGCTCTACATCATCTCATGGCTTATACTCAGGTGGCGGGGTAGAACTTGTAGCCGCTAGAGGCCCAGGCTGACCCAGAGACTGCGGCTTTGCCGAAGTTCGTAACATCATCTTGATCTTTGCCTCCCGGGTCAGATCTTCAGGCTTATACCCATCCTTCGTCTTGGCATCAGCCATGGCCCCGCGTGCGAGGAGAAATCGAATCATCTCAGGGTCTGTATCATTGGAGAAACGAGAGATAGGCCGGGCAGCGACCGCAACATGAAGGGCTCCACGGCCATAGCTATCCTTCATTTCAATATCTGTGCCGTTATTCAAGAATGCTTCAGCTATGCCAATGTTGCCCGAGCTTATTACTCGGTGAAAAAGCATTTCCTTGCGTGCATCGAGGGAATTGCCCAAATCTGGATGATGGTGTAAAATGAGCTCGACAATCTGCTTATTCTTGATGAAAACTGCATGCGACAAGGGCGTATTTTTAGTGTAGTCCCTTGCGTAGACTTCCAGGCTGGGACCAGTCAAACGTTCCCACAACGATCGGTCAAGCTTTTTATCGTGCTTTACAAGGATTTCGCAAACGTCGTAATGTCCTTTGTGGGCCGCTAAGTGTAGAGCCGTTGCGTGATCTTTGGGGGTAGTCAGAGTTGAGGCATTGTAGTCGATGAGTAATTGGACAATTTCGGCGTGCCCATTGACGGCGGCAATATGAATGGGCTCGTATGGTCTTCCTTCCTTGCAGTTGTAGGTGGAAGGATCACATTCAAGGAGTAGGCGAGCAACTTGTGTATGTCCTGCCCTTATAGCCACGTGAAGGGGAAGCGAATCGTTGCCATTCCGGCTTAGAGGTGATGCACCTCGCTCCAGTAGAAGACGAGCGATATCCCAATGACCCTTTTTTGCTGCATTGTGAAGAGCCGTATCTCCAACTTCGTCAACGGTATTTGGATCTACTCCTTTGTCCAACAGTGCTGTGACAACATCGAGCTGGCCTTTATCAGCTGCAGTAATGATGTCTTTAAGTGAATTGTCTTCTCCGTTCTTCAACTTGTCAGCCATAGTGACAAATGTACAACCTTGGAAGATTAGATAGGGTTTGAAATTAATCTGGGGGCGTTTCTTTGGCTGTCTTCGTGTTATTAATTACTTTCCTTTTAGCGCGCCAAGTCAACCTAGCCTCACTATAGCATAATTAAGCGAGGTCTGTCATGGAATGTTTTTTGTCTCACGCCCTGCCAAGCCATTAGAACCCAAGCTAGACCATGTATGGCCTCGGGGATCATATTCGGCCGCTGTGCCGGAAAACGTTACTATTATGGTAATACCTTCGGCGATCTACAAGTTTGAGGAATTGGTTTCCAGCAATAAATATATAATCCTGCAATTCATCAGCAAAGAGTATTAGTGTAGTACGTATAAAAATGACTTGGAGCCTCATGGGTACCCAGATGATTTTAAACTATATTTTTAGGCTTTGGACTGGGGCATTTAATCTGAATTGATGATGAAGACAATTCTTAACCCCCCATTTAGTATATGAGGCTGATCCATACTGACAATATAATAGCTAGTAATATTAACTAGCGGGTGTGGAAGCTAAGCCATGGAACTATGGTCACTTAGGGGCTGGTCACGATATACACACAACACTCACGGCATTAAGTGCATAAGAGGAACCTGAATGAAGCCCGACTTGCAAGCATGTCGGAAAGTCGAAACCTTATCGTATATTTTTACTTTTTGAATGAGCTTGAAAAGGTACTAGAATACTTTTCGTGTTTACGCTACCTTGCGACAACAGAACTCATGGAGTTGGCATATTGAAAAGAATAAAGCCGGGCAGCCCGCTGAATTCGTGGACTTTTTGCAACTTCACTAGAAATATTTATGGGATTCCCCAGAAGGTCATAGCTGCCCTTACAAGGCTGCTGTTCTTGCTCACAGCCTGATTTATAGCCTCGTGGCTGGAGGCCTGATGTGCCGGACCCCAGTAATCACGGTCCGCTAGAGAGCCGCACTGCCACGTACTAAAACCCCACCTACCTCAATCCATCCAATAGTCTTCACAAAATTTGCCCATATGGGTCCATTTATAGCGGGATGTGATGTTATGGTGGGGCAAACCTGGGGATAAGGCTGCGCCCAGCTGTAGGCGAGGCTATGAATCGAGGACCCTGAATAGAAGATCTAGAACAGAACAGTGGACGAACTTTGTGGCAGGTTAAACATAAATATGAGCCGGTCATCCTCAGTCCGAGAATTTTCGAATCAGATCAACATCAATTCAACGTGGGCAAAATGCGCCTCCGAGTGAACGCTATTGTTGCTGCTACCTTGTTAGCAGTACAGTCTACCGCTAGTGTCATCCCCCGAAGCGAGAGCACAGATGCCTGTGGTCAAATATATAAGCGTTTTAATAACGCTGGGAACAGCTGTAAAGTTTCTAGATCGGCATGTGAGAAACATTGCTAACAGTGAATAGCCATTGTAAGGATGCCGGGTGAACTGGGCCTTCAATGTCTCCAGTCCATGCCCTTTGAACCAAAACGCGCTGTCGCATGGGTGAAAGAATATCGCAAATGGCTTCTCTTTCAGTCAGATCTCGAGATCTTGAAGAATCCTCCCTCTGATTATCATATGCCCGCTACGGACCTCATTGGAACTCTCGATATAATTGAGAAGAGAGCTGCTGATAGGGACTATAAAAACCAATGGGAATTTGACACCGACGTGAAAAACATGATTATCTCTGCTTATGATGGCCACTTGGGTATTACGATGTGTTCATATTTGATCGCTCCGGAGACTATGAGATACACGAATGATGTACCGCTTGTTTCTGTTTCAACTAACGGGACTGCCATTCCTGACGTGTACACATTCGGTAAGACCGATTGCCTTGGTTTCCAGAAAGCAAATGCTAACTTTGAGTCTAGCCGATGCTGGATTGTTGAAGTCGCATAAGGATAGAGTGTCTCCGATTGTCTCAATCAATGGGGTTGATGTTGTCACATACCTGGAAGAAATTTCGTTGACAACAAACGCTCAGGATCGTGATGCATTGTGAGTGAATGTATATCGGGAACTTCCAGGTTATTTCTGGTACCTAACACCTCAATTCCCTCCAGATACAATACAGTCTTTCCCTCGAACCCAGTGAGCATTGGTGTTGGAACATTGAACTTCTTGGAAGGCTCTGGACTTTTCAGTAACCCCGCAATCTGGCCTGGAGCAGAACGTACCCTTCACTATGCAAACGGAACATCTCAAGTTGTTAGAACGGTATTGGAAGTTACGAATTGGCAATGGAAGTCCGGTAAATCACTATACAACCATTGGTGCCTCCCGTCCTCCAATTCCAAGCGCTCCTTATCATCTTCAAAAGTCTCGAAACGTTCATCAGACTCCAAAAGCCCTTCGGGCTACCCAACTCCGCACTCCAGCACCTTGGATTTCACTCTGATGAGTTTCTTCCCTGAGAGCAGCAACCTGAAGGATGCAGCAGTTCTTGCAATTCCTACATTTGAATGGGTCTTTGGACAGCCCGATGTGCTCGCCCGGGATTTCATCGTCAAGGCTGCTAAGGAGGGAAAAAAGAAAATGATCATCGATCTCCAAGGCAATGGAGGTGGCCTCATTTCAGCAGGCTGGAACTTATTCCGACTCTTCTTCCCTGATCAAGAGGTCTACTCCGCAACCCGTTTCCGCGCCCATGAAGGTATCAATTTCATCGGAGAAGCAGTCGCGCGTTTACCCATCAACAATTCCGATATCAAGGACAACATCCTTAACTGGAAGGAAAATGTCACACCCGATCAAAAGGAAGGCTTCTCCTCCTGGGCAGACCTTTACGGACCCCATGAAGTCTTCGGAGTGAACTCTTCCAGCCTATTCGCATTCAACCTGTCTATGGTTTCTACTGCCGCATCGCAACCCATTAGCGGATACGGTGATGTGCCCCTCAACCCAAAGACCCAGAGCTTCGCGGCTGAGGACATCATCATTATCACTGATGGCTACTGCGCCTCCACCTGCACCTTATTCACAGAGTTGATGAAGGCCCAGGGCGTCCGCAGTATCGTCTTCGGTGGACGACCGCAGACTGGTCCCATGCAGGCTATGGGTGGTATTAAGGGTGCAGAGGTAATGGATCTCGCCAGTTTGGCCGAGATCTTGTCTGATGCGAAGAAACTCGCCAACTCTTCATCGCTTCTTTCGGACGAGGACTTGGAGAACTGGGATAAGTACGTACCCAGTCCTCTCAGTGAGTTCCCTTATGGGATGATCGCTGCCGCCGTGAATCTTCTGAATTCTTTTGGTCCTGCGAACGATACTGTCCCCAGGCAATATATTTATGAAGCAGCTGAGTGTCGTCGTTTTTTCTCGTATGATAACATTGTGGATCAGGAGACTACTTGGGCATCTGCTGCTGATGCTATGTTTTATGGTGGTGGGTGTGTGGAGGGCTCTATAAATGGGACTGGAAGCCTTTTTCCAGCATCAGTATAGATGGTGTCTGTCTCGGTGAACTGCTAGACAGTATTTGTCGGCGAAACAAGGAATGAGAACGTATGAGATCTCTTTGTGTTCGGGTACGTTCGGCATAAGCTTCACCTTCATATTCTCAAGGGGATGGGCTTCATTCTTTATTAGTCAGACAGATAATAAGCCTCATGAATAACCCATCAGAGTTGCACAAGATGTCCAAGCGGCACAAGGAGCTTTGACATGACGAAACTAATGGCACGCGAATGAGATTGCATTTATCCCTTAATTGAGCAATTTACAACATGATAATGTCATAGGCACTGATTGATATCCCTCGATGAAACATTTACGACCTACTGTAGGCACCATGTGGTATCGAGATCTACCGAGTAGATCGCGAACCACTCACATATTTCGGTAATTATCGTTTTGTTTCGCGCCAGTTTAAGGTTTATCGTGTTGTCATGAGCCGTGAGATCAAATTTCACTTCCGGTCTCAAGGTTTCCAAACATTCCTAGGCTTTGCGCCACTAATGCCTTGTTTTCGACGCGGTTGGACTCCCCCGAGCTTCCTATCTGACGTCAATCGCGCTAAATAAATAAAATAAACTTCAGATCCACAAAGTTGTTGAACGTTAATACCGCAAAAGCCAGGATTTGTAAGGGATCTTCAAGGCGGGCGTTCTAGCCCTAATTATGCAATGTAAATTCCACTCTAATGCTACCAAGTGCAGTGAGAAACCACCAGTACAATAAATGTGGTACATAGATGCTAGTGAAAGGACAGATCAAATGCAAAACGAAATAAGCAAAAGGGACAGGAACGTTGACTAGTCGTGTACAGGACGTCTCAACAAATATAGTAACAGTGTAGCTCACAGCTCAGACTTAACAGCAAAGGAAGTCTTCTCAAAAGACTTCTCAGACTCACCCTCGCCCTCGGAATCAACAGGCGACATCACCTGAAGAATCTTGCCGTCCTCGAAAATCCTTGCCACGTCTTCCAGAGACCGTCCCTGTGTTTCGGGGAAGAGGAAGTAGACTACGCCGAGGAAGACGACTAGACACCCGACATAGAGGAGAAAATATTTCCAGCGCAGTGCCGCAAACGCTACTGGATTGACGTATTGATTGAAGAAGCAGGCAAGCGAGTCGGTAGTCAGAGTTATAGCGAGACCCTTTGCACGCAGCTGGAACGGGAGAATCTCGGCTGGATATGCGATGAAGAGGGGCATGTATGCGAAGTCGTAAGCTGCGCAGAAAAGGAAGAGCATGGGAATCACGGCGATTCCTGCTTCGATTATGTGTAGCTCTGAGAATAGAGCTGTCATGACTGTTGATGTGGATAGGAAGATCATCATGAGGGTCGTTGCGCATAGCCAGAGGACGCGGCGGCCATATCGGTCCGAGGTACTGGCTCCGCCGACAGCAAAAACAAGGTTCCAAACTTGGAGACTGATGTTCACTGCTGCTTGGTGAGCGGCATTTTTGATTCCAACCGAGGCTAGGATGGGAGGGAGGTAGTAAGAAGTAACGCCTGGACCCTGGTTAGTGATTGATTCCAACACCCGTAGAGCTAGTATAGCATACCATTTCCTGTCCATTCCTGCATGAAACCCATGAGAATACAGATCGACAAGCGATGCACATCACCTCGACTGCTGAGGAAAGCACTCCACCCAGAGCAAGCCTTCATATCCGCCTCGGCACTGATACTGCTGCAGATCTGATCGTATTCCTCTTGCACAAGCGCACTGCTCAGATCTCCATTTCCATGGTAGCGCACAAGCATAGCTCTAGCCTCACCCTTTCGGTCCTTAGAGACCAGCCACCTAGGACTCTCGGGAATGATGAATAGTCCCACCAACTGGAAGAGCGGGAACAAAACTTGCAGCATACAGGGAACCCGCCATGACCAGCTGTCGTGGATACCCAGAGTAGAAAAGGCAATACCAGCCGCGGTGATCGAACCACAGAACCAGATTGCGTTATATAGACCTGTGAGGACACTTCGTTGGCGAGGGTGTGCCGCTTCGGCGATAAGTAGCGGTGCAGCTGTTTGTGAAAAGCCCACGCCTGCTCCTGTGACAATGCGGGCACCGAAAAATACCCAGGGCTGTTCGACTGCCACCTGGATTACTGAAGCTAGAATGACGAGTGTAGCGCCGATGGCAACGCAAGGTCGACGGCCTAGTCTGTCGGCAACGTATGAAGCAGGAATGAAGGTTAAGAAGGAACCTAATGAAACAGCGGCAATGATAAGGCCTTCGGCATTGGCGCTGAGATCCTTCAAGAAAATCGCAACTGTCAAACTCATTAGCAATTGGTTTTTAGAAACACTTGACTGCAGGAGACTCACACTCAGGTAGAACCAACAAACTATTGATCTGACTAGCATTATACCCCGATGTAGCAGAAGCAGCCAACATGAAAGCAATACCCAGATTCAACCTCCGCAAACCTCTGTCCTCATCCTTAGCCATGTTGATGATCGAATACCTTGAAGTATAAAATAAATTTTATACTTTGAATCAAGTCCAACTTCCCAAGCTAAGAGCTACCTACGCGGAGACTTTATCTACCAAAAATGACGGAGCTTTTATCGGATAATTCTCTGCATTACATTCCTGACAGCTTCGCGTGCGCCGATCTTACCAACTAAGGCTGAATTTTTCACTGTCCCTGTGGAATGCTGGCAGGGGGGGAACATTTAACAGAGCGAATCGCCAGGTGAGCTTTTTACACTGATGCCATTAAAGAGTATCCGCGGTCTTATGATATGCAAGGATTGTCCAAGCTCCCAGGCTATTTGTATCAGGAATTTAGTAACGTCAAGCTGACAGCGCCAATCGGATCGATCCGCTGGTTAGACTGGTCAGAGGATTAGGGCGAACCTCAGCTGATCATTGGAAGGATCTCAAGGGGCTGGTTTGAAAGGGACTTTTGTTGCTTTTTCGGCTCTAGCGGTTATCCTGTAGAGCTTGTGTGGGGATGTGAGTTCACTTTTGGGGATCTGCGTCAGCTTGCCTAGTAGATGTGTACGCGTTCTCCTTGAGGCTATTGGGCCTCCTTGGGGAGTTGTATTGTAGACTGTAGTGTAACCCTGTTTGGATGAAGCCTATGATTGGGTAGAAATGGACTGTAGTTGAAGATCCATGGACGAGGATACAATTTATTCATGATACTTGGATTTTATAGGCCTGCGGATCAGGTACTGTGGAGCTGTACCTAGCTTGTACAGCTTTTTCAATGTTCAATGTTTCAATAGTGTACATTCAAGATCCATTTCGAATTCTCGAGTCCTTGGAAGTTGCTAGTCAGGTGGGATCTGCCAGGTTAGGGACAGGCTCCTTGCTAGATGGGAGAATTCGTCTGGGCATAGGTAGACGCATAACCGCGGGAACCGAGATGACACATGCATATATATTACAGAAGCAGAGATAACGAAAAAGCCAATATCTGGATATGTCAAATAGTAATAAGCATTAAACTGTAACAATGACTCAGGCCAAATATATAAGGTTCCAGGGCCGACATTCATTGGAGGAAATATATATGAACGCCTCAACCGGCTAAACTAACATGGATCGAATGTTAGCATGCATGTGACATGCGCCATCAAAAATGCAAGAAAAGGGAGAAAATCGAATCTGCAAAACTCAACAGATGTGTATCCTCATTCCCATTATTCACAAGATGAAAGAAGCCCTTGCAGAAAACCGATAACTCCTCTAGAATAAGATGATCCTCGCTGAACCACTAATGAAAATGAAAGAGAAACCATTCCATCAAACATTATCATCCTCGTAGACGAAGTTGATATCACGAATTCGTCGACGATTGTGCATTACGAACTCATGGTCACCCGGTGGCCGCTCGTCCTTGGTGTTGGCTGTCAACATACTCTGGAGGCTCATGCAGACACTCTCTACAGTCTGCACAGGAGACCAACCCGATTGGCCCAGAAGATCGAGACAGATGATGCCGTTGCTGTAAATGTGTGGGTGCATAGGGATAGCCCGGGGTGTCTCAGAGGAGGGTGGGAGTGTAATGAATTGTACTTCTGGGGGCTCTGCAAGAAAACCAAAACCAATACATTTAGAATTCCGCTCTTGCCAAGGTGCAGTTCAGGTGGTTCCTTACCAATGGGGTATTTGGCCGAGAAAGTAAACTTGAGTCGGTATGTCTGATCTTTGTAGAGAGGGTTGTCATCAAGGACCTTAATGTCCATCTGCCATTCTTCCAAACTGTCGGATTTTACTACCGCAATGCCGGGCGGAACGTGGTCTTTGATCTACCAACAGTTGAAACGTTAGATCCACTTCCCAATTTATCGAAATATAAAGTTCATAGTCGGTGTGAGGCGGGCGGAATGTTTGTGGAACGTAGAGCGGGACAAGGATGTCGATCATGCAATCAATGGAGGGTAAAGTACCTTGATAAGCTCCTAGAAGTAACGGGATTGTTAGCCAGGGTACTTTGGGGTGGAAAGTGTAAAAGCAAGTGATGGTATTCTGTGTTTCCAAAAGCGCATACCTTGCTTAAACGCTTGTTTGCGAAAGAACGCGACATGGTTTCGAGCTTCTGGAGCTATGACGAGAGAGTCGTCGATCACGAATTTGGGTCACGGTTGGCGTTGTCCAGTCCGGAGGCGGAATATCGTATCCGTCTGGCGGAAATTACGGACGCCCTGCAGAGTAGGCAAGGCTGTCACAGGATGCGGAATAAAATGAGAGGCGACTCAAAAGTACAAAAGAAGAGGTAAAGTGATCCAAACCGAAACGGCCGTGATGCACGCGGGGCAAGATAAGATCGTCGCACGTGACAGTGGAGATCTGCTGTCTCAGAATCATGACTATGAGGCTCTGACCTATCCAACGTTTCTAGCTGTTTAAGCAACCCTCATGGTTCGAGATAAGTCTCAGCAGTGTATCTGACCCAAGACCCTGACAGGGTTGAAACATAAACTCCTCTTCTCATCAAGTATTCAATGGGAATAGAAGCTCGAGTCATTTGATTTGCGTGGGCGTGATAGAGGAAAGTGCGTGGAAGATAGAAAGAAGAAGGCGGTGAGATGTTCGCTCTTTGTGATTTGATAGAAATGGCCGTTTTGGTGAATGGTTTGTGAACAGTGCACGCACTGACCATGCATTCCGACACGACATTCCAGAGTACTGTATTTGGGATGGCATGAATATATATAAAAGCACATACATGGCTCCGTCTACTTTTGACTCTAATAGGAAATAATTGATACAAAAGGTCAATTCATGCAAGCGGTCTCACTAGTCAGCCGCAAATGTGCAGACTGTATTGAACATGGGGAATCAAATAACTATATCCAAATCCAGGCAAATTACAGACATGAAACAGCATCGAGGGGAAAAAAGTATGAGCAATAAGAATAAATGCAATCGACAATCATAAGGCATCAAGTTAGGCATGCGACGCTTTTTCACGTGCTTCACGTTCAACTTTCTCGCGCTCTTCATTGTCCTTCGCCTCACGCACCTTGGCCAAAACGACCTCACGGAAGATAGCACCACGAGCGATCTTGCCAAGACTCCGCTTCTTAGTGTGACCGGGAGACGCATCGCCGTTCGCGACTGGAGCGGCTTCGCCGTCCTCGGGAGCCATGGCCATAGGGCTAGGAATATCGCCCTCCTCCTCATCCTCATCGTGCATCTTGAGGGCCTCAATACGGTTGGCGAGCTTGACGATCTCGATACCACGGCGGAGACGGGCCTTCGCAATGTAGGCGCGGATCTCGGGCAGCAGATCGCGGTCGCTGGCGGATTCTCCGGTGAGCCATTCGTGCTTGAGGGCATCCTCAGATGTCACTCGCTTGCTGGGGTCAGTCTGAAGCATGGTCATGATGAAGTCCTTGGCGTCTTGGGACACATCCTTCCAGTAGCGTTCGTGGAAGATAATTCGGCCTGAGCGACATTCTTCGATAAGATCGCTGAGGTTCTCCGCGCGGAAGGGTGAGTAACCACACAGCAGGGTGTAGGTAATCACACCCAAAGACCACATGTCAACGGCCTTGCCGTGGCCCTGCTTGAGCATAACCTCTGGTGCGGCATAGCCGAAGGAGCCGGCCATGCTGGTTAGAACTTCTGAGGGGTTTTCCAGCATCTTGGCAATACCGAAATCGGCCAGGACTAGCTCGGAGTCGGCAGAGCGGGTGAGGTAGAGCAGATTCTCAGGTTTCAGGTCTATTGAGTGTTAGCTTCGGGCCAATTTTCAAAAGCCTTCTGTCAGGACTTACCACGGTGGACAATGTTGCGCTTGTGTAGGTAATTGACCGCATCAAGCACCTGTCGAATGGTCTGCGACGCATCCTTCTCCGTGAATTTTCCATAATCACAAATCCGGTCGAACAGCTCGCCACCAGTGGCCAGTTGTGTCACGATATAGAATTTGTCCTGTGTCTCTGTTAGATGCTACAGTTCTCCATGCTGGCGGATCCCACAAACCTTAGACTCGAACCAGTCCACGAACGAGACAATGTGAGGATGTTGGAGCTTCTGAAGCATCTTCAGCTCATCGTAGACCATCTCCTCATTTCCCCGAACATTTTTCTTCAAGATGATTTTAATCGCGACTTTCTTTCCGTCAAGCGTCTCAGCCTCACGGACAATACCGTAGGTGCCAGCACCAAGCGTCCGTCCAAACTTGTATAGAGACCTGGAATCAAAGAGAACGATTAGCGGATGCGGTATTTATAGTTCCGCAAAGCACATACTTCTTCTCATAGCTCTCCGGCTGCCCAGACAGCTTGTTGAACATATTTGCGACTAAAAGAGACGAGAGTTAGCGAATTGTCTCCTCGTCCAAAGCCACAGCGCGGATCAACCGGCAATAACCAGCCGCAAGACGACTCGAACAGGGAATATGCATTGAGCAGACCATTACACCAAAGGGTAAACAGGGCCAGAGCACAATCTGCCAGGTAGCATGTGGCATAAAAGAACAGCATTGAAAAAGACATGATCGGTTGGTTGCAAGCTATTTGGAGCTTGCAAGTTGCGGGCTTCAAATGCGACCCCTTCACTCGAGAGCGACCGGGAGATGCACGGCGCAGGCCGGGAGCGATATGATCCAAAAAGCGCTGTCTATTGAATTGACTCACAACTCATGATGTGGGAATAGGGCTGTAGGCGCCCTCGACTGAACTTGGTATGCGGTAGTGACTCGGTCAGATAGCAAAAGCGGGCTGGTGAACCCCGCAGCGGAGGAGAGGGCGGGGCGAGAAGATGAGAATTGGTATACGGCGGTGCGGAGATGTAAATTCGGAAGGAGTGGAGGAGTCGGTGGAATTTGAGGATCTGAAATGCAATTTTAGCACTTGAACGAAAGAAAAAAATCCAGATTGCACCCTTAAGGGATCAGGCGGGGCTGTAGTGGGCTAATGCCACGACGCTCTTGCGCTGGAATCAGGGGAAACACGGGAATATCTACCGTCCCAAGAGATGTCGCGACGTACTCGATCTGGAAGATTGATTCCGGGTGAAGAGAAACCGGTATCAAAGCCAAGGAAACGAAGACCTTAGGGAAAAAGGGAAAAAAAGGGATCAGGAGTTCTAGACGCGCGATAAGGATGAATTGGGGCTGTAGGGTTTAGTGGATCTTGGCGTGCGTGTTCTCGACATTGCACCGCCACGAGCTGATCTCCACGCAAATTTCGGGGGCTGAAATCCCGCTTACTATATTGTTGCTGCCTTGGGATTGCTCGTAAAAAAGGGGTATCTCATCGGGTATTGTAGTCTAATGGATAAACTTCCGGAGTTCCCAAGGGGTCAACTTTATAATGTTTACCTGTGGAGGTTCACCCCTGGGATGCTGGCGCTCAACTCCTATGACTTACTCGTCGCGACCAAACAGCCACAACTCCACTGCAGCCAAGAGTAGGTAAATTAGGCCGCTAAGGCATGCTGCGCTATTTTACAGTACCCCTCGCAGCAGCAAGTACTATTCAATCTGTGAAATTGGTCGATCGGTCGATCTTATGCAACGAACGACGCATAACGCAAAGCACCATGCGGCTATGACAAGAGTATACAATGTATCTGAAAGTAAGCATGCAGAAGGCATAGTACATGGCATATGAGTATTTCTAAAATCGATATTATGCAAGGGACAAATTTGACAATCTAAAAATCGCTCATGCAGTGACGAGCGCCTATTTCTGTGCTGACTGGAAGCTCACGCTGAAACGTTACTTGTTTCAGAATAAGCCCCACGAGCGCGTCTTGAATATTCACCACACAGTTTTTATGACACCTCAAAGGTCAATTTCGAAATCATCAAGGAAATAGCCGAAAGTATTTAAAAAGCGACTCGACTGCAGCGAATACGATGCGCAGGAAATCAATTGCTTCATGCAGATGCTGTGAACGGGTGGCCAGATATTGACGTGAAGCTTATAGTGAACATACTCGGACTCAACGAGAGCTCACAACATTGTCATTCCTTCTTTCGCCGTCAATTAATTAGAGTGGAAAGGAATGGGAATCGACGAATTTGCACTGGACAAGAGCAATGAAATGTTTACCACCCGGAGGAAGCAGCTCTTCAACAAGAAGTCTTTCGAGGGAATGGAGGAGTGACCATGCATAATTTTGTCCTGGAACTCCTCGACATTGGCATAATCTGATTCCCAGCACAGGTCCCTTGGTACCTTAGGCCAAATACCGAAGAGAGAGCTTTCTGTGCTGCGATTCATCGAATAGAAAGGATTTGTTCGATGGCCATGCTCGCAATTGCAGCTGGATCTTTGATGTTATGTAGCGGGCGAGAATCGATCCTTGATTGTTCAGGAAGAGCGATCTAAGGGATCAAGTAAGTTTTCTCAACTCAAGGACGAATGGAAAATTATGCCACAAAAAAATGTTGCAAAAGAAAAGAGAATGGTCGATGGGTGTGTCTCAATGACTTCAAAAAATAATATGTTGTTGTTGTGGAACCAAATTATTATATCACCTCTAGAGCCTCATGCATAGAAGTGGAGATAGAAACGGACTCAAAAACAACAAGAATGTTACCTTGAGTGAGTGAATTCGATTGCCGATAGAGATTCAAAAAGGAGAGAAATGGTACGGGAGTCAAGGTTGAGGGTTCCAAGAGGATAGGTAGATTAGTTACCAATCTTCCCTCAAATACGCTTAGCGTCCGCGCTAAGATCGGGGGATTCAGGGTCCTTTACACGCCTCGTATCAGATACCACTCGCTTGGCCCAGTCGATCCTAGTCAAAGCCCTCATTAAACTTGGAGTCTTACAGCTCTCTCTCTCTCTTTCTATCCCTTCTCTCTCAATGTCGCCGCTTGTGAACTCTCATGTCGTATTGATACCCATCACTCTTTCTCAATGACCATGTTCAACACGAGTTCGATAATATAAAACCAACGTGGAATGGTAGCATTCTGGTTGTAAAGAGTTTAAAGGTATTACAAAAGGCAAGGGTAGATAAGGGGAGGCAAGGATTCAATTTGGGCATCGAAGGGAAAGATTAATTTGTAGTGTTGTGAAGGTCTTCAAAAAAAAAGTGGTGATGGAGGTGGACTCAACAACACAATAATTGAAATCAAACGGGTCAATAGAGGTAGAAAAAGTCGAAAAGGTAGGAAGTCAGGTGAAAACCCCGAACGGGAACCGAAGGGGATACCATTACCAAAAGAATGGTAGATGACCCTTAAGTATTAGGTCCAGGTCCCCCCATTAACAATTCAATCCGCATGGTCGAGTTGGCTAGGCCCTCCCTAGTACAAACTAGCCACCGACGGGTGGTGCACACAGAGTTAGCCGTTGGGACTTGTGTGTACGGATTGAATAGACCGGGAAACATCCTCAGCTAACCCCCCTTGAATAGCAGCCGTATGGCGCCTATGGGGGGTGACCCTGAGTTGAATGTTTGCTACTTTTTTAAAATCAATCAGATAGGTCTTGACCCGCTGATCTCGAAAATGAGTTTAGATGTCTCAAAATCTAAGTATGTGGTGTGTTATGTGGACAGAAAGCTCGGTCGAGTTTTGAACGAGTTTCTGATCAATGTTTATGATTCTATTCCCAATGTACTTCGTAAGTACTCGGTGACGAATGGCAAAATCAAAGATGCGGGGTTCGATTCCTGGTCAAGTCAAGTTGTTTTATTTTTGTTTATGACGTTTTCGCAATACTCTATCTGAGATGATCAAGTATATCGGACTGCTGGTAGAGATGATTTGAAAGTGGATTTAATATCGAGATGGAATGCTGATTGGTAGGAGAGTTTGTGGACCCCACTTCTACTTGAATTGTGGCACGGCAGCGTCATATCGCAGCGCCCGAACGTCATACCGGCAGCCTGCAGGGCACGCGCATACATATTCCATATAAAACTGGCATGATGGACTACAAACCGAAAGTGATTATTTCAACAACACTCAACTCTACCATATCAACCTCAAAGTTCTACCCTATACAATCATGTTTTGGTTTCTTCTCTACGTCGTCACGCAGGTCATTCTACTTGGTGCCTGGGTGTCGGGTACCTTGGACCCGTACCAGAAAAGACTGCAGGAAATTGTCCTGTACATGATGGGCGAGACAAAGGCGTCTTATGCGCTTAAGAGTAAGTTTGAACATAGAACACCTGGACGTTCGATCTTTTCGTGCTAGAGTGCTAATTCGTGATATTAGAGAGTCTGACTGCCAAGGTCATCGCCGAAGACACGAATTTGAGCAAGCTCCAAGATCAGCTGGGCAACGGAATTGGGGGAGCTTTCAGCAAGGGCGGCGCTGGTGAAGGAGTTGGATCGGTCTTGAGCAAGGGACTGTAAAGTATCTCGATCCACTGACTATGAATGACTGGGGCGCACTTGAGGGGGTATTCGAATGATATTCCATTGCATGAGCTATTCAATTGCATAAGCATACAAATTTAGTTATGAGTTGAGCAACGTCACATAAATCACTGGGCCGAAATCCCATATTCATCAACATCATCAAACAATTGATCATCCAGTATCATCAGACAAATTCATCAGCATCATCAGACAAACATTTAAGAATCGTTAATCATGCATCCATAAAATCAAAAGTTTGGTCGATTCAAGATCGTATCGTCGCAGGGTCTCACCTACGTCAATCATATCAATCAATCTCCATTTCGCACGAGTCCAGGTGCTGTTCCGTCAGAACCATGGCGCAAAGTTCCTGATAGTATCGCGACCCCTTCCATGTGCTCCGTGGCGACCGCAATCCGACCGTATCCCATCCCTCAGCCCGGAGACGCATGATGCGCTCATTCATCGATTCCTTAACACGCATATTTCCAAACTCATCCACAATCGGCCCGGGCTCATGGTATGTCTCGTTGTCTTCGGTCTCGGGAACGACAGGATCAAAGCTCCAGAAAGAGGCATGTTTGAAATCACGTTTGCGGCGGAGATCCTGAATCTGTTTGACCTTTCGGATTTGCTGTCGGATTTCGAAGATGCTGTTGGCGACTTGTTCGCGGAGGAATGCGATTCCACGGTTCGAGCGGACGATCTGCGCTGCGCGGGCGGGCGTCAGGGTGTCGATGGGGATTGTGGTTACCTTTGCCCGAGGCTGTGTTGATGGCGGCGTGGGGTAAGGCGCATGGACGCTCGGAGTAATGGGGGAGAAAATAGCGGTTGTAGCTGTGCTTGGACTGGACGACTCAGACTTGGGCGAAGGAAGACCGGACATGCGAGCATTGAGCTGGGGAAATGGAATGACCTTGAGTGGCAGTCGTGGGGGGCGGAATCTGCTGTTGCGCTTGCTGCTGCGCTTGCTCTGGCCACTGCTCTCGTCACAATGAATTGAAAGTCTGGTATGCTTTTCGGGGTGCTTCTCACCAGGGACCTTCTCAACAGAAGCCTTACGAATCAAGAGAGGACGGGGCTTAAGGACTTCAGTATTGAACATCGTCTCGGACGGTCTGGGACCGCGTGATGGGGATGAAAAGGGGGACACGGAGCCACCATCAGACTCATCGAATGTGTCCAGGAAAGGATCATCCAGCCCTGAAATAGACGCATCGATCATGCGGGTGATACTCGACATCATCGAGTCACGTTCGCAAGGCACTCCCTGGATAGGCTCAAAAGTAGCCAGATATTCCTCTACGCTGACTGGGGTAGGTGGGCATGAGTAATCATTCTTACCCTTTGGTAGTCGAGGTAGATTGACAAGGGGAGGGAGAGCAGCAGCGCAATTGACAAAGTTTTCCAACGCCAGGCGCAGCAGAGTCACCTTTTTCGCTGAGTAGATATGGGCAGCCCGGCCCAGAAGTTCGTAGCAGATTGCAGCGTAGAATGTCAAAAAGGTTCTGTGTACAGGCTCAAGCTTTTTCAAACTGTCAGCAGTGCATGTTGAATGTCATTGAGAAGTACGAACTGGTTCCTTTGCATTGGCCAGAAGTTTCATGCAGTGAGCTGCACACTGCTTGTACTGCTTCAGCAAGTACAGGCGCTTCACCTCCACCAACGCAATTTTCCAGTCTTTCATTGTGACTGGAAGTAAAGATGGCGAGGGGAAGGAGAAGGATGCTGGGCCATTCTTGCTCGAAAATCCACCGAACATCGCGAAGGAGGGGCAAGTTGGTAAATGGAAGGAATGACTGGAAGACTAATTTGGGGACACAAATCGCCGTGGCGATGTGTGTGAAAATTCCGACACGCTGAAAGAGGAATATCGTTGATGTTGACATGGACGTGTGGAGGACGTGTAGGGGAAGTGAATGTTTCGTTTACAATTACGTCGCCCGTATTGAAAGTGGTTCAGGACGAAACTAGAACGCCGTCATAGTCAATTGAGAGGAAGTTTCCAAGCCCTCGGAATCCTGAGATATCATTGTCCTCGAATATAAATTATGGTATACAAAGCCAGATGCCTACCTACTCAGAATACCTTCAAATGTAGATGCTTGATGATGATTATTTATCCATACTAGAGGACGAATTCCAAGACCCCGAGAGCCATACAAAGAAGTAAGTCCGACTGGGATGATGAGAGGCACATACTAGTTGTGGAATTTATTCCGGCTAAACTGAGACATAAGAGATATAGGCCGACCACAAGCATAGAGGCTCAGACATGAAGGCGGAATTAACATCGCTCGCAAACCATACAGTATGTGGATAAAAGCATGCAAAGAACTGTCGGTCGAAGAATTGTCTTGGTCTAAACATCAGGAGGGTCCTTTGCCGCACCATACCGAGATAGTGCTTGTCCAGTGGCAGCCAGACCATCGAGGAAATCATCAAGAAGTCGCTCAAGCTCAGCAGTAACAACAGCATCGTCGGCACCTTCCATCAAGCTTTCCGCACTGGGTGGCATAAGGACGGGGAATGGTATCACTCCCGAGTCTGGTCTTTTGATGGCACTAGCCCGAGAAATGGCAGACTGTCGGACAGTGGGTGGATCATCATAGACGGGAGAACCAGGCTCGGAGACCGGGGTTGAGGCCTTTTCAACATCATCACGAGGCAAGGGAAGCTCAAGCGGTGGGATGTTGTTAGGGTCGATGATTTCGGTGTTCTCATTCCACAGAGGATGAGGTTCCTCCTCGTCAGGGCCGGGTCCATCAAGAGAAACAGAGCTGTCGTCGGGGAATTCACGGTCTCCGTTTGACAAAGTCAAACTAATGGTGGAGTCAAAAGACTGGGCTCGGCTGGTGGTCTTGGATCTTGGGCCTTCAGGGGTGGTTGGACGGTCAAATCGAAAAGGATCGTAGTCTGACTCAGATGCACTTGACAAGTTGGAGGCGGACGTTCCGGGACGAGAGATGTCAGACTCTTCAACTGGCTGAAGTGGTGGCAGTGGTGCTCGGAGAGTATCGTATTGATCCGTATTGGAGTCGTTTGACACCTGGTCAGACATCACAGGAAATGTCCATTCCATGGTGGCACGCTTTTCGGCCTGGAATTGTTCTTCTTGGGCAGGCTCAGGTGCGGATTCTGGGGCAGGTTCTTCTTTCTTGACCTCCTCCTCCTCTGTGTTTAAGAAGACTGGGAACTTCCAGTCCATGGTGGGAGGTCGGGGCCCTGACTGGGGCTGAAACTCTTCCTCTTGCGATTCCATATTTTCTTCGCCACTGACAGATGACTGTGAACTATTGTCGTTGGAGCGACTACCACGTAGACTTGATCGGTTTGCACGGATTGTGCCAGCATCAGCTAATTGGAAAGGCTGTGCGGATGGTGCACCGGCTGCATAGTGGGAAGAATCAAAGGAGCCGATATCAATATCAATGAAGGTGGATGTCACGGAGGACCGGTCTGTGTCGGTGCGGAGGGGCAGGTCAGAAATCGGCTGAGGAGGCTCAATGGGCACAAAATCGTTTTTGGTTTCATATTTGTAGCTCGGCTTTTCCTCGTCAAAAAGCCCCTCCATCGCAACAGCTCCCCGCCGGACCCTCTCGTCAAAGTTCGCTTTGTCTTCTGGGTTTGATTCATTGTCTGACGGGTCATCGTGGAAGTCGTGATCTGGAGTAGCTGTAGTTGGGCTGACTGACTCTTCCATTTCGGCCAGAGAAGCAGCCAACTGATCAAGGTCGATGACCGAGAACCTTCGCTCAAAGCCATCCGTTGTACTGAAGTTCCAATCATCCTCTGACTCTTCTGTACCTGGAAGCTCAGCGGCTGCAGCACCTCCAGGGTGGAACAAGGAAATACGCTGTCCTCCTCGTTGCGACCATTGATAATAATTCCTGACAAGGTCCCCCACTGATGATGTAGGGTATTCTTCTTCAGTGCCAGCAATATAGGGGTGTTCTAGGATATCCGCCATGGAAGGACGGGTGGATGGGTTAGAGTCTAGAGCATACGAGATAAGGTCCTTCAGCCCGTCGCTGTAGTCCTCGCTATCAAGCTTGGGTGTGTTCCTATTGAGTTGGCGTCCAATTTGCATGCGTTCACGAAGGCCTGCATTGGGTGGGTTTCCGGTGGCAAACTCAAATAATGTGCAGCCAAACGCCCATACATCAATCTAGTTGGGTCAGTAGAGGTTATGGAAATGAAGAAAAGTCACGCACTTCACTGCCATATTGATGGGCTTGACCCCGGGTTGAGAACATCTCTGGTGGCATCCAATGAGGTGTGCCAATCCATGTTGACCGCTTGTCTCGCTGGGACTGCAGGATTCCGGCCACACCGAAATCACAGATTTCCAGTCTACCTTCCTCGTGAATTAAGATATTTGCCGCTTAAAAAATGGGTTAGAAGCTTATCAGATAATGAGTGAGATCAAATAAGCTAGTACCTTTTATGTCACGATGGATAATCCCAGCATCATGAATGGCACGCAAGCCCACTACCAGCTCCCGGGCAATTGGAATAATAAATCGCTCTTCCAATTTATCGCCGGTTGCGCGCATCTGCAAAACCAATCAGAGTCTGTTGACATGTACACCGTAGATTAAACTCACCAGTGTCCGCACACTTCCACCAGGACAATATTCGCAAACCAGCCAAAGCTGTGAGTGGATAGAGATCGCTTCTATAAGCTCATTGATGTTTTTGGCACCTGAATCTTTGACCTGTTTCATCACTTTGGTTTCGTGAATGAAGTCTTTGATCGATTCGTCTCTGAAATCACGCAGAGATTTATAGTCCAGTGAATCAATGTCCAGCACCTTGACGGCGACCAGCCGGCCAGATGGCATCTCTCGTCCTTTGTAAACACGACCATAGGCACCCTTACCAATCAACTCTTCGAATTCATATGGTGGAACTTCTGTTTTCGCACGTCGGCACATCTCCTTCACGGCAGTCCCTTGATCTCGGGCCAGTTTTATTGCCTCGGCTTTGTGCCTAGTAATCGCTGCCACCGCAGAAGATGGGTCCAAGAACCGGGACCCACGTGTATCCATCTTGGTGCTTCTGTGAGGATTGAGTCACCTGTATCAAGGACAAGAAAATTCAACCGCCGTGGATGATGAAAGCACGAAATTAGAGAGTCACACGACGTTCACCGAAAATGGAGGACAGACGGTTCCTGATCTTGTTTGCAAATCTTCTTCGAGGTGGAAGATATTCAGCGTGTGGCAAATATGGGTGAGGTCTCAGGGAATGACGAGTAGAATTAGAGACGGAGGTAGTAGGAATGGGCGGAGAAGTAATAGACTCGTCAATGTCACTGATTTGAGTTTGACTTGGAGTTTTATTCTGCAATATCAACCGAGAATTGCCCAGGTTGTCAGACGGATCATCCAAGCTCGGGACAATGTTCTCTTGATCCAAGTCAAATGAACAACTGTCGACAAGCTGCTGGTATGAAGTGGCGAAATTACCACCCACAGGTCTAGCCTTTGGAGGCGTAGCCGGACGATTCTTGGCTCCTAGAGTTGGAGACTCGGCAGCACAGTTCTCTGTCTCTTCAGTAGTACTGTAGTAGACAGAAGACGTGGGTGGAGTTCCAGGGCTCGGAAGTGGAGGACTGGAATATGGAGACGGCGGCGCTTCTAGCAAGTCAAACAGCTCAAACAGTAACGTGCTTGATTCAGAGAGAGAGTCCGGGGGCAGGCTGGAGTTATTACCAGTCGGAGACACTTCCTGGTGTTCAACCGAAGACAATCCTAGTTCCTGGCGTTGATTCAGAGACACTTCCTGATGACCAACCGGGAACACTTGCTGATATCCAAGAGCAGGGATTTCCTGGTGTTGGCCCAGAGATGCCTCCTGGTGTCTACTTAAGGACACGTCCTGGCCGAATCCAAGATCCCGAAACACGGGACGGGTAGAGCTGGTTCGGGGCAAATTACAGCCTTTCCTATGTTGAGAAGTGTTAACAATTTTTAACGATTTGACTGCAATGATCACCCACGTTGATGGTGTTGACAGGAATTCACCGATCGTTGGTTGATCTTCAGATTTGAAAGATGCCCTGCAATCAGGCGTTCGCTCAGACTCTGAGCTAGATGCAATAGAGAGACTCGACACGTCTAGCAGTCGAAGCACGTAATCGTGATCGGTCGGAGTAAGGTCAAAAATAGAATCCTCCGATACGAGCTGTAACTGATTGTTGCAGTCAGCCATGGCCTTATTCGTGGATTATTTCATGCATAGTGTTGGATGGAAATTGAAGATGGTGGTAGGGAGGATGGAGGGGTGAAGGAAGCAGGTACAAAGATGGAACAAAAACATACACAGCGTGAGCTCGGCACAGTAGATTGAAACGAACCTATCTGGATGTGACTCGGGCTCCGTATCTAGGCCTACTAGCACAGCAGCGCGGTTGCTTGACAGGGTCAACACAGGATCTTCATGCGGTGTGTCCTGCCCTCATCATCTGTTGCAAAGCCCACCAAATGTAGGTAATTATTAAGTAGATGTCTATTTAATTGAGATGATATTGCGTCGGATGAGATAGAATGGAGACGTTCAAAGTTGTATAGTGTACGTCGCCGCTCATCTCGCAACGGTCGGCGAGACGATCATACCACGTGACATAGACGCCTGAGGCATTATATATGCCTCAGGCCATGATTTTTACAAACGCCAAGAACAACATAATCAAGTGTAAGATATGAAAATCGGTCTCTCCATTAGGGCTCTCTCATTGAAGTAGCCTGACGAGCTTAGAGGCATGTATCTCTACTACCCTGGTGATAGAACAGTTCGGCTACTCAAAGTTGCAATGATGGCGAGGTGTTCGGCCCTATGATAGATCATCAGACCTTCTTGACTGCAGATGGGGAACATTGTGATATATTGCGTATCCATTAAGGTGGGCAGTTCAGCTGGTTATTACTGTGGCTGGGCACATTCCGAGGTGGTGATTGTTTTGCGTGACGTCTTCAAGGTTGGCTTCTATCGAAATCACTACAACCGCTTGCGTGAGCAACCTACGCAGAGCACGCCATACGATCGGAAGCCGAAGCTTATAAACACGCTTATAAATACAAGGAAAATGAAGTCAGATAAATAACATATAATGCATCGGTCCTCGCCATCAAAAGCATGCACAATAAATCATAATCAACAATCCACAGCAAACAAAATGGCAGACAACCTCCCAACCCGCAAACTCCACCTAACAGCCTTCATGCGCCCAGTTTCTCTACACACAGGGGCATGGCGCTACCCAGGCTCCTACCCAGATGCAAATTTCAATTTCAAACACTTAACAAGCTTCATCCAAAAGCTCGAAGCGGCCAAATTCGACGCCTTTTTTATGGCCGATCACCTCGCAGTCCTAAACATGCCCGTCGAAGCCCTAAAGCGCAGCCACACAGTGACATCCTTCGAACCATTCACTCTCCTCTCCGCCCTCTCGGCTGTGACCGAGAAGATAGGTCTCGCAGCTACAGCAAGCACAACATATGATCAACCCTACCACGTTGCACGTCGCTTCGCAAGTCTAGATCACCTAAGCAATGGCCGCGCAGCATGGAATATAGTTACAACCGGGAACCCGGAATCCAGCCACAACTTCGGTCTCGATGAGCACATGGCTCATGGAGATCGATATAAGCGTGCGCGGGAGTTCTACGATGTTGTGACTGGGTTATGGGATAGTTTTGCAGACGACGCATTTACGAGAGATGTGGAGACGGGTCAGTATTTTGATCCCGAGAGGATGCATGTTTTGAATCATGTTGGAGATGAGTTGAAGGTTAAGGGGCCTTTGAACATTGCTAGGCCTGTGCAGGGGTGGCCTGTTATTGTGCAGGCTGGGCAGAGTGAGCCTGGACGGCAGCTCGCGGCTGAGACGGCAGAGGTGGTATTTTGCAGCCCGAGGGATATTGGGGCTGCGAAGGTGCTTTATGCTGATATTAAAGAGCGGGTTATGAAGGCTGGACGGGAGAAGGAGCAATTGAAGATCTTACCGGCGGCAATGATCATTGTTGGGGATAGTAAAGAAGATGCGCAGAGGAAGAGGCTGGAGTTGGATGCTTTGGTGCATTATGAGAGTGGTATTGCTTCTTTATCGATCATGCTTGGGGTTGATGCTAGTGTGCTTGATCCGGATGGCCCTTTGCCGGAGGACTTACCGGAGACAAACGCAAGCAAGACAGCCAGGGAGAGTGTGGAGCGACTTGCTAAAGAAGAGGGATTGACTGTCAGGCAGCTTGCGCAGCGGTCTGGAGGATATTCTGGCTTGGCGTTTCTCGGCTCGGCGAGTGACATCGCCGATGAAATGGAGATCTGGTTGAAAGAAGAGGCCTCGGATGGCTTCACGTGCGTTTTTCCGTTTTTGCCTCAGGGACTGGTGGAGGTGACGGATAGGTTGATTCCGGAGCTGCAGCGAAGAGGGCTATTCCGAAATGATTATACTGACTCTACGCTACGTGAACACTTTGGCCTCGACAGGCCAGAGAACCAGTTTTTCTCTACTAATTGATTGGAAAACATCAGTGTGTTAGGTACATACCGAGCCATGGTACTCTGGTATTCGAGAATCACACGAGAAAACCACGTGCAGATGCTGTGCAGCATATAAATCTTGGCAAGATCACGTACTATATGGAGTTCGGAACTACCTGAAACTCTTAACGGGCCCCAGCACTCTACTAGATTCATACTAAACACTTAAAGTAGTATATACATACATAGTATCTACGTCGCCGACTCCGAAAGAGATCATGAACCTAAACAAGCTTTGCTAAGCTTTGTGGGGCGACTGGTACGTCATTCAGCCTTGTAGGGAGAAGCCGAAGATCAAGCAACTGGTTGATCCCAAAATAAAGTCTTACGTCATAATCCAGGCAATCACATTAAATTGTGTCGAATTGACCTGATCTGGACCAATCAACGAATCCACTGGTGAGGTCAGCTTCATTAGCAACTTGTCCGACCCCGCTTAGAGCCTTCTACGTCACGCCAACCAAGACTAGCTTGGAATAAAAATAAAATCTTCGAGTTGTAAACACAGTTTCTCTCTGTTTTTGTTTACTTCTTCCCAATTCCGCTCTAAGATTATCGCTATGGTCACTACTAAGGTATATGGACTCTGGAAAAAGTCGCAGACCGTAACTTCGGAGCTAGCGCAAGATCCGTCGCAGACCCCAGAGACGATCTTCAAAAGACTGTACGAGCACCACGAGGCTCATTTGAAAGAACACGGAGCGCATGGATTATCCAAAGAGGAGATCGAGGAGTTTGAAAAGAAGGATGCTGTGCAGAAAGCTCTAGCATGTGGACATTGGGGGTCTACGGAGCCCAGTGAATTATTCCTTCAGGTACGGTTGAGCTCTTAGAATTAGACAGAGAACATTCACTAATATAATCCAGATTTATCACGATGTTCTTGGTTCCTTGGACAAAGACCCCAGCACTGGAGTGGTTTCTCCCCCGTTGATCGGGAGCCGAGGCGTTGTTCCCCTCTCCATTGTGGCGCCGTTGCCGGACCTCTGCCGCCATTTGGGCAATTGTATTGCACGCGCTGAACATGAAGTATTTCTGGGTACCAATTTTTGGATTCATTCTGAAGCGGCCACTTTGGTTACAAATGGTATTCGGGAGTTGAACAGGAGAGCCGGGGAACGGGGGACAAAGGTGGTGATGAAGATGGTGTATGATCGTGGAGATCCAAAGCAGGTAAGTGCATTGAAGAGAAAATTTCATCGGAATCTATGCTAATTGTGTTCAGGTTTTAGACAACCGCCTCGAAGTTAGTGGTGAACAACGGACAAGCGACAAAGTTAGACTTCCGGCGCCGCACGAGATCCCGAACGTCGATTTGAAAGTGATCAATTTCCATCGTCCAGTATTTGGCACATTCCATTCCAAGTTCACTGTCATCGATCGACGCATGTGTCTCTTGCAAAGCAGTAATATCCAGGACAATGATAACTTGGAGATGTTGTCTCATATCGAGGGACCTATTGTCGATGCTTTCTATGATGCCGCGCTCCTGTCTTATGGGAGGCCCCTTGACCCTCCGCTGCCTATGTTGAACTCTCCCGCTGAGAGTGCTCCCATTCCTGCTCATCATGGAGAACAGACGTTGGATCCCAATGAGATCGTGCCCGAAGATCTACAAGAGCATACTTCCTCTTCTCCACATTGGGATATCGATTTTGAAGGCGAGGCAAAGAGAGTCAACCACAGTATCAACCCTCGTGAAGGGGAAACACCTACTCAGGCTGTGACACGTCATCTGAGTATGTCAGATTTAAGATCAACCTCTCAAGAGCTCTACTTACTAACCATTCACCAGACACCACTATCCAGCCTGACACAACTGGGAACGCTCCCGATACCGATCAAGACCCGAGAATGACACCATACATCCTGCTACCACAGCACGAGCCCTTCCCCATGGCCGTCGTTAACCGAGAGCCCTACGGATGTGAGTTATAGCCCCTTCAAGCTAAACCAAACCAAGCATAATTCTAATAAGCCAAAAGCTCCAAACCACAGCAGTACCCACAATCCCCAAGACGCAGCCTTTGTCTCAGCAATCAACAACGCAAAGCGCACAATCTTCATTCAAACTCCTAACATGAACGCCGAGCCCCTTCTGGAGCCTCTTCTGGCTGCAATCCGTCGAGGCGTCATCGTGAAGCCCTATCTCTGCCTCGGATACAACGACGCAGGTGAACTATTGCCATTCCAGAACGGCACGAACGAGATGATCGCCAACAAGCTTTACAATTCTCTTAAAACGGCTGAAGAGAAATCAAGATTTAGAGTACACTACTATGTTGGAAAAGACCAAATTCAGCCTATTCACAACTCGTTCAAGAAGCGCAGTTGTCATATTAAATTGATGATCATTGATGAGCAAGTTGCTATTCAAGGTATGTCGTCTTCCTCTTATTCCTTTCGTCTTCAAATACTCGAGCATGCGTGCTAATAATTTCCTGCATTACAGGAAACGGTAATTTGGATACCCAATCTTTCTTCCACAGTCAAGAAATCAATGTCATGCTCGACTCCCCTCTGGTCTGTAAGGCATGGCTGGAAGCTATCGATCGGAATCAGAATACCGCCAAGTATGGTGCTGCGAGCTTTGAAGATGGCTGCTGGCATGACCCGACTACTGGAGAGATTCCTCCTGGATCAATTGGTACGGATCCTGGACACTTTAGCTGGGCTAAGGGTGTTATTGGAGCCGTGAAGCGGGTGAGAGGCGTTGGTGGATTCTAGTTGGTGGAATTCAGTGCACATGTTGGCTTGGCCATTTAGTATTGCTTGTATTTATTTTTGGAAATAGCTTGTGCTTTTGGTAACTAGCTCGGGTCTTGTGATATGTGATGAGATACATATCTCTCGAGGGTTTTATTTATGATTGTCGAATTTATCGTTAACGATTATGCTACATCTCCATGGCCATTACCTTTCTACATTAAAGAAGTAACGGTTTCGTTGCAGTGGAATGGGTGTAGTTTTGATTGTCCTTGATACAAATAGTTGGTTGATGTGTTGACAGTTGTCGTATTGGTGTTGAAGATGAGGAGACTATGTCTGACTGAGCGTTGAAGATTAATGACGAGACTTGGTGTTTCATTGGTTTTCGACACGGTGCTTGATTCGCTTGGGTAACTGGCTCAAGATAATGACTATTTATAGCGCATCTTATCATAGATTAGCGTACTTTCAGGAAGCTGATGTAATACAGCTGGTTGTTTAACTAGTTACTGAGTTACCCCTCCCCTAATTCCTACTTCATCAACAGGCACAACTTGGAACAGCACCTATTATTATTCGTTTTAGCTATGGGAACCAACTGGTCGCAGTTTTTCCCACCTGCGCCCTCTTTGACTGAAGCTAACTTGCCTAGCCAAAGAGGCAAGGTTTTCATCGTCACTGGAGGGTACTCTGGTGTCGGTCTAGAGCTGTGCAAAATCCTTTATCAGGCTGGAGGCAAGGTGTACATCGCAGGGCGCTCAGAAGAGAGTGCCTCTCAAGCCATTGCTAAGATCAAATCTTCAAGCCGTTCATCAGATGGAACTCTTGTTTTCCTTCCTCTCCATCTCGACGATCTAGCAAGTATCAAGGCAGCAGTAGAGACTTACAATGCTGCAGAATCCAGGCTAGATGTCCTCTTCAACAACGCTGGTGTTTCAAACCCACCACCTGGCTCTGTCTCGACACAGGGCCATGATCTCCAGCTTGCAACTAATTGTCTCGGCCCCCATCTTCTGACAACTCTACTTCTCCCGATCCTCCGGCGCACCTCTATGAGTGAATCGCCCGCTTCTGTACGCGTTGTATGGACAGCCTCCATGGTTGTTGACATGGCTGCTGCTGAAGGGGGTGATATCCTGCAGGGTATTTTACAAAAATCCACAACCCCACAGCGCGCCTACGAAGGTACCAAAGTAGGCAACTGGTACCTCGCCCATGCATTGGATGTCCAAGAAAGACACAGCGGGATTTTGAGTGTGGTTGTGAACCCAGGAAATCTCAAGTCGAACTTGACCCGTCATATGTCCTGGCTGGTGCCTTACGTAGTAGCACCCCTACTTTACCCGGCTAGGATGGGTGCATACACGGAGCTCTGGGCAGGCCTTTCAAATGAGCTTACGATATCTGACGGAGGGAAATATATATTGCCCTGGGGGCGTTTGCATCCCAGTCCAAGGCAGGATTTGTTACGGGCGATGAAGAGCAAGGATGAGGGTGGTACGGATGTTGCCGCTGTCTTCGTTAAATACTGTGAAGATCAGGTCTCGGAGTTTAGGTAGTCAGCGCCTACGTCCTCATTTCAAGACTCACGAAGTTCATACATTAGATCGGCGCTCAATGCAAATATTCCTTCAAGTTTGGCAATACTCTCTCTTGGATCTGCATGCTTTGAACATAATACGGAAATGCATTTGTGGGAAGATTTCCCAAAAGGAAAAACAAACGGCACCGATTTCTAGAAAGCCCAGCAGGATGTATGTACATTTATTGAAATTCTACCTGAATTATAAGACGTAGAGCCCAATCGGTTGTGGTGGCCGCTGTACTGTTGCGTTTTTTATAGACCAAAGCCTACAGACCGAATTGCTCACGCAGAGTAGTGGCGAAGCGGGAAATAGCTTCGTCGATCTGGTCGGAGGATGCAGAGGCATAGGTCGCGCGGAAGAACATCTTCTCCATGATAGCTGAGCTATCGGCCTTGAACCAGCTTCCGCGCGACAGGAGGACGGAGTGGTCGACAGCGGACAAGAAAATCTCTTCTTCGATAGCCTCGCGGGTCTTGCCAGCGGCAACGCCGGGGTGCTTACGCCAGTCGACCTCAATCCAGTGCTGTTGAACGTTAGTAAGGTCTTCTTGGGGTTAACGGGACTAGCAGAACTTACGAACATGCCCGCAGCGGGGGCAACCCAGTGGGCAATGTCGCGCGGGAGGTGCTTCTCGCAGGCGTGCAGCAGGGCATCACGGCGGTCGGTGTAAGACATGCGAAGAGCGATGAGCCAGTCCAGGTATCCGGAGTGGCCCCAGTGCTCGTCCAGCAGCTTGTAAAGAACGAGCTGAGAGATACCGCTAGGGTTCTGTGAAGAGACCTCGAAGTTACGAACAAAGCGCTCGATGATCTGCTCGGATGCAACGATCCAACCGACACGAGAACCGGGGGAGACGACCTTCGAGAAGGATTCCAATCGGACCACACGGCCGTCAACATCCATGCTTAGGAAAGAGGGGACGAGGGATTTGATAAAATCGTCGTGAGTGGCGGGTGGGGGAGGGGCGGTAGCTCCCTCGCCGCTGTAGGGCTGCATCTGCAGGAAGTAGTATGGCTCGTCCTCGATGATGAGAACATCGTGCTTCTGGGAAACCTTGTACACGGCCCGGCGGCGCTCAGCAGACTGGGTGGCTCCGGTAGGGTTCTGACCTGTCGGGATGGTGTACAGGACGTAGGGCTTGCGTGCTCCACGAGCCTTAACATCCCAGTTGCTGAGGAGCTCGTCCATAGCCTCGGGAACAATACCCTCCTCGTCAATGGGCAGGGCAAGTGCCTTGAGGCCAAGCGGCCAGGCAGTCTCGGCAGCACTGGCAAATGTGTATTCCTCCATCATAATATAATCGCCCCGCTCTGTGAATAGGCGGAGTGCGGTATCCCAGGCGTAGGTGCTACCGGCAGTCAAGGTGCATTGCCAATCGGCGTACGGGGGGTTGTGGATGAGCTGCGAGTGTCAAAATGTGCTATATTCTACAAGTTAAAGGAGAGGTACCTCGGTGTGTTCTGTGACGAATCGGAGAAGCTGGGGAGCTCCAGTAGCCTGGCCATAGTTGAGAGCAATTTCCAAATCTGCCCATTCATCGTCAGTTTCAGACATATGCCAACATGTTTTGAACAAATCCACATACCATACAAGCTCTTTCCCTCCTTGATATCGTGCTTTCCAGAGTGTAATATAACACCTGACTCTCGAGTAGCTTCCGGAGTGAAGCCTGGGGGTGTGGGGACCTTGATATCGAGTTGCTCAATTGGGAAGTACTCCGAAGAAGGCAGACCACCACCGAGAGAGAGCATGCCTAGAAAAACATTAGTTTATTACAGTTCATCTCAGTATCTCCTTGTATTTCTGTACCCGGGTTTCTCAAGTACTGTGCTGCAGTCTTCAATGTCGAAGCCTGATAATCGCGTTAGGATTTAATTTTTAAAGTTCAAGACGGTATTCCGGAATACCAACCTTGCGAGACTTGGCCTCGAGCGACAAGAAGTCTGTATAACAGTGATTAGAAACATTTCAAAGGTCTTTGTAGCTAAGCGCAAGCGATTGGACGCTTTTGTAGAAGATCATGAAACTTACGGTCAAAGCGCTTGGCCTTGGGCTTGGTGTAACAAGCCTATATGGCGACGGACAGCACAATTGGTCAGCCATTATTCAAATACTCCCCTCTCTCCGCAAATAGCACAGTTATTGTATCGTTCTAGTCGTCGGGTGCATACCGGGCTCTTGAACATATCACTACTGCAGGCCGGCGCAACACCAGTGGGCATCTTTGCCATCTTCTCGCGCCAACCAGGAACGCCTTTGAAGGTCAAAGGATCGGGGATCGACACCGCAGAGGTATCAGTGACCCCCTTCATCTCAATATCCATAGCAGAGGGCGGGCTCATATCGACTCGGTGACTCGGTGCGGGTAGGAAAGGTAATTTGCGGTAGTAATGCGATAGGTATGTTTGTGCGAAAACTTGCGGTGAGCTATGCTAAGCACTGACTCGGCCGGGCTATGCGAGAATTGAGAAGGGCGCAATAGTCGCTTCAATGTCGACGAACTTATGAAAGAGTAGTGAAGGTTGACGCCAAAGTTAAAGTGGGAACGGAGGCAAATTGTTGCTATCCGATGGAATTTACATGAGCGTTATCCACCCGGCAGCGCAGTTCCGATTGGGGAGAATGACTCATCGATACACATTGGAATGTACAATACGGGCGCTTTTTCAACATGAATAGGCGATTCAGCCAGTAGTGATGTGGAATGTGGATTTCTGTTATCTAATGTCACCCCGTGCAGCAATATGGTTCGTGGTGTTGACGACGCAGCTATGACCTTGTCAATGAAGGGCGTACAGATACACTTTGGAGGGGTACTGATACAATGCAATACGCCGAGCTACTTACGACCTTCTGTTGATTGGCGGTGTATACGGCCAAATACGGTAATACCAAGACACTGAGCCCCGCATAGATAAGGCTATCGCCGGCATCGGCGCGATAAGCTTAATGCGCTCGGAGTCCGGAGTAAGCACTCGGAGTATATGATTTCTTTCATTTTCGACTCCGAATCAGCGGACAATGTCCGCCAAACTTACACAATTCCTCTGAGCACCACCGGATACTGACGATACACTTATACTTCATTATCCAACTACCTATAGATATAGGATGCAAAGTGCGCTAGCCTCAAGATATGCGTTGAACTTTGCGGAATACGAGCACATTCATGAAAACAGAAAACCAAACATGAAAAGATTCGAAGCTTACAATTCACAATTCGTGAGTTATTTTTGGGGGGGGGTATCCGATGGAGATCTGTGTGGCAGTTTCAGAGTGTTGGTCGCATCACCAATTTGTCTTTGTCTTTCATCCACTATTGTTCATCACATCTTTGTCTGATATGAATGTGAAGTTTGGCATTGGTAGTACCTACTCTCGATGTTCGGCCAGAGTTCTATCGCCTTGGTATATGTAGTTATAGTCATGCAGTTCCTGTTCAGCTGAGTAGCTAGCTTGATACGGAATCTATAGGAGAATCCATAGGGGATGATCGATGAATTCAAGTTCGAATAAAGATCGATGATCCCTGGGTGGATATGTTGCGGCATAATTTATTGTCGCCAAAGTGCTGAGAAGACAGCTCTATAAACATAGGCAGGATTTTTGCTTTCTAATTGACTGTGGCTGATGATCAAGTTCAAGATCTTGGGAAGTTTTGCCGTGATATTCCCACAATTTTCAGTCTAGCAAGCAGGACTCGCGATAGTGAAAATCATTAGTAAAGGGGGCTGGCAGCATGGTTCATTTTACTGTAAATGCGTGAGCGGTTGACTCACATTTAATAAAAAATATATTTATCTCGACCTACAATGCCCAAGGTACATCTCTGAGCAATATTCATCTTTCCTACTCTTAATGTACGTTCTTGAGTGGAATTTTCTAGCCCTGGAAGCACACTAGGTTCTTAGATGAGTAAACAACGAGATAAAGTCTTATCAGGTGTATGAAGGCGGATATCCTCGGTTCATCACCACCAATCAAGACCTTCGTATTTATGGAGATGTCTGAGTCAAATGACAGCGCATGGACTCTAGCTCACTGTCATGGAATGGTCAAGCCACTGATTGGGTACAATACATGTTGATTGCATTTAAGTTCACGTTCAAGGTCGTAAGAAATCATTTCTGACTGCACACATCGCTAGCAGCCATCTGAACTCGCTAAAATAAAAGTTACATCACATAGCGCATGGGGTTTAAGCGGATCCCTGGTATCATATTCATCATCACGCCAAAGCAATAAACCCCCCACTATTCTGCATGTCTGGTTGGATTGGCATCCGGCCTAGGGCCCTCGCAGGCGTTCCACGGATGACTGCATGGCTTTCGGGCTTTGTTCCATACTTCACTCCTCCTGAGTCTTCGCTTCACCATCCTGCTCGACGTGGACGTGCTCGTTGGACTCGAGAGTATCGATGTGACCGTCTGGGTATTCGACACTGTTACAAACAATAATCAGTATTTGTGACTCGTAGATAGATTGAAAAGGGGAGCAGAGTCGCAGCTCAAGTAGGTTGAAGGAAGCATCTGCGGGGAAAGTGGAGCACGTACATGAAGCCCTTAATGAGAGAGTATTCGTGCGTGATGGAACCGCCCTTCTCCTTTGCGATCTCCTTAGCCCTGTTGACATAAATGTATCAATATCGCGTTCTATAATATCTTGGGGAAGGCGGGGAAGAACTGACTTCTCCAGCTCCTCAGCCGAAGCACCGCTCTTCAAGGTGACCTAAAGATATCAATGTCAGCAGAGGCTTTGAGGCCAGAATTCTGAGACAAAAACAATATTGGAAACAGTCACTTACGTTGTACTGAGGCATGATTAAGAAAGGAGTGTTGAGTCTTAACGGTGAAAGAGCAAGAAAGTGCAGTGGGGTGACAAGGTTAAGTTTGGAAGTCTGGTGGAGATAAGAAAGAGTGGAGATGGAGACGGAGGGGGCAGTTGCTTTATATATGCGTGAGCTGATAAGAGGGGCCTAACTTGGTCTTACGCCATCCATTTACCAAGGACCTTCGGCGATTTTTATTACGAGCCCCTGGGCTTAACTGGCTTTTGACTTTTGGCTTGCTTCAATTATTCAAAAAAAGGTTACACCACATCAACTCCTCACTGTCAAACATTGATGTCGTGATTTCTCTACCAGAAACCATTCAAAGCTAGAACCAAGTGTTCAAATTCAATTAAAAACAAAATGGAAGCCTTATCAAGATATACAGACGTGATTATGAATTAAATAAAATCTGCCGCCTACTGCGCCACTTGCGCCTGATTCTGGCAGCTTAGATTAGAGAACCTCCCATTTCTGTATCCTTGGCCTTTTTTATTCAAATTCCACCCGCTGATGTAACTATGCGGCATGATCCCCGATGACGTGCGTCTCCAAACGCGGGGCACAGTCACGTGGTATCTCGGACCACTTCATAGTCCGACCATTCCGTCTTGGTCCCGAGGAGGCATGTTCATCCCATGCATACCCTTGTATGCTGGGCTGGAAGGAGCCTTCCACCCGTCCAGCACCTTTCCATCAGCCAATTGATACACTTCAACACCAAGTGGCCGGCAGGTCGACCCCATGCCGCCCTCCTTGTCATCCCAGCCCCAGTTAGACAGGTCGCCTGTGGAGAAAAAGAGCATTAGTATCCATATGCGCCAAGGCATCTCCGATATCCGATACGTACCACCAGGGCATGCCGAAAGGGCACACAAAACATCCACCTCGGCAAAGAACTCAAAATACTCGCCCGCCTTTGCTGGTGATGTCTCCATAAAGTACTTTCCTTCCTCATCCAATCCGGTCACCTGGAAGACATTCAACACATCGTGAACATCCAGCTCTGTTAAGCCGTAGGGTGCCACCGAACGTGTTAGGTTAGAATGGCAGTGAAAATCAAAGGTCTCTCCACCCATAAGGAGATTCACGTAGGGATCGCATCGAGTACCCATTAGGTCATGCACGCGTCCTCCAAACTGTGTTGTGCCAAACGTAACCTCTGGCCTCCGCTTCCCATCCGGTCCTAGCACATCATGCAACTGTCCGCCGCCCAGCGAGTCGCCTGTGATTGTCACCAGGGGCCGGAGATAGGGCAGGTTGGACCAGAGACGGTCGCCCACGGAAACGTGTGAGGCGTGTATCTGCCGAGTTCGTGCTGCCCACATTCGCTCACGGGGGTTTTTCGCATTCCAGATGTTCAGGTCACCAACTTGGGGTCCTTTCGGTGTTGTCAAACGGCAAATGTGGCCAGCGGGAACCACCCATGCCTGACCAGAGCATGGCCGGACTGTGAATGAATCCTTTGGGATACGTGCGGCCGGGTCCGATGCAGTCTTTGAGATGGACTGGTAGAGCTGCGAAGTCGCATGAATGCCCGAATCCGGGGGTGCTGTGTAGGCCGGGGGAGGCCGACGAGGAGCAGTCATTCTGAGATTACAAGCGTAAATGTAGATTGCACGACACCAGTATTGCGATTATGCTCGCGACTGAAGAACAGAGTATTTCCAATTGAGGGAGAGACCTTGGAAGGAGAATCGTTTCATAGTTCGGGGGCGTAATTCTATTATATATCGTCTTCAGGTACACAATCTCGGAGGATTGCCGTTATCTACATGTGGTCCTATCATCTGGGGCTTGCCCCGCATAGAACACCGCGGGAAACGTCTCTATCAGGTCTAGCCATTAGTGGTGTCAAAGGCTGTCAACCATGGGCGTGCATCAAACTGTTACGAAATCAAATTGTGACAACCCCGCCTCCCATTCCAATGCGAGTGTCGAGAGTCTTTGTGCATCGGCCCGATAGGAGGGGCTTTCTCTTATCGCCTGAGAACCGGCCCGGTCACTGATAAGCTGATAAGATAGCGAAGCTTGCTTCGGCCTTGATGCCTGACCTCGATGCCGCGATTTTCATGCCTTGCCGCCTGAGGTGTCACTCAGAAATTGAGCTATCTCACGCTAAACCCCATCAGGATACAACTTTTTTTCTTAACCGGCTTCACATATTTCCGCCCCGAAATAATAATTTTGGACGGAGAGAGTTCGAGTTATCGCTGCTGTCGCTTTGCCCAGTGTCCTCTCTCTGGAATTTAACAGAGAGTAGCTTCGAGGTCTGAGACCTCCTCGCACAATATGGACAACCAAGCGAACCGGTCACACCGGCCCGCTAAGGAAAAGAAGAAATATGAAGGTACGTCGTTGAGCGCTTCCGCAAATCTGCGGAGATTGCATTGAGACTCAATTCTCCAGCCCAAGCTTTGCTAACACTATTTACTACTGATAGGAAAAAACCCTAAGGCTTTTGCCTACTCCAACCCCGGAAAGCTCAACAAGCAGGCTGCGCGGTCCTCGGAGGTACGTTCTGTAGCACCTCAAAATCTCCATACAGAAGCTAATCGGGATTGCTCTTCTAGGTCAGGGAAAAGAGACTCCATGTACCCCAGGTTGATCGCATGCCCGAGGAGGCTCCTCCGACCGTCATTGCGGTTGTTGGACCCCCCGGTGTCGGCAAGACTACTCTCATCAAGTCCCTGATTCGTCGCTACACCAAGCAGACCCTCAGCTCGCCCCAGGGTCCGTTGACAATCGTTACCTCTAAGAAGAAGCGTCTTACTTTCCTCGAATGTCCATCCGATTCTCTCGCCGCTATGATCGATGTCTCCAAGATTGCCGATATCGTCCTCCTCATGATCGACGGTAACTACGGTTTCGAAATGGAGACCATGGAGTTCCTGAACGCACTGTCTACGAGTGGTATGCCGGGTAACGTCTTCGGTATCTTGACACATTTGGATCTGTTCAAGAAGCAGAGCACCCTGAAGTTGACCAAGAAGCGCCTGAAGCACCGTTTCTGGAGCGAGCTTTACCAGGGTGCTAAGCTCTTCTACCTTTCCGGTGTTATTAACGGCCGTTATCCCGATCGTGAAGTGCACAACCTTTCCCGATTCTTGTCCGTCATGAAGAACCCGCGTCCGCTTATCTGGCGTAACTCTCATCCCTACGCCTTGGCCGATCGCTTTTTGGATATCACACCACCAACCAAGATTGAAGAGAATCCCAAATGTGATCGTACAGTTGCACTATATGGTTATCTGAGAGGTACTAATTTTCCTGCTCACGGTGCCCGGGTGCACGTTCCTGGTGTGGGTGACTTGACGGTCTCCGGCATCGAAGGATTGCCCGATCCATGCCCAACTCCCTTCATGGACCAGCAAATTGCCAAGGCAACTGGAAAGTCTTCACGACGCAAGCTGGGCGAGAAGCAGAAGCTGCTTTTCGCTCCCATGTCTGATGTCGGTGGTGTGCTGGTCGATAAGGACGCCGTTTACATTGATATTAAGACAAATACTTTCAACCGGGGATCTGATGACGAGGAATCTGATAATGAGGACCGAGGCCTGGGTGAACAGCTTGTCGTGGGTCTACAGAGCGAGCGCCGCATGCTCGGTGAGGCCGACCAGGGTGTTCGTCTGTTCCGTGGTGGCGAGGCGATCACCAAGGATGGCGAGGATGAAGGGACTGGCCGCAAACAACGAAGACACGCCCGACTAGCTGATTCCGAGCGCGTTCAAGCTGCATCAGATGACGAAGACGGCGAAGACGAGGAAGCTTCCGATGACGAGGATGACGAAGGTGACTTCGATGAGAACGAGAATGATGAAGATGAAGATGAAGTCGACGTGTCGGCACCGGCAGACTTCGCGGATAGCTTTAAGAAAAGACAGAGTGGAAATGCCGACGCTGAGGACGATGATGTTGCCTTTGCAGACAGCGATTCCGACATTGGCTCTGTTTCCGGTGATGAGCAGGATCTGGATAGCGACGAGGACGAAGACGATGAGGAAGAGGATGAAGATGAAGAGGGCAACCTTCGCTGGAAAGAGAATATGTTGGACAGCGCTAAGGCTCGTCATGGCAAGCGCCCGGCTTTCCGTGTCAACGATCTGTCTCGCATGATGTACGACGAATCTATCACCCCCGCCGATGTTGTGCAAACGTGGCGTGGTGAGAACAATGGCGAGGAATCGGAGGAATCAGATATCGAAGCTGATGAAGAAGCCGACGATTTCTTCAAGAAGACCAACAACGAGAAGAATGATGAAGCCGACCTCCGCGCCATTCCTGAATACGACTACGATGAGCTTGAGCGCAAGTGGCGTGATGAGGAATTGATCGAGTCACTCAAACTGCGTTTCATTACCGGTAAACTTGGCGCTGGTGGCTCAGATGATGACGATGTTGACGAGGACGATTTCGATGACGACTCGGATGATGAAGGTGATGGAGCCTTTGAGGACTTGGAGTCAGGCGAGGTCTTTGACGGATTCAAGGATGGCGATGAAGACGACGAGGATGAGGACGAGGATGCGGAGCCCGAGGGCCCCGTGGACTTGGAAGCTGAGCGTGAGCGCAATGCGAAGAAGAAGGAAGAGCTGAAACTTCGGTTCGAGGAAGAGGATCGCGAGGGCTTTGGCAATGCCAAAGACGGCACTCGTGATGGCGGAGATGGCGATTTCGGCGAGGATGACTGGTACGACATGCAGAAGGCAAAGATGCAGAAGCAGATGGACATTAATCGCGCTGAGTTTGACAACCTCGATGAAGCCACTCGCGCTCGCGCTGAAGGCTACAAGGCCGGTACATATGCACGAATCGTCTTGGAGAATGTACCTTACGAATTCGTTGACAAGTTCAGCCCTCGTTTCCCTGTCATCGTCGGAGGACTGGCTCCTACCGAGGATCGCTTCGGATATGTTCAGATTCGCATCAAGCGTCACCGTTGGCACAAGAAGATCTTGAAGAGCAACGACCCCTTGATCTTCTCCCTCGGTTGGCGTCGCTTCCAATCCATGCCCATCTACAGTACCTCGGACAGTCGGACAAGAAACCGTCTGCTCAAGTACACTCCCGAGCACATGCATTGTACCGGTGTCTTCTACGGTCCACTTGTGGCCCCTAACACCGGTTTCTGCTGTGTCCAGTCCTTCTCTAACAAGAACCCTGGATTCCGCATTGCCGCGACCGGTGTCGTTCTCGCTGTTGACGAGCACACCGAGATTGTTAAGAAGTTGAAACTTACTGGTGTGCCATACAAGATCTTCAAGAACACCGCTTTCATCAAGGACATGTTCAACTCTGCTCTTGAAATTGCCAAGTTCGAAGGTGCTTCGATCCGCACAGTCTCTGGTATTCGTGGTCAGATCAAGCGAGCTCTCAGCAAGCCCGACGGCTACTACCGTGCTACGTTCGAAGATAAGATTTTGATGAGTGACATTGTTTTCCTACGTGCCTGGTACCCCATCAAGCCTCACCGATTCTACAACCCCGTTACCAACCTGCTCGACCACACTGAAGGCAGTAACGCCGACGGTGGTTGGCAGGGTATGCGGTTGACTGGTGAGGTCCGCCGCGACCAGGGTATTCCCACCCCCATGAATAATGATTCGGCCTACCGCAAGATCGAGCGACAGGAGCGTCACTTCAACCCGTTGCGTGTGCCCCGCCAGCTGGCCGCCGAACTTCCCTACAAGTCCCAGATCACCAAGATGAAGGGCCACAAGGACAAGACCTACATGCAGAAGCGTGCTGTCGTTCTTGGTGGTGAGGAGAAGAAGGCCCGCGATCTCATGCAGAAGTTGACTACTATGCGCAACGAGAAGTCTGCTAAGCGTGCGGCTAAACAGGAAGAGCGTCGCCAGGTTTACCGGGCCAAGGTGGCTGATAGCCTGGAGAAGAAGGCTGCCCGCGAGAAGAGAGAGCGCGACGACTACTGGCGCAGAGAGGGCAAGAAGCGCAAGAACGAGGAAGATGGCGGTGGTGGCAAGAAGCGCAGATGATCGAGCTCATAATTTTTGTACATGTCATGACAGGCATGGGGATGTTATTCTTAGCATAGACGGCGTTAGAAGACCCAAAAGTCAATTGTATATCCATTTCAATGCTCCAAATCCCGGACATCCCTTACCTCGTACACGTATTCAGTGAGCGACATGGCCAATCGTATTCTCGGCATCGGCAATCGTTAATAACAGCCATAGCGTTCTCGTGGTCCATGCCACTCCCCACTCTATATCCACATTTGATGAGAAAGTCCTCGGTAAGCATGTTCCTGCAGTACAAAGTGGGTCCAATGGCCGTCAATGGTTTCGGGTCCAGAGAGTCTGGTTGTTTCACCGATCACTAGCCTTAAGCTAGAGCGAGCTCCAAGACTTCTTGGTTCGCTTGGCGTTAGACTTAAACACCAGAACGCCACCGTTCTCATCCCCATCAACATGAAACCTCCAGCCCCTGGTAGCTTTTGGTGCCGCCGGACGATTTCCCCGTTCGAGTATACCAACGTGCTCTGGTCGGTACCTTTCACCTAACCTGTTTAGGCCAAGAGTCTCCATTTGGCCAACTTAGTGTATTCTGGCCCATATGAAACGACACAGCCATGCTTTAGACAGCGCTAGGGGCTAACGATCTCATTAGTGGATTATCATGGACTCGAATCAAAATTTTGCCGACGCCAGTGGACGTCTTGCATCTAGACTTTGACTTTCTTCGGCAGGTGGACCCAGTTCATGAGCGTTTGGACTAAATTGTTCCCCTGGATGAGGGTGCATAGTAGTATAAGAGTTTTCGTATTTCTTCTCGTAGCTGTACTTCTCGAGTCTCATCCCAATCGTTCATTTTTGTTTTGTCATTCACTCATTCATTCTTTTCATTCATTCTTTCACTATGCGCAGCGCGCTAGTTCTTTCTTTCCTTCCGCTGCTAGTTCTGGGATGTGACAATCCCGCTAGTCATGCCTGTGCTTCTGCGTACACTGCCTCCAGGTCTGAGGCTGCCGGTTTCTGTGCTACTTTCACAGCTAGCTCTGTGACTGCCACTACCGGTCTGCCTAGCTTTGCTTCTGCTTGTGACTACAATGTGAAGCACATGTCCAGCGCATGCAGCTGTCTTGATACTGCTTGGGCGACTGACTCGGCTAGTGTAAGCTATTATCGTGATGTTGGCATAAATAGTCTGTGGCAGCTAACTAACAGTTGATAGGCCGCATCTGAGCCTACCACCACTGCTGCTGTTGCTGCTTCTACCAGCACTGCCGCTGCTGTGCCCGTTGCGACTAGCACTTCGAGCTCGCCAACTACCTTTGTTACAGCTACTCGGGCTGCCTCTTCTACCTCTTCCACCTCTGCCGCGGTTGAGGTTCCTAGCACCACCGCTGCAGCTGTTGTCGTGACTACCGCCGCGGCAGAGGTTGCTTCTTCTTCTTCTGAGGCTGCTGTCATTACTGGATCTGCTTGTGTTGTCAGCGAATATGCTTCGCTCTCCTCCGCTGTTGCATCTTGCACCAACATTGTGCTGTCCGACCTGTATGCTCCTCCCTCGAGCACCATTGACCTGTCGAGTCTTCAGACCGGTGCTTCGGTCACCTTCGCTGGTACTACCGTACGTTTCATTTTGATTTTTTATTTTCGCTTGGCTATTTATTAACAGATGACAGACCTTCGGAGACACCTTCGACGACGACTTTGACCCCATTGTTATCTCTGGAACCAACCTCACCATTACCGGTGCTGATGGTCACGTAATTGAGGGTAACGGCGAGGCCTACTGGGACGGTGAAGGATCTAACGGTGGCCAGGACAAGTAAGCAACAAGTCAAGGGCCCAAGATGAACAAACCACTGACCAACCCTACCCAGGCCCGACCACTTCATTGTCGTCAAGGACGTCTACTACTCCGAGATCACCAACCTCAACATCGTCAACTGGCCCGTTCACTGCTTCGAGATCGAAGATGTTGAGCACCTCACCATCTCCGGCCTCACCTTGAACAACACCGCCGGAGACGCAGCCAACTCCGCCTCCGACGGCGACCCAGCCGCCCACAACAGCGACGGTTTCGACATCTCCAAGAGCACATACGTTACCGTGGAGAACACCGTCGTCTACAACCAAGATGACTGTGTTGCTGTCACCAGCGGTTCCAACATTGTCATTGACAACCTCTACTGCTCCGGCGGTCACGGTCTCAGCATTGGTTCCATTGGTGGAAAGAGCGACAACGTCGTCGACACCGTGACCTTCAAGAACTCCCAGGTTGTTGACAGTGAGAACGGTTGCCGTATCAAGAGTAACGCCGATACCACTGGTAGCGTTACCAATGTCATCTACCAGAACATCACCATGTCTGGTATCTCCGACTATGGTATCGATATCCAGCAGGATTACTTGAACGGTGGTGCTACCGGTGACCCTACCAACGGTGTTACTATCTCTAGCATCTCGTTCATTGATGTCACTGGTACTGCTACCGATGACGGTATGGATTACTACATTCTCTGTGGTAGCGACAGCTGCTCCGACTTTTCTTTCTCTGGAGTTTCTATCACTGGAGGTGGTGAGACTAGCAGCTGCAACTACCCTTCAAGTGGCTGCCCTTAAGCTTTTTGATAGAAACTCAAGATTGAGGAGAAAACCAGTGCTTCTCAATGTTTTTAATACATGGACTTGTTGTATAGTGGCTGTTGAACGGCGAATATTATATACTAAGATCTGGGTCTTCAGTTTTGCTTTACTTGTTTTTTCTCCGTACCTAGAAAGGCTATGATTCATGAGCTCTGAAAATTATGGAAGTAAACATTTGAAGCCGGTGTGATTCGAGGGGGAGGCATTCAATGGCGCGCCAAATTCCTAATCTTCACCGTCTTCATCAGTCCAACAACGACCGGATCCGTGAGAGACCTAGGGCCTCGTACTTTTGATATCATGGGTAAATGCATCAGGCGCAGATTTGACACTTAGTCTCGCTCTTGATAAGCTCTAAAGCAGCTTCTACCAAGTACAGGCTTCCTGTAACCAAGATTTGCGCCCCCGAACCAATATTCTTGGCCTGGTTGATGCTATCTCCAACACTATCAGCCTTATATATGGCACTGGAAGGCCAACTATTCTCCCAGAGCTGAGAATATTCATCCAGCCGTTCTTCTGAAGTGCAAAATTGATCATATTCAATTTGCTTGACAAATATGACATGCTGAACCGGCGTCTGTAGATATCTACCAAGCCTTTGTAATATCTTAGACCAGTCACGCGTCCGCTCCGGTGAAAAATGAGCAAAAATAAGAACTCGGATAGAGCTGCTCAATATGTTAGAATACTGGCTGGTATTGGCGCATGGAATATATAAGGGAATATACTTAGCATGGGCCACCCGCTCATACCACTTTCCAACAACTTCCATGCTCATTTCGTTGTGTGCTCCATCCAAATACCAAGTAGAGCCACCGGACTCGACAATATCGAAGCGCCCAGGCCAGCGAAACTTCTCAATACCAGCCTGAACGTCTTGTTCGTCGAGCGATTGACCACTCATCAGGAGAAAATTATGAGTGATTTGCGTGGCGAGTGCGCAATTCTCTCGCTGCTCGGGCTGAATGCTTTCAAACGTGACGTCTGTGATGAACTGAAGTAATGCGCCCTTGACATCTTTGATGAAGTGCAGTGACGCACCCAGTTCCTTCTCCCGGCTCCTCATCTCACCTTCAGCCTCTGGAACCTGTGGAACCGAAAGTGCAAGAGCCCCGGCTTTAAAGATCCCACTCTTGTGCCAAGCAATATTCTGGATAGACCCGCCTAGATTGTCAACGTGGTCCATACCGATCTTCGTGATGGCAGTGATGACAGGATGTTGAACGAAATTGGTCGCATCATACTGGCCACCGTGATGAGTCTCGCAAATGACTACATCCACCTCTTCTTTTATGAAAGTGTGGAACGATACAATAGCCATCATCTGAAGCAATCCAGGGGTCTTGATCTCGGGAGACGGCCTATCAGGGTCAATGCATAGGCCGGTACATACCTCACCGAAGCGTTGGAAAAATGTATCCTCTGGTAGTGGATTTGAGTTGATCCGGATTCGATTTCGCGGCCACAGGCTCGGCGATGTATAGAGTCCAATTTTCCGTGAGATCCCATTTCTTTTTGCGTGCTCCCGCAAAATGCTATCAACGTAGGCACATGTGCTGCCTTTGCCCTTTGTTCCAGCGACATGAATGACATTGAGGTTATCAATGTCTTGAGCCTGTTCTTTGTTGGTGGGTTTAAGGTAAATATGTGACATTCAAGTACATACTGAATGTCCAAGCAATAGCAGCCATTCTTTCATGCCTTCAAGAGGAGGCGACCCCTTTAAACCCGAGGTATTTGGAGCTCTTGGCAATCCCGAAGAGGGGTTTATCGCTGAGTTGGCGGGGAACTTCCGCCGGAATCTCTTAACATAATCTATAGTGCTGCGTTTGTAAGACTCGGAGTTTTTCGCTTTCCCAGGATGATGAAAGAAACTCACTTTGAACTCATACTTTATGACTGTATTCTAGGCTGGCCTAGCTTTAATCTTGATGTGATAGTGACACGAAAGTTGGAATTTTTGTAAGGACTCGCACTAGCGGCCTCATGTACATGCGCAGTGTACTTGGTGTATGAATACGCTTGTTGCCTGAAGAATGAGGCACTACTACGTGATCTGGTCCTAAACAGCCCCAATAAAGGCAGACGCGGAGAAACAAAGCTAGAATGAATACACATTTGATATATTTCTCGACTAATTTTGCTCCTACATTGACAATATAAGATGTGGATACGATTTTCTGCTCGATGCATCCATCCTGGCTTCCAAGGTTCGCATCCCTCTTCACAAGTATACTTCTCTGCTACTTAAGAATCAAACCACTTGCTTCCCCAATATCCACGAACATGGCTCCTGGAGCCCGAAATTCTAGAGATCTATATTCCTCATTCACTAAACATCAACTTTTTTTCGTATTCTGAGCCCGTATAACGATCAATCCCGTAAGTGGCACCGCCGCACGTGACCGTGTCTCGAACGCGTCGCCGCAGAAGGAAAGCCGAAGGCGACATTTTGACTTCCGCTCCAGCGATTCCGGAGGCAATCTCAGTGTTTGGCTCCTGCTATTCTTCGTCACTTAATTCCATAACCCCAGATTCATTCTTTACTTCAAGCGCGCCACTCCACCCCGGATATTTGTTTCGGTGCCAGTGGAGAGGCTGCCAGTTGACCGTTTTTCCTCGTGCTCAACCCTGCGCGTTTTGGTCGATCGCCTCTGGATTGGGCAGATGCTACTAGTACCCGCATCAGCATCACTGCACTCACCCGCCTCGAAGCCATTCAGATCCTGACCGTCTCTCCGGTGCATCCCTGGTCGCTTCACGTCGGACATTCCCGGTATTCCGTCTCAATGCGGTGATTTGGCGCAAGTCACATAGGTCTTGCGTGTTTAGATCCCCTCGTGGCCGCGTAATTTTGCAATTGCCGCATGGTCGCGTGTTAGTCGTCCTTGATTTCATTGTTGTTCACTTTGCCAGGCTTATCCCTCTTACATCCTGCTACTCGGTCATGAATGACCTCCAACATGCCCCGTCTAGTCGCGGGGCTCCGCATGTGGAGGCCAGTGCGAACACCGGATCTTCAACGTCACGAGCGCCAGGAGTCCCAACTCGCGCGGAACAAATCCAGGTTCCTCGGTCCCCTCAACCATTATCACTGCATATTGATGGGTTGAATGCCCATGTACACGACAAGACCAGTGCCTTTCCACAATATGTTGAGTCATCGGAACGCGATAGCGATACATCTGCTGATGCTCGTCGACCGGAGCCACAATCCGCGGGCACTTTCGCAGACTCATTGTCCAGTCTTCCCTCCTCTTCGATGAACGATTCCAGTCAATCTATTAAAATCGAAAACTCTCAGTCTTCCACCGATGATACACAAACCCCAAAGACATACTCGGACTCTCAAGACCAATCATCTGTCTATGGAAATGGGTCAACAGACGGCTATACTTCGGAGAGAAAAAGTAATGGCTCCAGGTCTCCGCCGCAGTCACCAAATCATTCGGCTTCACGGTCAGCAAATGGAGTACACTTTGCTCCGGGACACAAGAGGACGGCAACTGGAGATGTCAAATCCATATCGAGTCTTGCGGAACCTCAAACCGCCCAAGCGGTCCTTCGGCGGCGCTCAAAGAGCACAGGCTCACCGGCTCATGGAAACAGAATCGCACAGGTAACAAAGCTCTCATGCTCGTTTCGGATATAATTTTTAATTTGCGCCTAGCTATCTGTCCACATCCGTACTCGACTATCATATGCTGCCGCCAAGATTGAAAAGTCTCGACAGGCGCGTGACAATAATACCCAACTTGCGATCCAAGGATTGGAGAGTCTGTCATCGGCAAGCCCACCAACACCAAATGGTACAATGCAAGGCATGACCCCCACATCTCATCCACAACCTTCATCATCAACACCTACGCCCCGCGATTTCCCCTCACATCATCGTTCTCATTCAGCCATCTCATCTGGCAAACTTCTTCAAATTCCCAAACTAGCGCCTCCAGTCGATATCATATCATCCGCCGGGGATACGCGCCGGCGTAGACCTAATCCAAATGCAACTACAAAACCATATGAGCGCAGTCCTTATGCCCGTCATCATCGACGGCACCATTCAGTCCAGGAACCTTCCCTAACCAAGACGTTGGGGTCGCCTCCAGTGTTGGGACCAGGAACTCCGCATGTTCCCCCTTCTGCACGCATGCCGCTATCAGCGCAGCACGAGGTTTATAGATCTCGCACTCATTCTCAAAGCACAGCGATGGAACAAGACGCAATTGAGACACTCATGTTCATGTCCAGCCCAGAGAACTCCGGGTATCGTGCTAGTCCACGCCCTTTACAGCCGCCTGCTTCGCAAATCAGCTTAAATGAGTCAATCCACTCGCTCTCGAACGGCAACGCAAGTGATTATCATAGCCAAAGCTCATTGAGCGAGAAGTCCCATAATGGTCGCAGCTTTGAGTTAAGGCCCTCGGGATTTGGACTAGAATCTCACGCAGGAGACGAAATTGATCGTATCTTGGATCAAATGGAAAGTGATAGTGAGGATGATGAGCGGTATGCCTCGCACCGCCCTCAACCTCGTGTACAGGCTTCCCGAGGGTCTCATGTGCACCCCAGGTAAAGGGGTAGCACCAAATTCAATCTTACAAGGGAGCGGCTTTGCTAGGAATACTGCATCGGTTCCTATGGATTAAAATCATTATCATTATGTTCGGGTAGTTACGGCTCAGGCGCATGCATTCATGGTAGCATCTCTAGGAGAATCGCATCCTGCATTGATATCATTTTACGTGCTTTTTGGATCTTCTGGTACCTAATAAATCATGTTCCAAGGATGGGATGTAATAATGTCATTAATTTCATGAATGCATAAATGCCATTGACGGTCATGCTTCATGGATCCAAAAGATCATCATCTAAATTAGTCTATGTCTATTCCCGAAACACCGAAACTCTATTTTTTAAGAACTTATGTTCACTTGTTCAACTCCTATGGCGTCTGGGTTAGCAAATTTCTAATACTATCGTTTCAGGGAAAGACTTACGCTAGCCATTTTGCTGCGGGCTCGAATCCTCGGTCCGTAGAAAGCCAAAATCCATGGCACGAGTGTAAGGAGAAATCCCTAATCCATCATGTTAGCAACAAGCCAACATCAAACAAAGATTCGAACTTACAATGCCACCCAAGAGACTAGATGCCTCGGGATATCCGAGATTCGTAAACATAGCAGCCGTAACCAATGGGAAGACTCCACCAAGCAGATTCCGGCCTAAACCCTCAATTAGTCTGGACCCAAAACACATATCAGATCGAAATCTGGAGACTTACAGAAAGACTGCGCTGCAATCGCCGAACTGGCGTAACGGTGGTACGTATCCGCGAGATAATTGAATGTCGCAAGGTAGATAGAAAAGATACCCATACCCGCACAGCCAATTGCGATAGTCGGCACGATCCAAGGTACCGATGGGTAAGAGGTCCAGCCGAACCAGAATAGACCGATTGGAAGGAGAATGGACTCAATGCACACGTAGTAGAGTCGGCCTTCGGCTGTTGAGGGAATTTTTCCTCTTCCAATTATCGCACCGATTTTATCGTGGTTGATGCTGATTATAGTGATTATGATGACACCAACGCATAGAGAAGTAAAGACGGCACCGGTTTGTTCGACGTTGAAGTGGTGGTTTGTTTTGAAGACCAGAGGGATAGAGCTGAATTGCAGGTAGAGCGTAGCCCAGCTGAATGACACCCACAAAGAGAAGAAGAAGACCACAGGCTCGGTGAAGAGCATGTGGAAAGGCCGATATATAGAAATCTGAACTGCAGTCAGCAATGAAGCGCGCTGCTCATCGCTCTCCACCTTCCATCGAATTCTTTGAACGTTCTTCTCTCCGGGCTGGTCTTCAGAGAATGTCATGACACCGAAATGGCCGGCCTCCTCGAGTTTCTCGTAGTATTTGTTCAGGGCGCTGGCCTTGCGGCTAAGAATGACACTTCCGCGAGTCTCCTTGAAGAAGAAGTAGATGATGACCACGAAGACACTGGAAACGATGGCGTGCGAGTAGTAGATCCAGCGCCAGGTCGTGTGGGTCGCGATAGCACCTGCTATAATAGGTGCCAAACCTGTTCCAAACAAGGCAGCGCCGGAGAAAAGCGCCATGGGAGTGTTTCGGTCGTGTGCATGGAAAATGTCACTGATCACACCACCGACCATAGTCGAAAATGTTGCTGGGACCTGTCAGTACCGCATCTAGTAGAATGGCTCAGTGGGAACTTACAGGAGCTACATCCTTGGAAAAAACGGGCGACCAGCAACCCGGCGAACGAATCAGTCCCTCCACATCCAATCAGAGAAGCTGAAAATCATTTTGTCAGTATCATCTTTCAATATGATAGTGAAGGCATACATACCAACGAAGACGATACCGCTAACAACAAAAATGGGTCGGCGACCATTAATTTCTGAAAATGGAGCCAGAATCATAGGCGCCAGCGCAAATCCAATACAGAAGATCGTGATACTGAGGTTATAAACCACAGAGCTGATTCCCCATTCCTTGCACAATTCGCTCGATGCCGGACTAACCTCGCCAGCGGAGTAACCAGCCAGTGCGGTAACAGCACAAGCGATCCAAGTCATCATCCACTTGCGCCATCTCGGCCACAAGAAAGGCGAGGTGTACTTTTCCAGGCTTGGTGCCTCGGGTGGTGCAGATTGACCAGCAGCTGGGGGTAAAGAAATACATGGAGTAGGTAGCGGGGTCTCCAGCTCGAGATAAAGATATTGAATCTCATTTGGCTCCACTAAGGAGTCGGGGCTGGGTTCTCGTCTATCCATGGTGACAACGGACCCAGATTTGGTGAGTTCGGAGGCTTCAACAGCCATGTATACCGATAATGGTGGGGTGGGGGAGCTTTTGTCCTTTGGCTGAAGCTCCTCACTTTGACAGGTCCAGAATGAGGATCAGACCTTATATAAATAAGCGTGGGTCGAAAGAGTCACCCATGAAAAATAAAATTGGAGAAGCCGGTTTGCAGATTCTCCAAATTGGGCTCCACCGGGGTATTTGCTTATCATTCTGTGGGTATTTTTGTGGGATATGTATGATGGGAAAAGTGGAACTGTTCTGATCTAGTCTATGCACATTTCTGACTGCTATTCGACTATTTGACAATGGCCATGTCTATCGTTTTGCAGGAATTCTCTTTTGCCGAGACTTGTTGCCGTTAGCGTGTTTGACTTTTCAGGAAGTGCATTTCTCCACTTCGATGGCGATCTCCAATTTGGAGAAAAATTGGGGGGTTTTCCGGGGGGAATGCCGAGAACACCGAGCTCCCGAATCTTTAAAGTCCTGCTCTTATATAAGACTCTTATATAAGACCGTGGTGACGAGTCACATTTCCTAATCTTGGGAACCGTGGACAAGTCTAAGAGCTCCACACCAAATAAAACGAGCTCGTAGAAGCAAATGGGAAGAGTTGGGATTGTATCAAGTTCGACCCCTGTTCGACCCCGCAAACTACACCTTGCGCCACCAACATATAGAATGTGACCGCACGGACATTCTCTCGATGTATAGCATGAGAAACCGGTACTTCCAAGATTGGTGCCAGACCGACTACAAACTTGAAAGGCACAACGTCATCAAGTCCGCTTTGCCGGATGGTGAATAGAGAATAACTTTCCAAGGATCGCGGCCAGTGACGTTGAATATGCTGGATAGCTTCCGATTCAACTGTAGTCCTCTAAATTGCCATCGGCGGCAGCTACTGAGTACTACAATGGTGGGTATTCAAGCGCAATGAGGGGAAGAGACCTCACCTGGCAGCTGAAGTAGGCTATGAAAGCTACATATTCTGAACAAGTACGACACCGGCGGTACAAGCGACCACAATCAAGTACCGACAAGGTCTGGGAAACGGGATTTATTCACAGTCCGTGACGCTGTAAAGGTAAGACGCGACATTGCTCCAAGTCAATATCGACGACGTCTCATCATGTGACCTTGAACTCTGCGATCAGGTGACCTCATCTAAATTATATGAGTTTCCCCATGTAGCTAGTCCCTTTTTTATTCAACCAATACTATACTCACCATTCACTCTCTTGGTGTCGTCTATACTTTAACTTTAAAACGGTGATGGTCAGAGTAGAGCTTACAAATGTGTCGTCACTGTCGCATTGACATCATGTAGCCGGAGTTGGTCGCTATCTCCCCGGTCTCTGATCAAAACCCCTCTCCACTCGCCCAACATCACATCTTGAAGTCATGGACAGCAAACCCTATCAATGCCAGCGATGCTCCAGATCATTCGCTCGTCTGGAGCATCTTCAACGCCACGATCGGTCCCGTACGGATACTTCCCCGATTCGGTTCGACATCCGAACTAACACCTAGCCAGACACGAAGGAGAAACCGTATGCCTGTGCACAATGCCCGAAGGCCTTTACACGCAAGTATGTTGCACAAACCCAATGCAGTGTATATCTTGTTAATCTCGGTGTAGAGATCTGCTTGCGCGTCATGAGCGACTCGCCCATCAACCAGGGGCGAGCCCCGCGAGCCATCAGACAGTATCACCCTCTCCAGCTCGGTCAAATTTAGATGGCCTAGATGTTCTGGCATCAGCCGTGACAGACCATGCAAATTCCAATCGTCCAATATCAGGACGGAGCGATCAATATTCGGATGCCATATCTGTAGACCGAAGCTCAATGATTGGCCCTCAGCTATCCAATGCCGAGATTTCCCCATCAAAGCAAACCGCCGCCCCGCCTCTGCAAGGACCCGAATATGGATACCCACTGGGCGGTTTTCCAGCGGGCGCTTACGAAGATAATGACTTCACGTCATTCCTAGACAGTGTTCCCCTGCCTAGTCATCCGTTCTCGCCAGCATTCCAGCCGCTTCCTTTGTTCCCACCCTTGCAATATTCCCCCGTTGCGGAATTTGAACAGACCCCTGATGGAGGCCCGCCTACAGAGCCAGCTTCTACGCCATTGAGCTCGGTACTACCACGTCATGGTGCACAGCTACCATCTCTTCAGCCCGAGGGATATCAGTCCCCGGCCCACAAGGCACGACAACCCACAGGGTTCCTGCCTGTGACAGCACAGTGCCGAGAAAAGATTCTTCGTCGTTTAGCGGACTATTCCAATGTGGTCCCCGACCCATCTCTCCCCTCTCGCCATGCTTTATCCCGATGTTTAACTGGCTACCTAATGGGGTACCATGATCACTATCCAATTGTGCACAAGCCAACTCTCAATGTCGAGGCTATGCCTGTCACTCTATTTTTATCCATGGCCGCGCTAGGTGCGCGCTACTGTCGCGAGCCAGACACTAGTATGCGACTGTACCAAATAGCCAAACCAGTCACTTTGGAGCACGTCCGACGGACGTTCCAATCAGGAAAGCTACCGGAACCTGATGCGAACAGTATAGATATGCTTGAAACAATTCAGTCCCTGCTTTTCTTAATATCTGTCTCATCATGGTTTTTAAACGATCCGCCATACTACGAGGCATTGTCTATTCGAAGCACAATGGGCGCCCTGGTGCGGAAAGGGGGCCTCAACCGACTCCCCGAACTGGACGGAACTTGGGCAAGCTGGATTTTCCGCGAGCAAGTCAAGCGTATAAAGCTGATTGTCTTCTGCTTTTTTAATATTCATACTATTGTCTTCGATATCCCCCCAGTCATTCTCACGGAAGAGATCTTTTTGGACCTGCCATGCACCGAGAGGGAATGGCAGGCATCCAGCCCCGAACTCTGGCAGTTAGCCCGCAGTCAAAGTCCTGGAGAACCCAAGTTTCAAGATGCATTATCAGCACTATTCGATCCTCACAGCGATATGGAACGCTTCTCATCTCTTGGTGGCTATGTGCTTATCCACGCCTTGCTGCAGGACATATGGCTGATGACTAAAACGAGCCGCCTGTGCGTTTCTCGCTCTAACAACCGCCTTAATCATGCATCCATAGCACCAACATCGCAACTCATCGTATTTGAGCAGGCCCTTGAACGTTGGTGTCAGTCCTGGGAACGAAATCAGGAGTCATCAATCGACCCACTCAGTCCCCATGGGCCATTATCATTCACGTCTGCAGCATTACTCCGGCTAGCATACATTCGATTGAATGCCGATTGTGGTTCCACCCGGCAACTTCAATCTTGGGACTCCGTTCAAATAGCCAGGAGTCTAAAAGAAAATCTCTCTGTGCAGCGTGGCGACCGCCTCACGCGAGCTGCACTGCACTGTGCTCATGCGCTCAGCACACCGGTCAAACTAGGCATTGGATACGTGGCACACTCCCAGGTCGCCCTGTGGTCAAATCAGCACGCCCTATGCTCGCTTGAATGTGCCGTCGTGCTTGCCAAGTGGCTAGAAGCGGTGATGGGGCCGAATCCTGACCCCGTGCTGACGGAACAGGAGATCCGCTTACGGGACTTTGTCATCGAAATGGTCATGGAGGTGCAGCATGGCGTTTCTCGTGAGTGGCTGATGGCCACTAATACTAGGCTTAGTGCGGCAGTTACCCGCCTTTGGGCGCGCCTTTTCACAGCAGATTATATCTGGGAAATGGTCAATCTGATTGGAAGGTCGCTTGACAGCTATGCGGATTTATTGGAGGAGACCTGATGGGTCAATTGAGATTATCATTCGATCATTTGATGTATAAAGCTAAAATAATTGCTATTCCCACATTAGATAAAGGAGCCGAAACACCAAAGCTAGGCATAATGCAACTTAGTCTGTCAGCCCTGGAGAATTGATTGAATAAGATGAGTCAATTACAGAAGTCCCGAGCGGCTCGGATCTTGCAAAGCCGAGATCACACCCGTGCAACATAAAACATGGGGAATGTGTCGAGTATGTGGAGCTTCTTCTGACTCACGACTATGTTCATACCCGCAGTACCCGCAACTTACATCACTATAACTGGTCTCATTCATATCTACTAAAATCCTCAATTGTTATCCCAGATCCAAATCAATAAACTTGATCCTCGGACATGGCTCCTCCAACCCCTCTTACAGCTACCCCACACCTCCTCGCCTTCCTGCAGGACCTCCACTCCAAATCCTTGAACCAGGAATCAAATATAGAATGGAGCTCTCTTCCAGGTCAAACAACCAATGAATTCGACAATCTTATGCGCGACAAGTTCATCGCCCTGGACCAGGACAAGTGTGAACTCATCTACCACATCCTCCGCAGCATCAACGCAACCACAATCGTCGAAGCAGGAACCAGCTTCGGCGTGAGCACCATTTACCTCGCGCTTGCTGCAGCTCAAAATGCTGCACGGGGAGCTGGAACCAGCACCAGCACCACGGGTAGGGTCATCGCTACTGAGAAGGAACCTTCCAAGGCTGCTGAAGCACAAAAGAACTGGCAGCAAGCTGGAGAGGAGATTCAAGGTGTGATTGATCTGCGCATTGGTGATCTGCGGGAGACCCTTGTCAGGGATCTGGGCACTGTGGACTTTTTGCTTCTGGATAGTATGTTCATCCCTTACTATAAGCGTATCATTCTTGTGTGATAATCTCATCACTGGCTGGTAACAATGACTAATGCCGTATAGTTTGGACACCTCTCGCTCTTCCGGCCTTGAAGTTGGTTGAGCCGCACTTCAGACCTGGTGCTATGATCATTGCGGACAATACTGTGAAGGCTGCTACGGGTTATGCGGAACTCTTTGCTTATGTGGATGCGCCTGGTAGCCAATTCCGTAGGGTTACGATGCCTTATGCCGGTGGTTTGGATATGATTGTGTATCAGTGACTGACCTCGCCATGGCGTGCGAGTCATAACGGGACTGTCCCGGTTATGTGTAGAAGTCCAGAAAATAATAATGCAATGTTTTCTCTTATTTGGAAAAAAGAAAAAACGGATAACCCTTGTGGACATGCCCTGGTGGCACTCCAAGTTCCTCATTTTCTTATGTGGACGCTCATTCTACCTTCGATTACAATATTTGAAGCCTTATCGGGTGGATCTCAGCTGCACAAGAAAGCGCATGCTACAGATATGCTTCCCAGTGGCGAAGAATCCGGACCCGTGTCCGAACAGGCCTAGCATGTCAGCAGTACACCTAGTAAGCCGTTGAACTTCCACAAAGCACCGCTCTATGCATTTGGTTCACTGTCGGAATAGGTCGCTTTGCCGGATTCCACTCATAGGTGCTTCTTCCCAAGTTTTGCCTTGCGCGTGAAAAATGCCAGTGCGCAAGTGAACGTCTCAATCTGTTTGCTACTAAGAGAATAGGAATAAAGTCGATACACGGCGTTCTTAACGGTAGCGATTGAGATACAATTGACCATATCAAGCCATCCGTCGGGCGCACTGCGTTCATTTCCGGCCATAACGTGGCGTTTTGCGTATCAAGGTTGAATACTTTACACTTTGTAGATCAATGCGCCCCTCATCTATCAGTACGTATCATAATATTTACAGGACCTTCAGGCTCATGGAACTTCTAGGTAGGAGTTTATCCTTATATTAATGTTAATATACGAAAGCGTCCTGTAGATGGATGGTGAAAAAGAAAAAAGCTAGTTTATCAACATCCCTAGCTTATGTAGAACAATGACGATTTGAAGGGAGGCCGCGGGGCCTGAAGTATTGATTTCATCGGATGGGAGGCTCCAACCCATGCGTTTTAAGCTTGAACTCAGTGCGTGGCACTTAGCAACAAGATCGGACCAAACCCTAATCTGTGAATAGCATCGACTATACCCACGCACCACCATAATGTTATGATCTACTAGAGCTTCACTATGGTTCTTCTCTTCCTCAAGACCTTTCACCCCGCCTTTTAGCATCAATCTTCGCGTTTGATTTCTTTTGTCCACTCCTGCCCACCCATGTCATCGTTGTCGTCCTCATGATCATACTCCCCCCCCTTCTTATCCACATCTTCATCTACGTCTTTCATCTTCATCTACCGACAACATGTTACGCTTGCCTGAGACTGTGTGTGCTAACTGGAGCCCCGTGAACACGATTTGCAAGAAGACTGCCAGAGTTGCGTGTAGCAACTGCCTACTTGTCGAGGTGATTTCGTTCGGGAATATATCTTTTCTATCCTGGTGCGGCTTTGCTAATCGATACTTCACTAGTATTGCGGGCCAAATTGCCAGAAAGACCATTGGCCTGACCATAGCCTTACATGCTATTCTTCCATGAATGACGAGACATGGAAGCCCAGCTGGATTGAAGAGGACCGGGCTGCTGAGCTTAACGAGAACCGCATGGAAGGCATCCTGCTCCCACGCACTTGGAGCCATACCCCTGCCCGGGACATGCTCAATCTTCAAGCCAATGAAGGAAGTACCTTCAAAGGAAATCTTCGTCTTTTATTCGCTGGTCTGTGCTTTGGTCTAATCATTGTGTTCTGCCCATCACTGACTTAATCTTTCTCATAGCGTCAGGAGATCTTGGAAATGTCTTCACAACGATCGCCAACCTCCCGCAGAAGTACAGTGGCTCTATTGGATTTACAATCAATGACGTGGAATTTAACATCGTCGCCCGCAACATCATTATCCTGCTCATACCTATTGTCGTTGAAGACATGGATCAAGCAATTGACTGCATGATTCACATCTGGTACTCGATTATGATCCGCAAGTCAGATATTTTTGTTCTTCAGAAGCGGATTGCTCCCATCCTCGCCACAATTCAAAAAGAGATTAAAGCTCTTGATCTTGCGCAAGGCCGCATTCTGCAAAAGACATTTTCCTTTGGTTCACGTTCTCTCAAAATCGGCCTCTCCCGTGAAGCATGGAATAAGCTCCCGCATTTCCTTACAGCGCCGACTGGCCTATCAACTCCTTCACACGCTTGGAAAACTGACGATGTTCATCGACGTATGGTTCTCATGCCACCTGCTCGGCGACTTGCCTATACCAAATGGCTCACGGATGGACTCTTGCTTCCATACGGGCATCCACACCACGACTTTACTGAGCATAACCCGTGAGTTGGCAACAGATTCAAATTAGAGGTATACTGACAAGATTAGAACACTGTGGTTGACCGCAGATGACTGGCCCGCAAGATCTGTGTTCGAGCCTGTCCGAGGATGGTCTCCCCAAGTAGTGGATGAGACACGGAATGGAGGCGCTGAAAATGATATCTACGGCAAGCTTTTCTTCCACCTTCGTCAGTTGCTTTCAGACTCTCTATCCCGGATGTCGACTATTAAAAACACTATCCACATTCTGCACATCTCTCCCCTCGATTTGCCCCATCAACTGAATGGTACTACCTTCGACAGAATTGATGTAAGTGGTCCGGCAGATGTTTGATTGTTCTAGCATTTTACTTCAGTGTCTGACTCTGCTACCTTCCTCATAGACATCATGGCTCGCAGATCCTCACTGTTATGGCATGAAGACAGTGATCAGCCATTTCAACCATTTGCTTCCGTCCAAGCAGGCAAATCCCCACGCTACCATGACTTGTCTCCTGAAGACTGTCGTTCTTATTGTCGTCAATGAAAAAAACACAGGGCTGACAATCCCCGGATTGAATTCGCCAGGTCACAAAAGACTCTGCAAATTCGCCCCTGAGTCCATGGATCCTCTGACAGGTGACGACAATGATCCGAAGACGATGAGACTCCTGGCTGCTCGTATTCTCACCTTGAACTATGAGCCCATCTTCAAGCTGTATGTTCAGAGTGCAAAGCACCATACATAGCTTTATCTGTTTCTCCTGCTGACTATAATTACAGATTTGCAAAGAAGAAATCCTTCCGAAAGCACGGGCTTAACGCCGGTGTTGAAATGAAGAAGAAGAACACTGTCCTCGATGCATGGCCGCATGGACCGACGGTCCCCTTGGGTGACGAAGGAGATGAGCATGAGTTCAATCTGCTCATGAGTGAGAACAGCCCATGCCCCCAGAGGTATGTGGAGTGGAATAAACTTGACGAGACGTGGGGTGCATGGTGTGACTACATGTTGGCTGGGTTTTTTCTGCGCGGCCCACCTTGTGGGGGACGCTAGATATCTTTCTGTGGCAAGGGAGACACCCACAATAGTTGAAGAAGGCCGGGTTTAATGCGAGGAGGAATGGAGTTGAAGTTTTATGGGGAAGAGAAGTGGTGTCAATGTGCTGCCCGGGATGAGCAAGGATCTAATGATTTACGGCGTGCATGACGACGCAAATAATCTACGTGTGACTTTTTACGGCGAATTTTTCATATGTGATTTATATCAGCAAGCGTGTTCGCTTTTTTGTCTCTAATCTACTTCCCCGCATAATTCTACACATAGTCAATGGATCAATTCAGATTACCATTGAAGGACAGGTACTCAATACAGTATTTCTCATAATTTTGAGCTTACTTATGGTCAATCTTATATAATAAAGACTAGACGTCTCTGGCCGGCTTGAAATATAAGGGCATGAAGCGCGAATTCAATGCCCATATGCACTCTATTGTCTTTGCTTAATTATCATTTGAATCCTCTAGCTTCTTCTCTATTCTATATTATCATCTTGTATCTTCACTCTATTCTCTTTTCATCCTTCGTTTTCTGTCAATAATCCTCTTCAATCTCTACCATTATCCTCTATGCTTCTCTGTTTTTTATCCTGTATCCCTACCCTCATTCCAATTGCCAGATCCTTTACCCTTCACTCATACTCCTTTACCCTTCACTCATACTCCCCTTTCTCTGCTCCAACATCTATCAGCTTTGTCTCCCGTATCCCATTTAGATCCCTCAATTCCTCTGCAGATACTACTCTATTACGTTTGTTTTTTTGATATTCGTGGTAGCGTAAAATGCACTGACTTCTGTAGCCCAGGTCTATCATGGGCGACCACTGCTTGGAAGCCTATACGAAGGCCAGGCAGGTGCAGCGTTGCGTTGGTCCTTGGTGCCATGTACCATGGTTGAGTGTTTTGTTCTGCGAGTGCGCACTATAGTATGAACCACTCCTGCAAATGCCTTCACTTACACATACTCAGAAGCCAGCTTGATGAATTCCCAAGGTGCCGCGAACAATGGGTCTCGAGGATAGTATTCCTTCGGCTCTTCGCTCGAAAACGGAAACGAGTATTAATCAGGCTTGATTATAACAGGCAAGCTTTGAATATATTGGCCGGGTCTTGGAAAGATCTTGAAGCAATTCGTAGTACGTTAACGAATGAATTCTGGTAAGTCCTGCTCTATTTTGGCTTGTATAATGCATGTATACGTTTTTTCCCCCAGATCGCTTGATCTGCTCTACTTGCGTTCGGTATGAATAGCAAAGACTCAAATCATGAGCATAGCAGTCGCATCAATTCAATTTTTTAATGAAGCTAGAATATTGATTTGACATATTGGTTTCCTATTCTTAACTTATTCGAGACAGTCTTTGGAAGTGGACGTCAAGTTGCAAAGTTAGATTCCGGATTCATTCAAATGAAAAACTTGGTTATTGGAAATATTATCGACCTGGAAGTAGAAAGACCATTGCAAGCCATCTTCATCTTCGCTTGAGGAGCTGGTCTTTGTTGTCGGTCATTTTCCAAGGTTCTTAGTGTTTACAAATATATCCGCGGAAAATTTCCGGCTTACGAACACCAACGGGATTTGGAGGTTTACATCACTCCATCATTCCAACTCCCCTATGCATCGTGTTATTCGGTCTTGTCTTCCTAAAATCTCTTTTATGAGCCAGAGCAGAATCTCAATTCCTTCAGTCCAGCAACGTAAAATGTCCCAAGCACCTGCCAGCATCCATGACCCCGCGACCGCTGACGGCTGGCATGGCGTCATCCCCAGCGCTCAATTCCCCGCCGAGAAAGGGCGCTACCACCTCTATATTGGACTCTTCTGTCCCTTTGCACATCGAGCCAACTTTGTCCGTCATTTGAAAGGTCTGGCGGATTTCATCGATATCAGCATCGTCAAGCCTTACCCCAAAGGTGACGCGAACGGCTGGCCGGGATGGCGATTCCCCAGCTCAGATGACGAATATCCTGGCTCAACAGTTGATCACCTTTTTGGAGAGGACTATCTGCATAAAGTCTACTTCCGCGCAGATCCGGAATATAAGGGACGATACTCTGTTCCGCTGCTATGGGATACAAAGACCGGGACTGCTGTTTGTAATGTACTCGCTTCATCTCCGTTGAACTTAATGATCGTTTCAATATTAACGGTGACGATAGGAAAGTGCTGAGCTTCTTCGCTGGCTTCCAACAGCCTTTAATGAGCTCCTCCCGCCAAAACTCGCCTCTATCGATCTGTACCCGTCTCACTTGCGCACCAAAATCGATACTATCTCGTCCTGGATGCAATCGGATGTTAACACAGGCGTCTACAAAGCAGGATTTGCACCCTCGCAAGAGGTATACGACAAGAATGTCGTCCCAGTCTTCGGCGCACTGAACAAGCTCGAAAACATTGTTGCACAACATGGTGGTCCGTTCGTGCTAGGAAAAGAGATGACAGAGCTAGATATCCGGTTGTATGCGACACTGATCCGGTTCGATACTGTCTATGTTCAGCATTTCAAGTGCAACTTGGGTACTATTCGACACGATTATCCTGTCTTGAATAATTGGTTGAAGGGAGTGTACTGGGATGTTGAAGCTGCACAGGCATCAACTGACTTCAAACATATCAAGGAAAATGTAAGTTGCTTGTTCTTTACAATACTGCTCGGGGTTTAAAGCTGATGATATTGCAGTATACCAAGAGTCATTTGGATATTAATCCGAAAGCAATCACACCCATGGGTCCGTTTCCTGATGTTGAGGAAGGCGTTGAGAGGGATTGGACCAGACTAATTCCGGGAGGTGTTAAGAATCCTGCTGTGTTGGCTTATCAGGATACTTTACCCGATGTGTAGTGTTGATCTATCATATTCTGGAAAGAAATTGAAATTCAACCCCTAGAGAAAAAGTTCTTTGAAAGGTTGATTGATGAAGATTTAACTCACGTTTTTAGATACTGACTACTTTTTAAAAAATATTATCAGGTATTTTGCAGTAGTCTTTCGCAATTAGAATGGACATGCATATATTGTAATGAAAGTGTACATGATTGGTAGGCCAGGCATCTGCTACTACGTATCTTCCTTTGTTCCTACTAATGAGATATTATTCAGAATGTCTGATGCTCCATAAGTCAGCAGTGCTCAGTAGCAGCACCCTATGAAATGGCTGATCATCTTGCTTTTCTTCCTTACTCCTTCCATCTACTCTCTACCTTCTTATCACACTTCTTCCAAATAATATACAGATAAATTTATTGTTATGCATGCATGCACCTTGCCACCTTAGTATATACAAGAAATCATTAGATATTCAAGACTTTTACTGGGTCGTAGGCCAGTTCCCCTTCCACCGCACAAGGTTTTCATCTTCATCATCCATAACCACAATCATCCATACGCCGACCCCACCATTATTCGCCAGCAAAGGCGTACAGTGGATCCAGCGGTGCCGTCCATTCTCAGTAAAGCGGGTGACCCACTTGATTCGAGCTGTGACACTGCGACCCTCCATCATGGCCTGCACGATGCTATCCTTCTTCTCACCAGTATCTCCAATTCGTGATAAGAATGATGATTGGAGCATGCCAGGAATCTGTAGAGAGGGAGAGGTGAAGAGGACGCGAAGGGATGGGTATGGTCGGACGAGGAGGTACTGTGTCTTTAGTTAGTATGCCTGTCACGAATCCCTGGGGTAAAGTAAACATACATGTTTATAAACGCCAGTTAAAGATCCACTGGGGCCTGCTGAGGGAGCGAGTAGCTGGGCCTCGCTGAGGCGTTTGTCTGCTTCATAATCAGGACTGCCAGGTATGAATAAGCGGCTATTTGTCGGGTTGACTCTGTCTTCGATGGGCTGGAACAGATTGCCGCCATAGGCATGGATGTTTTGTAATTCGCGCGGGCTGAACAACTCGCCCAGTTCTTGAAACTCGGATTTTGGCTGTTGAGGTTCTTCTTCGCCAGCTTCTCTCCTATCCTTTTGTGCTGTAAGTGCTTGTAGCGACTCCATCTGTGCACCCTCCATAGCCAGACCTGAGACATCGACTTGGGCACCAATGAAGTATCGAACTTTGCCTTGGCTATCGCAGAGAGGGGCACATTGAAGAAGGTTCATGAATGGTGAGCCGTCACGGCGACTGTTTTTTTTTGTTTTGGTGAGCTTTATTGAGCAATGCGATTGATGCTTGAAACTCACTAGTTGAGGAAAAGTTCTGAGTGGTGCCGACCAGCCTTCACTGCTTCTCGGATGCGTCTCACGCTGTTGGGGTTGGTTTTCGGTCCTTGCAAGAAGCGACAGTTCCGTCCCAATACGTAGTCCATGCCGTATTGTGTAGTGCGGTGGAATTCTAATCAACAGTCAACACGCGCCCGAAGCGTCTGTAGCGTCAATCCGTACCTCCAGAAGCAAAAATAATTGGGTTATCTGGCCGCGACGGATCTGTCAAACAGAATACCTCCGCTAGCGCATCAGCAGTCCCTTGAAACTTCTCAGGCAGAGTTCCCCGAACGCGCTCTTCCACGACCTTGCTGGTAATGTTAATGCAGGTAGATGTAATAAAAGCTGGGAGTTCCTCTGCAGTGAGGGCATTCAACCCATCCTGCACACGAGCCTCAAGGGCATGGTTAATGGTAAGCTCCACTGGCTGCTTGGCGGCCTCTATTCCAGCTGGAGGAAGAAGCACCGACAGTCTGATCAGCGAATTGGCGTATTCCAGTGCCTTCAAAGCTTTGCTGGCATTGAGATAATACGTTAATACGGGGATTGACTTCGGCCGCTCTTTAAGCAAAAACTCTCGAAACCGTGCTAGGTAGCGCGGATTGGTGAGAATAGCTAACATGTGTTCTGGTGAAAACATAGTGTCCGCTTGGCGCTCAAGCGTGTGCAATGGGGCTCCGTCGCCCTCGTACGGAGCGACCAAATCAAAGGAGCCGTCTTCGTCATTTTCGTCGACCGGGTAGAACTCCTCAGCACCATCATTCGGATTCGTCGCTTGTAGCAGAGGTAGCTCATGAGGATCGTTGACAATGAAATTACGGCGCAGTTGTTTTAATGAGGGCTGTGAGCGCAGATCGCTGGAATCATTAGGTGGAGTGGGACTGTCTCGGTCAGCGCACTCGCCCAAAATAATTTCAACAATGATCATCGCTCTTACCATTGCTCAAGCGTTTGTTCGCCATTTGTTAAATTGAGGCTTTCTTGAGTTCTGTTTTTGAATTGCGACTCGGGATATTCTGGAGTACAATCATCGAGAACAATCGTGGGCGAGGTGAGCACCGATGCCGGCTTGTGTGGTCTGTCGTCGGGGATATCAGGGATATCCATAGTGTGTAATGATCTCAAGGACTTGATCGACTTGACTGGGATGCGTCTGGAGGCAAGCCGCCCTTTAATACACTCACATAGTTGCCGACCATGGCTAGATCGGGGGCCTCCAAGCCAGGACTCGGATGGTTTATTGAACCCAATCCACGGTTCTTAACGGGCCCGGCGAATAGATTGTATTTGACAGGGCGCAGCAGCTGAAGATCTACAAAATCGTAATTTTCGCAAACTGGGCGATGGCCCGATCGATCGGGCGATCGTCAGGTCCACGAGGTTGTGAGGGATGAGATCAGACGGATTCACGGGCTATGATGCAATGCTGCAAGGCACCGCGGCCAAGTGGGTCCTGCCCAGCTTTCGGGCACTAGGAAATCGACATCACAAACGAAAAAGGAATGACAGATCGGCGGTGGTTCAAATCCCTTGAGACATAAAGCACTTGGAAGTTGCCTCGGCCCTAAGATCGACGATCCCCACACTGCACATCTTTCTTTGTTTGGAATTTTCTTATCAATTAGAGTCAAAAGTAAGGTGACACACGTGGTCAATTGTCTAGGCGTGCTTCAGATCCAGGAGATAGTAGTAGTAGTAGCAGTAGTAGTACCACTTCGTTCCCAGCAGAGCACTGGCGTAGCCTGTGACCTTGGAGACCTTTCAAGCGGCATAGGGGGCGTGTGCTAAGCTAGCGATTACAGTCTAGTGACGTGCCAATCCGTTAAAACGGCTCAAGCAAGCACGGGGGTAATTGGTCAGTCAACTACGGTCATCCCCACCCTGCAGGACGATCCGTCTTTGGCTCCAGGTGAAGAAGCTTAGTTTAATATTTGAGAGGAGACCGGGTTGTTGATTGAATGTTTGATGACGATACATAGAATTTTATGGCTGGAAACTCACAGCTTATAATATGGTTAGCACACTAGAGGCAGGGAGTATGTGGATTGATTCGAGATGACAAGAGCCTGGAAGAAACATATGGAATGATGTAGGTATTGAGATTGGGAAAGACAAGAAAAGCACTCAACAAATCTAGCAGAGTTATGGACTGAAAGGTAAGATTTAGTGACTTAAGTTGCCGATGTGACGCAATGGTAGCGTGTCAGCCTTCTAAGCTGAAAGTTGCGGGTTCGACCCCCGCCATTGGTTCTTCTTTTTATCCTTCCTTTATTTTTTTCTTCCTCTCTCGTGTCAATACCTACATGCTTTACATAAGTTACTTGGTATCACTTATTAAGTACTATATATCTCTTCTATAACGCTTTCTATTTTGTAAAAAAGACGGTCAATATCTCCCTTAGCAACGGCCCCATGAACCCGATCAATCTCTGCCGTCAATCTCCACAAATCTCCAATGGTCGGATGGGATGCCAGTGCTTGGAATATATTCATTCGTAAAAAGCAGGGCTCTCTACTCATTGGAGATATCAGCTTGAGAGGTCTAGATGGCCTGCGCCAGCCGAAGCTCGGGCTTCAGACGAGACGCTTTTTATAAGGCCAGAGCCATGATTGGTGCATGTTCTTAGCCATATGTCGCGATTAAATCACAATCCAGGAAGAGCTACAAGATCAAAACAATAAGAAGAATATTGCGAGGAGACTTTTTAACGCTGATAGACGGCCAAGTCATCCTGCACGGCTATGCATGCGGATCGTGAGCACGAGGATGAGCCAGCCTGGTCAGAGCTTTCGGCTTAGTTTGTGGCTGAGGAATTATCATCGGATCCAGGAGTCCTGGCTGTATAGAAAATTGTGAGTAAATAATCGGTAGTTTTGGAGCGGATGAAATCTCAAACACATAGGTGGATCTAGTACATGTCTTTTGTTTAGACTACCTTACTCTGCGGTTTGCCATTTCCCTTGGAGTCAATTGATCGATGCAAAAATGGTCCTATTTTAGGCTTTGGGATAAATTTTGTAAAAATAAGCATCATAGCAATATTTAACACTTGATGCTTAGACTCAAATCGTCCGAACATCTGGAAACAAGATCCTTTGATGGTATAATAGAAGTAGGATGACGGTTTTGCCAACGAGAGCTTTTTCAGATGGTTTAGTCTCGTTTCACTTCACAAATATCGCGATGGTATCAGAGTTTGCTTTGTATTTGGCGGAAGCTGCTTGTCAATCCAATATCTATACTGAAAATTATAATGTTCTACTATACAGCCCCGTTCGGAGCACTGCATAAGAGTAGAGATGATCTGACTAATATGGTGGACTTCAACCAATCATACACACTTTAAAGGAGATAGTCTCAATTTCTTATGTATGATGCAATCATATCGGGGTTCGGGTCAATTAATGCGACCTACGGCATCCCTTTCAACTCTGATGATTTGTCATAGACGGAGTTAACGGCATAAGAACCATTCCACGTTGTAAACTCAGTTTGGATACACTCTTTTGTTATCTACATGTTATTTAAGAAGGCCAACTTTCTCAACCGAAAATGAAAAATCCATCACATCAATTCTATAAACCTATCTCTAAATCTACAGCCCCACCAACCATAAGCATGTCTACTTCGAAGTATACCTCGAAGCTCGCTGGTCAACGAGTCCTAATCCTAGGTGGTAGCTCAGGACTCGGCTTCGCCGTCGCCGAAGCTGCCCTTGAGTACGGTGCCCACATCATCCTCTCCAGCTCCAACCAAAGCAAGCTCGACAAAGCCGTCGACCGTTTGAAAGCAGCTTATCCCACTCAAACCTCAACGCAGACCATCATCACCCACGTCTGCGATCTCTCTGACGCTGTCAACCTCGATAGCAACTTTGCAAGACTGTTCCAGGCTGCCACAGCCAACGGCGCACACAAATTGAATCACATAGTCTCCACTGCTGGCAATCCATTGCATATGCCTCCGCTAAATGATATCCAAGCGCAAGACATCTACAGGGACATGAATGTGCGCCTCGTCGCCCCGGCTGTGATGGCAAAGTTCATTCCCAAGTATGTGGAGTCATCACCGTCAAGCTCCCTTACTTTGACTGGTGGCGTACGAAGCCGCAAGCCTGCACCTGGTTGGACTATTATTACAGCTGGTACTTCCGGGGTTGAGGGGCTTGCGCGTGGGTTGGCGCTAGAGCTGGCGCCTGTTCGTGTCAACACTGTGGCACCGGGTGCCGTGAAGACTGAATTATGGGATCCCCTGCCTAAGGAAATTTTGGAGAATTTGCTGCAGGAGTCTAGGGATCAGTCGACTACTGGAACTGTGGCGGCGCCAGAGGATCTGGCGGAGAGCTATATCTACTTAATGCGGGATCGTTTCGTGACAGGGTCGGTGATTGAGTCAAACGGCGGAGTTTTGCTGAAGTAGATAATCTATAAGCCATTCGCAGAGCACTCAAGAGTCGAATCAATTAATATTTTTTGGTGAAGCCTTCGTGAACAAAATATTATACCTGGAGAGCGGTGAGGAGTCGGAAGCTACCTTAAAATTAGGCATGCGGCGTTAAGCCTCTTATCTCCGGCTGCGCAGACTCCGCCTAAAGCTCGGGCTCACGTTATCAAAAGAACCTCACGTTCCGACACACACACGAGCTGTCAACGGCCCCTCCAGGCCCCAAAGCCTCGCATCGTCATTTGTTCAGCTAAGGAGCTATCTCATTCGAGCGTCACAAGTGTACCGCTCCCCGCGTCTCTTGAGATTTGGACGGCGCAAGCCTGCCGCGGCATTCAAGATGCAGGGCTTCAGTAAGTCACACTCTCAGCGCTGCCGCTGCACAATATGAGAGCTAACCATTTAATTTAGATATGGGACGGTGCGTTGCTCCTCATCTCCGACAGCGCCTTAACTGCGGTCACCCACCCAACCACATTCACTAACCCGCCCTCTAGATATGTCCCACCGGACCAAGAAGGCCTCACCTCTGGGAATAAGCTTGCCGGCAAACATCCCCTCGGCGCCCGCGCGCGCCACCTCAGCACAACTGGTGCACTCATCGTGCGCTTCGAAGTCCCGTTTCCAATTTGGTGCACAACATGCAAGCCGCATGAGACAATAATTGGTCAAGGAGTGCGCTTCAACGCCGAGAAGAAGAAAATCGGTAACTACTACTCCACACCAATCTACAGCTTTCGCATGAAGCACATCCCATGCGGTGGATGGATTGAAATTCGCACGGATCCGCAAAACACGGCATATGTTGTTCACGAAGGTGCGCGGAAGCGAGATACCGGCGAGGACAAACCATTGGAGCCTGGAGAGATCGCCATTCGTGCTCCCGGCCTAGGCCAAGATCCGGCGGAGAAGGATCCGTTTGCAAAAATTGAAGGCAAGGCAGAGGATAAGCGGAAGGCGGATACGGAGGCGAGTCGGATTCGGGAATTGCAGGAGAGGCAGGATCGAGATTGGGATGATCCATATGAGCAGTCAAAAAGGCTGAGGCGCACCTTTCGTGTGGAGAGGAAGGGTTTGGAGAAGTTGGAGACTAATCGCGAGGCTTTGAAAGATAAGATGAGTCTTGGTATTGATCTCGTGGATGAGACTGAAGAGGATCGACAACGAGCTGGGATGGTGGACTTTGGTCAAGACCAGTCTGCTGCTGGGATCGAAGCTGCCCGGGCAAACCGCAGGCGTCCTATGTTTGATCAACGATTTTCAAAGAATACGGCTGTATCTGACAAGCGCGAAAAGAATAAGGGCAGTGCCCGTCGGACCAAGGCTGCTGAGCTTGCTCGACGGAAAACTTCCTTGCGCCAGGAGCTGGCTGGAAATACGCGTGCTGCCATTGATCCATTCCTGAAAGATGCCAGTGATGATCCAAACTCTTGGAAATCGGCTCCGAAACGGAAGAAGCCTGCCTCGTTGATTCCTGCTCACCGAAGTGAGACTGAAACTTGTGACATGACCGACACTTCAACTAAAGACACTCCAGTTCCCATACCGGAGAGCCTTCCAGGCAAATCCAGCAAAGATTTATCGACCGGCCTACCGCGAGCACTGGTAGATTACGGGTCTGAATCGGACTAGAAAGGGCTTTGCATGGGAGCTACTTTGTTTTATTTTTTTGATACCCCAGCGGGCGTTATTAGTTCATTTTGTTCCATAGAAAGAACAGTATGATCATACAACATACAATTCATCTATGAGATATCCAAGTCGTGTGCTACATATGTTGTGACGGGTAAACTTTTCTTTCTACTTAGCCCAGGGTGCCTTGGTAGGCCCATCACCCCCTGGTGGCGGAGGAGCTTGGGTGGCTGCCCAGGGAGCTCTGGTATTAGGAGCCATAGGACCCGGGGGTAGTCGAGAGGTATCGGGCAGAGCTGTATTTGAAGCTGGAGGCACGTCCCTTCGTGCCGCAGCCCACGGCGCCGCTGTATTTCCCATGGGAGGCGCACGAGATCCTGCTCCTGCAGTCGCCCACGGCGCCCTCGTACCTGCATCCATAGTTGGCCGAGCTGTAGTCGACGAGGCACCCCCATCTGGCACAGCAGGTCGCGCTTGTGGACCAGAGGTTGAGTGAATGGTTGTCGGGGGCGCAATAGCGTTGGGGTCGCGAGCCCAACTAAACAAAGAACCAAAGGGGAAGTGCTGAACAACGGGGAACTTAGATAAGACCTCTGCGTTGTACATTTTCACCATGCCCTAAAGGATTTAGAGTTAGTTTTCATTCACGGGCAGGTCAAGCTTGTATAGCTCACCTTGTTGATCTTGCCCCAGCCGGCTCTAATACCAGAGATATCGTATAGCATAGGGCTATGTTCCCAGAACGGCCCCTTTTTCACATCATAGATAAATCCAATGGCCGAGAAATACAAATTAGTTCTCCTCTCCCTCTCCACGCTGTTTGCTTTCGCGACGCCACTGGGATCAGGAGCACTAGGTAATGACCCTTCTTCTGGGGTCAGGTCTGTCTCGGTGATAGCTGGAGCCAACTGGGCGGAGCCTAGAATGTAGGGAATAAAGGAGTGATCGTCAAGCCCCCATACACCATGGGACCCAGCCGGCTCAAGTGTGTACGTTTTGATCAAAGTGCGGGTAAGTTCAAGATATCTGCAGAGCACGTTAGGTAGATCCGCTGAATGATAGCCAGTCATGGCTTGCTCACGGTTCAATAACTCCGAGGACTATGGCTCGCTCTTCAACTCCCGGGTCAGATGTCGGAAATCCGTTAAGCTTCCAGATGGCTGCCAAAAATGCCAAAAAGCTCAACTCATGTCCTGTGCCATAGTCCAACCGCTGGCCACTCCCCCAGCTACCGAGAAAGTATGCTTTCAGTTCCGTCTCCGCTGTAGGTCCCTGGGGATCTGCCGAAGGCGTGTCCAAAATCTCCGCGGGCAAGCAGTCTCTTAGCAGAGCAGAGGCCCGTTCTTCCAGAACTTCGTGCCATTTTCGGAAGCTGATATTTCCAAATCGGCGTGGCCCAGTGTCCGGCGGGACCTCTTGTATGAGGTCCTCGAGCTTGGAAAGTAACGCCTGTAGCTGTCGAATAGGCGCGGAGAATTGGACAGCATCTGTACCCAAAGGCCATGCTTGTGATTCTCCGTCAGAAAGTTTTGTGGGGAATATTGAGCGATTCAGTTGTAGGATAAAGGTCATAATATCAGTGTAAGCTTTCGAGACTAGAAAGGTCTGAACATCTTGGGACTCGTGGATCTTCTTGCATGGTTTGATAAAGTTGTGCGGTTCGGATGGGTCCAATTTAGGCAGAAAACGGACAGACCGGCCGGCCGATTCCATTTTGAAAATTTTGTGGAGTACTCAAGCTGCTTGGACTCGAAAGAAAGTTGTTGAAGTGGGATGGAGGGGAAAGCAGGAATGACGGGTGCGGCGGAGTGGTCTCCACCCGAGCTTGCTTTTATCTCTCCACGTCCCACGCGATTAGATCGCTCTGCAGCGCGTCATCCCCCTTCCCGGCACTGCACCAACGGCTCGTGCCTTTCCGCGATGCCCTCCGCCAAGAAGCGCAAATCAAATTACTCCACCGTTAGCTCACTGGAGTTACTCAACAAGCCGCAGTCTCGAAGGCACACCACCCACAATGAGAGGAATGTCTATGATATTCCTGAATCATCCCCCTTGGTGACGCGCTCGGTACAGCGCTACGGACTTCGAAGCCAAGACGACTCTTCCATACCGCAATTCAGCGAGCCCGACCAAGAGCAGCCCAATTTATCTCCCGAGCCTGAACAGGAGCCCAACAGAGAGCAGTCTGAGCCATCACCAGAGCTCAATCCAGAGCAATCAGAGGCCTCTTCCGAGGAAGAACAGATACGCAATGTTCCCGGATCCAGTGATGATGAAGGTCATGTGGACCCGGCCAAAATACATGTACAGGATCATAAGGTAGAAGACCAAGGCGAGCCTCATCATGAGCTGGACGTGATCCCATATGGGGGGGTTCAGGATGAGGAGAGTCAAATCCAGGAAGTCCAAAGCGAGGAAGACCAAGATGAAATCTCACAGCACGAATACCAGGACGAGAGGGAAGAGGAAAGGGACCTAAGCAACCCTCAGCCAAACAATTTCGAGGCGCTCCAAGTCGTTGTTTACCATAGCGTAGAGAGTGACTCACGACATAATAGGGGCGTCACTTCGCCGGTTTCCAGTGACAGTGTGCCAGAGACACCACTGGCCACAACTCTATCACGCAAGACGCGTATGATGCGTCGGGAGGAATCAAACAACGTCGTGCTTGATGCCGAGATGTCAGACCACAATGAAGACGAGCATGTTTACAAGGGTATTGTCACGCTAGATCTTGATTTGAAAGACTGGCTGGTAACAAAAGTTCAAAACACCCGTTGGAGTGAAGAGTGGATGCTCTTTCATGATCGCACATTGGAATTGCCAAAATTTGTCTATGGTCCTATGCCAACATCATTCATCGATGCTTTTCAATTAATCGAATGTTTGATCGACCTGTTCAATGACCTAGAAAATCTACCAGTTGACCTGGAAACGAAAGTCAAAAACCTCCGTGCTGCAACATTTACCGAAGTCAAGGGTATTCTGAACTTCAATGAAGTACCAACCGAGGACCTTGATACGAAAATAGCCGGCGATTTAGTCGTTTATCTTGAAGGCTACCTACTACCTCATATTGCTATCTTAGTCATGCGGAGTTTCAGGGCATATACTTTGTACGGTGTACCAGCCTCCACTGCCTTTGACGATAGTCTAGGGCTGCTAGTTGATTGCTGTGAACGGATCGATGCTCTTCGGGGGTATTTTCAATCCGACCTTAAACATCAACGGTCCTGGCGCCTTGGAATCCGGGCAAAGCATTTCAAGCAAGCACTAAAGAAGAACCAATTGGGTGTGTTTTTAACTGCAGAAGCACAAGCCCCTCCCGTACCGAGGACTCCCCCGACTTTGCACGGATGGACACGATCAGAAGAAATGTGGCTCCGTGATGCGTGGGAGCAGTATGATTGTGAGTGTATATTTCAAGATTCTATCCATTAATTTGAGTAGCGCTAATTCCGCCTGCAGCAAGCGAACCAATTGAACGCTTCATCTTAATCAAGACGCACCTTGCAAATCAATTCTCACGGCACACTATGAGTTCTCTGAGGCTCAAGGCTCGTGAGCTTGGCTTAGATTATTAGAACTGGTATTCTTAGGCTTCGGACTTTGCAGCGCCTGGTACATGGCTGCCTCTCTACTTTGTTTGATCTGGATTAGATGTCCACCAATGGGCCGGGACACTTTATTGTACATATATAGCATTATACCATTCAAAATTCGCAATCATTCATCTAGGCTGGTGGACTGATGTAATCGGAATGTTCGGGTCCGACTCGGGTATGAACCATGGAAACCATTGTTTTGGTCAACAAAAAGGGGTACGCGCTTTATTGTAGTATGAACGAGGTGGCCCGGCAGAGTACCTCTTTTGTAGGACGATGCAGAATGAAATATATTATGAAGTTCAAACGGTAGATGCATACATTCTATCACGCCGTTAAAACTGGGGTAAAGGTTAAAATATGGTGATCGACATTGCCGCCAACACTTCCCGAGGTCCTTTTTCAGATAAACAAACTTATGTATGGCTAGAATGGATGCAAAACATGGAATGAAAGGATGTAACCGCATTTGAAAAATCATTTTCCGGAATACAAAGTACTGTTTCCCCAGATCTCTCGGGCTCGAGGTCGGGGCCAAGGGTTCAAAGGAGCAACGACGATCCTCCCCCTCCTCCCTCCGCCGACACCGCTTTTACTTTTCCCGCTTTCTCCTTTTCTTTTCTTGAATACTCAACCAACTGTCTTGCGTTATCCCTACCGAGTATAACTCTCTGTGACAGCTACGCACGCTGCCAGCTTGCTCCTCTGTACTGAGGTACATCCCTCGAGACCCTCGGTGCCAGAAGCCCCTGAAGCTTCTCGACCAAATCTGCGCGCTGCGCGTAAGTACAACCCATTCGCTTTTGTTGTATGCTGCCCTTTTCCCTTCCAGTTGCAGTTTACATGGTTGTATATGTTTCAATTCTGCATCATTGCCTCTGAGAGCAGTTGCTCCTTGCCATATGAGAAATCAATGGCTGCAACTAGCTGCGATCCTCCAAAGCCGAGTCCGCCGAGCTTGAAAGGTTGAAGCTATGAGCAGCATAAGCTACCGGCATCATCGCGGAGGAAGATATGAGACTGATAATATATGCCTCTATTGAGAGCTGGGCACTCAAGCTTTTCTGCGCTTTACATATGCTGATTGTTTTTTTTCTCCCCTCAGGCCCCTATTCTGTACATTTCAACCTCTTCCACACACCTACCCCTCGGTTTAAGATTGCTTTTTCGTCTTAATCACTACTATCCGATAATATGGCGTCTACCGAGGAACCCATTCCTATCTCCTCCGACGTCGATATCGAGGCTGAGGTCGAGGCCGGAGTCGATGCCGATGTCGAGGTTCCGCCTCCAGCTACCCCCGTAGACTCGGCCATGTTCTCCGGAGGTGAAGAGGCTGTTAAGTCTAGCCCCGAGGCATCCAAAGAGAACGTCCCAGTGTCTCCTAGCAAAACCAGCACTGGTGCACCAACTACCAAACGTCCTATTGTGGTCAAGCGCCCTACCTCAACCTCGACTGTGTCGAAGACTGGAGCTACGCCAGCTGCTCGTACCAGCATGAGTAGCACATTGAATAAGCCTCCTACCCGGCCTACCACCACCGCCACCACTACTGCCACTCGGAAGCCTCTTGGTACTTCTACCACGTCGTCTCACAGGTCCCGTGCATCGGTCAGTAGCTCTGCGGATGAGAAGCCTCGGTCAATCGCAAGCTCTGGGGATGAGAGGCGCAGCACCTTGGGTGCAGCCAAACGCACTTCTATGGCTGCTACTCCGTCTACGCGCGCCCCATTGAAGTCCACCTCGACCCTTGACCGCAGATCAAGTGTCGCTGGCTCCGCTTTGGAGAGAAAGCCTGCGGCACCTTCCACTGCCACATCCCGCACGGCTACCTCCACCAGTAGACCCGTTGGTAAACTGACATCTGCGACCACCCCGAGTGCTCGACCAACCTCCTCGACCTCGCCCCGCACTACGACTACTCGCCCGGCGACCGCCACTTCTGCCACTTCGCGTACTGCGGCGCCTTCTATACGGGACCCGACCAAACGGCTGAGCACCATCTCTAGCACAACTTCCAGAAGTGCTGGAGACTCGGAAAAGCTGCAGACTTTGCAGGCGAAGCTCTCAGAGAGTGAGGAGACAGTCACCGAACTGAGGGCTGAGCTTGAAACTGTTAACGAGAAGCTGGGTCAACTTTCCATTGCTGGGGAAGAGGCCGCTAAGGACAACACTGCCACAGAATCTCTTCAGGCAGAACATGCTGCTGAGTTGGCGAAGCTGGCTTCTGCCCATGCAGAGGAGCTTGAGTCTTTGCAGGTCCGGCTTCAGGAGGCGGAGACACAACGTAAGGAGTTGGAAGAGAGTTCTCAGAAAGAACTCGAGGCTGCTAAGCAGTTGGCAATGGCTCAAGGTGACGCTCAATCAACCGCTGCTCTTGATGAGCTCAAGGAAACGCACCAGGCTCAATTGGAAGTTCTTAAGAAAGAGCTCGCGGAGTACAGGGATTCTGCTGCGGCTTACGAGAAGGAACTTGAGGCTCTGAAGAAGGACCTCGAGGCACAGAAGGCTCAGTTTACCGAGGAAAACGCTCTGGCTGTCAATAATCTCGAGCGGGAATTGGAGGGTCGTGACCAGGTACTCGACAACTTGAAGGCTGAACTTGACAAGCTGGGCGCTGCGAAGGACGAGGAAATCATGGCCGAGAAGGATGCTGCTGAGAAATCTACTTCAGCTCTCCGCGAGCAAATTGCTTCATTGGAAGCCAAGATCGCTGAGTCTGAGTCCAACACCCAGAATAATTCAGAGGAAATCACGAACTCCTTAGTCGAGAAGGATCAGGAGATCGCCGATCTCAAGCAGAGCCTTGCCAAGGTTCAAGTAGACCTTGAAGAGGCCCAGGCTGCATCCGCCGATGCCCTCAGCACCAAGGTCAAAGAATTGGAGTCAGCTCACGAGGCCGCCATTGCTAACGTGAAGGCCGAGCATGAGCAGGCTTTGAGCTCCCTTTCCGCCTCGCATGCCGAAGAGCTTACTCTTGCCAAGGCTGCCGCTGAATCTACCGGCACCGAGCACTCTCGGCAACTGCAAGAATTGCGAGATGCATTGGAATCCGCCAAGGCTGCTGCTCTGGGAGATAACGAAAATGCTATTACAGACCTTAAGGCTGCCCATGAGCTTGAGCTTAAGTCTCTTATGCCGAGACTGGAGGAGTCTGAGAAGGCTTTGAATGAGTCTCGTCAGGCTTTGGAAGGCCATGCCGCTGCGCGGGAGTCTGCAATTCAAGAAGTTGAGGCCCTTCGTCAAAAGGTTGGAGCCCTGGAGCCACAGGTCTCTAGCGGCGCTGGTAAGATCAACGCTCTTCAGCAGGAGGTTCAGAGCAAGCAGACTGAAGCCGAGGAGCTGTACCGCAGCTTAAAGAACCTAGAGGGCGAGTCGAAGTCCAGGGATGTCGAGAAGGAGAACAAGCTGAAGAGTCTGCAAGATAAGGCCGCCGAGGCTACTCTGCTTCTTGAAGAGCACACTGCAAAGGCAGCTTCGTTGTCTGAGCAGCATGCTCGAGACATTGAGGCTCTCAAGGCTGAGCACGCCGCCGAGTTGGCACAGGCTGCAAAGGAAACAACTGGTTCTCACGCAGATGCTTTGAGTGAGCTCCAGGCGAAGCATGACGAGCTCCTGGCCAAAAACCGCGAATTTGAGTCGAACCATGCAACACATGCTACTCGGGTCGAATCGCTCGAGGCTGAATTGAAGTTGGTTCAAGAACGTCACGCTGGAGATATTGCAACCCATGCCCAGTCTCGTGAGACCGAGACTGCTGAGCTTCAGAAGCAGGTTCAAGAATCTCAAGCCAAGGCCCAAGCCGAGGTTGAAGCATTGCAAGCTTCTGCTACTGCCAACAGTGATGCTCATCTGAAGGAGATTGCCGAGCTGCAAAAGGGTTTCGAGGAAACCAAGGCTCAGTTGCTGGCTGAGATTGAAGCTGTGAAGAGCTCGAAGGCTGCCGATGCTGATGCCGAGCACGGAAAGGCCATTGAAGAGCTTCTCACAGTCCAGGAGGCTAAGCTCGCTAATTTGAGAGCTGAGCTTGATGCATCCCACGAGGCTAGACTTGGTGATCTGCAGAACATCCACGAGGTTGCCCTGGGTAAGGTCAATGAGCAACTCCTCCAGGCCAAGGCAGCTGCGCAGGATACATCTATCATCGATAGTCTAACGGCCACCGTGACTGAGCTTGAACAGAAGCTAGCCGCTTCGGAGAAAATCCATGTCACCTTCCAGGAATCCGCGGTCACCACTTCGCGGGAGATTCAGGATAAGCATGCTGCCGAGGTTGCCAAGCTCCAGGCTCAACACTCGGAGCTTGCGGCCAAGCATGATGCCGCTCTTTCCCAGGTCGGAGAGCTTCAAAAGTCTCTCGCCACTTCCAGCGGCAAGACCTCTGAGTTGGAGTCCATCATGAGACAACTTTCGCAGTCTCAAGAGGAGATTGCTTCTTTGAAGGCGAAACACACCGCCACCAGCCAAGAGCTAGAGGAGACTCGGGCTGTGAACAAATCCATCGAAGAAAGGATTGCCGCCGGTGAGCAGAATCTGAATGATCAAATCGACAAGAACATGGCTCTTCTCAACCAGCTTGGTGATTTCGAGTCACAACTTTCCGCCGGCCGCCGACGAGTCCGCGAGCTCGAGGCAGACCTGGCTACTCTGAAAGCAGGAGGCAGTCTGGGCACAGAGAACGACAAGGGCACTTCGTCAGGCTTGGAGTCAAGCCGGTGGGCAACAGCGGATGAGGGTAGCGAAAAAGCTGAAGATGGAGGTCCAGCCACAACTGAAGGTGAGCTTGGTTCATCCATCGAGGGAACGGTGGGAGATCCCCGTTTTAAGTCGTCATACTCCTCAAACTTGCCCGTTTTCCATCCATTTACATGAGACTTGAGCCACAATTTTATTTTTACAAACACTAATGAAAAATCGTAGATGGCAAGCATTCAGGAACAGCTTAAGCACATTCGATCGGCAAACGATGAGTGGTATGATGAGCATCGCAGGTCAGTCTTACCTCTCCCTGCTATGGCCCCCTTACTTCAGGACTCGTGCTAATGATCTACCTTGCAGACTCATCGGAGAATTGTCTCAGCTCTCCCGACGAGCCACTCCCAACCCTCCCAGCCAGACGTCAACACCCGGCCCTGAAATCGCAGTGACCGCTCCTGAGTCAGTGAGCAGTCGTGTCTCTGCCGCCCGGTAAAAGACCGGGTTCTTTTGGCTGCTTTTCGGTGCGTCTCGCGGGTATATTAGGTACCCGCTTGTTTAAGCACGAGTTTCCTTTGTTATCCTGTTTCACTCGTTTTGTCCTATTGCTTCGGTTTATGCAATAGGACCCAGGATACCCTGTTTGACTGCTAGGGTCTCTACCCTGGCCTTCATGTTTAATACGTTTTATTGCTTAATGTCAGCACCAGTCTATTTTCAATAAGGCTGGTGGTTGTGTGTACATTTAGTTGGAGAGCTTCCATTGGTGAATTATTATTTCCCCTCTGCAGTAAGCTCGTCTAAGGCTATAATGCCCATTGCAACTCTGTAGCGTAAATCAATCCATTGGTATTGCTTACAATCTCTCTCTATTGGCCAGTGTCGTTGAGATCACAATTACCAAGGAGCATGAACGCAGAGTGCGCCATCGTCTGGACACACCAAACACATAATATAGCAATTATACCGCCTATCTTACCCAGGCTAAGGTCTAATTTCGAAATGAAACATCCAAGTATCATTGCATACGCCTCTTTTTCCAAACAAAGGGAACTGGTCCGGATTATATCGTCGGATCTAACGAATTTCTTCTAAACGTACATATGCAACAAGATGGAAAACCTCTCAGCCTACCGAAAACATGGTGGTGGATGGTATCAAAGCAAGCGGGAAAGAAAATCTAGTGACCCTTGCTCACCAACTGCTCCAGCTTCTTCCGGGTCTCACCAATCTTGTCCTCCATCATCTGGCGACCCATAGCGCTGTGTGCGATACCAGTGTACCAGATGTGCTCCGCCCGCTCCCGGAGAGCGATGTGCTGATCCGCCACAGCGGGGAACTTCTTCTCGTACTGCCAAGCCAACTCGCCAACGTTCTTCATGGTGACGGGCAGGAGAGTGTAGGCAGCCACAGTACCGAAGGCAAGCGGCGACAGAGTCCGCAGGAAGATACCGCGGTTGCGTGATACGATGGAGCCGGCCATAGCGGCCACAACGACGTAGACACCGCCGGGGGTCAAACGCTCACCAGAATCAGCGGAAGGAGCGAGCGAAGCAATGGTGTTGGTGAAAGCATTTTCGATGTGCAGCGCCCGGGACAGGAAGTCGTTGAAGCCATTCTCCGCGGCCAGGGAGTGCGAGTATAGGAAGAGACGGGCTTGGCGGACCTGGGAGGTCAGGATGTCTGTCGGGGTAGGCGAGGAGGGGGATGTTTGCAAGAACGGCAGAGAGATGGCCTTGGAGACTTCAGGCTCGGGCTCGGGCACAGGTGTGGCTTTAGAGGGTTCGGGGATGTCAGACGAGAAGTCATCGTCGTAGATGGATTTCCTCTGTTTTGGGAAAGCAGTCGTGTGTCAGATGGGTTTATCCTCGAGTATTATGTTTCATGTGGCAAGTTAAAGGTATCGGTGGTTCTAACCTCTCGGGGATCTTCCGCGAAAGCTGTCTGCTTGGGGTACAGAGCCATGCCTCCTGCGAGGAGGGTGGCTGCGATCGGAGCCACAGCCCGCTAGACACGAGTTAGTTCCGCCATTGGCTCAATTACGCGGATGCGGTCAGATGCTACCGCATGACAAACATACCTGCTGCAAGATCGGCCGGAACGACATGCTGGGGTTGTGTGGGGAGGTATAATAGTAGGAGAGGGAGGTTGAAGCAAAGTCGGGTTCACAGCCAAGACGGGAATTCTTCGGCTCGGCGGAACCCAAGAAAACTCCGTCATTGCCCGCGTCTCCTTGAAGCTCTCTCGTCCTCTACCCCAGCTTTTCTCTCGCAATCGGAGGTTTGGGTCTTTCGTTTTTTGTTTCTATCTATTATTATTCCCTCCCGAACGATCTCGGTACCTACCTATCTCATATCATGCTTCGTCCTCTTGGGCGCCGGCCTTGGACATGCCGACAATGTCTCCTACAGCGCCAAACCCGCGCATTTGAAAGCGCCGCATCGCAGGCTCCCCGATCACACATCAACAGTATACCAACAGATAATAGCGCTCCGAGGAAGAACGTCGATGACGAAACATTGCGCCGCATCTTTGACTCGCAGAACTTTTGGAAGGACTTCTCGCAACAACGATCCGCGGATGTTTCAAAGCGAGCCGGATTAGTTCAGAACCAATACTTGACAAGCCCGGATGGTTTCAGGGCGTTCGCAAATGCGTCGCTACAGAAATGCCAGGTGATTGTGGCCAAGGTTCTAGCGGCCGAGACACTGGACGAATATCGGGCATTGGCACGGAATCTAGACCAGCTCAGTGATCTCCTATGCAGGGTTATCGACCTTTCGGACTTCATTCGAACTATTCATCATGATCCGCGAATCCAAGAAGCAGCGACGCAGGCGTACGCTCTAATGTTTGAATATATGAATGTGTTGAACACTACCACTGGCCTTCATGAACAACTCAGCATCGCCTTGTCTAAACCTGAAGTCACATCACATTGGTCCGAAGCAGAGACTATTGTCGCCCAGATTCTCATGAGGGATTTCACAACATCTGCAATTCATATGCCGCCAAGTGAGCGACAACGATTTGTGAACCTCTCAAACGATATCAGCCAGGTTGGTTCCGCTTTCTTCAATGGCGCGGAGCCAGCTAGATCTCAAATCACATTCCACGCGAACGCACTTCAAGGACTGGATCCCATTGTGGTGCAGCAAATCAAGAAATGGAATAACAAAGCGCCAGTGCCGACTGCTGGAGTCGTTCCTCGGCTTGTCCTACGATCCGTGCGAGATGAATCGGTCAGGAAGCAAACCTATCTTGCGACTAGAACTTCTAGCTCACGCCAGATTCACCGTTTGGAGAAACTATTAACGAAGCGAGCTGAACTAGCAAAGCTCTCAGGGTTCAATAGTTTTGCTGATATGACTCTGAGTGATAAGATGGCTAAGAACCCTGAGGCTGTGTCAAATTTTTTGACATCACTTATCTCGAGCAATAAGGGTCCTGTACAAGAGGAGTTGGCCCAATTGCAGCAGATGAAGGGCAGCGGGCTCCAGCCATGGGATCATGCTTATTATGTTCATAAGCGTGTGCTGGAATATTCCCAGTCCCGTCGATCTCGTGAGCTGAGCATTGTTCCTGAGTTCTTTTCTTTGGGAACAGTCATGCAAGGACTTTCACGACTTTTCGATCGTCTTTATGGTGTTCGTCTCGTTCCTCAGGAAACAACTGCTGGTGAGACCTGGCACCCGGACGTTCGTCGTTTAGATGTGGTAGATGAGTCGAACAGACATATCGCAGTTGTATACTGTGACTTGTTCAGTCGACCAAGTAAACACCCGAATCCAGCACATTTCACATTGCGGTGCTCGCGTGAGATTTCCGCTGAGGAAATCGCCGAGTGTGCCTCATTGGATCGGTCTGCACACCCGAACGATGGCATGGCGACAGCAGTGGACCCGCAAACAAACACCCTGCGCCAACTGCCGACAATTGCGCTTGTCTGTGACTTCCAGGAGCCAGTGAGCAATGGCTCAGGCCGACCAACTCTCTTGAGTGAGCAGAGTGTGCGCACTCTGTTCCACGAGATGGGTCACGCTGTGCATTCCATCCTCGGACAGACTCCTCTTCAGTCTATTTCCGGCACTCGGTGCGCGACTGACTTCGCTGAGCTTCCCTCAGTCCTGATGGAGAGCTTCGCTACTGCTCCAGAGGTCCTTTCCCTCTATGCCCGGCACTGGAGTACTGACGAGCCCTTGTCCGAAAGCATGATGCGCAGCATGGAAATGGACCGTACAGCCCATGGTTCCATCTACGGCGCCGTTGAAAACGAGTCGCAAATCCTCATGGCTCTCGTCGACCAGGCTTACCACTCTATTCCCAGCGCCGAGGCTCTGAAGAATGGTGTTGACACCACCGAAATATACCACCAGGTGTTCTCCCAGCACTCCAGCTTGCCGGATCCAGAAGATGTCCGACCCCGGACTTCTTGGCAGGGCTTCTTTGGCCATCTTTACGGCTATGGTGGCACCTACTACAGTTACATCTTCGATCGTGCCATTGCCAATAAGATCTGGCAGGATGTCTTCCAGTCTGGGAGGACATCTGTTGACCGGGCTGCAGGCGAGCGTTATAAGAATGAAGTACTCCGCTGGGGCGGTGGACGCAGTGGCTGGCAATGCGTTGCTGGTGTTTTGGGCGATGCGAACCCCTCCAATGCAGATGGTCGCTTGGTGGAGGGTGGTGATGAGGCCATGCGCGAAGTTGGTCGCTGGGGGCTGGGTCGAGATGGAGGGTCCGTGTAAATTATTATGATATCCTGACATACACTTGATTTATATATACCTAGGTATGTTCTACTTGCATCCCAATGTTGTTTTGTTACTTTTCTTCGTATATTGTCCCACTCTGAGTATTATCGTAGGTAGTAGAAACGGCTGGATCGTTTATGCCTTCCATGCTATAGGACTGTTACTTCAAGCTATGAAAGCTCTCAACGTTGCAGCTAAAATCGACATGAAGGAGAGTAATACATCCATCTCTGTGTACTTACCCATGGATGTTACTGCTCTACTGAGAAATATGGTCTCATTCCATACAGTAGGTAAGATACAGTATGTAGGTTGAATAGAAAAAAAAAGAAGGTTCACTCCATGTATGGAGTGTATGTAGGAGAAAAAAACGACGGCTGGCGGATTCGAACCGCCGCCTCCGAAGAGAATTGATTTCTAGTCAATCGCCTTAGACCACTCGGCCAAACCGCCTATTGATGGATGATTGAAGCAGCTTGTGGTATATGACTACCAGCTCTCACTCTGTCACTTTGTCGCAAGGCGGCTTTATCCGCACTCCCATGTTTTCACAAGAACTTATCCTTTGCACTACCTCCAGTGTTTGAAGTGTTAAGCTATTCCACGCACCTGGGGGAGTGTCTCTATGGCTCAAATAAAATGGTACGGTTTTAGAAGTTTTTTAAGCCTACTACCTAGGCGTTCTTGCTAACAGGGATACATGTGCAGCCAACTTTAGTTGTATATATAATCGTACGTGATGCCAACGGCTCTAACGTGTATTTGGCTGGACTGCCCTAATTCAACATTGAAATTGCAGGCGAGGCATAAGTATATAAAGCTATAGCGTTAGGATTCAGACGAATACGCTTAATAGCTGGTATATATTAAGTATGATTAATTTGCGTTTCCAGATGTTTGCCTACCTTCTTCGAGGCCATTGAGTAGATTATCATTGAATGTGATATGTATTTGTAAAACCCATATTGTTGGGAAAAGACTTCATGACTTAACAGGTGATGTGCTTCCTATTCCTTACTGTAAGTCAAGATTTCTTTTCATATTAAATCAATTGGAAGATAAGTTCTCGAAGGGTGACATGCAAGTCACCATGTTGAACGGGTGACGCTGATTCATCGATAAAGCTCGGTGGAGCAGTCCTTCTCCGCCCTGACCTCCCGTCACTTTCGCGACCATTCCTCTCATACCGTCACTTCTAATAGCTCCCGTTTCTTCAGTCTCTCTTTACTCACCAGGCGCACTCATTCACTCTTAATTTGTGGATGCAGGATAACCTGCCAAATGTGCGCGTCCTAGCCTAATTTCTTCGCCGGCCCGTGCCTCCATCTTTCTGCGATAGAACCCTCGCCATCCAGTCTTTCCTCACTACGACCGCGTTAACACCAGCCAAAATGCCACACTCTACAAACCCAGACCCGGAGGCCCCGGACGATACGGATTTCGAAACTGTTATGCGACAACTGAACAACTATGAGGCTGGTCCACAACTTGACTTTTTGTCGCGCGACCTGGAAGTCGGTGAAAAAGCAGACGACGCTATCGATTTTGAAGATTTTGACGATGACGAGCTTCCTGAAGAAGAGGAAGCAGAATCTGCGACGCGCCTTCCACCCACAGAGGCCCCCACGGACTCCTTCGCCGACCTCGACACCGACGACGCGGCTCTGTTCGGAGCCGGGGACGACATATTTGGGGATGGAGATGGGGGAGCCCATGGCCAGGAAGACAATCTTGATGATCTCTTTGGGGAGGGTCCCCATTCTCCCCCGCCAGAGGGTCAGGTTGACCACATTCAAGACCTCTTCGAAGATGAGGAGCCGGTCTCAGCCATCCAGCCGGTTGAGCTCCCGCCTCTTCCGTCAGTGCCCGAGCCCCAATCCCAGGCAATGTCCGTGGTGGATGAAAATGAGTTCCTCGATGATGCCAGTATCATATCGGAGGAGATGGACCCCTCGACCCTTCGGGCTTGGAAACTTCAGCAGGCCCTGTTTGCCATGTCCGGAACTGGACCAGACCACCCGCCAGCACCACCGGAGAACAACGAGGAACTTCTTCACTCCCTGTTCCCCAGTTTTGATCGCAATACCTTGCCACGATGGCTAGATTTGATCCCACACAAGAAGGCTTATTTCCGAGGGAAACAGCCATTGAAGGTCCCCAAGCCAGTCCTTCCGACCAAAGTCAACATTGAGTTGGCTCCCGACCAGGAGCGAGTATTTCGAACCGGCCAGCCCAGCAAACGTGGCCTCGACCAAGATTCCTTGGGAGTCGTGTTCATTGAATCTACTCAGGAGGAAGAACAAGAAAACAAAGAAGAATTCGACTTGGGAGAGGGAGAGGCAGATGAAACACTGCCTGGTGGATTTACTATGCACGACCTCCGAACCATGTGCGCGGATTGGGATATACATGATGAATACCTGTCTTCGGAGCCCGAGAAGCAGCGCGCTGAGCCCGAGGCGGACCTTAATGATGAAGAGGATGATTGGCTCACCGATGCAAACCATCCGGCCAAGAAACGCAAAACCGGCCCGGCTCCCATGGATGTTATCGCCTTAGCGCATCTTGATATTCCACTGTTGGATGACCCCGAGCAAGCAACCGAGCGGATTGCGAAGAAGGTCACGATTGATATGAACGATCCTAATATTCTTGTCGAGGAGCTACAACCAGAATCCGTTGTCCACAAACCTAAACACACAGTCCCGCGTACCAGAGATGAAGTCGACTCTAACCTGACCCGTCGTCTCACTCAGCGCTACAACATCTCGAATGATCAAGCATATGATATGCTCAAGCAAAACCACCAGAATAAGATTCGGAGTACGCTTGGCAATGTCACTCTTGAACATGCGATGCCAGCCTTGCGCCTGCAGTGGCCATACTACAAAACGGAACTGGGTAAAGCTGAGGCTAGATCTTTCCACCGGCCCGCTATGGTCTTCCGTACTGGTCAAACCTCTTGGTTCAAGAACCCCCAACACATAAAACGCAAGCAACAAAAGGGCAAGGATGCCAAGGCCCTTTACTCTTCAACAAGCCAACTTTCCATGGCAGACAACTCGCATGTTTTGCTTGTGGAATACGCCGAAGAAGTTCCCATGTCGCTTTCTAACTTTGGCATGTGCAATCGCTTCATCAACTACTATCGAAGGAAGAACCCGGATGATCCCACCCGCCCCAGGGCCGAGATCGGCGAGACAACCGTCTTGCTACCCCAGGACAAGAGTCCGTTCTCCATTTTCGGGCATGTGGATCCCGGTGACATCGTTCCTGCAATTTCGAATTCGATGTACAGGGCACCCCTTTTCCCACACTCTGCGAAGTCCTCCGACTTCCTTGTGGTCCGAAGTACCACCCAGTCCAAGGGCAGTACTTACTATTTGCGCAATATTGAGAATTTCTATGTTGCTGGACAGCAATTCCCTTCGGTTGATATTCCCGGCCCACATTCCCGTAAGGTCACGACTGTCGCGAAGAATCGCATGAAGATGCTCGTGTACCGATTGCTCAAGAAGAGCCCCGACGAGCGGCTCGCCATTAGTGATGTGACAGCTCACATTCCCGGCACGACAGATATGCAAAATCGACAGAAGGTCAAGGATTTCCTCCAGCACGACAAGGACACCAAATATTGGAAACCCTTAGATCCTACTCTCCCAGATCAAGATACGATTCGAGCGTGGGTTCAACCCGAGGATGTCTGTCTTCTCGAGTCAATGCAAGTTGGCCAGCAACACCTCAACGACACTGGTTTCGGCGGCGAGGCAGAGAACGCAAATGAGAATGACGATGACGAAGAAAGTGAGAGCTTTGAGCAGCAGATGGCTCCCTGGAAAGCGAGTCGCAACTTTTTGTTGGCGTCTCAGGGCAAGGCCATGCTGAAGCTTCATGGAGAAGGTGACCCTACGGGACGTGGAGAGGGCTTCAGTTTCATAAAGACATCCATGAAGGGTGGCTTCAAGGCTATCGGAGAGAGTGTGGAGGATAAATTAGACGCACAGCGACTCAAGGAGCTAGGTGGCCACAGTTACAACGTCGCACGCCAACAAAGGTCATACGAGACATCGATCCGTCGTATCTGGGATGCCCAGAAAGCTAGTCTCTCATCAACAGTGGAACACTCAGACCAAGAAAGCGATGTCGATCAAGGCGAAGAAGAAGAATTCAACAAACCAACCCCCCGCTCCGAAGCCCCAACGCCTGCTCCAATTCGCCGCGACGACGAAACAACCTCTCAATTCAGTCGCATGAGTTTCAACAGCCAGAAGGGCAAGGTACTTCGCATCACCCGCCAATTCAAGGAACCAAACGGCGAGATCGTGCAAAAGGAGCAGCTAGTCTGGGACCCACGAGTCATCCGCCACTACATCCAACACCGTCACCGCACCGAGGCTCTAACTACAAAACTGGATTCCCTCCAGCCAACCGGTGACCCTGAAGTCGACCTCCGCAACAAGAAACTCATTGAGGCTGAACTGAGTCGTCTGAACCGTAACAAGGAACGTCGTTTCGCTCGTGAGAAGCAGAAGGGTATTTCTCGTGCCGGCGATTCTCCTGCTGATGGTAAACCGACTGGTACCCAGCGCAAATGTGCCAATTGTGGTCAGGTCGGACATATCAAGACGAATAAGAAGCTTTGTCCTCTGCTCAATGGTACCATGAAGCCTGAAGATAGGGTTACGGATTCGGCCTTCTCGATGAGTGCGCCTGTACTTTGAATATTTTTCTACATTCCATGCCTGTTTTGTTCAAAAATGATATCCCCTGTCTTCTTTTGTCTCACCATTTACCGTTATTGTGCCTATGCCGATTTTTCCCGGTACGGACCCTGTCTGGAATTCCATAATGAGTCGATTTGTTAGCTTAGATTGGCGCGGTGGGATGTACCTAATTCATCATGCTGGTCTATTCATGTTCAAAACATTACGGTTTCAAATATAAAGGACGCATTCTACGAACGTACCAATCTGTTTATTCACGTAGCTTCGTAAGCACTCTCTTCCAAAGTTTAATGTGATTCGTGCTCTAATTACAATGGGCTATTTTGATATCCGGACAGGTCAATGGTAATACCTGACATTGTTGCTAAGGATATACAAAAGAACGGGAAAGTATCCAAACAGAGTCGCTCCAAATCATGCAACGAAAGGCGTATACGAATAGTTGGATCGTGGAGGCTGGTCATATTGCTCCCGGTCAGTGCAAGAAGCTCTTGGCGTTTTACAGGGCGTAAAGCTCTGCCAATCCCCCCCTATTTAATGGTTGGCATCCATGTTCCGTGTTCAGAGCCAAATTCGGGCCCTTCGGCCGACGGTATGTATAACCTAAGAAAGCACCTCTCTTGCGTATCTCCAAAGCAGTTTTGCCAATCTGCTTGTCTCTCAGGATCTTGTCACGAGGCCGCTTCTTATCCCTTCGCCTCTCGGCATCTTGGGCCTTCTTTGCACTGGCTTCAGCTGTCATTGCAGGGGCTGTACCTGTCGTTGGCGGCTCAAGAGTAATACCCTGCTGGTATTTGGGACGTTCTGGTGCAGCAGAGACTGGCTCTTCATCATGATCAGTGTCGTCCTCTTCCGAGTCGCAGTTCGGAGACGCTTCTTCAATATTAGCAATTCCCTTCCAGTCATCAAAGTATCTGGTGTCCTCCCAGTTTCGAACTCTGGGTATCAGTGGTGGCTGGGTCATGTGGAGCTCATTCCAACGGATACCTCTGAAGAACGGATGGGCTTTGATATCAGTAGCGTCGTTGGGATATACAAAATAGCTTGTGATAGATCTGTATCGGGGATCCATGGAGTAAAGAAATTGAGCAGTGACAGGGCGGCCTGATAGCACGTCGTTGGCTTGATACTCCTGAGCACATAAGCGATAATGGCGCTCCTGGAGGATTCGACTGATGAGGTTGATAGCTTCCTGAGATACCAGCTTATCGGTTGGCTTTTCTCTGGGGAATTGCAGAGTTCGCGTGTGTTGCTGGGCGTACTGTTAGCTTGTATGAGCAAGGAAATGTCGTAACGACGAGCTTACCAGGATCTTGAGTTTTGTGTCATGGCGGTTTTCACAGGCGAAAGGAGTGAATCCATACAAGCACTATAGAGTAGTATATGAGATGGTGATACTCAGAGTAATTGGTCGTAAATGCTCACCTCGTATAAGATTATTCCAAGGCTCCACCAATCGCAACGTCCGTCGTACATCTCACCTCGAATGACCTCAGGAGCCATATACTGACTAGTCCCAACAACGCTCTTGGCAAATCGCCGCCTCTCTTTACTGTTACGCCATGCCAATAAATCTGTGGTGGGCGTATGGTAGTTGGAATAATCAATCATACTCTGGGGGTCGGAGGCTGCCTTTGATGGATTTGTTCGCCCTTCCGCCGTATTCTTTTGGTCTTCAGCGTCACCAGTGACTGCGATGCCAAGTTTCTTGAGCAAAGAATAGCGATGACTGTAGTAGTAAGACTGATCATGCGACCAATGACCATTGAAAGCTAGGCCAAAATCAGAGATCTTTAAGTGACCAGAGGCAGAGACGAGGAAATTATCGGGCTTGACATCGCGATGAATCCAGCACAGCCGATGAGCTTCCTCGATGCACATGATCATTTCGGCGACGTAAAATCTTGTCCAGTCCTCACGGAGTATATCTTTTCGAATCAACAAGCCCAGAAAGTCTCCACCAACCATGTAGTCCATGACGAGATACAAGTGATTTCCGTCTTGAAAGCTTGCGATCAACGGGACCACCCAGCGAGACTTTTCAGATGCAACCAAGAAATCTCTCTCAGCTCGGATGTGGCCTTCTTGGGAATTTCGAATCATGTCAGACTTCTTGATCACTTTCATCGCATAGACATCCTTGTATTCCCCAATCATGAATCTTCGGCGATTGTGTTTTGTCCCATCAACAGCAGACTTGAACATGTTAAGGGGACGGCCTCGGGTGCTGGGAAACCTCTCCTGAATCGAAGAATCTTCCTCGCAAGAAGGTTTCTTATCTTCCTTTTCACGTACCAATCGGACAACACCAAAACTGCCCTTTCCAAGAACCTTAATGGCCTCATAGCCAGCCGCCGAGATTGCATTATCGCTCCCAATGGGTCGCATAGTCTTGAGAGTCCGACACTGACGGAGATGTTCGTTCTCCTGCAGTAACCAGTTGCATCTCGCCGCAAACTGCTCTTCAGGTGCAAGCTGAAATGAATACATACGCTGTTCAAGTTCGTGCTGTCGCTGTACGCGTGGATCGCAATTTTGGAATATCGAGTTGAAATAAAGTTCCAAGAACACCTTCGCCACGGCGGTTGCCTCCACGGTCACGATGGAAGGCACAATGATTGGAAAAGCGCTTCCTGTGGTGGCTTGGGGTACAGTCACATCAGTGACATTGTCTGGCAGAGAGGGGAAATCTGTCACAGGAGCTTTGAATTTCTCTGAAGGTGACGGCTCCGCAGATGTGGCCGGAGTGAGAGGAGTAGAGTGCCCAAGTGGGGAACCATTGCTGCTGGGTGCCGTCGAAGGGTTCGAGCTGTCGTTTGCCCCATCACCCTGCTTAAATTGTGGCCCAGGAGATATTGGAGACTCAGGGAAGGGAATAACTGGCCTCGAGCGGAAGTGAGTACGGCGGATCACCGTGGGATTACCAAATGTCGTGGAGAGTCTTTGGGAAAGTCGATTGATGAGCCTGGCACTGGGAGTTCTTTGATGCCCAGTGGTGGTTATGCACCCACCATCGTCGCCTTCATCATTCTGCTGTATGGCCTCTCCAAATTCTGCGGGTGATGGAAATCTTGTCGAGGGGATTGACCTGGGGTCCACAGGCTCAACCTTGACGTAAGGAGTGATGGGTGGTTCGTGGTCTGGCGAAACATCACCAGTAATGTAAATATGATTGTGTTCGGTTGTGTGAAGGGGTGGACTTCGCTGTTCTGGACTTTGAGCGTCTTCGCTTGAGACGGATTCCACACTCGTCTTATTACCTGCTGATTGTCAGTAAGTCCTTATCGACCATATGGTGGATAAATGTGATCTTACTGTTTGCAGAGCTCCCTAGCCCCAGTAACAGCAGGAGCTTGGAACCACTCCGCGTCAATCGGATCTTAAGTCGGTCTTTGCCTGGCTCAGTAGTAATGATAGGTTCAGAAGCAGGACTGGCGTCGGATATAGGGGAATCGGATGGAAAAGGACCGCATTTGTTGTTGTGGGTAGCTGCTTTATTTGGAATCCAAAGATTGAAAACGCTCCTTCGAGATCTCACTTTCTTTCTATAAGAGACTGTCATGTTGTCACAATCTAGCAGATCAAGGAACGGGGGTTCTGCTAGTGTCAGACCATCCGGAGCTTGGCATTGGTAAACGATAGGATGGTCAAAATGTCGGACTCAATAAAACTGCAGCTTGCATGAAAAGATCATCTTTCATCCTTTGTCGGGGAGAAGAAGGTTGTTGGCGCAAGCGGCAAGAGCCACCGAGCTAAACAAGGTCCCTACTTGTGAACTACACAGGAAAACAAGGACTGAACAATCAAATGTAGATTTCAAATACAAATGCGCAAATACAAAATACAGGTCACAAAATCGGGCACTTTTCCATGCAAAGGAGATAACTTCCTCGTGATAACCTCATTCCTTAGATCAAATCGATCAAGGCAAAAAACAAACAAGCCGGATATCACAGGAAATCATGCAATCAAACCGATTGAACCAAACACCCGTGCGAATCAGTGATAAATAAACAAAGGATAACCGAGCGAGACGTCTATTTGATCTCGAGCAGCTTAATGTCGAAGATCAACTTGGAGTTGGCGGGAATGCCGGGGAGGGCCTTCTTGCCGTAAGCAAGCTGGGGAGGGATGGTGAGACGGCGCTCAGCACCGGGGGCCATGCCGGCAACACCGATGTCCCAACCCTTGATGACCTCGCCACGTCCGAGCTTGAAGGTGAAAGGCTTGCCCTTCTTGTTGGAGTCGAAGACCTTGCCGTTCTCAAGCTTACCGATGTAGCGCATGGCAACAGTGTTACCACTCTTGGCAGCGACACCCTTTCCAAGCTTCTTGTCATCAATCTTGACACCACGGACCTCCTTCACACCGAGAGTACCGGTGGGCTTGTCACCGGAGGGAGTAGGTCCCTGCTCGAGGTTCTTGGCGAATTGGACCTTCTTGTCGGTCTTGGCCTCCTTCTTGTCGGCCTTGGTCTCCTTGGGCTCAACAGCGGCGGCATCGCCGTTGTTCTTCTTCAGCTTCTTCTGCTGGGCCTTGGTCAGAGCAGGCTCCTCCTTGGTGGCCTTACCCTTGGCGCTCTTGGCGATCAAGTCATCAAGGGTCTCCTCCTCGGCGGCACGCTTGTTCTTGCCCTTGGCCTTGGCCTCAACCAGCTTGGGGGCCTCCTCCTCCTCACTGTCAACCTCGGTGATGCGGGGGTCATCCATGCCATCAAGGTCATCACTCTCCTCGGCATCCATGGCCAGGAGCTCCTCCATGTCGAGCTCCTCCTCATCGGGGGAAAGGTCGTAGTCATCCTCATCATCCTCATCCTCATCGTAATCGTCACGGCCCTCATCAAGACCAATGACGTAGTTACCGGTGAGGTACACAGTGTGGTTACCGGTGACCTTGAAGAAGACACGCTCACCCTCGCACACGGTGATGTCAAGGGTCTGCTGGCAGTTCTGTTTGAAATATTAGTTACTAGTCTTTTTAAGAATCATATGAAAAAAAAACGCTTACCTTCTCGGGGCTCAGGGTACAGATGACACTCTCATCGAGGTCCAGGCCCTCATCGGACTCGTCGTCGGACTCATCATCGTCGTTGGCGGGGCCCTTGCCCTTGATGAGCTTGGAGATAGCAGCCTTAAGGTCAAATTCACCATCGTCGGACTCATCCTCATCGTCCTCATCCATGGCATCCTCCAACTCCTTCTGGGCAGCAGCCTTCTTCAGCAGGCGAGCCTTCTCCTTGTCGCTGGGGCCGCCGTTGACCTCCTCATCATCGGAGTCCTCATCATCCTCGACATCGCTGTAGTCCTCATCATCCTCATCATCCTCATCCAGGTCGAGGCCGGGAGGAGGGCGGACAATCTTCAAGGTGGCGCGCGAGGACTTGCTGGAGTCGCCATCCTCAAACTCGGGAGTCTCATCGGGATCAATAGCAGCCATGCTCACACGGAACTGGAATCAAAGTTAGTTCAAAGCATTGCGACCCTCATGGGGGGGATGAACTTACCGAGGCGGCGGCATTGGGCACAGCAGGAATCAAAGCTCCGGGAGGAACGCGAAGAGCGTAAACTGCGACAGGCTGAACGGCCGACATGTTGTATGGATTGATAAGAAATGGAAATGCAAATGGAAAAAATATAAGGGGGAAAGTAAGTGAATGAACTGAGCCACCAAAGAAACAGTGGATGGAAAGAAGAAGAAAACGAAAAGCTGCGGATCCAAATGCAGCAACAGAGATCGTCGAAGCTTCTGTCGCTTTTTTTTTTTTTTCTGATTTTTTGCCTGGATTTTTCGACCAATCAAAATATACCCCTCACTCACACCGCTCTATCATTTGCCTCAACTGACCGCCCAAGTCACCGCTCAATATTCGTCTGAATTTTGCCATTCTGACGCGTGATTTAACCGCGTCTTCAAAGCACTTGGATCGACTATTACTGTTATATATGTGAACTACTTGCTAGCCCAGCATGGGCTCTCGTCTAAACTCAAACTCTGATGCTATGCGCAAGCGCATTGAAAACCGTAAGACCTCCTAGATATGAGATTGAATCTTCATCTGATCTTGACCGGATATAGATGACTTTGAGGACGAAACAGGCGAGGAGTATGAAGCCTCCAGCTTTGGTGGGTTTGGGGATTATATGCGACGCAAAAAGATGAAGTTGCAGAACCTAGACGCGGACATCCGAGCCTCATCCGGGGACTGCCCTCCAATATTTCGTGGGATCGTTGCGCACGTAAATGGCTATACCCAGCCTTCGCTACAAGATCTCCACCGTCTGATCGTCAGTCATGGGGGTGGGTTTCTTCAGTATTTGGACAACAAGACTGCTGCAACCCATATTATTGCGAGCTCCTTGACGCCAAAGAAATGCGAAGAGTTCCGACGGTACCGCATTGTGAAACCGGCCTGGGTCACAGAGAGTATCAAAGCAGGCCGCTTGTTACCTTGGAATGAATTTCGAGTTGTAGACGAAGGCCAGTCTCAGAAAGTTTTGAAATTTGGTGGGGGTCGCATGGGTAGTCAAGCCAGTACACCACGGTCGGGTTACAAAGAGCAATCTAGCACAAGCTGGTACAATTCCCAGCTTCAGGCTACGGGCACAATTGCGACTAGCAGCGGGCAAAATGCAAGAGACCAGAGGACTCCTTCAAAAGCACCTCCTCACAGTCCTACTTTACCACTTGGATCTCCCGGATCAAATAATCGCGGTCCTCCCAGCTCTCCCGTTGTCAGCAGCGCGAGTCATCCCGCGCCATCTGCAGATTCCGGGAGCAGCGAATCGGCGCCGACCAAAACCCCGTCTAGAAAAAGAACAGCGACAGCCAGTGAATATACAGATGAATTGGAAAGCCCTCGCAAAGAAGACTCCTCTCGAATCCAAGTCGATCCGATCCTCAGCAATAGTGCGCACAAGCCTTTGAACCTATCAGGATCCCAGTTCATCATGCCAGCCCAACCAGAACCGAAACCCCATCCTGCGCCTGTTGCGGACATCAGATCAAAGCTTGCAGCACAGGCAAAGCCTCGAGACGACACCCGATCAGGCTCCCCTTGCCCGCCGCCACGTGAAACCCAGGAGCGCTCTCCAGACGCACGCGAGCCTGCTGGTGGAGACCAACCTGATGAGGCCCAGCTAGATCCGGAAACTTTGGCGGCCTTGCCGGAGGACATCCGCAATGAAGTACTAGCTCATTACGGCCAGCAGCCCAGCGAGCCTACCCCAGCGCCATTGGTAGCCCTCGCGCCTTCAACACGATCAACGCCCTCCAAGTCTGCAGGGGTTGAAAGATCTGGCTCGCCATTGAAGAAGCCAAGCCGTTCTTCTAAACTAGGAACAGGCTCCACTAGGACCTTGATGCAATTAGGATTTGTTTCGCAATCTGTCCCTGCCAAGGGCCCTACTCCCGATTCCACGCCCAGATTGCCATCCCCTACGGCAGTATCACAGACCGTGTATTCAGTTTCTACACCCACGTCACCTGAAAGACGGCCCAAATATGAGGATCAAGAGGAACCCGACAAACAAAAAGAAACAGCACACCAGGTTGATTTGGAGAAAACCCCCGAAGCAGACAGCCAACCTGATCTCTCGGATCGACCCGTTTTCACTTCTCGTGGCTTGTCGAATCTGAATGATCTTCGAGACGCAATCAGCGCCTGGCATTCCACATTCACAACCGAGGGTCCATACGATGATGATGTCGAAGCGCTTTGCACATACCTACGCCGCGTGATCTCAGAGGAGAACGATGTTGATAAAGCGGTTTCCGTGGTACGGTGGCTTATGTGGCTTGTTGATAAAGACCCACGGGACGAAGAGGGCCCGCCAGAGTCCCGTCCTGAGGATGTTGTGACTTGGCCGGAGTCTATCAAAACCATGCAAGAGAGTATCCAGTCCGCTTTGGAGGCAAAGGGGCTGCCGGCCGTGAAGTTTGAATTGTGTAAATAATGATTGGTTACGATACAATGACTGATGATCTACCCTGCCATCTTTTTTCCCTTACTATATGCTTCTTATTTAGTTTATTTGATCAAGAATGCGAAACAACGCAAAAGAACGTGCTTTCAGGATGAAAGGAATAAAAGAATATAATAGCGGTGAATGATTCGATAGGCATTCAAGCCCCGTGGGTCTCGTCAGGAAGCGACATAGACTGCAGTTAGAACAGACTATAGATTCTTTGGTTCAATCATGAGGATCCCGATAAAGTTTCCCCATACCCGGAGCACCGGCAAAGTATGAAGTGTACCAACTTAGGATCCAAAGAAATGAACCCGGGGTATAATGGTAGAAGCAAGAGGGCCAAAACACATAGCCGAAACAGATAGAAAAAGAAAAAGCGAGCCAAGAATCGAACTAGGGACCTATAAATTCCAGAATCGATAAAAAATGGAGGAAATAACCGACTTTGGGAAGCAAAACACTCTAATTAATGTCACTCCGGCCTCAACTCAGCCTCAATTCTATCCCCACAATATCAACCTCAACGTCAAAAATCCACAACAAATCAAATCAAATAGGTACTATTATTTGAATTTGACAAAAAATTTGCCGATACATTGCAGTAGGTCCGCTGCCCAGCTCTTAACCGCGGCAACCCCCCAAACTAACTGGGTGTGGCCAGGTCTTCCGCTCGCCGTACTACGCAGTATCCCCATGGCTGCCCATGGGTCCCGTGTACCTGAAGTGGGGGCCCGCAAACCCAAATGGAGACGATAGCGAGCTGGAAACCATTGGGCTACGTGGAGGCCGGATGGGGTTTTGACCCTTGTTATGGTACTTAAGGGAAAAGGTCTGACTTGGTTGGGTTGGTCTTCTCCCTTGGTTGCTTCCAACCTATCCCCATCCTTCTTGTTTATGCCTGGCCTAACCACCCATACCATTCCTAAATACCCACTCCAAGTTCAGTGTACTTTACGCCTTTTCACTTCAAAGTTGCTCCCCGTAAAAATTGATATCATCATAGCCTCTCCGAACCCCTAAACTAATAATAGCCCAGCCAGCTTCAGCTTTCGCATCTTCTTCATCTTTTGTAGAATTTCCACCTTCCTCAATTCCAAGCACAAATACTCCTCATCAGCACTATCCAAATCCTCTGAAATACTAATTAACGGTGTCTTGATAGACGGGGACTCTACATCTCCATTCTGTGATCGTGTCTTGACCTTCAACGTCGCACCTTCACCAGCAGCAACAATATCAGACAACAAAGAGGACATGTGAATTGGCTTCATGCTGTTTGGAGAAGGCCTTTCCACCTTCACGCTGGGCACAGGTACCGCATGAGTCTTGGTCTCCACTGCCCCATTGGTACGACCGGTATCTTTCGAGTCGTCACGATTCGCTCCAATCCATCCTCGACACATCCGTACTGCTTTTTCCCACTCTCCGAATTTGCTGGCGCTCTCTTGGCGGGTTATCTGGGGCTCGAAGACCGCACCACCGCTGCGGTTGATATCGCGGAGCTCGGTGAAGTTTCGCCATAGACCAACTGCGAGGCCTGCGGCGATTGCTGCGCCTAATGCTGTAGTTTCGCGCATCTTAGGCCGATAGACAGGAATTGAGATGAGGTCTGCCTGAGTCTGTACGAGGAAGGGAAGTTAACGACATGTCTTTTGGGGCTGCAACTGTTGACCTGACCTGCATGGCTAGATCCGAATTGCTCATTCCTCCATCAACGGCCAATTCTGAAAGAGCTTGCCCGCTGTCTTTCTCCATTGCTTCCAGGATGGCTTTTGTTTGAAAGCATGTTGCTTCGAGGGTTGCGCGGGCGATATGGCCCTTTTGAGTGTATTGGGTGATGCCAACTGAGAATGCATTAGCGACTAAGCCACAAGGATTCCACGAAAAAACGACTTACAGATTGTTCCCTTCGCATCGTCGATCCAATAAGGTGCAAAAAGCCCGCTGAAAGCCGTGACAAATACACAGCCTCCATTATCCTCCACTGAAAGCGCAAGATCATTCACCTCCTTTGGATCCTGGAAGAAGTCCAAGTTGTTCTGTAGGAATTTTATCCCCGACCCAGCTACAGCAATACTCCCCTCAAGAGCATAAACGGCCTTCCCCCCAAAATTGTACGCAACCGTAGCTAAAAGCCCGTGTTTCGAGAAAACAGGCTTATCACCTACATTGTACAACAAAAAGCATCCAGTCCCATAGGTGTTCTTAGCCATCCCAGGCGAGAACCCTTTCTGCCCGACCAACGCAGAAGACTGATCACCCAAACAGCCCATAATTGGAACACCCGCAAGAGCACCGGTAGCAATCACACCGTACGCATCTGCATCTGAGGAGGGAACAATCCTCGGCAGATGAACCTTGCCCTTAATTCCAAAAAAGTCCAAAAGCTTATCATCGTATTGCAGAGTTTCCAAGTTCACAAACATGGTCCGCGAGGCGTTTGTCGCATCCGAGACAAAAACGTTGGCTTGGACGCCACCGTTCAAACGGTATACAAGCCAGGAATCGACGGTTCCAAACGCGAGTGTGCCGCGGTCGAAAGCCTCTTTTACTTTTGGGACATGTGCTAGCATCCACAGGAGCTTTGTGGCGGATGAGTAGGTTGACAGCGGTAGACCGCAGATGGATTGGAGACTGGATGCCCCTGGCTTTTGTTTCAACTCGCTCACTATGAACTGTGAGCGGGTGTCTGTCCAGACAATGGCATTGTGGAGGGGCTCGCCGGTCTCGTGGTCCCAGACTATTGTTGTTTCTCGTTGGTTTGTTATTCCGAGGCTTTTGATGCTGCTGCGGAGGTAGCCTTTGTTTTCGAAATCGCGGACTGCCTCTGAGATGCATGTTTCCACTGAGGAGATTAGCTCGAGAGGGTCGTGTTCGTGCCATCTAGTTGTCATTGTTGAGTATTGGTCTTTTGATGCCCTTGGCACTCCTTTCTTCTGGCTTGGTCTACCTACCCTGGGTTCGGATAGATTTGGCTGAACTCAACCTGATGTGAGGCAACAGGCTCTCCATCTCGATTGAAAATCAGAAACCTGGTGCTTGTTGTGCCCTGGTCGATCGACCCCACGAAGATATCTGAAGGTTGCATAGTTTGAAGGGGAATCTACTGCGATGAAAGGCAACAAAATAACAAAGGGACGAACGCAATCACGGTTCTTCCCGCTCATTCAAACAGGGTATCATAAGGATAAGGTACGTGCATCACCCTCCAAGACTAGGGGGAGAGGAAAGAAGGTATCTTAAATAATCATTCCTATGGCACCATATTCCCGTGTCTGCGGGTTCTGGTTCGAGCTTATCGTCGGGGGAAGTGAGTCAAGTTCTCGAAAGGGGATTGGTGGAATTACGAGAGCCGGGGGGTTAAGATCCAGAGCCGTTAACCGGGGGTTGAGAGAGATTGAGGCTTGAGCGTGCGGAAGGAGTTGACAGGGACAGGGATTTCGTGTGACGGCGAGGCTATGCAGACTCGAAGGATGTTATCGTATTGGTGATGGATATCGTTCCCTGTAGAGCCTGCATATATATCGCATACATATACCCTTTTATGTCTCTGGCCTCTGGGACTAGCTTATGTCTCCCACATGTCCTTTGTGATCCACTCCATACCTGTGGACTCCTTTCCACGGAACTTGCGACGATCACTCTGGGGGAAACCCAGAAGTACCCACAGATCGACCCCTCAAAAGCCCTACGCAGATGCTCAAATATACTGAGATGACATAATGAGCATTGTGTGACGACGTCGCAGTTCCGTGCGATCGCCCCAGTAGCGCAACGCTCATTGCCCAGACAGACCGCTAATGCCGGAGGAAATGCGGAGCCTTATTATCGACGACTCGATTTCCTTAATGAGGATCCAGAACTCAGTTTGTTTCCACTTGTCAAGGTGGAGCCCCTGCTAGCTTTCTGCAATATGGTATGTGCAGGCACATCAGGTCAAGCACGAGACATTTTCGTCAACCAAATTAGTCCAGATTGAAATTAGGCAAGCTGGAATTGAAATTATGACACCTGCAGCGCCAGTCTTGGCTTTCTGGTCTCAGCTCTGTCGCTATAGCAGCGATAGCCGATCTGGTTTCTGTGGAGGACAAGCCCCCTTCCCTTACCCTCTCTCACACCTCTCCCGCCTTGTACGTCTCCATGATCCTGACTGCCTTGCTTGGTCGTGGTGATACTACAATACATGGAAGATAGTCACACGAGCGGTGAATAGGTCATCGTCACAAGGAAATCAGGCGCCAAATGTTACCACCAGCTCTTGAGATGCCTCTCGGGAACCAAACACGTCTTTTGATATAGGTCAAATCACCAATATCAGATGGGGATGATCAATTGGAAGCTCTGTTTTGAACTCCTTCGCAATTGAGAAGGCTTGTGTTACGTTTCGAGTTTCTAGAAATTGCAATTGGGCCTGAGCTGATGATGGGTAACAGAAGCATAGAAGCTTTTCTGTGTCGCATCCGTAACAGGTAAAAGCCAGGAAGCCTTTCCAGTGGGAACGGCGCGCAACTTATGGTGCTACTAGAGACAAAGTCAAAATTGAATCTAAAACAATGACTGAAGAGATTAATGATGACCGGCGTTTTCCCGCTACCTAACCCGGTCAAACGGCTGTCAGAACAAACGCACCTTAAAACAATGTGCCCAAATGTGTACTATCAACTTTCTCTAAATCCTTTTCTGCATCTCTGTGTGATGGAAGAGAAAAAGGGGACATTACCCCGTCCGGTCACCTTGAGCTTGAATCGACCCGCCACTCCGAGTCAATCCCTCTTTGTATGCAATCAAATACTCGCTGCAAGGTCACGAAGACTTGGATTAGGAAGGAGGACACGCTTCATCCGAAGGCCACTTTTTTTCCCTTATCCAACCAAGCCGGTTCGTGACGTGGTCTGTGAAAAGCTTTTGATTTCTGATTTTGAGTTGCAAGGGTTACACAATTATGTCTGGCCGTTGATATATCGTTGGGGAACCGCGACTTCTTTCTATCTTAAGTCTAGAGAGTCGTGAAGCTCCTTGCCAAGTCAGCTATCATGGGTTCTTGGTCAGGCATGATGTCGACTACTAAAGAATTATGCTCGGCTCAAAGTGATGAGAGTGGATGCACCTCTCTCTATCGAGGGAGCAAAGAAGGAGAATCTATTGTTGGTCTTGCCGCTGAACCTGACAATGCTGCTTCACTGCCACCACTACTCTGGTCCAAGGTCAGGGCATATGGACGTGATGCATTCTCTGAGTTCTTCGGTACCATGATCTTGATCCTCTTCGGCGATGGTGTCGTCGCGCAAGTCCTTCTTAGCCATGATGAGAAGGGAAACTATCAATCGATATCCTGGGGCTGGGGGTGAGTTCTCTCCTTTGATATATTCCTATTTGTATCTCCGCCAGGGTTCTGACACCAGCCACCCACAGACTGGGCGTCATGCTCGGAGTGTACGTTAGCGGATCCTCAGGCTCGCATATCAACCCAGCCGTGACATTCGCAAACTGCGTTTTCAGAGGGTTCCCCTGGCGCAAGCTTCCCATATACGCCCTATCTCAGATTCTCGGTGCCATGTGTGGGGCTGCAATCGTATATGGAAATTACAAATCTGCCATCGACGTCTACGAAGGCGGTCCCAATATTCGCACTGTTCCTGGATATTCGACTACAGCTACTGCAGGTATATTTTGTACTTATCCAGCAGAATTTATGACCAAGACAGGGCAATTCTTCTCAGAGTTCCTGGCGAGTGCTATCTTGATGTTCATGATCTTTGCACTCAAGGACGATAACAACCTCGGTGCAGGCCATCTCACGCCCTTGGCCCTATTTTTTGTGATATTCGGTATCGGTGCGTGCTTTGGCTGGGAAACTGGTTACGCAATTAACCTAGCCCGAGACTTCGGTCCCAGAATCGTCTCCTACATGCTTGGCTACGGGCATGAGGTGTGGGAAGCGGGAAACTATTATTTCTGGGTATGTATCTAGTCTCTCCTCAAGCTCTGCCATTCTGCTACCTACAATAGATCCATGGCTCTTTTGCTGATTGATTATCCTTTTAGGTCCCTATGGTTGCTCCATTCCTGGGCTGTACATTCGGCGCCTGGGTATACGATCTATTCCTGTATACCGGGCTAGACAGTCCGATTAACACGCCCTGGATGGGAATTAAGCGGTTAATTGGACCCTTGCACAGGAAACGAGTAACGCTTCAAAGCCCAGTGTGACAGTTCTTATTTTTATGGTCTACGAGATATGAAAGTGATTATGAAACAATGTAGAGCTCGTTCAACAAAGTCAAATGTAAAGGGGATGGGGCTTGAGAAATTTCTTAGACGACACCACGAGATCATTTCTAGTTTACGATCCCATACTATACCTTTCCCAAATACCTATGCAACAAGCATCTTTCATCTACCTAAGTCTTATAGAGTATATCATAATGATGGAATCCAGGTGACCCTACCATACTACCGGATCCACAAGGACTCAGTCTGCAGCCACACCCACATCAACCAAGCCACCTGGGTCTTGAGTCAACTTATAATCCACCTTCCTAGTCCAATTATGATTGTCCTCTAGTAATATTTGAAAATTAGCAAATAACAGCGGATTTATTTCCCTTAGACCGCAAACTAATTCCCCAGAATAGTGGAGTGGAGGCCAGGTGACTTTACGAAGCATTTGGACTAGAATTTTGCGAATCATGTCGTCTGCAGATAAGGGATTGGGTGACACATGACACGGGAATGCATGTATTTTAGAGCACTGTAGCGAGTTGTTTGGCTGCATCTAAATGTTTCATATTGTTTTGTCACTCTTTTATCTGCAGTATAGGATTGGAACTTCTCGAAATTGGGTGCTGATGGCCAATGCTAAGCGCCTGGAGTTAACGGAGGGCACGGTGGGGGTTTTCTCTAGGTGCCAATGTCGACCGAAGATAGGACGCCCTTTTTTGGTGCTTGGTCCACTGTGGCAGCATGAGTGGGCTAATGGTGTCGAATTTGGGTAGTTCTCTCTATTGGAAGTTGAAGGAGATGTATCACCGGCTCATTTACAACTGCACCGAGCCACCAATTCCCTTTCCAGCGCCTTTACTGCTATCGAGGTCCATGACCATAGTGATGATCTTATATCTCAAAAGCTTTCTGGTCATACGACTAGATGAAAAGAACAGAATTATGCAGCCTGCTGGACATCCACTGCGCTTTTTGACCAATGCATAGACCGTTTTCTCGATGACGCCATAGGCTACAAGGTGGTTTGAATTTTGCTCAATGGAGTTCAGTTTAATTAGAGGCCTATCGCCTATTTGCAAGCAGACGAAACATAATACATGAAGTCTTGGAATAATTTCCACATCACCATATCAAGGATCAAAAGTCCCCGGGGTGTGTGGGTGGAGCCAAAAAGGCATAAACAAGAAAGTCCTTGAAAGTCATAAGCGCCAATATGCAGGATGGAAAAGGAATCAACAAGCAAGAAATTGACCTTCAAGCCGTGGTCAAAACAAGAAAACGTAAACGCCATTGTGAGCTCATTCCATCGTGAGTTCGTGTGTGATAATAGTACAGGTCGGCGCGAAGCGAGTTTCGTTTAAAGCCAAATGAAAACCCCACCAAGAATTGCACAAAGAATGCCAATGGCAGCAGGGGCCATGGTCAGGTCCCCTGCGTTATTAACCGAAGGAGCGACGTCCGAAGTTTTGGTTGGAATAGATCCAGTATTGGCAGTAGACTTCTGCTGGGTTGGAAAGCTCTTCGAAGTGGAGCTGGTTGCATCTCTAGTCGCGTTGCGCAAAGACGTCTCAAACCCAGATGGGGAAGAGGAAGCCCGCGAGAAAGCCAAATGCGCTGATGTAGAGTGGAAGGTAGACTGTGGGAGATACCCGGTCTTAGTTTTTGAGTCCATTGGGGTATTGGGCGGGGGGAGTGCTCACCCAAAGAACCCCCAGTGGGTGGTGCAATTTGACCGGACTTAGATTCCCAGCCAGCGCTGCCAGTCGATCCGGCGGCTGGTGAATCCGTGGCAACCCAAGGCCAAGTGTCAGGAGTGGTCCAGGTTGCGGTCTCCTTATGAGTTCCGTCCCACGGAATGGGGATGCTCACTGTCGCGGTCACCGAAGGTGCGGACTGAGTTCCTGAAGGTTCGTCGGCCTTGTTGCCATTGACACTGCCTCCGTCTGAAGTGATGGACTCCCATGTGCCGGTCTTGTCGCTGTAGCTGTACGAATTTCCGGTAGAATAGTCGGTCACGGTCATCGACTTCATGTACATGGTGAAGGGACCCTTGCTGTAGTCTGTCTCGCCGCCAGCCCATTCTAAGAAGCGTGTTAGAGTACTCATCTTTGTTCCACGGTATCACTCATACTTACGAATGGTGCCACTGGGATTGCTTGAATCGCCGCCAGCCCACACGCCAACCTTGATCATCATGGGTGTCTGTGGGTACTGATTGGTATCTGCAGTTGCCGGAGTGAGAACGCGAATATTGGTGCCATCAATGGCCCACACGATCTCACTGCTCGTCCAGTCGACGGAGTAGGTATGGAAGTCATCGTGGTTTCCAGAGTTGGCGCTGAAGGCACCGCGGTTATAGGTGCTGGTGTCACCTTTGCCAAAGTAGTTGGTCTGAACTTGAGTGTTATCGCCTCCAAGCCACTCAAAATCAATTTCGTCTAGGTCATCCGACTGAAGAACGGCACTGCTGACGATTCCAGTTCCGGGGGCAGCTTTGATTGTGTATTCAACCCTCCCAAACATGATGTAGAAGTTGGACTGGATCAGAGGGCCGTCACCCTTCTTGGCGACCGTAAAAGAGGCACCATTAGTAGAATCATAGGTGACGGTACCAGATGCCGTGAAGGCAGAGGATGCACCCGAGGTGAAGGCATAGGTCTGATCTGATTTTCCAAGTGCAGGATCCGCAGGGCAGGCTATTGTCTGTCAGCCTGCATTGGTTTACATCTGAAGCTCTGTCCACTTACATTTCTCGGTCGGGTTGCAGCTGGTATAAGTCTGGGCGCTCACCAAAGCAGATGAAAACAGGAGGCTCAAAGCCACACCAAGAGTCAAATGCATGGTGGGCAAGAGTGAAGCAGTAAAAATCTGAAAGAGATATTCAAGTAAGAATCACAGCAAACAATCAGATTCCGCTGGGAGTGTATGGTAAATGGTAGATGGAGAGGATGGAGAGAGGAAGAAGAACGCAGAAAGCAGAAAGCAGAAAGCAAAATCACAACAAAAGAATAGGCAACTTCACATCTTGGCGGAGTTTTCTTATATCTAGGCAGGTGCCAGCCACCTTTATTTCACTACAATTGGATTTAATGATCCGTGGATCCCCAAACCTGTCATTGGTCCAATCAGCGCTGGGTCCTTCCGCGCCACGTTTGGGAGCTCCGAATCCCTGACTATCAGGGTTCAAGGGTCTCTGAAGCCACCATGTCGCCTTTACCGTGGAAAGGCAGCTACCATTGAGACAATTCAGATCCAACTTTTCAAGCTTCTTGTAAGGTCAAAAGAGAACAGAAACAAAATAAGAAAAAAAGAAGAAAAAAAAAAGAAAAGCTCATGAAAACTCAAAAGGGGCGCAGGCAATACATCGGGCAGATGTGGGTCCCAGCCTCTTGAATTCCCAAGTCACCTAACTTAATACACCGATCATTCGCAAATCGAGTTTCAAGCTGCTACCGATCGCCAGCAGAAAGGGTGATAAGTCTTGCATGGCAAAATCAAGGTATCATGTCTAGACGTACTGCGTCACTTTCCCACTTGGTCAATCCTTGACAGCATCTTCCGAACATCCTATGACAGCAACAGGGTTAGCCATGGATTCCAAAGAGCTGTTAGCAAGTGTCGAGTATGATCATCTTCTTGCGCTTTCTTCGGCAACGTGGCTTGTCTAGATCTCGGCCCATTTGGAAATGTCGATCCAACGCGGATGCATTGGAGATCTTGAGCGCCACATGGGTTTGGGCCCGACCGGTCCTCCAAGCTAGATCCGTACAGGATCACCAGTCGGCTAAGACTTTAGTACTAGAAGAAGGTAAAAGAGTCTGAAATTGCGTGTTATTTTCTACCTACCCGTGTGTAACTTGGTGGTCCAGTTTTTTGAGTTGTGCAGATGGTGACACTACAGGCCATCGTATCTGCTACTTAGTCGCTGGTTGGTACAATAGGTGACATTCCCTTCTATATCACTAGAAGACGGCCTTGAATATCCAGTCAGTCTTGGAATACACGATGACCCCGGGTCTAGCCTGTGGTGGATTGGCCATATAACCATTACTTCCGAAGTGACTCGATGGTTGTCGAGTGGGTGCAGGAAGTACCGGAAAATAGGCTTGATTGAAGCAAAGTCTATTTATGAGGCTGAAGAGTGCTTTATTGTGAATAAGTGAAAGCCATGAGCCCACACTGATGCAGTTAACACCACTTTGTTCATCTCTGTAACTTAATATTAGCATAGTTAATAGACAGTTTAAGTATTTACGGAAATGGACAAGGGCTTAGATTGAAGTACATATAGCCGACTTGACTCAAAAATTGATCTCAACGATATGGTCCTCCAAGATTTGATATAATATTCGGCAGTCAGCTTATTCAGGACTCGCAAGAAAAGACATGTCTTCTGCACGTGGGTTTCCCCAAGCTTGAAAGCTCTCATGCGCTTGTCTCACCATAAAAAGCTGATTACTAGATTAACACCAATCTTCTAATTCTGCACACTATCGAGAATTATAGATGGTAACGCACATACGAATAGCATTTTACAGTGAGAATCCGTAGGGCTATCTATCAGGACATGTTGATGCTGATGATGGTGGCGTGTTCAGTCACGTGCTTTCTTTGTTTGTTTGGTGCGTCATAAGGCAACTTCCAACTTCCATCTCTCCAAGTTTCATTACTCTCTCATTTCTTTGGTAAATCCAGGTTATCAAAGTTTAGTCTAAGTGAAGGTATATGCTATCACATCTTGTACTAGAAGAAGCCAGCATCGCGACCATTTGACCCACACCTCTTGTTGCCGTGGCTACGAGCCTGACCAACCGCCTCGGGTCTAATTGACAGGTGGACAAACATCCACTCCCATTTTTCACCCTTCATCCTCAGGCAACATTCCAAAAAAGGAGCGATCGGTGGTCTTGCAGTCGCGTTGCAAATCTGACTCAACTCACCCTACTCTGTCACAATACTTGTCTCGTGCGTTGGCGACCTGAGCTAATCGCCTATCCGCTGAAAAAATCGACTCACCCCCACGCGCATCCACCATGGCGGACGAGCTCGATTTCCTGCAGCCGGACTTTGACTTAAACTCTCTTACCGTCCCACGTCTACGCTCCATCCTCGTCAATCACGATGTGCCGTATCCCGCTTCCGCGAAAAAGTCCCAGCTGATCCGAATTTTGGAAGATGAGGTACTGCCGCAGGCAAGGAAGCTGCTGCGGGATCGTGAAAGAGTGAGAAGGACAAGTGCGGGTATTACAGACATGGGAAGCCGAGCGTCATCCGTTGCCAGTGATCGGTATGATCGCGATTCTATGCCCCCGCCCCCAACACCATCCACAGTTGCATCGACCACGGGAACCAGACGCGGCACATCGCGACGAAGTGTTCGCGCATCGACTATGGAACAAGACGAAAACCTCGCTCCGTCTACCCCTGTACCTGCTTCGAAGCGAAAAAGCGCAGCTCGTTCCGTAGGCAAACACCCTCGAGCTTCGGATACAGAGACTGGCGATGACATGATGGCCACCCCAACCGTGGCTGTTGGTGCTTCACCTCGGAAGTCTACGACAAGGAAGCTCCGGCGAAGCTCCGTCCTTCCCTCGACAGAGTCTGACGAATTCACCCCATCCGTTAAGACTGAGCCTACGGACGAAAGTGTCTTCACTGATGACAATCCTTTCCAGAGTGGTAGTCCTTCCGAGATCCAGCGAATCAGACCAACAAGCCACGATGGCAAACGAAGGAGTGGCTCGCGCTTCTCGACTGAGAGCCCAGCGAAAAGTGGATTGCGGTCACGGAAATCTGCCACCCCTGCCAGCGTGAAACAGGAGGATGGGATTAAGGCTCCTGCAAGAGATTCATTTGACTTTGCTCCTCGACTAAGGCCCACAAAGGAGGAACCAGAGGAGTCTGAAGAAGAGTCCGAAGATGAAAGTGAATTCAGTGCCGGGGAGGAATTCACACCTGAGGAACAGCTCGCTCTTGAAACTGAACAATATGCGCCAGGCCCGCAGACCCGCAAACGCTCTCGGAAGCAAGGATCTACTAGTGTAGTAGCTTCCTGGCTAGTAATCCTTTCGGTTCTTGGAGGGTTCGGTGCCTGGTGGCGCAAGGAAAAGATTGAGATCGGGTACTGTGGTCTTGGGAAGCCCACCTGGTCACTATCTGAGACCAATGTACCGGAATGGGCTAATGTTTTGGAACCTGGCTGTGAGCCGTGCCCGCCGCATGCATTCTGCTACCCAGATTTTGAAGCGCGCTGCGAACACGACTTTATTCTTAAGCCCCATCCTCTCTCTTTGAATGGCTTGGTGCCTCTTCCCCCGACATGTGAACCTGACAGTGAAAAGGCACGCCGGGTCAAGGCTGTGGCCGACAAAGCGGTGGAAGAACTACGTGATCGCCGAGCCAAGTGGGAATGTGGCCAGTTGCAAGATGAAGGCAAAGAGCCATCTCCTGAAATCAGTGAGCCAGAGCTGAAGGAAGAAGTTGCAAAGAAGCGCCGCAAGGGCCTCAGTGACTCCGAATTCGATGACCTGTGGAAAGGCGCCATTGGAGAGATCATTGAGAAAGATGAGATCGTGAGCAACACTAAGCAGTAAGTTTTCCCCTCTCTTAGGGACATCTCCATGTCCCGTTGGATACACTTATTGTTCCGGATCTCCATATCCCGAAACCTGTTTCTTTTAAAGGTCTTCGTTCTGACATTGTGCACCGGAACTAACAGAGGCGGTTTCGCTATCACAGACCTTCCGCCGTCCTCGTCCTCACATCAACATCCACTTCGCGACTCCCCTTCACATGCGCCGCCCGCCGCTACGTTCGACTCGCTCTCCTCGCGTATCGACTCCCTCTTTCACTTCTAATTCTTGGCATTGCTTCTCTCGCTTATGCTCGGGCTCGTGTTCGTGCCCGCCGCTCGGACATTGCCCGTGTGCCTGAGCTAGTTGCGACCACGCTCGATCGTCTTGCCACGCAAGCAGCACTCCACGCTCGTGGGGGTGCGATGGAACCTTACGTTCCCATTGGGCAGCTCCGCGACGATGTTCTCCGCAATGAACTGCATGGCAAGCGACGCGAAGAGTTGTGGAGCCGAGTGCGCCGCGTTGTTGAAGGAAATGCTAATGTCCGTGCTGCCGTTCGCGAAGGCCGTAGTGGTGACGTCTCTCGAAGCTGGGAATGGATTGGCGGCATTGGTAGTGTCGGTGCCAGCAATGGTAGCACGGGCAAACTAGAAGGTAGCACTCGCCGTGATAGCGGCCGGCTGTCCTTGTCTTCCCCTCTGAGCAATGCCGACACCGATCGCCATATGGTTGATAATTCCGAGGATATATCCACTTCCAGTCCCAGGCAGTCCCGTCGTTGGGACGAGGGCCGTCCAATTTACTAGTGGTCCCGCTGCCAAATCGGGGAAGAATTGGGCATCTCTGCATCTTGGATACATCGTCTCCATGTCCTCGCTTATTTTCACGCGTCACACGAGAAATCGTTCCCTTTGGAACGTCTTGCCGTTATCTGTGCTCTTTCCCGATATCACATTTTCACCGTACATATTTTCTATTCGTGTTTATTTTAGTTCTATGCATCAAGCCCAATACCCCTTTTTGAAATACACAGTCACTATAGTCCATTTGACTAGACAAATTAGGCTAGGAATGTCCAGTACCTAGGCTTAAAATTTCGGCATTCTAATTTGACGATCGTAAGACGCTATTGTGGTCCCCGAAGCTGGGTTTTCAAATCCCGAGGCATGGACAGTCTATCCGTACGCACCATGCAGTTTCGTTCATGCCATTGCATTGCCACTCCAGCAACATTACGTATTTAAGAACCTCGGAAGGCGAGGGGGATTCTGCAGGTATGCATGGAATTTTAAATAAGTTTTCAGATCTAGATAATTCGACAGGGGTAACCCTGCCGTAATCCAGAACTTCGGGATAACATATCCGGTGTACTTCTATACTATGGTGGACCTCGGGACCGGGCGTACGGCGTTATGGAATGTAGACCGAGTCTGCAGACCTGAAACCGTTGCTAGCACTTAACTAGGTTTCACCTAGTCCAAGCATAGAAATTGGAGGTTTATCCTGCGCCTTACCTACTTAGGGGGCCCGATACCGATGTAGGCGTTTGTGGTTATATGATCAACCATATACCGGTGTAGCAGCCATCTGCGGAGTGTTTGAACACCGAGCAACTCCCTCTGAAACAATAGAATGAAAAACAAAGTCCACACTATACCCACCTATGGGAAAATGAACCCACATGTGGTGAAACCGAGGATCCTGTGATGCACTGCATTGCGGTAATTTTAGGCTCTAGTTAGATCCCAATAAGCCCAGTAGATGCATCTACATCTTCAGCTCAATGTAGGTACAGGTGCAGACAGCACGATACCAAGTTCGATTCGGTCGAATCATGGTCCAATACACGCGATAATTGACATAGTTGCATGCCCCTGAGCCAAAGTCTCCACAGCACGGCGTGTAAGTTAGGGTTTCTTATGCATACCTTCCTAATCTAGGGCCATCGCTTGCAGCCCTAAGACCGGATGTCTTTCTCCGTTCTTGAGAGAAGCTTTTTCTTAGCCCTAAACTCGCTGACCGCTTCTTGCACTGTATTGGGGCATAGGATACAGTAGTCAATACCTACTGACGCCTTCGTATCATAGAACACGTATATATAGCGGTTCAACCTATAACCGAACGAGTGGATGCAACAACCGAGAGGGGGCACTTTTACCACTGCGTGGGCGAAAATTTGGCCCCGCTTCTGTGGCTTCTTTACATACTTTCGCTTCGCATGCTTTTGGACCAGGAGACCGGGAAACTTTGTTCGTGCCGGGATCAAATGTCAGGAAGGATTCCCCTTGATGCTTAGGTAGGTTAGGTTGTATTTGATTCTAATTAGATCTTTGTTCCACTGGTCTTTGCAAGCGGAGTTCGAGAAGTGCAGGTGAATACGAATAGCTTCTCGGCGGGGGAAAAGTACCTCGAGATCTATACATAGGAACAAGAACTTTTATTGATGTAGTACATAAATACGAACAGATGTGGTCTACAGTATTTACTAAACGGCCCGGTTTAGTACGCCACCAAAACACCAGTTTAAATCCATCCGAACCAGATCATCTCCCAAGATGAATTAGGTGAATTAGAGTGTTTTTAAGCAAACACGAAAGTTGTGACAGTTTCCCTTTGTATTTCGCTATAGCCTCATGACGTTGGGTGGAGTTAGATCTGTCCCAGAAAAGATAATGCTCCTGAGACAGAGCCGATGTTTTAAGATTGCTGAAGAATCTGCTCGGCAAAGACGTCGAATCACAGACCTCGGAAGATTATTCCTGATAATCGAGTCAAAATGCGGCACGTTTGGGCTCCTCTCCCTTCCCTTGGGTCCGATGGTTTAGGCGATCGTTTTTGGTAATTTAGAGTTTCATAGCGGTACCATGCCACACATGGATCTGCGAGTGCGTCATGAATCGAGATTAAAGAAGTTGACGGAAATGATCACCGACACCACTCAGAAGCTGATCTACCGGGTCCGAGAGCCAACTGTTGGATACGACAGTATGTAACCATTTCCACAGGTATCTGAGGACCTTATAGATCGAGTTTCTCCCCAACTTCACCGATGAAACGTATTCTTTATAGTCCCTAGCCTCTGATTGATTGATCTTTCTTTTTTCTAGAAGTTTAAAGAATCGATTATCGAATACACAGCAATGTTAAATTGGTAGTGAGCAAGCCACCAGAGAATTGGCCATCAGTGTATAACCACATACGTCATTTTAATTAGAAAGATCACTAGAAAGCTCCCCACAAAAGACCGAACCGTTGGTCTTTTCAGAGCCACGTACTATACGGAGACTGGAGGGGCCTAGAAATGTCACACTACGTATTTACTAATGTTTTAGCATAATGATTATTTAAAAAAAAAAAAAAGTCGCCAGTGGTGGCAAATCTTCGGGGCGCCTCTTGTATGTCACGTTGTCTTTCTATTCGTCCGGCTCGGGTGGGTAATGATTCCAGCCAACCACAACTCCACCATTGTCCACCAAAAATCAGCCACGTTGGAATACGATTAGAGAAGTCCGTTAACGTGCTGTCTCTCGTTACACTGCCGCAACCGCCGCACCATGATGTGACGGGTGATAGGCTCCCCCATTACCTCCCATGTCTAAGTGGAGGGCAGCCACAGTGGAGTCAAAATTGGGCTTGGTGGAGATAGCCCGTGGCAGATGTCTGCGGCCTGACGTTTTCTCGTGCTCCGTGGCAACCGCAATGCAAGCGACGCACCTTGGCCCCTGCTGCATGCGTGACAACGTACATGGGAACATGCAGATGTTTTTCCTCGTCAAATTAATCCAGATGAATGGAGCTCTGAATAAACATGACATGGAGTGGGAATGGAATGCAGATCGTGGATACAGTATGAAGTGGATTACTGTACACTATGTATCTGCTGAAGACTATGGCTCAAAAAGGAGTACGGGCAGACCACCTTGGAGGCAAAGCAGGGAAAATGCCTTGAAAACTAGCCAATGATATCCAGCGGAAGTGCAGACTCGGCCGATCGGAGCCAGATTCGCAGGATACTGACGCCGAATTGGCAGATCCTTGGCCCTATCAACTTAATCGGTCATGCCGGAAACTATTTCCGGGGTACAGATTCTGCCTCTGCCAACAATGGATCCCCCCCCTTGTTACCCACATTGATCCATCGACATCACATTTTCTCATTTTCTGTTGGAGGAAATGGAAAATTCCAAAAGGATAAAATCGAAAATTCCCCAAAAAACCCCCAAAAAAAGAGGGATTGCATAGCCCCAGACAAGAAAGACGATGGAAATCGTGGATGATCATGCCCAAGGCCTAGGTCAGATCAAGCCATGGTCGTTACCACCACAAGCTGGACCAGACTTGTGGGATTAACCACATATCGGGACGTTTCTGACTGGTTTGAGAAACCAGAGGCTCCGGGGAAGGGAAACCAAAGCAGTATAGACTGCGCGGGTAGGGTCTGTGTTCGCTACAGATCCCGTTACAGATCCCGTTCAGAGTTACGTGTATGTACCCTGTTTTCCTGTACGGAGTATTTTCTCCCGAAAGGGGGTTGAATTACCAGGGTGATCATGGACAGTTCGCGCAGTACCTGAACGCTAGTGATAGCTCGACCGATGGGTTAAAATGGGGGGATTTTCTGGTACTGGGTTTCTGTGGCCCCAAAAACATAGGGAATGTCAGCTTTGGAAAGATCCACTTCCGCCACACACGCATCTCTCGATCTCTCTGTTTCTTTTTCTTTCTTAACGCACAACTCTTTCCCTCACAGGACCCCTCCTTCGTCCCGTCTGACTCCTCCACTTTCTTCTTGGCCACTCTTGGGACAGTGCGCCAGTGTCAATACATGAGGAGCTTAGCGCCCGACGAATTAGCACCCTGAGATTCTACGGACGGGTCCGTTGATATGATTCGTGTGGGATAGAAGATGTTGTATTAATGACTTACTCTGGATAGAGTCTGGTCTGGCTCTTCTTGTCTAATCTCTTATATTCTCTGGATTTGATTTCAACGTGTTATCTTGTTCTGTTCTTTCTTTTCCTTGATTTCTTCTCCTGTTTACTCCTGCAGCTTTCCCCCCCTCCCCACCTCGCCCGCCCGCGATGGGCGACGCTGCCCGGCCATTCAGGCCCATTGCTCCCCGGACCTTAACATCAGCTGACGGAGTCGGAGTCGGACAACAACCACCCAATGGAGCACCATCAGACGAAGGTCGAATGAAAAGAGCTTCAACGGCATGTAAAGAGTGCCAGAGGAGACGAACAAGGGTACACGTCCAGAACTTCCCCTTTCCCCGGCATTTCTCACTTTCTCTTCTTTTTATCCATGTTCACTTCCCCCTATATCCCCCTGGTCGAAATCAAATATATATTCATTCATATCTCTGACGTTTGTTCTTTGCTCCAATTAGTGTAGTGGGGTGCCTTGTTCTGAATGTGTGGGCCATCCCGATCGTGAATGCGTATTCGACGAACTATCCGACAGGCGCCGCAAAGCCACCGCAAAGAAAACTCAGGAGGAGCTTACCAGTCTACGAGACTTCTTGGATCAGTTGTTGGAGGCTTTTCGCAGCAATGATGGTGCTGCCGTGCAGCATCTTATCAACAGAATTCGGGCCGGCGCATCACATGAGGAAATCCGTCGCATCGTTCTCCACATCCATGCCCAAACCGCCGGCTCATCATCCCGACCTAACGACATGGATCCAAACATCATAAATGATCATATGAGTCATTTCTTCGATTCTCATTGACATACTCGTTCCCCGCATGACAGGGGCTTCCTGTTGCATACCACCGGAGTGACACAAAATTTATATCGTCCGTCGCATGCCAGCATCATACGCCTGATTCTGTGCCGTCAATTCAAAACTTATTTTAAACAGCCATATGTCCTGGGTCGATTGTTTTGATGGCTTCTTTGATTTTTATTTCCTGTTGATCATGTTGGCCTGCTATCGTTCAATCGTTCTTCTACTCTCGCGCCTTTGCGCGCTTAGGACTTTACGGAGATTGGCCCATACATCCGCCAAGAAGAGCGACTTGTTACCTCAAAAGGGCGATTTGCAAAGCATGCTTGAAACCAATGATCTTACACATTTGTCCATCTTCTCCTTTCCAAATTGAGCCCTAGCCCTGTATCTACTATCTTTCACTGGTGGAACCCCTTCCGACATGTTCCTATCAAAAGAAAACGCTCTCATGCAGATTGCCGAGCTCGGTTACACGAGTTCCATGCGGGCCTCAGACGTGCAGTGTGTTATCGTGTTTGGGTTAACGCGAATTCCCTAAGTTTTCCTGGGTGGCTTTCCATCCTATCATTTGATTTGTCATCATATGGGTACATGACAGGGGCATCAACTTCCAATGAGATGGCAAGCGGGACGAGATTGTCGGTTTCGGTTTCGGTCTCGGCCTCCAACTGAGTTCCACCTGATGGAGAACTATTTCGGATGGGGCTGTCTAGGTTACCGTTAAACGTCAGGAATGCCCCAGACACATCCAGAATACAGTTGATTTTGGGTCCCGGGCTTGCGTTGCAATTGGGCTTGATCAAACATTTCCTTGTCTTTTCTTTGATCCATTCTGATCAGGTTGGAGATCCTCATAAAACTCGACAGATGATTGATATATTCATCTCAAGGGGTCCTTTTTCTTTGTCAATGGACTACCGGGAATACGGGCTTCGGAGAATCCCAACCACTTTTAATGCGAATCCGGGTGAGAGAGCCTCGGGATTATTCATGTCTATATTTTTTGCCACGAGGAATGAACCGTTTCAATTTCGGCCGAGCATATCGGTCAACCCATTGACTCATGTATCTCGTCCACTTGCCTTTTCAAACCCCAGGCCGCTTCCCTGTGACCACGGAAGCGCCTGATGTGATCAATCCGGGACATGCACTGGTACCTGAACTTGATCATTGACCATAACTACCATAATCACTCTGCAGTGTTGATCACACCCGATGACCCTCCGCGTGGATTCCATCTCGGACATATCACTAAGTTTTGGCGTATTCGGTGGCAAAGCTAGATAGCTATTCTAGAATAAAACCCAATTGAATTGAGTTGGACCAAAATCCGGGGCAAGTGGAGAGGAAAGAGAGAACCCCGCACCGCACACCGCGTGGGAATGGATCTCCACCTCTCCCGGATTCTTCTCCTTCCCCTCCCCTCAAATCCGGCCCCGAAACAGCAAGGGAATAAGAAAGAAAACCCCACTCATATGGAAAAGCAATTAGAATGTACATCATCGCGTGACAAGTTCTAGCCTACCGCCGGTCTTGATGGCTCTAACTAGCGTGAACCTAGCCACGCAAGGGTCGGGGCCTGGATTGTCCCGAGAAGATATTGAGGCTGCCGACGCCCACTCGCCCGGACGCAAGAGAAAATCATCCGGCCCAATACCGACATCAACTCAAAAAAATGCCGTCACCCGTCAGAAGATCACCCGGGCTTGTGACTCGTGTAAAGTCAAAAAAACGAGATGCACCGGCACCTTGCCTTGCACAAGATGCACTCGGCTCTCGCTTGCTTGTGAATATAATGCTGCTTACTCGAGAGGGTTGCCCCCCGATCCCTTGCCGGGGTCACTTTCGACACCTGGTGATGAGGTTCGACGCCGGGTCTCGGATGCCGGGCGTTTATCTAGCGGGTCCCGGTCTAGGGGGAATACGGGGAATCTGAATTCTAATTCAGATCCGAGTTCCGATATCAGCTCAAGTTCAAATCTGCCCGTTGGTGGTAGTAATGTCTTGAGTAGTAATTATCGGGATACGGTGGGACTGCAGCGCCATGCCGCAGTGGTTTCTTTACGGAACTCACCCGAGCCAGGCTCCACGGATTTTGAGGGTAACTATCTCGGTCCTGCGTCTGGGATCTCATTTATCAATCGTGTCTGGAGTCGGTTGCATCATGATGAACGTACGCGTATCCCGGATGAGCTGCAGAATGAGTCTTCTAAAAATACGGCCGTCTTTATGTTTGGAGATAAGCCGTATACTTATCCTGAGAACTCGGACTTTGCCCTCCCGCCCTTTGAGAGGGCTATGGAGCTGGTAGCTATCTATTTTGATTTCTCAATGGTCACTTATCGGTTTTTACACCGATTGAATGTAGAGGGTTGGGTCAAACAGATCTATGAGAATAATATCTCTATATCGAACCTGCCTGTTGGAAACATGGTTGCCCGGACGGCGATTGTGCTGATGATATGTGCCGTGAGCACCCTTCATCAAGATCTTGAATCGGAAGCCGTGGCGGAAGCGCATAGCAAAAGGTGAGCCTTTTCTCTTGGTACCGACAACAGATGGCTAATATAAAAAGCGAGCATTGGTTTACGGCTTCCAAGTATCTGTCCTCTTTGGAGTCGGGCCCTCCACGGCTAGAGACTATTCAAGTACGACTTATTCAGTGTCTTTATCTTTTGTCATCCTCGCGGGCCAATGAATGCTGGTACTCGTTTGGAACTGCATTGCAAGTTGTGACAGCTCTTGGACTACATCGAAAATGGCCTGCTAAGATGCCCAAAAATGGATGCTCATCTCTCGAGTTGGAGCTTCGGAAACGCATATTCTGGAGTGTATACACTCTGGACAAATATCTCAGCATCATGTTTGGGCGACCTCGCCTACTTCATGATGAAGACATCGATCAGGAATTGCCAGATGAGACAAATGACGAGGATCTACTGGAGGAAGATCCTATGCGGCGAACTGGCGTCACAGATAGTATGATGATTGCCTCCGTTCTTCATTACCGGTCAGTCGCACCAATATCCTACTTCTCCAATCCATATTAACAAATCATAGACTCGGCCGCATTTTAGGGGAAATCTCCCGTCAACTTTACAGTATCAACCCTCTTTCCCGTGACTCTCCATTGGACACTGCCGTCCGCCTCACATCTGAACTAGAGAGATGGAAAGAAAGTGTCCCACCCCTCTTCAATAGCGTCCAACCTACCAGTCTAATCCCACCACTATGCCGCCAAAGCCAAGTCCTCCAGCTAGCCTACTCCCACGCCATGATCCACGTCACCCGCTCATTTCTCCTAAGCGACTTCACCGACTTAAGTCGCAGACCCCGAGACTCCCACTCAATGGTCAGCACCTATGTCCAAAAATGCATTCAAGCAGCTGAGAACACCATGAGCCTAATGGACAGCCTCGCCCAACGAAGCGTCTTCATCCAATCCCTCTGGTTCACCCATTACACAGGCTTCTGTGCTATCCTAGTCGTCTACATCTACATCATCCAGCAGCACCGCCAATCTACGGCCCCGAGTCCATCTGTTGGGAGTCCTGCAGACATGGACAGAATGCAGTACCTGCTTGCATTGGCGGAAACATGTCAGCAGCATCTTGCAGAGGCGACACGGAAGAATTGTCCTAGTCGACGATATAGTATTATTCTTGAAGAGCTGAGGCGGGAGGTTCATAGGCAGATGGGCTCGGATGATTCGAATAGTCTTGCTCCGACTCCTCTTGTGTTGAAGTCGACTCCCCGTCCGCAGGTTCTAAGCTCCGGTGCTACAAATGGTGTTGATCACCCTCTCCAATTTGATGCGAGAAGTCTTGACTTTGCGAGTATGCCGGCTATGCTGCAGCCACCCGAACTTGGCATTAATCCTGTTGAGGATGCTGGACTTCTGGAGAATCTTGAGGGGTCGGTTTGGTGGGCTCAGCTGGATTCATGGGTATGTCTATCGACCTAGTTGTCTTTTTTCTTGATCTTGGTTGCTAATTCGAGGTTACTAGGCTCTGTCTAGTTTTCCGAATGAACCATCTGGATTCAGTTTTTAGATGGCCTAAGCCCGTTACGTCTTGCCAGTCTCGTTATCAGGCTGATGATCACTGTACATAGTGTGAGTATACCCATGGATTTGCGTTTTGATTACACATGCAGCCTATCTCCGATATCAGTCAAACAATGGGTACTCGATACATATCATATTCTCCGCAAAAAAAAAAAAAGGGGGGAGAAAATAGGAAAACGAGAGGAACCAGAGAAGTTCAAAAGAGAAAAAAGTTCCAGCCAATAAAAAACAAAAAGAAATGGACTCGCGGGGAATCGAACCCCGGACCACTCCCATGCTAAGGGAGTATTATACCACTAAACCACAAGCCCATTGTATATGAGAAGCTCAATTATATCCTCATATGAGTAAAATTTGACTACTACCAGGCAAGCAGGCTACAGCCGCTATGTGTACAACTGGCCGACGGTCTGAGGAGTCAACTGATGGCAGCCATTGCAACCACGTCAATAGGTCCGTATCATCCAAGCCAGAGAATTAGCTTCCAATTACAGAACAAAGTTATCCATTCACAATTAATCTATTAGGGGCAGCTTGCTCGGCTGCGAAGACGAACCCGGTGTATACATGTGGTTGTTATACTCTCATATCGATGATAAATTAGCAGATTTTGATAATGCAAAAATGTATCCCAGTTCTCGGGTGTGAAATCAGGTGTGACTACTGTTGCCTACAAGGGTCATTTATCAATTTGCCTCTATTCTGAGGGGAGTTCCGAAGGTTTACCAGGGCCGGCTGCGACTTGAAAATATATATCTGTGCCACTAGGGAGATCAGCGCACTACTGGAGGCAAGTCTCCACCCGGGCATCTAAAAATAATCCAAGCTTCGAACTTAGGAAGGTATGTACCCTCCACTCATCCCAAATGACCAAGGGGCAACGCGCTCACGCCACTTGTCTATCATCATTCGCCAATGCATTCTTTACCCTTTCTCTTTTCTTTTGGGGGTAACAGGGAAACAAACTTACTATGAGGAATATTCACTGACAGGATCCATGTATGCTTTGGCTCAACTATATTAAAAATTATCGGAGCCGCGAATAAGGAGCAGCCGAGGCGGATTGCGGATTCTTTTCATTGTGAGCTTTGAGATATGGACTGAGTACTAGTCTCGGTTACATCACTTGAGGTAATAGGTCAGAAATAGAAAAAGGCATCAAGCTCATATTTGTTTTCAGTAAATGGCTTAGATTTTCGTTTCTCATTCAATATTTGTGTTATAGCCAAATTTGGAAGACTGCAAAAAGCAAAGTCGACATACATCCAAATATTACGTGCAATTCATGCAGAAGCGCTCTCCTTGGAGCGTGCATAGTCCTCTCCCTCTTTAACAAACACACAATTCAATTCCGCGCCAGGGCTCAATGTGACCTCGAACCTCAATACTGGGTCCTCAACGCGATCTTTGCCACTCACCGGGAGCGCAACAATACGCTCATAAGCTTGAAGAATACGGATAACGGTGTATCCCATCTCGATAGTGGCAAATTGTTGACCAATACAGATACGAGGACCTCCATTGAAGGGAATGAAGTGCCACGGACGCGGCTGCCACCCCTCAACCCAGCGCTCTGGAATATACAGGCCGGGATCGAAGTAGTTCTTTGACTCAGGTCCATCATAGAGATCAGGATCCCGCTGCATAAGCATAGTGGAGTAGATGACTCGAGTGTTAGCGCGCACGCCCACCGGGGCGAGACCATCTGGTCCACCACCGCGAGGGAGTGTAGTATCGCGGAGCGAGTAGCGAACATTGAACGGAACGACCGGATACAGACGCATAGTCTCATTTAGAACAGCACTAAGATACTTCATCTCTTTAAGATCGGTGTAGCTGGGCTTCTGGCCATTGGCGCCGACGCCCAAGCGGTCGCGGATTTCCTGGCGTAACTTGGCGACAACTTCGGGGTGTCTTGATAGCTCGTAGAGACAGAAAGACAGAGTTCCGGCTGTGGTGTCTCGACCAGCAAGTAGCACAGCAACGAGCTGGTCACGCAGAACCTGAGGATCACGTGTAAAGCGAGCTAGGGCGTCAAGGAAGGTTTCACGCTTCGACAACTTCTGGTCAAGTTCCGCAGTTGAAAGGGATAGAACCGTCTCAATGTAGGGCTGAATGAACTGATCCATGACCTTGAGGTTGGCTCGGAACTCCTTGCGTGACATGAGTGGGCTGAAGACACTATTCAAAAGTATAGATTAGGTTTCACAGATCTCATCAATAATCTTATGCTGTGTCACATGCAGACGAAGCCTACTTACCCAAATCGGAATAATTCGGCTTGTCGTTGTTGCACATATCTGAAGGCTTCCGCAAATCTAGTTGCTGGATTTTCCAGGCTGTCTGTGCCTTGACCTAGTAGATAATCGGTTGCTGCATCAAGGGTATAGCGGAAGAAGAGGGATCCAACATCCACAACTCGGCTAGCATGGGGCGAATGACTTCCACCGAGAAGAGGAATGAGCTTTTGAACGTGTTTTTCAAATATCTCGGTATCGACAATCCGATCGCGAGCAAACATGGGGCGGATGAGTTGGCGCGAGCGCGACCACAATTCTCCGTCTGTAGTGAAGATGCTGTCACCCAAGAACTCTTTCCAATCACGGTGAAATGGCTCTCCCTTTCCAAAATCTGCAAATTGCCCAGTTAAAAGGGCTTTCGTATTCTCTGGGTCTATAGTCAAAACCACCCGAGTCGAAACTCCAGCATCGAGCTCGGCTGTCTTGACATTCGTTAAACCCCCGGCAGTAGTGATTCTACTTTTCCAAAATGCGATGTCATCGTTCACCAGATTAGCTTTGTGACCATCGTAAATGAAGTCGAGAGCTAGATAATAGTCAGCCTCTCGGCTCTGCGGTCTGTGACTGCAATAGATGGAGAGGATTATCATACCGTAAGGTAGCCGGAAACCAATCTTGGGGGCTCTAGCACCAAGACGCGCGATCTGAGCAGAGGCCTGGATTTTGCGGAAGACACAAAAGAAAGTGAACAGACTCAGGAACCACAAGGTGGCCTTCCCGGGCGTCATGCCCTCAAGGAGACTTTCAATCATGTTGGGCGTTGAATGTCAGGGGTCGAAGGTGATAAGGGATAGAAATGAAGAATAGGGATATACGTTTCTATATGGGCCGCCAGAACTGGTTCGTCATGCACATGTCACTGATCTTGATAGTCCGCGGTTTTTATGATCAATGCACGAGCCTTCTATTAGGCTTTTATCAAGGCTGGGAAGGTTAGTGAAATGACCCATACACAAGTAACATTTTATCAATCGGGGCACTATAGGTCCGATTCCCCAGAAAAAGCACTATTGATCACCCTCTGATAGCGAATGATAGCGAGCCGGAAGTAACCCGGAAGTAAAAATGGGCATGTTCTTCACCTTTCAAGACATTCTTGCGAGGGACCTGCCAACCCCCGCTAAATGACTTCATTGCCGCTTGTCGACCCACCCACGTTTTGATGCGTCTGCTGTTTGACCCGCATTGGCCCCATATATGTTATTTTTGTTATATAAATCAACCAGTGACAATATGAATGTAGTCTATCTGCTCCTTTCAGTGCTCATAATTTACAGTATAGGGTTGTGATAATCCGGGGAAATAAAACTGGGGTTATAGAGGACCTCGGCTGTCCCGGTTTCATATGATCGCAAAGTGGAGATCGTTTAATTGTGCCAAGGTTTATGCTTTGGTGATGCATATTGAACAATGCATGCGCTGACATTAGACCATGCAAATTTACGTAGACGTGAACCATTTTGCTCGTACAACACACTTAGGATTAACTTATTCCCTATAGCCAGAACTTTCGAAGAACGACAAGTTCTTCATTCGAATTCTGCAAACGTAAGTTCATTACTACAGTAAATCCGAAGATTCTGGAACGTTGGGATAAATCAACAGTATAGAAAACCTGGACTAAATCACAGTTGGGGTGCCATGGACAGAGACTTTCACTATGTGTTTGTTTGTTGAATTTTTTATCTGACTTTTTATATCTATGATCTGATTTATTTTAATTATTTTTTTGTGGCTAAGCCCTGCTGTTTTGTCTAATGCATGATACTCAGTACAATAAAAGTCATCAAAGAAACTGTGTTATATCTTGTAGAGTTTTGCCTTACATTCTGGATAATTGTTCCTCGTAGATCACGTGAATCGAGCAAAGCTTTTATTCCACATTGGGCCATATTATGTTTGTCGTGTTTGTCCGGGAGCCCACACCACGTGACATCAAGGCCAATTTCGTCGCCGAAGCTTCTGCTATCGCGTCAACGACCACTACAGCAAGATCTAAACTACTACCAGTCAAGATCTTGGTCAATACAAAACTTATATCGCTGACCTTTGGCGCATATTCCTATTATTGTCTCCTTGTCGTTCTTTGATTGCCCTGAAACCTGCGAACCCTTTTTTGTCTCGGTGGCGCGCAATTCACCCACCATTCTTCAGCAGCTCCGAATCTCTCAATTCGGAACCTCACCCCTCACACCTCACTTTACCATATTTACAAAATGCTTCCTACTATCACTCAAGATTCGCCCCTCGCGGCAGCCATCGCTAGGGCGATTCAGCCTAAACTGGTGGAAATGGGTTGGAGTACGGATGATGGTCAAGAGGGAGCGCTCATTGAATACATCGTCCTCATGCTAGTGAATGGAAAGACTCAAGAACAACTTGCGACTGAACTTTCCAACGACTTTCTCGGACTAGACGAGGGTGATACACAGGCGCTTGAGTTTTCAAGGTGGTTGTTTGGTCAGGTTGAAAGTCTTGACCAACAGATTAACGGAACCTCAAGTGATTCCGCGACACAACAAGTTCCTTCTTTCGGCCAAGAATCCGGCCAATTCTCAGGGACGGAAGGAAATAGTATGGATGCAGAGATGGGTGATGCGAGTGATTCCATGTGAGTTTGCATACTGATTTGAACGATGATGCAAGATGCTGACCCTGTCTTCTATTTGCTAGACCCACAGGACCCAAGGCAATGCGCAACGGACGACAAGCTGGAAGAGGCAGAATGATCAACCAGATCAACCGAAATCTGGGCAGTAATCCCGATGGAACTCTCCACCGAGTGCGTGGACAGCAAGGAAATGGACGTATCGGAGGCCACGGTCGTGATCAAATGAAGGGACCTCGGCGCGGAGGCGCCCGAAACATGGGTGGCATGGGAATGCCAGGCAATATGGGAGGTGGACCGATGATGCAAATGAGCCCACAGAACCAGATGCAGATCATGTCGATGTTGGAAGAGCAGGCAAGGATGATGTCCCAATTGATGCCGGGTTTCGTCCCACCCGCCGTGAACCCGGCTTTCCAGAACGGAAACCAGCAAGGTCGCTCGTTGTTTGATCGGGTCGAGCGCCAGGGTCAGCAAGGTGGTGGACGTTTTAATAAACGCGGCCCAAACCAAAAGCCCCAGGGAGCCAGCGGCGATATGGATACCGAAATGAGCGGCGAGCAAAATGAGAGCAACCCCGACACCGTCTGCCGCTTCAATCTTCGCTGCACCCGGAAAGACTGCCCATTCGCCCACCAATCTCCTGCTGCGCCTGAGGGTACTTCTCTCGACATTTCCGATGTCTGCTCTTTCGGAGCAGCTTGCAAGAACCGAAAGTGCACAGGCCGTCACCCATCACCAGCGGTCAAGTCTGCGCATCAATCCGAGGAGATGTGCCGATTCTTCCCCCATTGCACCAACCCCCATTGTCATTTTAAGCACCCTGACATGCCACTTTGCCGCAACGGTTCTGGCTGCACGACCGAAGGATGCAAGTTCACGCATGTTCAGACTGCCTGCAAGTTCAACCCATGCATGAACCCGAGTTGCCCGTACAAACATGCCGAGGGTCAGCGCGGTTCTTTCCCCGACAAAGTATGGACACCCAAGCATGTCAGCGAGCGCAAATTTGTGGAGGATGAGGATATGCCAGAAGAGTTGATAAAGCCTGAGACCGCGGGAGACGTATCTCAAAACCAGGAGCTTACCACATGACTCCGCCTTAATTGAAGTTGACGAAATTTTATCTTGAGAAGACCGCCGTGTGCGAGCACTATCTTGTACAATTTGAATTGTGATGATGAATGGCTGGTTGGGGAGGGCGTTCATAGTTTGATGCATTTGCTTTTCTCGATGGTTTCGAGGCTCATTGATCTGTACATAAATTTTCCCATGGAGAAGAAGAACACAAAGCGAATTTTATTACCAAGAGAATATGTCCCATTTACAGACCAACAGCTACTGATTCTACGGATGTATCGCATCCATGTACGTCAGGTGAAGGCCGATAAGGCGATAAGGACCCCTTAGTAAGACATCTGAACTTCCGCGGACCAAATGTAGACAGAGTGGTTCGACACTCCAGCGCATCACTTCCCTGGAATCCGTCGAGATGGGATTACTAACCTTCAATGGCCTCAAAGCTAGGCAGCGTCTGATTGCGACTGCTTTTCGATCCCAGCACCGTGCTTTCCACGCTGCTGTCATTGGTGGTGGCATCACCGGCCTCACGTCGGCCTTCCACCTGTCGCGAAATTCCAAATGCTCTAGCGTCACAATATACGAGAAATCCCCTCGGCTTGGTGGTTGGATGCGATCTGAGCGAGTTCCAGTTAAAGGAGGCGATGTGTTATTCGAATACGGTCCTCGCACGATAAGATGCTCCAATTCTCTCTTACCTACTTGGTTGATGGTAATTGTCCCTCAATTGAACACCACAACTTCCCATACAAGAAAATCTAATGATATGAATTTCTCGGCTTGAAGGCTGAACAAGTAGGTCTAGCAAATGAAGCAGTCTGGACCCCAAAGAACAGTCCTGCCGCAGCCAATCGTTTCATCTATTACCCGGATCATCTTGTCCGCCTTCCAAGCCCACGTCCCGGTGTCTCATTCGCGAGTAACATAAAAAATGCCATCCAAACGTTCTTAAATGAACCTCTATTCAATACACTCATACCGGCCATTCTTTTTGAGAGCTTCAAACCCCCACGAGGAATCGATCAATGGCAGAAGGATGAGTCTATCGCAGATTTCATCTCCCGCCGTTTCACTCCAGAAGTCGCAGACAATCTTGTCTCGGCTGGTATGCATGGAATTTACGCGGGAGATATCGATAAATTGAGCGCCCAGGCTCTTCTTGGTCCTCTACGCAACATGGAAGCTACTGGAATCATATCTAGCCTCTTCACCAATATGTTCTCCAGGAACCAGAACATACTTTGTGATGATTATATTGCCGGGCGAGAAAGTTGGGTTCAATATTCGAGACACAACGAAGCGACTAGAGTGAAGTACAGGGGGCAGCAATCGACCACTCTTACCTTCAAACAAGGGACACAGCAGCTTGTGGACGCGATCGCCGCTGATCTAGCAAAGTCAACAAAGGTCACAATTGAAACAAGTTCAGACGTCCAGAGTATGAGCCCACCAGCAGGTCATGATCAAATTTGCGTAGGTTTTTGCCACTGACAGGCGAGTGTCTAGAAATTTGCAGGCTAATTTGGTGAACCTGATATTTGCAGATTACTTCTCGCCAGAACGGGGGGGATATCAGTCGCAGGAACTATGACCGGGTCATTGCTTCGCTCCCAGCGCCTGCATTGACCAAGATCCTAGAGTCAACGAACACAAATCACCCAGGCAACTCTCCCCTCGAGACCATCAGAAAACTCAAGCTACATAACTATGCCACCACTGTCATGGTTGTCAATCTTTATTATGACAAGCCCGTACTTCCCATCGAGGGCTTTGGGTATCTGATCCCTCGCTCAGTTCCATTTGATCAAAATCCAGAATGCGGACTGGGAGTTCTTTTCGCATCTGCTTCTAGCTGGGGTGTGCCCACCTCCGGTGATCAATTTATCTCGCAGGATAATGCGCCGGGAACTAAGCTTACAGTAATGCTCGGTGGCCACTATTGGGACGATTGGAAAGATTCCGATTACCCCGATCATGACTCTGCCGTGAAGATGGCCTGCGCATTACTGGAGCGCCATATTGGAATCAAAGCCACCCCCAGCGTTACAAGAAGCAGTCTTCAAAAGAACGCCATCCCTCAATACACCGTTGGGCACATTGACCGCAATTTTGAATTGTCTAAATCAGTGAAGAAGGAATTCAACAAGCGGCTTGTACTCGCAGGAAACTGGTATACCGGAGTTGGTGTCAATGACTGCGTCCGGCAAGGTATTCTTGCTGCATCAGTTGGGATTGGCCAGCAACAGATTGAGCATGTTGTGGACGAGAACCTTCCGTACGGGGGCCACAACATTTCTGAGTGGGACATGGACATGGAGGGCGGCATTCCCACGGCATCATCACAGTATACACAAGTTTCCCGGCCCTAGGGTCTAGGTGTTGTGCACATATCAAGGTAGGTTTGTGGTGTATATTAGACCAATACTATAACCAAGAACTGTAAAATAATAATGTGAAAGTTCGAAAATATGCATTAATGCTCTAAATTTCCAAATTTGATCATGAAGTACCATGGGGGGACAGGCCGTGAGGTTCTCAGCCGTCCCCATACTGCTTGGCGAATTCTGCTGTATGCCCTCGATACATGTGGTTCCCGATGCATTGGTCATCCATACTTTCAACTTGGCCATACAGTGAACCAAGCAACAAGTGAATGTCCATCTGGGAGGGGTAGAAGTGGAAACACTGCGCCTCTGCATACTTCAAAGTTGCTCCCATTGCCACATTTGTGTATTGATCTGCGAACAGAGCCTTCGCAAAAGGGAATTTGTTCAACTCGTATTGAATTGCAGATGGTACTGGGTAGATGGCTTGGGGATGCTGTCACTAGTATGTGAAGGTGCACACAGGTCTTTCCCGCGTGTTACCGTTCTGATCAAAAGATTCGAGGATGACTCGATCGGGCCAGCAGAATTGGATTGATAAGAACACTCAAATATGTTCTCATGCTTTTTTCTGGCCATCTTCCTTTGCATCTCCATTGGAATCGAATCCGAGCGTTTCGAGTTGCCGAACCAATTCGTGAATTTTGATGACCTTCTCAAGCTGCTCGGGCAGCAATGCCTCTCCCTGGTTCTTCTTGTCGCGCAGGTCTCGCGCTTGTCTGAGCTTCTTCTTGAGGTTGCGGGCTTTCTTTTCTTTCTCCGCCTCCAGATCAACGGGTTCCTCAGGCTCGGTGGGCTTTTCGTCCTTTTTGGCGGGCACACGCCAATTGTCTGAGCCAGATCCCTTCTTATCATTTGAAGATTCTGAAGCCTCGGCCTGCTTCGCTTGACGTTTCGCTTCGCGGCGCTTTGCGTTCTTGTTGCTGGCAGCTGTGGCGTCTGTCGCGGCGGATTTGTCGTCACTACTGCTTAAGGGCTCTGCACCCGGCACCCCGCTTTTTTCACGATTTTTCCACGCGGCGGCAGCACGGTTCCTGTAAAGCTCGACATCCTCTGGGGGCTTGTAACCAGGGCGGACGCGAATTTCCCGACGTTTGGAACCATCTGCACGGACCGATGAGGGGATGTAGCTTGCACCGGTTGCATCGGTGGTAATTCCGGCTTTCGAGACGTTGGAGGCCATGGTGGATGGATGGTGGGGGATAATTGTAGAAATTGAGATCAAAAACAATACAGAGCCCAGAGAAATTGCAAGATCACCAGGGGCGACTCTCAAGAGCTCGCCCACTTCAATGTAGGAAAAAGAAACAATGCAAACTTGACGGATGGCCGGAGTAGCCAGTGTGGACGGGCCAATCAGCGGACCGGGAATTCCCGCAGCTTTTCGTCCTGCGAACTTCCATCCTTCTCACTCTCTCTCATCTCACCCCAGACCCTTTGCTTTCCTAGGTTGTGTCAACACCTTCCTTTCCGTCACAATGGCCGGCGTATGTGATCCCCCTTTCCACTGGTGCTTCGCGCCGCGCAAGAATCCCTGGCTAACCGCGCATAACAGATCTCCAACGCTATCTACCAGCACGTCTCCCCACCCTCGATCCGATCGGATGGTCGCAATTGTCGCCCTTAAGTCTAACCGTTGTCCTTTGTTCGAGTTTAGGTCTCTCTTCCGCAAGAACGCTGTCTACCTGACCGCTATCTTCGCCGGTGCCTTCGCTTTCGAGCTGTGCGTCAAATCCATGAACCCCCCGAATCATACATTATCCCTGACCAAATCTTTGCGAAACAGTTCCTTCGATACCGCCTCCAACAAGATCTGGGATTCCTGGAACGCCGGCGTATGTGACATCCTCCGACCCTATCTTCTGGCTGTACCGAGACATACCCGGTGACAATTCGCTAACTATCTATCTTTACTAATAGCGCCAATGGAAGGACATCAAGCCCCGCTACCTTACCGCTGCTGAGGAGGAGGATGATGAGTAAATCAATGACCGGGATCTGGTGACTTCTACTGTGTAGTTCACGGTCAAAGGGGAAAGCAGAAGCAGGAAAAGCGATCGGCTGGATTCCTCATTATTACCCATTCCAGCCCGCGAGTTTGTACGCGATAGAGCCTTTTTATTTACATTGGAAATTTGTATTCTGACTCAAATATGATGTGTTGATTCACGGATATTTGTACTGCGTAAGATGTGGTGTTCGGGATCGTCTGTGGCGTTTGGGAGCGAGACCGCTCCGTCGATGTCATAACGAAAAATGCTAGAAAAATGCCCTTTCCACTTGTCCCTAATTGTCTTATCTCCGAACTTGTCCATCTGTTCTTCATCGCAAATTGTCTACTTCATCAGACCCTTGTAGACCGTCCGATCCTCGACCGCCTCACAAATCTGTAAGGTCTGACCTACCTCTGTATTCGATCCACATCTTGTCGATTCTCCCCCCACTACAAATCCTCGGTGAGGTCGACTCGCAATCAATCCTCCCAAAGCAGTTGCTCCCCGACTCGCTGGACATTCGCTGTACGACCGTTACCTTATACAAACCCTTGAATGTTTATTGCTGTTTCAGCCCACCAAGTGCGCCAATAACCTTCCCGATCTCACACTTGTGCCGAGCGGCTCCGACCCTCCACCTCCGCCGAGAGTCTTAAGCCATGCTCATGCTCACAGAGTGTGAGAAAGTCCTTGGCGATGGCCTTCTACGATTACCAGCCCAGCACAACTACCGATACAGCCCACAGGCGGAGAGAGACCTGCTAGAGCTGCTCTTCCGATCGCTTGTGGGGCACAACGAGGAGCTGATACATCACCTGTTCCCCGACGGTGTGCCCACCGGAGCTTGGAAACTTGCTGAAGCTCAAGGAGCTCGAGAGGGTGCGGAATATACAGAAGCAGCGCGAGGAAAACGCTGCGGCCATATCTTCCGCGCCGGAGAGGCTACTTACCGATGTATAACGTGCGCCGCGGACGAAACCTGTGTTTTGTGTAGCAGATGCTTCGATGCGTCCGATCACACGGGACACCAGTACCAGATATCTTTGTCGTCCGGGAACTGCGGTTGCTGCGACTGCGGTGATGATGAGGCCTGGCGACTACCGCTATTCTGTGCAATTCATACTGATAGTGGTAATGTCAAGGGCAAGGAGCGCGCTCAGCGACAGCTGCCCGCAGACTTAGTAGCTTCTATTCGCCTCACCATTTCGCGTGTGTTAGATTATTTCTGTGATGTTATCTCTTGTTCGCCGGAGCAGTTACGTCTACCCAAGACTATTGAAGGTATCAAGCAGGACGAAGAGGCATCGCGGCTGTGTCCTGATTGGTCAGACGCGGGCGATCAAGCAGAGGAGGAGCCTGAATTTTCGCTCCTGCTGTGGAATGATGAGAAACATACCATCCGAGATGTAGCCCATCAAGTGAGCCGTGCTTGTCGTGAGCGGGATAGTTTCGGTGTTGCACGAGCTCATGAGACGAATGATATGGGTCGAAGTGTTATCAAACACTCGAAAGATCTGCAGAGATTGCTAGCCGTGTCGAAGATCATTGAGGAGATCAAGGTCACTGTCACGATTCGGTCTGCGCGCGACACATTCCGAGAGCAAATGTGTGCAACACTTGTTGAATGGTTGGCAGATATTGCGGGATGCAGTATACTCGAGGATAATGAAATCTTCCGCCAAATCATCTGCGAAGAGCTACTTGTTCCCTGGCGAAAAGGCAGTGGAGGTTACAATGCGGACATTGGTATGAAGGGAATCGACGATCATGAAAGGGCGGAACATTTAGGTGGTCGTACTTTCATGCTCAGCCTTCCCACTCATGGCAATCTAGTTCTGCGAACCGATGACGATGACGACGAAGATGAGGATGACGAGGAGGCTGTTGACGAGACCAACGAGGCCGATGAAGATGAAGATTACGGGGAAGCTCATGACGATGCCGATGACGAAGATGATGACATGGATATGGAGCTAACCCGTTTGCAAGCTGAAGCTGATGGAGACGGTGACGAAGACATGGAAATGGACATGGGGGCTGGAGCGGACGAGTTCGGACCAGATGAGCTGGCCATAGCCCACCGTATTCTAGCAGGATTAACTGGCATGCGACCGCCACCACCGCAGCCCACAGCTGGAGAAACAGAGGAAGAGGAGCAACCGCCACAGGATCAGTCAACTCCTTCTCGTGAGGCGGATAATCAGACACCCGACCCCAACAGCTTCATTGCTATCCCACGGACCCCTTCAGGCGTCGTCAAACCGAAGCCAGGAAGGACAGAAGGGCACTGGCAAGTCCGGCCTCCCCTCCCAGCCGCGGGCGAAAAGATTGCTGCGTATGAAGATCTGTGGCAACGGACTCGCCTAGACTGGTTGATTCTCTTTGATTTGAGACTCTGGAAGAAGACTCGCACTGATCTGCGAGACTTGTATATCAGCACCGTTGTAAATGTGCCCCAGTTCAAGCGCATCATGGGTCTCCGCTTGTCTGCCCTATATACGGCCCTAGCCCAGCTTTACTTGGTTGCGGATCGTGAACCTGATCATTCTATTGTCAACCTCACCTTGCAACTTCTGACCACTCCCTCCATCACCGAGGAGATTGTGCTCCGCGGAAACTTCCTTACTAAAGTGATGTCTATTCTATATACATTCCTGACGACAAGACAAGTTGGAGAGCCGCAAGCTGTCAATCCAAATGCCACTCTAGCATTTGATGCAGGCTCAGTAACCAATAGACGCTTGTATCACTTCTTCCTTGATCTCCGTTATCTGCTTCAATCTGAATACGTGCAGCATCGTGTGCGGACCGAAGAGCAATATCTGCCTCAGTTCCTGGATCTTGTGAAACTCTCCCAGGGCATTTGCCCGAATGTTCGCGCTGTCGGTGAGCACGTAGAGTATGAAACGGATGCTTGGATCAGTGCTTCTATTCTCATGCGCGAGATAAATCGTCTCTGTCGACAGTTCTGTGAGGCGTTCAGAAACCCTGAAATCGATAATGGAGAACACCTGCTGCGGGCAATCAAGACCACTACAGTCACCGCAATCATCCATTCTGCAGGTGTGGAGCGCAAGCGCTTTGACCAGGCTGAGATCAAAGAAGAGGTTCGATTCAAAACTCTATACCCATTTGATTTTGAGGTCGGTTCTTCTGGCCAGATCCCATGCCACCGTGTGGTGGAATTTGTCGTTGAAAAGGGCTCAATCAGTTTCCACCATGCACTCCACTACACTTTATCGTGGCTTATTGAGTGTGGCCGTGATGTAAGCAGCGACGTTCTGCGCAAAGTTCTCTTCGATGCTGCTATGGATGCCAGAAATGAGCTCCATGCTGCCAAGGAGGCTGATGACAAGAATATTGATGATACTCTTTTGGCACTTGGACCTGAGGATTTGCTGTTGACGATGTTTGATTACCCCTTGAGAGTGTGCGCCTGGCTTGCGCAGATGAAAGCCGGCATGTGGGTTCGCAATGGTCTCAGTCTTCGGCACCAGATGTCCCAGTATCGTGGAGTTTCCTCCCGCGATTTCGCCTACTACCGGGACATTTTCCTTCTGCAGACTGCTCTGGTGACATGTGACCCGAGCAGGGTTCTTGCTTCTATTGCGCATCGATTCGGGGTGGTTGACTGGATGGCTCGCAACTACATGCCTCGTGCTGGTTATGAGGACTCTCAGATCGTTGATGTCGCCGAGGAGTTTGTTCACCTGCTGGTCATTCTGTTGACTGATCGCACCTCCTTGACGGCGATTGACGACAGCGCTGATATGACCAAGGAGAATATTAGTCGAGACATTGCTCACGTTCTGTGCTTCAAACCTCTCTCATTCTCCGATCTCTCAACCCGCCTGAGTGACAAACTGCTTGAATCGGACGAGTTCCAAGATGTGCTGGAAGAAGTCGCAAACTTCCGTCCTCCTGAGGGCTTGAGTGACTCTGGAACATTTGAGTTGAAGCCAGAATACCTTGATCTTGTGGATCCGTACAGTGCACACTACACAAAGAACCAGCGAGATGAGGCAGAGAATATATATAGGGAGTGGATGGCTAAGAAGACTGGTAAGAAGGCCACTGACATTGTCTATGAGCCGAAGCTTCGAACCATTAGTTCTGGTGTCTTCTCTGATCTGGCAGGTTTTACCGGAACAATGCTGTTTGCACAACTTGTCCACCAGTGCCTCGAGTATGTTATTTTCTGCAAAGAATGTACTCCCTCAATTCCGCCTACTCGCGTGGAGACTTTCCTTCAGGTGATTTTGCATCTCATTCTTGCTGCTGTGCTCGAGGATGAGACTCAAGACGATAGCACGGAAGCTGAGCAAGAGAAGTCTTTCAACCTTCATGCTCTTTCCAAATCAAGGGAGATTAAAGCTGGCAACTTGACTATCGTTGGTCTTCTGGAAAGGATCTCGGTGACAAACGAGTTCGTTTCGTGTGGACCAAAGATTCGTCACATTCTCAAGCGCTTGTGGCAAAAGCGTCCTCGCACCTACACTTCTGCAACCGCTTCTCTCAAATTTCCATTTGATCGCATCGATACAAACTCACCCGCGATCGACATCGACAACGAAAAGGAACTTAAGAAGAAGCAGGCTGTGGAGAGACAGGCGCGAGTGATGGCACAATTCCAACAGCAGCAACAAAACTTCTTGAACAGCCAAGGTGATATTGACTGGGGCGAGGAAGACTTCAGCGACCTGGGATCTGAGACCGAAGCTGCACCTGAAACAAAGGTCTGGAAATACCCCAGTGGAACTTGTATCCTGTGTCAGGAGGAGACCAACGACTCGCGACTTTATGGTACATTCGCATTGCTGCAAGACAGTACTATTCTACGACAGACTGACATCAGGGATCCTGATCGCATCCGCGAGGCAATCGGAACACCCTGCAGCTTGGATAGATCTGCTGAGGAGATCCGTCCCTTTGGCGTTTCCGGAGAGAACCGAACCACAATTCGCCGATTGGATTCATCTGGTGGCGAAGTCATCAGCGAAAAGGTTGGCCTCAGTAAGGGTTTCAACCCGAAGAGCACTTTGCGGGGACCCGTGACAACTGGTTGTGGACACATTATGCACTACTCTTGCTTTGAGGTCTACTATGCGGCCACACACAGACGGCATAGCCAACAAATCGCTCGGAATCACCCCGAGAATACCGGACTCAAGGAGTTCGTGTGTCCTCTGTGTAAAGCTCTGGGCAATGCATTCCTGCCAATCACCTGGAAGGGTAAGGAGGAGTCTTATCCTGGTGCTCTGAATACGTCCTCCTCTTTCGAGGAATTCATGAACACTGGTCTCAAGAACTCTCTGAACCAATCTCAAAACTTCCCTGTGCTCATGGTGGAGAAGGATAAGGGCTACCCACAATCTTATACCGATCTATTTGTTGACTACCTTTCGAAATCGATGGTTCCTCCGCTGGCTTCCAAGGTTGCTCAGCTCATAGTGCCCTCTTCAATTCCGGCCATCACCCAGCCAGCGCCTCAATTCGTGTCAAACAACGTGCGGATCGATATACCTGGTCTCTTCCCTGGCTCGGAAGAAATTTCTCCATCAAGTCCTCTCCAGCAAGTTTCCAGTCCGCATAGCCCCATGACCGAACTATTCCAGATTTACAAGCGTCTGAAGAAGACCATCAAGATGAACCACATCAACTCGATCTTCAACAACAGTCCTGATACGATCAACAATGATGATCTCGTTCATACTGACTCTTTGATCCGAAGCTTTGGTTTCAGTATTTCCGCGGTCGAAATCGCTCAACGTGGTACTGAATCAGAACCTGGGTCTACCCTGCTAGACAAAATCCCACCGTTGACACTGACACATCTTCGTGTCCTGGCTGAGACAGCGCTCACGTACGCCGCTGTTGGAATTGTTTCTGCCCGCAACAACACCAAGAGCCGCCCAGCTCTGGAGTTCCAAGAAATGCACCGGCAGAAGATCTGTCAGTTGCTCGTCGGGCATCCTTGCCTGAGCGGCACGCCACTACTGAACGATGTTCGGAACATTGAGCCTCTGCTTGGCACGGATACTTTTGTATTCCTTGCAGAATGCTCGCTTTCCCTACTGCCGGTTCTCAACATCGATATGCGCCATTTGATTCAAATGTGCTACGTGGCTGAGATTGTTAAGGTCGCTGTCACGTTCATCCTTTGGCCACTAGGACTGAAGGAAGAGGTCGCCAACCAGGGAGAGGCCAGTTTCACCGAGGATGAACTCTCAACCGCCCGGTACGATGTGACGAAACACTTCTTTGACTCGGTCGTCTCTGAGCTCAGGGCCAACTCCGTTGGTCGCGCCGAAGGCTCCTCGTGGCCCGCAGCAAGCGGTTACGTTAAGGATGGAGAGGAGTCGGCAACTCCAGGCGTGATCATTGCTCTGCGTGGCCTCCTTTCAAGCTATGCTCTTACCTTCCTGCGCAAGGCAGTTATACTTCTAAATGTCCAGCACGGTGTCGATTTCCCCAACACCGGCTTCACGGATGTTGCCTCGTCAGAGCTGGACAGACTCACCAAAGCTCTGCATTTACCTTCCCTTGATGAGATCTTGATGACCATCAACCCCGCGCGGACAAGCAGCAGTCCATTCGATGCTATCATCTCAGGATGGATCTTCCACTGGAATGCATCGCGCTCAGGCATCCGTTTCGAGGATCACCGCCTGTGGCCCAGTCTTCCACACCCGGCCATCTTCGAACTTGTTGGCTTGCCAAAATTCTTTGACAGCCTGATCGAAGAGGCAAATCGGCGCCGCTGCCCTAGTTCCAAGAAGGAACTCAGTGATCCCAGTATCTGTCTCTTCTGCGGTGATATCTTTTGCTCCCAGGCAGTATGCTGCATGCATAACAAGTTGGGCGGCTGCAACCAACATGTTCAGAAGTACGTTCTCCTCCCAATGATCCCCATTGATGTTTCGTTTTTTCACTTAGCCAGAAGATTAACAACACAAAATAGATGCGGAAAGAATATCGGTCTCTTCATAAACATTCGCAAGTGCACAGTCCTCTACCTCCACAACCAAAACGGATCTTGGCACTACGCCCCCTATCTCGACCGCCACGGCGAAGTAGACCCCGGTCTCCGACGCAACCGCCAATTGATTCTGAACCAAAAGCGGTACGACCGGCTTCTGCGCGATGTGTGGCTGTCTCACTCGATCCCCGCAACCATCAGCCGCAAACTAGAGTCCGAGATCAACAATGGTGGATGGGAAACGATTTAATGAACGTCATTGACCAAAAGAAAATTGTACGGTTTTGTCTACTACTTATCTCCTGCACCGTGGTGATCTTTTCATTTGGAGGGCGAATATTCGGCTAGCGGTGGTCTTGTTTGTGATGTATTTCTTTTTCTCCCCTCCTTACTGATTGATCATTGACCATTCTTATCCTGTACTTTTGATGACGATGGATATCGAACTCGAGGGCTTTTCATGCCTCATTTCGTTCGATTGCTCTAAATAACATGGCGTCTTAAAAGGGTTATACAATTTACTCAAGCGAGTAGTTCATGTCAGTAATCTACGGTCCTGACTTTGGTAGAAGTAGCCTTTGCGTAGAGCAAAGGGAGAATCAACCAAGGACGTAAACTAGAACACTTGGGTAAACAGTGAGCCCAGAGAGTCGGTGTAGCTAATAAAAACAAAGATTTTCATAATTCAAAGACTGTATATTCACATCTCTGGTAACTTCTCACACGCCGTACATTGTCTAGCTTCACCTACTGATAAGATAAACCTTATCGCTCGCGCCAAGAACGCGCAGATGCTAAACCTGACGTCGACCAACAACGTTTTTGATGCCCAAGTTACAACCATGAACAACGAGCAGTTCCGACGGCTGCTAGCCGACAACTCCTCAGCAAAGTCTGGAGACAAATCCTCACCCTCATCCCGGAATGCAGGCCCCGGCAGCGCAACACCAGGCGGCGGGCTACTCGGTTCGCGAATGCGATCCAGCATTCCCATGACCCCGTACGTTTCTCCCTCCAAGCTAGTGGCCAAGAGCTGAACTTTACTGACTGCGATATTTTTCCATTTTCTAGGCGCGCAGTAACTGGCGTCGACTTTGCCCGTCAGCTCGCAGAACAGCGCCGCGAAGGAGGAGACCGACCCACAAAACGATTCAAGTCCTCTGCTGCACCGAAAGGTGCCAAGTTACCAGCCGGATATCAAGATCGCGCACAGCTGCGCAATGCGAATGATGAAGAAGAAGAAGGGGATGATATCTCTAAGCGCATCAAGGCGCTCGAGGACATGGTGAAACTAGGCCAAATTGATCAGGCCACATTCGACAATCTGCGGAAGGAACTTGGAGTCGGTGGTGACACTGGGAGCACGCACATGGTTAAGGGTCTGGACTATGCTCTACTACGCCGAGCGCGGGCTGGCGAGGATGTATCACAGGCACCCGAGAAACCCGAACCCGCTCCTACGGATGAAGCGCTTGCCGGCGAAGACGCGGACGAAGCGTTCGAGCGCTTAATGGAAGAAAAGGGAATGGAGGAGATCCAAGCTGCACCGAAAGGAGAAAAGGAGAAGAAGAAAGGCACTATGGCGCCCCCGCCAGCGCGCAAGAAGACGAGAGACGAGATTCTACAGGAGTTGAAGAATAAGCGGGCTGCCGCGAGTGTGCCGGCTCCGCCGCCTGAGTCAGTGTTAGGAGCTAAATTCAAGAAGCTTGGAGATAACAAGCCGGAGAAGAAGCGCTTTGTGGAGATGGATGAGACTGGGAGGAGAAGGGAGGTTTTGCTTATCACTGATGCGGAGGGCAAGACGAAACGGAAAACGCGTTGGCTTGATAAGCCTGGTGAATATGTTAAGCGTGATGCGATGCCCATGCCTGATAAGGATGCGAAGCCTCTTGGTATGGAGGTTCCGGCTGAAGTTGCGGCTAAGATTGCTGCTAGTGCTGCGCTGAAAGAAGATGACGATGGTGATATCTTTGCGGATGTTGGCGCCGATTATAACCCTCTTGCTGGTATTGAAGATGAAGATGACTCTTCGTCTGATGAAGAAGGGGAGGCGAAGGAGGTCAAGGAGGCCAAGGCTGCACGGAAGGAGGAGAAGGCGCCTGCGGAAGAAGGGAACCAGAAACCTGGTGCTGATGCACCTTCCAAGCCTCGCAACTACTTTGCTACTGCTTCTTCTTCTGCGGCCGCCGAGGAAGAGCCGGAGGATCGTTCCAATCCTCTTACGAAGGATCCCACTATCCTCGCTGCGCTCAAGCGAGCAGCTGCTCTCCGGCAGGCCTCGCCGTCTGCTGAAGACGAGGGTGAGTCCACCGAGTCCTCCCTGCGGCAAAAGAAGTTTCTCGAGGAAGCTCGACGACGGGATGCCATGGATGCTGCGGATATGGATCTCGGGTTTGGGGGCAGTCGGAATGAGGACGACGAAGATGAGGATGCTGTGCTGCTGGACTTTGAAGATCGCGGTGCCAAGAAGCGGAAGCGTGGTCCCAAGAAGAAGAAGGGCGACAAGGATAGTGTGGATGATGTGATGCGTGTGCTGGAGGGACGAAAGAAAGAGTCCGGGTAGGCGTGAGGGCATTCACACGTCTGTTCTTCCTGTTGACCTGGTCTATGACTACTATCTCCGCTACGCAGTTCATCCTACATGATGCTGCTACTAGATACCCTAACCTTGCAAATCAATTACGACTAGCTCATGGCCACGAAATGTACAAGCGTCACGTCGAAGTGCAGTAGCCTCTCTAGTCTTTTATGTGGTCAGAGATTGTTGAAAAGTACTAAGACCTAGGTTACCATTTCAATACTGATACTCCTACATGTTCTATATCGTACTCCTGCTCTCAATTCTACCGGTGACTTATCTCTACTGGTGCTTTTCATAGCTGAGACTTCCTATACATATTGATAGTAGTTCTACATCAATTATTTCTACTCTTTGCAGTATCTACAGCTGATAAGTGCCTTCAATGTTGATCCCCTCAACCACGCAGCTCCCAATCACCCCAGTCCAGTGCCCTCCAGCAGACCCTCTGATAGGTCAAAGAGCGAGAACATCAAGAAGACCTTTTTCCCGGAGATGGAGGACCTGATCCAGCTTGATCCACAACTTGGACCGAGCATCTGAGTCTTGACAAAGGGAATGTGGCGGCGCTTCCCAAATGCGATTGAAATATTTTCCACCACCAGTTCGCCCACACTCCGGGCTAATTGCCGCATTTGTAATTGCCAGACTACCTTGTTGCGGAGTGATAGCGACATAACGTAAGAATAATGCAAGAGCTCGCGTCGAGATGTCATTGCTCTTCGAGTCGTTTGTGTGCCAGATACCCGAAGCGACAGAACCGGGATGGACTCCGTTGATTCTGATATGGGAGTACTCCGGGTGCTTTAGGCAACGGAACTGTAGCTCTGCGAGCCACATCTGAAAATATAGCTTGTTGTTGTGGTAATCGTTTCCTCTCATTTCTTGGCCACCATTGAAATGATCGAGATCGAAGACACCGAAGTGATGGACGCATGATGTGGTACACACGATTCGGGGATCTGAACTGCGCCCTAGAGAGGGTAGGAGTCGGAGAGTAAGTAACACATGAGATAAGAAGTTGACCTGGTGAACTAGCTGGAACCCATCCTTCGTCATTCGAGTATTAGCGGTTGATGGGGTTCCTGCATTGTTGCACAAGATATCTAGACTGCGGTCACTCTTCAACCATCTTTCGCAAAAGGCCTCAACACTTTCGATATCCGCCATATCTATCTTCCACCATTGTATGACTGAAATATGACCCTGTGCCTCAGCAAGACGCTTGCACTCTTTCACGGCTGCTGTGGGATGAAGTTCGCCGAGTCCCTCAGGTGGATCGCGGCAGGCCAGGATCAGGTTCGCTCCCCACTCCGCGAATGACTTGGCCGCCTCTAGTCCAACCCCATTGTTGGAGCCAGAGATGATCACCCATTTCCCTTGTAAATCTGTCTTGACATGTCGGTCGCTGAGAACGGTGTTATTGAGGCCTCTGGCAGCCTGGAACACATTGTTGAACGTTAACCCCGCCAAAAACTGCAATGTCATGTTGAGAAAAATCGTATGATGAGGCAGAAAGTATCACCTGGTCAGAATCCGTCGCTTGCTTCAATTCCCCGAGGTCTTATTTGAATTCATTATTTGATTGCGCGGCCGGCACGGGCGGGGTCTAGTGGCTTTCTTTATCCCAGGCTGCCACTTTTGGCTTACCCCATTAATAGTTATCTCTTTACCCCCGTGGCACTTAAGCTATCCAAAATTGATCAGGTCAGGGTGATCAGATCATGGTGCTCAGGGCTCACTGAGCTAATCAGGGTGCCAAGATCAGGCTCAGTGATCAGTTTGATTACAGAATCACTGGCTCCGGTCAAGGCGTGCTCAATTCTACTTAGTGAGCACAGGTGAGCACTAGAACGGAAGGAGCCAAGAGCTGCCAGACATTATCCGGTATGTATAAGTAGGGGTACCCTTGCATAAATCAGTAAAGGCGAATTATAATCATATGATATTGAGGAAATACGCGTTTTTGACGCAGGCCTTGCATTAAGCCAGCCATTAAGTCGCAGAAAGTATCACTGTATTCGTACCTCTCAAAATTTCCTTGAGGCTCCCAGTAACCAGAGGGCCCAAGATTAACTACATGGACCCTTTGGTGCAGTCACACAGCCTCCCAAGAGCTGGCCCAGCATGAAGGTCTCATCTCTGGTGCCGAGAACATAATTAGGCGGAAGAATTGGAGGGAGTGACGAAAGATTTCTTGACGTCGGGAAGACGATAGCCTCGGTGAAGCTTGTAATATATGCGGCATGGGCACCATGCTGAACAGCAAGCCAGTTGATGATTTCCGCAATTTCAGCTGTCAGGGTGTATCCAGTCAACCCGAGCAAAGCACCCGTCACAGTGGTTTCTATATAAAGGGCGTCTTCCAAGAAAGCCGTACCATTTGACGGGCTAACTACTTTCCAGCGGCATTTAGGAGCCTGGAACCCCTCAAAATTGGAGCCGAAGTCCTCGAGCAAAAGTGCGCCTAGGCGGTTTTGTTGCTCCATACCCTGGAAGTTGATGGCGTAGTTTGCATTGGAGCTATTTGGGGCATTGGAGAAAAAGGTTTGGTTCAAAGGTATGGATGAGTAGAAGACATAACTGTAGGCCTGGATGGCTGAGGCGTATTGGAGTACTTGGATGTCGGATGAGTTTGAGCAGTTACTGCCAGATGCTGCTGTATCAGGAGAGGTACTCGAACTGGAGGATCCACACGTAGCAGAAGATCCACTAGCACCGGTAGAGGATTCACTAACAGCGATAGCGGATCCACTGGCACCAGCAGAAACTCCATTCGAGTCGCAGTTAAGGGGATCGTATGTGCATGTGCAAGATCGATAAGGGAACCCTCCGGTATCCCCGTCACATTGCATTAGGGTACCGTCAAACTCCATGTCTTTACAATGTCAGTCTCATCTTTCAAATCTGAGACGGCAATATTTCAAATATTAACACTTACCATACCCCCACTTCATTGCATTCACGCACTGTAGCTGAACGCCTGTAGGTGAACAGGCGTACTGGCTACATTCTTCTTGCACGCATGTGTACATTCCTGGTTGGCCTTGTTGTACAGGGCCACCGCGCCGATCATAGCTTGCCACGAGGCTCAACATGGATAATATGCTGACTAGCAGTAGCATAATGTATCGTTTAAATAATGAAGAGTATGTGTACTGGTTTGAATTTAAAATTGGAGTAGAATAATAGGGTAGGCTTGGCAGGTATTGGGACCTCTTAAATATCACTTGTTAATGACAAAAAGGGTCCAGAACAAAGATAGGATCATACAAAAATCCCAGCTGGACCTTCAGATGCCCTTAAAATGGGTCGTTTTAAGACCCATGGTTGAATGCTTATTCGTCCTTGCCAAAGCTCATTTGGCTGATCTAGATCTTAGCCTCACCCATTAGGTCCAGTACAATAGGCTTTATTGAAGCTTTCGACCGGTCCATACTAGAAACCCGTGTTTGATATTGTAGTCAAGTTACGGTCTGAGATATTACGGTCTGGTCTCTGGGAGCGGTGAAAGGAGGCGTTGACAGATTTAGCTCCAGCCAATTTTCGCAGTCCCGAAGAGGCTCAACAAAAAGAAGCTCCCAATATAGCGGCGTCAAAAACACGCGAGAACGACAAATCTATTCCAGAAATACGCTGGCAGAACGTACAGTCGATTGCGAAATCTGCTTCCTCCTTTATGACTGCTTTACTTCGTCTGGCCCCGCTGCTAATTCGCTATTGCAGAAAGTTATTAAATATATCTAAAGATACGAGCTCAGAACCTCGGGACTATGTGCTAAGGCATTGGGTGGGATTCGATGATACTATAACCACGTGCTTGGTTTAACCCGAATACCTATTCTGCTGGTACTGAGGTCGCCGTCTGTAGCATCTGGATGCCGATATCATGTAGGTATTGTGAACATGTCTTTTTGGTTGGGGAAGTGCTCGAGTATTGGTCAAGGCGCGTGATTTTGGCGGTGTGGTATGATGCAGACATGACCATTTTCGAATTAGCCTAAGTCTTGTGATAATGATAAGAGCAGGAATCAAAAGCTTAGTGGCAAAGCTTTTTTTTGTCGTATTTCAACGCCATTTGATTTGCGCTCGTTAATTTACAAATATAATTCCATGGTAACCCGCAGTCACAAATTCTGTAATCAATATTTAGCCATCTGATGTCCGCTTGCAGCATTTAATCCACCCGGATTTACAAACCATTTAGATTATAATTTCAGAATATCCGTAGATATTGTAGAGCCAAAGATGGAGGGTGGAATATTTCCCGCAACTATGGAGAGACAGTATCGCGGATACGAGACACGACGGATTAAATACCTCAGAATAGTAATACCAATAAATTTGGCCCCACCATACATTTGCCTCCCAGCTAGAGGCGAAACAACAGGACCGACCGCCAAATTGATGACGCCAGCTTTTCGTTGAGAGGACAACGGTCAAGAGTACTAGGTGAACGACTACATTTGGATGGGGCTAGCGTGGTGCATTTTATTGGGGCTGTTGGCTTGGCTACTCCCGCACTTTGCTCAGGTCGTGCACGGTGAGTGGATCAGGCTGCTCAGGTGATGCTCGGCGAGTGTTCAGTGACTGCTTAATATACTCAGTGAGCAAAAAGCGGCAAGGGATGAGCACTAAAACGGAAAGGGAAATCAAAAGTTGCCAGACATTATCCGGTATGTGTCCAGTATTATCGGAGCAAGTAACAAGGTATACACCTAGGTATATAATTACGGTCATGTCACTACAATATTTCCTCTAATTATTATCACAACTTCAAGTCGTTCAAATACTGCCCGAGAAGCTGGTCATTCAAGTTAGAAAAAGTCCTAGCGAGCATTGGATACAGAATACGCTAGATTCAAATTTTGGACCACGTCAACTAGATGCTGAATTCTAGATAAGTTTCATCAACCCCAAACCCCGTGGAGAAGCCGCTAATCAAGTGCATGCAGTCACTGCCTTCGTCACACCTTGAGAGATCTGTAAGATACTCGTGAGCTCTTCCTTAGGTGTCCGCCCCATACCGCACTCGGTCGAAACGCCGAAGTCCTTCCCAGGGATGACATCCCGAGCTGCTTGAAGTCTTCGGAACGTGCCCTCCTCGTCATTTGGATGCACAAGTCCAAGGTACAACCTTGTTCTGTCACCAGCCTTGAGGCGCTTCAAAGGCTCAAAGTACGCTGTGTCATCACGGTTCTTGGGTACAGGCATATGAAGCCAGCTCAAGTCTCCGGGAATGCATCGGACCAAATCGTTGGCAAATTTCACTAAAAGGCTTAGGTCCTCCGGTTCAATAAAATGCTTATGACCGAGATCACCGTAGCATAGATGCCATCCAAGAGGAACATTGCTTGGCACAAGAGCGCATAATCTCCGAGCACGCTCAAGTACCCCTTCGTAAATAGGTGAGAAATGTGGCTTGAAAAAGTCGCTGGTTAAACGGCCACGCTCGTACTCTAGAGCAGTGATCATAAAGCATGAGTCAAATTGAATTGCTAGATCCTCTGCTGGGATGGTGCCCAAAATTGATTCCATAACATCTGCCATTCTCCTCTCGTAGAAAGGCTCTAGTTGGGCCTGAAATTCCGATCGTATATGACCCTGAATACACTCGTAAGGTGTTGGAATTGACACTTGGAAGCGCACCTTAGGCGGAATAACACCCTTCGCGCGAAGTTGAAGAAAGTGCTGATACGAATCCTTTGCAACCTTATCGTAATCGCTAGGCGTCACATCATCCAGCGTGAAAACTCCTGAGTGGCCTTTAGGCAATGGCTTGCCCCCAATGACCTCATGAATAGTCTCCACAGGAAATCGAAAGCGTTCCCACGCAATATAATTAGATCGATCTCCGGTTTCTCCATCTGGGATCGAGAATAATCGGCCAGGGAGAGCTTCTGATAGAGTCGTGAACACTTCCTCGTTGGTTGATAACGGTATGCTACCAACTAGGTGAACACCGTTTGCAAGATTGGAGTGAGTCATGGCTGATGAGGGAAATTCGAGGAGAGTTGGTGCAACTAGGGAGTTCTTGGTCTTTGATGCTAGAGCAAGGGCCAAGTTAACGCAGGTGATAGCCACAGAAATAGAAGTTAGTTAAGTTGAGGTGGGGCTTGAAACTAAGCCCACAGCAGGACAGCCCACATTCGTAGAGCCATTCACAAAGAATGCGTCATCCTTCCTGAGATCCTACGTTGATGTGGAGCCCTTAGAACAAAGAGGAGTCTTTGCAACAAAGCAAAGCAAATAATGAGGGGAAGCTAGTTTGTGACTGAGACTAATGCACGAACCTTTGGGGGCTGCTTTGAGCTATTGATCCACTTTATTAACCGCCCGGGGCGTAATCTGCAGATCACCCACCCATTCTTGTTAAACGAGGCAAATTACTGCACAGTGGATTGGGGGCTGATTTGAGGGACAAATAATATTCTTAGCCCGCGGGTTTGTGTTGGGGGCCGTATGCATGTATTTGCCTAGTACACCACCCTAAACCTTGGAAGTAAGCCAATCACTGCAACTCTGGCCCGGTCTAAGGGAAGTAAGAACTGCCAAAACTCCTCGCTGGGATTTGAATCCACGGTGGACAGTCAACCGCGGCGACATTGTGATTGTGGACATCAGTCAAAAAGGTAAAAAATTATACTAGGGTGTCCGTTCTTCGTCGCTTATCGGACGGACGCTATATTGTTGTCTACACTTGGTTATATACCAGAGACGAGATTGCCCAAGAACTAGAAGTGGACGCGAGGCTACCCGCCTATGTTCTGGTCTATCTTGATACTATATGGCCGCCGAACGCTGTTCACAAGTTGATGCTTAGCACGAATCGCACCATTACGATTTGGGATACTGCGATCGCAAAGGCTCCTAGATCCGCCTTATTGTAGGAAACTGGATTCGATACAATTACTGTAAAGAAGCTGATTATATGAAACTTAAGAATGTAAGGAGATATCAAGTTATTATTTTTTAGTGACCTGGACGCTTGAATAGGGCAGGAACCATGTTGACGAGGCCAGTTTTTGCGTCATTATGTTTGTGATTGTAGTGCCAAAGTACTCCGAAAATTTTGGGAGGTTAGGCAATGCTACCTTTGCAAGATGAAGGGCTATCAAATTATAGATAGTAAAATAATCAGTGTTGTGGAGAACTGACACTACTTTGGAGACGTGAGGTAGACTGCTTGATGCCTCCGGGTAATCAATAAGATGAGTCAGCGGTTGATCAAGACCACGATCGCTGATCTTGTCACGTGGAGAGGAGCAGCTCAGCGAGCCTGAGTGACCCTATTAAAGCGGCGGCACCGAATGAGGTAAACCCCACCCGTTAGGAAACATCTAGTGCGTATATCTACATAAGTATCTGGTGATGTCTCGTCTTACTGGGCCAGAATAGACAGAAAATCAGTTATCGTAAATAACATACCCGGACTAGGCGGAATGATCTTGTCTATCTTGTACCTCCGTCAAACAGTCCAATGAGCACCTTCTGGCTTTGTAGGCCCTTACTCCTCTCTTCTATACACATGGTCCATTTTCGACACACAGAGCCATGACGGAGAAACGCAAAGAGCCAGCCCGGGAGAAGCGTCCTCCTCTCACGCATTTTCTCTGTCTCCCGTTGGTCAATGTGACCTCGATTCCCCAGCTGGAGGCATCAATAGCTGCTTTCAAGAAGGAAAATCCACCAGTTCCAGTTGCAGACCTACTCCAAAGCCATGGTCAACCGTCAACAGATGCCTCGCGGCCCTCCATCCCCGATGGCGCTATTCGTCCCCTGGGTACGCTGCATCTTACACTCGGCGTCATGAGCCTCCCAAGCCAAAGTCGTCTGGACGAAGCCACCTCTTTTCTACGGTCGCTGGATCTAGCCAAGCTGATGCACGAGGCGGGGCAAGTAGCGCTCCGCAAGAAAAAGCAGAATGCCTCCCAACCAGCCAACGAAGTGGCGAAGTCTTCCAAAGAATTGTCCATCTCTCTGGAATCCCTACACGCACTACCCAGAGCAAAATCGGCTACGGTTCTACATGCCTCACCTGTCGATTCGACAGGCCGCTTGTACCCGTTCTGCCTGATGCTGCGGGAGAAATTTCTTGAAGCCGGTTTCCTGATTGGCGAATCGAAAGAGAGCACCAACAAGAACAAAGAGCCTGCAAGAAGCAGTGGTGCAGCTGAACAGCAGAAAAAGCCGGAGCCATCCAAATCTACGGGGACAACAAAAGGGGACCTTCATACTGCGGCCCTCGCTCGGCAACCGAAACTACGGCCACTTCTTCTGCATGCTACGATCGTGAATACGATTTACGTGCGGCAACCGAGGCCCGTGCATGGCTCAAAGTCTACCTTTAAGGGAAAAAAAACGGTTAAGCGCTTTGAATTTGATGCGAGGGGTCTTTTGGATCGGTATCAAGATTATTATACCGATAGGGCAAGCAAAGTGCCTCGTGTGCAGACTGTACCTTCTGCTTCCCCGTCTAACTCTTTACCGGCTTCGCCAAAGTATCCTTTCGTCTGGGCAAAGGATATTCCCATTGACTCAGTGACTATATGTGAGATGGGAGCGAAGAAGCTCAATGTTGAAGGTGATTTTGACGGCTTGAAAGCGCGGCTTGATCAGGAGTATACTGTTGTTGCGAGTCGGAAATTGAATCACCGGTAGACGATGTTGTTGAGTGGAATGAGGCTTGAAACACGTTTGCTCAGATCAAATTCATTTCTATTATTCGTGGCAGTACAGTAGAAGTTGCTTGCTAAATCGTTGACAAAGTGGCTCAGGGTTCCCATCCCAAGCCAGCTTGGGACTAATTTCCATTTCAAATATCATATGCTGATGCGAGTCATTGTTATCCCTTCCTCCGGGTTCTTCTGGTGGGATCAAGTATCACAATTACCTCACTCGGCTCATGATAGTCTCTGTGCCTCTTTCGACAGACAACTCTGCAGCCTTGGCTTTGACACCACTGATCATGCTCCGCTCAAAGTCATCACGGGTACGCAGGACAGCCTCGACCCACGAGAGCTGGAGGTCCCAGTACTCAAGCTTGAAAGACTCGTAGACATTGACAACGCCCTGACCCTTTTCGGCTTCGAGCAGGCGGACCAGCCAGTCCACAAGACGCCATTTTTGCTTGATGGTTCCTTCGAAGGAGTCCTCGTATTTCTGGAAGAAGTCAAAGACAGTAAGGACATCGTCTTTGAACTTTTCTGTGAATGGGTCTGCGTTGCGGCGGAATTTGACGCCCTTGTTGCGGACTGAAGATAGGTATCGGACTAGCAGTTCGTCGGAGAGTTCTTCGACGAGGATGTCGACGAGGGATGGATGCAGAACGGGAGTGTAGTCGGCCATGTAATCCTCGAAGGTGGATATGATCCGCTTGATGGCGTATTCGCCGTACCACTTTGCGGTGAAGAGATCTGGGAAAACGGTGGCGAGATCCACAGTGAATACTACCTGCACGAACTGCGCCAGGCAGTGTGTGCTCAGATCCACGTAGCCGTCACGTAGGGCATCCAGCTCCTCGTTTGCCCGTGTTGCCATGTACTTGGGTGTCACCAATGGCTCGAGATCGCGTTTGAATCTTGATAGGTAGCCCATCTGGCCTGTCTCCTCGTTGTCGTCGATGCAGGCAATCTGATCATTGGCTACGCCGACCAACCAGTCTTGCAGTAGCTGAATACCCTCGGCTTGTTCGGCACCAGCTGCCATGGCCTTGGTGCATTCTTCATCGATCAAAGATTGCCATGCGCTCTGTCGGCCCTTCAGAGAACGGAACATAGCATCAATGACACCTTCAACTACATCGGCTCTTTCAGATGCACCTGCAGCGACAACCTGCTCATGAAGCATACGCCACATGTCCGCCAGTGTCTTGGTACGGAAAATGCCATCGGCATTGGTATCCAGTGCATCTGGTTGCCGCTCCACAAGTCCTTTCTTGTCGGTCTCGAAAATGCGGTCCATCCATTCTTCAACAGCGTTGATAATGACACTCTGCCACTGGCGAATGAGTTCTGGCTCCCGGTCGTCAAGAAGGTTGGGCTGAAGCTCATTTGGCATCCAGCCGAGTTTCTTCATCTTCTTGTAATACTTGTCACCCCAGTTGATAATTTTCAGTAGATTGTCTGCAGGGATCTCAGGATCGTCAATCATAGATACAAGGAAGTCGTGCATCATGCGATGGTAAATATCGGTGTAGGTCTTGTAGATCTTCCATTTCTTCGGCACCAGATTCTGCATTCCCTGCTTGACCGTGAAGAGATCATTGAAGAACCACCGGAAACTCTTCTCGAGAAGATCTGGGTCGCCGAGGAATTGGTCCTTGGTATTGTCGAATTGGTTCCGTGCGTAGAACTCGATCGCCTGTAAGAGCTTTTCCTTGTAACCGCGAACCGTCTTCGGACCAATATGCATGGACTTGAAACGACTAGCCAGGTCCTTGTGATCTTTTTGCGCTTCTTGTAATGCCCGCACGGTAGCATCATTCTTCTCCTCATTCAGCACTAAAACCGCCAATCGAACAACCATGCTCTTGTTATCCTCCTGGACCAACGGAATCAGATTCATGCAGGCCGTCCCAAGATGATCATCAAACCAATCAATAACAGAGTCCAGCCCCTGGAAGTACTCCATCAAAGTATTCTCGGCACTAGGGTCCTGCGCCTTCCGGATCTGATCCATAGCCTCATCCCTGAAATCCCTTAGCCGGGAAATCTGCATATGAGCCCGTAACAGGTTTGGCTGATTCTCGAGATCCTCATCATCCTCTCTAAGCAATTCCTCAACCTCCTGCAAATCCGCACTAAAATTCCCCAGCCCCTTCTTCATCATCAATGTCGCATCGAAGCCTCGCTGGATCCGCGCTAACTGGTCAATCTGCGCAAAGTCCTCCACGCTATCTTGCGATTCGGCGCATAACTTATCGATCCCGGCTAATTCGTCTTTCGTCTTCGATACCTGACGCTGGCCCTCAGTCAAGGACCCTATACTGCGCTGTACGGCTTCAAGCTGGTCGCGGAGGCCCTCGCGGAGCCGTGAGTCGACGGCTGTTTTCTTGCGCAAGTACTCAGCTTTCAAGCCGCTGATCTTGTCTAGATCTTCTGGGTGTCGGAGCAGGTCTCCAAGTTGGGGCATGACGACCGTGCCGTCTGTGTTGCCATTTTGTGCCATTGCGGTGGCCTTTTCCATGAATGTTGAGGTGAGGTGTTGGTATTGGTGTTGGGGTCGGTAATCGGAGGCACCGCGGTGCGGCTCGATACTTAGATGCGGGCACGATTTAAAGGCGTGGGCATGCCTCTGAGACCAGAGGCAATGTCGTTCAGAAACCGACTTTTGTTGTGCTTGCGCAATTAAGCAGGTTCCAAGATCCAGCACCGCATTACCGTGTACAACTCGTCGCTCCACCTGGACATGGAGAGCTGCGGAGCTCCGATGGCTGAAGCGGCAGAATTCCCGCACGTGAGTCACCGCCCAGGAATTTGCGGCTTTGCATCGTGAACTGATCACGTTGATCAAAAACTCCGTACTCAATCACTTTTGTTGCGCGCAGATTGGCAATTGATTAAATTGTCTGCCGCTTATTATCTCCTCAAATCCCACCTACCTACGACTACCGGGTAACTACCTCACCTGCAACCCTCTCCGCGCAAAGCGATCTATTCCGAACAGCGCACGCTTCACCCACCGACTACAACAAACATCCTCAATCTCCATCTTCAAAATGAGCTACTTCCGTATCACCCTCCTCCGATCGGCAATTGGTCTTCCCCGCCGCACAACAGATGTCCTCAAGGCGCTCGGCTTGAAGAAGCGTATGGCCACCGTCTTCCACCCCGTGTCGTCCTCCGCTGCGGGTCAGATCATGAAGGTCAAGGAACTTGTCGAAGTTAAGGAGGTGGAGAACTACATGAGCCAGCATGAGGTGTGGCTCGAGCGCAAGCCCGATCCGGGATACTATGTTGAGAAGACCGTTGCGCAAGAACGTGGAGAGTCGCTCCAGCAGTAGGTACTGTTGGTATATCTGCGTTCTCGAATGGACTGAAAGGCTGAGGGGACAAACGCTGGATCATCTATGGGTCCCCTAAGTTGCGGTGCTATCTGATGATCGCCTTGCCCTTTCTGTCCAGAGCTTGATGTGTATGGAGACTGTCTGGTCATCTTTTTTTATGTTTTGCATGGAGCGGGCTTTATTGTTTCTATGTCATGTATTCTATTTCTATAGCCACTTGGTTTAAGCCGTGGCCTTCACTTTTTCTTTTTTACTCTCGTCGATTATGTATTATATGGAACATTGACTCAAATATACTCGAAAAGGAATATGTGCAATTTGAATTGATATCACTAATAATAGAATAGACACGCCAGCCGTTTAGGTGTTCGGTCTGCATGGGCAGATAGAAGGACGCGCTGAAAAGCATACCATAAACGCCGCAAGGCCCAGATTAGAAGCCGAGGACCAGCCTCCAAGAATGGCTCTGTCGAGAGCGACGCGCTCAGCAGTCAGCGGCTTCGAATTGGGAATGGATTCAGATTCCTCGTATCCGAAAGAACAGCAATTGCCTCGGATATACACTGAAAAGGAAAAAGAGACTGCATCTTGCAGCAAACGCTTAGGCTTTATACAAAGTGTCAAGGAAGCCCACAGCCAAGCGGCTGATGACACTCTTATCCGGGATGCTGCCGGCAACACCGTAGAGAGTGGACGTATCGCCACGCTGCAGAATATATGACTTTCCTTGTCTGCGGCGCTCCTCGGCCTTCTCAAGCTCCTGGTCGATGACCTTGACCAAATCAATGATGAGCTGATCCACAGCCTTGGCAGTGGGGATGGTGAAGGCGCAGTGCATGGCTGGAGGTGACTGCAGAGCATTGAGATGCCACCCCATGGCGGTCATGTCATCGGCAATATCGTAGATATCAATGGCGCCATTCTTGCTGCGGAAGGCTACCACGCTGACCATCGGATTACCGATGATCTCCATGTGCAGCGAGATGACGGGGTGATCGCGAATAGCAGACTCAAACTTGCGGGCGGCATTGATGATCTCCGTGCAGCTGTTGATGTAGCCAGACTCACCGACGCTCATTAAGCTAGCCCAGCAACCAGCGATCAACGCGCCTGGTCGCGAGCCAGCAACAGAGGGAGAAGCGTAGACACCACCTGACCAATCGGGGTACACAAAGTACTGATGGCTTCGGTAGGCTTGGTTGCGGTAGAGCAGAACGGAATTACCCTTCGGCGCGAAGCCATACTTATGGGTGTCCACACTGATGCTCGTGACACCAGGCTGACGGAAGTCGAAACCGCCTTCCTCCTCATACGGCGAGGGGAAGCCAGCCTTCTTGAGAGAGGCGATACAGAACGATCCTAAGCAGCAGTCCACGTGGAGGGGAATCTTATACTTAGTCGCCAGACGGGACAAAGCAGGAATATCATCGACCATTCCGTGAGGGAAATTCGGTGCAGATCCAACAAGGAGAATAGTGTTGGGGTTAATCAGACGGCGCACAGCATTGATATCAACCTTGAACTCGGGCTCAGGGCATGGAACGCGGTGCAGCTTAATCTTGAAGTAGTTGCAGGCCTTGATGAAAGCAGCGTGAGCTGTGTCAGGGATGATCCTATTAATTGTCAGTACTCGCACGCCGCTGAAAGGTCCGAGACATCCAACTCACATTTCGGGCTCCTTGATGCCGCGCTCCAATAATCCCTTTTGCCGGGCACCCAAACAAGCCATGATGATCGATTCCGAGCCACCACTGGTGGTAACACCAGCACCATCAGCGGGACCATTGAACAGGTTCAAAACCTGTAATATAATTAGCTTCCATCCAGCGACCCCTTGTCTTCTTTGACGTATTCTCCTATGGAGTCACATACCATAGAAACAACCTCGGCCTCCATTTTACGAACTCCCGGGAAGACATCCGGATGAATTGGATTCGCAACGCCAAATTGGCCAAATGCCTCCGTTTGAAGTTTCAGAAGATCCTCGCCTCCATGATACACAGCACCGCTCACTCGGCCATCTTCCCAGCGCGTGTGCTTCATACCAGCGAGTTTCCCGAGCTCCTCGCGAACCTTTTCCGGACTCCAGCCTTCCTTCGGAAGTGTTAGATACCGGTCAACGTCCGGTCCACTTGGCACGAGCTTTCTCTGCAAATCCTCCAGGGCAGTCTTCACTTCCTTGTCGACCTTGCCGCGCACACCAGGGGTGCGCAAAAGAACCGAGTAACAGAACAGGCGGATGGCGAGATAGACATTGCGGATGCTGCCAAACAGGCCGTAACCGCGGAGGGAATAAAAGGTCTTGCGAGTATAACGGAATAGGAAGAGTACAAATACAATATTGCGGATACTGTGGAGTATTTGAAAGGTGTTGTTAGCGATGATCTGATTAGTCCGGTCCGCATTGGTTTCGCGGGGAAGGTCCAGGCAGTCACTTACAGATCCAGATTTACGGCAGACAGATGGGCTCTGGACGCACGGCCATAGCCTTGCAGTTTGTTCTGCAAGGCGACTGGAAACGCCGAATAACTCATTTTGCCCGTGGGATGATCCTAGGGAATAATGATGCAGATGGGGGATTGGAGATGATGGGGCGGAGTTGGACATTAAGTAAGGTCCGTTCCTCCGTTCCCGTTCACGTCAGCCAAGCCGAGGCTGTCCACATGTCTTATCTGATATTGGAGATTGGATAATTCACTTAAATCCAAGTCAATTCTCTTCTTAACATGAATTTAAGATTTACAATTTGCTGGAAAATCTTATAAGTCGACTTATTCATTGCTGTAGCCAAAATGGCTTCTGCGCTTATGTACAGTAGAGAGGACTAACTCTCCCAACACCAACCCATTTTTCCTTTCCGGGTTCCAAAGTGTATAAAAAACACAAAACTTTTCTCAAAGCCTGAGAATAAAACAAAAGGAGAATTCCCAAACACATAAAACACATCAAATCATCAGAAATTTCTCAGCACCTTGACTCTGAAGCGGGCTGCCGCTATGCAAGCTCTTCGACGCGGGAATGGTCTGGCGAATAATACGCACGCTATTGAACACAAAGAAGAAATAATAAATGGAGAAGCTTAGACGACAACACCATTGCGCTCAGCCTCAAGGGCCAGCTCCTTCTCCTTGGCGGCGAAGATGGCCTGCTCCTCAGCGCTCAAGTCCATCAACGGCTTGTTCTCGCCGGACTTGAGGTTGCGGTGGTAGGCACGGATAATGCTGTCAGCATCGTCAACGGCAATGGGACGGATGTCAGCCAGAGCCTTGATCTTGGCAGTGCACTCCTTGTACTGAGCATCGCTCATCTCGAGCTTGAGCTGCTGGGCACGAGACTTGATGGCGTTCCAGCCAGTCAGACGGGAGGCGAAGTGCACGTAACGGGTCATACCGAAGTCGGCGGGGTTGATGATCTCGTAAGTGCTGGGGTTGTTAAGGATAGCCTTGGCGTGGATACCAGCCTTGTGGGTGAAGGCACAGAAACCGGTGATGTAGTTGTTGAAGGGAATGTTGACCTCAACGGCCTCGGCGACGAGGTCCTCAATGTCCTTGAGCTTCTCAAGCTTGTACTTGCCCTTGACGTATTCGGGGTCGGCGACCATCATGCGGGCCATCAGACCACCCAGAGGGGTGATACCGTTACGCTCACCGATACCGAGGACGGAGGTATCGATGTGGGTGGCACCGGCCTCGAGGGCACAGTAGGCATTGGCGATAGCGCAGCCAGTGTCGTTGTGGAAGTGAGTCTCAATGTCGCAACCGACGACACCACGGAGCACACGGACGAGCTCGTAGACCTGGCGGGGGAGGCACAGCCAACAGTGTCGGCAATACCGACACGCTGCACACCGACCTTGTCGACGGCAGAGTAGATAGACAGAAGGTCAACCAGGTCGGAACGGAAGGAGTCCTCGCTGGAGAAACGGATCTCAATGCCCTTGGACTTGACGAACTCAATGACCTCGATGGCAGTGTTCTTGATGTAGGTCATGTCCTTACCGTGAGAGTGCTCACGGAGGTAGGAGGAGGTACCGATAACGACATCACTAGTTCAATGGTCAGTTATACGAGATCCATGAATTTTGAAGTTCTGGTTAAATGACTCACACTCCATCAACACCGGTCTCGACAGCAACACGGGCATCATCCATGTGGCAGCGAATGTGAGTGAGAATCTATAGCACAATTAGCCTCGAAAATCAATCGGAAACTCCCATTTTCGGGAATTTGCCACCTAGAGATGAGAAACGTACCTTGGCCTTCAGACCAAGCTTGCAGATAGCCTCGCAGTCAGCACGAGACTGCTCGGAAGCGCAGGGGCTAGTAAGCTCAATCTACGATGAAATTGTTAGTCTCGAATCCTATGCTGCCGGTATAGCGAATGACTCACGTAGTCAACACCGAAGTCATCCAGAGCCCTGGCGATCTCAATCTTCTTCTCGGTATCGAAGAAAGCGTTGGCGAACTGCTCACCCTCACGCAGAGTGCTCTCAATGATCTTGAAGCGGGAGACATTGCTCAGGAAATCGGTCACGCCAACATTGTGGCCGTAAGGGTTGCGGGAGGCGGAAGGGTGGGGGTTCTGGCGGGTCTCAATGCCAGTGAAACCTGCTCGCAATCTTGCAATTAGAACATGTTCTTCTTTACTCTGTAGAAAATCGAGTTCTGCATAACAGAATTGACATACCATCATGGTTGTTACCATTGGCCTGCACAGCGGGCTCGGGGTCGGCACCGGGACACATTGTGGGTATGGAATTTGGTGGGGTTATGGAGGGGTAGTGGCGGTGATTGAGGGTCAGGGTATAATGGATCAAGCTCAATACCCGTCAAGTAAGTTTCTAAAGACGATATTTATGTTCAAGAGAGGGGAGAATCAAGAGAAGTAAGAGTCATAAAGTGGAGTGGGCGGTGTGCTCATTTGCGTAGTAATCTTCCTTCGCTCGCTCGGCGGCAAAAAAAAAAAAAAAAAGTAGAAAAATTTCACTTTCTTGCGGGGTGGAGCAAGGGTTGCGCCGAATGCGCTCATAGGTCCTCTCCAGCATTTTTTCGGTCCTTCTTGTTCTTCCTTTATGACTCAATTTTTAGATCGACTACTTCTAATGCCTCGTGGGGTTCTTCTGCAAATATTCATGGCATTGTAGTACACATTGTGGGCGGGGAATTATTTTCTTTCTCTCTGCGCTTTCTTCCCTTTATACTCCGTCATGCCCCAGGGGAACCGACATCGGCACGGCGGGGTCCATGTCTGCGTACAGTGACCGGTGGACTTCGCCGATGCTAAAAACTAGAACCTTATGCTTTACTAATCCTTTTCTATTCCTGTGATAAAATAGATTACAATCTCATACGTCGTCATGATCATCGGTCCCACGCTAATTGGCTGTTTAGCCTATTCTGAGGTGTTCGATCCATTGTATGTGAACAACATGGAATAAGCACTTAGATTATACAACGTCTCTTCCAATTGCCATAATTTGAGGAAGTAAGATAAGAGAGAGATATAGACAGATGGTGCATGTTAATATCTGAGTATTATTCAGACGATTGAATTAAGTATATTGTTCCGCTATTCCGTAAAGTGATATCGATTTGGTGCAGCGACCAACCCTGGAGGAAGGCTCTACTGTAGTCCGGCAAAAAGGTGCAAGGAGATCAGAAAAGCCACAGAAAACCAAAGCAATACGGGGAACTCAGCCAAGGTGGCGACTTTTGGATCCCACGCTAACCCTCATTGGGAACTGGTGACTTAGGATTCAGGCTTACTTGTGGAGATGTGAAAGTGGAACGCGGTATCATTAAGCTTCAAAGAGGCAAAGCAGAACAAAACAAATCAAGATTAGACAAAAGGACAGACCCCCATCAGTCCTGCCCCAGTCGTCGAGGCGCCATTGGCTGCAGCTCGATTCCTCCCTGAGGAGGCATTGATGATTCATCCAACCCCAAGTCGATGTCGGCTTCAGGCCCGGGCCAATGCACCCCCAATATCCCGTCCAGACACCTGTACAAGTTTTCAGGCGAGTACCACCTGATGAGCGCGGTGATAATGCTGCCAAAAAAAAAAAAAAAAAAAAAAAAAAAAGGCAAGCAGTAAGAACCATCGGCTCGCGCGGGTTTTCAGAAAGCCTGGAAAGCACTTAGCGAAGGACCGAAGAACGGATCAAAGCCATTAGATACTGACCCATTAAGCCTCAGGCGAAGCCCCTTTAGGCAGCTTTATTTGTTCGAAGGCGCGGTAGCGTTGATCCTATGTGACGGACCCAATGTTAGTGGTATCGCCAATGCATTGGAGAGGACGCGATGGTGGTCTGATGTCCTCAGAATCACATTTGGGGTTCGAGAATCCTTGTTTAAACGTACAGAATATGCTATTACTGACATCCGCCAATGCGACATCATGATGAAGGTAGTAAAAGGTAAGCTTTGTAATGCGATCTTCGGAGCTCTGGCCATGGTTGCGTGGAACTCGGAATATTCGTGGAGCGTATACCATGGAGCTGACGAATCTGCTATTCATATGGAAAGCTCGACGACTAAGCCATATGCTCCAATCACCTCTCTACTGAAGCGTGGTTACTTTGTCCACGAGCTTTTTGAAATGATACCGGGGTTCTATGTACTCATTGTTGCTCTGAGAGGTTTAGATAGTCTCACCTTTCATACTGCACGCTCCCAGCTGGTCAACCCACTAGGAGATTAATCATATTATCAGTACAAAGACTGGCTATAAGGTACAATTGAGAAATTAAGTAGCCTTGCCCGAATTGCTTGTCTTTTGAAAGCTATTGTAGGCACTTATAATTGTAGTCTTACTTCCAGTAAGTATTGAACGTTCGTTTAGATCAATTCATGCTAGAATAAAAACCCCCTTCCCTCCCCCACAGTATTCAGTACACAAGGCTCCGAGTGTATACAATACAAGACCTTGAAAGTATTGAATTGCTTTGTCTTATTAACTTAGCGCAACCAGAGGACTGAAGCTTCTAGAACTGATTGACTAATAGTTCGAACCCACAAAGACTCCCGTTAATCATATTCTGAAACCTTAGTAGGCGCAAACTGTATGTATCTTAGAATATAGAATAATAGAATTAGAGTGCGCACATCACATTAGTGTGAAGTGGAGAAGCGGCGTCAGAGCTATGCAAGTCATAGATCCAGAACGGGCGGCTGGTCTGCTGGTTCCACAAGATAAGGTGCAGTATTGGATATTTACAAACTTAGGAACGTTCTATTGATATGTCCTTACATGCAATCAGTCTCAGTCTATATCAGTTTAAATATACTCGAGGGGGAAAACAAAGAAAGATCCATGGCTGCGGAGTGGATCGGATCTCCCCGCGTGCCATTTACACGGATGTGGTTGGTCCGGGCGCTCAGGCCAGATGTCGTCCAGGCTAGGTGGCTTCCATCTTTCTTACTCCTATCCACCCTCCGGTCTGCGTCAATCAATCAACCTGTCTAGGTAAGTTTCCAAGCTTCTTCGACCTGAAGTTCCATCTGTGCAACTTCGATCCCTGCATATGGTTTGATTTAACACGCGTCGCAGCCAAGATGCACTTCACATCGTTTGTCGCCCTCCTCCCTGCCCTGGCCCTGGCACAGGAACAGGTGCCCCTCGCCGACCGCGTGCAGGGATGGTTCAACAAGGCCAAGGCAATGGTGCCTACTGCTGTGCCAGCTGAGCCCGTCGTTAAGATGGCGGAGAAGGTCTCCGAGAAGGCTGTCACCCCGTTGACCCTGGACAACTGGGAGTCTATCCTGACCCCCGGCCCCCAGGCCGAGGATTGGTTCATTTTCGCGACTGGTGGTAACAAGACCTGCTTCGGTCGCTGTGAACATGCCACAAAGGCCTTCCAAGTAAGTAGTCACTTCATGCGCGCTTCTATCCAACCCACGCGTCTTGAATCAATCACTTGCTCCGATGATTAACCTTTTTTTCATCAGGAATCCACCCTCCTTTTCGCTGCTGATCCTACCTCTCCCAACCTCGGTCTGCTGGACTGTGAGGAGAACCGCATCCTTTGCTCCATCTGGTCCGCTGGTGCTCCCGCCGTCTACTACTTCCAGGTTCCTGAGGCCCAGGCTGAAGGCCGCGCTCCCACTCCCATGTACATCGTCAACATGAACCACACCACCGTCACCCCTGAGGAGCTTTACAAGATTCACTCCGAGAAGAACTTCGAGAAGGTTGAGGCCTACGAGGGCGCTATGCACCCCACTGACAGCTGGCTCGCCCAGAACAAGCTGAACATCCCCATCGGTTACGCCCTCTACGCCATCGGTGCTGTTCCCAGCTGGATGTTCATGATTGGTATTTCCATGTTCAGCCGTACTTTCATGTAAGATCCGCCCAGAGAAAGGCCGTGTTTTCCTATTCAATTGTCATGCTAACTTGATTTTTTAGGAACCGTCGCATGCCCGGTGCCCCTGGTAACCGTGCTGCTAATGCTCCTGCTGGCAGTGCCAACTAATGGTTTTAATTTGTCGGGCAATTTATTTTTGGGGTGTAAATAGCGAGTCGCAGGCCGTCTGTATTTCAATGCACTTGGTGGGCGCGTGTTCTTTCTCTGGAAAGCTTCAAGTATAGTTCAATGACTTAAAGCTGCTTCGTTAGGAATTTTAATCAATGCCAATATCAAAGCTCACTTGAGGAAATCATGTTGCAGGATTTTATAGAAACTTACAGCTAGCCTGGAGGTATCAAAAGATTCAACGGGTGTCCAATTCTACCTTTTACATACCTCCAGCTGGAGGTCATGCGTCCAGGTTCAACGCTCATCAAACTTCCAAGGCTGCGCTTGAGACTTGAATTTGGGCAATACCTGCAAGGGCGTGTGCATATACATACCAACTTGAGTAGTCAAGTAGTGTTCTTGAAATTGCGCGAATTTCAAGATTCCGAATAACAACCTTCATAAGGTTGGACGACTGACAACTATATATTTTCAATGTTGAAAATTCAACAAAATATATTTCTTGGTAATATGTACTTAAAGGGCTTGCCCAAATATATCTACAGTGCATAGATAGTCAAAAACAGCATTATATATGTAGAGTTGATCCCAATCTCATTAATTGTTGGTATGGAATTGTTGAGCAAAATATGGTTCCAATCTTAAAAGTTGAACATCGCCGCCGGATATGTAATCATGGACTCGGACCCGATCCACACCAGTTATAAGAACTCAACCACACTCACCACAACCCAACCAATCTCCCTCAAAATTACCTACACACCTCCAAAATGGCTGCGCAAGTACCTTTAGATCGAATCCCACCCACAACGACCGCCTACGTGATCGCGACCGCCATCCTCGCAGGCGTGACAGGCTATTTCATCGGCCAAGGTTCCTCGCTGAACCTCTTCAAAGAGAAGCAAGGCTGGCCGAACGGCTACGACGTCAAGGTTCACCGAGACTCCTCTGACGAGGAAGACGAAGCCGAAGCTGACGCCGAGTCGGATGAGGAGACCGAGGACGAGGGCAATGGCGAGGAGCTGGCCAAGTTCAAGGATAACGTTGAAGAGGTGAAGTTGGTGCTAGTTGTGAGGACAGATTTGGGTATGACCAAGGGTACGTTACATCTATCATATGAAGAAAGAGACAGGATAAAGTGTTATTTCTTTACTGCTTCGGATTCAAAGCTAACTGTCGTTCGCTCTCCAGGCAAAATCGCCGCTCAAGCTTCCCATGCGACTCTCGCCTGCTACAAATACTTCCTCACACATGCGCCCGACAGCCAGATCCTGCGCCAATGGGAGAACGGTGGCCAGGCCAAGATTGCGCTGCAGATCAAGGGCGAGGATGAGCTGTTGACTCTCCAGGCGCAGGCTATGAGCTTGGGCCTTTGCGCGCGTGTTATTCAGGATGCGGGCCGGACACAGATTGCCAGTGGGAGCCGGACAGTATTGGGTGTCTTGGGACCCAAGAGCATTGTTGATGGTGTAACCGGGCATTTGAAGTTGCTGTAAACTACATTCTAGCCATATAGCCGTGTGCGATAGGACTTAATGATCATGAATGATGAAGCTTCATCTATCACACATTACCGGGCCGACAACCCTGGTGGGTACAGAGCACTGCTTCCAGTAGAAGATTTCGTGCAATGCGCGAGAGCTCTTAAAAGACTACGCAAGGTCCTCTCAGCAAGCCTCGAGGTATCTTGGTCAGGCTACCATTCGTGGCAATGATGTCAACTACAAAATGCAGTGCAAATCTATATAAGGGGATGTTTGCTGTCATGGTTAATCCCTAGCCTCACAGACCAACGGCCTCGGCAAAGAGTTCAGGAATATGACGCTGTCTACAACCGGGCACCCAAGCCGAGCTCACCAGGAGGGAGCTCAAGACCCGGGTCACACCCAGTGCAGACTTTAATCTGAGATCCGTCGACTGGATACCGTAAAGTGCCATACATAAGAATGAATGGCCCCGTAACGTCGAACTGCCCAGCTCTCAACCGAAACACGAAAGGACAAGCCCCTGTGATCGGGAAATCTGGACACAGATCTATGTGTGTTTGAAGAAAGAAAGAAGGTGAACGGGAATCAAAACTTTTTTATTTAGCAGAGATTATTGCGCTAGACCAGATTGGGGATAGTGGATACGATCACCTGACCCAGCTCTGGACCGAGTGGAACTGATATTGATAGCGGGTTCATGTCGATTCCTTTGGTGACCAACTTCTGTCTTTTATTTCTCACCTACCTCCATCCCCTTCCCTACCCTCACCCTTGCTGCACAAGATACACCCGTCACCATGGCGGACGCTGTATCTATTGAGCAGACCAACAAGATCCGAGTCTCTCTCGGACTCAAGCCACTCCCTGTTCCCGGTGCCGACGCCACCGGCCCCGAATTCCGAGACGATGACTCCTCCAGTGGATCCGAAGACGAAGAAGAGGCAGCGAGCACACTCGAAACCCGACAAGAGCAAGGCTACGGCAACTGGAAGAAACTTCAAGATGAAGCCGACGCGAAACGGCGCCGCGAAGAAAAGAACGCTGCCATCAAGAAAGCGCGCGATGAAGCCCAACGCAAGCTACAGCTGGAAGGTTCCACATTGGGCGATTCGGTTGGTGATGATCTCGACACCAAGGCCTGGTTGATGCAGACCAAGAAGCGCACGAAAAAGATCGAGAAGGAGCGCGCGCGCAGACTGGCTCAGGAGCTGGAGGAGCGCGAGCGCGAGGCTGCGATTCAATACACTGCTGAGGATCTGGCTGGTGTCAAGGTCGGACATTCTGTCGGTGCATTCGAAGGTGGCGAGGACCATATTCTTACGCTAAAGGATGCTGCGGTGGACGATGAGGAGGAGGGCGATGAGCTTGAGGATGTGCACTTGGCGGAGAAGGAGAGGACCGAAGAGAAACTCGAGCTGAAGAAGCGCAAGCCCGTTTACGATCCCACGGCTGAAAACCAAGGAATTCTGTCGCAGTATGACGAAGAAATTGACGGCAAGAAGCGCAAGAGGTTTACCCTAGACGCCAAGGGGTCCACAGAGGAGGAACGTGAGGCCAAGCGACAAGAGGTCTCGGGCAAGTTAAGGATGGGAGCCATCAGCCTCGAGCTAGAGCCCGAGATTGCGACTTCCGATTACATGGATATCAGCGAGATCAAGGTCAAGAAGCCGAAGAAGAAAAAAGCCAAGACTACCAAGCAACGAGGGACTATTGACGATGAAGACCTTTTCCCTAGCACTGAATCTAATGGAGCCTCTATGGACATTGATTCAGGCAATGGAGCCTCGGCTCCCGTCCGAAAGCCGTTGGACCAGAATGTCTCCTTTGTGGACGATGACGACCTACAAGCCTCTCTTGCACTCCAGCGACGAGCTGCATTCAAAAAGCGCAAGAAGATGCGCCCTGAGGATCTTGCTCAGCAGCTTCGTGAAGAAGAGTCTCAGACCCCGATGGAGGTGGAGACACCTGAGGGAGATGCGGAAGAACCTGGTCTCATTATTGATGAGACAACTGAATTTATCTCCAACCTCCAGAAACCCACCATCCCTGAACGGGAAGAGCGACAAAAGTCTACAGTCTCAGAAGACGCCAAGCCCAAGCCTGAGGATGAGCCACAAGACGTGGACATGGAACGCTCTTACAATGACATCGAAGATGACGAGGACCTCGCTGAACGCATCAAGCGCGAGGAATCCGAGCGGGAGAAACAGGAGATTACCGGTACTGGATTGGAAGAAGAAGCTACTTTAGATCAGGGTATGGGAGCTGCTTTGTCCATGTTGCGACGACGTGGTCTGGTGAAGGATACTGGTGGCAGCGATCGCAACGCTCTCATGCGAGACCGCATGCGCTTCATTCAAGAAAAAGAGAACCGCGAAGCCGAAGCCGACCGACGTGCCCGACTGCAGCGTGAGCGCGACCGTGCTTCTGGTAAGCTCGACCGCATGTCGGCCCGTGAGCGTGAGGAGCACGCCCGCTGGGAGAACAAGCAGCGAGACCAGCAGGAAGCCCGCCAGATGGCCGAGATCTTCAACAAAGAGTACAAGCCAGACGTGCAACTCAAGTATGTGGACGAACACGGTCGCTCTATGAACCAAAAGGAGGCCTTCAAGCACCTCAGTCACCAGTTCCACGGCAAGGGTAGCGGCAAGATGAAGACGGAGAAGCGATTGAAGAAGATGGAGGACGAGGATAAGCGCGAGGCCATGAGTACTATGGACAGCAGTCAACACACTGGCATGAACAATGCTATGGGACAACAAGCCCGAAAGAACCGCCAGGCCGGTGTACGACTCGGCTGAAGATATTATTTTTTGTGTATAGTTGCTAAATGACCACCTCACGATAACCTTTTGGGAAACACCCGCTAACCAGATCTGTCAAGTCCTCCCGTAATAAGTCGGTGTCGGAGCGATCAGACCATGCTCTCCGCGTGTGGGGATGGCGGGTATTTGACCTCCCCATATTAACCGAGGTTTTCTTTTTTATCTCCGCAGAATTCGAAAGTGTGCAGGAGACGAAACTCAAGTAGGATCTAGATCTGATCAAAACCAATTTATCCGTAAAAGCCAATCTGATCATTGGTTGCATCATATAATTCTTGTTCAGGTACAGTAGACCGGGTATTACCCCAAATCGCGTGAGGGGAAAAGCAATAAGTGGAGCTTGTCAGCCTGGATCAGCTCACCGGGAAAACGAATCCCGATGTCGCGCAATATCGGGGACGAGTTCTTGTCTATGATGTTGTGGTTGCCTTATGTATGGAGCTATTCAAGCTATGAGTCTGTAGAACGGAATTGTAACACAAGGAACTTATAGAGAAATACGAAGCTTTAACAAAATCCAAAAAAGACCTTCAAATCACCTATAGCAACGCAAACTATTGAAACTGTCAATGATCGTCTCCTACATCCCTGCTAAATTGTGCGGAGGGATGAGCCAATCCCGCCCTTTCGCAGGTGGCTGTTCTCGCCGGACGCGGATGTACCCGGTACCAACGTTAAGTATGTAACCCCACACCACAATTCTCGTACCCAATACCGGTATCACATGAGTCAAACCAAAACACAACATCTCCGACCTTTTCTCCCGGTTCTTCCCTTTTTATCCCCAATTCCCCCAATTACTGTGGATTTTGTGTCCCTTCTTTTCTCATTCCACATCATCAAAAATGCTCTCCACACTGCGTGTCGCCAGCCGTTCGGCTGCTGCCCGCGAGGCTAACATGCGCACCGTGATCATTGGTGCTCGTCAAGCTTCCGCCTGGTCCAAGGTTCCCCAGGGCCCTCCTGTAAGCTTGCCCGTTTTTGTTTCCTGCCGTGCCTTTAATTTCGGAGCTGCGATTGTGTTCTCAAGGACTGTGCTGATGCAATGAACTCGATAGGATGCTATTCTGGGTATCACCGAGGCTTTCAAGGCTGACTCCTTCAAGGAGAAGATCAACCTTGGTGTCGGTGCCTACCGTAAGTGATATACAAACCTTCAATTGCGCAGCTTAGCTGGCATTGCGCGCATTGGGAAAAGAAATAGGGTAAGCTAATGGATGATTTGCGACAGGTGACGACAAGGGCAAGCCCTACGTTCTGCCTTCCGTCCGCGCCGCCGAGGACAAGGTCGTTGCGTCGCGCAGCGACAAGGAATATGCTGGTATCACCGGTATCCCCGCCTTCACCAACGCCGCCGCTGAGCTTGCCTACGGCTCCGACTCTGCTGTCCTCAAGGAGGACCGCCTGGTCATCACTCAGACCATCTCCGGTACCGGTGCTCTCCGCATTGGAGGTGCCTTCCTTGAGCGTTTCTACCCCGGCGCGAAGAAGGTCTACCTCCCCAACCCTAGCTGGGCCAACCACGGCGCCGTCTTCAAGGATTCCGGCCTCGAGGTCGAGAAGTACCGCTACTACAACAAGGACACCATCGGTCTGGACTTCGAGGGTCTGGTCGAGGACATCAAGGCTGCTCCTAACGGCAGCATCATCCTGCTGCACGCCTGTGCTCACAACCCCACCGGTGTTGACCCTACCCAGGACCAGTGGCGCCAGATCAGCGATGTCATGAAGCAGAAGGGTCACTTTGCTTTCTTCGACATGGCCTACCAAGGCTTCGCCAGCGGTAACGCTGATGTCGATGCTTTCGCTCCCCGCCACTTCGTCAAGGAGGGCCACAACATTGCTCTGTGCCAGAGTTTCGCCAAGAACATGGTGAGTCGGACATCCGAGGATTGAAATTCAAGAGGAAAAGAAGCTAACGTATGCGATTTAGGGTCTCTACGGTGAGCGTGTCGGTGCCTTCTCGCTCGTTTGCGAGTCCACCGAGGAGAAGAAGCGTGTTGAGTCTCAGATCAAGATTCTCATCCGTCCCTTCTACTCCAACCCCCCATTCACGGTGCCCGTGTCGCCTCCACCATCATGAACGACCCTGCCCTGAACGAGCAGTGGCTCGGTGAGGTCAAGGGCATGGCCGACCGCATTATTGAGATGCGCGCTCTTCTGCGCAAGAACCTTGAGCAGCTCGGCAGCAAGCACGACTGGTCCCACATCACCAGCCAGGTAAGATCTACCCAGACCCACTTTCCCAGCCTACCCGACTAACATACAATAGATCGGTATGTTCGCCTTCACTGGCCTCAAGCCTGAGCAGATGGATGTCCTCGCCAAGGAGCACTCCGTCTACGCCACCAAGGACGGCCGTATTTCCGTCGCTGGTATCACCTCCGGCAACGTCCAGCGTCTTGCCGAGTCCATCTTCAAGGTTACTGGTTAAATTTGGAGATAAAAAGACACGACCGATAAAAGAATGAGGACCTGGATGATTCTCATGAACAGAATCGAGGACCTTGGAATAAGGATATGAAGGGGAAATCAGACCCATGCGGATGCGCTTGGTGCTTCGCGGAATCTTGTACTGGTATCTAATGTCTCTGTTTTATATTAGCATGGCTTGGCTTTGTCCATCTCAACGGAGATTTTGGATTCATTGTCTTCCTTTTCGGTCATCTTACTTAGCCCTGAGGTCTGTCAGGACTCACGTAGGGTCCTTGAGATTTGGATATTGTAGAACCTTCACATACGTCAGAAACCAATTAAAAAGACCACACCATTATCATCTCCAGCAATAAAACAATTGCTCGCCTGGTTACATACCTATCCGGGAACCCATAGAGGGGTAGGTACTGTGACCTATTTTACTCCGGCCCTGAAATACAGCCACACCAGCTGAGTAACACAATACTTATCTAAACCATCAATCCTTGAAATACCCAAAATGACCTCACCTAGGTAACCCATGGTAAACTCAACCTCAATATTCGACCTTATTTCAATTCTAACCCCCGTCCCAAGGTTGTGAACCACGTTCCATTATTTGAGCTCGGCTATGTTTACGAAACCAGCAAATTCCCTAAATTTAAATCCACCCGTAAAATAGAGTTCAAGCTAAAGCTAAAAACATCCTACCGAACAGAGCAAAGCACACACAAGAAAAAGGTACCTTGACAGCACATGATGAGGCATGTAGTTGAAACATAAGAAATGGAAATTGCAGATCCTTTCTCGAATGTATGTATGCACATGCACTGATCCTATGGTCTGAGTCGATCCGGCTTGAAAGACCTGTAAGATTCCTTAATATTCACGAATTTCTTGATCGCATAGATTGCACTAGCTGTATCAGCCAAAGGACTGGGATGGTACTAACACGGGGGACCTTCGGCTCCTTTCCTATCAGCATGACAGCCCACTCCACACCGTGAGTCAACTGCAGTCCAGATCCATCATGATGTAATCACCGGTGTATCATACCGTCAGGTATGGTATTGTAATACGGGAAACAATAATGGATCCCGTGACTCAGCCATGTGTCAAGCCACCAATCAGGTATTGAAGTGTGACGGCGAACCAGAACCAGACATTCGCTGATCCGGGGTAAGGCGCGTGGATCTATGAGGGCCTGGAATGATGAGCGAGATTTTGGGTTTTGTTACATTATTAAGATTTTAATATCAGAGGAATTGATTGTATTCATTTTTTGTATTTTGATAAAATCACGTGTATGATTTTGATGCTCGATGGCGGATATGGATATGATGCTTCAAGATGCGATAAATCACGGGATATGTGGGGGTTCTCATGCAAAAAGAAGGGATAAAAATAACAGCCTTGAGATGAGACAAAGGAAAAGGGGGAAAAAAAGAAAAGAAAATGAAAGATAAGAAAGATGAAAAGAAAAGTCAGATGGAACCATTAACCATTAACGCCAGAGCTGTCGAGTTCGGGGTAATATTCATTTTTCGCCATGTTGTTGGGTGAGTGCGTCACCATGCAGGAGAAAACAAGAAACAAAAATAAAAGTAAAAGTGATCAATGCATATTTGATAATGATCACGAGACAATGCCTTCTCGGAGACGTCGATCTTCTTCCCAGATCTCTCGTTTTTCACTTTGCAAGTGCTCGTGCTGTCGCACGAGTCTGTCCAGTTCCCCCTGGGAGGGGTTGGACTGGGCCTCCAGGGACTTATGCAAGGTGCGGTACTTCGCATAGTGGCGCTTGAATTTCTGCGACCGTTCCGATAGCCGCTGCCGGGCAATATCGTAGCTCATTGGTGGGGATGCACTGCCAGTACTGCCTCCACTAGAGGCACTTACGGCTCGGCGCCGTTTGTGGTCGAGGTTGCCGGTCGTACGGACAGGTGCAGCTTGTGCCGTTGCCGGCTCTGCCTTCCGCTTCAAGGGGTTGCCAGTGTTTGTAGACTTTGTGACACCATTGGGTTGGCCCGAGGGCTTCGAAGCGTGAGTAGTAGTTGCTTTGTTGGCCCGAGCAAGCTGAGAGATGAGGGGTGAAGACGAGGACGAGCTGGAAGATTGGTTCTGGCTGTCGGAACGGTTGCGCTTCGGTACATCAGAGGCATTAGTGGGAGGAGAAGAGCCAAGTGGGGAGGGCTTCTGGGGTGAGGTGGACTGTCGCGAGGCTGGTTTCTTGGAGGCTGTCTTCAACTGGGATGATTCGAGCTTGGGGGTGGGTGCGTCGACCTTGGGAGTCTTGGATGCAGTGGGAGTTTCGACTGGGCGCTTTGCAGGAACGTGGGTCTTCTGAGGACCCTTCTGGGCTTGAGTCCTTCTAGGTGGAGCCACTTTGTCTTCCTTCGGGCGCGGAGCCGGAGGTCCTGAGGGTGGCGTGGCGTCGGGCATATCCACATCGTCGTCGTCTGACGAATGCACGAACTCGTCAGACTTGAACTTGGTCTCCACCTTGGCCGGGGCCTTTCCTCCCGTCTTCTTTGTGACTCGTCCGGTCAGGGTGCTGTTGTTGTTGGTAGTGGGCTTAGCCTTGACAGGCCGCTTAGCCGGCTCTTTCTCCGCCCGGGGCTTCTGAGTAGTAGCGCTTGATCGAGGTGGAGCGCCGTCTAGTCCCTTGGAAGAGACAGTAGGACGGTCTGTATCGTTACCGGTGACGTCGCCATTGGTCCGATCATCAGCCCCGTCCACCTGGATCCGCGGAGTAGCAGTCTTCTTGACAGGTCCAGTGCTCAGGTTCAGACGAGACAGACATTTACCCTTGCCTCGCTCCTCCTTGGGAAGAAGCGTCTGCCAGAGCTTGTCGGAGCGAGAGATCCGCAGCCGATCAAAGGCCGAAACGGCGTTTTCAATGGCTTGCTGACGGTCCTCTTGATTTGGGTAGGGAAACTTCCACACATCAAGGTCTTTGTATGTTTTGTCCCGGAGATCGAATTTCTCACGGTTGAGGCGGTTCTCCGTGCCGTACTTCTGAGCTAGGCTGCCGCAGTCCTCAATGGAGGAGCGGGTTTGGCGCGAGAGGAACTTGGTGGAAACGGCTCGGACGGCGAGCAAGTGGATGAAGGGGGTCTTGAGGGCATCGAGGCGGGCTTGATTTTTAATTTGCGAGGATGGGGCGGAGGTAGGCATGGGCATGGGAGATTTGGGTGCACCCAGGGTCGGGCTCGAGGTGAGCGATCGGTTCGGACCTGTCCGAAAGAATCGGTCTTTGTCCAGCTCTGCCTTGGACCTGGAGGCTCGGAGGGTGGAGTTTCCAGCACCAGCGGCCTTCAGGGCCTTGAACTCATCTGGATGGTGAATGATATGAGTTTTCTTGGACTCCTTGCCCCGTTCGAAGGCATTGAGGCTCTCCTCCAGATTTGCAAGTGCCTGATCAGTGGCGGCAGTGTCCTTTTTGGCCTTTTCAACCTCCAGGCTGTGGCTCAGGACACCGGTAAAATAGACTTCCCGATCGTCGGTTCCGTCGGTCGAAGTATGGTAGATCTCGGAACGGTGGGTTTCAGGGTAGGCGTGAAAGGGTTGGGATTTGCCTGCATAGTGAAGAGAAGGGTGTTTTCCCAGGCGAAGTCGAGCTGGCTGGTCATTCCGTAGAATTTCCATGAGTTCGTCCAAAGTACTCTGCACCAGATTTAGCCGCATGATCTGAGCGGTTTTCGGCGAAGCGGCTCCGGACTGCTCCTCCTGGCGGAGAGACAGCCCGGACTTGGGGATCTCGAAGCCGGGAGACATGGTGATCAAAGGCAGTTGTGGGAGGGAAATTGGAGACGGAGGGCTCGAAGTTGGGGTGAGCAGGGTCGGATGGCAGCGTGAGAGCTGCAGGTCAGGCGGCCAACTGCACGAAGTGAGGCAACACCATCCGCCATAAGATCGAGAGGTACAGAGCGGAAGTATCAGTGAATGGTGGAGAGGAATGGAGGAGTGTGAAGGAAAAGACAGTGAAGTCCAGGCAGAGAGTGAAGTTGAGAGAGAAAGTGAATGAGGAGAGGGCGAGCAAGGCGAAGTGGAGAGTGGGGAGGAGAAGCTGACGGGGCGATTGGTAAATTCAGTAACGGTAAAATTACATAGATTACAAGAACCCGATTTTTGATTTAATTTCTTTAACGTGTATTACTGCAGGTTACCCATAGTCCCTACTAACTGTTATTAACGGCGAGGTTTCCTCGGTATGATCTCCATTCGGAAAGACGATCCGTTCTGAAACGTCTTGATGAGTATGAGAAGGAAATAAGGAGATTATATTTCTTTGCTCACATTCATGCTTTTTTTGACTCTCTTTCTTCTGTTCAACTTCCCTTTGCTCCGAACCCAGTCCGAAGGGGACGCTGTACGCCCTCAGCACGGACAATGCCAACTAAGCGCAGCCGACTCCTAACGCCGATGTTTTACCCATACTTCAGGTAATCTTTTCCCTTGGGTAGCAGTGACGGTAATACAAAAAGCGCACTAACCGTAGGCATATTAGACTAGATTCCCTACACACTCCACTTTGGTGGTACACGGTGAGGAGAAAGCGCCATCCGCGGGCAATAAAAAAGAAAAAGATGGGGCTTCCCGAGTGTATTCCGGTTCCCACTGCTTCCCCTCTCGATGTACACGGGTACGGCCGGGAGTATCTTGGGCATCGTCCTGAACATACCAACGATCCGCGTAGTAAATCCGAGCCGATCACCCCATGTACGTGAGGAATGTTTCCTGCAGTTGTAGGCACTAATGTCACAGGTACATTACTGTATGGCTTTTTTGCCCCTCGTTCATGCACGCAGGCACGGATCCCAAATCCGATGACGAGTGTGTAACGATTGAAATTTCCCGATGCTTTCGGTGCTACTTTAGGGATTAATAATTCCAGTTTCCTAGGCATCTGAGATTGTATTTCAAAGACAATAAATGGAAAAACACCCGGCCCCAGATATCCCCTTTGATTGGATCCGCACGGGAGTCCGTTCATGCATGGACCTCAATTGGAACGGCCCTGACTCTGACATCGGAGCCGATTTCTGACTCCCACTCATTTGTGGATTATTCTCATTGTACTTGGCTCATTCTCAAGAACCGGTTTTTTTTTTCTTGTTTACAGTGAGCCCAGTTTTGTACATCCTTGGACTTGGCCCGAGAGGGGCATGCCCGTGGATCCCCTTGCTGCACAAGTGGACTCGGAGCCCATAGTGTCTCGGCTGAGACAGGGGAGCCAATATTTAATAATAAATACCTGGCTATGCCCGAATTATCTGCAGAGCCATTGGGGTCTTGTTATTTTAATCCCTCCTACCCGCCCAGGTTCACCTGGAAACCATGTGTGGGGTCCCAAAGCTTGCTGACAGTTCCAGGTCCACTGCAATGCTGGGGATTTGAAGATGATCTCGTTCATTCCTGCCATCACGTCTCCAGCTAATCAACGGAATTAACCAAAGCCACTCAATTCTGTCTGAACGTTGCTTGCTATTCGGGTTTCTCAACGATCCACTTAAATCGCCAAACTCATCCCTATATCCACTCAACCCCGACCCACTGAATCTCTGGAAGCATCTAAGTACGCCTAACTACTTTCACCTTGTCTTCCGCCCATCTTGCGCAACCGTTTACCCAAAAAGATCCATCCCACGAAACCCCAGATTCCACGCATCCTGCTATGGTCTATTCTGCTACAATTGAAGAGGTCATTTCTCTCGATACCATGATCTCGGCTTGAATACAAGGGCAATTGCACGGGACAGCTCTGACCGCCACCTGACACAGTGGATCGGGGGCGGACACTTGTTGGGGTGGGTCGGGGGCTAAGAGGACCGTTCAGGCAGGTGAAGGTTTTGATTAGAGAGCGTGGGAATAAAAGGAGAACCAGAATCCTGATAGGGGTTGTGTTGCTTCATGGGCTTGATTGCTAATAGCATAATGTAGGGGGTTCGGTATTGGGGGTTGCACTGGGCTAGAAGGAAGTATGCGGTGAACATAAGGACTCGTAGCAATGAGGTGTCGTAGCGCTGGCTTCATGAATCATGAGGATAACCCATGCAAGCTTCGAGATTGACAAGAAATCGACATCATCAATCGCCACTTCACAATTTTGAGAAATCCCAAATTCTCTGCTAATTATCTCTCATCATTACCTTGAACAGCCAACACATTCCTCTGTAGCAATAGTTCTTATCATAAGGCAAGGTATCTTATCCAAGAGTCTAGCCATTTACGTCCACGGATCGACACAGGGTAGCAATGCAACAACCCAAGCAGCAACCCAGAATAGTACCACCAACCCGCATTTAGCGAAGCAAATCGGTTCATGCTGGTTTCCTCAGGTCTCCAGCTCCAACAAACGACAGATTCTTACCATACACAAAGCAGATATGTAATGCGCAGGTAGCCAATTCACAACGTCAAATTGGACGTGGAAAGTGTGGCTGTGGTGTAGAATTCGGCATGGCCGCATCCATGTACCTGAGGAGGCTTAGCTTTGATAACCTGAGTACCCACGTAAACAGAAAATGAAGGACCTGGTTCATCATCCTTAATACTGGTGCGAAGTAGATTGACTTGGTGGTCGCGCCAGAACTAATACGAGAGCCACCGTACCAATACGAAGCGCTAGAACAAAGCCAGCCTTCTATGATCCCGAGACTAAGACATGCCGATCGAGGATAGCGTATGGTACGGAGTATTCGATTCTCCGCGGAACTGATCACCGCTAGCCAAACTAGTAGGTAATTAGGGGACGTGCCTGAAACGAGGCTATCCAGCCACACAGCCAGCCCAGTCCAGCCCTGAACGTGGATCTGGATCATTTTACCGGAATCATGCAGCAACCCTAATTCCTTGGATTGGTCAAGTCGAGCCTTGGTTATTTCCTTTTTTGTTCCCCTCTATTCTTGCGCAAAAGAAAGCAACAGGCAGCATCGAAAAGAAAGTATCCAATACGTTATTCGCCACAATAACCCGCAAGTTACACTATGAAATAAACTCACAGGCCCTTGATCAGAGCATTCCCCGTTTAGATCAGAAGCTATGTTTCAGTACATGGGGGCGAGATACATCTTTTGATTTGGCCCGAACAGAATCAGATCCTCACGAAGCAGACTGGTACAATGTCCCAAAGCTACCCAAGCCACGTAGCGCGCCTCGTGCGATCTACACGAGGAAACCAAAAACCAAGAATTCTTTCTTTTTCTTTTGCGATCCTTTCATGCAGGGCATCCACACCCAAACTTGTTCGGACTTGGGCGTATTTTTGTAATGTATCGAAGTAATCATTCAGGTGCTACGTACTTACTGCTCACCCGGGCAAATGTTGCATGTTCTAGCTTGCTCCCGGCCCTTGCAGGAATTCGACCAACGTGACCCCGAAACCAATCATTTTAGGCGAAGAAAGGAAAAATGTTACAGCCCCATCGGGGCTAATGCGATCGCGATCAGCTCCCCTGGGGCTCTTCGCTTTTTTCGAATCAGGGTGGAGAGGGTCTATTGGTTTTGTCGCTCTTTCTATGTAAATTGAGGCGATCAAAAGAATAAAAAGAAGAGAAGGATTGGTATTCGAAAAAGAGGGGTTTATAGTCGACTGCATCGCGCCTTCCTCAAGCAAATGAATCGTGCCTTCCCAATACGATGCCAATGAGCAACGTGACTTCCTGATGTGTGGAGTGTGTGGACCAGGGTCAGGTGTATGCGTACGAAATGGAGCTCTGATCGTGGGGAGTACAGAATCTCTATACTGTGGGTTCAAGGTTTTGATTGGGGCGCCCTTGAGAAATGATGGACATGATCGTCAAGCCACGCCCCGGCTTTGTGCTGCCACCTGCGTCACCTGAATAGTCTCGAATTTCGTGCATAGTGGGTTCTTACATGGGGAATATTGTACTGATCTGAGTGTTGGGGAAAAGAATTGTCCCAATTTGATAAATGATGCATGTATTTACCGTAAGTAGATAGTTGCTGAAGCCTTGTCCCATCGCGGTAAATCGGCGTCCTATCGGTTCACCCGGGCACCTGGTTCCGTGGGCAAGTACTGAATGTAAGAAGGCAGCCGACAGTGGAATGTTACACGCGAAATTCGAATGATACAGCATGCGACTGACCCGGTCATATTTACTTACCGGAGCTGGTCTGACGGGGTTTTGTGTCTCCTCTGTATTATAGATTGATTCCATGCAGACAAGGTCCTCTTTTGAATTGACTGTCTGATGTGCGTTATTGTCTGGCTTCGGGGAATAGATGGGTACCATGGCAGAAGGTACTTGCATCGATACATAAAGGTAGACTTTCGAGATCCTTACTATATTGTCTACATTTCTACTTTGTCAAGTCCTGGATCATGTCCGTAGTCCCAATCGATAGATTGAATTGACGCAGTTCTATGGCAACACTATAATACAAATATTGGATCGCTAGATAAGTCGACCTCGTGTACAGTGGTATTCGACGCGAGAAAACAAGTAGCAAAATGACAAAGGCAAAAACGACAAATAGCAAAACAAAACCACAGATTAAGCTGATATGCAATCGCAGAACATAAGGACAATAGGAAAATATGCGAACCAAAAACCCAATCAAACCCAGATCCCAGACACCGCAGCACGGGTCTCCCAAGCAAAAAAAGAAACCCAGTTCCTATTTCCCAACCGATACAATGTTAGCCCCGTAAAAATGGCGAATCCAACGCTCTATCTATGCTGTTCCTCGTCTGGTCGTGTCTCGGTAAACCCTGTCATCCGCGAGCAATCAAATAAATCAAAAAATGGACGAAAGCAATGGGGATGACAACCCTGAACAAAAATGGAAAAATGGCACCTTAAACCTGCAACACGATCAGACAGATCCAACTCCCTCAGTATATAGGTACAAAATAAATCAACATGCTCCAATAAAAGCATTATAGCAGTGGAATCAACAAACGATGGAAAGTGGCTTTGTTTCCATGGGAATCAAGGAAATGATGCAATGAAATGATTGAACAAAGGAAAACATAGGAAATGGTGGATGTGGATATGAACGAGATGTGTAGCTCGTTTCATACTGGTGTAGACCAGGTATGGTCGCCTAACCGAGGCTTGGTTTCATAGTTATCCGGTTCGGTACTATTGGGCCGGCGAATGGTCGAGTTAGGGAAGTACATATGCGGGGGCATGGAGGTTGGGTATGCCGGCGCACTGGGTTCGGGGTAACCAAAGTCGTTGGTTGAACCAGGTGAAGGCATGCTGCCATGAGACGGCGAGGCCCATCCCAGGCTGGTCATATGGGGGCTGCCATTCACACTATTCGGCCGATGGTCATTGTTGGCCGGGGGCTCCAGCGGCTGCGGAGGAGCGTAGGGATGCGAAGTCATAGGAGGCCGTCCGTGAGGTGCGCTGCCATAACTCGAAAGTGACGGGGACGTCGCTGTCGGAGAAGCACGAGGGCTCCCTTGCGAAAAGTCTCCTCGCACATGAGCCGGAATGGGACCGCTACCCATGTAATAGTCACCCGCAGAGCGGTGCATATTCAAAGGCGGAAGATCACCCCCTGGCGACATGGATGGGTGCTGACCAGGAGACGGGGTAGAGCCCATGGAGGTATGATCCGGGAACATTCCCTCGCCAGGCCCACGGCGTTCCTTGTTCTGACGCAGGTTGGCTTCAGTCTCGGCAGCAGCTTCCTCGATCGTCCCAGTGTGGTGATTTTGGTGTCGGGTCAATGTTGTACGTCGAGTGAATGTCTTCTGACAGTTCGCGTATGGGCATTTGTAGGGTCGTTTGCCGGAGTGGATACGGCGATGTCTGGCAAGTGAGGACGAATCACTGAATGGCTAGATTGAATTACTTATAAGCATTGGGCCAATCAACATGGAAAAAAGAAGAAAACGAACCTTGCCACATCGCTCGCACATATGAGGCTTTTCTCCGGTGTGGACTCGGGAGTGTACCGTCAATGCTGAGCGTTGAATGAACTGCTTCCCACATCCAGGCCAATCGCAGGCATGCGGCCTAACTCCGGTGTGAATTCGCTCTATTAATATCCCGAAGTCAGCACACTTATTACTCCAACGGTCCGTGCAAGATACATACCGTGTCGCGCGAGATCACTGCGTCGAGCGAATCCCTTGTTACATGTAGAGCAATGGAAAGTCTTTGGTGGAGCCTCGGCGCCGGTTCTTTCTAAGGGAATCGGTGCTTGTTGAACCTGCGGCTCTCCGGCATATCCACCAGGGACATAGCCCATATTCCGCGGCGTGGCACCAGGTGCCTGAGCATAGTAAAAGGTTTCTGCAAGCCCCTGATCCATTGGGACGGCGTGAGGAGGGTACGCGTTAACGGGGTTGTCCGAAGCGCCAGGCTCGGCCTTCATCGAGGGTGTATGTTGGTTCATATGCGCACCCTGAAGGTATTGTTGGTGTAATTGGGCTTCTGCGGCGGCGGCGGCTGCAGCGGCAGAGTTCTTCCGATTTAGGATAGTCGTGAAGTCCATGACCCGACCCACCGATCAGCTGAAAGACCGAGGTCAAGGACAGCGCACAGGTCGTCCTTTTTCTCGTTCAACCGTCCTTTCGTGCGGTTCAGTATTTGTTTTGAATTTTGCAAGGCACCGAATGGGTATTAAAAGTAATGCACCGAATCGTTGGGTTGGCGCAAAGAAGACGGGGCCAAATGAGTGATCCTGGACGTGACCTGAGTCTTGTTTTCACAATCGCGGACCCAGTGGGTTCGTAGGGAAGCGCGTGCAGGAAATCTTGACGCGTTTTTCGAGGATCCGCAGCGAGATGAAGATGCTGATGCCTGTCACGGTGGAGCTGCAAGAGTCCGCTCACTGGTGGATCCTGTGTATGTGGGCCTCGAGATTTTGTATCTGGCCCGAGTACCGGTTCCGAAGGGGAGATCGTAAATGTCGTCTGTCTCCTAGAGACTGTTTCGTGATGAGATGAATTCTGACCAGTTAAGGTAACCGGCTAGACGCGGAGAATATGATTGGTGGTGGGGATCGTCGTGAGGGGGAGGTGTAGGGGGAATGGGTAGCAATCCTATCAGGAATAAGCACGGTCAGTCAAAGTTCGTCCGTAGCGGTGGATTGGTGGCTCCGTTTCGCCCATTTGACCCTCCAATCTTGCCTGGCTTTGTCCTCGGGCCTCCGGAATTTCGCGACCATCAAGAAGAATGGTCGCGCAGGTGATTCGGCCGGGGAGACCGGGGACGAAACAGCTGAATCACGATGAAGCCGATACCAGGCAAGTATGAAGCAAACGGGCGCACGAGGGTGCAGTGGCACGGCGAGGGGAGATCGCGGTCAGGGTCACGTCATCAAAGGGACACGAACGGATTTTTCTTTTCGATTCACACGTAGGGAAAGATGATAAGAAGGATGGAGAAAGTCAAAGGGGGAATTCAAAAGTTCGCGGAGAATGTAGGGAAAAGCAAAGAATAAAAGTAACGAGAAAGGGGAAGGGAAAAGGGAAAAGGTTAATGGATTAATATTAGGTGTGGTAGGTGCCACTTCAGTAGAATGAGAGCATACATCATTATTTACTTCACTCAAGTCCCACCTGGAAATTGCTTGCGATCTGAGCTCGGTTTTTTTTTTTGTTAATTGCTTTTTTCTTAGGTGAGAACCGCTATTCGATCCTGATATCACTACATGCGAAGTAAATAGTAGGGAATACAGCGATATGGTCATGGAAGTCTACGAGTTTCTTTCGTGCCTCCTTTTTTCCAACCCTTTTCCAGAAAAAAAATTAAAAATTAAAATAACTAAAAAAGAAATAGAGGCTATCCCTGCATCATAGCCCATACACTGTCTGGCCCTACTAGTTTCCTCTAGTCGGACCCAGAGAAGTGCGCTAGAAGGAAACAGGGCGGCACCAGAAGGCCCCCGTCAGCATCCTGGATCCACAACGTGCGCTTTTCCACCCCGTCCCTGCGCGCAAAATAAATCCGTCAGGAAAAAATCATTATAATATACGCTCAATCAGGCAAGGAACAATGTGGATACGAGATAGTAACGCCGATCTGAACCAGAAACCACTACGTATTCGGATTTTTTTCTTCGGATCCCCTAGCCACGCCATTAGCACTTGTTGACTTTCTCCTAGTGTGAAACGATCATGCAAGAACAGAGTTTACGAAATCGCTATAATGACGACTCTGGAGATTGGATCGGGCAGATATGTGGGCCTTCCCGATAGTGAAAGGGGGATACAACAAGAGCTAGCCCTAAGCAACATATGGTTGGGCATAGAGCTGGATGGCCTCGATTTGATGAAAGAAAACAAAAAGGGGGAAAAGAACCTGGAAGTCTCACGATGATGACATGCATTGGGCTATTTTCAATTCTCATGGTGCGACACGAGTCCCATACACTGTTGATGTGCAAAGAAGCCGAAGCCTTGCGGGAAAAGGAATTGTCCCATCTCGATAGTCTGTTCCCACTATTGCTACCCGAACATGAACGGCCGAAGGCTAAACCGATGGAGCTATTTCCTTCTAGAAGGTTTCGAATCATTCGGAAGTATTTCCTTTTCTTATCAACCCCCATAAACCTTGGTGATGAAGTACGTACACACGGGGCACGATGTGGCTCGTTGCACATAGTCATATGAACCCTCGTCCAACCTTTCTCCCTATTGCTTCTGGGTCCCGGCGAAAAAAGCCCTGTTCGGGATCCTGATGACGATCCATACTGTGGAGACCCCTGACCATCGGTAATTACCCCCTTGTCTCGTCCATTGCCCCTTTTCCTTTCCGGGGGCACTAGAGGGCTCCGGCCGGGTTCAGCCTCTACAAGACCCCACTCCATAGCCACACAGATGGGGACAGCGGCCTGAAGGATCGCTCTGGATTGGCTATGCCAAGCCATCTCCTGACCTTCTGGCGGCCTTCCAGAAGGGATTTCGAAGGGGCATGGAAGCCGTAGAAGAAAAAACTGAAAAAAAAGAAAACTGGAGCGCCGTTTGCCTGACTCCATCCTGCACGGTTACAATGGGGTCCGAGCCCTACAGCATGGATTTCCATGAGAGATCCATTCCGAATTCAGCTTGGCAAGTCTTATGATTGATCGAGTTCTATGTTCTTTTTTTGTTCGAGGCTTTAAAGAAAAATAAAATAAAAATAAGATTCAGCTTTAGTGCCCGACTCCTACCGCAGACAAACCAGCTGCCTAAAAGGGGCGAGGGTGCCAAAGTCGAAACAGAAGCAAAAAGACTGGATTGGTCAGTGACCAGTCCCCTAGACTATCATTGGTCCGACCCCTCTACTTCCTACGCCTTCCAGTGCTCTGTGATGATCTTCTGCCCCCTGACCGTTGTGACGACACCTTCCGCGCAAATCCTCATCCCGGAACTGCGGACGGTTGCGGAGATTATGCTTCCGCTGCAGCTATCCGTCTGCTTCCACGATGGAGTCATATAGCGGGATAAAAAAAAATAGGTGTGCACGCAAAACAAATCAAATGAGAGTATGTGGTTGTCTCAAATTCGCGTCTAACCAATCATATACCACCTAATCAGAGGGCTGTTACTGGATTTCTCGAAGCACCACCGCTGTGTTGGGCCGTAGGGTGATCATTGGTTGCCTAGCCCGGGGCGATTCCCACATGGTTGTGGCTGAGACGTGTCTTGGTGTATCAAGTCCACGCTAGGCTCCATACCTTTCTATTAGTAGAACAGGAGTCGTACCCCTGGCTCTGGTAAGAAAAGATTTGCTGGTTTCCAGGGGTGCTGCCAAAGGGGAAGTTCCTCTACTGCCAAGGAAGATAGAAACCATAGTCAAACTGAAAAATCAGGGCAAGAGAGAAATACAGATAAGGAAGAAGGATTCACGCTATGACCAGGGGGAATAAACAGAGGAAAACATGATGTCACTGGGGAAATCGCGTGCACTGGCCCACGCGGTTCCTCAGACCCATCTAAATAAATAGTTCGGATCGATCAACGCCGACTCATTTCGCGTGGTGCCTGTGAAAAATGATCTCCTTGCGCAATGTCCACTTTTCCTCCTAAGTGGGTAAGTACCAAGTAAATCAATTTTGTGTCCTTTTGCGTTAACCTTGGAAGCGGATCTATCATGGTACTGGAAGAAAGGAAATGAAGCATTTAGTGCGTTTCGCGCGGTAAAACCCGACACCGTCGACGCCATCGGTGATTCGGATTTTTGATTTTTGAGCTTCTTGCTTGTCGCCCCTAATTACATCGCATGTACTTACTGTGCTTGCGTGTTTGGTGGAGCTTGTCTTTGCCTCGTCGCGTGAATGGCCAAGTTCTTCGAGATCCGATCGAGCTAACCCCGGCTCGGAGATATATTCACTCGCAAGTAGTCTACGGACCAAAATCGATAGTTTACTGATCTACATTGGCAAGTGCTTCTGTCCAAGTGGGCATGGCAAAAGACGGAAAAAGCAAATATTGGTTTGCTGCATGTCAGCTGTCTTGTCCTTTCTGCTTAAGCCGCACCTACCGCTATAACACCTGTGCCTTTCAACGTTGAAGGTCTAAGAGTACATGTACCGACGGTCACCGACGGTCATGATATTGTGCATATGTAGCTAGATCTATTGGGACGGAAGATCTACAGGTGACATGCATAATGGCAATGAACCAACAATGTAATATTGGTCAGGGGGTGCAAGGACATTTGTTTGGATTGCAATTTCAAAGATTTTACCCACTAGCCCGGTAAAATAGTTGGCTATCAACGACCCTAGCAAATATCATGAGATTTCGCACATGTGCAAGTTTTATTTATGTATAGGCTCAAAATACTAGCATAGATTATCAAGATTTCCCGAGCTTATCCGTTCAAAGGTGAGTGGTTTACTCTAGCTTGTCTGGATCCATGGGTCCAACAAACCTTCGAAGTTCGAAGCAGCTATTGACACCTCGATGTCAACACCCGAGCCTTTGGGTCAACTTAAAGTATTTATCAATAATTATGCTGATAAATCATCTAGCATGCAACAGCCTTGGATTGGGATACTCAGACATGGACTGGAATGTGGAACATTGAGATGCCTTGATTATCTTTTAATTAGGGATGGCAGGTCACCACATATCACTTCAGTGGCTAGATATCACGATACCATGGTGCCTCTCCCTAAATTCTTATGCTTTTAGGGCCACATGCCCGCAGATCTCGGAAAAACCGTGATGCCTGGGCTCCATGTAATTATTCAAGGTGGAAGCACTACGACCTCAGAAACGGGCGGTGTGAAGATAGTTAAGATGAACATGGGGTGTTGGCTCATGATCATTTGAAGCAGTATTCAAGTATCAGTAGGGCAATGAGTCCAGAAAGATGACTGAATAATGCTACTACATAAGTCTTTTCTGGGCGGGTGAGTATACGCACAAGAGTCGAGAAAAAAATAGCAACCATATATTCCTTGTCACATTAGGGCGAATCATCCCCGGAATTAATACCGTGAGAATTCAAAAGGCGTATAAAGGTGTATCGCCAATCTATAAACAACAATGCAAAGTGTGCCCAAGACCAAGCGCCGGACAAAATGAAGAAGGGTTGGCAATTCGCCAAAAAAGTGGTGACTCAACGGTCACCTTGAAATCCGCTGCTCAGTGAGCATATGCAAATACAGTGAAAGAACACCCAAATGTTTCATATCCAAACAAAGTCTACCGTTTCATCCATGAGAGCTCCAGGATATCATCGCCTGTATCCGGGTCGCGTTTGACATACCATTGTCTAACGCTGCCGTCCTCCTCGACGACGGAATCTGCGAGTAAGTAACTGACTTTCTCGTAGTCTTTGGGGCGCAATGGGCCGAGTTCGTGGAGGTAGGATTCGACGTTGGCGCCATTGTGTGGCTCCCAAGTCATTTCCATGCTGAGATCCTTCGGTCCTGGAGCCCAACCGTATTTGACAACAGAGTAACCATTGGTTAACATCCAGCCATCGCTGAATATGTATCGGCGGAGCAGACAAGTGGGTCCGCACAGTTCGGAGATAACGCTGAGCTTGGGGATGTCGGCCTGGAACCAGGATTTCCAGTGGTGCACCGAGAGTGGAAGCTCGCGACCAGACTCGAAGAAGCCAGAGGCATCCCTCATCAGATCGAGCTGATGGAAACGGTGGTCGACCGTCATACGAGTGGTGGTGTACTGGTAGATACAATTTGCGATGCGACGGTCACCGGTGAAAGTCATTCGCTCACACTCGTCGTAGACGGTGGTCAGATCTGACAGCAGTGGTCGCGACAGGATGACGCCTGCGCCTCCGAATGCTATTAGTCCAAATACCGCAATCTGTGGGACACCCTCTGACACTCCGCCGATGTACATGGGTTTGGTGTGGTCATAGGCGGCGAGCGCGTCCACGAGCGCGGGCATCGATGGGAAGAACGTATCGTCGTCGATTATGATTGACCACTGTGTCGATTCGCGCAAGTTGTTCTCCAACAGGGGGATCAGCGCAAAGTACCGGTGCAGATAGTCATCGTCTGCCTCCGTGATATGGAGATTGACTCCGAGCGCGTCCGCCTTGGCGCGGACACTTTGAACTCCGACCCCCGACTCATCGGGTTCGATAAGCGCAAAAATGCGCGTGCGCGTGTACCCAGCCCAGTGCACAAACTGATCCAGGGACTCGTTCAACCGTGAGACGGTAGTAGCGACGCCAAAGTCAATATGTGATGCGTCTGGAACCTTTGGGGGCTTCGGAACCCGGATAGTCAAGGGGGTGGCAACCGAGCAGCGGTCCAGCGGTCCCTCGATTTCATCTTTTTTGGGCTGATTGTACTTTTCACCAAAAACGGGCTGGTTGACGTGCTGGGTCATGGGCAACATGGGCAAGTCCTCTTCAGAGAAATCCACCAGAATTTCGCGACGTGTGTATTTGGCCAGTTTAGAAATGTCCATCTTCCGCAGCATGTTGACGTCGGGATCGCATTTCACGCTCGAAGAAATAGTTATGTTGGATTGGGCGTGCAATGGGGAATTGTGGCCGCCGGAGGATGGCCACAACATGACGGCGAATAATGTGACGGCAAGGATAATGATGACGAATCGCATCATTTTCTTCCAGGCCCAAGAGGTCGGGAAGGCCCCTTCTCGTGATTGAAAGATCATCTTGTATAAATTCTCCCTTCTAATGTGAGCGGAGGAGTGGTTTTTCGCGCTTCGTGGGGTATTCGTGGATTCGGGGATTCCTATCCTCGTACTCATAAACAAGAATTTGGGGTAAAAGGTTAAAGGTTGCCCATCCGCATTGCGGAGAATGCGCGCAGAAATGCAGCAAAGATCCCAGAGAGAGGAAATATATACGAGTCAGGAGAGAGGTGGAGAGCAAAAAATCGGATACTACGGGAGGAGAAAGAGACGGCACAGGGGGATGATCATGGTTCCATGGTTCCCTAAAGAGGCAAGGTCAATTGCCATATTCATCCAGGGTTTTTTGCTATGCCGGGGTTATGACGTAGGCCGGCTCGCGTGTCCTCGAGACCTATTTGGTCTCTGATAAGGCTTGTTACTTCTAGTCACTGCTAACAAGTACGCGGCCAAGCCTTCGGATACATGGAGACTCTGTTCCAAAGATAATCAGGGTCACCGGAGATATCATGTGGATGTGGATTGGCGCTTCAGATCTCCTCAACGTTATGCCAAGACTTTCCTCGACAAAGATGGACCCTGACTCGCCGTCATTCCGCACGGAGTCTCCATGTCCACGCGTCACTCATCCACTGCCCTGCTTTTTTATTTGGTACATATGGTCTGTGTGGTGCAGATGCGTTCGTGTCTACAGTACGTATGCAACCATGGCTGACGACAGTCGTTTAATCCCGGGAAAAGAATAATGTTCCTATCCTATGGGGATTAATCGAGAATCTGTCAAATTCTTGGCAAAGCCGAGAGATTCCTTATTAAGACACTTGAAATCCTCGGCTTTTACATTACCCGCATCTACACTTGGGACTTAAATGCCGATCAACCCCTGTCGATGATCTTTTGGGATCCAGATCTCTGCTAATAATGCTGCAGGATTTCGACACAGCATATAATTACCCCTGGGTGGGACTGGATGGATCAGAGCCTTCCAGGGTCTACAGGACTAGTCCAGGGTCTACAGCACTAGCTCAAATGCGCTATACTCAACGTGGTCCGACGGGGCGGATAGATTGGCCCCAGCATTGCCCCTCGGGAATGAACTGTGCACAGCTTTCTCGCCGATCAGTATGGATTTGAATTTCCTACAATTTGATGGGGCCATTCTGACCCTTTGTGAATATGATTACCGATTTGGAGACTGACCCCTGCTTATAATGTACCACCTCTACAGATCACATAGCTGAGCCTCAAAATGATCCACCGATCCCTTTTTCTATATTTATCAAACATGGTTGATCTTGAGGTTTGCCCTTTCCAGGGTTCCACTGTTGATTTTGACTCTGTACCTTGCCACTGAACAAATGAGGTTCGTATATGCATTGCCGCCCTAAGAAATCCGAAGAACCCGTACATTGAAGACCGAGATCTATTGACTCCACCTTTTATTGCCCATGGCTTGAACACTGCTTCTTGAGGATACCAATTACAACTATGATCATGCGTTTTACTTATGTAGTGGAGTTGCACTCCTGCAGACTGCAGCGTAGGATTTGGGAGACAGGTCGTGATCGAAAATTGCAACGCAAAGCACAGGGCTGCCTTCCTGTGGGTCATCCAATAACGGAATTTCAAATTAAGGTGTCAGAGCCCTGTAGTATAATCCAGCTTGGCAAGAAGATAAAATTTAGTTTTATGCCCAGACACAGGCGCCTCCTCAGGTTCTGAGTGGCTGCTGATGTTGGTAGGATACTCAGCACGTGACATATACGGCGGGGCGTTGAACCCCACGACGCAGGACTTCCAAATGGGGAAACATCATTTCCGCACACTCTGGTCTTGTGGAGGTGGATCAGACAACATATTGAATTGGATTGTCCAGCGCCAAAGTCCAGTCCCTCGAATACTTTCCCTAAGATAACACTGTCCCTTATCTATCCTACCGACACCCTCGTTAATCTCCGCGCAACCCCGTTATGGTTGCGCAGTCGCTAAGCTCGCTATTGCAGCGGGCATCGATTGACGATCATGAGGAGGTCCTCCAGTCCTGCAATGCAGCCCTTGCCAAATCCAAATCCGACCTGAACGCTCAACACATCAAAGTCATTGCCCTATTGAAGCTCGACCGATACGAAGATGCCCTGCGCGTGCTGGAGGCCGGAGGCGATGCTCTGAAGAAGCGGGCGGGCTTGGAACATGCGTACGCGCTGTACAAATGCGCAAGGCTGGAGGAGGCAATGGCTGCTGTGACTCAATCCGGTGCCAGCAGAGGTGCTAGTCACCTTGAGGCTCAAGTGGTATGATAACACAGGTCTTAGAATAGACAACTCATTGACCCGTGCGCTCACACTTATTTCCGATATAGAGCTACCGTGCGGAGCAGTTCCGTCGCGCCGCCGATATTTACGAGAATCTGTCCAATGAGCCCCACGGAGAGGAGAACGACTTGAGCATCAACTCTTGGGCTACTGATGCTCAGCTTCAGTGGAAGGGAGAGGCGGAATACGTGCGCCACGATCGTCCATCGAGGGAAGACTTGGAGGCTTTTGAAACAGCATACAACGCTGCTTGCATGAATATTGCCAAGGGGGCATACGCTCAAGGAGAAGTGCTTCTAAACCGGGCAAAGAGTGGGTACCCCGCCACGTTGCAATTGCATTGCTGAATTCTAAAAGCTAACATTTGCATAGATATTTGCCAAACGTCAGAAGAGCTCTTGCCAGAAGATAAAGTTGCAGAGTTGCTTCCAATTGCTGTACAGTATCTCTATGTCTTGATCCAACAAGGCAAGACGGAGGAGGCCGAGTCGCTCCTCAACGAGATCTCAGTGGAAGAGTACGTCAAGGCTGTTAGAATGGATTGAGAGATAGAAGCTAACTCCCACCCCAGTATCTCGGAACTCTCAACTAAGAAAATTGCTCGCAACAACATCGTTCTGGCTCGCCAGACTACAGTCAACCCCTACCTCTTGTATAAGGCTCTCCACGAAACTCCCGAAGCTACAGACAACGACCGGCTATTCGCTTTTCAAGACAATGCTCTGACGGGCAACTCACACGCCACGGATCTTCTTGTCCAAAAATACGATGGCATGATCCGATCAACAGCCAAGGCCCTCTCAAAAAGCTCTTGCCCCTCTACCGAGGCCAGCACAAACCTTCTTTCCGTGTATAACGCCGCAGCCCATGCACGGGGAGAGACCGGGTCCAAGGGCCTGAACAAGATTCTCCCCTTGCTGGAAAGAAGACCCAAGGACCTTGGTCTCCTTTTGACTGTTGTCCAGCTGTACGTCAACGCTGGCAACACCACCTCCGCCATCACAGCAGTGGAGCGATCCCTCAAGAGCCTGGAAGAATCTGTCTCCGAAGCCGACCAAGACGCCCGCTTCAACCCTGGCCTACTCAGCGTGCTCGTATCTTTGTATCAACTTGAGGGCCGCAAGCTCCAGATCCGCTCAACCCTCGCACAAGCCGCTTCTCATTGGCGCAACAAGCCCGAGGCCCCTACCTCCCTCCTGCGTGCCGCCGCAAAGTCTCTCCTTTACTCTGATAGCTCAGCAGACCTGGCCACAGCAGGCGATCTGTTCAAGTCCCTATACCAACAAGATTCGAGCGACCGTATCGCTATTGCTGGTTACGTCGCCTCAAAGGCCACCTTGGACTACTCCCAAGTGGAATCGCAACTTGACCAACTACCAGCTATTGGTGACCTAGTCGCCAGCGTCGATATCTCTGCCCTGGAGTCAGCCGGTATCGCGCCCTCAGCCTCATCTGCTGCCGCCGCGGCCGCATTTGCTGGTGCCCGCAAGCGCTCTGCATCGGGCAAGGAGGGTCGTGTTGTGAAGCGCGTACGGAAATCCCGTCTGCCCAAGGACTATGACCCTGCCAAGAAAGCCGACCCTGAACGTTGGCTGCCACTGCGTGACCGATCTTCATACAGACCGAAGGGTCGGAAGGGCAAGCAGCGTGCTGCTGAACGTACGCAGGGTGGTGTTGTCTCCGAGAAGCTCGGCGAGCCTGCTTCGCAGCCGCAGATTGTTTCTGGGGGAGGTGGCGGTGGTAACAAGAATAAGAAGAAGAAGGGGAAGCGGTAAATGTATCGATGTCTTATCTGGGTTACCTTGGGGTACAATGCATTGCTGGTTGTAACAAAGTGATATCCAAGGGGTGTATTTGTGCATAGAGATGAGACCAGGAACTTGAAATCGAAGGCGTAATTGCCAATTGCATATCATTTAATCCCGCTGTTTGCTATGAACTGCGTGCTAACGCCTGGTAAAAACCCGAAAGACTTTTAGATACAAGATCCAAGTCTGATCCGAAGCCTTGGTAGAAATCATGCGCTAAACCATAGGGTATCCATCCATCACAAATCAAAACCAAACTCGAACGCTCTTTCTCCTACTATCGAGTCGCTCAAAGGTCCAACATTCTTAACCCAAAGGAGTCCGAATCGTACCACACTGCCGATCATAATGCTCGAAAATCATATTAAGCAGCCGCAGATCCATCAGCGCATCATTAGCCGTCGTCTTGGCCTCAGCTCCAGTTCCGGTCTGATACCCACGATTAAGATAAGAGTGCATGGCCATGAATTCACGCTCATAAGACTCGGCAAGAGAGCTCACGTACTCAGTCCTCTTCACACGAGGACGATACAAGACTCCATTTCCATTCGAAACCCCGTTTCCATTTGCAGACCCATTCCCATTCTCGTCGCTGTGCTTATCCTCACTTTCCAGCTCCTCAATAATCACTTTCACCTGTCCTCCACCATCAGGGGATACTGGTCTAGCCAAGCTGGGTACATCGTATTCCACAGAGATGGTCTTCGTGGCCCCGTAGACAGTCAGATGCGCATCGCAACTTGGGACAGAACCCACACCCGTTTCGTACATGACTGTGAATGGGTATCCCTCGCCAGAAGGACCACAGATTGATTCTGAATCTGTGTAGTGGAAGATTGTCGAGTAGAACGGGTCTGTAATCGCTACATTGGCGACTGCGTCTGGGGTACCCAGTGACTCGCGCATTAGAGAGAGATCGTGACAGCCCATGTTTCCCAGGAAGCGACAGAAAGCGACACGGTCGGGCGTAAGGTCTTCAGCGCCGAAAATATCAGTGAGGAGGGCATTGAAGTGTTCCGTGCTTGTGATTGGGATTGCGTTGTTGGTGTCCTTGGTAACATTGTCATCGCCGTGTCCATTGGTAGCACCATTCTGACCCGTCAAATCATCTCCATTTCCGTCCCCGTTTAGACTGGATCCGTTTGTACCGTTGACTGAGGCTTGTTGGAGGGCAGAAATGCGCAAGGGACCAGAGATATTACGGCATCGCGCATAATACACGCGGCCAAGATTGGCAAGTTCCTTCTTGAACACATCTGTGAAGCAAGGCGCGTAGCGACGCGCGCAGCCGACGAAGACCTTGGGCGGGTTGTAGATTGTATCATTGTTTGTGCTGTGGTTTGAGCGCACGTCTAGGCCTTTGGCGGTTGCTTTGCGGATGAGGCGCAGGCCGTTAACGCTCAGGCTGAGAGGTACCTCGACCATGACGTGTTTACCGGCCTCGAGAGCGGCGATCGTGTATTGTTCATGGTATTCGAAGGGGAGGAGGTTCAGCACTAGGTCTACCTCTGGGTGAGAGAGGAGTTCTTGCGTGGAGGTGGTGCTGTGGGTGATATTGAACTCTTTCTGGCAGTGTTTCGCAACTGATCCATTTTGGTCGTAAATTATGGTGAGCTTGAAGTGAGTTTTGAGGGAGGCGAGAATTGGAAGGATGGTTGTTTGAATGGTTTCTGATGCGCCTAGGATACCGAGGCGGAGGATTGGGTTTGACATGGCAGCGCTGTGGAGGTGGAAAAGATGATTGTTTTTGGTGGGAGGGTGATGAGAAGGAAGGAAGGAGGAGGGGGGGAGGGCGAGTGAAGCGACGCGTTATGTGCCCTTGCTAAGTGAAATTTCCAAGGCTGCGTTGCGTTGGATTGGGGTGAGATGCATGGGAAGTATGAACTGGAGTGTTTCACTAGATCTAGACCACGTTGGCCTAGGCTTGTTTAATGTAGAAGAAAGCGAGACGAATATTTTCCTAGGAATCTTATTTAAAAGATATTCATTTGAGCGAGTCAGTTGGCGCAACATGCCAGTTGCAAGTGACATCAGTGCCTTCAATCTCTTTGAGGTCAGCAGTTCAGGGGCCAGAATAGTATACAGCTCGGATGTCCAATCAATGGCAGAATGTACCCATGGTTGGGGGGCAAATCTCGGCATTATGGATTCGATCCGGGGAATCAGAGCGAACAAGCTATCCACCTTGCGTCGATCTTGGTTACACGTTGGGATCTTCGAAGGGCGAATTGGTTGAAGGAATGCAGGGAGAAAGAGTCGGTGAATCAGGTTCCGTTTCTTTGCTAATCAGATCGGGAAACATCACTCAAACAAGAACACCTATACAGACCTTGGTATAGAACTATGGAGTCTCAGAGAAATAAATTCTCTAGGTTTATTTTTATCTCAATACGAGATGGATCACCTGCAACGTAATGCCGATGGCCCTTGTTACCATTGAACAAAGACAAGTGGCTGATATCAGGCTCAGTCGCCAGAAACGTATGAAATCCCTAGTGACACCAGTGTCTTGCATCACAGACCCCAAAGATAGCCCAGCCAAACAATGCCTTCCATCGCAAGGAGAGAGTCCGTCATTGAGAGAGCCTTTCTTTTTGATACTTCTGGAGATGATCGTTCATAATTAACGAACTGACTATCTGTATGACTTTCTCATCTTCACAAGATTCAAATCGATGCTTTACGTTTAAACAAGTAAACATAACATCCGTAGCGAGCCATGGGGACTTGAGACTTTGTTCGTTGAGCGCAGTGGAGAGTATGGCCACATTGAATATTCCCTCCTCAACCCCGCCAGAATCATAGTGGAGCTTCTGACCCAGGGCAGAATACATTCACATTGGATTTTGAGCTGAGACGAAGCCGTGCAGATTATCTTTGATGCCGCTGGAACTCAGGATCTTCCTATTGGTGAGGTTCTTCACGTCTTTATCACCAACCGTGACAGGGGCATCGAGGGCCTAGATTGCAGAGACAGCATCTATTGCAGCTTGATTTATCTTGGAATCGTCTTCATGGGCATGCTACTCGAAGCTATAAACATGAGTAGCATAAATTGGCTCTGATTCCGACGCTGCGTGTGGTTCATTGAGTCAATTACTCTTTCTCCCTATTTTGTGACTTGCTGTCATCTCTTCGTCAGGAACGGTATGTGAATATGATCCAGAATCGAGGCATATTATGATTTATACTTAAGAAAGTTCAATACCCCACATTGCCAATGAAAATCCTACAGAAACGTACAGTGGTGTTTCATGAGTCTGAAAACTGCCTTTCAGACCGCTTACTAACTACATGACGTATTCGGCAAGCGAGCTGCGCCGCTGGAACACCATAGTAAATGCGATAAATTACAACTCAACATCTCGACAAGAAATTTCTCAAAAGGCTTTTCTTTGCAGTCTGATGCTTTTCATATCATATTTAGCTACTTTGGGGTATTTGGGAATTATTATACCTTGCCCAGATGGTAGTCCAGTATTCTATTACGAACTCTTGTCCACTCCAGCAAAGAAAAAGAAAAAGAATTAAGTACAGAAATGTAGCGAGAGTCATAGCAAGATCATTGTAAGTCCAAGCACGAAAGCGAATACACCGGTACATTCTCTTTCTCCTAGAAGAAATGTGATTAAAAACGAGAAAATCGGAAACAATAAAGCTCTTTATCGCAAATCCACTATTGCCATGAGTAGATCCTTGACACACTAAAGCCCGACTTAGGCGGATTCTCTTGCGTTACACCCAGCATATCCTCGATTCTTGACTTTGAGGCCCGCCAATCATGAGATTCAGTTTCGATGGTTGCCATTCTACTCTGCAATTCATGCCGGTCTAGATGCAGGGTTCCCAAATTTAGCCAGGCCAAAGAATTTGCAAGCAACATGAAATAAAAAGGAAAACCCCTCGACGCAACGGACCGCATGATGGTAGATTGATGGATTGGCATTGCGCAGAATGATTTCAAGTTTGGAAACTTGGAGTAAAGTACTTGAATGGAGTAAAGATTGGAAGGGAACTCTTTACAAAGAATGCCGGGGGCTTTTATAAAGCATATTTGAAGTCTACATTTCATACTACACCAATTGCGAGGTCTACTGACCCAAACTGAATGCGGCACGAACATTGCGACGTAACCGTGAGATATGGTATTTTTGAGTCAGCCGAGAATACTTAAGTACAGCCCACCAATACGCAGCACGCTGACTCAACAAATGAATACAGTTTATGTACACACGATTTTTGTATATAATGCATATGTGGTATGTTATTAAGAATATTCTTTAACGTTCGGTGTTGTAAGTTCTTCGCACTAAGCTTATTTAGCGATCGCGTTTCTTAGGATGTCCAGGCGTGTTTGGAGCCCCGCCTCTCTCATCATCGACACGAAGTATGGCTTTTTCTCCCGCGATTTTTTCGAATCTTAGGGCTTTGTTGGACGGAACAGGCTACCAATTCGCAATCCTGGATGCCCCGACTGGACCCGCACCTTTACGATCGGCCAGGACCATCAGAGGGTCTGGGTTCTCAGAGAAAGAATGTTCGGTTGACGGGATGGGTGCGAACGAGCTGCGAAAGCTCTATTCTCGAGCACTGTCGTTCCAGTTATTTGCCAAATTGATGGCAGAAAACATGGCAGAATATAATGTAAGGACTGGATGGGGTTTCGAACTCATGTAACACCACTGTAATTGAACTCCTCGCAATTCCAGAAGCTGCTTGTGATGTAAGTGAAGGTTTCTACCTAGCGTAATCTCATTCTGGTCGAAAAGCGGAAGTGGGAAGCCCACACCTCATGGTGACGGTACTATAAACCATGCCGCATCCAGTTTGGGGCGATCAACCACGTAACTGGTCTAGTGCGATTGTCATACAGTTTACAAAGCTCCCCCGTGAAAGCATTTCTTGTCATCTCTACTCCCGTCGAAGTTTTTATTCCAAATTCCTGAAATACAGACATCGATTTGCATTCCTAATCATATTGCACAATGCCAATCCATCGAGCAATTGCTGCTATACGGTCCCCTGCGTCGCCGGGGTTTTTTTTACTAGGTTATTCACTGGCCCTTGGAAATTATTTGAGTTGGCGGAGTCGGAGAAGCGTGGAGCTAGAATGGCGCGATATGCAAAATAGACTGGCAATTATTGATTTGACGACGCCCAAAGCCGCTAATCCAGATGAGCTGAGTCCATATCGCAAGGAAGACCCTAACACGGGTCCTAATCTGTTGAGCCCCGATATCATTATGGCGTTCCAGAGCTGGGGGAGTCGTGATGAATAGCTTGATTATTTTCCGACTTTGTTGTCTGTGATTTTTTCTGGATTCCAGATGAGAACCCTTCCCTTGCTGTACTGACAGTACTAGTATATTTCGCTTTGCAATTTGGGCTTGTACCTCTATGCGGTGGAGCTGCTTTAACACTCGCTTCGTTGTCGTTTACCCCATTATACGTTTGACACGCTATTCACGCAATATTGGAATGTTTGATTAAGGAGCGAGGCATGTCCTTTACTTTCATCGCTTTCAATAAAGGGGGAATCAAAATATTCTCATTCAACAAATATAGACCATCCACACCTCAGGACTTGGGGTCAAAACTGGTTATTCTAATCCTTTATGTGACAAATGTAATGATAACTCTTTCCTAAAGAGAGTAGATAATCTGGTCATTAATAAGCCCAATGAGATGTTAAAAGTAGCTCTAGCGTACCCGTGCTCCTAGGAGCGAAAGGCCTCAGAGTAAACCAGATAGGCTATCTAGGTTCTGTCCAAATATTGAAACTGCCGTGGCATCAATATGGGCCATTGGAGCCTGCAGTATAGATGCATCAATGTTTACAGCTTTGAATGAGGACTCTTATCATCCACTTAACCCGACAAGCCTCCCACTGACAATTACACGCCTTGATCAGTTTCACATTAGGTATAGCAACCATATAACCTGATCATAGGATAGCCTAGTGTGACAAATTGGGTAAGTTAGTATACTCGATAATTTCATGCTAAATTGGTAAGAGTCTCTCGCTATTTAGGGGATTTTGCGTTTGCTGTTAGCTGATGCCCCACATCTTCAACGGCGAAAACAGAGGCCGAGACCAAAGCAAAGGAGTATGCAAGTGCTAGCTAATGCCCAAGCCGCGGCTAATAAAGCGGCGTACCGCATTCGACCTCTAACTGAGTCCAGAGCCATCGAGGCCGCTGCATTTTTTATTAAACAAAATTTCTTTCCCTCATGGCGGGCTAGTTGATTGTTTTCTGAGCATAGCGATCGTGTCGGGAGGAAAATACCCAACGGGAAACTTTTGAGGAGCGTCTTACTGGGCCAGAATAATCGGATAAGACAGCAAGGGAGGTTTTGGTAACTCTAGAGGAAGAGTTGCTAATTTTACATGCTGAGAGGTCCAAGTCGGTACATCGTATCCCACCGCAGTCCGTGTTGGAACAGGTTCTTGAGATGGAGGAGCCCGAGGTAGAGCAGCCCTCGTAGTCGAGTATCACCTCGCACTTCTCGTTTGGCTAGGTTTCATCAACACTCGAGTCCACTTCCCCACCGGCCCTCCCGCAGACCCTGGCAACCCAAGAAGAAAGCGACAGCCGCTCGTTTTCTTATTTGAAATCGAGATTTATTGTACACAAGGCGTTTTCATAAGTATAGCCATAATATCTAACCGGGCATTGTTTACAAAGTACGTAGTAAGAGTCAAAGCAGTATCATTTCATGTCAAACATTGAAAATACCAAAGCGAAAATATACCAGTGTAGTCTCTCCTCAGAACATAAGCAATCATAATCGGTACAATCGGAAAATAATCGGGCTATTCATGAATCACAACTCCGCTAACGCCACGACAAATCGGTTCTCGACGGATGGAAAGCCAAGTTTAGGGGTTTTCTTGCGATGGACCCAGCTCATTCTCGATTGATGCCTTGGACCTCGCCATCTTAGTCTCCACGTTTGACATTCTATTTTGAATTTTGAGCCGTTCATTGTTTAGCTCAGTATAGGACGGGCGTTGAAAAATGAGAAAATTTGAAAAAAATAATAGAAGAGCAGTTGTCACCTGAACGGACTCTCTGGTGGTGACTCGAGGGATTGGCATTGTGTTATTTGGTCGGTAATGTACTTAGGTACGTTGCAGTTCTGAAATCAGCAATGATATTGCAAGTTCTGGAATGGGTATAGAGATGATGTTGAATGCTTTCACGGGGATTTGAAAATATATGGCTTGAACTTCAATAATCATACTAAACCAAATGTGTTGTCAATCGACCCAAACTGGACGCGGGATAGTATAGCGGCGTAACCATGAGGTATAGGCCTTCCAAGGTTGCTCAGTCAGCGGAGAACACTTCAAGATCAGAGTCTTTTTGATTGACTGAGTAAGACGATGAAGAACATGGACGCAAGAAAACTTCTTGAAGATTTATCTGCAGAGTTTATACCAAATCACAGGTGAATATTTTTCATACAACAACATGATATGAGTTAGTCACTGAATGTGGATTGCATGACCAACTGGTTGTGTACCCCACATCGACTACTACACAGCCTCAACTTCAGCCTTGCCGAATCTGGACTGGCACGTCATTCATCTTCGTCATCTGCTGACTTGATCTTTTCTACCTCTGCAACAACTTACTCTTCTTCTCAGACATGGGTGTAAGTGCTGCCTTTTTCTCCCGAAAAATAGTTCTGACCAGTTTCATCTTCAGTTTGCCTCTAAGATTGCCGCGGCCCAGAACAATCAGACCCAGAACCCTCAAGGTCAAGGTCAAAATATGTCTAACAATCAAGGTACCTACGGTGGTGCACCGCCAGCTGGATACACTGGAGGGCCGCCTGCAGCGCTGCGGCCTGGTGGATACGTAAGTCCGACCAGCTGCGAGGATGAAATCAACGTCATTCCCGCAATGTTTACATTGGTGTGATCTGACTGAAGAAAAACCAGCCGCAACAACAGCAACCCCAACAACCGCAGTATCAGGCTTATGCAGGATCCCCACCCCCAAATCAGGGATCGGTAAGCATCCCTTTATGATTTCATTCTTTCTTTTGTACCTCCCCGTTCAAATTTTTGGTTTTCGATTCTTTTTTTGTCTTTTTCGAGTTTACCCCTCCACGCGCTTCCCGGGATCTCAACTCCCACAATCACCACCATGTCGGACCCCTACTACCGACAGGGCCCTGGATATCCTATGTATGGCGGCTCACCAGCTCAACCAAATCAGCCCTACCATGCCCCTTCCCCGGCTGCGACACCCTATTCCAGGCCACCTCCGCAGCAACCTTCACCCTACCCCGCATCCCCTCAGCAGGGCGGCTATGCACGTCCTCCCCCGCCGCCGCCTACAGGCCAACCTTACGGATCTTCGGGATCGCCGTACCCTGGACAGCAACCCCAATACCCGGGACAGCAATCACAGCAGCCAGCGCAGCAGGCTCCCCATTTACGCGACCAACAACAGCCCTCTTATCCTGGACAGCAACCTCCTTACTCTGGACAACAGCAAGCCTATCCTGGACAACAGCAAGCCTATCCTGGACAACAGCAAGCCTATCCCGGACAACAGCCACCTTATCCTGGACAGCAACAGCCCTATCCTGGACAACAGCCTGCCTATGTACATATCAGCCCCCATGTATCTCGCGCTACGTTGTGCTTTCGTGTCTTTGCATTGGAGTCTTCGTGGAATTTGTCTTCAAGACTAGTGCTGACTGAAAATAGAACCAAGGATCTTACCCACCCCAGGGAGCTCCGTACCCTGGTGGCCAGGGTCGCCCTGGGCCTTCATCTGGCCCACCTGGACAGTATGGCGCGCCCGGTGGTGGCCCCCCTCAGCAGGCTGCCCCGCCTACCCAACAACAGGTCGCAGCTTATCGTCAGCTGTTGATCGCCACTATTCAGGAGAAGAATATCCAAAGCTTCTACCCACCCGAACGTTTGGACCGTCTAGTGCAATCACTGGCCAGTAATGCGCCGGCCAAGCTGCAGAATTTGATCCACGAATGGAATGTGCCTATGGAGGTGGCTACGGACGTGATGAAGCTGGCGCTGTTCGACGTCATTCTGTATGTGGACGACAGTGGATCTATCGAGTTTGAAGAAAAAGGACTGCGGAAAGATCAGCTGCGACAGATTCTCGGAATTGTGGCTACTGCGGCCGCCACCTTTGACGAGGATGGTATCTCGGTGCGTTTCATGAACTCCTCGGAACAAGGGGACGGAATCCGTAGTGCAAACGACGTCAATGCGCTGGTCTCTCGTGTTCGATTCTCGGGATTGACGCCTCTTGGTACCAGCTTAAAGAGCAAGGTCATTGATCCCATGATTGTCGGCCCTGCCCGCGCCGGTCGTCTTGAAAAACCAGTGCTAGTCATTACCATCACTGATGGCCAGCCTGCCGGTGAGCCCCACAGCAGTGTAAACGACGCCATCCGCCATGCTGTTGACGAGACTTCACGGACCCGTTACGGTCGTGGTGCGGTTTCTTTCCAGTTTTCACAGGTGGGCAACGACCAGCGGGCGCGAGAATTCCTGGGCGATTTGGACGAGGATCCTCAGATCGGCAGCCTGATTGATTGCACGTCGAGTAAGTTGCGCATGATCCAGGATGACAATTTCAGATTTTAATTTTTCGACTGCAGACTTCGAGGTTGAGCAGGACGAGATGTCGCGTGCCAACCCTCCGGTGCATCTTACTCGGGAGCTTTGGGTTTGTTTACCACCCCATTTGCTTGGTTCTAAGAAAATGCTGATTGTTTTATGTAGTGCGCGAAGCTGATGCTTGGTGCGATCGACTCTTCTTATGACACCAAGGATGAGAAAGCTTCTGGGCGTGCTGGCGGAGGTCCGCCTCCTCAGGCTTCTTATGGTGGATACAACCAGCAGCCATCTGGTGGTCAACCTGGGTATGGAGCCCCACCACCTGGATACCAGTCTGGGCCTCCTCAGAACTTCCACAACCCCCAGCCCGGATACGGCCAGGCCCCTCCCCAGCAGCAGCAGCAGCAGCAGCAGCAGCAACAGCCTCCTTATTCTGGCGCCAATCGTGGATCCCCCTATGGCCAGCCCCAGCCCTATGGATATCCATCCGCTGGAGGGGCCGGAGGTTATCCGCCACCACCGCGTCGCTACTAGGGGTGACGTCATATGCACTTTCCACTTCTTCTTGGCGCGTTCTCGAATTTTTGTCTTCCCCACAATTTGCCATGGGATGCCTGTAAGGCCAAATAGAATGGCAGGAAACCGGGGCTAAGTTGTACCTTTCCTTCAGCCGTCACATTTAGCCGGGAATTCACGCATTTCTCTCCAACTTGAACGAGAAATGGGCGCACGCACGGGGCGCCTCTCAATTAGATTGAGTTGTCAAACTTGTCCTAGTAACTATGCTAGTTAGTACGGACTCCGTACTTCCCCTCCCAACAGCCCATACCCAAGAACGTAGCGATCAGCCCCTTTTCTACCAAGAAAATCCTCATCAATGACGGAAGGCCCCCCACCAGGGCTAACGAGTCGTACTGTACGGAGGGAATAGGTCAGTGTAGAGCTGCACATAAGATATAGGCATCAATTCAACATTGCCACCATGGTTTTAATTTAGAAAGAACGTTTTAGGCTTCACGCTAAAGTCTGGATTTGGTTGGCCAGGTGTCTGGATGCAGGAGCCATGGTTGCGGAGAGGATTTGGTGGCTGTGTGTTGTCGCAAGCACATGGCAGATGCAACCATCATTTGTGCATACACAGTGGATCCCTTCTGAACCACGAATCTGGACTTTTGCAATTTGACAGGCTCCAGTTTTCTTTTCGCCTCTGTTCAACCTAATTTCTACTTTCTTTTCCTTTGGTTTTAGCGTGGCCTTGAACCGCTTTTGGGGTTGCCGCATTCGGTGTTGCGTTGCCCTTCTTGTCAACACACCTTCGCTCTTTTCTTCACTCTACCCTCGGTGTTGATACTATTCTCTCCTGGTTAATCGGCCTAGAAGAATACCCTTGTTGGTTCCTTGCGTCGACCATCGCTCCACTGCGGTCATAGCCACCCTCGTTCTACATCGCGATATCGGACTTTCCTGCGATGTGCTGAGCAGAGCGACCAGAGAGAGAATGACGAGTTTTTTGAACACCTCCAGTTCTCACATTCGCTCAATTTTGTACTAGCAGGATACGGGGGAACAGAAGACCCTGAATCATCTAGCGGAGAAGGGGAAAAAAGGCCGATCGGAACCCTGTGAGGAAATCGATCTTCGATCTCGCGCAGGCACGATCTCACATTCCCGCCATGTCCAACAATGACGAGCCTACCGATGGCTCTCGACAGTCGCAGGACACCGTGCAGCGACCGTCGCTTGTTTCGTCGCGTACCATGTCCGACGTCGGCCGCCGCTCCTCACAACATGTGCGATTTTCCACCGATCTCGAACGTCCCGTCGCCGAAGAACAGCGCAATCCCCCCAACGACGACCGACGCCCCAGCTCTCGCGGCCTAACAATTAACACGGCGCTGGCGCCCCCGAATGTTCAACAATCTGCTCGCTCGCCCACCTCCCCACTCTCCCCTAGTACTGGTCCCAACCCCCACGCCACACTCTCTCCGACATCCCCACCCGGCACTGATTCCAACGGTCGTTCACGGTCGCGAAATCGTGGATATTCCTTGCGCCGATCTCTTTTCAACAGAAATATCTTATCGCAACCAGAACAAGATGATGCGGACGCAGCAGAGCTGGGAGAGGCCAAGGGCACGAGCCCGGTACGGGAAGAAGAACCTGTTCTTGAACCGCCGATGGTGCATAGCCCGGTGGAAGAAAAGAATGAGTTGGCCGTCGCGCCGACCGCAACCGTCGAATCGGACAAAGAAGCTGCCTCAACGTACTTCTCCTCAGAGATTTCCGAGCAGGGCTTGAAGAAGGATCATTACATGACAATTGCGCAGGACAGATGGTCGAGCAAAAAAGCGGAATTGGCCGTGCTGTCGGATCGCTTTGAAGCATTCCTGACCAAGGTTCAGCATTTCATTCTGCGCATCAAGGAGATTCCGCCCACGGAGAATGGTCGCCATATCAATTTGAAACCCTCCTTGGTGGAGACTTATCTTGATGAGCGCACGGGGAAACCCTATACTGAGAATTGGATTCGATCGAGCCGCTACAGCTTTTGGAGTTTCTTCCCGCGTCAACTATTCGCGCAATTCACCAAGTTGGCCAATTTCTACTTTCTAATTGTTGCCATCTTGCAAATGATTCCTGGGCTGAGTACCACGGGTACCTACACGACCATTGTTCCGCTCTTGATTTTCGTTGGTATCTCCATGGGCAAGGAAGGTTTCGATGACTGGCGCCGTTATCGTCTGGATAAAGAAGAGAATAACAGCTATGCGTCAGTACTTCGGGCTACCGATGGAGCGACAGACGAAGATACGGAGGGAACTGCAGTGGCTAATGGCTACTATGACTGGGTCCAAATCAAGTGGCAGGAGATCCGAGTTGGAGATGTCATCAAGCTGCATCGTGATGAGCCCATTCCCGCTGATATTGCCTTGCTTCATGCCAACGGCCCTAACGGCGTGGCCTTCATCGAAACCATGGCCCTTGATGGCGAGACCAACTTGAAGAACAAGGCACCATGTCAATCGGTGGCCAAGGTGTGCTCCACAGAAGAAGATATCACCCGCAATGAGCTACAATTCGTTGTGGAAGACCCAAACCTGGATCTTTACAAATTCGATGGCCACGTTACTGTCAATGGGCAGGAGAAGTTACCCTTGACAAACAACGAGATTGTTTACCGCGGAAGTATTCTGCGCAACACTGATCGCGCACTCGGTATGGTGATCTATACTGGCGAGGAATGCAAGATCCGTATGAACGCAAACAAGAATCCTCGAATTAAACAGCCTGCTCTCCAAGCCAAGGTCAACCGCGTCGTCATGCTGATTGTGCTCATCGTCATCATCATGTCCGTGGTGTGCACCATCGCCTATCGCTTCTGGTCGCAGGATGTTGAGAAACACTCATGGTATCTCAAAAATGCTAGCGTGGCCTATGGACCCGTCTTCACTTCCTATCTCATCATGTTCAACACTATGATCCCCATCTCACTTTACGTGAGTATGGAGATCGTTAAGGTTGTTCAAATGTTCTTGCTCAACGATATTGACATGTACGACCCCGAAACGGACACGCCCCTCGAGGCACGAACATCCACCATCAACGAGGAACTGGGCCAAGTCAGCTACATTTTCTCCGACAAAACTGGTACTCTCACGAACAACTCCATGCGCTTCCGTAAGATAAGTGTCGCCGGAACGGCTTGGTTACATGATTCGGACCTCCAGGAGGAAGCTGCCCGTGAAGGCGAGAAACTCATTCACAAGAAGCGAACCGTCAAAGGCAAGAAGGCTATTGGCCGGAAATCCAACCTTTCCGAGGCCCGCATGCCCCGTCCGTCTAATGTGTCCGCTGCCGACGTCTTGCGCCGCTCTACTCCTCACCGCACTACCGAGATGATCGAGTACATCCAGCGCAAGCCATACACTATCTTTGCTCGAAAGGCCAAGCTATTTATCCTGGCTATGGCATTGTGTCACACCTGTATTCCTGAGAAGGACGAGGCGGGTGATTATACATTCCAGGCTGCCTCACCCGATGAACTTGCTCTCGTGTTGGCGGCTAAAGAACTGGGTTACTTGGTGATGGACCGACAGCCAAGTAACCTGACTATCCGCACATACCCTAACGGCCCAGATGAGGCTGCTAGCGATGAGACTTACCAGATTCTGGATGTCATTGAGTTCTCGAGTGCACGGAAGCGTATGTCGGTCGTGGTCCGCATGCCTGACCAGCGTATCTGCGTCTTCTGCAAGGGCGCCGATACCTCTTTGATGCGTTTGCTCAAGCGTGCCGATTTAGCACAGGAGAAATCGGAGGAGATTGCGCGCCGCACTAGCAAGCGCAAGGCCGCCGAGGCAAACCAAGTCATTCGCCGCAACAGCGAGTACAACAGCCGGAAAGACAGTGGTGTTCGGAGCAGTCTCAGTCGACCTAGCTTCACTCGCCGGCGCTCATCCATCTCTGGTCAGCATACCTCAACTCTCCGTGCTAGCATCGATGTTTGGCTGCGTGACCGGGAGACAGATGGTGGTATCACCAACCGCGAAGCTGACAGCGAGTATTATTCTCCACGACCATCGGCGCAAATGTCCATGGGAAGAAACTCTGCGGTTATCTCGGATTCTGGAAGTTCTACAAATGGCGAGGAAGAAGAGGACCTTGTTGAAGAAGCCCTTGTGGTGAATGAGACCGCCATCTTTGAGCGGTGCTTCCAGCATCTCAACGACTTTGCGACCGATGGATTGCGTACTCTTCTGTACGGTCATCGATTCTTGGACGAGACTACCTACAATACCTGGAAGGCTGCATATAACAATGCTTCTACCAGTATTCTTGATCGACAGGAAAAGATTGAAGAGGTCGGAGAGCAGATCGAACAACAGCTCGAGCTGACAGGTGCTACTGCCATTGAAGACAAGTTGCAGAAGGGCGTTCCGGAGACCATCGACAAGCTGCGACGCGCCAACATCAAGTTGTGGATGTTGACCGGTGATAAGCGCGAGACAGCTATTAACGTTGGCCATGCTTGCCGTCTAGTCCGAGATTACTCCCAATTGACAATCCTTGATCAACAAAATGGCGATGTTGAACAGACGATCATTGACCTCACCAACGAGATTCTTCGCGGTCGCGTCGCCCATTCTGTGGTAGTTGTTGATGGACAGACGCTTGCGACAATCGAAGCGAACGAAATCGTCCGAAAGCGCTTTTTCCAACTGGCTATCCGTGTGGACTCTGTGATCTGTTGCCGTGCGAGCCCCAAGCAGAAGGCGTTCCTTGTCAAGACGATTCGCACTCATCTCGACGACGCCATCACTCTCGCAATTGGAGATGGTGCCAACGATATTGCCATGATCCAGGAAGCTCATGTTGGTATTGGTATTGCTGGTAAAGAGGGTCTCCAGGCTGCGCGCATTTCAGACTATTCCATTGGACAGTTCCGGTTCTTGCAGAAGCTGCTTCTGGTTCATGGTCGGTGGAATTACATGCGCGCATGCAAGTACACTCTTGGTACCTTTTGGAAGGAAATGCTTTTCTACCTGACTCAAGCGCTCTACCAGCACTGGAACGGGTATACTGGCACCAGTTTGTATGAGTCTTGGAGTTTGAGTATGTTCAATACACTCTTCACCTCTCTTGCTGTGATCTTCCTGGGGATATTCAGCAAGGACCTGGCCGCGTCGACACTGCTGGCTGTACCGGAACTCTACACCAAAGGTCAACGCAATGGTGGCTTTAATATTCGATTGTGGGCCGGTTGGTCGTTTATGGCCGCCTGCGAAGCAGTGATCATCTTCTTCACTATGTACGGCCTGTTCGGAATGATCCAAATCAACCCCAGTGATATCGATACATTCGCCCTCGGCCTGCTCACCTTCACTACTTGTGTGGTGGTCATCAACATTAAACTTCAGGTCCTGGAAGTCCACAACAAAACCTACCTGAACCTCATCGTCATCATCATCTCCATTGGTGGCTGGTTCATGTGGAACATGATCCTTTCGAAAGAATACAAGCTCAAATCCGGAAAAGGAGTCTACGACGTCCCTTCAAATTTCCTCTTCCACGTTGGCCACAATCTCCTTTTCTGGGCTGTCCTCTTCGTCTCTGCCATGTCAGTCATCATGCTCGAAATGACAGTTAGCACCCTCCGTGCCCTCTTCCTCCCTACAGATGTCGATATCTTCCAAGAATACGAGCAAGACCTCGATATCCGCAGACGGTTCGAAGAGGCAGCAGCCACAGAACTCCAGCAGGGTTGGGATCACGGTACCAAAAAATCCAGTGTCGAGATTGCCCGTGAAACTATGGAGATGGATGCTCGAGAGCGTCATGTCCAGGAGTTGCTTGCTCGTCCGCGTGTCATGACTGAGGCCAAGCCTGTTGCTCAGGAACATGAGCTTGAGGGCTACTCTAGTGGTAGTGCCAGTGCTAGTCAGGTCGGTAGCACCGTCCATGAGACAACCGACAACACCTTTGGACCTGTCTCACCTTCTGAATCCTGTGGTCCGCGCCGCTCTGTCGAGATCCACGAATTATTCAGTAAAGGCTTTGGTGCAATCCACAAAGGCCAACTGAAATGATCCATGCTCGAATGAACATTTTCTTGGAGCGGTGTTGTGTATATGATGTACAGTGCTGGGGGATTTTTCCCCCTTTTTGTTTTTTTTCTTTGCTTTTTTCCTTTCATCACATTTCTCTCTTCATAGCGAGCGTTTACTTCCCTCGGTTCATCCCGACTTGATACCACCATCCATACATCCTGGATATCCCCATTACCTCTCTTCCGTGGAGGTGAACGAGAAGCCACGGCCTAAAAGGCGTTTGTGTTTCAATTTTGCGCCTTTGTTTCTGGTTGGTGTTTATTTCTTTCATGCACAGTCTCTCGGACGAACCTAGATACCCCGACTCAGTTGGAAATCTGCTTTATTTGGAATTGATTCATCGTTGATTCTGCGTTGATCCTCTGGAGTACTAGTATATAGACAGCGATATCTGCAGTTTATAAAATCATTTCATTATGCAACTTTGGAAATAATTAATGTGTGTAAGTTTAGGACAGCTGTCGTTATAACAAACCTTAGGACTGACCGAGCGGAACTGCCACTTACGGCGGCTTTTAACTAACACTAAATCACCCGTCGTTATCAAGTATTCTCGGCTGACTTAGTAGCACCATCCTCACGGTTACGTCGCTATATTCGTGCCGCATCCTGTTTGGGTCAGTAGACCCCGCAATAGGTGTAGTATGATTCCAAACTTCAGATGTGCTTTGTAAAAAGCCCCCTACAGATTCTCCTTCCCTTTCTTACTCCATTCGAATAATTTATCTCAAGTTTCCAAACCCGAAATCATTCTTTGCAATGCCAATCCATCAATCTACCATGCGGTCCGTCGCGAGAGGATTCCCTTTCTATTCCATGTTGCTTGCAAATTCTTTGGCCTGGTTTAATTTGGGAACCATGCATCTAGACCGGCATCAAATGCAGAGTAGGATGGCAAACATCGAAACCGAATTCCTAGATCGGCAGGGCTTAAAGTCTTGGATCGAGGATACGCTGATCGCAGGGAAACCCGCCTGATTTGGGGCCTAAAGTGTGAAAGATATGGTGGTAGTGGAGTTGCGATAAAGAGCGTTATTGTTTCCGATTTTCACTGTCTTGGATTGAATTCCTTCTAGGAAGACTAGAACGTACTAGTGTACGTTCACTTTGACATTTGGACTTGTCATGATATTGCTTCGACTCTTGCTACGTTCTTTGTACTTACTCTATTCTCCCTTTTTCTGGCGAGGTAATGAAAATATTTCGAAAGAGACTGGGCAAGCAAACTTTTGATTTCATACTACTCTCAAGAGCTCCACATAGTTCATATCATGCTAGAGGTGCCATACTAATTCAAACCTTTGTTGAGAACAAAGTAACAAAGAGACTCAAAATCAAGATTTTACCACTTCAAAATGGGGAATACCATAAGCGCAACCAAGATCGTGAGTTCCTGCAGCTTCGAAGAAAACAATGACTCGATGTGTCTTGAGATGTCTCATCGGATGCTGTCTCTCAAATGAAAGCGGACCTGGATTCAACAGCCCAACAAAAGAATCCACAAGGACTTTCCCTACAATGAACTGCATTAACTCGTTGGTCTCTGATGGAGATCGGCTATCCCGAGAAGAAGTATAAAGACTCCAGTCCTTCCATATTGTAGATTAATCTTTGCAGCACTGAATCCCATACTTTTTCACCACGACTCGCAAAAGCAGGACGAACATATTCGACAAGATGAAAGGTAAAATAAGCCATCATTGCTTTACTTGCCACAAATCTGCCAGCCTGGATTGCGCTAGGAAAGGGCATGTCAGGAAGTGTGCTACACATGGAAGATGGCATCACAAATGGTCTCACTGTCGCGGTTGCACACAAGAGACCAAACACAAGGAGCGCAAGGAGCGTAAGGATATTCGACGGAAGAAGGGATCTAAGAGCCCGAGAACAAATTGATTTACAGCACAAATGACTGAACGAAGTTGGAACCTTTGCAACATGCCGTTCTGGCCCCAATGCCTTTTGGCAGCTATTGTTGGAGAATAGACTTCGACAAGAAGCGTTTCTACTACTTCATCGTTTCATCGTTGAACGAGAGCTGATGACTTGATTAGGGTTTTTGGAAGCTTTACTTCTTTGATCTGTAGCGTGCTCGGTGCGAAAGAGAGGACTTTGCTAGGGGTCACTTCCGGCACGCGTGAAGACAAAATTATTGGGTGCTTCAACTCCAATTGACCAATAGATCGTTCAAATTAGCTAAATTCCTCATACGATACGAAGGTCTGGATTTTTTAGAAGAAAAATATTGTAGGCTCGATGAATTTGAACTTAAGATGGTATATTTAATCCCTCCAACACTTGTATCGTGGACAGACGAAAGACTTTTCCAGCAACTGAATTGAATCACGCATACTTGCTGGGGACAACAGGTACATCAACATAGCTGTCCTCCAAGTGGATTGTGTGTTTTCCTTGGTTGCATCCTGTGCCCGCCCGCGGAATCTGGCAATCAGGACTATACTCATTGAAGTCTCGTCCTTGAACCACGACCCTAAGGGTTTCGCCTGTGCGGAACAAGGTTGCACTAGGCTGAATAGAGATGTCCAGTTGCACTTTTTCACCTGGCTGCAATGGTTGGACGTCCTTTTCGAGGAAAGTGTGAGCGACCTCGTCGCCATACGCAGTCTCTGCCAACTTCCGCTTGGATGCTTTCAACCAACCCCAGGCCACGTAGCCGTCATTGATGAACGAGTGGTATGGGAAGTGCACCATGTTTCCGTCACGGTCAAGCTTTTGAAGAGTCACAAAAAGGTCCGCATCCGATCCTTCGGAGATAGAAAGATTAAGGTGGAGGCGGGCAGTTCCAGTGATCTCTGTTGGCGAAGAGAAAGTTCTTTGCCACGCGACGGAGCCTGTTTTCGCATCGTATGTGACGCTATCATTGCCAGCTAAGGATTCATTGGTAAGTTGGTTGTCAGGAGAGAAGAAAAACTTGGTTCTCTGGGTTCTGGCAATTGGGAACTCGTTTTCACTTCTCCAGCTGCCAGCGTAATGCTTGTCGGTGACATGCAGGCGAACTGGAGGCCAGAACTCCACTGACGCGGCTGCCTTGCGATCAGGGCCATCAAGGACCTTGCTGAAGAAAGCAACCTGTCGCTCGAGGGATTCCGGTGTAAGCTGCCACTCCCATTTTAGATACCTGCCATCGTAGACATTAGCAGCTGCCCAAGGCCAGCCTAGGACCTATCAGTACGTACGGGTGCAATTCCATATATTTCTGGGAAGACTGCGCAGCCAAAAAGCCCCGAATGGAACCTGGGGTGTGAACGCCGTTGTCGGCAAGACTTGAAATGAGGTAAAGAGGACAATCAACCTTCTCCGGATCTGGGGAGAATAATTCCCAGAATTCATCATAATGAGGATGCTCTTTAGCAGCCTGTAGAAGGTCGATAACGGGACTTCCTTTTTCGTTACCGTGAGCAATGTAGATTTTGTTCATGTCTTCTAAGAATTTCGGGTGGATGATTCCTCCTTTGAAAACAACCTCTTTGTAAAAGTTGGTGAATCCATCTTGTATCATGATTCCTCGTAGGTGAGGAGGACGAAGTGATGCGGTGTACCTAAGGGAATTAGCGCCCATCTCTGAAATATCCTCATTAGTAGGAAGCTCTCACCATTGAATCACACCTAATGCACTTGCGCCAATCATTCCAACAGAGCCATTACTCCATGGTTGGGTACCAAGGTACTCAATAACATCATATGCGTCAAGCCCGTAATCTTTTGTGAGGAAAGTCAAGAAAGACCCTTCGGAGGCAAAGCTTCCTCGCGAATCAACTGCTACAAACGCAAATCCTTGCTTTGTCCAAAAGGCAGGATCACTGCCTTCAAATATGACGTATTTGGAGAAGTTGACACCGTCGAATCCAGCATTGAACTCCCGGTTGGCGGGTAGCTTGGAAAGGTCGAGCGGGTTTTGTTTGCCGTAAGGAGTTATCGCAAGCACAACTGGAAGTTTTGCGTTGCTAGGTCGTTGTTCCGGAAGATAGATATCCGCACGAAGATTGACTCCATCGCGTACCTTAATGGAATGGTTACACTCAATTTCCATGCCTTCGTCAACGAATTGACGATGAGAAGGATCAAAGTGAGGAAAGACCTCTTTAGGGCCAAAAGCTCCCTTGAAGGGTATACTTTGGCCTAGACGAGAAATATGGCCTGGACTCGTGGTAGCAGCCATTTTGGGGGTTGCACGTTATGAGATTATTCCTGGGTGTACGACTTCGTGGTACTTATGGGGGCGATCACGCGGGGCTAGTCCATCTTTATTTATGCTGTGCCAAAAACGCGGATCGGAAGACGTGGGAATTCCGTTTATGCATTGCATTCTATTTCCGAGCCCTACGATCGACCAAGATATGGCCAGCCTGGGACTTTGTGGCCGACTGAATAATATGGCATTGTCTCCATATTGCATTAATTAGGCTAATGATCTTCACCGTGCCTAAGTCCGTGTATTTCCGAAACTGCCGTGCCCCGCCTGGAGCCTTTAATGAACGGAGCTTCTCCGTTTGAGGAACCAGGCCGATAACGTAAGCGGAAGGAGACAAACTGTCCGAAGAGACCATGGCATCGATTATAACCGATCGAACATATACAAGTCTTTTGTAGGCCTCGTATCTTTCGACATGAGAGTTCACATCTCCTTTCGACGGGGGTTTGAAGAAGCATTCGCCGCTGAAGTCGATTCATGTCCATTTTTTTTTGGTAAGTCCGATAAGTTTGTGTTGTAGCAAGAGTGAAGCTGAGTCGGTCTTCCAAGTTCTGTCATCGATATGGTAAGGATGAAAGGCGTATGTGTATCGCGTAAGCTGTGCCTATGGAGCGAGTGGATAGGCATGCCTTACAGTACTTGATAGTAGTGACCTCAGATGCTATCGCGAATTTCGCTGGACCGGCAAATCTGAATGGGAGCTTCCCTAAGATTCGTCGGTCTTCGTTAAAAGCATAGATGAAGGCTCGTTTGGAGTTACCTATCTTCTCACAGTCAAGTAGATCTTGGTTTCCAGGCGAATCGAGAGCATTGGAGCACAGTGCATCGAAGTTGCAGCCAATAAGGCATAATGCAAGTCCTTGTCTCTCATTTCGGATTCAGTGACAGCTGTCACGATTGAGAGGATCGAGACCTTCTATATGTGTCAGTTCTATGGAGTTTAGATTTGATGTAGCTGACCCTGCTTCCATGATGGGGCTTACTTAGAAATTGTTGACAGCGCTGCAAAGCAAAATCTCTGCTCAGAATCAAACCGCCTTTTGAATGCAACGCCAAGTCGAAATTTCGATGCTAGAGTCTAGCCTTCATGTAAAACTGGTGCAGGGTGTTCGGGGAGGGAGAGGTTGGTGAATTATAGTGAAGAAATGTAGAAAACGACGAGCGCCAAGATCAGGGCTGATTGAAACAACCACGCCGCTGAAGGTATCTGCGGTTTAGCCTACGAGACTTGGGACTTGAAAAGCACGAGTGTGATCGGGCGCCAAACGTGTCGATTTAAGATTGGAAAGATCACCCAACAATGTCTTCTTAATTGCATACTGCAGTCATATGATCAAAAGAACAGATCAAAGGGCATTGCAGTCCTTAATTGGTAGAGGAATTGAAGACTCCATGGCTAAGACTCGTCAATGGTTAGAAAGACAGCCCTGGAAAGATATCATATTCAACATTCGGATCGTTTATATACATTCATCAGGTCTTGTGGAGGTTGTGGCTGACCAATACAATCCAATACATGGCCTATTCCAAATATTGTCAGTATTGATCTCATGATCACACCCAGGAAACTGTACGCACTTGAGTTCCTCTGCACCTTACAGCAGACCAATAACAACATCACCGTAGATCTGGGCATCAAGCTCGAGGCGAACCTTGGCGTGGATGTTGAGGTGGATCTTGATCTTCAAGCTGCTCTTATCATCCTCCTGCTGGGGAGCACCGGGAATCACGAGGCCAGCGTTAGGAACGGTATCGGCAAGCTCGCCGACCTTGCCAGTCACTTCATCTTCGGCCTTGCCCTTGCGGCCGCCTTGGGGGCGGGCGTCCGTGGTAGGAGCACTAGGTGGCGGAGGAGAGTTAGCGAGGGTTTGCTCTGGAGTATCCTGCCCAATTGGATTCTGCTGCTCGGTTGGAGAATCTTGCTTCTCAGATGGAGGGTCTGGCTGCCCAGCCGGAGACTCTTGTTGCCCTGGGGTAGGGATCTGCTCTGCAGGTGTGGGATTCTCCTGTCCGGATGGAGTATCCTCCTTCTCAGAGGGAGCAGGTTGCTCCTCGAGTGGAGGACTCTCAGACGGAGGATCCCCAGGTGTAGAATCGTCCTGTCCAGCAGGGTCCTCTACAGGGGCATCCTCTGCAGGCGCTTCATGTTGAGGATCCTCGCGGACGGAGCCTGGAGCCGGCGGAGGCCTCGGCTTGTTCTTGATCTTTTTTGATTTTTGGGCCATGGTCGGAGGGTGAGAATGGTGTATGAAATAAAGAAACCAGACGGCGAGAGCAGAATCAATCTGGGGAAGGACAACACAAAGAAATTGAGAGAGATACCTGGTGTCAGCCATTTCGGATGAATGGGCAGGTCGGTTGATTAAGAGAAGTTTGGGCGGGGTGTGGAAAATGCAGGGAAAATAAGATAACCCTGGAGAAAAGCAGGCGCAGGAAGGAATGAGGAAAGAGAAAAAAAAAGAGTATGGGTCAGGGGAGACAAGACGGCTGTTTATTCGACACCATTGAGCTATTTCAACCTCCTTCCAACCCGTGTGGAGGTCACAGCTGAACGTGGGTTTGTGAGGAGATCAGCTCCAGTGGAGAAGCATCTCAGCGCCATTGTCAGTGCTCTGGTTATCGAACTGCTCATCTGGTTTAGTTGCAGAAAAGATGATGCAATCCATGGCACCAAGTGGGTTCTATACCCACTTAGATCGTATCCACCTATATTGCCAATCTGCGCATCCCCACTGACGGGAGCTGAAAAGCCCTGTATTTATCTGTTATACGCCAGGCGCCCACAAATCCTTTCCGTTACACACACCTGCAATTTAGCTCATCCCGGTGCCTCATTGTACATCATGGTAATCGGAATCGCCATGATGGCGGCTATGCTGCCAACTATGATTGGTATGAATGAGGCTACCCAGGGGTCTCGGGATCAGGAAGAGGCTCGTCGCACTGAGGCCCGCAAGCAGCGCTCTCATCTAGTGGCCACCTGCTCCATCACTCAGGGCACCCCGGAGATGCGGTCACAGGTACATAATGCCCAGGTCCAAGTGGGTCTGGACGGCAAAGTAAGTTCCGAGGTGCAGATTACAGGCTGAAAGCGAAAGATAGACTAACTGTACTTTTGTATTGCACAGCTCTATATCACCAAACATCCTAGCTCCACCATGGTGCCTTTTAACGGAGGATTCTATACACATCCTGACTTCCCACCCAATAACACCTCAGGGATAGTAACCATCAGTGGCGAAGAGGCCCCTACTCTTCGTTGGGTCTTTCTAGATGCCAACACGCATGAAATGCGCTGGGGTGGTCGTCCAGACACCCAGGGCCATATCTGTGGGCCCTTTGACTGGACAAAAGATGAGCAAAGGGTAACGCTTGAAGGATGGGAAGGATGGCTGGCAGTCCGATTGCCCGAGGATGAGCTTCAGGAGCAAGCAGAGAAGGAGCTGGGGATTGACGGGCGCGACATTTGGCGATTATATTTCGATCAGAATGACGACGGTGCCAATTTACCGGAAGGGGCAAAGGGACTGGAGATCCAGCTGAAGCGAACGACAGCAGAGTCATGATAAACATGTAATATTACGATTCCTGATTTTTGTTCCATGTCGAGTGGGGTGGAATGACTGCATAGAAAGTAAAATAGATAGAGATGTTTCCCACCGACACCTTTGACTTCCTTGTGCATGCACGATGCAGGTTAGCATTCGGATGAACACGTCAAACCAACGTACAAATTGCTTCAAAAATCATGCCCTGTAATGGCTATTGCCCAGGAACGCACGGATGACTTTGACGAGACGATCGCGCTAGCTGCGAGACGAACAGTGGATCTTGCATCTCCAAGTTCCTGACAGGTTCATGCTTCGGTTCTCCACTCACACACGCCATTGATTGGGGTTGCTTACAGTACGTGTAAGATACTTCCCGAGCTGTCCCAATATCCTGGTTCGATGGGTCTGTGGGGTTCGCATGTTCGTGTGAAAATAGAGGGGTTGGTTCCGATTTCCGCGGCTCGATCCTTCCTTCCCGTCGACTTTCCAAGGATCAGTCAAGATAAACTATGGCATTTGCAATAACAAGTATTCAATTTGGAGCGGGTTACCCCGTGAACCAGATTAATTTCGAGAATGGACCTGTCTTCTTCTCCTCTTTGTGGCGTAGCTAGATGCCCCCACTTCTGGCAGATCTAACTTCTTGTATGGCTTCCATTGGCTCCCACTGCCCGCTCCGCTCGTGCAAGTTGGTCAAAATAACGCAACTCCGGGCTCCACGGAAGAAAATTGGGTGACAATCCGTGGGGTCAATTGCCTTGCTTTGCACGGAGTTCATGGGCGCTGAGCTCCTTTAAGTTAGATTATTGCCTACGGTACAGCCGAACACCCCGATCGCGGCGATGCCGAAGTGGATCTTTGTGATTTATCTTCACAATTGCAGCGCACTCCGTAGTATGTGCGATGAAGCCGCACTTTTGGGAGACAAGCTCGCCATTCTTTTTTGAGCTTTAGATACGATATATGGTGCCCGCTATATGGGGCTCCTCTTTCTGACCCTATCTCCCTATACTTATGATCATCTAGCTTTCATTTGGTGGAGTGCATCAGTCGCCCACCTGAGTAACTCTCCAAACAAGCAGCTTGCACATCCTGGATAACCTACGTTTGTACTTATTCCGGGGGCTACAAATCGAATAATGATTTCATTTTCCAAGAGAAATTGATGTACCTGGCGGCCAGATGTACTTCTCTCCAGATCCAAACTATCGATGACAGATATAGCTGCCCAGTTGGCAGAGGTGCAGTCTACCTTTGCAGATGCTCTCTGTTCGTCCCCTGGTCATTCCAATACATCTGATAATTGGATTATTCCGAAGATTGACGCTATTATGATCAACCGCATCTCATCTACGGTCATTGATACCATATTAGCCGCAATAGTAGATTCGGACACGTTCATTCTATCCGACTTTTACTGAGACAAGACTGCTTTGGCAGTATGTCTGATTTTTCTGCACTAAATAGATATTCTCATTTGGTGCGTATGCCATTGTGGTGCCGATAATCTTATCACCCATTCGAAGCATGGTCACCTATCGGGAGAGAACCCGAGCTCATACTCGGAATCGCACCCGGTCTTTCATCATTTAATACCTTTTCCCCGCAGTCTCCTGAGATTAGACAGTCCAACGGAACAAGATATTATTATTCCTCCAGGCCGACTGCCGAAGTCAGACCCCGCACTCTATGCACATTCCTGTCAGCTGTCAACCTCCGCATATACAGAGCAGCGTATAAAACCATCGTGAAAGGCTCACACTTTGAATTCATCTTGATTTTCTCTGTTCCCCTCGAGACTCAAGTCCAAAAAGAAAACACGCCCTTCATGATACTCAACCAGGTTCACCCAGAGACATTGAAGATTCCACCAACGGCCCACTCGCCAAACTCAAAGTTTCCCGTTCTTGCCTATCGCAATGCTCTGATAGATATAACCCTCGAGAGTGCACTCGCAGCCTTTGAGCAAAGCGAATGGAAGAAAGGAGGTCACTGGAAGATTGGAAAGGAAAAGCTAGCAGCTACGCCTCATTACCATGCAGCGACACACGAGGCACATACAGTGTTACACGGACGTGCGACCTATTTCCTCGGAAAATCATCTCTAGACCCGGAAACCGATACCAAAGGAGACCCTGTCGGTTTGCAATTTACCGTTAACGTTGGAGATGTATTTGTATTCCCGGTCAGACTACCCGAGATGCTATGGAATCGCTCTTGTTGCTGATCAAGATAGGCTGGTGTGACGCACTTTGTCATAGATACCGAGAATGACTACGAGATTCTGGGATTTTACTCTCTGGTAGGTGAACTTGACTGAACGATATGCATTTCGTAATCAGGTGTTAGATGGCGCGACTGAGACGGTTATGTTAGAACGCAAAAAATTCTATTGACGAGCCATATGACATGGAATACGCATTGGACTCTGTGGAGGAGACAGATGAGAAACGCAAGAGGTGTGAACTTGTCCCAGTACCAGTTCATGATCCGATTTATGGTAAGGAAGGACCAATGATCCAGATTTGGAACAGCGTTTAGGTGGGAGTATCTATGAATGATTCAATAGCCTCGGCTATCCTACCATTATGTAGTATTTCGTCTTTCCGAGGAATCTAGACATCTAGAACGGCCCCCTGAATCCAATCAAGATAAGCTGCGGTGCTCGCATAAACACCTTGTCGGTCGTGTTTCCCACATCCAAAGCCCCACGAAACAATTCCTACCTGCTTCTTGGAGCTAACATCAACAAGTGGACCACCGCTGTCTCCCTGGCAAGCATCCTTTCCTCCAAATTTGGCACCAGCACAGATCATGGAGTCATCAACTTCATGGCGATCCGCATATTCCTTCGCGCATTTCTCGTGGTCAACAATGTCGACGTACGCGACTAAGAGGTTTGAGGGAATAGAAGAGCCTCCATGGGAGGTACTCCCCCAGCCAGTGACAGAGCACCTAGTTCCCACCTGCGGCGTATCGTCCGACGAGGATGGAAGTTCCACGGCCGAGATGGTAGACCCAAAGTCTAGGCTCGAGGCCAACTTGAGGACAGCGATGTCATTCTTGATTGTTTTCGCGTCGTACTCCGAGTGTTGCGTGACACTAGCCACCTCGACCAGCTTCCCACCCGAGCTGTGCTGGTTTGAACCCGCCCGAATCCTCAGGCGATCTGCGGTTAGCCCATCCACGCAATGAGCGGCAGTTAGGATATGATCTTTATCGATGATAGATCCACCGCATTTATGGGCGCTGGTTTGAACGGAAACTTGGTAGGGGAATTGTCCTTTTGCGGCTACGGATCCACCGACAATGGCTTCCTCAGCAATGGCAAATCCTGCGATGGATAGCAGGGCAGTGGAAAGGACGAGTCTCATGATTGGCAGTATGTAGTGAGTGAAAAGTTGCACGAATGCATGGCTGGAGTTTTGAGAGAGCGGAATATTTATAAGGGCCAACATCGAGTCCCCAACAGTAAACAAGATTTCCTGATCTGCAAATTTACACGGTACAGTGTCTTAGATCGATCGATTTCATAGGTTGGCGCAGCTCATTCTTCATGCTAAGATTGAGGATAAGATCCACATAATCAATAGTATCTGTGATCTACGATACAAAGGCGCATAAAGATCGAGGCACAATGCACCGATTTTGGCGCTATTGGTGCCCTGCAGAATTGATCGCCGATCTAAGGTATTTTATGTCGATGATCGACATTCCACATCCGCAGGTCGACCCACTCCGAGCTGAACCAAACCCCTGGATATATCAACATACACAATGAAATTCCATAGCACATCGTGGAGAAGTATTGCAATCGCAGATCCAAGGCCATAGAGAATGTGAATCGGCATGATTTGATCCAAAATGGGGATAACTCCTTCGTCTACTCTGTAGCGTCAGAAGATGACATCCAGGCACGGAGTACGGAGCAGAGGTTCCTTAAAGAACTGCCCCTCTCGGAAGAACGATCCAGCCAAACCCCAAAAGTCAGCAAAGAATGCGTGCATGGTGATCTGCGACTAGTACTTTGCGTACAACTTTGCGTGCATAACACTAGTAATTGCCCACATACTATAGTATTGGCGATGCATATCACATCGCACCACATGAATTTCCCAGTAGTATGATAGATAGGCATGCTCGAGAATTGTCTCGGGATTTGAAAATTTCTGCAGATTAGATACCGCCATAGTCAGAGCAGTATCCACAGTGAATGGCTCGCGCATATGTATTGTTTGTCTGCTGATCATTGACATGGTACCAAGGTTGCACACAATGTCAGTCATGGAATATAAATGCCTGCTTATACCTCCCACAATATCAAGACAACATCTGTTTCAAACTGTTTTAGATCACCTCACTAATCATATTCAACATCGTCCCGTATCAAGATGCTCGTCCACTCTCTAACTTCCTTACTCCGCTTGGCTCCCTTGCGACATTGGCTCAAGTACAGACCAGTTTCGTTCAAAATGTCAACGACATCACAAAAGTCTACGAGGAAGGCACGCAGTTGTTCACAAGGGGCCATTCTGCTCAGACTCGGTACATTAGGGTCAAATTCTACATTTATCAGGCCTATGAGAAGACATCCTACGCCTACAGTCAACTGCGATTCGGGGACAACTACCATGGCTTGGTATGGAAGAAATGCTCTAGTTCCTCGAGCATCTATCTCTTGATGACCTTACCTCTCTTAAATAGAGAATTAGGTCTTGCTCTGCTGTTGCGAATGCATTTAATCAAGTAATTTATGACCCTCACATCTATTTCTCAACGCCTCTAACAGATATCTTCCAATCAGACTGAGGCTTCTGGACTTGACTTTTTCGACATTTTCACTGGTCAAGCTTTCGCGTGCTCCCAGACTTCAAAGACGAATCAGAAAAGGTCGGATCTCAAGCTAGGCGACTTTCTATACCGGTCGTACGATTTCTGGACCGTGACTTTCTCCCAAAGTCAAATAAATGACTCTCTAACTGACCGGTAACCACCAAGATGTATCACGATCGGTTTTTGGAGAGATGCCAAAATGAGAGAGAAGCCGTATGCTCATTCGAAGTCGCTTATGATCCTCTGTATGAAAGGATTCAGAAGGCGCATCATTATTTCAACCACATTGACGAATACTGTGCCCAATTCGAGTCTTGATGACCCATCGGTACATATTTTGGGTACGCCCCGTATCTTCTTGGGATAGATGTAGACCACCCAGGGAACCTGATAGGGAACGAATGAGAAATCGTGATATCAAGAAGGAAAAGAACGTCGGAAATGAGCCAGGCCACGGCCAGTTCTTGACGTTTCATTTATTTTATGGGAAAGCTTTTGCATCTTTGGGCTACTCCTACCTCAACCGTGTGCGAATTATGCCCCCTTTTACTTTTATCAGTCAATATGAAATGTTAGTGCTACACATCACCCAGCATGGCACCAAGCGGCTGGGCTCTCTGAAGCGTAAAAATGTATATTCTCTTAGATACGGTATGGTTCTAACCGCCCTGATAGCTGTAGCCAGCTCGGCATTTAACACGAGGGTTTCAGATAGTGCCGATGCACTGCTCAATCACAGCACCGTTGCATTGTCATATAAGAAGAGAGTAGGCTCTGTGGAGGAGACAGATGAGAAACGCAAGAGGTGTGAACTTGTCCCTGTACCAGTTCATGATCCGATTTATGGTAAGGAAGGACCAATGATCCGAAATAGGAACAGCTTTTAGGTGGGAGTATCTACGAATGATGGAATAGCCTCGGCTATCCTACCAGAATTTATGTAGTAATATTTTTTCCGGACTGAATAAAGGCTGAAGTGAAAGATGTATTTGAAATTGCATTAAATCATTGACGGTCTTATGTAATCTAAACTTATATCCGGCATAATAACAGATACAAAAGGAAGACAATATCCATGTACAAAGCCGCATCATATACCTTGATAGGAGGGCATGATGTTATGTACTTAAGAAATGACAATGGTCTGGTTCAGAGTCTCCATGTCTGGGTACAAGCCGGCCTGATGGATGATTAGTACAGTGAAAGCAGATCTCAGTAAAATAACACTTACTCCGACAAGAGTCGCATGGGCGACGTTGACCTGAGCATTTCCTGCACTGAATGAGGAGGGAACAGTGACAGTGAAGTTCTGGTAAGGAGGCAAGTAGGTCTCGTGGTACACAGGGTCAAACTTTCCGTTGTAAACCACTGTGCCCATAACCTCGTCGGCGGGATGGCAGCTACCACTGCCACAAGAGGCGAAACCGATTGCGACGGCCATTTCCTCGGAATTGGTCAAAGAGTTCTAGATGCTTGATTAGAAAGAGGATCTTGAAAAACTGGACGGCGATGTCAACATACGGGACGCTGAACCTGAACAATGATATCACTGCCGGCGGCGACCGTCTGGCCAGCCTTAGGAAGCCCGATCGCAGCATTCTGGGCAAGAGCAAGACCAGCAAACGCAGCGAGGGAGAAAAGGAACTGCATGATGATAATTAAATGCAAGTAGCGAAAGTAATTGTACTGGAGAAGATAGAAGTTGAATGATATTGAGATGAACGAGAGTGAAGTTGATATTTTGGATGAGATATAACGGTAGAATATGGGGTTTTTATGCCCAGGAACCCCAGGACCCTGCCTTGATTTTTCCAAGGGTCAAGGTAGGAAGGTTTCAAAGCAAGTATGGTTGAGAGGTGGTGATTCGCCAAGTCTCGCAGATCTCGGTAAGATGTCTCGGTAAGATGCAAGAAGGCCCCCCAAATTTCAGTTAGACGTGGATCTTGCACCCCTTGGTTACACCAATCAGTCCATTCAGGGTCCTTGCAGTGCCACTGATTCCATTAATTGATTACCAACGCTAGGAACGTGAACACTCATTGGAATTAGACTTGACTTTGGCCCAGTGCCGGGTGGCCTGAAGCCAAGCACGTTTATCCAGTAGCGGCAGCGAACGGGAGTGGCGGGTAAGCTAAATTTTAAGCCACATTGCGGAGTATGACTCCGGATCGGTATACGAGCCTTGCGCCACGATCGTTTTAGATGTTCGCCGTCGGCTATTTTTAAGCTGTCATCTGAGCCATCCGGCAGTTCATCTAATATGCCTGAATAGGTATGAGTTTCGCGCTCACTCAGCTTACCAGGGAAGTCTCGGGAGAGCCGTAGATCACCGGGGATTCTCCGAGAAGATGCATTAGGTGCGAGTTGGTGGCATGGTGGGCAATCAAGGAAGGAGAATTATTTGAAGTCTTTTCGCGTCAGCCACGCCGTGGATCACGTTAGTTAACAAGTACCTATGCACTTTTTTCAGATTCTGTGGAGATTGAAGCTTGTGAATGTCTAACCATTTAAGATTCCGGAAGAACTATTCAAAGAAATGCCAATGGTAATCTTGATAATACTTTCTCAATATTTACATGTATGTCGCATCTACCCGCTCCTTTTCTCGCTCTAGAAATCCAGCGAAGGTCCCCAGGTCGATTCCCCATTTTTGCACGTTCTCCATATCAACAAACAATGATATATCGCGCATCACCTTTTGTGGACCCAGAGTCGGATTTTTTGGAAGTTGATCGGTGATTTGCTCCTCAGACAAGAAGACCGCTTGAACATCCTTCCTAGTGGCCGTCGATAGATCCTTCACTATATCCTCGACCGTCATCATCTGTGACACAGTCTCGATCTCCTGATGATTGAATTTGGCTGGCTCAAGGATAGCAGCAGTGGCAAATTTGCCAATATCGTTAGGGTCAATCATCGGAACAAGAGTTTCCGGGAGAAAGGCAGTCGTAAATTTGCCTGTTTCAACGAGGCCCTGATACATTCGAACCAGTGGGTTTAAGAAGTTGGACATGAAATTCCCGGGACGCAGGATGGTCCACGTTTCGAATCCGGCGGCTTTGACTTCTTTTTCGACTGCTTGTTTTCCGAGAAGAAGCATGCCTATTATGCCGGTGGGAGTCCAGTGGGGTAGTCCTTCGGGGTTGTTGGTTGCCAAGGCGCTGGTGTAGATAACGTGTTTGATGCCAGTTTGTTTAGCGACCGAGAGAATCTTTCGAGCTTGGTCAAGCTCGCCGGTGGGCTTCGTAAAGTCGGGTAGTACATTGAGGAAGAGGCTGGTACAATTGACCATGGCCATTTTGAGGCATTCTTCATCGTTGAAGTCGCCCTCGGTCAAAGATACACCAAGGGAGATCAGGTGTTGGGCTTCGGTGGAGTTGATGTTTCGAGTGATAGCGTTGACGCTAATGTCTTTGCCGACAAGTTGGTTTGCTAGGGCGCCACCTTGAGTACCGGTCGCACCGCAGACAAAAACAGACTTTGAAACCATGATTGCGAATGGAGATGATGAATTGGATTGATGGTAAATTGTGATCTTACAGTCTAAAGAAGGTGAATGATGGCTTTTTAAATGCTTCCAGCAACCTAAGTAGGCTCTGTTGATACTGGATGGATGGCATATCTCGTGTTCAGCGCGTGAAGTTCCGTATGTAGGCGTGGAATTCCAAGCGTAGATGGCGGAACTCCCCATCACCTTAAATGACAAGTCTCTCCTGATTGGTCAAGAGTTGATAAAGATCCACTTCGGATTGCGGAATTCCGTAAGCTAAACCGTAAACGAGTCTTAGCTTGCGTGGATGACCGCCGTGCTTTCCACTCCACCCGCCCATAGCCCATCATGGCGTATGAGTCGATCCCCTTGCCGCGGCGGAAGTCCTGTGAAGCATGCAAGACCGCAAAACGGCGTTGTGACCTCGGTCTCCCGGCTTGCTCCCGATGTATCCACCGGGATGTGGCTTGCGTCTATCCGTGGCGACAGCCCTGTGAGACTTTGTCCGAGGCCCCTCCACTAATTAATATTCCGGGTGATCTTCAAGAGACTTTCAATACAACTTGCCAAATCCAGCCAAGCCGGGATGTATACCCCCAACCCGCCTTTCCAGTCATGACAGGCGTAGTGGATTCACTGCCGAGTTACCACAATCAATGGTCTCAATTTTCTGAAATTTCTATGGAGCTGCCTGATCGAGAGGTTAATGTGGGCCCCAATTTCGACCTTACTATACCAAGAGCAAGACATCGAAGGCCCTTGCCAGAGGTAATTGCGAACAATCTTCAATTCGCAATCGACATTATAGAACAGTCACCTAGAAATATGGTCCTTGAAAATCAAACTCCATGGTGTCACCGCAAACTCTATCAAAATTATATGCCAAGGGCAATGCAGGGTAAGTCCTCGGTGAATGCGTATTTGGAGCTTCTCATTAATGCCACTTAGATGCTTTCGCTTGCTGCTCTCTATATATGTCCAAGAATGAGACAAACGCAGCAGTTATAATGGCCCTATTCGATGCAAGAATAATAGACCTTATATCAACCCCCGAACCAACTACTACTATTGAAATACTTGCACGGGTCCACGCTTTGCTTTTATATCAAGTCATGCGACTATTCGATGGCGACATCCGCTCTCAAGCGACAGCAGGCGCCCTTTTCACATCGCTCGAGTCTTCCGTTCTGACCCTTTTGAGCCACCTATATCTTCCACTCCCATCAGACTCCGTGGAACCAACGCCGCTATCCATCGATGCTGTCCACGACTTTTGGGACTCCTGGATCCTCCAAGAATCCGCCCGCAGAACCGTTCTGCTCGCATTTTTCTTTATGCAAATATACAAAGTGCTTCAGGGCACTCCTAACCTGGTCTGCGATGGGAAACTCGGCATCCAGCATTCCTGGTATCTATCATCCCACCTTTGGAACGCTCGGAGTGCTTTTGATTTCGCTGTGGCGTGGGCAGAGAAGCCACATTATATCGTGGGCAATCTGGACTTCTCTTGGGTCCTGACTAGTGCACAGCCAGATGATCTGGATATGTTTGGCAAAATGATATTAGCTACTCTATTAGGGATTGATACGACTAAGACGTGGTTTCATAGGAGGGGGGCTATATTCCCATAAACAATACATGCAATATTAGGTACCTGCACCTGCTTTGAAACAAAGACAGGCCAACTCACGAAGTACCAGCTCATTATGAAGTCATCAAATATAGTTGCCTCAATCCAAGAAGATGCCAAACCCTCACTCATTTAGTAATCACGATGGAAATTGGACTTGGATCCAACCAAGGATTTAACTTTCCACGGAGAGACACATGTGAAGTAACTCGGTCCAGAACCAGATGTACCTCAATGCGGGCACCAACTGAATCCTACCTGCAGGTCGGTTTTTGGGTCAAATCACATTCCGGTTATCGGGCGCATCGACCAATCACAGGAACCGACACATTTCTATATGGCTGATAAGTTTCAATTCCACGCGATGTAGTCGAGAGTATCAAGGTTACTTTGTCTCTTATCGTCAGTGATGACGACCAACAACGTTGTTGATAGAAGTGGGTCCGACAAAGATTTCCTCTTTTGGTTTAGTAACCGCGATAAGACATCCACGGATGCTCGTGCGGCTCCCGATTGACCGTTTTTTATATGGAAAGAGCGAATCAGTGTGGTCAGTTTGGTGGGATGTCGTGATACAGTTAATCATTGAGGAGAAATGATGCACTGTGGCAACGCAGGACTGGGGAGAGGTCTATAAAGTCGAGCCTTCCCTTCCCGCATTCTTACACTTGATCCCTCATCAATTCTCCTTCATATGATTTGGACATATTCCTATCTTGAGATCTTATAAACATTCTGTGAGCCTACAATATGGGTGACTACGAGCCAGAAGTAGCCGACTTGCCTACGGCGCAGATCACTGAAGCCAAGGGGGCTCTGAATGGGGTCTCCAATGGTGATAGTGGTGTTCTTTACCGCCAACTTCGCCAGACACCTCTCAACATTGTCAGCGGTAGGGGAAGTTACCTCATCACAGATACCGGATTGGAAATTCTAGATGCCACTTGCGGCGCTGCGGTGTCCTGCCTAGGACACAACGATAAGCGGGTACACGAGGCCATCCAAGAGCAACTACAGAAGGTATCCTACTGCTATTCCGTATTCTTCACCAACAGTGCGATGGAAAGACTTTCCAAATTCTTGGTCGATTCAACTGGAGGCAAGATGTCTCGAGCATTCATTACGGCTTCAGGTAAGCCATGGACGTTCACCTCTTTAATTTGCTGCTCTAACCTTTAATTATTTCCATAGGCACCGAAGCTGTGGAAGCTTCTTTGAAGATGGCAGTTCAGTATTTCATGGAGCTGCCCACACCTCAGCCCCAACGAGTCAATTTTGTCGCTCGCAAGCAATCATATCACGGCAACACTCTCGGCTCACTATCGGTGGGTCATCATGTCGGCCGCAGAGCTCTTTTTGAGAAGATTCTAGCGAAGAATGTCTCACATGTCTCTCAATGTTACCCATACCGAGATATGAAACCAGATGAGACAGTTGAAAGCTACGTTGGCAGGCTTGCTCAAGAGCTGGAAGATGAGTTTCAAAGACTCGGACCCGATACAGTCTGTGCTTTTGTCGCGGAGACAATGGCCGGTGCTGTGAGTGACCCCATGTGAGGTCTCGAAGCTTTATCTAACAGCTTTATTAGACATTGGGATGCATGCCTCCGCTCCCTGGTTATTTGAAAGCCATGAAGGAAGTATGCCAGCGTCACGGTGCGTTGCTCATCTTGGATGAGGTAATGTCGGGTATGGGCCGTACTGGAACCCTGCACGCTTGGGAGCAGGAGGATGTCGTTCCCGATCTTCAAACTATTGCGAAAGGCCTCGGCGGTGGATACGCCCCTATTGCTGGTCTTCTGATTAACCAGCATGTTGTCGATACATTGACGAAGGGTACTGGGGCATTCGCTCACAGCCTGACCTACCAAGGCCATCCGGTTTCCTGCGCAGCTGCTTATCGGGTGCAGAAGATTATTCAGGAAGATAACCTTCTTCCTAACGTACTTGAGATGGGCGCCTACCTAAGCCAATTACTGCACGAGAAACTTGATGACCACCCCCATGTTGGCGATATTCGCGGACGAGGGCTCTTTTGGGCTGTATGTGAACTCTTTTTCATCCCCTCTGCTGGGTCTATACTAATGATGGCATAGATTGAATTTGTGAAAGATAAACAAACTAAAGAGCCTTATCCGCCATCACAGGGTGTGGCTTGGGCTGTTCATGCATCCGGACTGAAGCCGGAGCATGCTATCTCCTTCATCCCTGGCAATGGCGGAATAGACGGTATCAATGGCGACCATGTCTGCTTGGCCCCTGCCTATAACACTACTCGGGCAGAGATTGAATTGATTGTTGATCGTGTGACTCAAGTTATTCAGGACGTTTTGGGTCAATAGGCAAACAGGGAAGTTGCTGGTTCATTCTAGTCTGCTCAAATGGGAAATATGAAGATTATAGCTTGGAAGATAGTATTAGTACGACGTCCGAGTATCCAGAATATAGTTTATTATAACATACTTCAACCAATAATACTCTTAATCTTCTTCTCCAAATCCTCCTCGCTGTATGCCTTTAGACCGACGACATCATTGTCGAGTCCAGGTGTCTGCTCATTCAAATCTGAGCCATACGCAGATCCACCGAAGATAGCAACCTTCAGGAAACCCGGGACAAAAACACCAGGATTTGGCTGCTCCTTCTGCATCTCAGCCATCATAGCAGCATTTAAATCCGCAATAGACCCCTCTTTCCTTGTCCAGGCCGACCCCGTCACTTTTTCCAGACTGCTCAAGAGCTTGTTCTGGGTGAGATTCGCACCTTCAACGAAGATCGCCCGATTCTTAGTCTGCTCAGGGTTCTTCAAAACACCAACAACGACCGACCCAAGGTCGGCCAAGCAAGTCGTTGAGAACGTATTGTCTCCACCATCATAAATTGTCATCTCGCGGTTTTTGATGTCTGCAAATAGGCCACCAGCGAGGCAGAAATCAAACAAGGGTCCATGAACGATTAAAGAATATGACAGACTCGGGTGCTGTGCCACCTTCTGTTCCAGAGCTTTCTGGAACGCAACTTTGCCCTGAAAGATTGGGATTTCTGACATCTTTGAGACGTAGGTATTAGAGCCGAACTCGCTGGGCAGGAATCTGGACACGCCTGCCTCAATGGCGGCGTCAACGATTGCGGGCTGGAATTCCAGTCCTGGACCACTGAGGACTGAGATCACGGCGTCGATTCCTTGGAAGGCAGAAACGAGGCTTTCATGAGAAGCATAGTCGACTGTGACGTTCTTCACTGTTGCCGGGAAAGCAGCCTGTTTGCCGGCCCGGACGAGTGCTGTTACCTCAAAGGCGGATGACAGAAGAGACTCGATTATGGGCCCGCCAAGGGAACCTGAGCCTCCGGCGATTGCAACGGTTTTAATAGCCATTTTGGTCAGACTTGAATGGCGGCGGTGTAGTGTGGAGGGTCAACAAACACTTATTGTATGTTTCAGCGACCGTTGCGTTTCGGCGACTTTGCCTTGAAATGACAAAGCTAGAAAGAGAGTATATAATTCGAGTTATGGATAGATGTCCACAGGGTCCTAGCCAGATTATTAGCGGGGATTTTTTATGGAAGATTGGAGATAGTGGGTCTGGCCATTTGCCTCGGTCCAACCACAGCAGGAAGCAGGGTTTGCCGTCACCAGAAGAATGAGTCCTTTGCTACTTGTTGGGTTGTCCCCTAAGACTCCTGGAGGTTCCCACGGAATAGCTAGTGTCATTGGTCTTTCGAACGAGAGCCATCGTGTAATTCCAAGGTTGGCAGGTCTAACGATCATTGGTCATTTGGTGTCTTAGACAGCCCTGGAGGCTTCATGTGCATATGGATACGTCTGACAGGTGATATTAGGTATCACTTATCAAGCGAAAGACAGGGATATTAGAGGATTTACGTACCTCCAACCGGGCGAATTTCCATTGGTAAGACCCGTGAATTGCTGCCGGGATAAATCAATTGCGGGTTATTAGAAGGGTGAAGCACAACGAAGAATCAATTGTAGGAAAACAGATCAAAGTCGTCTCCAAGATTGGCTCCGGGGTAATCATGCAAAAGTGGAAAGGTACAGTAATATCTTTCGCCTTTCCCGTCTGTTGTATGCACTTAGCATATACTGTAGTATCTGTTAGACGGTATGGGGAGAAGTGTGGGCCTCGACAAATATATTTTTGGAAAGAGCACAAACATTCCAAGGTCCGAGGAAATCCTGACATACATAGGTGCAATCTGTCGCCCGAAAGCAGCTATGAATTTCCAGAATTATCATATTCCAATGTGTACTTGCAATTAGAGATACCTTGGAAAGTAATATTGGATCATCCATGGCCCATGAATAATCATGAGTTTTGTTTCACCTGTATAGAACACAGGGGTCTCTGGTGAGATAACGAAAGGATTGCGATCAACCAAGTACCAGGCTTCTATATACCTGGACGCCTTGGTGACATCTCTGCTGCTCTCATTCGATTGGACATACATCATGTGACCGTGGTGTCGCGATAAGCGGGGAAGCGAAGATACCCTCGATCGGTTCATGAGCTTAATAATATCATCCATTTGCGAGTATAGTCACTGTGTCATATATTCTCCTAATCACGGAATGCCCGGCGGGGGACGCTTTTCACGATCGCGCACCGGTAACAGAAGCCCATCCTAAACTGATCTGCCGCTTCACTAACACAGCGCATCGGCAGGGTGTCTTTCGTGTCGGACCAGACACAATAAATGTGATGAGATAAAGCCAAGTTGCTCTTTCTGCTCTACAAGGGGCCTTGATTGTCAATGGCCGTCGGGGTTGAAATGGGTTCAAAAGTCCCAGCTCACCTTATCAAGACCCAGGTCTCGATACAGAGATACGGAGAATATCGATGATACCAGGCAGCTCAGCCTGCCTCCATCTCTCTTCGAGAATAGTCCATTTGATTCTGATGAAGAGAAATTGGCATGGGAATATTGTATGAGCTCGATGTCAACAACAGCCACATGCAGCCTAGACAGCTAACTTCTTTCCCAGATGTGAGACTGGTCTCGTCAAATGTCCCTGCATTGGACGGACCAGATAATCCCTACCGGCACCTATCATTTGTCGCACTATCATCCCCTATCTTGCGTGAGACAATCGTCTGCATAGCCACGGAACACATGCTGAACTTTGGCATGGGCAGTGTATCGAGCGCCGCACAATGCCAGCAGCGAATGCTACGCACTATAGGCCAGAATCTCCAATTGGTCACTCGTCCAGGTACCTGTGTGACCAAAGATGTTGCAACAACAGGCACAAGCATGGTAGACCACGAAGCTCTGCTCACAGCCGTTGTATTACAGGGCGTTGTTATCGCGCAGTCGGAAGATGGCGTTCTAGAACCCCATATGCGATGCGCCTCGTTTCTCATGGAGTCGTTAGACTACTTTCGCCACATACCACATTCTGCTCTCATGCGAATGACCGTGCAGCGGTTTGCCATGGTTGATCTTATGCTGGCATTCTCGCGGCAGCGGAAACCGTATGCACCACGGGACTTCATGCTCTTTCGGCCCGATACAGAGAGATGGGATCAGTCGGAGCCGTCGTTCCACAAAATGACTGGCTGTCCCCAGCCACTGATGTGCTTCATGGTACATATCGCACACTTGGCGTGCGATATGGAACAACGAATGGAAAATGATGTCCCAATCGACGACTTACTTACACAGGCATATGGCCTGGAGAGCGAGCTCCGTTTATGGGGTGCACAATATACAGAGCCCATTCCAGATGACTGTGTGCGCCCACCCTTGGACATCCTGACGGAGTGTTTCTACTGGAGTTCGCATCTCTTACTTGCACGACGTGTGTTTCGTGATCCAACACGCTCACCCCGGGTCCAACATCTAGCACATACTTGTTTTCGTCTTATGGATCAACTTTCGACAGGCTGTGGACCTGACTCATCTCTTCCCCAACCTTTCTACCTTGCTGCGCGTGAGGCAATCACTTTGGCAGACCGGGACTGGGTGCGACAAAAACATGAGTCGATGACGGCGTATTATCGGGAGCAGCAACGGAATATGGCAATGCGGTTGACGGAACAGGTTTGGGAGATTATAGATCAGACCGAGTTGAACAGTTTAGCGATTTCTCGTGCGGAAAAGCGGATCAAGACACTGGACGAACAGTCTTGCCTATTCATTTTTTGATTCGGATCCAAGGGTCATGTTCTAAATATACCTCTTGGCGGTGGCAATTGCTGCTGTTAAATGGGGCTGAAGTGCAGAGCTTGAATGGACACCCACTGCTATCTTGTAAATGCATGTCATAAGTCAGACAGACTTGTCAATCATCATGTCTGTAGCACAAATAATGAAACTTTTACGCGAGATATGCACGGAGTAGTGATGGCGTAATGTCTGACTGGGTTCGTATTGTACTCGTATAGCGACGCTAGTCCCAAACAGGCAACTCACCAGAAGGCCGGTTTACCGCCAAAAATAGCGCGGTGGATTTTGACCAGCCTCGACCCCTGGATCCAAGAATGATGATTCATTGCGACCAGGATCCAGGGTCGCACACATGTAGTCCCCCTTGACAACCTGGGATGTTCAATTCCAATCCTCACCTGGGTAAAACTCTACAGCAACCTGATACAGTTGATGATACAGTTCATGTCTCGGCACTCCCATCGGATGTGACGGAAGAACGCAATGGCGCACGGGGATCCAAGTGTGACGTGCGCTGCAGGCTATAGCAAGAAAAGAGAGCATCCCCCGTTCTCCATGGTGGTCTCGGTCAGATCGGACCAATGGAGACCTGCAGAGAAAACGCGCACGGAACATTTCCCAGAAGAAACCAGAACTGGTCAGGCCCGCCCGGTCAGCCAGGTAGAGTAAGTATGAAAAGACAGGGTGCGCCCTGAATTGTACAGTCTAGGACTGAACCACTGTCCAACGTTGTGGTCTGGAAGGACCTGTCATGGACCCCAAGACCAATCATACGGGTGTCTGGGGCGGGTACCTGAATCTTCCCTTTTGGTGACAGTCCACAGACAGCACACAGCACTCAGGGCACCGTGGGGCCACAGACTTTAAGTATACGCTGATTGGTGGATGGTCGTTGGAGTAGCCCCTGGAACCGTGGGTGGTCAACGGTGGCGCTAACTGGAGCCGTGGCTGAGATGTTCTCGAATCAGGGGCAAGTGGTTTTCCCCTCCAGGAACTGGAGTCTGCACATTCTGTTGCGACTATTGAACACTAGGACTTAGAATAAACCGGACTCCGAGGCATTCGCGTACGAAAATCATGTTAGTACTGTTTGGGTATCTGTTTTCTCACCACGACGCGTAGACATATCACAAATATCCGGCGTTTCAGATCTTCGCGGATCTCACGTGGTTGCCGTTCGGCGGCATTTGGTGACGATCAGGGCATGAGTTTGGGTTGGGTTTCTTAATAGATATTATCCCGTTCCTGGGGATCGACTGGTCTGGTTCCCTCAACGCCACGAGACTCCATAAGTCTGTCAAGCACCTGGACCGTGGCTTTCCCTGGTTCTGGACAATCGGTAAGTTCCGTCGTACAGCACACAATGGCAAAAGTGGGACAAGTCTCTTGTGCGATGGCTGACCGAGTAAGGAGATAGCGCATGCAAAACCCCTCTTTCTGGGTACAAGAGGCTCAGAGTCAATCACATCGCTCCGTCCGAAGAATTTGGTTTTGGCTGTATGCAGCCCGACGCAGGGGCCAAACCTGAATGCCTTCGCCCCTTTTTATGGTACTGAAGAATAGCTAGAATTCAGAAGGAATAAGGATTCTAAGGTAGTAAAGCGACGTAAATGTATATCGGTCATGGGAGCGGTCGGAAGCGACGAGCCCCACGGATGCCAATAGTAGGTGTTTGGTTTACCTGGTGTGGTTCCTGGTTCCCGGCGTAGTCAGCATCTCCTGATTTCCCTTCCAAACTTCGTCTTCCCTCCTCTTCTTGTTCTGTGTGTGTCTTCCATTTTTCTTCCTTTCTTTTTGCCAGGTCGTTCGTTTCATTCTTTCACGACGACCCATATCGCTCTTTCTGCCTCCCACCTTCGTTTCGAACGGCTTTTTCTCCCCTCCTTTGAAGACCCCGTTCCTCGTTGATCGATTCAACTTGGGTATTTGCGATTCCACCAGCCAACCTCATTCGTTTGATCGAGTCATTGCTGGGAAAATCTCCCTTGCCCTTCTATCTGTGCTGCATAGGCCAGCCTTTTTATTTCTATACCTTGACCCAGGACGCCTCTGCGACGCGCCCTTACCACCCAACCACCCCCGTTTCTGACGTGGATCATCGAACGCGATTTGATATCATCCCTACGCCAGAGCGCTTTCATTCGTTTTTGGATTCTTTCTCTCGCGCTTGAAGCTGCTCCAAGAGAACATCATTTGGAAGACTATCAGTCATTTCTGCACCCACCTCTCTCCACCTGTCGGCCGGATCGTCACGCACCATCTTTTCTAGAGGATAGAAAAGATACTTATAACCGCAATCCACCCAAAACCAACCTATCGGAATATTTGATCAACTTTGCCAACTCGCCTTTTACGTCCGGATTTCCTGTCAACCGCATTACAAGATGTCGTTTAGTGAAACCCCCGACCCAACGGGCGCGCCCACAACAGGATCATCTTCGCCCCCAAACTCGACCCCTTCGCCCTCGACTTCGAGTGCTACCACGGCTCCGTCTTCAAGTGCCTCGCGCCGACCACCCCGTAAGAGCACTTTGACTCAACAGCAAAAGAACAACAAGCGTCAACGTGCGACCCAAGACCAACTCGTCCTTCTCGAGGTCGAATTTAACAAGAACCCGACCCCCACTGCTGCCACCCGCGAACGAATTGCACAAGATATCAACATGACGGAACGTTCGGTTCAGATTTGGTTCCAGAATCGGTAGGGTTTGCTGCTAGCTTGAAATGAGATTGAAAGCATACTGACTGAGAATTAGTCGTGCCAAAATTAAGATGCTCGCCAAGAAAAGTATCGAGACCGGCGAAGGCTGTGATTCGATTCCCGAGTCAATGCGCCATTACCTTGCGATGCAATTCGATCCCAACAAGCCCGGAACCCGTGACCCCTTTGGACGCTCAGCCGGATACCCAAGCCCTGGCATGTATGCTAACGAGGCCAATCCTTCCGGCAAAGTCGTCATCTCGCATTTCACTTGTCGATCCTTGACAATTGGTAGCTGGCGGCGCATTGGACAAAACGCGATGGACCTGGTCATTTTCTACTCGCCTGACAAGGCCTGCATGACATACTATATCAACAACGACTCAGCCGGTTATAAGATCGAATACCCATTCGCACATATCAAGAACATCACCTTGGAAACTGGAGACCCAAACCCCGGGCCGAACGGTCAACCACCCCGGCCTGGTGGATTGGTAGTGGAGCTTAACCGCCCACCTATGTTCTACATGGATTCTTCCAACTCCGGGGGTTTCTACCAATGTGGCGATTTCACTGAGGAGCAGCAAGCGAGCCAGATCATGATTCATCACCTAGGAGGCCATCCCAAGGTGCTGAGTGTGCAGCTCGCCAAGCTTGTGTCTTTGGAATCTTTCCAGAACCGTCTGGCATACGGCAACAGTAGCAGCAACTTTGCTGTGCCTACAGCGATGTCTCCGCCTTTCATCCAGCGCCCTGCTTCCCAGCCCAATCACTTTGCGCCACCGGCCTATATGAATCTCTACCAAGATCACAACCACTTGGGTTTCAATATGCCTGCTGCTCGCGGACACAAACGCCAGCGCAGTCGCTCCGTGCCAGTAGCAGTTGACATCTCCACATTGCAAGGCCCCATGAGTTCGTTCCACATGCCGCAGACTCCAGCCCCGTACAACCCTGCTGAAGCTGGAATCTATGCCCCAGTCCCACAATCTGCGCATGCTCTTCCTACTGACTTGCGCATTGACACCGATGGTTATGGACTGGACTTCCGCACTAATCCCATGTCTGCCACGACCACCGCATCGCCTTCCGAGTTTGCTAGCCCCTCGATGTTCAGCAGCGCTGGACAGGGCGAGTCAACTCCTGTTGCCAGCATGCCTCAGTTCAACGTACCTCAATTTGTTTCCACAGGCCCGTCTGACTCATCGACTGTTGGCTCCCACGCAACATCGCCCTACTCCGGTGTAAGCCCTGCCGATCCCATGATTGCGAATCACTCGCCCCCCCTTGTCTAATATGTCTCATTCTTCGTCTGACATGTATGGATTCTCGCACGATCAGCAGTCGGGTTTTGTTGAGGACGGACTTTCTATGAACGACATGTACCCAAAGCACAACACCAATTATGCGATTTCGCACGAAGGACCCAGCTTTGAATTGCCGATGCATGGCATGTCAGGTCATGGTTCTCCAGCCTTGGGTGATTACTCACATGGAATGGTCAATCTGGATGAAATCAACTCGCAGGGATTGCCCTCCTGAGTTTAAGATCTAGCATTGGCTTTATTTACTTACTCTTTGATGTTTCACGGCCTTTGGAGTCCTTGCGGCGCTATGTTGATGGGTTTTGATCTCCATCTCGGAAATTCCTCGTTGTCCTGGGTCTGTTAGGGTCAACGTTGGTATGAATACATGCCGCCATGATCGATTTGCCTGGAGCAACTTCGCGTCTCGCTGGCGATGGCCGGGAAAGCAATTCCGATTGGACTGATTGCTGTTTCTTTTTTATTGCGTGACATATATCCCTTCTGTTTATGCGTTGTTTGTATTAATACCCTTTCCATTCTGGGGCCGGTCCTGAAGCGATTTGTGATTTTTCTGCTTCTTTTTCTCAATTCTGATGGAATCCCGGATGTTTCGGTTGATTCCTGATTCTTCTTTTTTTTTCTTTCTTCCCTGGCCCACCATTTCTACTTTTGATTTTTTTTTTGATCTGGCAAGCCAGGGTCCTTTTTTTACGTGGTTATGCCAAACAGACCGACTTGGGCGGAGACACCCTCTTGACTCCAACTTTTCTTTTCCTTTTCTGTGTTTGAGTTTTTGTGTTATCGATGATGGGTCTGACCATCAAAAGATTTAGTTGGGCTTTTCTACCCATCATCAAATGGTCATTCTCATCGTGAGTTTAGAACCAGTCCTCACACAACGACCTGTCGGCACCTGTTTGTGTTTGATGAAACCAGCGCTGCTCCGGGTGGTCAGCAGAATTGAAATATTCTGTTCGTGCCTTCCTAGGAGATTAAAACTAGCGCTGGTCTGGCGGTAAACGACGAGTGGGAGATTGCGCTAGGCTCTGAATTAACTCTTTTTTTGTCATCATTGTTCTCGTAATTGTCGTAAATCCAACTAGAGTCCTTACAGTTCTTCACTTCCGACAAATATTCCTTTGCATCGTCTGATCGAAGATCTGGTCATATTTACAGTGTACGGCAAATAGGTGTACTGTGGATCTATATCCCAAACTCTATATTCACAAATATTATACGAGTCACCTATCTACTTGACTATATTCTACATTAAAAACCATCCCATTATAACCCTCCATCAGCTCTTCCTCAAATTCGAAGCCTTATTCCCAACCCCTAGGCTTTGGCGCCCTGAGCCCCCTGCTCTCCCTCAAGTACTTCTCAATCCAAACCTCCATCTTCTCCAAAAGATTCCTATCAGGCTTCCCCTCCTCACCAACCTCAAAGACACCCTCCTTACACCAAACACTCCAAGAGCCCATCAATCCCGCCATAATGACATCTGTTCCCAACCGATCTCCCACGACCGCAATCTCACTCGGCGAACTAATCACCTCTCGTTCCCGGAACCACTGCACAACCTCATCGCCACAGAAAGGCTTCTTTTCCGTGCCAGCCGGTAGCCTGAAAACGGGGATCTTGAGATGAGCAAGCTGGCTTTCTAGCGATTGCACTTCTGAGTCGTAGTTTGGGTGGCTGCCGGCGCGGTTGGAGACGATTAGGATTGCATTTGGGTTGGTTGTCTGGTTGAAGGGGCTTGTGGGGGAGTTGCGGAGTTCGGAGAGTTTTGTGAGGATCTTTGGTGGAAATGTGGTTGTTTTTGGGGGGCAGAGGGTGTTGTCTTTGTCCAGAACTAGGGCGCGGATTGTTGGGGGTTTGGGTGGTGTTTGTTGTTGCTTTTCGGGGTTGGTGGTCTGGGAGGATGGGAGGTGTGAATTGATGAGGTGGGGGCCCAGGTCTTCGGGGAGGTGAGTGAATGTTGGGATGGTGAGATGAGGGAGGAATTGCGAGGGTTGCTTGAGAAGAGTTTGGACGGCGTAATTGAAGCCGCGGAGGTTGGAGTTGGGAGAGCCGGCCATTGTGAAGTAGGGTATTTGGATTTGTAATGATTTCCGATTCAAATTCGTTGTATATTTTCAGTAATCGCTATTGCTATTGCAGTACCATGAGCGTGGTGGAGCCGCTGTGAGAATATGTGGTCGCGGTCTGGAATTTTATAGGGAAGAAACACCCAAAGCGGAAAGGAGGAAGCTTAGCCGCAAAACTCACCTCGCGACCTCCGCCATCTCCACCACCGTCTTACCATCCCGCCAACCACCACCACCGCTTTGCTCGTCCAGGCTTGAAACAACGAGCCTATTACCGAGCTGAACCCTGCGATTGTCTTTGACATATATCTTCGCCACTACTCCTAATCCGATTCTCCTCCCCGCGTCGCACATTCCGTCAAGATGGGCAAGCTCACTAGCACCATCGGTATCCCAATCAAGCTTCTGAACGAGGCACAGGTGCGTTCCAATTGTTTCGACTGGTCTCCTCTCTGGATAGCGATAGAATAATCCTGGCTTAGGGGAGACTGGGTGCTGGCAGGGTGCTAATATTGTTCTCAGGGCCATGTCGTGACACTCGAGATCACATCCGGCGTCGTCTACCGAGGGAAGCTGTTGGAAGGTGCGTAATATTGTGTGCTGTTATGCGAAGAGAGGCTGCAGAGCAAGCTGCTCCTCAATTGATGGCAGCACTGGCTCAACACCCCCAATACCATGAACAGGCCGCTGACTTTTTGTTTCCTACAGCCGAGGACAACATGAACGTCCAGCTCAAGGATATCACCGTTACTGCTCGCGATGGCCGTGTCTCGCATCTCGACCAGGTCTACATTCGGGGAAGTCATGTGCGATTCTTCATTGTGCCGGATATGTTGAGGTACGTTTGGTTGATTATCACCACACCACTATCGATATTACCCCGAACATGGCAATCTTGTTTGGTTCAAGAACAGGACTTTCTATTATACGCCTTTCGAATATTTGCTGACTTATCCTACTTTAGAAACGCTCCTATGTTCCGCTCACGAGGACAGCGCGGACGCGGTGTTGGTCTGGCCCGTGGTAAGGCCACTGTGCAGCGTGCCCGTGCCGGTGGCCGTGGTCGGTAAATTAGCGATGCATGGAGATACAAGAGCGCAGTGTTAAAGACCTGGCGGATTCTAGTGGTTGGCGTTCGTCTTTTGTTTTCTTTGGTTCGTTATGGGAAAAATTCTCAGGCTTTCTTTCCATCTTGCTGGGTCTGGAATCTCGGCATTCCATGATGACTCGTGTATCTCTCACGAATGACTACCTGGCGCATATATTACATATCCTGAAGATTTCAGCTGCCTTGGGTGTCAGTATGGTCAACGTAGGTTCGGTAGTCGCAGTGGCATCTACTGTGAGATCAAAGCTTCAAATGAAGAGTAGAAATGACTGATAAGATCCTACTTACTACAAATACAATGTTCAAAGCAAAGTTAGCTCATATGGACATCATAGTTACATGTAACGTGGGTGGATAAACAATTTCGGGGACGATGTGATCTCCGCAACTTTTTCTCTCCATGCGGGGGACCAGGTCTCAACTCTTCACACGTCTCCGCGCTCCAGCCATTACGTCCTCAAACACGTCCTGATACTCAGGTATACACACTTCGACTCTAAAGAATTGGATAGGCGCATCAATAGTTACGATCAACCCTCTCACCTTTCGCCATGGCCTCCAAAGCCTCCCCCGCAATCCCCTCCAAGCCAAAAGTGAAGCAAATCACGAACTCACGCCGCCTCCTAATCCTCGCACCGCCAGTACAATCTGTCTCAATCATTCCTCCTCTCTTACTCGCACTCACCGAAGTCCCAGTACACGACCTCCCACAACAAGAACAATCCCCTCCAGCCGAAGCATCATCGTCAACTACCCCGCCAAAAGACGAAGACACTACCTCTCCCGTACCACCAGACACAACAACCTCGTTCGCAGGCTACACAACCCACAGTCCTCTCCGCCTAAACACAAAATACTACTCAGCCGAGATCCCAATATGGGTTGACGAAGTCCCTTTCCCTGGAAACGAGGAAACAACCCCATCCCAGACATCTACCGATGCCAGCGTACAACAATGGCGCACGGAATTCCTTAGTGATGAGGCTGAGGTCGTCCGTGATGCCGTCGGTGCACTACTAGTCTGCGTTAGGAACCCAAGTGAGACGGATCCTCGTCCTGGTTCTGATCCTGCTTCGCGCGCCGACGTGCGCGCGGTACTGGATCTCATGCGTGATATCGGGGCTGTGAAGGAGCGCATTGATGAGGAGCGTGGGGGTATAGGCGGTGATGTCTCTGGTATATTTGTTCTAGTTGGGGCAGCGAAGAGTGACATGCCGGGATCTACATCTACGTCTGCTGGTGCTTGTGATTCCGATGAGATGGGATTGGGCCTTGATGATGACGATTTGGGAACTGAGGACGTGCCGTTTTCTGCTTCTTGGTGGGAGGACATTTTGTTTGACTTGGGGTGTATTGGGTGGGAGGTTGTTGAGTGGGATCCGAAGGGACAGGGTGAGATGACGAAGAATAAATTTGGAGGTATGTTTCCCGCCTTGTATACTTCCGACCACGCTTGGGGCGGATTATTTTGTGGATAAATGCTAATATTCAGAAGAGTATGAGGGCATGCCGCGCATCAAGGAGGTACTGGAAACACACGACTGGACTGGACCTGGGGAATCGCGTGATCCAGATGCGGACCAGGAGCTGGATTTTGACTTCGATGATGATCTCGAGGCCGGATTGCTGAGTGGTAGCAAATCACGTACCCGCGGTTTCGGGCAGGAAGTCCAAGAGTTGGAGCGCGAGATGCTCGGTTTGCGCATGGCGATTGAGCATGGTGGCGATGATGGCGACGAAGGAGACTTTGGCGACTTTGAGGATGGGGATGATGAAATCAAGGTTGAGTCTATGGAGGGCCTTATGATGCGTGTACAGGCTATCAAAGGTATGTTGGGTTACACTGCTGAGAAGCTTAGTTATACTGACAAGATTGCAGATATGGGTGCTGATTTGCCAGAAAATGAGCGGAAGAAGTTTGCAGCGCAAGCTATCAATGCTCTCATGCGGGAAATGTGAGGCAATCGCATCTCTAGGAATTGACTAATGACAGATGAGAGTGGACACGCTCTAAGGATAGTCATGATTGATTTATAGCTATCAAGCATATATTGAAGTCTTCCTTCGTCGTTATGTATGCTTTTTCTGTCTTGGCCCAGCGAGCTGGACACCATATCTATATAATTAAGAATAAAGTTTTTGAGCCTCGAGACCTCCACCACCGTAAGCCCCATGGCACCACATTAAACCGATGAGCTTCCATTCCAGTCTGAGACCATCTAATCAGCGCGCTGCTTGCCACGCATGACCTTGCGACGCTGCGCAATCATGTGCGTGTAAAGGATATAAGAACCAGGCACATAAATAGCCAGAATGGCAACAAGACCCCAGTAAAGCAAAGGACTAATATCCCCAGCCGGACCCAGCGACAAGTAAACGAGCGTGCATTCACTCGAAATGCCAATAGGGTACAACACGTAGAAAGTGTTATACCGCAACCAAGTCCACCACTTCGGTACCTCATTTCCGGACAGGGTAATGGCAAAGAATCCATAACGAATGATCTCAGTAATTCCCCATGCACTCATACAACCAAGGTAGGCATAGTCACCCAGCTGGGTGGTAGACGCGCCGACGATCTGTCCGCCGAATGGAACCATAATTCCCCAAACGAGAAGCAGACGGCTTGCGACTTGCATTGCAGTTGTGAAGAAAGGAGCGCGCACGAGCCTGAGCAGGCTGTGAAGGATTTCGAGGGTCGCGATGGATTGCGTTGCGAGGAGGTATGGCGAGAAGCTTTGGCCGAAGACTGCATTTAGGGTGTTGCTGGCGAAGTGGCCGGGAACCAGTGAAGCTGTGTAGGCGACACAGAAGCCCCATGCTGCAAGGTTAAATGCATTGTAAATGAAGAGGTAGGCTCTTGTGATGCCTGAAGGGCCGGACGAGCGCGGTTTAGCCGCGGTTGAGGGTGAGGGCATTGCGATGGTTGGGTTTTATTTTGAGCCCAAAGATGAAATGATAGCGACCTTTGGGTTGAGCTTCAAAATCGTGCTGGATGTTCAGCGAAGGTAATTGATGGGGGCGCGAGTGGGCGCTGTAGGCGTTGAGTTGTTGAAATGTTGAATCTGGAATCGAAAAGGGACCTCGGATGTTTACATAAGCAGTTCTAGAAGACCCCTCGAAGCCTCAGGGTTGTGGGGTGCTTTTGTCAGTCCGATCACTGGATCTCTTGGAGGCTCCAGCTGTCAGATCAGTGATTAGTGTGTCATCTCTCTGTTTGCTTTCGCGGCGCCGAATATATCCCGTACGAGTGTGGCTTGTGGGTCAGGACCGAGTATACGGCTGTGTTGGGGATAGTGACTTTCTACTATTGAATCTAGTGCCGAACTCGCAGGACTGGTTCCAGCGAACTGCAGGTACCGGCAACCAAACGGAAGGCTTCCTTGGAAGTTCTTCTGTAGACCCCATGTTGTCGAGAGGCGTTATCACCCACTTGGGGCTGGCGCTAAGAGGCACACAAGCCCCGTTTTCCTATGAAAAAGAGCAAACATTGCCGGGGGCCCCCCATTTTGGGCATCACTGGCGAATTGCTGAGGGGCAACTTCCATATTTTAGACTCGTGAGACTTGTTGTGACAGCTGTAGTCAGCTACCTGGTCAGCGCAAGTCATCATGACCACATCCACTTGATATTCCAGGTTGTCGATGCTGAGTCTGATGTACCATCTGCTAGCAAAACAATTCCCTGTCAAACCACTTTGGGCCGGAGTCCGACTGTCGTACGAGCTTATGCACCGTGATATCATGAGATGAGCCGATGATTTCACACTGCATTGGCCCTAGGCTAAGGCACGGAGTACAGAGGACGTACTTGGTGCCAAGCCGACTAGCTTCGGCATTGAAATCCGTAGTAGGCATGAGCCTGTATGTACCCTGGTTATACACCCAGGTAAGATGTGGGGTTCTGCACATGGCACGATCGCTAAGAATATAGCGACTTGGCCTGAAAGAGATCCAGATACAATCCATGGGTGGCCGTGCCAAGCACTCCGTAAGTGACGCGTATTTTTGAACCACAGAAGAAACATGACATCAGAGGCTGTGAAATGTGGATGATAGCTCCACCATGATGTAATGGCTAATATACCACACCATGATTGGTGGATGACCACTTGGGCCAACCACTTCACACGCAAAACCAGGAGAAAGCCACCAGAGGCACGAATGCCCCCATCTGCTATATAAACAAAAGAGGTGACTACGCTTCGTGCAAAAGACGATGCTTTTGTTTTTCGAATCGTCTCAACTACACTGCATCCTCAATGCCGATTCAATTGATGCTTTCCTATCCCAACACCAAGGGGGATGAATTGACGATTCTAATGCCTTAGGTCTGCCATTTTTGTTGCCCACCTAAACATCGTCATCGGTGACAGCATAATTTCTCGTGTCTTAGCCCCAAATCTCCCCTAACACCCCCTCTCGCTTTCACAATTCGAGTGTCTAACGGAGTCCAGGGTTGTCGGTACGTCAGATTCCTCGGGATTCCTGCCACATACCAGCGCCAGATACAGGGGAGAAAGGGTATTTTTGGCTGGTTAGCGACACATGGTTCCGGTCCCCGAGGGCCCAGACCTTCCCACATCCATACAATCCGGTTGCAGAGCAATGCATTGATCTGTACGAACTGTACTCGAACTGTACTCGAACTGTACACGAGACAGAAAGTCATGAGAGAATGGAGCCCGGACTATTTCCCCCTCTCTGGCGATTGGCAGCCCAACGGGGCCCCTTATTTCTGCGGACCATGGCCGACCCTATCTATTTTTTCTTTTTTTTCCCCATTTTTTTTCTCCCTACCTGCCTTGTCGGTCTCACCAGATAACATTCAGAGTGGAGAGGATCCACGCTGGAATGGCTTGATTAATCTATTGATGTCGAACAAAACTGAAGATGATATTGTCCACGTGCGACTCGGAACAAGGGAGACCAGATGACACAAAGCAGTGACGTGCCAGTGCTGAGATCGGCGCCCCGATGATGTCGTTTCGCGGCTGCTTCCTTCCCCCTTCCGCTGCCAGATCGCTAGGTTTAGGCTGCTCTGGTCGGTTTTTTTTTCCTGGTTTCCTTGTAACTTGTTCAGTATTGATGTTATAGGTTGCGTCTTTTTGGTCTCCACCACGTACAGATTTGGTACGCAGATTCTCACTGGTGGAAGGGAATGGACAATGATCTCATGCCGTTGCTCGGTTCCCGGTGGATCGAGGCCCGGGTATTACATGGTTTCACATTGTCTTCTGCATGACCACGATCCAGTGATTATCCTCGCTAGCCTTGAAGATGAGGCTGGATACATTGTTTAAAAAGGAAAAAAATTTTATATTCAATCTGGTGGCGGAAAACGGGCAGGGGGACACATTGGTGGGGAAAAGCTTCCCCCATTCAGCTTGAAGGGATGACAAGACTCGAATTACCAGGATAGAACTCTTCTGGATACTAATATCTGGCCCCCATGGTCAAACGGAGATAATACACAAATGCGTGATAGGTAATCTCATCTACATAGCAAAGCGCCTAGTGGGGTGACCAGTAAGAGCAATATAGTATATAGAAACCTTTTCTTATTGACATTTGACAAAAATCCTAATTTTTTTTGGTTACGAACTTACCACTGAAAAACCCAAATCAACCTACTGTACGGATAGATTGCACGGGAAACGCTGCTCCTCCACTCGTTCCTGCCGGCCATAATTACCCACCTAAACGTCTCTCCGCCCTTTTTCTCGCTAACCTTCTTTCTCACTCCCTCTCCTCTCTCAGGTGAACTTACCCTTGCCTTTCTGCCATCCGGAGTCCGGGATTCTCTTCTAGAAGAGTTGCAATCCTATAACTGATTCTACTAAAAAAAAAAAGGTGGGATAAGCCAAACCTCCCCCAATTTGCCCCTCCTTTCCTTAGCCTGAACCTGGCCATTATCCCCCCCCCCCCGCTACACGCGATACCCGATTTGTTCATCAATTCTTTTCTGGAATTTTTTTTTGTTTATCAATTCTGGCGAATTTGGTTATCAATTTTGTGCCCCTGTTGCGTTGTTTCCAGTGTGGGACCCTGGGGCTTTCGTGCAGCTCGTTCATTTCACGCCCCGCCGTGCTCCCAGTATATGGTGAATGGGCCCGTCACTATTCCTCCCCCCCCTCGATCTTTCTCACTCTCCCTTCCATTAACCTCTTGTCCCTTTGGCTTCGCCCTGCGGCATCGCTAAGTAAGCTTGCCATTGTTCTTACCCCTCTTCCGCGGTGAACCCCGTTTCGTTGGGTTTCTTTCACCCGGAGTTCCACCCCGCCACAGCGTGATAGCCTGGTTCCTGTGACCTGTGGCTCTTGATCCCTGCCCACGCGTGCATACGCCTAGATCCAACGCTCACCTGTACCTTTCCTTCTCCCATCACCCTGACCTTTTGGTCTTTCGCCTCAATCTGTAATTTCTTCCCTGGTTTGTAAGGCGATACCCCCTGTGGGCTCGCTCTTTTTTTTATCGGGAATGAGACTGTATTTGGGCTGTTTTTACGTTTTTTGACTTCATCGCTTTCATCATCATATTCACCTACAGACACATTTGATGCTTAACTGGCGAAAATTTAAGCTGACTTTAATCTGCAGATCTGTCAAGTCCTTAATCGGGATTGACTATTAGATCAGGCAACTGTTCAGTCTCATCGTCATCCGTGCAGTGGACTTAGGTTGATCCTATTCATTACACATCGCTTCACATATTAGCCATGGCACCTGCCGAGAACACGAAGGCTCAGGAGCCGGTATGTCTAGGTTCAGACTCCAAGCCAAGAATGCGAGACTGACATGTGATCAGAAGAAGGAGGGTCCCCCTCAGCTGTCTGATGTTGCTGATATCATCGACGAAGGCACCTTTGAGCAAATTCTGGAAATGGATGACGATGACGAACGTGAATTCAGCAAGGGCATTGTCTACGGATTCTTCGATCAGGCCAAGACTACATTTGAAAAGATGGAGAAGGCTGTGTAAGTGATATTAAACATGCTTCATATTCATGAAGAGGGACTAACGTCTCCCAACAGTGCGGATGAGGACTTGGATGATCTTTCATCTCTTGGTCACTTTTTGAAGGGCTCCTCGGCCACTCTGGGTCTCACTCACGTTAAGGACGGCTGTGAAAAGATTCAGCACTTCGGCGCCCGCAAGGACGAGACCGGGTCTACAACACAGCCCGACGATAAGATTTCGCTCAAAAAAATCGATACCACCGTGAAGGAGGTGAAGGTCGCTTACGCTAAAGTCGAGCGATTCCTGCGCCGATACTACGGCGAGGACCTCAAGCCCGAGGAAGAAGAGAAGGAGGAGGAGAAAGAGGAGGTGAAGGAAGAAAAGAAGGACGACAAGGAAGAAGCGAAGAAGGAGGAGAAGAAGGAGGAGTCCAAGGACAAAGAGCCCAAGAAAGCCTAGGGTCAAGGTTTTACGGTTTGCTTCCATTTCTTATCTTTTTTCTATTTTTTAGCGACGGATGGAGCATTGCAACGGCCCTTATTATTCATGTCTGGTTTCTGGCTTCTTGACGTACATACAACCCACCCCCCGCGCATTTAGCTCCAGGGATCTGGAAGCACTTGTGTGGACGCTGCCCGCAAGTGCAGGCGAGATTGCGACAGTGCATTTCCCCACAGCTGAGGGAATTGAAGAGTTATCGAGATACGGGAATCCGAGTGCTTCTACCTGGCTATGTTGCTTGCATATCTTCTAAGACAACGATTTGGATGAGATTACCCCAGAGGAAAATTACTTCTGCTTACATCCGAATCTGTATTACATCTGCTGTGGCTTGTGGCTCTGTAACCTCTAAACGCACGTATTGTAGAACCCACCTTAGCGCGAGATTCGACCGACCGAAACGCCTTGGTCCACAAATCTCCAGTCTTGACTCTGTCGATTGGTGCCTCCGAAACCTTCCTTCAGCCACATGCGTGGGACTGGGGTCGGTCGATAAGCTTGAATCAACGGCCCAATCGAATGAAATCTGGGGAATGTGGCGCATACCGATTGATCGTCTCTCCCACTTGTTTGTCGATCGCGATGGTCGATCATGAAGATTATATCAATAAATCGCCATGAGGTGGGTTGGTGTTTCATGTGCGTGGTGGCTGTGTAAACCAATTGATGACCGCCAAGTGGTCTAGCCTTATTATTGCTCCGCTTTGCTTATACTTCAGCTCAAGTGATCCGTCAACACAACAAATAAAATTCGTCAAAGTAATAGGCCTAATAATTCGCACAAATTTCTCCAATCTTCTCATTCCTTCTACTCACCCAACCCCCACCCAAGTCCGATACCAATGAATTGCTCATCTTGAGCCGTAACAAACGCTCTCCACAGCACCTTCTACTCCCAACTATTAGAACTGCAAACTATGATAGCATCCAAATTTGACGTCTCAACAAACCATGAGCTAGGGCGTCGATGTCTTCACAGGCAAGCTGCATCGCAAACCCAGTCCCCGTCTCTTGCCATCGCTGGCCCGCCGACATTGCAAAATTGGCAGTCGGGAACCTGCATGGGCGTGATGCTTACATCCGCTCGATGACGGGTCCGGGATGGCTGTTGGTGCTGTCTCCTTCTTCATTCGGTTCAATCTTAAATCCACAGGTGTGTTTGGTGTACCCTGGTCCCCCAAGTTGACGGGGAATTTTATTCTCACAGGCTGTAAGATTGTACTATGAAGTCGGGATGGAAGGGAGAATTTGGTGTATAATTATCGTACATAAAATTCCATCGATTATTAGATGAAGCTAGACTCAATGAAACCTATCTCGGTTGAGAAATCTGCAATGCGATGCGATGCGATGCAGCACACAGACAGCGGGGAAATGCAGACTCAGAACGTCCATGACGGCGAGGAGGCTGGTTTTACTATCTATGACACATCTCTACCTGTAGATACTATATCATGACGCGCGAAAATTGGTTAACATTTGCCTCGTGGGTACCCGGGTAACATCCGCCTTGCAAGGGTGACTGAAGCAATCGAAGAAAAAGACTAAGAAATTCAAAAAGGCTCCGACACGGTGAGGAAGACGGAGTTACTGTCTGTCTTATCTCGTCAACACTTCCGTACCTCTTTCCAGTGTTGGTGATCTTCCTGACTATGATGCAAAGCCATCTGCTCGAGAGTGTGATCAGTCGTCGGATATGTAGGAGAACACTCCTCGTGTCCGAAGTGCTAAAGCTTAAGGTGTGTCTGTGATACACACTTGACGGGGCTGATATTAGTATTGATAGATGTGAATGATTGACCACGTTGTTTGGTTTGATATTTACTCGTCTCATGCGTTTCCCTTACAGGGCTTGAGGACGGAGATTCGTTTGGCTTAGTGCGCGGCTCAATCTTCTCATGTTCTTTTCTCTTTTTTCACTGTTACACTTTATAATTGCTTACCAGTGCGTTGCTTCTTTTTCTTAGAGAAATACTTGCACAAATAATGCAAATAACAGACATCGAGTTTAGTTCGTGCCCTCTGCAATGCAATACTATCATTCTATCCGCGAATTGATGCATGCACGCATTGATGGAAACGCATCAACAGATTTACTTCCTTATAAACGAAAGCAGGTTGGCCATTTTCTATCGGTGAGATTGCAATTAGGGGGCGCGTTGCCTGGGAGGCGGCTTGCTGCGTCGCACTGCATGGTTGACGAGTCTTCTTTTCTGCGGCTGCGGGCAGATACATATGCTTTCTTGTGGGCAGGCGGGAATATCTAGCCACTAGGAGTATTACTGAAGTTTGTTTTAGGTATTCCTTGGCGTAAGCCGGGTTGATTCTGATTTTGGTCTCCATATGGCGACTAGCGCGCGTCAGTAGTGTGATGGGAAGTTTGTTGCGTATGTTTTTTTTGTGGGTTCCCGAATTTATGATCTTATTCAATAGGTCTACTTTATCATATGTAATGTATCATCTTTACTTCTCCAAATTGTCCGGATTGATTGCTTCCGAATCTTTACAAGCTTACCTCGAAACTCTTCATCTCATGCATGCAAGTCCTAACTTCTTGCTCTCTGTCTCGGATAGCAGACTCGAGCTCGGATAGTCTCCCTCGAAAACCTTCCTGCAGCTGATCTCTGCTGCGCTCAGTTCTCGATGCTGGCACTGAACTTGACTCAATTCCATGGATTGTCTCTTCCCCGGCAAGCGGAACGTCCCGTACCTTATCCGGGTGAAGATATGAAAACTAATCTGACCCTATGCTGACATACTACCTATCCATAATCATTTAAAATACTCACGTAGCTTAGCTGGTCTTCTTCATCCCTCCACCCTACCTCACCATCCCATTGACACCTTATAAAACCATCCAACCAGAGCTTTGGTTTGATGTGGTCCGGGGTTGGACATCAATAAGTGTGAGACTGTCGAGCAGGTGGATTGTGAAACCCCAAAAGAGCCAAGGAGAAGCTACGAATCTTGCAGATGCATCTTGTAGACTGGATAGTTCCTATTCCTGAAAACGGTAGGAGTCAGGCTGAGCTTAGCTCCCTTCCGTATCCGTGGTAAGCTATTCGTCTGGACGATGATTTTGTATGATCATGCACATTTTTTCTTCTTTTTCTTCCGCAATTTCGCTTTCGTTCTTCATCCGCCCAGGTTCCCAACATTATCTAATGTCTCGGGCCTTGCAAACAGACATTGACATAGACCCTGTATCATTGTCTTAACTCCTGCGACTCGACTGACCTCCTTGTCTGCTGGGGCCTTTCTTACCCACTTAACCGATTGCACATTGCCCGCTTGCTTGATTGTTCACCCTCGTTCGTTGGTCTGCCTCGTCCCGCTGTCAGAGATCTGATTGCATTGATCTCTCGGGAGCGGCCGTGCAGATTGCGTCTCGGGAACCGTTGGCCGTTGAATCGGCACATGTTGAGTCCTGATTGTGATAAATGATATAAAGCCTTGCTTTGGGAAGGCTTTTTCGATGCTTCAATCTATCCAACAATTCCATTTTCGGCTCTTCACCATTTTATCTCAAGTCATTCGCCCTCTCAACTCATCTCGTCCAACTCTAAAACATAAGTTGCAAGCTTCTACGCTTGCCTTCAACCCACATTGCAACCTGCCCTTCAAAAGCATCGATCAACTACCTACAATGCCCCCCGTCGGTCCCCGAGTCTCGAAAGAGGAGTTTATTCACGCTTTGGGCTTAAACCCCCAGGACCCACAGCATGAGCAGTACTACCGTGCCATGCGAGTAAGAAACCTCCATATATATTGCCCTTCGAATAACTTTCACACTTCCCCTTGCTGTACACATACTCCCATCCCACAGACAAAGTAACCCCAAAATCCAACTCAAGACATTTATTCTAACCATACCATCTGATCTTCCAGGACGAAGCAATCATGGTCTACAACCACATGAACCAAGACACCTCCCACCTCCTTGACAGCGTCCGTACCGACCCAAACACCCGCCCTCCCTTCTTCTGGCACCACATTCTACCAGACCACCAGCGCTGGGCCATCATGGAGATCTGGCGCAATGCTGGCCCTCTCACTCGACCTCTGTTTGACCGCGGTGCTACCAATAGCGAGTATGGGCCCAACTGGGTCGCAGGGTGGTTGTTGTACAGTGTCTTTCGATCGCGGGATGTGAGAAATAATCGGAACCGGAGGAAGGGGGAGAACAATGGGGCAGTTGCTGATGCTGGTAAGAAGACTTGGGTTCAGCTTTCCGATCTGGTACTAATGTCGCTTTTGTTTTAAGGGAGGTCCAGGCAGGTTGAAGAGACTCCGAAGAAAGGCTACTATGACCCTGTGCGGAATGGGACGCTTTAGATCCAGTCGTTTCTTAGTATCGGTCCTTATCTGAGCGTTTGTATGCATTAATTTCTCAAGGGTGTCCTTTGTTTGCATATGGTCCAAAGTATTGAAATGGTATTGAGCATCAACAAAGTAACGAAGAACACGCTATGGATTTTCTAAATCTAAAAATTGAATCAATCACTATCTTTCTCTTTGTTATCCTTCTCTTTACTGTCCTTGTTCTCTTCATCCTTCGGTTTCGACCTCAATGCCTCAGTAACCATCTCGTCCTGCTCATCAACCCGCTCGTTCCACTCAGCATCGTACTCCGCTGCAATTCCCTTGATCTCCCTTCTCAGCGCTTTTCCCTCATCGATGAGCGTCTCCCAGAGTTGCAGATCGAGATTATGCTGCTGATACAGCTTCTTCTGTCGTGCATTGACCGTAAAGTCCAAAGCAGACTTGTACGATATCTCCCGGTTGTGGTACAAAAACCACAGATAACCACCCATCAACGTAGACAAACTAACCAGATACGTAACCGGCTCCATAGTATCCCATCCCAGATCAGTTTCAAACGTCAATTTGTACACACTATACCACCACACGGAGAGGATACCAAATCCTCCAATCGCGACTCGCTGCGCACCACGTTGCGCTAACTCATCGCATTTGTGCTTAATCTCTGCGATCGCTTGGATACGGCGGGAAAGCTTCCGCATCCGCATCCGTAGGAAATATGTACGTTCGTCAAATGACGGGACAGTGACACGAATCTCTCCCAATCCGCTTGGGGCACCTTCTATCGACACGATGAACTCGCGTGTGCGTGCGGCGTCGCGGATGAAGTCGCCCACTTCGGTGGCTTGGGACCATCGTACGAAACGCTCAGGCTTGCCCTTCAGTGAATCCAGACTAGTGTCTGTTTTCCTGGGGTAGCTGTAGATCTCAGCGTCTTCTTCGTGGGATCGACGGCGGCGCATAGGGCCGCCCTCTTGCTGTTCTGTGTCGACAGTCCTTTCAAGATCCTCGACACGTTTTTTGGGCTTGATGGCATTGTCTTCGTGTTGGAGGGCTATAAAGGAGATTGTGGGAGGGCGAAGCTTTTGCTTTTCGCCTTCGATGGCAGGGAGTTCGGATTGTATGAGTTGCTCTAGGTAGGAGAGGGGTTGTTGGGGGTGGACAAGGATTGCAATTGGTTCAATTCCTGGATTATCATTAGATGAGATTTCAGTGCTAAGGACGGGTTGGAGGCTTCCTACCTTTGTCATTGTTGCCTGTTGTATCGATAGTCGTTAGGGGAATTATTAATTTGAACAACCGTGATGGTGTAGTCAACATTTTTCCTGCAATAGATTAGTCGGGCTCATGAATTAATCTTCTGGATCAGTGTGTTTACCCTTTGACATTTCCTCCGCCCGCTTGGCGTTCTTCTCATCCAAGCTAAGGTGAGGCTGGGTGTCCTTATTGTCATCTCTGACCTCTAGGGACTCCAGTAGCTCCTCAACCTTCTCATTGTCGCCCATCTTCTCGACATAATTTGCCTTTTTTAGAGTTCGAATCTGCGTCCCTCCGAACAGCATTCCTCGGGGATTGAGACCGGTGGTTCCTAGCTTCAAGCTGCAAGTAGCTCCTAGGAGCGTACTTGGTCTCACCTGGCCAGTATGCCGAGCAACAGTCGATGCCCAACGTCCAGATGAACATGTTCGTATCCCACGTGACCAACCACGTTTTGTTAATGGTGACAATAATGGCACACAGCCCTTTGTTAGTGGGCGCATGGCTGTATATGCTGATTGTAGGATGTGCTTTGGGGTTCTTTTCGTTCAGAGTTGAGCGGGACGAGGGTGTGGTGCATAGCTCAAGGACAGTGGGTGGAGGGCAAACGTAGCGGTCGACTCATGACGCAGGAGACGTATCACGTTAATAGTGGAGTATAAATCTGGAGAAAGCATAAATAGCGCCTAGAGTACTGGCATTGCTGGAGCTACGATGATCCAGGTACATCATCCATAGCTCTGCACATTTCCTTGTCTTGGACGGTCTATGACGTCAACGTGGCGCTATATGTGTTTCGCATTATTGTGGCTGTGTGTGGCTGGTTAGACAAGATTATCTGAGCATGTTAGTGAGCCTGAACCTTAAGGCAATTAATGTAAGGCAAGTAATCAGCCAGCTCTAGTGTTAGTGTTAAATTAATTAATTATTTCCCTTATTAATCCGTTTGCAATGTCAGCCCCGGGGTATTGGTGCACCAACCAAGACGCAGTTCAAATTCAGACACTGAATTGTTGATTTGGTACTTGGAGGGCTCATCTACTCCGTACTCTTGGGTGCTATTTCCAAGGCCCTCGGCATCATAGGGCATTTCCACTTTAAATTAATATTAACGACAGTGATCGATATTACTAAGGCATATACAAGGCTGTGCTCGCTTAGAGTTGCATCTTAATGAACAATCTGGACCCGACGGCCCCCGGGGCGCCCCTGTGGCCCGTGGGGGCGGATTTTGGCACGAGGGTACAGGAGAATATTCTCTATGTTGATGTGCTGTACCCTGCAATCCTGGAAAAATTCAAACTTTTCCCATACTTGTAAATATTGAAGGCATCATCTGGTCTTGTGAGTCGACAATTACAGCCTATGGCTCCCGTGTTATCATTATAGGGAGTCTCTGGGAACATACATGCGCAGGTACAAAAAAGGTACAAAGAAGTACAACAGGTTTACATGACGCGTTCTTTAGTCTGTCTTACTCACATACGCCACGATGCAGCTAAGTGCCTCGCAAGCAATTAATGACAAGCCTTGCAATCTCATTCTAGAGCAAGTAATAACGCCAGCCTTGGAGGCATTAGCTCACCAAATAACAGAAGCAAGGGTAGGGAGCCATTTGTACGTGTTAGGGTTGCTTGAAATTGAAGTATGGTCTCGTTCATTGCGTATTCCGTACGGATTTCACCGTCCTTAACCTTAAGAATATCAAACCAACAACCCAACGGTCCTCGGAACTAAATTCCAAATATGGGAAGCTCGATGCTATTCCAATAAAGTCTCGAGCGGGGCTTATCCATTCACATGTCTTCTCTTGGAAAATCTGGCGCCAATCCGATCCTTCAGGTTCATTGCGGCTGGCGTGCCCGTCTTGGCCGAGTCAATGCTCAGTATTCTTTGGGGACAGGAAGCATGAGAGCTCCTCTATCCTGGCAAATACATAAATAGTCTACTTTCCCACATAGTAAGCACCTTACAGTGTCAGATGTGAGCACCCCACAGTCAGCTTACGGTGTCAGAAGGTTAAATGCCAAGGGCTACAATTAAAGAATCCTGAAAATGGTCCGTGCTGATCTTGGACTTCTCGTCCTCTCTGTTCTTGCAGCATGTGGCGATGCAAACCCTAAAGTCCGCTCTGGACAAGTGATATTTGAGGGCACATCGGCGAATAGCGTCGACTCGTTCAAGAATATTCGATTCGGTCAAGATACTAGTGGCAACAATCGCTTTGCTCCTCCAAAGTTATACAGCTATCCCGCTGGCACCGTGGTTAATGCTACCCAGTCCGGTGCAGCCTGCCCTCAGCAAGAAGACCCAATTCCGACTTTCCCGATCTTCGACAATGTCACAAACGTCTCCGAGGACTGTCTTACCCTGCGAATTGACAGACCAGCAAATGCAACAAGTGCCGATAGATTGCCTGTGATGGTCTGGATCTACGGCGGTGGAGACACGGTCGGTCAGATATATGATACAGCCTATGAGCCGACCGTATTGGTTCTCGGCGCAGCTGAGGCAGGCACACCTGTGATATATGTTGCGATGAACTACAGACTTGGACTTCTTGGTTTTGCCGCATCCCAAGCATTGAGTGCTGAGGATTCCCTGAACGCGGGTCTGCTCGACCAACGTCTTGCGCTCGAGTGGGTGCAGGAGCATATTACAGCTTTTGGTGGTGATCCTGAAAATGTGACCATCTTTGGAGAGAGCGATGGCGCCACTGGAGTTGGTCTGCAGATCACCGCTTATGGTGGCGAGAAGAAAGCTCCCTTTAAGCGCGCCATCATGCAGTCCGGTTGTGCTGTTGCTGACGCCGGCACTGCCAGCAACACCTCCATGGATCATACTGCTGCATTTATTGAGGCTATTAACTGCACTGCCTCTACGAGTGCCGAAGAGCTCGCTTGCCTCCGGGCGCTTCCTCTCGACACTCTTCTACCGGCTATGATTGAATACGAGTTCAGCATCCAAACATCTGGCGGATTGGACGTCTTCATTCCCACATCACCGTCATCCTTCATCCCCGATAGTCCCTCCAAGCTTCTTTCTTCTGGTCGTTTCACCCGAAACATCGATGTAATCGTTGGCTGGGATGAGAATGATGGTTCTCTTTTCTCGGACACCTCTGCCACAACCGTCGAGGAGGTCGCCGAGTTTATCGCGGCCCAGAACCCGAACCTCTCTGAGAAGAATCTCGACAAAGCGATGGCACTTTACCCCATTTCCCAATTCTCTGCCTACACCTCAGAGGGTATCTCTGCGGAGTTCTTTCAAGCTAGTCAGATCGTTCGCGACTCGCAGTTCACATGCCCGGTTCTCTACACTGCGAAGATGAACAGCAAGTGGTCCACTGACTCCACCGCGACCTACCTCTACGCCTTGAACCAGACTGTCTTCACGCCGTTCCTAGAGGAATACGGTGAGCTGTTCTATGGAGTGTGTCATTTTAGTGATATCCCCTACGTCTTCAATCAGGTGACTACAGTTTACGCGGACCTGTCCTCGGAATCCGATATCGAGCTTGCAAGCGAGATGAGTGGCAGCTGGGCCTCTTTCGCCACGTATGGAAATCCCTCCAAAGCCAATGGATCAATCTCGGGTTGGTCTAGCGCACCGAAATCTTCAATCGGAGTATACGATGTACAGGTCATTGGTGGACCTGATAGCGGAATGAGGACTATCCGGCATTCCTCGAGCTCGTGGGAGGACTTGGCCCGCAGATGCGCATTTTGGACTTCCGAGGAAGTTTTTGAACAATTGGGTGTTTAGGTCACCTGCCAATTAGATTGTGACCTAAGATCAATGTGTCTATGATGTTGCCCTCGTTTAAAAATATACAAAGCGGTCGGACCCGACGATCCTTGTCTGATATTGGCAAGGATGAGGCATAGTCTCGACTGTCTTAATTTCAATTTGATCCAAAATTATATTCCACTGAGCCAACCTAAAAGTTGGACGCTACCTATCCAGAATAACAGACATTCTCTGATGAATTGCGATATAAACTAAAAGAAACAGCCACACGATCAAGGAAAAGAAATCGCTGACCTCCACAATGCAAATATGTCAATCCCAAAGGCCCAGGGCCTCCCATGTCAGACCATTATCTATCATCATTTGTTTGGACACAGTATCGAGGCCAAAGAGACAACACAGAACAGTCATAAACATAGCATCACAGCCGCAGCCTGAGCTTTTCCATCTATCATAGACAAGAACCATGCGTCAAACATAGAATGCGCATGCAGAAAGTCATATCATAAGTCATAGTCGTAAGTCGTAAGTTCCACCATACCGATCTCTTGCGAGATATATCAGCTACCATGTACCTTCATTTCATCTCTCATCTCTCATCTCTGCTCGCAACCTATCTTCCATCTACCAACCTCAGAATTTCACACTTCACATCTCCCTAGCATAATCAATCATCCCAACCAAAGAAGCAGGTCTCGTGCCCCCTTCAGAGCCGGATCCCGAACTCGAGTCCGTTCCTGGGCCCCCACCCATACCCAAATGCAACTCCCGGTCCAACCTCATCATCCGCTCAGGACTACTCCCTCCACTCCAACTACCTCCACTGCTAGTACTTCCCTCGGTATCGTCATCATCTCTCGTTTTCCGTCCAGTCCCAATGGCAACAGGAATGCCCTGCACGGCCCCACCATGCGCCCGTGCATGACCCGCAGGGATCATGCCATCGTTGACGGAGAAATTGCGGCAAATTAGGTATGCGCGCATAGCTGCGCTTTCTTGGGCTAGTGCCTCCGAAGCGCAGACGCTTTCGGTTTGGTATTCGCGATTGTTTACCCGGACTGTGCAGGTGAACCCTGTTTGGGCGGTGTAGGCTTCGTAGGAAGGTTCTTGCCAGTGGCGGCGGCGGCAGAGACCTGTTTCCAGCGGTTAGTTCCTTGTGTCTTTGGTGACTGAGCTTTGTCTGTGGACTATTGGATGTCTTATTCGTATTCAAGTTCTTTGTGGGGATATGCGGGTCATCTTGGGCAACAACAAGACCCTGCTGCGGATATATATCCTTGCAACAGGTACCGTTGAACTCAAAAGGGGAAAACATAGACAGGTTGGGAGCGAGCCATGGACCCGCTAGAACCCTTGGACTGAATTCAATGGTGCATTGACAAAGGAACACCATGCAATGCCAGATTCGACGCAGATGCAATGCGGGATGAGAAGCAGGACAGGTAGGGAAACAGGGCCACCCTGTATAGTGCAGTGTAGTACTTACTTGCCAGGTAAAGAATATAGTACATTTTCTTCTGAAGTCGACCACAAGGTCAATCGATTGAGTCCGAATTAGAGCTTGATCTCCGAGAAAGGAAAGTAGCGCGGGAACCGACGAGAAGCCCTGTCAACTTTGCAACGGAAGTGAGGCAGCTACCCTGACAGCATTGAAGGGATTGGTTGATGCTGTGAGTGAGAGCGGGAGCGGGTAGGGCTGAGACGAGGCTGTGCCAGCTGGCTGGTGCAGCTCCAAGATATGCGGATTATGATGCCCAACGCCGTTGGTATTTGCAATGATAACGGATTTGCTGGCAACTGCTGTTTCTCAAGGTGGAGGTTTCGGCTTCGGCAGCAGCGGGCGCGTTTTTTATTCCAATATTGGGTAGACCTGCTCTAAACGGCTTTTTCGGTTCTAGGGCTTGGAGTTGGGCGGGAATGCTTGGGGAGAGAGAAAGGGAAGAGAATGAGATAAAAAATATTAGAGAGACATTGGAAGATGCCACGCCACATATACATCTATACAAATACAGGTTTTCACCGTACCAAAGAAGCAGACGGAAAAAAAACGAAAATCCGTTTTGAAAGTAAAGTCAATGATGGTAGACGACTTGCTTTGCCCTATACTTACTTTCTATGGAAACGGGTGGGGCTTCCGTTGGACGTATACAGTACAAACGGACAGTTCCAGGGGAGATAGTTGCAAATGAGACCGTGTACAGTAATTTTAGGAAAGAAATTACTTACATTGCTGGGTACAGGGTACTGAGTTGCCCAGATGTTTTTGTTTCCCGTTGCTCTGCAGAAGGATCAGACACCGGCGTCTCAGTAGTCGCTGGGAAAAGCCGAAGAACAAGGGGGGAAATATTTTCCCTTGATATGTCAGTACATGGAAAAGAAACCGAGTAATAACAGGGTAAGCATTTCACTTTCGCACTCAATCCCTTAACTCAAGGACCGGGGATCCGTGACATGCTCATTCACGAAACACCAGGAATGGTTAGGCAAAGAGGCAAAAAGGCCGCAATTGCTCTAGTGGGTTACTCTAGGTGAATTTGCCATGGTAATTGACAGTGTAATTTCGGTTTATTTCTTAGAAGTGCCTGATGCGCTGGCATAGCTACTTGCCAGTCGAATCAAGCCCAATTGAGGTTCCGGGGTCCGTTGTGCCCCGCAGTAGACGAAGGGAAATTGCCGATCCAAGAAAGACAGATATTAGTCAAAGAAATAGCAAAAACACTAAGGATAAATATTATATACGTAGATGAATGATAGGGAAAGACAGTCCTCTCCCGATTCCGGACATGTAAACAGACATAATATAGAGGGGGGCAAAAATGGGCATTGGACTCGGAGCTTGCAAAAAAAATGCTGCAGAACATGGAACATGGAACTCCATGGGCCCCTTGTTCGTCAACTATTTTGAGTTTGGGAGATTTTTTGTCCGTCATCCTTGTGCCCCGCAGTAGACGCAGTAGTGAAGAAGGGAATTTGCCGCTGAGTCTTGGAGAAGCGCTGCAGTAATCCTTCGGCGCTGTGATTGGCGCCAAGGAGTCATGTTGTGCAGAACGCGCCTGGGAGGGGGCAATGGAGAAAGGATCAGACCGAAGAAATAAGAAAAAAAACCACAAAAAAAAGTAAACAAAAGTTCGAACTACAGTAAAACAATAACAGGAAGATTCCAGACTCAATGCACGCCCCCCTGGATTGAGAATAGTTTCATCAAAGTTACTCGACAGGCATCGGATGCAGTGATGAGTTGGCAAGCTGTGCGGTGGGGAGGGCGTTTGATTTTATTTCACGTAGGAGCATTGTACCTTTGCCTATCTAGGCCTCGTGCAGATTATGTTCCAGCAAACAATCGGGATTCAATACCAAGATTCTTACTACACAACTCATGCAAATTTGAAAGCGAATTCAACTGGAAATGAGCGTGATTCACTAAAGAAAACAAGTCTCCGAGTCCGAAGTTGCAATCTAGTGCATTCCGCTTTTTCTTCCCCGAAACTCCTTGCGTAAAGACTTCGGATCTGTACTCTAAACTCCTTAGGCTCCCCTATCTTTGCATCATCCGGTCTTCGGACTCTTATTCAGAGTTTCTCGGGAAAAAAAAAACTTTTGAGCCACCATACTTACACCAAACTCACTGGAATGCCGCACAAATGGCGTTCCATAGAAATCTGTCAGATGACACTGCATCATATCCACGCCCCTCCCGGCCACTAAGGCGTAATAGGTCTGGCTTCACACCAGAGCCGCATTGTATCGGCATTGGGGTACGGAATTCCAAAAAGAGGGTGAATTGGCTCAAGTCGGTCGCTCTTTTCATACACATTGCCTTCGCGGATTGGGCTCGAGCGCCAAGAGAAGGCAGATGAAAACATCTTGCTTGATGTAGGGCTCGAGTCCGTGCGATAATGGTAGTGCTGCATGGCGCTCAAGCCTGCAAGTACGTAGCAGGTGTGGTAAGAATCGGGGTGCCTTGGTGTCACGGTCAGCGAAACCATTGTTTTTGAACTTTGATGGGCAATACCTACTTTCCTGGTTTATCGCGAAGGCCGCCGTTGTTGGATTGGCAGCAGCCGAGGATATAGCGGGATAATCCTTCGCGGCTAAAAAGGTGACCCACAGTCGTGGCGGGAGGTCCATTACTTTGTGGTTTGCCATCTAAAGCAGACTGGAGAATTGGCCAGCAACCGCCAACCCAGTGGCTGTAGCATCCGTCGACTAGCTTATTAGTTCTGCCCGAGAATCCACCCTCGGGGCCGTATTGACGCGCAGATAGCCATGACACCAACATAGGCACATCCATATGTCTAGAACCATTAGTGACGTAAACAAAATCGAATGGGACAATGCATATGATCGTACCTGGGGATGATCTCTTCCGGGGGTCCCAGGAGGGCCAAGCAGGCCAACGCGCAGTAAGCATATGCTCCATGCGCTTCTACGCCTGGGCTGCCGGAGATGCCACCCTCATATGTTTGACCTTAAACCCGAAAAGCGTATTAGCATAGGAGAAGTAAGATAGATCTAGAATTCTTCTTACAGCGTGACATATATTGGGCAAGGCCATCGGTCAGGTTCTCCAAACCAGCCTTGCGGGCCTCACTATCTGCAGGTAACTCGAGAGGTAAATCGAGCAGAGAAATAATAGCCATGACGCAGTATCCACCGCTGCACGAGGTTAGAGTCCAGATCTAGCATTGGGAGCATGAGCATGAGTTTCTTACCGCACGTCCTTTTCCCCGCCTTCGCAGACGCGAAAGCCTCCATCGGCCTGCTTCAATCGGCCCAGCCATTGCCACCTGGGAACTGGTCAGACGCACGCACATAAAAAGAAGGTTCCCTGCTATTAGATTGACAACTCACATTGCTTGCCGATCAATCAATTCAAATGCATCCTCGCCCCCAACGATTGCAAGCGATAAAACGGCTGCATAGCTACCAGCCAGGTGGGATATTTGGCCATGACCGCCACCAAACCCACCGGTAGGGTTCTGTGCGGGTCGCAGGGTGTTGAATAAACTGCAAGAGCCTTTAGCGATGAATAATTTATATTTTATTTTTCCATGTCATGCCGGTGATATGCAATCTGAGCGGGAAGTCTCCTTGACCATAAAAAGGAAATACCCAAAAAGCAAAACAGTATAATTGAAGAAAGGGGCTGGAGCTGTCAAAACTCACCGTTCTCGGAATCTAGTGGGATCCTCTCCCATTAGGAACAACGATGTTAGACCCCAATATGCCATCCATGGGCGGCTGGCATCTAAGATGACAAAGCTGGCGGGATAATCTTCCAGGGAATCATAGGCAAAGGCTACATGATCATCGCGCTGGAGTGCAGGCACTCCGCATGCATTAAAGGGGCCCGATTGACTATTATGGATGCCCTTTAGGAAAGGTAGGCACTTCTCGAGCGTCGCATCCTGCAGATCAGTGGTCTCTGTCACGAGCGGGTCGCGGATGGGCGGCGGCTGCGTGAACAAGTCTGGGATCCCCGGCCGTGCTGCTTGGCTCGCCATTTTTTCGGCAGGTGTCGGTGATTTGGTCTGACGCACTAACCCCGAGCGCTTCTGGTTGGTAGATTTGGAGGATTGAGTTGGTGGGGGTTGGTTGGTGGAATTGCTGGATGGGAAGCGAACTTTGCGTCGGTGCTTCCCTGCGACGATGGGTGGCATGGACTTTAAAAAAGCTCCGGACTTGTCAAGACGAACAAAGAAAAAACAGATTGTATAGTTAATGCTGTTGCTGGGCCTAGTTCCCGCGTTTCGTTATTATTGTTGGTGAGGAGAGGATTGACGTTGCTATTGTTCTCCCCACTTTAATTTTTCCTTTTTCTCTTTGATCGCGCGGGGTTCAAACCCACAATCTGCTCTATCTACTGTCATATCCTGGATAGTCTTTCTGATCCTTGGAACTAAGTGAAGCTAACCCCTCTTTTGAAACAAAAAAGCAATACCCAAACCGAGCGTTTAGACACTCTCGTGGCCCGAGGTGCGTCATGCCAGCGTGCAGAGGCTATTGAATCCTCCGCATCTGCATGTCAGAGGCCCCCATACACCTCCACCAATAACCATGATCTGCCGTGATGTGATATATCCAATTATGCAAGCACTGGCTGCACGCGACGGTGGCTGGTGAAGGGTGCATATAATCCTCCAACATCCGCAGTGGCGGTTCCCTTTCTTTTCTTGTCCCTTGCTGGCTGCATGTGCCTCTCAGTCCCCTCCAACCTTGGACAGCCTCCGTGCGGGTTGGGCTCAAGTTGATCAAATTGACCTGTCGAGGGCGTCGGTCTCGTTCCGAAGGGGTTTTATTCCAGGATTTATGGAGATTCTATGCTCGAGATTCCTTTTTTGGGACTTTTTTCTTTTTCTTTTTCCTGTCAGATCGACATGGTCCAACGAAAATCCCTGCTCTGGCCTTCTGCATGGTCAGCCCCCACAGTGATACCCTAGCACCCATGAGGAATGGTGGCACCTAGGGAGGAACTGGGAAGATACGAATCACAGACGCCGTTTGCTGCACTCTAGCTGCTGATTGGCCTAAGCCAGGACGGACTTGACTATCATAGTATCACGATCCGATGTCAGATCTTCCGGGAGCACGGTCCTAATCCTTATTGCCACGGACTTGCCCACTAGTTTCCCTCTTTTTCCGTCTTTTCGCTCCATGACTTTTTTTCCTTCTGGCTCCACTGATCTCCCGTTCCGACTGTATTCCCGTGTCTCGCCCACTCGCCCACATCCAAGTCCGCTCAGTTCCGTGGCACCACGGGTCCTCATTATAGGAACTGGTAAACAAAGACAATCTCTATACACATGAGCCTAGAATAAGAGTAAATAAAAATACGAGTCATCACCCTATATAAGAATCTCATCGTGTCTCTCTTGTGCCCCGGATTTGAAGAGGGTAAACCCTTGTCGACTTGGAAGTCGAGACTCCATAATCTAGTGATTCAACCAACGCACAGTCCATGATCATGGGACTTCCAATCAGCAAGAAAAAAAAAGTCAACTAGTTTCAACAAAACATAAATCGGAAGCAGAGCGTGGCAGTAGGGAACCAGCCATTCTCCACTCTCCACACGATAACTCCCCTAGCGCATCTCTTGCTCACCGCTGCTTTGTCCCCCCCACCGCCTCTGCTTCTTCGACTTTCCCCCCCCAAAATGGCTGTGTCACTCTCACTCTGAAGAAGGCCCTTTTCATCCAGGCTGGTCCTTTTTCTCGCCTTCTTTTCCTTTTCCACATCTTGAACTTTCGGCATCAGCACCATGTCGAATGTCGATCTATCAAATGACGGCCTCATCGGCGTCGATTACGATTCCAGAGGTTATCTACAGCAAACATGGCCCGTGGCGGTCGACCAACATCCCCCACGGTCAGACGAAACCCATGATTTATCGCCGCTCCAAACCAGCGGTCACCCTCTGGAACAGTCGGTGGCCCAAGATCCCAATCTAATGGTCGACTGGCACTACCACCAACATTTGCAACAGACCCCTCATCATCATCATTTATCGTATTCGCCCGAGGACCCATCATCCGCCCCCCAATTTACCGCTGCGAGCTATGGAATGGCTATTCAGTCGTCCCCGGTGGATCTGATGTCCGGCCCTCAGGGCCAGATGAGTGCTGGTCTGCTCGATGGTCCTTATCTGCCGTTATCGGCCCCCGTCGACATGGTGCCATTCACCTATCACGACTTCCAGCACGACCTAATGGGTTTCCCCAACGGACTTCCGGAAGTTTCATACGCCCCGCACCCAGTGTTGGAGAGTAGCTCCCCCACCGACACCTACCTCGAGGTCCGTTCCCTCTCGAGTAGCGACAATGGATGGAGCACAGTGGATCACCGTCGCTCGCTCGATTTCGGCTTCCCCGAGCAGGGTGTCTTTGTCAACCCCACCCAGACGCTTCACGACCGCAGTCTTTCCGAGTCCTCATATTCAACCTCCTACGGCAGCTTTGTTGATATCGCTCACCCGATTAGTTCACCTGGATCCGAAGGCATGGATCTGCCGTACAACCACAATGTTGCTCTGAGCTTCGCTGGAACTTCCCCGCCAAGTAATGCTCTCGTGCGCCACGAGCACTCTTCTCAAGGCTCTCGCTCGCCCTCTGCTGTGAGCCCTAGCGCTATGGTCCGCCCAGTCCCTGTGCCCATCAAGAAGTCTACCTCGCCCACTCGCTCTTCTGGTTCTCATACATCAGCTTCTCCCCCAAGTCGGAAACCCTCAAGAAAGAGTCCCATCGCAGCCAAGACATCCGAGACCAAGGTTCGCAAGCAATCTCAAACCGGCAAGCCCGAGACCGAGAAGCGTGTTGGCAAGCGGAAGGGCCCTCTTAAGCCGGATCAGCGTAAGCAGGCGAGCGAAATACGTAAGTTGCGTGCCTGCTTGCGCTGCAAGTTCCTGAAGAAGACCTGTGATAAGGGTGAGCCCTGTGCTGGTTGCCAGCCATCGCATGCGCGATTATGGCAGGTTCCTTGCACTCGCATTGATATCAAGGAGATTGGCTATTTCATGAAGGACTGGAAGGCAGATTACGAGCGTCACATCTCTATGGGATTCTCCGTCGGCAACATTAAAGGCTTCTCAGACCAGGAGCGCACCCTGTTCATCACACACGGTTATGGTCAGATACTGCCAATCAAGGCTCGCGAGGTCTACGTCCGCGACGAGCAGTGCTTCACCATTGATTGGGTCGAGTCAATGCACCGCGAGCCTACACAATATGAAGTCGAGACTGCTAAACTCTCTGCTGGCATGGAGGGTATCTCGCACGCTACATTGTCTGACTACCTGGACCGCCATATTGACGGCAATGGCACCTTTGAGAAGTTCGTCGACGATTACTTCGAGGGCACTCCTTTCTTGACTCAGATGCTCAAGACCGCCTTCCGCTACTACTACCGCACTAAGTTGCCGGTCATCCGGAAGGCATTGAAGCTAATCATTGCTTACAACCTGACTCTTCACGTCACCATGGTGGAGGGTCTCGGTGACGAGGATGGCTTCCTGGGTCGCATTTCGGAGGCGTCCTCCAAGTTCCGAGGCAAGACTATGGCTCCTGTCATGATCAACTTCCAGATTAAGTGTGCCATGGCCAGCATGTGGCGTGAACTCCAGAAGGATGTTCTCGAGGAGCTGTCCGCGCTCTACTCAAGTGTGTACAGTGGTGAGAAGTTGAAGAACTGGCCCACTATTTTCATCCTGGCTTCCATTCTCTTGGCTGTCTGGGAGGAGATGCAATTCGATCAACATTACCGCACACCGGATCAGGCTGCCGTCGATAAGTTCTGCACCGACATGGAGACCACTCCTGTTGGTGTCATTGTCGGACTGTTCCAGGCAATTTCGCAGAAGTTGCCTCCCTTCACCGAGTGGGACTCACAAAAGCACCACCAACTTCTTTACTCCAACCCTGATGTGTGCAATACTATGACTGAGGTCCGCCAACATGTCGAACAGCACGGTAAGCATAATTTCGATATTGTTTCTACTGTTCCCAAGCTAATACATTCTTCAGAGAACTACCTGCGTGGTCGCTCCGGCTCCAAATTCAACCGTGACGACTTCGACTGTCTGTCCAACAAATTTGTTTCCCGTCTTTGTATTCGCGCGAACTGAATGACCCGATGCGCATGCGCATGATGATGATGTCTTTACACGACCTGTTTTCAACAGCAAGTTCCACTCCAGCGATTTGTTTCTTTACTGCGCCAAGATGACCTGGATGATCATTATGCGATATACGTCGTAACGATGCGTGAGCGTATCCCCCCACTCTTTTATCATACACCTCTGTACCTGACTCCTAGTGAGAAGGACATGTGGTTGCATTTTTTTTTTTCGGTTCCTGGGAACCGTCTTTCTTTATTTCCTTTTCCTGTCGAAGATGTCTCTTTCTGAGCCTCGTTCTGTGTTTTTACTCTTGTTTTTTTTTGTGGTATAACCTTTCTCGCATAGCTTTCAGCGATGAACGAGGATCACGAACTTTATGAACTGTGTACGGCCGAGTGTGTTATTCTCGTTTTACTTATTGCCTTTATTTTTTATTTTTTTTTATTGTTTACTCACTTCCCACTTGGCAACAAGTACTTGGTCTATTCTTCGGATGAACCTAAGCAAAGCTTGGACTGTGTGCAGTCAAAGTTTTCGCATTCTTGTGTCGGGATTGTTGATTTGTTTTTGGATCCGGAGTCGCCGAGGAAAACGGCGTCTGACAAGGGTGGATTTCTCCGCCCTTGAGCAAATCGCGGAATCTTGTCTATATATCCTTCATTAGCGATACCAATTTTCTTTCTAAGGAAACCATTGAACAATTATTCCGATTGACTTTTTTTTTTTGAATCAATAGTCGTGTATAGTATAGAATAACGTTTTTGTTATGTGGAGTTGTCGATCATTTGCCTTGCCGGATGCATCACCTGACTGGCTAAGTATAGCAAAATAAGGGGGGCGCAGTCTCCATAGTAAACCCGTATCTGGGTACCTCGATAGCCGCTAGACTCCTGAGGTTCCACCCCCTCTTTTCGCGATAAGGCCTCACACGTCATCGTTTTCTTTACCTTCTGGGTTACCTCCTGGGACACGGCATGGTTTCTTCGGCTTGAAACTCTATACATACTCCGAAGAAGATTTAATTTAGCGGAAAGAAAATTCTAATCTTATGGGAAAACCCGGGATCAAGATTTTCCCGTTTTACTACTGGTGGCGTCAATGACCTGTTCCTAACTTTCTTGACTCATCCGGCACCCGGCATCCAGGCTTTCTAGTGCTTTCCCCATTTGCTATCGCGTCACTCGCTTTCTTAGTCAGACAACTCGCCCCTCTCCTCTTCGAAGTACTTAACCCCCTCTCTTCTCCTCACTTTCTCTCTCCTCTCACACACCACACCCCCTTTTTCCTCATCGCCTACGTTCCAACTTAACACTGTTATCATCTTTTATCACCTCATATCACCTCAATAATCGTCGCCACCATGCAGATCTTCGTTAAGACTCGTGAGTTCATCTCCCCATCTCCTTTTCCTTATCTTGGTGCCTAGATATCGCGACGCGCCCCGATCATTGCCCTTGCATTTTACTGACTTTCCCAGTGACCGGCAAGACTATCACCCTTGAGGTTGAGTCCTCCGACACCATCGACAACGTTAAGTCCAAGATCCAGGACAAGGAGGGCATCCCCCCCCGACCAGCAGCGTCTCATCTTCGCTGGTAAGCAGCTTGAGGATGGCCGCACCCTCTCGGACTACAACATCCAGAAGGAGTCCACCCTCCACTTGGTCCTGCGTCTCCGTGGTGGTATGCAGATCTTCGTCAAGACCCTGACTGGCAAGACCATCACTCTTGAGGTTGAGTCCTCCGACACCATCGATAATGTCAAGTCCAAGATTCAGGACAAGGAGGGCATCCCTCCCGACCAGCAGCGCCTGATCTTTGCTGGCAAGCAGCTCGAGGATGGCCGTACCCTCTCCGACTACAACATCCAAAAGGAATCCACTCTCCACCTGGTGCTCCGTCTCCGTGGTGGTATGCAGATTTTCGTTAAGACTCTTACTGGAAAGACTATCACACTGGAGGTAGAGTCCTCCGACACTATCGACAATGTTAAGTCCAAGATTCAAGATAAGGAGGGCATTCCCCCAGACCAGCAGCGTCTTATCTTCGCCGGCAAGCAACTTGAGGACGGCCGCACACTTTCCGATTACAACATTCAGAAGGAATCTACCCTACACTTGGTTCTGCGTCTCCGTGGTGGTATGCAGATTTTCGTCAAGACCCTCACCGGCAAGACTATTACCCTCGAAGTGGAGTCTTCTGATACCATCGATAACGTGAAGAGCAAGATCCAAGACAAGGAGGGCATTCCCCCAGACCAGCAGCGTCTCATCTTCGCTGGTAAGCAGCTGGAGGATGGTCGCACTCTGTCCGACTACAACATCCAGAAGGAGTCCACTCTCCACTTGGTGCTCCGTCTTCGTGGTGGCCAGTAAACCACGGTTTGCTTTTTTATGATTTCGACTACGATGGGTCCTACGTGACCAACATGGCGTTCGGTCGGGCTTTGAAGCTGAGGCTTCTTTTCCTTTTTTCTTTTCAACACAACACGGATTAAACGGGCTTTCTTTTACTTCGCCTTACCTGGCGTCTCAATACTCTATTACCCAATGAATTCGCACTGGCTATATTAGCCAGTTTTTTCTTACCCAATTTGATTCCACTAGAAATGTAGGCGTTCGTATTCCCTGGTTGCCACTTCGCCATTCCAGTAGTTTCGCGAAACTTGTTCTCGTGACGCCACCCGTGACTCCTTGTGGCTGGACTCCAACTCCACTCCGATTCGCCTCCGCACCCAGACACTATCACGTGGCATTATCTTATCTGCTTTTCTTATCGTTATCAACATATCCCGTAGATTGTGAGTTTAGTGAAGGAGTCCTAAGAAGCTATAGCATACGGCGTCGCTAGGATATCTTCTATTTTCAGCCTCATAGCACGAATGAATACCATTCTACCCTAGTGACGAAAACACCCAAACAAATTTACGATAGTAGTCCATCATATCTAATTTCAAGATGAGCAATCACTTTTTTTCCATGCTTGCAGCCGAGTGGCTGATGACCAGCCTTCCGACAGGGATCATGTTAAAAAGGTAAAAAAAAAAAAAAAAAAAAGAAAAAGAGGGGTGGGGGAATGCTAAAAATTCCCTGAGCTGAAGCGCCGATTCCACCAGTGTAGATAATCACACTCTTGAGATCCTCCCTAGGGCATGTCTCTGGTACCTGCAAGCTTCTAGGCTATGCAAACACCTTGAAAATCAGAGTGAGAGCGACTTCGACTTTGGGCAGACAGCATGCCCTCACCTCGTTTGCAAGGATATGCCAGTAACGAAAACAACACGCAGGGAGGTGCCGTGCTCGGTGGGAACATCAAAGCAACGCGCGATGTCAATATCAGTGGGTCTACACCTTATGAGACAACTCTTGCTTACTGACAACAACATCCTTGAAATGAATAGCTCATATCACAACGCTTCAGCCACTGGCCCGGTCGCTTCATAGATCCCTCTTCATCGCTCCCGACATTTTTAAGCAGATTCAACGGGAGCTTAGCGACTTGATCGTTATTCTTGACACAACGGAGCATAATTCCACGGAGTTCCAGTCGACTAGACCCCACTTTATAATCCTTCAAACCAATCTACAAGAGTGTCGCGATGCCCTCCTGGAGTTGCAGAGAATGAAGGACCATTTCGATAGCGTTGGGTCGGCTACGCAGGTAACTTGGGAAAGAATGGGCTGGCATGAGAACGAACTGGCAGCTATCAGGAGTCGAATTGAGTCCCACGTCCGCGCCTTGAACCAATTAAATACAGCTGTAATGATGTACGGTCTACCCTCAGTCCCCTCTGGTTTCTTGCTTTTCCCGGTGGAGCTAACGTAATATGACTGCAGCTCTTCACACACCAACACCAAGCGCATGCTCGAAGCTTTTATTGATGAGATCCGTAACGGTTCTCGAGATAAATCCATGATATCATGTGACTCTCTCCACCAAGATGAGAGGGACAGTTGGAGGATGGTACGAAAGGAGCTACAGAGCCTCGGCATTACCCCCGAGATCTTCTTGCAGCATCAAGTCATGATCATCTCGACGCTAAAATCAGCTTTGGGCGATGATTCACCTGAGGATGTCTCACACTTTACTGCGGAAACAGACATAGAATTGGATGATATTGGGCTATGCAGTAGTGCAAAGACGTTGCCAGTTTCTCCCCGTTCTATCCTGATGTATGACTATTGGAGGACCTGGGTCCAATTGAATGCGCGGGACGAGGAACTTGGTACCATGGACATTTGAGCACAGCACCTTTCTGTGATCTATCTCTTCAGTCTTTGGCAGAACGAGGATTACTGGTGCCCAGAGGTACCTGGGCATTCTGATCATATAACCTTGGAACCGGACAGTCACGAAACTTGATTCAAGGTGAATCATTAGTTCACAACATATCTTCTTGTAGATAGTGAGCATACGTCCAGCCCTGGAGGCCCAGGTGCACCTTATTTTATCTCACTTTAGCAGGAAGATGTGGACGGCATCGATAGGTACTATACTACAAAGGTGGCCCTGCAATTCAATTTACCAATTTGCCACTCACAAAATACCTAGATTACTCTATGAAATATTGGCAGTGGAAGAAACATATTCGGGCGTTCAATTGTACGACTAATCAGAGAGTTGGTACAGAACGACCGATATTGGTCTACAAGTGAACAAAATCAAATGCCCAACCTTGGAATTTACATCACTTTTTCCAGAATATATGAGGAAGGTGTGGCACTGCAGATAGCAACTTTAACGCGTCTTGGAAATTGATTGTCATGGAAGTTCTGGCGGGGATGGGGAGCAGTGCCACTAGTCAAACCAAATGCAAAATGGTACCCCGCATCAAGCATAGTGGGACCATCGTATATCACCGCTCCTGAAAAACACCGAGAATTTTGCGACGAAGCCCCCGTTTTTTAGAAGTCGGCTTGTTGGTTGGTGTTCTCCAATTGCCTCATTGTGATTGCATTGATCACCGCTCTTTCGTTTCCATGTCGCTGGCCTAGTATTAATGGGCCAAGCTACCGCCTGGGCCGTGTCTATGCTTGAAAGGCATGGTTACTCTATACCCTTCTGGGTTAGATTTGAGCCTCTTCGACCTACTGCATCGGGTCTTGGTCTCAGTGATTAGCGATTGCCAGGGACGCTCAACGAACCTGTCATCGTCCGTGTTGCAAACATGACATTCAAGGGTCTGAAAAGTAGGCACGGGCGATTATCGGGCATCTGACCAATCAGAAGCTCAGGAACTCAGCTTCTTCCATGGAAACAACTGAAGCTCCACAACCATGGACAACTGTTTCCGAAGAGCAAACTCCACAAATTGGCACAAACATTGCAAATGTATGACGATCATTTCTGTATGGCTTGGATCTCCATGTTCTCAACCCCCGCGGATGCGTCCAAGAATGCTACGCCGAGGCCGATCCCGCCAGCCCCCGGGAATTCAACGGAGTTTTACTGTGTAACCAGTGCGGATAGACACCGGTCAATTTCAAGCGCGGGGAAACTCTCACGCTATGATGCCCAGCTAGTTACCAGGACCCATAGCAAGCTATAAGAAGTGTCATTCCTAGCAGTGCTGTGCAAACCACTTCGAGCGGTGCGACCAAAAGCGGTTTCTGACAACAAACTTGGCACGGAATCCTCCAGGAGCCATGGTTCGATCTACTGGCCTTCTAGCTGGTGCTTGTCTATTGCAAGGTGTCTATGGAGCCAGCCTGACACATGCGCCGAGTACCACTGCCAGCACGGCATACTCTCAGTTTACCGTCCCTGCTGCAGCTGACGTAGGGGCTAATCTGATTGCCAACATCGATGACCCTGAGGCTATCGATGCGCAGGCTGCTTGTCCTGGCTATAAAGCAACCGATGTTCATCATGATGCCAGTGGGCTCACGGCTACCTTGAAGCTGGCTGGTGACCCATGCAATGCATATGGAACTGACGTGGACTCGTTGGATCTTTCGATCAAGTACCTTGCGACAGATCGGCTAAGCGTTGAGATCACGCCGACGTATATGGATTCTTCGAACTCGTCATGGTTCCTGCTTCCCGAGGACCTTGTGCCTCGGGCCAAGGCCGACAAACACGCATCTAAAGCACAGAGTGACTTCGAGATCTCATGGACTAATAATCCGTCTTTCGGCTTCAAAGTGATTCGCAAGTCCAATAAGGATGTCATCTTCGATACTACCGGCACTGTGTTAGTTTTTGAGAACCAGTTCATTGAGTTTGTTACTGCTCTACCTAAGGACTACAATCTTTACGGAATTGGCGAGCATATCCAGCAATTGCGTCTTCTGCAGAACAAGACGCTCACCCTTTACGCATCGGACAGTGCGGACCCAATCGATGAGTTAGTTTCCCGAATTCCTGGTTCACATAACGAAAGCTGATCTTATGCGCTCATAGCAACATCTATGGATCTCATCCATTTTACCTTGACACTCGCTACTTCGAGGTCGATGGAAAGGGTCGTCACACTCTGGTTTCAAGTGACCACGCCGATCATTCCAAAGATTATGTTTCCTATTCGCACGGTGTCTTCATGAGAAATGCACACGGCCAGGAAGTCCTTACCCGCCCTCAAAGCCTTGTTTGGCGTGCTCTCGGCGGCAGCATCGACTTGACTTTCTACTCTGGACCGACTCAAGTCGATGTCACGAGAGATTACCAGATCAGTACCATTGGTCTTCCGGCAATGCAGCAGTACTTCTCATTTGGCTTCCATCAGTGTCGCTGGGGATACCAGAACTGGTCCGTAATGGATTCAGTCTTGTCTGCCTTTGAGAAATTCGAAATCCCTGTAGAGACTCTCTGGTAAGACAGCTCAAACCTGCTCGCCCTCTTCCCCCCAACAAAAAAGCCAATCTAATACTGTCACAGGAATGATATTGATTACATGAAGTCTTACCGCGATTTCGACAACGACCCAGACCGCTTTGGATATCCCGAGGGCGAAAAGTTTCTGCAGAAGCTTCACGATGGTGGTCGCCACTATGTCCCCATCGTCGATTCGGCTCTTTACATCCCGAATCCTAACAATGCATCCGACGCGTAAGTTCACCTCCATCAACCCAAAGACGAGGGCTAACATTCACAGCTACGAACCGTATACCCGTGGAGCTAAGGATGGCGTCTTCATGAATAACCCTGATGGAAGCACCTATATCGGTGCTGTCTGGCCTGGGTACACAGTTTTCCCTGATTGGCACAATCCCAAGGCCCGTACCTTCTGGGCAAATGAGCTCGTTACCTGGCACAAGAAGATTTCTTTCGACGGAATCTGGATCGATATGAGCGAGGTGTCATCTTTCTGTGTCGGAAGCTGTGGAAGCCACAACCTCAGCTTGAACCCTGTTCACCCTTCGTTCTCACTTCCCGGAGAAGCGGGGAATATTGTTTACGACTATCCCGAGTGGTTCAATGTCACAAATGCGACCGAGGCAGCATCTGCATCAGCAGGATCATCGAGCCAAGCTGCAGCTGCAAGCACCGCTGGATCTGCGTCAACCACGACGGTGTCTTATCTCCGAACTTCTCCTACTCCAGGCCAGCGCGACATCAACTACCCTCCTTACGTTATCAACCACGATCAGACTGGTCACGACCTGGCTGTTCACGCTGTGTCGCCTAATGCCACGCATATTGATGGCGTACAGGAATACGACGTGCACAACCTTTGGGGCTACCAAATCCTAAATGCCACTTATCATGGTCTGCGCGCGGTTGACTCGGTGAAGCGCCCATTCATCATCGGTCGCTCAACTTTCGCAGGAGCAGGCAAATGGGCAGGCCACTGGGGTGGCGACAACTACTCCAAGTGGGCATACATGTTCTTTTCGATCCCGCAGGCGCTATCATTTTCGCTCTTTGGAATCCCCATGTTTGGCGTTGATACCTGTGGTTTCAATGGGAACAGTGATGAGGAGCTTTGCAACCGATGGATGCAGCTTTCGGCGTTCTTCCCCTTCTACCGGAACCACAATGAGCTCTCAGCTATCAGCCAGGAGCCCTACCAATGGGCCTCCGTCATTGATGCTTCCAAGTCGGCTATGAAGATTCGTTATGCCATTCTTCCCTATTTCTACACACTCTTCCACCTCGCTCATACCACTGGTTCGACCGTCATGCGGGCCCTACCTTGGGAGTTCCCCAATGATCCCTCGCTGGCTAATGTCAATACCCAGTTCCTGCTCGGTCCCTCCATTATGGTCATCCCCGTTCTAGAGCCCCAGGTCGACTACGTCCGTGGAGTTTTCCCCGGTGTGAAGGAGGGCGAGATCTGGTACGACTGGTACAACCAGACTGCAGTCAACGCTCAGCCAGGAGTCAATACCACTATCTCCGCTCCATTGGGTCACATTCCCGTGTACCTTCGCGGCGGCTACGTCATCCCCATGCAGGAACCGGCATTGACTACTCGCGACGCTCGCAACTCTCCATGGTCCCTTATGGTTTCTCTCGATGGAGCCCAATCTGCTACAGGCCAGCTATACCTCGATGACGGAGAAAGCGTAGCGCCTAATGCCACACGCACTGTGAAGTTCACAGCTAACCAATCGAGTATCTCTGCTATCTCAAGAGGAAGCTTCCAAGACACAAACAAGCTTGCCAACATCACAATTTTGGGCTTGAAGCTTCCTCACGCGGACGCGAGTAAGGGTCTGAAATCTTTGACGTTGAATGGCAAGCCGCTTCCATCGACAGTTGCCAGCTACAATACTGATTTGCATATTCTGTCTATCACTGGCCTGCAAGACTGGCTTAAGGGTGGAGCTTGGGAACAGAACTGGGTGTTAAAATGGTAGTTTGCGAACTAGTATGGATTATGATATGGTCTAATTTACCATCTTGTGATATCAGGATGATGCATGGAGAAATGTGGTTTTGGTGGACCTTAATGGGCTTACGTGAGAAAGTACTGCAAATTTAGGATTTCGACAGTAAAAGAATGTAGGAGAAATTCATTGACCTAAATTTTCCTTTAATAAATATCCATGATTCTAAGTAGAATACGAGAAACGATCCCACAACGAAGGTAGGTCAAGCCCGAGTTTATTGATACGCCTAGGACGTCGACGAAACCTTGTCGTTCGACATCGGGACAACCGCCCCAATCAAACCATCAACATTCAGCCCCCATTGCAACCCCATGCACGACCCTGAAATTTAAGGATTAGCGGCTTCTCCAATACCGATCCTTCAGTCGCTATCTGACTGTCGATCTTGCAATCCGTTCCTGGCGGCCATCGGCGACCCCGCCGGTGACCCGCTAAGATCCCTGCATAATTAATTCCGAATTTGAGCGAATTGTATCACTTTGTCTCCCTACTCTAGATGGAGGAGCACATGTCACTGGAATTTGCTTTTGCGCGACATGTAACTGGTGATTGGTGGTTGTGTTTTGAAGGTTGGTTACCCCTTTCTTGTTAGCCATCCATGTCTTCCATATTGCCAGCCCAGTCCAATCAACATTTACTGTGTGCTTGACGTGAATCCAACCACAATAAACACATGCCTGATAGATAATTACGATCTGTTTTGTTATTCACGCTCTGATCTCTGGGTCGCACTTCCTTTGTTCATTGGTCGATCCACTGGTTCTTATTCCCGATGGATCTGAATTGGCTCCATCCAGCTTGTTTCAAATTGACATAACGAAACAGACTCGATATAAAAATATCCCTGAATCGCTACCGTCAATATTCTCTCTTCATACATGCCAGCAGATTCAGTATGTCTATCTGGCGCTTCTTTGGGCTTGCGAGCTTAGTTGGCTCAGCTATTGCAGCGACTCCGGCACAATGGCGCACTCGATCCATCTATTTCATGCTCACTGATCGGTTTGCTTTGACTGACAACTCTACGACTGCTACTTGCGATACAGACAATGGCGTATGTTCTTTCTAGAACTTGTCAAAAGGCGAAAACTTACAGATTTCTAGATTTATTGTGGTGGATCTTGGCAGGGTATTATCAACCAGGTAATAGGCGGTTCAATTTGCATGGTCATTTCATTGAGCTAATAATATTTGAAGCTGGATTATATCCAAGGAATGGGGTTTACTGCCATCTGGATCACACCTGTCACTGAGCAGCTGTCGCAGCATACGGCTGATGGAGAGGCATACCACGGGTACTGGCAGCAGGATATGTGAGTAGACTGAATCACTTTGCGGGACAGTGTCGCTAACAGGTTCAAGCTATTCCGTCAACTCAAATTACGGCACGGCAGATGATCTCAAATCTTTGGCTTCGGCCCTCCATGATCGCGACATGTACCTGATGGTCGATGTCGTGACCAACCACATGGTTAGTTCTCCTGATTATATCTTGAGAATGGCTTGCTAATAGTGGGTGGGATCAGGGCTATGCTGGAGCTGGGGATACAGTGGACTACAGTGTCTTCAATCCATTCAACTCCGAGGATTATTTCCACTCTTACTGCGAGATCACCGACTACAGCAACTTGACTATGGTGGAAAAATGCTGGGAAGGGGATACTATTGTTTCTTTACCTGACCTCAACACCGAGTCTACCACTGTGCAAAATATCTGGAATGACTGGATCACGGACCTTGTTTCCAATTATTCCAGTAAGATCCAGTCACCCGCAATGGAAATAGCCACTAACTTTTATCAAAGTCGACGGCCTGCGCATCGACTCCGTTATGGAAGTTCAAAAAGACTTCTGGGCTGGCTTCGAAGCTGCTGCCGGAGTGTATTGTGTTGGCGAGGTAGACAACGGTGATCCAACATTGGTCTGCCCATACCAAGAAGTCATGGACGGCGTTCTCGACTATCCAATGTATGCAACTACTTTTCAAGCTGGAGCAAACACTAATGACGAGCAGGTATTACCCCCTCCTCCGAGCTTTTGAGTCCACCAGTGGAAGCATCAGTGGTCTCTACGACATGATCAACACAGTCAAATCCGACTGTTCGGACTCAACCCTCCTAGGAACATTTATCGAAAATCATGATAATCCCCGCTTTGCCTCATATACCGAAGATATGTCCCTAGCCAAGAACGTGGCCACTTTCACAATCATGTCAGATGGTATCCCGATCATCTATGCCGGGCAAGAACAGCACTATAATGGCGGCAGCGATCCCTACAACCGCGAAGCTACTTGGTTATCGGGATACAATACCGATAGCGAGTTGTACAAGCTCATCGCGCAAGCAAATGCTATCAGGAATAAGGCGATTTACCAGGCTGAGGATTATATTACTTACAAGGTCAGTAGCCTTCCTCTCTTTTTTGATTTGCCCACTAAGATGGTCCTCTTAGAACTACCCCATCTATCAAGATGATACTACCTTGGCTATGCGGAAGGGCTTCAACGGCACGCAGACTATTACTATTCTCTCCAATCTCGGTGAAAGTGGAAGTGAATACACACTCACGCTGCCGGGTACGGGCTTTGTGGCCGGCTTAGCTGTCACCGAGATCTTCACTTGTTCTAGTATTACTGTTGACAACAGTGGTGATGTCGCTGTCCCTATGAGTAGTGGTGAGCCGCGAATTCTATATCCTACTTCAGAGCTGAGTGGGTCCACTCTTTGTTCATAGGTATGGACTTGCTATTGTCGGGACTTTCGATTGGAGATTGGTGTTATAGCTTAAGTCTTACAAATAGAATTTTCTGATCTCAATCATCAGGCCTGTCCAAAAATATGCTGTAGGAAAGCGACAGGTGACTCGTTGGGCAGTATCGCTGGTTCTTGGCAGTTCGGCCAAACCGCACATTGATGTGCCGAGCACGGCTTCGTTCCGCACTGGGATTAGTGAGATTAGTCAATCCCTGCAACAATAATTAAATTAAGTTAACTATTATGCTTAAGCAAACATGTAAGAACCTTATGATTATAGATCTGAAAGCCATTACAAGGGGTTGCCCACAAACCGACATTTCGGCAGTTTCCCTCCACTTAAATCTGTCGCCGTCGGTGACCCTAGGCTGGCCGCGTACCCATGTACCGAGTTGACTGACCAATCATGTCTATTATAAAAAAATTTTAGCCAAGGGCATGCATTGGGGTGTTTCAAAATTCCATTGGGAGTAATTGTTTATGCAGCTCTAGTGAGTGCCCACTGCTAGATTGGTAAGTTGATTATAAACCTTCCGGAAAGCCCCCGCACTCCCTCGACATAACAACACATCGGACACAGAATGCTGTTCTATAAAGGGATCAACTTTCCGCCATCACAGCTATGACAAGATAACATTGTGAGTTTTATTACTCGGCTTCTTGCATCTTGTAAGTATTACAGTCTATTTCGTGCGGGGTTTATTCCATCCTGTTGTGGCTGTATTGTGACTGAGCATTGATTTTCTGGGCAAAGTGATCAACATCATGTCTCTCCAATTGTACGGATTTCCAGGCTCTACCTGTACCAATCGTGTACGCACGATTCTTGAGGAGAAAGGCGTTGAGATTGAGTTCATTCCTGTCAACTTGGCCCAAGGCGAACATAAGAGTGAATCGTATCTCAACGATTTTCAACCATTCGGGAAGGTGCCTGTTTTCCGGGATGTCGAGACTGGCGTTCAAATCTTTGGTAAGTCTGATTTGAGGCAGACGAACCTGCAATGCTAACTATCTATCAGAAAGCAGGGCCATTGGGCAGTACATCGCCACTAAGTACCAGGGCAAGGGAACTGTGTTGGCACCTTCCGAGACTGACTTGAAAGCATATGCCCTTTATCAGCAGGTATGTTTTCGTTTTTGACAGACCTCTGCTTAGTATTCGCAACGTTCGCTGACACTTGACGTGAAAGGCGCTCTCTATCGAACAGTCCTACTTTGACCCTCTCGTTTCTCAAATTGCATACGAGAAGGTCTTCAAGGCTAGAAAGGGCCATGGACCTACTGACGAAGCCAGAGTCAAGAATCTTTTGGATCAGCTTGACTTGGTTCTGCAGGGATATGAGCGGATTTTGTCTAAGCAGAAGTACCTCGGTGGTGAGAGTTTGACTCTGGCAGATTTGTACCACCTTCCTTACGGAGCCTTTATTGAGCAGTTTGGATTTGCAGAGCTGGTCGACAAGTATCCCGCCTTCAAGAAATGGTGGGAGGGTTTGAAGAGCCGTGACAGCTGGAAGAAGCTGAACCAGTAATTTGGGTTCTGCATATGAAGTCTTTTTTCTTACGCTTGGTGAGACTTTTGTCAAGATAAATACTAAAAAGATTTCACATATGTATCAATTTAAGAACTATTAACAAATTCTATGGCATTTCAATAACCATACTGTCAACCTGCTGGTTGACACCTCCATATTGATGCATTTTTGTCCATATTAGGACTAGTACCTTACTACCCTACGCTCTCGGACTACACTCTCGGACTACACTCTCGGACCACACTCTGCGAATGCTCTCCGAACACTCTACGAATAATTCACGGACGAATAATATGTGAAATCTCCATGAATACTCTACTTCGGAACGAACACTGTGTGAGCTCTCCGTAAAACGGGCCAAGGAATGGAAGTAACCACCCATGTATGTCGAACGTGATACGCTCAAATACTTTGCTGACAACAATGCCAAGCCAAGAAGTCGTGATCCTGATGGATGCTTCTCACTGGATGGAAGAGATCCCAGCTCCATCACAGATGTGACAACAATCGTACGAGTTGCACGTTGACCATGAAGGGTGGCGGAGATGTACTGGCTAGCGAAGCATTAATGCTCGATATCATTGCTTCCAGGACCAGCAGTCGAGGTTCTTCGCTTACCTTGGTGTTATCCCCACGCTATCACGAGGAGGAAGAGCAGCTTGGCCCTATTCTACGTGATTGACTAATGCCGCATTGGTCCGAGGTGGTTTACTTGCCTCACCTTTCAACGGAATACTTTCGGAATATTATGTTGATCATCTAGTGGTGCTTTGACTGATTTTAGCCAACAGCAGAGGTATATCCCCGTCGGGCAATTTACGTTATCTATCTTGAGATAGTAATACGAATCCTACGCTAAGCCAACACGGGTGTTAGGGGGGCGACTTGAGGGGGGCTTGACGTTAGATTCGTTCCCCAACGACGGTTCTCCAACGTTGGACGTATGTGTAAGTTTGTAATGATATATCCAATATCCGCTGATACACGATATCCGGGGATAAACGACTGTAGCCCATCCTGTGAGGGCGTGCTATCGTAGACGTAGAACATGGACCAAGAAACACATCAATTGATGACACCAAGAAAAAAGAGTCTTTTTTTTCCACCAGAAAATCATTAAGTCTCATGCAACAAGATTCAGCATGAAAAATGCTTCCCCCATCCAAAATAGATATTTACTAAGAATCCCATAATAACTTAACATCGCACAATATCCAACATGAAGCCGTAACACCAGTAACAAGAAAATAATACTCAATAATCATGAAGAGCCCTCGCCACCAGGCCCATAGGCATAGCTCCACCCATAACGGGGGCAGAATGCTGCTGGAACAGTGTCGGCCCCGAGAAAGACCCCTGGCTCGGCCCATATGCCGGCATCATCTGATCAAAAACCCCATACCCATCAACAACAGGTTCCATACCACCCGCAGCCGGCATAAGCTGAGTCAGATCCAAGCTCTCTGTGCGCGGGAACATAGCGCTCTTCAGAGCAGTCGGCGAAGATTGATCAGCTGTCGCAGCTTCAGAATATCGGCGCTGCACTTCGCCGACTATGAACGCGATCCGGTAGGAGAGGTGATCACTGCTTGGAGCGAGATGGAGGAGGAATGCGCGGACTTGGTCGATTAGCGGATCAGAGGGGTTATAGTCGCATAGTGTTAGAGCGGCATAGCCAAGGATGTAATAGACGTGGTCTATTAGACCCGGTGCGGCGGAGAAGCGGGTTTGCATTGAGCGGGAAATTATTAGGCGGGCGTTGTTGCAGATTTCGGTCACCAGGCGGTCGGAGTCTTGAATTCGGGTTGCTGTTCTGTGGAGGAGGAGTTGGCAGAACCAGATGCTTAGTTCGAGCGTTGATTGGCCTTCGCTTGCTGATGATTGTTAGTGGCTTGATTGGAGGGGAGTATTGGGTAGATAAGGTGGACATACAGAGGAGGTGGGCCCATTCCATTTTCCAGCGTTCGAGCTCTTCGTATTCGACTTCGGCAAATTGGAGGCGTTGGGGGCTATTTTGGAGCTTTAGGGAGATTCGATATAAGGAGATCTCGGCGACAATGCGTCCGTCTTCGGGGGTGGCTCTGGGGTGGTCTAGGATGCGAGAGCAGTGGTCGAAATATTGGGCTTGCACGTTGACGGTACGTCCGTATCCAAGTGCAGAACTGATGTCGGGTTAGCGAGTGATCATGTCAAGGGAATAAAAGAGCCTACTGTAAATGAGTAAGACAAAATGTGTTCCACAAACGCATTTGAGGAAGCATCTCGTTGGGTAGCACACCCTTGGCGGGTGGGCTGTGTAGAAAGGTGAAGGAGGTCAAGGCATGGTTAATTGAGATCCCGCTCAACAACCAGGCATCCATGAACCCTTCTTTGTGACCAGAGGTAGGATATAGACAGAGTAACGCGAGGGCTTGGAGCAAGTCGTTAGTCAAGGGAGACTTTCTCCACAGTGTTTTGGTGACCGCATGTTGCACTTGAATTGCGATCTCATGAGTAGTATTTGGAGGCATTCCCGGAAGATACCGGGAAGCAAGCAAACAAGCAGTATTAAAAAGCAGGGGATTTGTCCGCTGAATATTTGATGAATGATCTATAGAGACCCAGGGGCTGAAATAATCCACAAAGCTGAATATGGTCAGTATATTCACATGGGAAAATGCTGTGGAATACTCACAGTTCGATTAGTTTCAATGATAACTTAGCATCTACAATTCCCTGGGAGACAACATCCCCCAGGAGTTCGCCTTCGGCAGGAAATTGATCCCTCTCGCCAAAGCATTCAATCTGTAAATCGCGAATGAACTGGACGGGTTTCAAGGTAAAGCCCGTTCCAGCATCAGTCGAACCGTCTATACTGTTATTTCGCGACTGGAAATTCGGACTGCCCGCGGTGGGTGGCTGATTAACTATTTGTCGCATGAGATGTATCATCTCGCCCATACCACGCTCTAGAGATACAAGCCGTTCCTCAATGGAGGGAATAGCGGCATTGGCATCCGACCAGGTGGACGCACTGTCCTGATATCGATCGGGAGTTTCAGGCAGCTCACATTCGAGCCTTACAGAAAATCATTAGCTTGGCGCTCGCTTCTGGGAGGAGTTCGTGTTGCATTGGGCCAGATGTTGCGTGGGGCGATCGGGATACAGGACTCCGTAAACGATCAAAGGAGAGAGATAAGCACAAACCTGAGCGAAAGACAGCGACGGCATGCGTGGCCACGAGGATCAAGATCACAACGAGTCTTCAGCTTGCGACATGTATTGCAAGCAGTCATCGACCGACGAATCCGGCCCCGGGGGCGTGAATCCTGGCCGACCGAGTCAAGTCGGTGGCCATCGTCGGTGGCGGCGATGCTTTTCGTCTCCCACGACGAGGCGCTATGTGAGGGCTCTGTTCGCGTCATTGCATTGAACTGAATGAAATTTATTCGTGATTCATTTGATTTGTAGGGAAGAAGAGGGGAAATAAGATCTGGGATCAGCAATTGGACCCTTGCCAAGAGGTTTCAAGTTCAACGAAGATCATCAAAAGGATGGGTGGAGAGGCGAAGGCTTATAACAGATAGCGAAGAGGGAGACAGAGCCACAGCCAATTGCGACAAGGCACTGATTACTGACGATATCATCGACTCCGCCAGCTGCGCAGGTACGTGATCCACTTGGAGCGGACCTGGGGTAATTCGCCAGGCATCCACCAATCTTAACGTTTGGGTGAGCTTCTAGAAACAGTGCGATGGCCGTGCCTGCTTCTAGGCGAGAGGGGTTGAATTTACCCCCTAAACCTTGGAAAGCCCCCTGTTCATGCCGATGAAAACCGACAACGTATTCCAAGAGAGGGGTGATGTGGCACCATGCTCGATCTGATCTACGGGAGGACTCTTATCATCGACATCTTCCCCCTGATCTACCAGGTTTTTTTTTCTGGATTTTTACCTGGAACAGGATAGCGGATATCTCCGAGCCCGGTTTGATATTACTACGATGTATTATCCTATCCTAATGCTGCACCTATGGATCATGCAAAGTGGGGTTGATATCATATCATGGTGGATACAAGCATGTGCAACCTTCTCGGTCCAGTCATTCTTGCTAGAACAATCGGGGATTGGCCCAGGTTCAAAAGCAATGCGACTCTGTAAGTTTCTAGACCCGGCTAACACCGGGTCGCTAGCCGGTTCTTGCATAGTGTATCCTTAGCGACAGTCAAGAGATCCGGAATTTAGCGTTGCCTATGGACGGGAAACGTGGAATTCCGCCCCAGTGTGAAAATTGAAATCAAATCCCGCCGTCGCCGCGTGGAAAGTGCTTTCTCTTATCAGGCTTTTCGCCCCCATCCAGACGGTGTTCGAGAGGTTCTCCTGAAGCAGCTAGACTGTTCATGTTAATTAACACGTTATGAAATAAACATATGTTCTTTTTTTTTAATCGCGCACTCCCAAATTGCTGGTTTAGCAGATAGAACATGGCAGCCGAGGCTCATTTGCCATCCCCACTCTCGGCTCCACTTTTCTTTGCTGTGGGTTAATATAACTCTCCTGCAGACAGCTTAGTGCGTGCCACTTCGAGGAATAGCGCAGATTGGGTATTAGGATGCGGGAACAGTCAAGAAGCGGTCTGTCGTCGAACTGATATACTTGGTGGCTTATCTTGGTCGGCATGGCTCTCAACTCTGGGGTAGGTTCACCGCCAAAGGGGGCCATTGGGGTCATGGGTTTGGCGGCATTTGCCGAAGTGGGTAGGGGTTGCTACCCCATAGTTCCATCTGTCCACATTTTCAAAGGTGTTTTCACCGCATAAACATTGCGATTTTTTCCCCCTCTCCTCCTTCCTTGATCACGCCAAGCAAGGTGGTGATGATTCAAGAGAGTCAAGCAATGCCTAGTGGTCTGACAGAGTGGCCCTAGCACATTCGTATCCCGGGTATTAGGCGAGATGCAAGTCTGGATCCCTAGGCCCACCGTGGCGGTGGATACAAGAGAAAGACGGGAATGTTAGCCTTGGTCCAATCCGTTCCTCGCAAATGCACAAGGATCACAAGGAGTAATCTGGGAACATGGAACAGGCCCATGGGACATTCAAGGATTCTTGCGGATGCTCGGCGCGCTTATGCAGGCCATCATTTTAGTCAACATGACAATGTTGCAGCCAAAACCTAAGTGCAGGATGATCGCACCAATGACGGTCCAGCCACATCGGGCTTCGTCCCAGTCATGATCACCACGGATAGAAGATCCCCCGTGGTTGGACAGAGGCTTTAATAGCCTAACCTATCATTGGCGGATAAGATATTTTCCTTGCCGTTTTGCGTTCACACTGCATGCTCGAGAAAACAATCCTGCTTCCATGCATTGAGTTCGTCGGATGGTGCAAGCCACTCGCAACTCACTGACGCCATTCGATAATTTCCGAGTCTTCCATCTGCTTCTGGATTGGTTGTGGTCAACAAGAAATGCTTCTGGAAGATAAGCAAACTTCATTGCGCGAGAGGCGGAACAAGCCGCCCGCTATATGTCTCAAAGATAAGGCGCTACCCCCATCCTCGAGTTGCCGACACAAAGCGAAGCCACCAGTCAAATTGCTCGAATTGTCATCTCTGTTCTTCAATCAGTATTTCGAATGCGCACTTCGCTTCCGTAATGGGCCGAACCGCGGGCGGTAGTCGTTTTGTTTCTTACCCTTTTGGGGTCGTCGTCCCGATCTTCCAGGCACCAAGATTGCAGAATAGAGATAGCAAAACTCGGGCCCGCGCTCCGTAGAGAAGGGACGTCGCTCGGTATCGTGCCCACCTTCCTGTATGCATCTCTGTTCAATGTTGCATTTGAGTTGGCTCTTGATTTCAATTCACGAAACAGGCCATTCAAATTCTTTTGCCAATTCGGGTTGATGTATGCCATGCGCCATCATGGACCAGCTCAAAGGTAGCAAGTGGGCTTTGGAACGCTTCACAGGTACTACTCAACTTGCTTTATCGTTCCTTGGCTGATACCTATTGCTTTTTGATAGATTCGGCATGGCAGATTTCCAAATAGGAATCTTCGCGAGTGCCCGTCGTCTCGATGCTTATTTCTTCGGCATGTGGACAAAGTTCTGGGTACAGAATGAGGCTTTGTGGGTTGGGCATCATTCGCACGGAATTTAAGGTGAGATGTCCTGTGGCAATCCATTTGGATCCTTGTCGCCTGAAAATCTTGCAGCCAGAATGGCCGGTGCGAACAAGGGGCTACCGTATCCAAGCTGTGGCGTGTTATTCTCCTCAAACCAAATGTTGCGCTCACATTGGGTCAAATATCTTTTTCACATCGATGCATATTGACCGCAGAATCTCCAGTAGACAGTCACCCTATGCATGGTCAGGATAAAAGGGACGCAAAGCAATCAAGCCCGCTTCGCCGGGCATCTTCCTTTCTTTCTCTCTAACAAAAAGGAAAAAGAAAAAAAATGAGAGAAAAGAATACAGGCGATCATACCACTGCAGATGAGTGTGTTATGGCTTTGGGGATAGCCATGATAGCGCTTTTCTTACTGGACGCATGTGAGTACATCGTGGACTGAAGATCCAGATATTGTTCAGACCCAAGGTGATGTCGAACGCCGGGGATTTAAGCCTGATATTTCTTCAAAAATATGCACCTCGTGACGAGAGCAATAGACGGTAAACTCGGCAAGGAAAGGAGCCGACTAAATATAAACAAAGGCCCAAAGCGTTGCTGGCTTTAAGCATCGGAGGCCGAAGTCGGAGGCAAATTGATGCAGTAGGCAGACTCTGCATTGGTCAACTTCTGCACACTAACTGTGACTCATCTCGCTTTGACCAAAACAGTTAGGACAACGTTACCTTGCCATCGGCTAAACTGTCATGTCGGCTTCACGAAAGCTCACTGGTGGGTGATATAATATGGCAAAGTCATTAGTGCATCTTTAGTGTTTATTCAGTCGTTCCATGTGTGTTCAATCCTTGTAATTGGCGAATGATAGTCAGTGGTTAGTGTAAGTATGCTGTGATATGAATTCCTCACATGCATTATCATCCCACGGGATTAAAGTCCCGAATGAACGTTGGAATTAATGAGCATCAACTCTCATTCATGTGATGTTTGTGTCCTCCATAGAACAGAGTCAATTCTCGTATCAAGAAAGGCACCCGAACATCTCCAAGTTAAAAGAATTTTCAGACCTTTGATTAATCGGGTGCTACCACTAAGAAGGAGTATAAATATAGATCGAGCTCCCTGCGTTCAGACATAAGAAAGGTGATGAAAGGATGGAAGGTAGGGCGAGGGAGACAAAGGTTGAGGGCTGCTGACAAACGGCAGTTCGTCGAATCGTGTTGTATAAACTTACATCTCACTTGTATTTCAATATCAATATCGAGGGCCTTTATGGAGAATTGATCGAAACAGGTGACAGAAAATAGGAAAATATTTAGAAGAAAGGTGATGGTAAAATCCCTGCGTTCTGTCGTTCCGAATTGCAGTGGGGTAGCGTAGAGATAGTAAGCTAAGGGAAGTGTGCGTATAAATGATAGCTACTATCTAATACAAATCACCTCATCACGAGGACAAAACAATTACTACTAATGCGTAGATTATCTAATTTAGACCATATTCGAATCTGACAACAAGCAACGCTAAGGAATGACACTAATCTCAAACAGAGGAAGTCTCAAAAAACTGCATGCATGATACATTACCCCAAGAGGAAACTCCATGGAACCGGGCTCCCCTTCCAGAAGCACGCAGATTCCCGGTCTCCCGGCGCCACAATGCCCGATACTGTGGTAGAGAGCGCCATCTGCATGCAAGGCCTGTCAGTCTCTAATTTGTGACCTTCATGAGGGGGCCGTACACTGCTAATTCGGCATCATTGGGTGTAACATCATGTCTGGGGCAAACTGCGGTCTGGATGTCAATAGCTTTCAACATCGACATATGATATCGTTTTTGGGATGGTTGGCAGTCTCGAATCTTGATTTTCTTCTTTGACCCTTGCAGAATCTTTGTTGGGGTTGTCCCTTGTAGCTTGGCACAGTCGAAATGTCGGTGGCAGGATCGCAATATCATGTTTCCTTGTGGCGCTGTAACGCAGATGTTCATACTAGCTTCCCCCGTGCAGCTGTCATCTCGGTTAACGAAACGCTTACTCAAGAGAAACCAAAATTAGATGTTGACCGACCTTCCGTTCCTACCTTTGATTTGCCGGGTTCCCCAGTTCGCGTGTCCACACTCCATAGTCAATAGTCAATAGATGTGGAATCCCCACCACGCGCTTACTGCATGTGGAAAACCTCCGTGTTATACGCTCCTTGCACCTCAACAATGAATTTAGCCAAGCAATGTGGATAATGTGGACATCTGACTGTTCGGCAGCATGTTCCAGAAGAAAAAATAATAGCCCGCGAAATTGTCCGTGCTAAAGCGACATTGGCCAGATCACCCGGCGCTATTGATTTCGCTACGTGGAACGGTGGGTCCCGTCGATCATCGAATTGATTGATCCAAATAATTCAATAGTGCGATCCATCAAGATCCCAAACTTTGACAAAGATGTTCTCCGCAAACCCAGAATGCGTGTTGTATCGTATTGACTGTACCCTTCAAAGCCTAACCAAGGCTACCTAATCCACCTAAGGAAGGAGACAACATTCAAGGTTACATGATCGACGTCTGCCTACATACCTAAAAAAGAAAGAAACACATGCGATGTAATGCGAGGGTCAAAACGAACATGTCAAATTTTTTTCCTCCGTGTATTCCGTTAAAATAAAAATTAATCAAAAAAAAAAATTAAAGCAAGAAAAAGCAAGTCACAATGCAATGCGATCCCATTGGCCTACATAAACTCACCGATGAACACCCTCACGAACGCCTCGATCTGCAGCCGATCGTCATAGGTGCGCCGGGACTGACATGAGATAGATCACATTTTCAAAAACGACAGCTCCAACGCAAAGACCCCCGGACATCCCCCAAAGAACCAAAACCTAACCTAGAGAAACCAACGTGACGACCTGCATCTCAACCAGCGGCTGTGACACGCCATCGTGCACAAGGGCGTCATAGGCTGAATTTCACCGCCATATGACGGGTCATGTACAACACTCTGTCGCCTTGCGCATAGATTTACAGGCAGTGGCAAGGATCATTTAATATGTACATGTGTTGTGATTCGACGCATTACTTCCTGTCGTCTGCGCGCGCCAGGAAACCTTTTCCCTGCTTGTTTTCCTGGTCCCCGGGCTCCCAGTGTGACTAGGTCTTGCATAACCGCGCCCAATGTTAGGCTATCACTGACTTCCTTTTATGGTATATGGATCACTCTCGCCCCTGGGCTTTGACGTATATGTATTTTTTTTTTTTTACTGGGGGGTACGTATACACGTATATGCAGATATGTGCTGTCCTTTGCATTCAGATGTGAATAGCGGGGGCATGGACATGCATTTGGATCCATGTTCCCGATTTGTAGATCATTCTGATACTACAAAGTATATACGGAGTACAGATAGGAGTATGGTGATAGCCTATTCCTAATGATCCTCTTCGGGGCTAATTCGGGATCTACAATCAACTAAGTTTTTGCTTTTGCTCCTCTTTTTCACATGTCGGACATTTTCCGTAATTGGAATCAAGACTACGCGCCCAGGAAAGGATCAGGGACAGGAACATACAAGATCGAATAATTCGAATTTGGGGTTTCTCTTAATTCTTTTTCCCTTCTGTTTCCTTGTATTTTGGGTCAAGGTTCTTAGGGCGTAAAGTCCACGTTTCGAACTAGGCACCCAGCCACAGTTCCAACTAAAAGGCAATTGTCTGAGACATCAGACAAGAGGATCAAAAGGAAAAAAGAAAGTATGGCTCGGCGTATCACCGCAACCGACTCCAAATCCACATGGACTAACCTTCACCAAGACCAGCCCAGCCCGCAAGCCCAAAAAGCAAGTTGCCCCAAAGCCCCGAGATTACTCCATGTGGCAGCAGATTGTCTCTTCTCAGTGGAAATCTCATCCGCAGGATTCACATTGTTGGTACAGCCCCTACAGGGCAACGAGCAACAACCCTGTCAATTTCCTACGAAACGATACGAAACAATGAGACAAAAAATTCCTTGTCTAAACCTTATCGTTGATGAAAGGCGTGCCCCAGGTGCTATGGTGGGACTCGGGCAACCTCACCCAAACAATGGGTGTTTTCTCTTCTAACCCACTTCCCACCCGCAAAGTCATAGACCAAAAAATCAGACTTTTGGAAATTGAAGGCGAGATTAAACACGTTTTTGACAGATGTCACCTACGTTAGATTAAGACAAGCCGGGCTCGGTAGCTGATTTCCGGTGCTGATACATAACCGCGCGGACGAACCAAACTCTATGCGCCGTCAAAAGGGGTAGATGGTCCGACTTACTTCTCTAGCTCTTACTTGCTTACTTTGTTTAATCTCACATAGAGTTAAGTTCGACGTCATGGCCGGGCTGGGGGTGGGCTCCAACAAATGAGCGGGTATGAAATCTCGATCGTGAAATGTTAATTTTTCAGGTTTGGCATCTGGGTCAAGTGGGTCGTTCAGGTGGCAGGTCTGGAAATACATATTAAACAATAATTAAAACATTAAGAAACGGATCCATGGGAATAGATTTGGAAGGACCCAATATTGAGTCGATCCAAAGGTCAAATGGTGCCTATGAGTGGAAATTGCCTATAATAGGCTTATTCGGTGTGTAAGTATTTTCCGATTCGTTTTACATCACTGCTCCAGGTCTACGCGCAAGATCCGGGTATTGGGGTAACATTTAAAACCAAAAGTAAAAGGGAAAAAGGGAAAAAGGCCAAGCCCAGCTGAAATGACTCTGCCTCAGCTCTAAGGGGTCGGCCGAGATGATCAGCAGCTGGATTCGCTGAAAAAGTGGTTCCTCATGCCGCTTAGTCGTAAGGCATGATCCACGTTTCCCGTCATGCGTGCAATAATACGAGATCGTCCTGTATCGCCCGGTGGGGAGTGATGTGCAAATCCCGTCATATCGACATGATTCTCCCCACACCACCTTGAGGGAATTAAAGGAAAGGAAATGAAATGAAAAAGAAAAAAATACAGGAAAATAAGATACTGGAATTAAAGATGATCTTTTCTCATGATGTATAAAATTGATAGCCGATATACCCGATAGAACACCTAGTAATGCATTTCAAATGTAAGTCTCATGGTCTGACGCGACAGGGCACAAGGATGCGACATGCACAGTGCGACAGGTGTTGAAGCCAATGACAATAATTTCCCATAAATCCCAAATACCCCTTTGCCGTTTAAGCCCGCTTGGTAAATAACATGTCCCATCAGATAAAAAGGGTATCAAGAAATGATATCTGCAAGGTTCCCCTGCCTCATGAGCATGGGGCCTTATGATAAAGCAAATAATCCCGCAATCCAGCAATCTCGAAACTTGTAGAGGAAAAATAAAATAAAAAAATAAAAAATAAAAAGACATAGGAGAAGAGTATAATGCCAGTCTATCTCCAGTCCGTGACTCGTAAAGAAAATGGAAGAAGCTTCCGGTCGTAATGAGATCCGAATAAACGCTTGTGTTGATGCCGTGTATCGTTGCATGCAGTCGGTAATAATTGTAATAAAGGCCGTAAGTGAAGGTAATGTGAGGATGCGATATGCGTAGAACAGTAGAACATGCGCGACACAGCATCTAATGATGAGGTGAGAGCAATTTAGACGCCTTCGACATCGCTGAAAGGTGAATGCCGCGAGTCGTCACCTCCACGCATCTGGTTGCGCAGGGCAGGCAGTTGTCGACGCCGAGCATTAATGAACCAATTGCTAATCTAAAACAAATCTTGTGAGCCATGTTTCACATACGTTCCGGATTGAAATTGAGGTCTTACCTGACTGATCGAAAGACCAGTTCGGGTCATAAACATCTGCTTATCTTCCTCACTGGGGTAAGGATGATCCAAATGCTCATGAAACCAAGCGCGCAAAATATCAGTCACGGGCTTGGGCAAATTTCCCCGACGACGTTTACTTTTGGGATCAATCGCGTCCCCCATAATTCCAAAATTGGCTTGCTGAGGATGCGCCATCATAGGTTGCGACATTTGCTCTTGCTCGGAGGGATATCCCATTGGGTGCCCATAAGGCGACTGGCCATGCATCATGGGTGCACCGTACTGTTCGTTTCTGCGGTCTACCATCTGTGCGGGCATGGGAGCGGGCTGACCACGGTATTCGTGTGCATAGGGATCGGAGCGTGGCGCCATCCTGCTGTCTGGGTAACCCTTTCGGTCTGGCATGGATCCTAAGTCTCGAATCGGGGGAAGGATAGGACTGGGTCCTCGTGCGGAGCTTTCGCCGAGCCGCATCGACAAGTGGTCTCCCATCTGCCGGGGTGGGTGTTCGCCGGTGCGAGTAGTGTATTCATGGTGGTGCTCTCCGTAGGTAGATTTAGGTGACCGGTTGGTGGGATAACCAGGGATGGAGCGAGGATCGGCCATGTCATGGCCGGATCCAGGGCGCTTCTGTGATGGGGGCCGCGAGTTATAGTATGTGGATGAATCGATATCGTCGTGTAGGTGAGGTGGGAGAATCTATCAGGCGTCAGTATTTTTGAGGGTGTTCTGGCACTGTATTTCCAGCATCTGGAGACTTACCTCGCGGAATGATGGAAGTTGCTGAGTATGACCAGCCGGGGACCGGCTTGCGTATGAAATGGCCATGTCGGTATCCTCGTCCAACTCACGGGACTGGGACATAGACGGGGTATAGAGCAAGGTATAAAGGTACGACAGCTAGACACAAAAAGCAAGGCGTTCAACAGATCGAACCAACTATACAAGGCGCACGGTTAACCACAAGGTTCATATCATGAACGAGAGTTGTAATTATAATCTCGAGGAGTATGAAAATGGAAAAGGAAAAGAAAGATAAATGTAGAGGAAGAAACTCACTTTGGGAAACCGTGCTGAATTTACGTTGACATGGCAAAGCCAAGATCATGCAAGGTTGGGGAATGAGGGCGGATGGAAATGGAGTTTTTGGGGATCTCCAAATAATGCAGGGCACAGTACATTTTAAAATAAAAGACATGGCACCCAGCTGTAACATGTCCATGGAAAGGTAAGAACAGGGGGGGGTCCAGAAAAATGACGATCGTGGGCGCAAGTGGGTACTTGGGAGCCACAAACTACGGAGCACCACTACTTCCTTGTCGAGGCATGCAGAGCGGAGAAGAGGGGTGCAAATCGCAAGAACCCTATGGAGCATCCTTAAGGTTGACCTTGACAGATAGCGCCAAGGATCTTTGGTTCCTGTCAACCTGGAAATAGTCTGACTTTAGTGCCAGGATCTATCAGGTGGCGCCAGGAACTGCTCGTTTCCCCCCCCATTTTCCACGCTAGTTTTGATTTGTATTTTTGAATTTTGGGATTTTGGGATTTTTTATGGTTTTATTGATTCGCCCACAATTGGATCAATGTGTAATTATCAGATTTATAATCTGAAAAAAGAAAACCCCGTTTTCTGGTCTCCAGACACCGATGGTACTGTCCATGTTTGGTGTATACATCCGTAATGCGATCTCAGATTTTGGGCGGTTTGGGTTTGGAACTAGTACTTTTGGGAAATCAATTTAGCAAAAATAGGAAAATTACAAAAATACATCTCAGATCAATCGGCAAGGTCCGGAATTCCCATAGATCCTATCGACACATACCATAGGGGCAGCAGGGGGGGGGGAAGGAAAAAGGAAGTGGAGAGCGGCATTCTGCTAACTGTTCCTGAGTCAAGCTGAACTTAATTAATTCAAATACTGGAAATCCATTGCTTTTTCTAGTGGAGAACGACAAATCAAAAATGAAGAACCGAAATCCTCATACGGTCAGGAAGTGGAGCATTTCAAAACCCAGAAAGCAGTCTCCGAAAGCCAGGGAAAGATCGTCTCTGCTGCCCCGGGGGAAAAAGGTTCCACTGGTGTCAGACATCGTGACCTACCACTGGTTACCGATCGCGACTCATCCCGAGGGCTTATCCCGGATTGTGGGTTTTGTATTTGGGACAGAATCCGAACCAGACAATAATTCGTTAGACTTTCTTTTATGGTTTTCCCTTTTCTGATTTTTGGTCTGTGGTTATTGGGTTGGTTCGGGGAACAGGAAGTGGCATGACGGTGACCTCGATTCGATCCCACTTACAAGCCTCTGATCGGTGGGCACGGAGATCGATCGACCACAGGAGGCCAGCTAGAGGGGCTGGTATCCGTGGTGTGGTCTTCTTGGCACAATTCGGACAGGGATGGGTAGATCGCCTAGGGGTTCTTCAATCGTCTCCACTTCCTTCGAGATGAACCATACAGAGTGTGGCGCACCAGATCCACCCCATGCTCTCTGTCTCCCGTACGTCAGATCACCCACACGAATCCGCTTGGATCCATCCATGACGCGACGCTTTCGAAAGCGAGAAATACATGAGAGAACAAGGCAGATTTGGAGACGAATCCGATGCTTCCATTGGTACTCCTTCCATCTCAGGTGAGAACACATGCAGCTGATGGAGGGCAAGCATCATGCATATGACATCTCAGGTTTTCTTTTTCTTTTTTTTTTATTATTATTATTCCATTCCTTTAAATTATTCAAATGATTTCCGACTGAATCCGCCAGGGGTGGTGGGGAAAACCTAGTGTGGTAGACTGACGTGGTTGGAGAGGCGTTCTGTCCCCGGGATTTGATTACCCCTCGATGTGACAGAACTCTCGTGGTTCCTGTCTAGCGTTCTTTCCCGATCGCCGGTGATTTGCGCTCTGATTTGATATGTGATGCGGCTCGCGTGTCGCCTATATCTACTACGATTCATAAACTAGACCAACGCGAGACAGAAAAAAATCACCACCTACCCCACTCGTGGTCCACATTAGGCTGACAACAATGGCGCAAGAAGTCCAGCTCACTTCAATGCCATCGGAGATCCTCTAAAGTGGGGCTAATAGGGCCACTTAACCAGCCTAGGTATAGGACCGCTGAGCTAGTCATTCTCATCCTGGTCATGCCCCCTCGAAACACATGGGAAATATATTGCGACATTAAACAAGGTCAAACACTTCTCAGGCTTGCCCCGTTATGTCCCTCCGTTTCGGGCTCGTGATCCCTGTCAGAGTCATTAACCTGACACCCAGGTTCCGGCAGATGGGTGCACGACATTTCGGACTCGTTCCGTCGTATCCTCGAACTGCACGCCAACAAACTCTGATCATCCAAACTCCCTTAGCTGAACAAGGCAATCTCCCCGGAGCTTAATCAACAAGCTAGCCATGGGACGCCACAACGCGATTAACCAGGCGTCAAACCCAGAGGCTGAAATGACTTGTGATCCACTTGACCAACCCGATCTACCCCCGTTTCGGAACCGGAAGATGTGGAATTTGGATCCAGCCTCCACGAGGCCTTGGATCTGAATTGGATCTGTACCTTGTTTGTCGCTTGATTCGCCCATCATACAAGGGAGCGATCGCACGGATCTGGGATTTTTGGATCTCCTTGCTGGAGATCTTTTCAAGATCCGATTTCATTCTTTTCATTAAGTAATCTCTTTTTTTTAATCTTATTTTTGAGGTCACTACATATGTTGTACAAAATAACTGCAAAAAAAAAAAAAAAAATAAAAGAATAAAAAAATTTGAAAATGAAAAGAAAGTGACAAAGAGATTCGCCCGTTCTCCACTTGTGGATTTCCCTGCCATCCCCACGGCAAGTCAAAAAGAAAAAAAAATAATTAAATACAAATGAAATCATTCAAATGTTGACAGATCGTCATTTCGCAAGATCCGAGATCGTGCATAAAATGGAGTATGCAGATCATCCAATCGTGCAGGGATTGGAAGAAATACTCCATGAATACTATAGCGTAATGCAGGAATTTGTCATGCAACCTTTCCCGGTACTGGGGTCGCAAAGTATGGCCGATCGCATTTTTGAGCAACTTTCGGTAAGGAACCTTATTTCCTGTCAATCTATTAACTATACATTTAGATTTAGGATTTGCCAAGGTCATCTCCGCCTTTCAATAGTGCTGTAGTTCCTCGGCTTGGTTCCCTGGTTGTATACCGCCTTCATTTCTCGTTTCTGATATCATGTACCAGTCTTTCCTGGTCTTCGGGTCGATGTGATGTCAGCTAGTGAGGCGAGATTGAAATCAAAACTATATCGCTCGGCCAATATCAATGTGGAATGTGAGAAAGTGGCGTCCCCTACCGCAGGACATCCAGTTATCTGCAAGGAAATTGATAGGATCAATTCATTTCTGGTCTTCGGAACTGGACTCCGGCTTCGGTTACCGCCTGTCACTTCTGGGGGAGTTAATTTATTGACCCAGCCTCCTGGTAGCTGGGATGATCCGCTCGCAGGAAACTTTATAGGCATAAACTATGCTCCACATTAGATGTTATATTTACTTGGAAGTATATATCAATATCCAAAATTCGATCAGGGTCTAGCGATGGAAACTTTTTATCGTCACGGTAATCAAGTATGACCTCCAGAGCTTCCAAGGTTGATGTTTGATGCATCGTACTTTGTTTGTCCCGCATGCTTGGCTGTGAGGTGACTCAGGCAAGTTACTTCGCTGCGTGCCAGTTGTTCTGCAGCGATGTACTTGGAAGTGTCAGTTGCACGAACCGGTCTATCAATGTTGAGCAGCCCCTGCAGGAGACCTAAATTATCAAAAATCTACCGTTTCTAGTTCGGCTGCTTATTGTTTGCTTGATATCCCCGCAAGGGTTTCCCAACAATCTGAGGTCGCATCCCTGTCGGCCCGGTAACTCACTGACATATCGGGCCGCGGGTGTGACCTCCGCCCTATGCCCCGTGGAACAGCCCCTGACGTATGTGGTCGTAGTGCATCACTATATCACATTCCTGTGGCGGATACATATGTCGGTCTGTCCGAGTTCCAAGGTTGTCATCGCAGTTCCTATTTCGAGCCATGAGTAGTTCAAACATGTTCAAACATGTGATAATAAATTTGGCTTGGAATCCTTTTATTTCAATTTCGCCCAATGCAACACAAAGTTTGTCAACAATTGAACCCAAAATGCTCCTCCCCGCATTTAAGTGACTTAGTTTTGGTCATATAGTACCGGGATCCTTGCGATAAGCCTGAACCCTGAATATCAACTTGCCCTTCCTGTTCGCCCAAGCGATACCCTCCCGGCTTTTCATTCAGCTTAGACCAAGCGCGGGTGAGTTAGTACCCAGTTCAGTATGTGGATAATCCATGTCCTCTAGGAATGATAAGGGAAAAGCTACACGTGCATCACTATCTAAACCGCAATCATCCTTCAAGCTCTAGTAGATTTAGAGTTTCCAAAACCTCGATAGAGAATGATTTGCCTAAGTGATAATTGATGTACACGGTTTGAAAAGGTAGTTTCTGCCTGTTATGGCCCTTGAAGATGAATGCAAGTCATCGAAGAATTCCAAATTGATGCCAAGGCCGAAGGGAAGTTGATATCACCCAATTGCTTGTCGCCGGCATCAGGTTGGGTCACAATCGAAGTTTGACATGGATGTTAAGTGCTTTCCAGCCCTGGGGGGTTGTCTTCTCACCGCTGAGGGGTACATAGTAGTCCTACATATAGTCAGAGGAGACCGGTGTGGCTACCACATCATGATTTGTGGAACAGACTCCCGAGTTTAGAATAAGGTGATGGTGAGAGATCATATCAGATTGCATATATCCATTCAGGTGGGCACTCTTTATGTCAGACCGCTCAAGAGCTTTTCCAGATCTACTCAGTAGAGGGCCGCGCACGAGCAGTACGAGGATCCAACCCCCTCCACATACAGGATACATGCTTATCGATAGGTGGTTGGGAGCAATGAACCAAATGTGGGTATTAAAGTTCTTTTAATTCCTGTCTAGAAATGCTGGTATCTTTTTTTAGCTCTCCAGATCTAGTCTAGTTCTTGCCAAGCTCCGCAGATCGCGAAGTAGCTGCCTGGACAGCCTTGTCAACAATCTCCTTGAAGCCCTGTGCCTCAAAGGACTGCAGAGCAGCATATGTGGTTCCGTTGGGGCTAGTGACATTCTTGCGCAGCTGGCCGGGCTCATCGGATGACTCGACAAGCATCTTGCCAGCACCGAGACAAGTCTGAGTAGCCAAGCGAGTGGCCTGTTCTTGGGGCAAGCCAAGGGCGGTAGCACTGGAAATGAGGTGCTCCACCATAGCGAAAAAGTAGGCAGGTCCAGATCCTGATAGAGATGTTAGAGTTATCAAGTTCAGACTTCCTGCTGGTCAATTTACTTACCGGAAAGACCAGTCACAACATCGAGAAGCTCCTCCTTGTCAACCCACTCGGTAGCCTTGCTAACGCTGCTCAGCAGCGCGTTCACGAGCTCCTTCTCCTCGGAGGTAACATCGGCGCTAGCATAAGCACCGGAAGCACCCTCACCGACAAGCGCGGGAGTGTTGGGCATAACGCGAACAACGTGTGCGGAGCGTCCATCGGGGGTCCGTGACCACTCTTCCAAGCTGCTGAGTGTGATTCCGGCGGCGATACTGACAACAACGGGCAGAGTCGTGCGCTTGGACCAGGATGCTCCCAGCTCCTCGCAGACACCCTTCGTGACCTGGGGCTTGACAGCGATGATGACAATATCGGCATTGGCGCCAGCCTCGGTGTTGTCGGTGGTGGTCTTGACACCGACGGCCGCGAGCTTTTCCCGGTTGACGTCCCACGGCTCGGAAACGGTGATGTTCTGCTTGTTAACACCCTTGGTCACCAGGCCACCGATGATGGCAGAGGCCATGTTGCCTCCGCCGATGAAGGCGAGCTTGCTATCTTGGAGAGAGGGCATTGTATGGATTGTGAGGTATGTGTATCGTGGGTTTGGTCGTAGATGTTTAATGTTCTTGATGTTGAAAATCCCCCACTTTGCTTGCTTATCGGAGGTGGGGCAGTGTACAGACAACCAACAATGCCCGATATCGGTTGAGGGGAAGAGTGTCAAAGTATTATATGTCAAAAGACATAGAAAATGGGGAATTGGAATATTTATGCTATTTCAAATTGCAATTCGACCCCGCAAAATGTCAGTTATGACACATCGGTGGTGACCCCAGACTTAGCACGTGACTGCTTATCGCCGTCCACCGGGCCGGTCAACCGGTACACTAGACGCCATTCCTGCGTGATCAAGGTTGGAAATGATTGGATTCTAAGGCTTTAATCTTAATACTATGGTACGAGCTATGTATTGATGTGTGAATATATTGCCCGTACCGATTGGGGTATGTTTATAATAGCTATCAATATCATTTCAAAAGTATATATCGGATGGACTCTGCGCCAATTTCTTAGATTGAAGTAACATCGACATGATCGAAAGCTTCAATCGAGAGCAACCCAAGCAAAGTAAAACGATAAATGGAATTACTTATGATGCAGTAATTCGGTAAATGAATCTATCACGATGAACCCCTATGGTCAAAACTTAAATTTATAAGCAATGCCTGTGAGCGTTGGCCAATAAAGGCTATTCAATTTTAGCCTAATTGGAAACTTAGCTTACGCTCATGCAGGGTTCTTCTAGGTTGAATGGTTGGTAAGTACAAGTGAGAGAAAAGTGGAGAAGTAGATGTGTGGCTGAGATGGAAACTCAGACGTACCGCTGGTTCTTACGTGGACTGCAAGCTTGACTCTGCTCCCATACATCCCATACAGTGGTCGAATAAATACAGAATCGGTCTCACATCGGATACATACTAAAATGATGGGATCTGTGAAGAAGCCTTGGCTTGAGAGGAAGATAGGGCATGCGGTGGGTCTATAAAGTGAATATGGGAACTAGATAGGGATGAGAATAGGGCTGGGAAAGAGAAGGCATGGAAATGGCTATCAGGTAAACCAGTTGTTACGCAAGATCGATACGATCCAGGGTTAATCCAAGCCTGCATAAAGTAGATTTTGAATACTTCATAGTACAAGCTTCAAGGACTTCGTGGATCTTATAAGAAAGGCCTGAGCTGACTTTTACGGACTAGTAGCCCAGTGTCTCGCATAACGATGAGAATTCTACTTTGAATACGGGTCAAGATTGTTAATAAAATTTTGGGTATTCGATTCAGATTTTTGAGGTACGATAGATACCATAGTACCACATATAAGTCACATGTTTGCACATGATTGGATTTTCACAGAAAAACGAGATGAATAACCTGAAAGCCGAAAGAAAGATGAACCAAAATGAAACCCAGGAGGCAAAACCGGAGAAAGAACCGCCCGCTAAAATGCATGATTCAAAAAAGACATGGTAGATGAGTGATCGAGTGGGTGGATATCCATGATGCCAAAGATCCAAATCCATAGCAGAAAGACAAGAGCACGAATCGTGTATGAGTGCAAGACCCCAATATGTACAGTAGGTAGTGCCGAGATGAAAAATAATGTGAAATGAAAGTGGGATATATGATCGATTCTCGAAAGCATGGTTGCGGACGTGGCAATTGATTACCAGGTCTCGGCAATGTACTGGCCAGCTTCCTTTTTGCGCTGCCAGAACAGCTCTGCTTCCTGGGAATTGAGGTTGCCCTTGGCCATGGCGACTTCAATGAGAGCAGCCTCAACACCTTCACCCATGCCCTTGCCGCTACCGCAAACGAAGACACGGCCATCAAGGGCGTTGATCACATACCAGACCAAGTCGGCCTGGTGGCGGACCTCCTCCTGGACGTAGCGACTCTCACCACGACGGCTCTGTACGACGGTGCGAACCTTATCCTCATGAACACCCCACTCGCCACTGTAGAGCTCATCAAGTAGCGAATCACGCACACCCTGGAGAACCCAGACCTTATTGGCACAGTTTGCAGACTGCAGACGACGCTGAACGAAGCCACGGAATGGGGCGATTCCAACACCAGCGCCGATAAGAAGCATAGGGCCGTCAGATGCGAAACGAGTGGCGAGCGGGTTGGCCATCAGACCGCGGAACATGGGCACATGAACGTCAATCTTCTCACCAGCAGCTTCGGCCTTAATAGCCCGCTGGGCCAGCTGCTCAAGGTAGCCAGATCCAACACCAGTTCGCTTGCCACCCCGCCAGTCGTTGGAATCGGCGACTGTTACAGCGACCTCAACCAGTCGGCGGCATTCGGTGCCCTTGAAACGACATGAGATCATGGGATCCTGAGACAAGGAATAGAATCGAGGCATCAATGTATTGAGCACGGACAAAAGATGATCCAAAGGAGGCTGAGAAGAGGGAAAGGCGTGTAGCAACTGGGTAAGAGTGATGTGAGAGCTGGTACGAAGGTCACAGAAAGCACCCTGGCCCTGTGCAGATGAAAGGTACTCGAGGATCTTCTTCTCGTTCTCCTCAGTGGTGTATTCGGCCAAAAGTCTGAACAGCGCCTTTGTTGGAGCATAACTCTGAATATCTGAGCACCAGCTCAGCACCTCCCGGCGTGTTGTGATAAGCTCTCGTGGCTTGTCATCACCCCAGATAGTTGGCCAGCGACCGTTGGTGGTACGCATAAGAATCTTCTTGTCTCGCATCGACCTTGGAACACACAGTAGGTCGAGAAGATCCTCAACTTCCTCATCTTTGTTCTTTGGGCACACGCCAATTGCGCCTCCAACCACAAAATCGACCATTCCACTCTCGGCAGGGTAGTCGGTGACGTCAATATCAAAGTGGTAGGTGCGCTTCTCCGCACCACCCTTGGTTAACTCACGGGCAGAGTGAAGAGGCGCGCGGTAGACCTCATATGGGGGATGAGGCTGCACGAATTGCGGGGGGTGATCTGCTGGCCCCATCGGCAAATGACGAGCAGACACGGGGGCGGGCGAGAAAGAAACCGTCTTCTCTGGGAGTGGGGCCATGTTGGAAAGCTCACTGTCCAGTGTGAGAAGGTTCAGATTCAGGTTCAAACTAGCGAAGGCCTTGTTGTCTGGGGTTGTGATCGAATTGAACCCGGAGATAGGGCCATCCACCGCCTGCAGTGGCCGGCCTCGGCAACAACCCCCACCACAGCACATGGACTGGATCTTCTGTGTACCACCTGTGCCGACATTCTCCAGCACTCTTCTCATGTCCTCGGAGTTCTGTGAGATCAGGACGGTCGAGGCTCGTCGTCGTCGGCCATTGGACTTGGAATCAAGATCTTCTTCACTCTGGGTATCGGGGGGCGTAATTGGTGTGGAGGGAGAGTCAGAACCATTGGAGTCAGATTCTGATGAGGTCAAGCCATTGAAAGTAAAATCTGTGACCGAGAGAGATTGTACTCCCCGCGGCTCTTCTGGGATTGGATTATCGGGGTGAGAGGTCGAGGAAACAGGAATCTCTTGGAAGGTGCCCTTGCGGGGGCGACCTAATGCGATAGTTGCCGTAGGCATGGCGTTGACGGCGTGGACTATGGAAGGAGAAGTTGTGAGGATACGAGCGGATATGAGACGTGTGAGAGATACACAGCACATACCCATTAGGAGTTCGAATAGTACCGAGGGCCGTCGTTAAAGAGGTCTGGAATTGCCGCAGAGACGAAGTCGTGGGATGGTAGGAAGTGGAGAGAACAGAAGTTTTCGGGGACACAGTTCGCTTTTAATGTAACGGTTGGAACAAGTGGAATGAGGCAGTGGACCCGGCGTTCGGTTCCAGACGGGAAATGAAAAGATTAGGGATACGAGTCTCAGTTTTAGTGGAAAAGATGAAGTTCAGGGAAATTACGGGAAGCGCAAACCACAATCGGTTATGGAATTATCTGATTTTGCCACATTCCTCGTCACCGGGTATTCGTTCAGCAAAGTTACCGCGGAAGCACGGGGGATTGTCCCGGGGGATTTTACTACTTAATAAGGTGGTGAATTTTGTATGGGGATTTAGGGAACAGTATCCATTTTCGACCCTCTTACGATCGACCATGCATTACCAGTTAAGCCAGTCGGGGGCGTTGGAGAGGTCATCTTGTAATACACTCAGAACCGGAAATCTCGTAATCTACTAAAAGTGGCGCCAGATTAGCCGAGTTCGGTTCCGACCGGATCTCAACTGGACCGTACAAGTGCCGTGTCAAGGGATAGATCGTACGTTGTGGATTAAAATATGGTACTTATGAAATAATATAAATGTATTTTTGCTCGACGAACCTCATCTCGATTCGAAAAAGCAAAAAAAAGGAGTAAGAACTAGAGTAAGAACTATGTAATCCCAGCGGAGTGGGCCGACACCGGGTCGTACTTTCCCCAACGGATTAAGTAAGACCGCGACTTATCAATCAATCAGATAGCGCACGTCGTACCAACACGGGAACGCCTCTCCTTATCTGATTCGCTATACTCCGCGAGCCAAGAAAAACCGGTTCAATCCTCCTTTTCTCAATACAGTACCTCCACTAGTGAATGGATAAGCTCCACTTCCCAACTGATTCTCGATCTAGCCCTGTCCCTACCGTCTGGCTCTCGGGACAGCAACATTCCCGACCATTGGGGGATAAAGCCGTTACTGTAGCAGTGGGTCGTTCTAGAAATACCAAGGACGCGTTCCTAGTCCCGAAATGAGAAAATGGGGAAAGCTCCTTTTCTGGAGATAGGATCGTCACAGGCCTGAGCTGAAAGCTCTCAGCTCCTTTTTACCTCGGGTTCTCGGCATCCTGGGTGTTCTGAGGTCTCCCAAGAAGACAGGGATGTTTGAATTCAGCCTGTCACACCTTCCCGTCTCAGGCAGTGTTTGGCACATAACGGCCCCATCTGATAACTTAAATCTACGGAAATCCTCGGCGTCAGAGTTGGGCACCCAACTTATTCCGTGACTTTTTCGAGTAATCGCTCCCGTGCACATACCGATGAAACTGGGGATTTCGTCATCTGCAGGGGTTCTCTGTAGTCAGACTGTGGGGCGGAGGGTCAGGGGATAATAGGAGAACTGGATGTCCAATATACTCTGTATGAGGGAATATGTGAAATCATTAATTCATTCCAAATTTGCAAGATCAGACTCATCGGCATCTGACCGCAAGCTCTGATCTTAACCACATTTTATATCAACATCACGTCATCACAGCACAAGAATAAAATAGATACAAATAACCAAACCAACAAAAAAAAAGAAAAAGGTATCAAAAGACCATTGGGCAGCAGCCAAGCGCATCAGAAGCTACAAACCCCGGGGCTAGAAGCCTTCTCTCTGGATTAATGCCACGGGCGGAACGAAATGATGCCGCCCCCTGGCCCAATAATAGATCGTCGCCGATCCAATGACGCCAACATACATCACCACGCTCCAATTCATTGTCTCACGTGTCACGGATGTCGACAGGGGGAAAAACGCAAAAACGAAGACGGGCAACAGGAAAGCCATGGCCCCAATATTGACTGCCATGCCAAATCGGCCTAATGACCATCGATGAGGTGGGAGTGCTTCACCACGGAGTCGCTTCAACAACACACAACCAATCGAGATAATGTATGCCGACATGAGCGACGTGATGGTCAGAGAGATGATCGCGTTGAGGGCCACTTGTGATCCAATGTTGATCAGCGAAAGGAGAATGGTGACCCCAAGGGAGACCATCACGGAGTTCAGAGGGATGTTCCACCCTGGTGTAACCTGTCAAAACAGTCAGCTGGGTTTGTTTGAAATATTCGGCTTTTTAATTGGCCTACATATGCGAAGAAGGATGAGAATGGAATGCCCTCATCCCGAGCGAATGACCATAGCTGTCGCGAAGCTGTGGCCACTTCCGTGATGGTACTAGCTGTCAATGTTACTATCAGGACCGCTGTCATCGCGTTTGTAGCTGCGAGACTGCCGGTTGTGTTGTAGAAGATTTGGATGAATGGGTACGCTGTCGGAGTATCCAGTACTTTGTCGACCTCGCCCAAGGTGAAACATAAGGTGACCAACATGATGAACCCGAGTACGCCATTGACTGCTACAGAGGCCATCATGGCTTTGGGAAGTGTCTCCGAGGCGTCTTTGATTTCTTCTGCTACGAGACGTTAGCTGCATGCATTGCCTATATATAAGACCAGACTTACACATATGAACGGAACAGTCGTACCCTAGCATCGATGTGATAGTGGTGGAAAGCCCAACCAGAGTCGCCGTTCCAGAATTATCCCAGCCACCACCATTGTTGAAGTGAGTAAACACCGCATGAACATTGTTGCGCGGTGCCAGTACCCATAGTGGAATGATGATCGCGAAGAGGCCAATGACATGGATGATCAGAATCAACCCTTCGACAAATGGCAAATTTTTAGCCAAGAAAGTGTTAAACAGGATGGAAAAGGACGAGATGGCAATTACTAGCATTGTTCCATGCCATCGTTGAAAATCATACTCTGGGTGATTCAACACAATCAGGCCTTGGATGATTGTGCCGGCCAGATATGCGATGGAGACAATGGCACATTGCCAACCCATTGCAGAGAGCCATCCTAGTGATGTCAACGATTTACCGCTTCAGGTCTCAGAATATATAGGGCTCCTACCTGTGATGTAACTGAGGAACTTTTGTCCACGCCGTGGAGCAAATTCCGACACCCAGTGGTACTGCCCACCAGCAGTCGGTGCCCTACACTATCTATTAGCACCAGCCGATCAGGAACCTAACAGCTCCACTTACATCGAGGCCATCTCAGCTATACTGGCATAAACGAGAGTGAACCCGATGGAAACACCAATGAATCCCCAAATCAAACCCGCCGTGCCACCATCAGTCAACCCCGAGGACAACAATCTATTGCGCCGTTAATATCAACTCCAATGTCTGCAGAGAACATAGACTAACGTCAAGATAACTTCCCATGTACAAATGAGAGTGCATCCAAAGCCAACGATTGAAATAAATCGAAAATTTCTCTGCTAATCGTTAGCGATGTCAAGAGTCGCAATTAGCCAACGCAACGCACTCGCAGAACCTGTACGCGCCCTAGCGCACTCATATCCCGTTGATCAGCCAACGTCCCCATGTACCGGGGCGCAACACGGCCCTTAGGTGCCTTCTGCGGAAAATCCTCGACATCGTCTATCACACTTTCCGTCATCTGAGAGTCATTCTTGGATCTATGCGAGAGAGGCATCGTTGAAATCAACAAAGTACTGTGCCTTTCAAATTTCGACAAACAGGGCTCTTGTGAAACGAACCCCACAAAAGCAAAAGATTCGAATTGTTAAGGACCGGTTAAGTTTGAAGAAATCAACTGCCCGATTGACTGCATGAGCAGTCCGCGACGCAATGTGCGGGAAGGATATAAGAGACCAAGCAGCCCCTGCTGAAAGAGGGGGTAACTCAAGTCAAATCAGAAAGACCTATGCTAATCCGAAAGAAGCAGGTACTGGGAGAGGTATCCTTCAATCTTCTTTCATTTTTCTGACTTCGGGGCCCTGGACGTCACATCGCAGGATTCAAGCGTGGTAACGACGTGGCCGCAAGGCATGGAAAAATTCTACCGCCATGTGGGAAACTCCAAACACTGGTTTCGACACATCTGATGTTTGATCCAAATCGTTACATTGCGCTTGGGCCGCTAGAATCATGAATTTGATTTCTATCCCTTGAATCTAAATGGGCCCGGAAGAATGGGCTATGAAGCTATCGGCGCCTTGCATGCCAAGGGGGATGCAACGACCCTTAGCAGCAGGCAACTGACATAGATGTTTATGCCCAATTGTACCAGCTCTTTCACTTTATTACCCCAAGGCCTTTATTTGCTTTTGTTATTTCTTTCCTTATGTCAAAAGCACGTTTGAGAGTTTGGAATCGGTATGTTTGCTTTTTCTCTTAAAAAGGATCGCTCAATAGTGCACCTTGGCATGAACCATGTACTATGATCCCTGCATAGATCACCCCTTGATGCTTAACCTCCATATCCGCCACTCAACCCTTCTGTACTAGCCCGAGGACACTAGCCGAATGCACCCTCCCTCGCATGTTTTTGTCCCAGGGGTCAAACCACATGGTCCTATCGGAAAGCTGTCCGCTGGATCCACGAGTCATAACTCGCATGTTGATCGACGCCTCCATGTCGGAATGGCAGCTGCCGCCTGCACCGAAGATATGTGCTCGGTCGCTGGCGTCTATGAAGTGAGGAGTCGCTAGTTTAGTTCCTTTTGTGATATTATTAATATAATATCAGATTCTTATTTCCATCTTCTGCGAAGGGATGGGTTAATAATTTTGCCACAGACTTTACCTTGATTCCAAGGTCGGTCTGAAGAGGCTTGAGCGGGCTGGTCGTATACTGTGGATTGTATACAACATTGGATCTCGGACCCTCGCTGGTCCTCCACGGCTATCGGCACCTCTACGATCACCAGGGCGATATATCAATATATCTGATTATTGCTGCCTTGGGCTGATGCCGTTTGCCTTGTGAGGCTGGATATATCTCGTGACCCCTCGTGGTCTTGGTTCCTGGGAACGTTCTCTTTCGATGCCCATGGAGAGAGTGAAGCACTAAGTTGTTCAAACCATTGCTCTTGCCATGGGCCCCTATGTACCCCCAGGCCAATCGCCACCGTTCGAAGTAGTCGATGACTTTCACCATGGCGCATGGATTATCATTACAGTGGCCTTGGGGCTGGTTGTGTCACTCGTCTGTTTCTTAATTCGACTATACGTCCGATTATTGCTGATGCCGCCTTTCGCGCGAGATGATATCGTCCTTTTGGGTGCAACAGTGAGTTTCTTGCAGGCAGTTGTACTGCCAATCAGTTAGAGAGGTAGAGAGACTTTGGAACAACAACAAGCTGAACATCCATTAGGCTATCGGCATCATCCAATCAATCCTAGTCTTTTACGCCTGCTCCCGTGGCTTCGGCACATCACTCACTTTACTAAACGAATCACAACTCGATCAGGTCCAAACAGTATGTGAGCTCTTCACCTCATATACACTTATAGCGAGAATTAACAATAATTTAGTTAATTGCTACAAGCGATATGTTTGCATTGATAGTGATCTATCTCTCGAAATGCTGCGTCGTTGCTATCTATCTTCGTCTTACGCCCCAAAAACCACATAATTGGGCTTCGTGGGCGACATTCGCATTGTGTACGGCTTGGCTTATACCTGCTGTTCTTATTCTGCTAGTCAATTGTGAACTTAATCGCCCGTGGAGGATACAGGGTGGACAGTGTCGAAATTTGGTGAGCTTGATCAATGTCCCCTTCAAGAGAGGTAGAGTTATGCTAATCGTGTAACCCACGCCAGTATCAACGATGGCAATTCATAGCCGCTGTGGACATCATCACGGAGATTATTATCTTCTCACTGGCTGTCGCTCTTCTCAAAGGACTATTCATGTCTGTTAAACGCAAGCTTGGAATTGGCTTTGCGTTTATATTCCGATTTCCGTATGTATTAACTTGAACCAGGAGTATCATATACACATCGGTGGTGGAGCGAACGGAGATCTAACATCTCTGATAGTCTAATAGTATTCGCCCTCCTCCATATGTCTTCACTCCACTCCGCCCTCGCCGACAACGACGTTACCCTCGCCGCCGTCGAACCTACCCTCTGGCTCCAGGTCGAAGTCCACTATGCCCTCGTCGCGTGCAGCGTCTTCTGTCTCCGCCCATTTATGGCTGCCGTAAGTACCAATTATGGAACTGCAGGGGACTCTAGCTTGGAAAGCAGTGGCTATGCCTCGCGGTCGAGGGGGACAAAGGGGAGTTCAAAGTCTGGATCTGGATCTGGCTCGAATGCAGATTCTAGATCTAGGTCTTTGTCTCGCGTTCGGAGAAAGAGAGCAGGGACGGCGACGGGGGCTTTGCCGAGGTCGGCTTCGAAGGAAGCGCTATGTCGAGATGGATGTGTTGATGACGATGCAGTTCGTTTAGAGAATCGACAGAAGAGACAATCTGTCAAAATGCATGGGGCTGGTGGTGGTGGGACGATACGAGTGCCTGTTCGCCGATCTTTGTTTTCTCTTGGAGGTTCTAGTAACGCTGCCAAAGTTGATAAAGGCAAGGCTGGAGTGCGGGATCAGGGAGGCTCTGCTCTAGAGTTTGAGTCCGATGCGCTGGAGCTTATGCCTCAGTTACATAGACAATATGCTCGTACAGAGGAGGGGCCTGCTGAGAACGAGGACCCGGACAAGATGGTTATTCGGAAAGAAGTGCAGTACTCCGTTCAGTTTGAACGAGGGGGAGGGCTCGAAGCAGGTCTCGACTGACGCGACGGCTTATGTATAGATGTACAGCAAGTGCTGTATTTTAGTATATAGAAACATGAGCTGAATCTGACAATGTTGATAGAGAAGAGTAGACAGTCTGTCAGCTAATAATATTTGGAACGAATGTCTATGAATGTTCCCCGGCCTATATATTTGAAACCCTGAACGCCGCATATTGCTAAAAATGAAATGCTAGAACGGACTTTCTTCGCTTAATGAAAGTATGCAAATGTTAAACAAATCCAGAAGATCGCTTAAATGGATGTGCCTCGGTACTCCTAAGTAGAGCATATTAGCTTGAGACACCAAGCAAAAAGGAGGACATAGATAAACTTACAAGACGTACTCATCCAAGCTGACATGGTCCGGCTCGGAAAAGATGAGATACAAGTACTTGAGTGTCTCAGCGAGCCAGTAACTTTCCATTCTGTCGGCTTTTAATGTGTCCAGGTCACGGACGTCCTTAACGGCTGAGTGACCAAAATTGGTATGCGTCATCTTCTCAATATTTTGGAACATGCGCCAAGCCGCATCTTGCAGGGACTTGTCACCAGTGATTCGGTACATTATGAAAACAGACTCAACAGCCTCGGGTCTAGATTCGATTAGTACTTTTCCAATGTCACCAATATAAGCTATGGTCGAAGACTGTAACGTTACCTAAGCTTGTATGAAGAATCTTTAGTTCCGACCATTCCTGGTGGAATGACTTCCGCTGCGACGATTTTCTGTGCTTCTCTGCGGTGCTGTTGAAGCTCGATGGGCTGTCTGAGGACAGACTCGTACCAGCGAGTCTCATCCCATGGGCAATCTTCCAGGTCTGCACAGGGAGTGAACTGGAAGGTCTCGGGCATGACACCTGTCGGCATCGAATCGTATGCCCAGATACATCCATCTGTGAGGCCCCGAGCGATTGATAGGTCTTCAGGACGATTGAAGATTTTGGCAGCGATGCCTACGGTGCCACCAATGAAGCATTTCAGATGGTCTGAGGTGTGTGCAATGTGGCTTGCGCCCCCCGCAAATTGCATATTGGAGGTGAAGAGAATTTGCTTGTCTTCTTCTTTGGTAACGGCACGGAACAGTAGATTTTTCTTGATTGCATCGAGTGATCGCTCCCACATTTTTTTGTATTGATCTGTCTGCCCACCGAGAAGAATGTGCTCCTTGGGCAGGTACTCATAGGTGGAATCAGCACCACCGCCAAGCGAAAAGTCAGAACCATTGAAATCAAGACGGAGTGCGTCAACGAAATTAGGCCATAAACCTGGAGCTTTAGTTCGCATTTGGACCTTGTCTAGCTCATCCGTTATACGCTGGACGGCGTCGTAGTACATTGGGTTCCCGGTTAGCTGGGTCAGACGGGTGAATTCAACTGTCAAAGAACCCAATTCCGCCAGGCTTGTATGTGGGTTTGGCTCAATCTCTTGACCGATGGCTGACCGGCCCCATTTCCAGCGCATCTGTGGCATGTGGTTTTTGGTGTCAAAAGCATAGAAAATCATGTTGCCGAGCTCCTCTGCTTTCTTGAGCAAGATCGGATGTTTTCCGTTGGTCAGGTCATGGGCTGCGATCAACCCTCCCATGTACCTGATCACGATCTCAAAAACGTTGACCTCTTTGCTGAATGTTGTGGTGAAGTCAATCTGTTCGAGTGCCTCCAGTGCGAGCTTCAGCTCACCATCGAGGCCCATTATAACTAATGTATCCAATGCATCGACCAGAGTGGCACCCCAGCCGCTGAAAGAGTCTTCAAATTTCCCACTCACGGGTGAGACCTCGTCTCGTAGCCAGGCATGATTTTTGTAGCCATTCCAAGCGTGAAGAAATGTTTTCTTGACAGCCCTCTGTCTCTGAGTTCTCTTTTTGCGCTCCGACCAGCTCTCTGGTTCGAACTCATGTTGGATGCGGGGAAGCGGTTTTGGATTTGTTGGCAAGGGAATGTATGATGCAATGGGGTGTATCTTGTGTGCGCGGTCTAGGTGAATGGCGTCTGGCCTGATGTTTTCGTTTTTGACCGGTGTCGGTCTCCGGTGATAATCCCAGGGTGAAAGACTGAAGGGTAGTTGTAATAAAAAGAAATATCCTAAGGCTAGGAGGAATAGTGCGGTGGACAATGACCGGCCCCTGCGATTGGGGACCATAATGAAAGGCGGTTCGCGAAAACGCTGAATTCGAAAAGCTATTTGAATCCGATAGAAAAGTAAGGTGGAAAGGCGAAGGAGAGTGGAGAAAAGAATGTGTAAATGACAGTGAGCGACAAGCATAAACAAGAAAGGAATGATAGTTAGAATGGTTGCATGGGGAAGGCTTCCACCATGTTGTGGCAGAATGTTAATTGAATGGACTGACCTGGGGATCCAGGGGTGTCTGGAGTTAAAAATGTCACATTGACGAAAATCACGTCAGTGGGGGGCACAAAAGGGCCAATGTCATAGGGTGCTCCATTGATCGTCGAGATCTCCGTTCGATATACTCCGTTCTCTACAAGATTTGAGATTTGATACGTAGGCGAACACGAATCTGCTGATTGGATTAATAAGTTATTGTTATTTTAGGAGCTCAGAGAAGCATTCCAAGACAGCACAGTCAAGCTTCACAGATACTTTGTGGCTTGCCTAGACCCTGCATCGGTACGGAGTATATCGTAGGATAAAGAAAGCATAGCTTGGCCTAGACCACTTTCCATGGCACAGCCCGCCTTGGCTGTCGCGTGTGCTTTATTCTGTCTGCCTAGACAGGCTAGGAGGGAAAAGCATCGTGAGGGTCCCACTTGTCCCCTGAAAGTGTCTCAGTTAGGAAGAGAGACAGCCGATCATCACAAACTTGGTTTAGCAAATTAATTGTGGCGTGGCTAACCCATGCGGGTCTGGATTTCAGAATTTGAACTGTTGTCACTATTTCCAAGGGGGAAAGAAGTGACTACATAGTCCATAGCTCAAGAGTAGAGCTATACTTCTATGGAATCAAATTCCAAGCCATTGAGCCCAAATGGTTTCCAAAAGCAATAGTCTCCGAAGGCATTGAATATAGCGCAGGTGTGTCGTATCTATTTTGGGGCCGAAACCCTTGAATGGAGCCGCGACCGCCACTGCCAGCCGTGTTTTGGCCAGCAACCCTTTAGTGGCAAAAGCACGAATTGAATTTGATGACATCGATTAAACATTGAGATCACAATGCAATGGCATTAGTAGGAAGAATCAAACCAAGAAACTATTCACATCTATGAGTTGTAACATTTTACTCTAGGAAAGACTGTTGTTGGTGACAAAAACAAAGTGTATATGTTTGCCTTGTTTGCACCTGCAACGTCTGCAATGAATCGAGCTTTGAACAATTGGTGCTCAAATCCGCGTATATCATTCAAAGCAACCTTTAAGTAAGGTCAATATACCCCCAATCTAATGCTTAAAGTAAATACTAAACAAGTCTTTAGATTCAGGTTATAAAATTTTGTTTCATCATTATCAGGCCTACATTGCTCGGTCTCCAATCTCATTCACTGGCAATGCTCCATTGATTCAAGCAACAACACCATATATACCCGGGGACCCAATATCTATCCCTCAGAGGCATCCTTATTAATATCAGCGTGTGTTCATCAAGCCGCTCTGCCTTAATCGTGATCATTCGAACATCAACCACCTGCTCAATAAGCAGGCCCGAAAACCCACCATGCCAATCACAGGGTACCCATCCCACGCATCAAGAAGTCCAAACCCTGAACTAACCTGCCTTGAAAAGTGTCTACTTCATCCCTTCACACCCGAACTCCTCAACAGCCCTGGCAACAATCACTGAGCGCCTCCGCTCCGCCTACCCAGATGAAGAACTCATCCCCTTGGGCCGCTGGGCCCTAGAACAAAAATTAATGAGAGACACTCCAAGTCTCGTCCCTGCATCAGCGAATCCCTCAGCAGGGAAGCCGCGCTATATGCAATTCCTTTCGCTAACCCATTACCCCACTCATGGCTTCATCTACACATCCGAAGCAGAAGGGAAGCCTTCCCACCCCTCACATGCACCAGCCGGTGCAAGCCCAAGCCCTGTACCGGGCTCGGTGCCCATGGTCCAATCTCAATCTTTGTCGCAGTCACAGTCGACTAGTAATAGCAATAGCTTTACCGCGTCGTCAGACTCATCGCCTATGATCATGACTGTTCTCCCTATGCCGTCTTTCGGTATGCTCTTCCATCATTTCACGTACGCGTGTCAGCCCTTCTGGGCCCATCGATTGACTGTCGCTGTGCCTAATGGTGTTATCTACGATATGGGTGATTTCCGTGTGCGATTGGGTGATGTGCGACAGACGTTCCCGACTGCGCGACCGCGTGGAACACTTATTGAGATTGAGTGGCGGGGTCCAACTGTCGTGGACTCGATTTCTTCTGCACATTTGGGTGCTCAGAGTACAGATGAGCATGAATCCGACTCTGGGATTGATGTGGACCTCTCTATTGAGGAGTCGGATGTTGATGCGGAGTATGCGGCTACTGCAGCTTTGATTCGAGAGTTTTGGGGGAGACTTGGTGTTGAGGGAGCGCGAGAGGCTATTCTTGTTCCTGGGGTTGGGGAGGAGGTTAAGGGTCGGTTGAAGAAGTGGAGGGCTGCGAAGATGAAGAATGACCAGGGTCCTGGGACTGTAGGGGAGAATGAGGCGGATGTGGATGGTGCGGATGTTGCGAGGCAATATATGGAGGTTTTGCGATTCAATCGGTAGACAGAGTCAAACAAAGATTTGAAGGTTGTTCGTCATGTACAAGACCTCTGTAGGTTGGGTGAAATCTACGCCATTACGAGATACTTCAAAGATACTGCTAAATTCCCATGGGAGGCATGCTTTACTGGAGAGGATTGGAAGTCAAAATCAAGTTCATTGCCTACATTATGATATCTCAACGCACGAAATCTTCCACCAAATCCTGCATATGTTATCTGCATTCAAGTTGCACGCTTGATCATGAATCATCCAAGCTGGAGCCTAAGAATTGGAAAGCATAGACTACAAAAGATCGGTATCGGGGGAACGGAGAAGAGAAAAAGAAACATCCTCATTGAAAATCACGACATCAGCTGAAGGTGAAACAAAAACATGGCGACATGAATAGTTTATTTTTGCATCATGAGCTGGACGAACTCGTTGTCTGGTATGAATTAGCATATAAATCCCCTGTAGAATGACCGGAATCTTGGTCTGAATAGACTGGGGCAACGAACAGTCAATTCGGCCATCACCGTCCTGATCCGCCTCACGGATCATCTCATCGACCTCATCGTCAGTGAGCTTCTCGCCGATGGAAGTCATAACGTGGCGCAGCTCAGCAGCAGAGATGAAGCCGTTGTTGTCGCGATCGAACACCTTGAACGCCTCACGGATCTCCTCCTCGGAGTCGGTATCCTTCATCTTACGGGCCATCATGGTGAGGAACTCTGTCACATGTCAATATGGATTCAGGCTGGAGGTTTTCGATATTCGGTGGGAGGGACCGTACCAGGGAAATCAATGGTGCCGTTGTTGTCGGCATCGACCTCGTTGATCATGTCCTGCAACTCAGACTCAGAGGGGTTCTGGCCGAGCGAGCGCATGACGGTGCCCAACTCCTTGGTGGTGATTTGTCCTATTCAATTCATTCGTCTCAGTCATTTGTTCGCGTAAAGGGCACCGTATTGTCGTATTGTCGTATTATTGGGTGTGAAGGTATTGCAGACGGTCGCACTCACCATCGCCATCCTTGTCCTATTACGGGAAAGCAATTAGGTTCCGGTCCAGGCAGCAGTCGTCAATCGCGGATTAAGTTACTCACAAACAGGGAGAATGCCTCCTTGTACTCGGAAACTTGCTCTTCGGTCAGAGAATCAGCCTATACACGGTGCGATGTCGCGATCAGTCACGGTATCTTAAATGGCTGTTATCTCACTGCCCCGCAAAGCGGGGATTTTTCACCAACCCATCCAGTTTAGATAGGAGGGAAGGGAAGTGAGATATTAAATAGTATAGCGGTTTGAAATCATACCATGGTGAAAATGTGGTGGGAAAATGAGGAATGTAGAAAGGTTGGAGGGGGGGTGAAGGTGGGGAGAGAAGAAGTTAAGGGGAAGGTTGCCAGCCTTACGAGCGAGGTACATCGTACCGTACACAAAAATAGTGTGCCTGATAAGTACACCAGTCAGGACCCTGTATCCATTGGGCGGTCAGCACCGAAACGGGCAGAAAACAATAACAGTGAAATGTTTAGATTTAGCAGGGCTGAAACTCTCTTCTCAGCTGAAATGTGCTGTGGGCCTTTGACATCTGCAGACGGCTCCAATGGAGCCTACCAATTTGACAGGCTAACTCTGCCTAGACTTGGTCAGAAGGCAAATGCTTGGCGTCCGGGTGGACCACCGTAAGCTAGAAAGAAAGCTTGTACCGCTACTGATTGCCTCCTCAAAGCTCCTTATGGTGTAATCCTCAACCCCGCACTTCACGGGCAAGGTTACTCCGGTAGAACAGGGATCTATCGGTTAGGGCACAAGGGAAGGTGAATATAACCGATCACTCGAGCTACATACAAAACCGTAAACCCACACGTACATCTTACAGGTGGTTAGATAATGCATAAGGCTGAGTTGAAACGACTAGGGCATGAAAAGCAATTCGGATTGGATCCACTACAAACCAGCCTTGGAACTATACACTCTCTGTGTTGTAATTTTGAGGCAAAATGTTCGCTAAATATATGTGTATTACATATAACATTCCCATGTGTTTGGAACGAGCTGTTAATATCAATCTGGGGACATGATCATCACGGTACATCATACCAAACCATGTACGAAGAACTACATAAGTGGCGTTTCCAAAGCATGGTCAGGTGGCTTTGTCTGAAACTTCTGTCGCCAGGTTTCACGCCATGCTTGCGGTAGATTATTGGGGTAATAGAACAATGCATCAGCCTTATCATCCCCGCCCCTCCTGACCTAGCATCCGCACTTTAGATAAGGCCCGGGCCCATGCTATTTAACTTTCTCTTATACTGCTTCATAACTGGATGGGGGCTTCTTCCATCCCAATAGTTCGGATAATATATCTTATATCGTCCACCTTGACATCCAAGGCCCCTCTATCTGATGATGATCATAGATCGGGCGGACCAGATGGATGCTGATAGATACGACATATCCTCATGTCAACGACGTCGTATCGGCCCAAGGAGATTAGCTAAGTAACAGCTGGTTGATCTTCTGAGAGGCAAAACCATGGTCATAGTAACACCTCTACTATCATGGTTAGCACTAGGAAATCGAATGTTATGTATATCTATGATAACACAGCAGCCAGTCTTTGAATATACTAGGCTAGTAGAAATATAGACTACGTGTCTACCAAATGCAGTAAAACGACTCATAGAGACAGACAGCACCTATTTAGACGCCTTAATATGTATATCGATCTAATCACCTAGACATTCATTTCTTATTACAGCACTTTAGTTATACTATAACGCTTCAGTTCATGCTCCGTCGCCTCCTCTTCATTTAAAAAACTTTTTCATCATCAAAATTTCTTCCGTAAGGAGTTCTCTCATCTTACGAACAAATTATTCACTAATATGAAACCTAGTACAATAATGACGACAAACATTTTAACGTGCACTAATATGGCTACATACAGCCTGCCTCTGGTATTATAGGTGATTCATCTTCTTAAGATGAAATCATTCTCACTTTCAAATTGCTCTTCCTACCTAAACTAGGCCATATGATCAGTCGCAAGGGCCAGCTGCTACTGAACAACTCATCACCATCACTACTTTACTCTCCACCCGCTGAATTAACGACGAAGTCATATTACAGAGGATTTCGAGTAAGCTAGTCCAAAAATCCAGCTAGACTGGAGCTCCTTCACGGTGGAGGAAATGCAGCAGCATTTAGATCTTCCTAACATGAAGGGCACCTCGTACGATACTATAAACTGCCTAGGGAGTGTGAGTATTCCGAATTTCTATTACACTTTGTTCAAAGGGCTCGTGTATGATTAACTAAGCATAAAGGGTATAGGAGGAATTTCTGCACATGCAGTCTTATCTTTAGGTAGTTATTTTGAGTCGTTAATGGCCCCATACTTTTAAGCAAGAATTGAAGGACCGATTGGGGGGTTCAATAAGACCATATGGTGTTCATTAATCTGCAATGATCAAACGAGTAGGAGCTTCAGAAGTATGTAACAACAAATGGGGATTCAATCAAGTGGGCGTATTACAGGTATAGACTTGGCAAACTTCCAATTACAATCACGTAGCAGGGTCAGTCAATTACATCTACGATTTATATTCGCGTTTGATCAGATTCACAGAAACAATACTAAGTGTGAAGGAGGGTATCTCAAAAATAGCACAACGTACTCCCTAAGTGGGGCTGCGCCCTGGAGACTGGGCGAATTGCCGGCCTCACAGTGGAGAGAGCTTCCCGGGACCGTCAACTCCGCTGCAACATACACCCAGCACCAATACCATCCTCAGGAACATACACTAATTCTCGACGACTGATCATGAACTCCGCAATTACACCGCTTTCACCATAATCTACACGCGACATCCCCGTAACCCCAGCCACGATGTGGCGGGATCGAACCAACCTGTATGCCTACCCCCTCCCAAACCAGCTACGTCAACCGCCGCGGAAACACAAGACTAACCAACTGCGCCCGTCGCAACAGCTACATCTCCTACCGCCAATCCTTCGCACATCACCCGGCCAAGAAACCGCGTTTCGCAGCCCCCTCCAATGGCTTTGACTCACCCTCCCAGCCGGAGGAAAGCCGGCGACTGATCTCCGAGACAGGTGGCTTCGAAGAAGATGGCGACATGGTTATCGAGATGGACCTACTGCCTCCACGCTGGGTGGACATTCAGGAAGAAGTCTCGGAGTACCTGGCAGATATCGCGCAGAAGGCTGCGGAGCTAGATAAACTACACCAGAAGCATTTGCTTCCTGGGTTCGGAGATGAGGATCTCCGAAGACAAGACGAGGGTTTGATTGAGCGGTTGACGCAAGAGGTCACGCGCAGCTTCCACGACTGCCAGAAAGCCATCAATAGGATCGAGAGGATGGTCCTCGAGTCCAAAGAGCATGGCGGCGTGACCAGTGGTGAGGAGACCATGGCCAAGAACATTCAGATCTCTTTGGCTTCGAGGGTCCAGGAGGCGAGTGCGAGGTTTCGGAAGAAGCAGAGCACATATTTGAGAAGTATGACTTGTTCCCGTCTTGCTTTCATTGTGCGCACGTGAAACTAATTCGCATACTCTGTTCGCAGAATTACGAGATATAGAGGGCTTTGCTACGCCGTTCGATCGTGCTCCGACCCCCGTTCAGAACCCGTACACCGATCCTTCCCTGATGGAGTCCGATGCCGACAAGACCTTCTCACAGACTATGCTGATGCAGACGCAACAACGGGCGACGGGCCAGAATGATGCGGTTATTGCGCAGCGCGAGCGTGAGATCAACGATATTGCAAAGGGGATTATTGAGCTTTCGGATATCTTCCGTGAACTGCAGACTATGGTCATCGACCAAGGCACTATGCTCGATCGCATTGATTATAACGTTGAGAGAATGGGGACCGAAGTCAGGGGTGCTGAGAAAGAACTTAAAGTGGTATGTTATTTACTTTAACAAGCTGACAGTGCAAATGGCTGACTGATATTTCCAGGCTACAAACTATCAACGCCGAACCACCAAACGCAAGGTCATGATTCTGCTAGCCCTGGTGGTGGTAGGACTGATCATTATTCTGGTCGTGAAACCGAAAAATCACGGCTCACCACCACCACCACCTGCTGATGAATCATCTAATAATATTCGGTCAGTCTTGGCAACGCGAGAAAGGCGACATCCCTCGTCGAGTCGGTTTGGTCGAGATCGCTGGATGGATCCAGACATACTTCGATAATGGTCTTTACATCCTGTGCAAATAATTCGAATTAGCAATTAGCGGGAAGGTCATTAGAATGTATTTCTAAATGTTTCCATTAAGACAGGCTAAATCTGAATAGAAATAGAGAACCGTTCAAGAAGTATGTAAGTGTATTGACCGAAATTCAAATAGTATTGACATGTGTCGTAGATGGACCTATGAAAACAGGTGATGAATAGCTATCGGACAGAATGAAGAGGAGAGCTCCTGGATCAACAGTTACCCCCAAATTACTGCTTCCCTTGCTGTGCAATCAGGGCGGCAACATCGACATCAAGATCCCCAGCCGCAAACTGGGTGTAGTCATCCTCTCCATGGGTCACTTTGCGCCGTTTTGCCCCCGCCCCGTTTGCGCTTAGATCAAAATCATTACCCCCTGGGGAGAGTTCAGCCGGGTCTAGTGGGAGTCCACTGTCTGGTCCCATATCAGGAATGACCAGTCCATCGGAGAGCTCCATTTGCGGCTCCTCGGTGAAAGGACCATGGCTAGTTTGCTGTTGCTCAGGCTTGGGTGACCCGACAGGCGTTAACGCTTCAACAGAGGGAGGGGTCAGAGCCTCAGCCTCGGGACGAGGGACCTCCCCTTCATAGTAATGGGAACCCGAGGTGGCGGGGGTCATGTTTAGCATTATGGCATCCTCGACTTCACGCTTTTTCGAATCCGTCTGGGTCTTTCTCTCTGAGAGCTGCGCCACCAATGTCTCCTCTTTGGCCAGTTCAGACCGGTTGTTTGCAAGAAGTTTCTCGAGCCCGTCGATCAATGCACGCCGGGACTTGATGACCTCCGAGACAGAGCTCTCGGCGTTGGCGAGGGATTTGAGGAGCTGGCTCAGACGCGCAGCATGCACCGGAGGAGTAGGCTGTGGCTCCTTGTTATCATGCATCTTGCTGTATTCGGAATCGGCATTTGCGGCAGAAGTGGTGGAGGTGATAGCAGCCTTGTTAAGGGCGACTTGCAATGGAATCAGTGGCTGGATTTCGGTGGGAGCAGAACCGGCGGAGGGTTCCTTGTTGAAGAGTGAGCCGCCGAGGGGCTGTTTCTTGGTAGTAGAGCGAGTTTTGTCGATTTCTAGAAGCAAAACTACGTTAGAAGAACTGGCGCAAGAAGCCGGAGCGGCGTCCGACAGAGCTAGCTTACCGTTCAAACGGGCATCCACCGCATCTAGGATGGGTCCCTCGAAAACATTGCGTGCTCTCCACACCTCCACAACACGGCGGAGCTTCTGCTGAATATCATTCGAAGAACCCCTGTAGGCGGTTGCTGTGGCCTCCGCGACGATCTGAGTCCAGGTTAGTCCGGGAGTTCATGTAGGAAATTATGTTCGATGACTGACTGGCGCAAAGGCTGTAAGAAACTCTTCTCTACCTCGAGCCTTTGATTGTTGGGAGACCTCTGTACGTATATTAGTCGATGAAGATGAGACTTGGTGGGTCGTTTTGTACCGTTGGCTAGGTAAACCAGATTGAGGCGCTTGACGGGCTGAGAGTCACGGATCTTCTGCAGCCAGATCTGTGCGGTCTTATCGGCATGCCGTCTACATAAACAAACGCAGATCAGTATGTTTCTCCAGCAGGGACACATGCTGTGTTGTTGTCATACCTATGGAACATGACCCACTGGGCAACAGTGACAATACTCTCTTGAGTCTCATTCAGGGCAGAAAGCTTTGCCTTGACAGCATCGTCTGTGTATGCCATTGTTGCAAAGAGTTACACTGGGTCCTTGAGAGAATGAGAGTAGCTAGAGAAGAGTTGGGCCGTTGGGAGATTGAGTCGCGACAGTGGCGGACCGGACCAAATAGCGATGCGCGGTACAAACCGAGAGCAATTGAGACTCGTGGAAGTGACAGGAAGGATAATCAATAGAAACAATGTCGTTCGAGCAAACAAAAGCAGGCAATCGTCAGCACTGTGAATACGGTTCTCCTTTGCGCAATCGTCAGCATAACAAGAAAATGTGAGTGAAACAGCTCTTTATTCCAGTAACAACCTAAGCTTACTGACCGCCTTGGTAGAGTACGGGGTTCCGAGCGCTTCGCCGACAACCTGTCAACTTACCTACTTCAAACTCTCATATTCTCTTCAACTGGTTTTACAATTTGCTTCCTTTTCATACATTGTAAAACTCACTCCCTGAATCACCCACAAAATGACCGACAAAGACCTTCCCGGATTCCCTGCACTGGAAGGGTTTGATGGTATGTCTATCCACTGCACCCGGTGCCTGACCCCATACGTGTAAACAGTGCTAATCTCCTCATGTCTAGCCCCATCCGGAACTGCTGACATCGAGGAAACCGATGGTCTTGACTTCGCGCAGCGTGAGGCCAACGCGGGCCTGGCCGGCGATTTTTCGGGGCAGGTCCCAACCAATGCCGATGACGACGATGACCTACTAGGTGGTGTCAATAGCGAACACGCTCAGCAAGTAGCCAAATTCGAGGGTTCTTTCCCCGGCGAGGACACATATGCACAGAATGAGGTATGGCTTGGAGAATTGTGGTGCATGACTGCCAAGGTTGGAGTTGCGCTGACATGACGGTGTTATCTAGAACGTCGCCCCTGGAGGTACAATTACCGGCTCCGGTTCCCCATTCCCCCCGACTGGATACCAAAGCCCACCTCAGCCCGACGACGAAGGCGATGCTGTTCGGTAGGTTGAATTGGCCCCACCACGGCAAGCGGGCGCATGACGTCTGCAGCCTGTATCACCAAGCTGACCATTGGATGTTTAAACAAATAGTGAATGGCGTGAGAAGCGCGACGCTGAGATTGCCCGCCGCGCGGAGGTATCAGCCGAGAAGAAGGAGGCTACCGTGCAGAAGGCTCGCGAGAACATTGACGATTTCTACGTTTCCTACAACAACAAGGCCGAAAAGCACCGTGCCCAGACCAAAGCTGAGGCTGAGCAGTTCAAGAACAGCCGCGAGGACACCTCTGCTGGTGGTACCAGCTGGGAGCGCATTGCCAAGCTGGTTGATGTGTCTGGAAAGGGCAACACTGGTGGTGCCAGTGGCTCTGGCAAGGAGCGCTTCCGTGAGCTGTTGATCGATTTGCGGAAAGACCAGGAGGCTCCGGGCGCCAGCGGGATCTAGGCTGCTTCATTTTTGTTTCATTTCAGTTCACCAAGAGCAATAAGCGAGGGACCATGGGTACAGGGGTTGCTTCGGGGCTAGGCAGCGAGTGCTACTTTTCATCCACACCCCGGCGCTTGCGAGGTATTTGGTTCCCTGTTTCTTAGCTTACACACATTATCTGGAGAGGTTTATTTTTTTTTCCCTACTATGTTTCCTATTTCCTTTTTCTCTCCATGCAGCGACGCCTTCAGGGGAATTTGTGTAATTTAAGTATTTCAGACTGATGGCATCGTTAATACCAAGGTTTTTCTTTTATGATGCCCATGGCTATATTAAACATAGATGAATTCAGAAAGGCAATACAGTTGATCAATGGCAGACCAGCGCACTCATTCATGCCATCCCGAGTAATTAGTGACTTTTTGGGGAGTTCAATCCAGCTCTGTAATGTCACCAGCAGGCTCTCCGACCTCCTCCAGCTTACCCTCAGCCTCAAGCTCCGCCAGCTTCTTCTTGCCCTCTTCGGTGGTACCATCGATGATACCCTCTTCCATACTGAGCATGCCACTCTCACCCAGCTGCTCGACAACCACTTCGGCTTCTTCCACGGACATTTTACCAAGGACCTTGTTCACCTCGTCCAGAGACTCCGATTCCAGTGCCTTTTGCAGCTCTGGGGAGAAGGCATCGAAGATCTTGCGGGCCTCAATCTCAATAGGCTCCTGACTGTTTGGTTGAGGGAGGTTGATGGTAATCTTTGTGTTGGGATCAACAGCATGCAGCTGAATCTGCTCGACACCCGCGGGGTCGTTGGAGGCAGAGCCATCCTTGCTCAGCTCAGCAGCGCGGCTCTTAATACGGTGGTATGTTTCGTTGACGTCGTTGCTGAACAACCCTGATGCACGGTGGTCCTTGGTTGTAATGCTGCAAAGATACTTTGTTAGTTAAATTCGCGGAATTACTGTACCTGAAGTAACGTACCGGTTGAAGAAGAGCTTAATGCCATCTGGACCCAGAGAGCGGCAATACTGCAGAAGTAGAGCCTGGTGAACACACTGCCGAGCATAGTCTTCTTGGCCCTTCATTTGACTGTTGAATGCCTCGACAAGCAGGCCATCAGTCTCTTTCTCGGCGATAATCTGGGGGTGCGCGCTGATGAATTGGAGATAGGCAGCATAGTCATTGGGACGGAGACGGGCAAACTTCTTTCCAAGTTCACTAATCTCGACATCGGCGGGGTCATCATCGTCGTCGTTCTCGGCTGCGCTACCGGAGGGCTGGCTGCCCGCACCGGGGTTCAGCAGCTGAACCTCAGTGGACTTGGATGGGCCAGCTTGTGATTTATCAGTGGCCTTGGCGACATGAGATGCGTTGAAACCATCGTGCAATTTATCACTGGTAATCTTGCTGCCCTCTTCCTTCTCAAGCGCCGCGAGCTTCGTCAACAATTCATTCTGCAGATTCTGCACCTTGGTCTGGTGACCCTCAACGCCCTTGATGTATGCATCAATCATATTATCGGGTTTCGAATCCTCAAACTCCTTCTTCACCATGTCTAGCAGCGAGCTCATCATCTGGGAGTATTTGGGCTGCTCCTTCTCGTGCGTGTAGACGCCCTCTGGTGGTGGCGGGGCCTGATCGTCTGCGGGGTTGCTAGCAAACTCCATGATCGTCTGGAAAATAGGCTGCTCGGGGGAAGTATTGGTGCCCTCGTGCTTCTTGAGAGCGGAGAGGAGCTTGTCGATGCGCAAGAGGAGGCCATCGTTGATAATGCGCTCGTACTTCAAGGTCTTAATATCATGGCGGCGCTGTTCTCGTTGCTGGTGGATCTGGTTCTGCTTGGCTCTAATAAACGAGCGCTTGTCAACATTGGGGTGAACTTCAATGTCCGAATCATCGGACAGCTCGAGAGCATCCCATTTGCTGTAATCAACAACCATCTTGGCGGGCAGTGAATTTGGGTTGGGTGAGGCGGGGTATGAATGTGGCGTAAGATAGTAGAAAGAGTTATAGAATAAAAGTACTTGGGATAAAACCAATCACAGATATCTCAGAACACAGTATGTACTGTAGAAGAGATATGCGACTAGTCCTGCAGGTACACGAGAACTAATATAATCAAAACTAAAACATCCAAAAGCATCTACAGCTCTCGATTAGCTTCGATGGGCGGTGAGGGATTCTGCCGATCAGACTTGCCGACAACGGGGGTTTGCGATCTTACATCTCCACATGCTTTCGGGGAATGCTCTCAATGGTCATGGACCGTGCGGAATTGCTGTTTCTTCCATGAAAAGTACAAATAATGGCCTCACCTGTTTCCTTCCAGTAACTCCCCACTCTGCTATCCTGCTGAGAGTTTGACATTACTGCTACTCCAAAAGATGCGCGGTCTCCGGCTGCCGGCCTGGGCTCCGGGCGTCAGCCCTCGGTCGGTTTTGAGACCTCAGAGCGCTGTACTCCGAGACCTGCTTCCCCAGTCAAATCGACCTTCCCTACGATCGGTTGGCTTCACTCATATCAGCCGACCTTATTCGACTCCCTCCGAAGGTCTTCGCGACAGGTCCGGTCGTCTTTTCCGGTCGGCCGAGACACCCCTGTTAATTCACCAAAATGGCCTCCAATATACCCCGTCGACGTCCAGTATGATTTCACAAACTCGACCCTTCTGCTCTACCCGTCGGCTCCTTGAAGAAAAAGCGCCAGTGCCATCCACTTCCACGAATTCTGCCAGCCGTCCCGTTCCGGAAAAGGAAGAAGATGATTTGGACAAAGGATTTGAGCTCTCGGAACGAGCAGCACAAGCCGCACAAGTCAATCTGAGTGCTAGGCTGGCTAAAGAGGGTGCTCCGGGCAAGAAATCAGGTGCCTCTGAGATTTGGCGACTGTTGAAGGTTGCGCAGCCCGAATCTAAGAAGCTCGGACTTGCATTCTTCTTTTTGCTAATCTCTTCGGGTATTACGATGTCGATTCCCTTATCGATTGGAAAGATCATGGATACGGCTACCAAGAGCGTGACAGAAGGTGGTGGTGAGCTTTTTGGCTTGAGCATGCCGATGTTCTACAGCGCTCTAGCCGGTGTACTGGTCATTGGCGCCGCCGCCAACTATGGCCGTATCATCATCCTTCGCATCGTTGGTGAGCGCATCGTCTCTAGACTTCGTTCTAAGCTTTTCCGTCAAACTTTTATCCAAGACGCCGAGTTCTTTGATGCCAACCGCGTTGGTGATCTGATTTCTCGACTGGGCTCCGACACCATCATTGTCGGTAAGAGTATCACCCAGAATTTGTCTGACGGACTACGTGCCGCCGTAAGCGGTGCAGCAGGCTTCAGTCTGATGGCCTACACCAGCCTGAAGTTGTCCAGTATCTTGTTCTTGTTGCTTCCGCCAATCGGTCTGGGTGCTCTCTTCTATGGTCGCGCCATTCGGAACCTCAGTCGACAGATGCAGAAGAACCTGGGTACGTTGACCAAGATTGCGGAGGAACGTCTGGGTAATGTAAAGACAAGTCAGTCCTTTGCAGGCGAAATCATTGAGGTGAATCGCTACAACAAACAAGTCCGCAAGATATTCCAAACCGGCAAGCGAGAGTCTCTGATCAGTGCAGCTTTCTTCAGCTCGGTAAGCACTTAGGTCTATATCAATTCTTCAGCGTTTTTGCTAATGATCGTTAGACGGGACTTATGGGTAACATGACGGTGCTGTGTCTTCTCTACGTTGGAGGTGGAATGGTCCAATCTGGAGCCATCACCATCGGAGAGTTGACCTCTTTCCTAATGTATACAGCGTACGCTGGCTCCAGCATGATTGGCCTTTCCAGTTTCTATTCTGAGCTCATGAAAGGTGTCGGTGCCGCAAGCCGACTCTTCGAGCTCCAGGATCGAAACCCGACCATCCATCCGACCAAGGGCAGGAGAGTGGAGTCCGCACGTGGGCCTATCCGCTTTGAGAATGTCACCTTCAGCTATCCCACTCGTCCTGCAGTGACCATTTTCAAGAATCTGGACTTCGAGATTCCGCAAGGAACTAATGTTGCTATCGTCGGACCTTCTGGAGGTGGCAAGTCAACCATTGCGTCCCTTCTACTCCGTTTCTACAGCCCTACTGCTGGTAGAGTTTTGATCAATGGCACGGACATCAGTGGGATGAACGCCAAGTCTCTTCGACGAAAGGTTGGCGTTGTATCCCAAGAACCTGTTCTTTTCTCTGGTACTATTGCGGACAACATTGCATACGGCCTGCCAGATGCGCCCCGATCAGAGATCGTTGCTGCGGCCCGCAAGGCCAATTGCCAGTTCATCAGTGACTTCGTGAGTACCAAGCCGGATATTTATTTCCTACAAATACTAATAATACGATAGCCCGATGGCCTTGATACGCATGTTGGAGCCCGCGGTGCGCAATTGTCCGGTGGACAGAAGCAGCGCATTGCTATTGCCCGCGCGCTAATCAAGAACCCCGATATTCTGATTCTCGACGAGGCTACGTCGGCGCTCGACGCCGAGTCGGAGACCCTAGTCAACAGTGCATTGGCCGCTTTGCTACGGGGCAACAACACGACCATCAGTATTGCTCACCGTCTTTCCACAATCAAACGCTCTGACACGATCATTGTCCTTGGACCCGATGGCACAGTCGCCGAGCAAGGCTCATACACAGAGCTTAGCGCCCGCCCAGATGGAGCTTTCACCAAGCTGATGGAGTGGCAAATGAGTGGTGGGGAAGCCACTCAGTCTCCCAAACGGGCTGTAGAACCCGAAGAGCTTTGGGAACTACAGAGGGAGACTGAGGCGGAGCCAGAAGTGTCGGACGAGGAAATTGTTGAACAGCCGCCCCACAAAAAGGATTAGACAAAGGGCTCTCTTATTTCATTTTCTCCTCTCATATTCATCTAGCGGAGTCCGGTGAGGGCTTGTAAGTCTTGCATACACTCAACTGTTTGAGAACTCTCCCTTCTCATACATCACTTTTTTTTTCTTTGGGCTCTTTGTTTTTGGCGATAGATACTATACGAACCTGCAACTATGTATAAACAATCAATATACTGGACTACACCACTTCAACTTTACCTCATTTTTGAGTATGTGTGACCATGCGTACCACATGGTCATAGTCATTTGCGCCCGCATTCTTTTCTCCACTTTCGGTCACGTGGACCCGTCCGAGGTCCCCGCTGATTCATCCGAGCTGTAACATCCCCTCACGAGCTCTCCTACAAGATCACTGTGCTTTCTGCGCTTCAAATCCTGTTCGGACGAACAGGTAAATCCGAATCTCAGTCATGGAGCGAGCCCGCAGAGTCATATCAGACTCCGTAGCATACGAACCTCTGGAAGACTCCGTGGACGACGATACTAATCCGGAACACTCTCAGTCCCAGCCGCGGTCTCGCTTTTCGCGGCTTGAATATGGCGTTTTCTTTCTTTTGGGAGTAAGCATGCTATGGGCATGGTAAGTCAAATCCAGGGGATCATTTTCGCACAGCGCGGAACCCCCGATAAGCTCGTGGAATTAACCTTCGTAATATGATAGGAACATGTTATTAGCTGCTGCACCTTATTTTCACCAACGCTTCGAGTCGAATGAGTGGACTGCGACACATTACCAACCCTCCATCATGTCTGTCTCGACGGTCACGAATCTTATTTCGGCATATACTCTCGCCAGAGTGCAGAAGAATGTCTCTTACCCATGGCGCGTGACGCTAGCGCTATTGATGAATTGCTTTTTCTTCACTCTCCTTGCAATTTCCACAATCACATTTGAAGGCGTTTCGGCCAAGGGATACTTTGCCTTCCTGATGGTGATGGTATGGGGTGCCAGCTTGGCTACGGGTATCAATCAGAATGGAGTCTTTGCATACGTTTCGAGCTTTGGCAGGGAAGAATATACGCAAGCAATTATGAGTGGCCAAGGTGTGGCGGGTGTGTTACCTTGCATTGTCCAGATTATCTCTGTCTTGGTAGTACCCAGAAAAGCCAAGGGTGATCACGGGTCTCAGGCATTGTCACCGAAGTCTGCCTTCGGCTACTTCATGACTGCCACTGGTGTATCAGTGCTGACATTACTGGCTTTTCTCTATCTTCTCCGAACTCGTCCTGATCTGCAGATTAAGTCTACGGAGGAAGAAAATGCAGCTCTAGTCGACGATGACCGTGTGCATGATAAAACCGTGAGTTTGTGGACACTCTTCAAAAAGCTTCGATACCTGGCCATTGCAGTTTTTCTATGCTTCACAGTCACCATGCTGGCATTCCCGGTTTATACTTCAACAATCTTCTCGGTCAATGATCCTGAGAAATCACGGATATTCGATCCGTCCGTCTTCATTCCATTGGCATTCTTGTTCTGGAATGTAGGGGACCTTCTTGGAAGGTTGCTCGTGGTTGTCCCTGGGCTATCTCTTGGTCATCGCCCGTGGGTCGCCTTTGTTTTCTCCGTTGCACGCGTCGGGTTTATCCCGCTTTATCTGTTCTGCAACGTGAAAGGCAATGGGGCTCTTGTCTCGAGCGACTTTTTCTATCTTTTCATTGTGCAACTTCTCTTCGGAATTACAAATGGGTATTTGGTTTCTAGCTGCATGATGGGTGCAGGCCACTGGGTGTCTCCTCACGAGCGGGAAGCCGCAGGTGGATTTATGAGCATGATGCTGGTCGGTGGTTTGACTGCTGGTAGCTTATTGAGCTTCTTGGTGGCCAATTAATCATCGCTCCGGTTTTTCATATCTTTCAGTCTGTTGGTTTCTCATGCCCAGGTGGTGTTTAATGACTTACGATACTATATTTCGGTTTTAGAACTAGTGCATATTACATACAATATATTTGATGTCATTTCATCCTTAATCTTATTCATCCTATTGCTATTTCAATCCAATTAAAAGCGTTGATACCTGCACATAGACATGATTTCCGACACATCCTTTGAAGAGAACAAATATATCCAAAATTGATAGGACCATTACTGGACTCGACATGTATATCTCATTAATTTGATCTAGCTGTTTGACTTGCCAGATCACCATCAGATGTTACTGTGTTCTTGATTGGTTATGGCTTACTAGTTCGATGCGGGCACTTAGGCCATCACGCTTGATGCCTTACGCTAACGCGTCTCTGCGGTCGCGTTTATTCCTTATTACCCCTCATCTTTCCTATTGAATGGCCGAATTTACAGCCTACGACTACTATCGAAGAGCGATAGAAATTTTCTTGCCCATGTCTTTAGGCCCTTGTGGCGGCGGTAGCGGCAGCTTCTGCCAGACATTTGTTTTTCCATATGCCCACTGAAGCATTGAAGACGATGCAAGTCGCGAGCATGACGTCCGCAATATCGTTTGGGGATTCAAATTCGGGGTTCCAGATGGGTGTGAACCATGGCTCGGTCACTAACCACTTCCATATGCCCTTAGAAGAAAAGGAAGAGAAACATCCTAGGCCTCGTAAGTCAACAGAAAAGCCTAAAACTGGAATATCAGGCTCACCCATTTCATCCAAGGTGATCAACCTCAAGCCCGCTATGTAATCCCACCTTTGGAAAATCGTCACTTTACTGGCCGTGACTTCACGCTAGATCAGCTTGAACAGAAATTATTTCTACAAGCGGATACAGCAAAATTAGCTCTCTTCGGACTAGGTGGTATCGGCAAAACACAAGTTGCTCTTCAGCTTGCGCTCTGGGTGCAAGCGCATATACCAGACTGCTCAATTTTCTGGGCTCCTGCCCTTAGTCTCGAGAGTTTTGAACAGGCTTGTTCGCAGATCGCGAGAGAGCTGCAAATCCATCAGGTATCAGACGGTGAAAGTGCGATGGAGCTAGTACACCGACAGCTCAGTTCTGATAAAGCTGGAAAGTGGCTTCTCATTGTCGATAATGCCGATGACGGGGACTTGCTTTTCGATGAGCTTGATCAATATTTTCCTGCGAGCAACAAAGGCGTTATCTTACTCACTACGCGTTCCCGCGATGTGGCACTATCGTTCGCAGGAAAAGATATAGTTGAGCTCCAAAAGATGACAACGGAGGAAGGCATCGCTTTTCTTACAAAGATTATAGGAGAAGACTCGCTATGTGACCAGGACTCGACTATAAAATTGCTGGACGAGCTGAATTTCCTACCCCTAGCTATTGCACAGGCAGCTTACTATATTTGTCGAAATAATGGAACGACCACACGGTATCTTGAGCTCATGCATAAAACCGAAAATGATCGGATGCGTCTAGCGAGCAGGGACTTCCACGATAGCACTCGCTACCGCAAAATGCCAAACGCGGTGACTACCACATGGCTTATTTCATACAACCAGATCAAAAGCTCTGATCCATCTGCTTCTGATTTGTTGGGATTCATATCTTACCTCGAGCCGAAGGCAATCCCCCGATCTATTCTTCCTACCCTCGATTCGGAAGAGGAGATGGAGTTTGCAATCGGTACGCTGTGTAGCTATGGATTTCTCACCAGGAGGGATAATGAGAACATGTTTGATATGCATAGCCTCGTACAGCTATCGACCCGAGTATGGATGACAGAGGCTCGGAAGACACAACAGATTATCGCGACTTTAACGCAACATATGGACAAGCTTTTCCCATCTAATGAATACACAAATCGTGACATATGGAGGATGTACCTACCCCACGCCCTTGAAGTCCTTAGAAGGGAGGAGAGCCAAGGTTTGAGCGAGAGGTACACCTTACTTTCCAAAGTTGGGAAATGCATTCTAGCGGATGGCCGAGCGAAAGAAGCTGTCATTCTTTTTGGAGACGTGTGTGCATGGAATGAAAGCCATTATGATGAAGGACATCCCTCTCGACTAGCATCTCAGCAATCTCTCGCATGGGCATATCGATCCAACGGGCGGATCAAGCAGGCCGTGGAGCTACTTGAGCACGTGGTCGCGGTGCAAGAGAGAACGCTTGTTGAAGAACATCCCTCTCGACTAGCGTCTCAGCACGAACTCGCCCAGACATATGAATCTAACGGGCAGATCAAGCAGGCCATAGAGCTACTTGAGCACGTGGTGGCGGTAGAAGAGAGAACGCTTGATGAAGAAAATCCCTCTCGACTAGCGTCTCAGCATACTCTCGCACAAGCATATTTACCCAACGGGCAGATCAAGCAGGCCATAGAGCTACTTGAGCACGTGGTGGCGGTAGAAGAGAGGACGCTAGATAAAGAACATCCTGATCGACTAGTGTCTCAGCATACTCTCGCACAGGCATATTTATCCAACAGGCAGATCAAGCAGGCCATGGAGCTTTTTGAACATGTGGTCGCGGTGCAAGAGAGAACGCTAGATGAAGAACATCCCAATCGCCTAGTGTCTCAGCACGAACTCGCACGAGCATTTCAATCCAACGGGCAGATCAAGCAGGCCGTAGAGCTTCTTGAACATGTGGTCGCGGTGCAAGAGAGAACGCTAGATGAAGAACATCCTTCTCGGCTGATGTCTCAGCACGAACTCGCACGAGCATATTTATCCAACAGGCAGATTGAGCAGGCCGTGGAGCTTCTTGAACATGTGGTCGCGGTACAAGAGAGAACGCTTGATGAAGAACATCCTTCTCGGCTGATGTCTCAGCACCAACTCGCACGAGCATATTTATCCAACAGGCAGATCGAGCAGGCCGTGGAGCTTCTTGAACATGTGGTCGTAGTGCGAGAGAAAACGCTTGATGAAGAACATCCCAATCGACTGGAATCTCAGCACGAACTTGCACGGGCATATCGATCTAACGGGCAGATTAAGCAGGCCGTGGAGCTTCTTGAACATGTGGTCACGGTGCAAGAGAGAACGCTTGATGAAGAACATCCTAATCGACTGGAATCTCAGCACGAACTCGCACGGGCATATCGATCTAACGGGCAGGTCAAGGAGGCTATGGAGCTTCTTGAACATGTGGTCGCGGTGCAAGAGAGAACGCTTGACGAAGAACATCCTGACCGACTAGCATCTGAGTGTGCGCTCCAGGACATAAAGCAGTCAACTAAAGTAGAGATCATGGAGAACATGCTCTCGTTATCTCTCACTGATATTGGAGCTTAGTCGAACTGCTCTTCCATGAATAAATATGCTGTATATAGTCTCACTAAACGCCATTTTTATTTCTTTATTCTGCTTTAATGTGGCACCCATATGAATGAGTAGATTAAGCCTGGAACGAATAGTGTAACAGGATGTGATAATACTATGTGGTATATTGGGCCAAGTGTAGGAAAGGGGCTAACTGTATGCAATTAGAAGTATAATGGCACTAGGGATTGGAAAGGAGACAGAAGCTACTGTTAGCATAGCCAAATAACAAAAGACAATCCAATGGCGAATATCAGGCTAAACATGAGCAATCTTGCCGGATATTTCCCACTAATCGTCTTCCCCTTTGGGATTCGGACGACGCCTTTTCCCTAGAACGACATAAACATTGCCGAGCCATTCCACGGTCTAGACGTTCCTTCATCTCTCAACAAGGAACTTCAATAATTGTTTTTTATTATCTCTGTCTATTCGCATTCCCCACTCATCTGCCGCAATATTCGAAAGCCAAAGCCCTGGCGATTGAAACTCTTTGTTACCTTTTCACGCTGGATCTTGGCTCTTCGAAATCCGGTTCATCATGATTTCCGCTTGGTCGATTATTTCGGCTCTTTTCATACTAGTAAGTGCAAACTGACCTCCTTGATTGATATAACACGGGCAAATCATCTCATGAAGATCACTCACAGGCGTTGGTCTATGTCTCGGGATGGACGACGTACACTTTGTATCTGCATCCGCTACGCCGGTACCCAGGTCCCAGGCTTGCAGCCATTTCGCCGCTCTTCCACCTGCTTTGGGATATCCAGGGAAGACAGCACTCTGTTATCAAAGCCCTGCACGATAAATACGGGGATTCGGTTCGAATTTCCCCCAATACACTGGTCTACCGAGCTCCGTCTGCTTGGAAAGATATCTATGGTCACCGGCAAAAAGGGCAGAAGACATTTCTCAAGGATCCCTCTCTGTATGCACCGACTCCAAATGGGGTAAATGCTATCATCACCGCAAACGAGCATGATCATCAGCGTATGCGCCGTCTTCTGGCACATGCTTTCTCCAGTAAAGCGCTCAATGAGCAAGAGGGTATCCTTCATACATACGCCGACATGCTGGTCGATAAGCTAGGGGATTTACTGTGCGAATCGCCCTCTACAGTCATTGATCTAACCCGTTGGTTCGACTTTACTACCTTCGATTTGATCGGTGACCTAGCTTTCGGTGAGCCTTTTGACTGTCTTGCCAACAGTACATATCATTGGTGGGTACTCATCATTATGGATGCTGTCAAGGCAAGTGCGTATCTGAAAGTCTTCTGGTTTTATCCGCTTCTGCTTCCATTCGTTGCTCTGTTAGTTCCAAAGCATCTTCTCGAGAAACGTACCGCCAGTTTCAATTTGAGCGTGGACAAAATGCGCCGCCGGCTCAACAGCAAGGCTACCAGACCCGACTTTACCTCATATATCCTCAAGCATAGCAAGGGCGGGTTGGGGCTCTCGCCGTCCGAGATAGATGCCAATGCCGCTGTTTTTGTGCTTGCCGGTAGCGAAACAACTGCCGCTCTTCTTTCAGGGTGCATGTACTATCTGCTTTGTCACCGTGACAAGTACAACCGACTTGTTCAAGAAATCCGCGACGCTTTTCAGAAACCTTCTGAAATCAAGCTATCACGTCTTTCCGCGCTTCCATACCTCAATGCAGTTTTGACCGAGACTCTTCGCATCTACCCTCCTATTCCTGCTATGCTGCCGCGCCTTGTACCAGAAGGTGGAGCCTTGGTCAATGGAGCATATGTGCCTGCCGGTGTAAGTACCGTTCGATCACTTGACCTTCTCGTCATTTCCGTCGGATTTGGTCATGAATTGTCATCTGTATACTAACTAATCACAGGTCTCGGTCTCGGTCTCTTTGTATTCTACTTTCCGCGCATCCACTCACTTCAAACATGCCGACTCCTTCATCCCAGAGCGCTGGCTCACCGGCGAGGAGTCCAAGGACTTCGCCTCCGATAACAAAGAAGCCTTTTACCCATTCTCATATGGACCACGGAATTGTCTGGGACAGCAGTAAGTAAGCCTCAAACAATGGAAATTTCCCCTGTCTTCAATATCCCTGTCCAGAAACTAATAGCTCGGGTAGTCTAGCTAACGCAGAAATGCGTCTGATTCTTACAAAGCTGCTATGGCATTTCGACTTTGAGCTTCAATCAGAATCCCTGAACTGGGCTCAGCAGAGCTCTTTCTCTCTTTGGTCTCGCCCCGCTCTTATGGTGAATTTTGTCCGTGCTGGGGCTGAGGGTTAATCTCGTTTCGTCTCTGTGCTTTGGCTCTCGCTCGACATCATTGTGGATTCCGTTTTCATATTTTATTTCGTTTAGCTTTGCTTTTGAATGTAGATTTTATCTCATGCGATGTTAACACCTGGGCAATCTACCCTGTATGAAGTGCAGATTGGTTTTTTTCGATTCGCATCTCGGAGCGTTGACATCCTTTTGCTCTTTATTGTGTAAAACTATCTAAATGTGTATTGACTCAAATTTGGGATCGAATCGAAAGATAGTGAATAAATGAAGTATTCGTGGGACATGGTGAAATATCGGCAACCTTGGAAATGCAAGTTGGCGGAAGTATACCCTAAACAAGATTCAAAGTGCCCTCCTTCAAAGTAGGATGGCATTGGGAGACAAAGAGATCTACTGTTGGTTGGATTGTTTTCAAATATCACGTAGAACAACATATGCATTTTTGCAAATTCTATATGCAACCCACGCCTAAAGACTAAAAAGCTGCAACCTCGGAACTCCTCGCCGTGATGATATTGAACAGAAAAAAAAGACCCATACCCAAAGATGCAATACTCCGTTAATATGCACACAGAATCAGGAAATGCTTAGACAAAATATACGTAGGGAAACGCCTAGTTTAGAAAAAGTCCTGCTCAGCCAGCCATTGTGAATCCATGGCATAAGCAACAAGATCAGCCGCACAACACATATCCTCATGACCATGTTGCAGGTCCAAAAGACTGAGCACTGAGTTGAGTCTACCCTCGAGCGTCTGCTTGAGCTGTGCGACGCGGGCTTGTAGATCTTTGGTCTGCCGCTCTTTTATGACAGTACCAGTCACGCTTTGATCCTTTTGTTTGGTCGTTTTGCCTGTAATTGATTGTCTTTCCATTGCCCTATTGGGAGAACAGGGGGCCAGAGCATTTCTTTGCGGCTGCACTACTGGTGCCTGAGGAGCTTCGGGCTTTCTGTTCTTCAACAGATTCTTCAAAATGAATAGTAGCCAAACCAAATTGGTTCGTGGTGCATACTCTGCCCAGATACCCGGGATGTTGGGAGTCTTCTCTGTTTCGGAAGGGTTTCCTGTGTAGACTGTTGCGCGCATACTAAAGAGAGGCGTTAGTTATACATCTTCCTTGTGGGCCGAACGTTTGAAGCATCAACTTACTATCTATAAGTGTCTCTCAGCAAAATCTCGTCCTCATCCTGGCCAATGGCATCAAAAATCTGCTTTTTATCCAAATCTGACGAGGCATTCTCAACAATGCCCTCTGGGTCGTCTGGCAGATCGGCTAAGCGCAAGTCGGCGCGCGAGAGGGAGTAATCAATGATAGTAGTCTCCAATGCACTAATTCCAAATCCACTAGGGGATTGCTGGCGAGCGATCTCCATATCTGTGGGTGGTTCCATTGAACCATCTGGTCGAGTAGACCGAATGCATACATTTCCCAAATGAAGATCTCGGTGCTAATTAGAAGTTTAGTTAGCCGGAAATCACACCACAATATGCCCCGGGTTAAAAACTCACCTCAAAGAGAGCATACTCCTCGGCACGAGCCAAAGCCATAGCCACACCCCAGAAAATGTCATAGATCTGGAAGGTCGATGACCAGGAAAATTTCTCTAGTTCGCACCCCGCATCATCCATCTCTATTATTGCCCATAACTGGGTATCTGGGTACGCCTTTTTGTTCGCCGGGTTCGGATTCATGCAGTCATTCTTGGTCTTTTTGTAGTGATCCCAAGCACTCTGGAAGGTTTCGGGGAAGCGACCTTGTACCACGTGAATCTCTCGAAAGCGGGCAAACCCAGGAATTGGATCTAGATACTTGAGCATTTTGACTTCGGAGACGATTTCGTCGATGCTCGTGAATTTCTTCGATCCTGGGCCGCTTTGTGCTCGAAGTGGTACCACTTTGAACACACCGTCCCCATACGCTCTGAGTTTTGCCAGTTTAGACTTTGACACTGCTGGTCGACTGCCTTCCTCGCGTAAATGTAGCTTGTAGACCTCTCCGTATGAGCCTTCGGCTAGCTTCGCGACATGAAACATAGTGACGGATCGTGAGGCCCAGGTGCTGAATATTTGAATGCTTTGCGATGATAGTGGTGATAGAGCTTCGTTGAGAATTGGGCGAACGTAGGCGTTGGCCTTGGTGTCGTGAACAAATCCAGATGATCTTCGCGCTGTGGGTGTCTTCTTTCGTGCTGCTCTTTCCTTGGGGAGTATAGTTTCGGTCTTGTCTTTGACTATTGTGATTTCCGGCTGGGCTGCTTTGGGAGCAATTCTGACCTCCACCATCGTTTCATAGTTCTTTTTATCGGGGGCCTCGAGGGAAGGTCGTTTGATCGGGATGTGCGCATGTTCTGGAGGGGGTGAACTTGTCGGCTCATCATAATCTCGAGTCTCTGGACTGGCTGTCTGTTCCTCCGGGTTCTCTGTTAGACGCAGAGTGCTGGTCTCCTGGACCGAAATTGGCTTCTCAGTGATGGACACCTTGGCCAACTTGGCCTGAATGGCTTCTACCGCCTTGTCTAATTGTTGGGGGCGCTCGATTGCCCTTGCCGGGCTCTTTTGGTCGAACACTGCTCTGGGCGCATTGTTTCTCTTCTTGCCGTAGACTTTCCGCTGAGCGACTGTTCTGGTGGAGGGTTTCCGAGGTGGTGTTTGTGTCGCGTGACCCAGTGGCGAGGGCGACTGCGTTGTCATTGTTGTTGCAGTCGCTACTGGTGAGCTCGGTACTTTAAGCGATCATATATGAGCGAGGAAACTTGACAGTGGTGAGAGTAAAGGCCGTGGGGAAATAATTCAGACTACTGACGAGGCATTTTGTTCAAGGAGCGAAAGTATTGATCTTTATCCGAATACGGCTTAGCGCAACCGTTGCTCTGGTGAAGCATTCTTCTTAGGTCAGCCAATCACAGCTTTATATTATACGTCATATGGGGAATAGATCGATCGTGAAATAGTTTTTGAAGATGTACGTTTGTAAATATTTGTCAATATCCCTATTGTACAAAGCTTCATGATTTGATCACATGGTCAATGCTAAAGTGCTGAGCTGGATGAAACCCCCTCCGGTTCCAGGTGTCAGTTTAAGGGATTTTCTAGAGGTCTGGAGTGCTACGTTACTTCCAAGATTGTTCTGATATATATTATCCACATTCAAACGCATCAGGCATGCTGAACAGCTTCCAAGGTTTACAAAGGCAGGGAGTCAATAGAAGACGAGTCGGATGCCAAGGTAGTTCGCGATGATTCCTCTTCTCTGTCTTGATGTATAGCTGCAGCAAGAGTATATACACCCTGGACCAATGAGAGACTTTCCGTATTGCGGCGCATCTGGCCCCGAGTACGGATAGACTATAAGACGCCAAAAGACGAAAGACCCGAACGTGTGGGCTGGACTCAGACCCTCGTGAGATCGGCACAGGTCATGCCCGTTTTTGGCCCGCGTAAAACATCGCCGGCCATCGCGTTTCAATGTTTTGTTTCCCCCCTTTCCCCAGTGCTATTCTCGGATTGGTGGCGCCGGATTAAAAGGAGACTTATGCATCCCATACTGCTCCGTGAAAGCTAAATGAATTGTGAATGGTCCAGTGAAGCCCCAAGTGGGAATGTCTTCGGGCCTGGTCGGAAAGAGTGGGACCGGCTGCACAAAGTCGAAGATGTGACGTACCCGGACTTGTTCTGGATTCTGGATTCTCTACCGTCATGCAGTATGATCAAATCAAGTAGAAACAAGAAAAGTACTGAAAGAAAGGGAACTGAAACATGAGTAGAAATCTGATTAAAATAAGGAAGAAAATGATGTTGTAAAAGGCAAGAGGTCAGACCCTGTGACTTGTGTGACCTGTGACCTCGGGATCTTCTTTTTTCTTTTTTTTTCTTTGCGCCATTCCTCCTGAATTCGCCTCCACTTCCCCGGCGCGCCCTTCTCGTTAACCTTCCAGTTTTCTACTCGCTTCATTTCCTTCTCAATGCGAGGGCATGGCGTTCAACTTCAACTGGTCGCCTTTAATGGCGGACGCGGGTTTTTACACTCGTGCCCAAGAACTGCTTACAGCCGCCCTCAATAAGTCCCCGAAACCCCCCATCATTGTCGATGATATTATCGTGACCGAACTCAACCTGGGCTCCATGCCCCCTGATTTGGAAATCTTGGAGATCGGTGACCTGGCAGAGGATCGCTTTCGCGGCATTTTTAAGATGTCCTATTCCGGAGACGCCTTTTTGACCCTCAAAACCAGAGTCCAAGCCAACCCACTCAACACCTACTTGATCACCCGCCCTTCTTTTGCATCGCCCAAACCACTGGCAGCCGCGTAAGTGTCTCCGCGACTTGTGCGCCGGTCGCAGCGGTCGTAGCGCCATGCTAACCTGGATCGCAACCTAGTACCCCGCTCACTATTCCTCTCCAAATCACACTCTCGGATTTTAAGCTCTCCGGCTTCGTCATACTGGTTTTCTCCAAACAAAAGGGCATTACTGTCGTCTTTCGCAATGATCCACTTGAGTCGCTCAAAGTCTCGTCAACCTTCGACTCCATTCCCTTCGTGCGCGACTTCCTCCAGAAAGCGATCGAAGCTCAATTACGCATACTTTTCATGGACGAACTGCCGGCCATCATTCATCGGTTGTCGCTTCGCCTATGGGTTCCCGATTATCGCGCAGGGGAGGATGCACAGAACCTGACAGAGAATACCAACCAAGCGACCACCGAAGGTCCCGGCCAAGACCCGCTGGCGAGCCCACCACAGGACCCTGTCGACTCGCTCGGAAATGCGCTGAACGAATCCGAAATTGCGTCTCTGTCTTTAGACTCCTCAGTCGAGACCCATTCTCTATTCTCACAGAAGAACCTACTGCGCCTCGCTGCTCTGACGGATTCCCAACGCACCCTGTCGCTCTTCACACCCTCTATTAATGAGGTGGTATACCGAGCCTGGACATCTCCTTCTGATCCCAGCGAGTTCCCTGCTAGCATAGCATCGCCCTTGAGTCCTACTTTGTCTCGAACCCATTCGCAAGTCGGTAGTATGTCGTCATCTGTACACGAGACCGGTAGCACTGTCTCTATGCAAAGCCGACCCTCTATATCAAGCCATTCGCTCAGTAGTTATGGTCTCAGCTTGGGCGCGGGACGCCACTCCAAGGCTCATTCACGTAAACGCAAGAAGCGTGTGGTGGATTTGCGTCGTCCCAAGACGACCGATGATGCTATGAGCGTGAGTGACGATGGCAGCCTCACCGAGTCTACCGGTCCTCAATCGATTGTCTCTGCGCCCTTGCCAGTGGTGAATGAGCAGTCTGACGATCCGGTGACCCCGCCATTATCGCCCGAGTCAGACTTCCACCTCCAGACAATTCCCGAACGGGACCGGATGAGCATCTCCCGACCTGCCCACCCTCGGATTACCATGGCAGACGAGGAACCATACGCCCATGATACAATACGCGCCTCCCAGGTTCTGGATGTGGATGCTACTCCTCGGCCCCTGCGATCCACCTTCCACGACGAGAAGGCCGAAGCCGGCCCTTCCTCAGGTGCTGCTCGCCACCCCTTGCCTGCTACTGTGCTTCCATTCACCAAAGAAGATGAGGAAACCAAGGGAGACTCTGTTGATCCTCTTCTTGTCGAGCGACTAGCGGGTGAAATTGCCCGTCGAATGCGGGAAGATAAGCTCATAAACAACGCCTGCAGCAACTTCTGGGCTCGCTCACAGGATGATGCACCCCCCGGCCTATGGCCATTGAACACAACTCTTTCTTTTTTCTCTTCCCTCTCGAGCAAGACTCACTTTTAATGACCGCTACGACTTTATTTTGTTTTTCTATTTTTCCCTTTGTTGATTTGGATCTGGATTGCTTGGTAGCGGGATTGTACAAAAATTGGGTTTCTGTGCGGACTTTTGGCGTGGAATTTCTTTGCGAGGCTTACTTTATTGGTTACTCTTTTTTCTTTTGGGATACCACACTCACTCGAGTTTATTATTTTGTATTATCTTCGGTTTCAGGCATACAGGAGGATATACAGGAAACAGGAATATGAACTTGATTTTGGTTTTAGATGTCATGTGTCGATACAGTAGTAGGAAAACTGGAGAATTGCGTGGGGGCGCTAGTGCCCGGCGCAGCTTAGCTCCGCACTTCATTTCTCTCAACCTCCTTTCCCTTCCACCCATCTTCTCGTCTCCATCCAACCATGGCGGGTATGCTCAAGAACGTATTTGGCAGCCAGCCATCTGGTGCTGGCTCCGATAATGGTAAGCCTTATCTTGCGCAATTGCATCTTCGAGTAATCTCAATCTGACCGCAGATCTTCCGTAGATTTCGCCGACTTCGTCGAGGCCCCGAACCCATCGCCTGCGTCCCTTATCGCCGACACGACTACCGTCGCGGCTGCTAATACGCATGGCGCCATTGCTCCTTACACAGCATGGTACCGGATCTGGGAACGAACCTCTCCCAAGGACTTCATGCAGGAAGCTATGATCCTGCCTTTTGTCGTACTCTTGGTCCTCTTCCATGTCTGGGGTACAAGGAAAAACCGCCGCAAGGCGCGGGAGTGGGCCCAAGCTCACGTTCCCTCTCTCCAAAAGGAGTTTGCTGTCGTTGGATTCGATGGCATTTCCCGCGCCAACGAGGATGAGACGATCACCGTGGAATTGGCCAACCCGGAGAAGAGCCTGAAGGAGAAGTCGGCCCACGAGTTCTCTACTTATGCGACCGGTCGCCAGAATGTTGCTTTCCTCGATATTTCCCTGAAGATGCCCAAGCGCTACAACCCCATCACCTACCTTATGGAGTACGCCTTCAGCTTCTTCTTTGAGAGCTGGGAGGCCCCCAGTGAGAAGTACGAGGCTCTCATGTACGCATTCGATGGCAAGGAGAAGGATTTGGTTCCGGTCTTCGCCAAGGATACTCCCCTGAAAGTGAACAACTCGACTTACGACGGATTCATCTGGGCCGTGGTTCACAAGAGCCACATGCGCAAGTTCCGCACTGATCGCTACGATGCCTCAATCACATTCTCCAAGGATCACCCCAAGCTTCCCTCTTGGGTTACCGTGATGTCTGAGAGCGCTGAGATCACCGAGACTCTGCTTACCAAGGAACTCATCCAGGCCATCGAGCAGGCTGGCAATGACTTTGAGTTCTTAATTGTGACTGACCAGCCGATCGATAAGCCTACCAAGTAAGCCGTCCACTCATACTGGCTCTGCATTTCATCAAGCTAATGTTCCCCTTAGGATTGATGAGACCGTCCCCAAGAAGCGTGTTCAGCTCTCTGTCAACCTTTCCTCCGCTGCCGGCTATGCCGCTACTGTCCCCCTCTTCAACCAGTTCCTGCGCTTTGGAGACAAGCTTGTCGCAGCTGCCCACTTCCGTGGTGAGGTCATGCGCAAGGTTCGCAATGTTCGTGAGGATGAAATCAAGAAGCTGCGCCGAGTCGAAGAGGAAGAGAAGGCCGAGGAGCGCAAGCTGGCTGCTGAGAAGATCAAGAAGGAAGAGCGTGAGCGTCTTCTGCGTGGTATGACTGCCGATGAGCAACGTAAGTACCTGGACCGTGAGAGCCAGAAAGAGCAGCGTCGCTCGTCGAAGCGCATGACCCGTAAGGGTTAAATGGTCCGCGAATTGGAAATCTGGGGATTATTCATTTTCTTTTCCTCTTGCATGAACTGCAGCCGAGGTTGGAGGCAAATCGCAAGGGGAAGACTGTTTTAATCTGCCTTTAACTATACCTTATTTGTCCCCAGATGTATTCATATCTTTTTATGGGCGATCGGAGGTTCAATGTCTTATATGAGGGGATTCGATGTGAAATCTAAATGTTCATTACGTATGAACGAATCAGTTTATTTAGTGCCTGCAGTATTGGCAACTACGATGTCAGTGCCTGCCCTTTGCTTAATTCATAAACCCCGAAACATACATTCCAGTGTTCCTTCGTTCTCTTCAACTGTTACAGTTCCATACCATCTACATCATTAGCTGCAACACTCGCTCATCATGCATCTTCGCGGCCTTCTCACCACTGTATCTCTTTCCCTCGGCCTATCCTCAGCCGTTGTGATACCACAATCCTCCACTCAGTTCGTCACGACAGACAATTTTCTCAATGTCACAAAGCGTCAAGGGTCCTCAATCCCATATGGACTCATCATCACCCACTGCAATGTCCCAAACACAGTTGCACTGACCTTCGACGATGGACCATTCATCTACACTGGACAGATTTTGGACACTCTTTCCAAACACGGTGCCCGCGCAACGTTTTTCCTGAATGGCGTCAACAAAGGCAACATCGATTCGTCCCACGAGTTAGTACAACGTACTTTGGCCGAAGGACATCAGCTTGGTTCCCACACGTACGTTATGTCTTCCTCAAACAACATAAAATTCCCCAGGGCATCCCACAAACTAGACCAGGAGCCGGATGAAATTGAGAGACCTATGAGACTCAAGCTAACCATCTTCTGTCCAGATGGGGCCATCTCTCCCTCGACACCCTAAGCTACAACGAAATCATCACCCAAATGACCGACCTTGAAGACGCCTTCATGCGCATCTTGGGCATCTTTCCAACCTACATGCGTGCTCCCTACCTGATGGTCACAGCGGACGTGCTGAATGCCATGACGGCCCTCGAGTACCATGTCATCGGAGCCAGTATCGACACGAAGGACTACGAGAATGATCATCCCGATGATAGCTGGCGCAGCTTCGAGAAATTCCGGGCGGAGTTGGATGCTGGCGGGACTATTGTACTTGCACATGATAGCCACCAGACCACCGTGGAGATTTTGGTAGATAATATGTTGGCGGAGATTGCATTGCGAGGGCATGAGAGTATGGTTTGCTTCCTTGATCTGGATCGGATTTGAGTGGAACATCTTTGCTAACTTGTGGTTGGTCGTAATAGCTGTTACTGTTGGCGAGTGTCTTGCGGACCCTCCTGAGTACTGGTACCGTACGAGCCGGTAGATTTCTTTTGTAAATGATGCGTTTGTAGCGATGCTTGTGGGCTTGGATTACTGGTTTGTTTTCACCGTTGGGTTAAAGCAGAGAAGCTCGTTCATTCCGAAATTGTACCTGAATATTATTATGGGCTGTGAGATGGTTGTTAGGCACAGAAATGGATTCTAAAAACGGTTTTTCCTCCGTGTAGGTACACTGCTTTTGAATGTAGATTGATGAGAATAAAGTAACTTCCCGCGTGGACTTGGTATGTTTGTGTTAGTGCTTCCATAGACAGGCCTAATTTCCTGATTTAGACCGGTATAATAGCTCCGGATTACTTTTAACCTGATTGTACAACATATGCATGCAAGCCGAAAATCAAGGCTAGGTCTGACGGGATTAGAGTTGGTAAGCAAGATTAGGTTTGATGTGTCACGATCCGTACTATGCGGGGAAGAGAGATCTACATGGGAAAAAAACAAGAATTGGTCTCAGCATCAACACAAATGTATATGATCTTCTAGTCTATCCAACTCTATACTTCGCATCTGCTCAAAAACTTCAAATATGTGCTCGCGAAGATATAAAGTGACACAAGCGCGTCAGATGCCACACAAAGGAAATTCATTCAAGACATAAAGGGGGCAGAAGCGCCTACTGCTTGCCGAAGATCTTGACCCGCTCCTCAATGGGCTTCTGGGTCTTCTCGCCAGCAGGGGCCTCGGGGCTACCGAAGACCATCTGGGCAACCAGGCGCCAGTCGGTGGGCAGGTTCCACTGCTTAGCAACGGGCTCGTTGATAAGCGGGTTGTAGTGCTGGAGGTTGGCGCCGAAGCCGAGAGACTCGAGGGCAGTCCAGACTGGTTTGTTTGTTAGTATTGGTATTGATACCAAGGGATGAGTTTGGGTGAGAACATACGGAAGTACTGGTGCATGGCGTTGGAGTGGTCGGCCCAGGGCTCGAAGTGGTCCTTGAAGGAAGCGAACTTATCCTGGAAGCCCTTGATGTGGGCGGGGTCCTCGTAGAAGAGGATCTGGGAAAAGGAGTTAGTGTGCTTTTTTACTTCTTTGCGGGTGAAGTGAGACGTACGGTTCCGTAGGCGGCCTTGAACATCTGCAGCTTGGGCAGAGTCTGGTTCTGGAAGGTCTCCGCGGGGATGGCGCCGGAAGCGACGAGGCCCTCGAAGGTAGAGGCAGCGATGTCCCAGAGACGCTCGTGCTCCTCCTTCAGGAGAACAACCAGGCGGGTGGACTGGGTGTTGAACGAGCTGGGAACGTTCAGGATAGCAGCATTGACAAGCTCCTCAATCTTAGCATCGGGGACGGGGCTGTTCTTGCCCAGCTTGTAGATGGTGCGGCGGTTCTGGGCCGCTTGGATGAGAGCATCGATAGACATGGTGGCTGAGTTGTGTACGGACTTGGAAGACTGGAATTGAGGAGTGGGAGAAGTTGAGAAAGCACGGGAGGGTAAGGAGACCTGTGACAGCGGGGCTTGGGTAGATAATAAAGTCGTTCGTGGCCGTGTAGTGGATCCCAAGGTGCGGCAGATGGAGTGGAGATTGGAAGCCGATCGAAGTGTGCGGGTTGCCATTGCTTTTATGTATCGAGTCTGTCTAGTCCTCTGATGGATATACTATTGTGACAAAGTGTGCCGGCGAAGTTCCGCGTCTTAAGTTAAACTAGTAAGCATTGACAATTGATACTTTTTTGTGGCGCGCGATGTTACTTCCGAGACCCCTGGCAACAGGGGCGAAATCGCGGAATTACGGCCTTCGGCTGAATAATAGCGGCGAAGCTTGATCATCATGACCAACCGCGAGAGGATCCACTCATGAATATACCGTGGGTCGTACTTCTCGGAAATACATAAACTTTTTTCTGGTTGTAGAAATTTCCATTGAACTTTAGAACAGGGGCTAGATAGTGACGGGGATGAGACATCATGCAGTGCGGAACTGGTCGTCGGCTTACCGATTACCAATTTCCCGGGGTCGCGGGGAATCTGGCCCATCCTTAATCTGTATACGGAGTACACTTCCCCGAATTTCATTTAAGAATAAACAGCATACGAGATACTGTAAACCAGTAGACTCATTATTTACCTATTTAAATCCCTCAGCTTAAAAATACTCGACAGACCTCTACAATTAACTTTCTGCTAGTCGAATATTGGATATATTGTGGACTTGACCTTGGCTTTGAGCACTTTAGTCTTAAGAAAAGGTTTCTCTAGACAGACCATAGCCAAAGAGCGATATTGATGATTCCTCGTACGTGACCTTGTAATTGAGTGATTGCCTGGTAGAACAAATCTTGAGGGAGGTTGTATAAGTGCCTACTGATTGTAGAAAACAGGTGCCGCATCCCATTCCAGAAAAAATGCCAGAGCCGTATAGTATAATCTTTCAATACCAGAGTAGATAAAGTATGACAGTTTCACCCATGAAGTGTGAGCTACGTAAGCAAGAGTCTCCTATAATAAGTGCTTAAAAGATAGTCGATTCAATGCATGAGAAATTCATGAAGAAAATGTGTATTGGGCATTTACAGTCCTAAATTCAAGTAATCTCATCTAACCATAACGGTTGAGAATCCATATAAACCTAGCCTATCACCAATTTAGATAGCGACAGCAACTCAGAGACCAATTTAAAACAATGTATATGTAGATAGACAAGGTTTCCTCAGGATTCTTTGCAGAAAGGGAAGTGGTCAATCATCATAGAAGCTGTGTGCCCGCTTATCCAACGAAATGCTGTATGGGACGGTGCCGAGAAGGGAAATGCAAACATTATGCGACGTTGGCGACAATGATACCGGAAGATCATTTTATTTGTCCAAGCGCCCGTTGACTTCAATTGTATTTCAATCTAATTTAGGTACACAATTAGCCAATAATCCAAAAAAAAAAGGCGGGTGTAAAATTCAATTGTGTTGACTGCGCAACTCAGAGACCCGTCTTGAAACATATTAGGATGTCCAATTTTCTCCAAGATCTTTGCAGAGATTGGAAGTAGGTCATCATCACCGAAGCCGGGGATGTAGGATGTGCATGTAGAATAAATGAACCCTGAGAGGGAAATGCGTACCTGAACCAGTCGGAGCGCTCCCGCTAGTGGGGAGTGGCGTTTATGGCGGCGGGAACTCTGCTTCCGGAGTCATTATCCAGGAATCGAGATACCACTTTTATATGGCAATTATTTCCTGTAGAACGAATCGGAACAATCGATCGGTAGCTCCGATCGATCTTTGTTAGTTGGGCATGCTATGGAAGGGGGAGTCCTCTTTTTGCAGGTGGGATAGGTCGGAAAATGGCTCAAAGTTGCCATTTGACATTTTGATGGCTTCTCACTTTTTTCAAGGGTTGCAAAGATTTAATAACATTTCCCCTGAGCAATCTTAAATATTCGTTCCTGTGTAATGGCTAGGGCATCGGCCCTATCCCTTAACCCCTGTGTGTGCATATTTTGAATGGATCATAACGTCATTTATGGAACCGTGCGAGATGAGACCGGGTCTTCAACCCGTGGGGGTCTAATTCGGGTCTTGTTCATGCTCGATGGCTATGAAAAGAGCTTTTCTAAAGAGCTCGGAAGTTGTTTTATTCATTACGAGAATTACTGGGACATTATATTGTAGATGACTGTTGGGAATGAGATGGGAAGATTCTTCAAAGTTCTTGGCAAAGCAGAGTCGGGTAGACGGCGCAGGAGGATATGCACGGTTCAAGTGATTCTCCATAAGCGCATGTCTGTTTCTTTGAAAATGGCTCATGAGAATGTATGATTTACTTTTGAACTTTACCGTGAAATTTTACTTTGAAAATTTTCACCTTATATGTATTTTGAGCCTCATCTCAAGGTTCAGGAAAAGAGATCCAACACTTGTGAGTGGCGTGACTCTCAGTCCTGATCGTTGGCCTAAACCGCTTCAGGTAACTGTTCGTCGGATGACATCACTGATCGTCCTCGCCGTTGAGATAGATGAACCCAACCTTCAAATATGTCCATTTTGTTTTGCGGAGTCATAGCAAAGACTTTTCTTTTCTCCTCGAGGAAGCCCGAGGCGTGAGAGCAATGAAGTGATATGCACCAGGCTAGACCTGATAATATAAGTAGTGGATATGAGAACTTTCTCTCTTTCGACAAAAATTCCAGACTTCATTATCATTCATCTCGATTTAAGTTATTTTCCCCTCTGTGATTGGGACTTTCAGCACTGAACCAGTCAAAAGAGAAAGATAATCGCAGAATTAGTGTCTCCGACTTCCAGAAGACAAGAACTATATTGGAAGCAAAGCCATCACAAATTAGTCATAATTAGAACAAAAACAGTTTATTTCATGTGCAACATGTCATGACCTGAACATCCATCGTTACAAAAACCAGTCTAAGCCTGCGACTGGCTCTCCTCACCCGACACCGTCTTCTGCGCATTATTCCCCCAGTCACCCATTCTAACAGCAACAACCTTATCCCGCTGAACCTTGCGCTGGTGTCGACCCCACAAGAGGAACAAACCACCTGCGATCAAAGCAGCACCCACAACACATCCGACAACAATACCAGCAATTTGCCCCCCAGACAGCCCTCCAGACTTGGCTGTGCTGGTGCTCGTAGCTGTGGCAGTAGCAGTTGATGTAGCAACCGATACATTGAAGCAGAGAACGTCGGTCGTAAAATCAGCCAGCGCGACATATGTTATGTCCGCGCAAGCATAGTAAGTTTGGTTCGTGTCGGTGTCGAATGTGGACTGGTACTTCAGCTGTAGCGTGGCGTTGTCACCCGAGGATGTATTTGAGGGTGCGTTTGGAATGGAGTAACATTCGTGTCCTGGGTAGAGTTCTGGGAAATTGCTGCCTGAGACATCGGTTACGAAGTCACTGTTCGAAGTTGGATCTGGATTATGATGGGAAAATTAGTTCACGACATTATTTCTTGCTGGTACCCTCGAAGAACTTACTGCTGTGGTAGGAGATGGCAAGGTTGACATTGTAAGACTCGTCCTGCAGGACCAATGATACCTCGCCATTGGCTGTAAAAGTTAGCAAATGGATGTAGTTTGTCGGGAGAGGCAAAGTATTACTGAGAGGGAATTCTGTCCGGTTGCCAATATCTGCGTTTGACCCGCATGGAGCGGTATTATCAGCAGCGCTCGACCAAGCCCGATCAGGAGGCCACAGAAAGGCCGCTGGGCCCATATCTGTGGCAGTATCTGCAGCTTGACATGGAGCAAAGGAAAGACTGGCAAGAGCCAGAAGAGCTGTATATCCTCGCATGGCTGTGTACATCTTTTTATCTTGATATGATGTCAACAAAAAGACAGCTGCAGGAGTACAAGATTAAAGAAGAAGAAGAAAGCCTGATTCGACGAAAAGAAGATCGGCAGTCACATTAAATATTCATTGACACAAGCCAAAGCTCCGAGGAGACGCTAAGTCCCGAATGACAGACGATGTCGGTAGCACGTACCGACAACCAAAGAACAAAAATTGTGGAATCGATCCACAACTTTGAGTTCCTTTCATGGAAGCAGACATACAGTCGGACATGTAATCGGAGATTCCGAATACCACCTCATTACTGCATGTCCAGGCCAAGCACGCATGTGATAGCCAATCGTATGCCTCAAACAGGAAAACGAGCAGCGGGCGACGGGAGAACGGTGTGAACGACACATGGGTGTGGACAGATGCAGTCACAATCGGTTTAGTAGTCTGACAGGTCCAACCAGAATCGGGTTTAGTGTCGTCTTGGCAGCAACTTTTGGTCTAGTCTAGCACGGTTCTATAGGATGATGCTACTCGGATGGGCATTCGCCGGGGGAGATTAGATTGATAAGATCGAGCGGGGCCTGTGATTGGGGCTAGTTGCCCCCTCTATTTCTCGCTTCTTTCCACTTTTCGGCTAGTACCGGGAATACAGAGCTGTCGGGAACTTTAACTTGAAAGGAATTTTCTCGGAGGATATATTACCCCCGAAATTGAAGAGGTTGATTCTTCATTGGGCTGAGAGGGGTGAATTTGCCGGATTTCATCGACATCAACGTCGACTTCATTGTGGCAGGCGTCAATATCAAGCTCGGTCTCAGATTGATATAGATGTCTACTCCATGTAATCGATAAGATTTATATTTGTCCACTTCGCTTATTTCCTTTCACTAAGTTGGACTATCGGCCCCGGCCAAAGCGCGTGATGAGTCGTGCGGTACTTTACCAAGTTGTCCCGAGTGGGGCAGACAGGATTGGCATCCTTGACCGAACTGAGAACTAAGATGCAAGCGAATAAGTGGATAATATAGGAAGCCTTGGCAACAGGCAAGGTTTCTGATGGCTGGCGAAATCGGGAGCGAGAACGCCGTTTGTCCTTAGCTCCGAGCCATTGCGACAGCTATAAAACCATCAAATTGATCCGGCTTTTCTTTGAACAGGAAAATCACTACCCAAAACATCCACCTAATTCATTCTACTATACTACCTTAATTATTCCATCTGCAAAATGGTTCGTCTATCTTTCTCTGCTATCTGTATCGTCGCGCTGGCATCCTCAGCGTTGGCGACCCACGATGTGTTCGAAAAGCGCGCAAATATAGAGAATGGCTCTCCCCTTTATGACTGCCATGAAGCATGCGGTATGCTTACCACTATTTGAATTGTATGAGACTTATCGCTAATCACTACTTATCGACACCAGGTGAGGTCATCTTGATGGCCCAAGAGGGCAGTTACTGCTCCAGCTCCAACTACAGCTCGGATCTCAGCAGCTGTCTGAAATGTGCCGAAACTTGCGAAATTTGGCAATACTACGGCACTGAAGTCAAGTATGCTGCTGGGAACTGCAGTGACTCTGCGACTCCCAGCTCTTCCTCGTCTGCGAGCTCTTGTGCGTCCACTACTGTGGCATCAACTGCGACTAACATGGCTGCGACGGCTACTTCTACTGCTACTGGTACTACTACGGTATGTAACTATCCTTGATTAATTTCATTGTCCTCTGGGGGGTTTAAAGTGCCGATACTAAATAATTTCTAGGGCACTGCCTCTGCCACGGGATCTACTGCGACCTCTAGCACGGGTGCAGGATCTGTTATTCACCAAAATATTGGTCTAGCCGGTGTTATGGGCCTTTTCGTTTGGGGCCTGACTGCATAAATTACTGGCCGTTACGCTGGATGAAGATTACCGGTTCCAACATCCCAGTAATCGACCATTAGAGAAGGCTTCTTCAAAAACTTCGACATGTACGCTAGACGCTACTCAATCTGTAATTTCTGTCCGATTTGACTGTATGCAATCAAGCATAATTGGACACTCTATGAAAATGTTGGCTATATCATCTAAAATGGAAGGGAGATTCAGGGAGCATACTCAATGAGATTCCCATCCGGATCTCTCACATAAACACTTCTCAGCTTCCCAGCAGCACCTGTCCGATCCACAATCTTGGCACCTTCGAGAACCTGCAATTGATCAGCGCATATCCATATGAATGTAAAGGAAGAACTGCCATACTTCTATTCTAGCGTCTTTGAAAGCTTGCAGTACTTTCTCCGCATTTTCGTCCGTCAAAAAGCACAGATCGGCACTCCCGGGCATGACGTTTTGCGCCTTCGGCTCAAACTCTTTCCCTGACTGGTGGAGATTTATTTTTTGAATACCGAAAATAAGAGCATTTCTGCATCCGTTACTTCATATTCGACGAATGATTCTGGAGAAAATGGTTCCATACCTCTGAACTGCGGGGTTGGCTGGTGAGGCAAAAACCTCATGTCGCATGCCTAAGTGGGTCGTGTAGAACGCAACGGTATCCGGGATGGAGCGGACGGTTAGGACAAGGTGGTCAAGCGATTTGACAGCGAATGTAGCCATCCTGATCACTTCAAATTGACTTTGTCGATTCCTCAGATGAAAGTGCTAAGGTAGGGAGATGTAGGTAGAGTCAGATTGACTCGGGATGGAACGGCCAACTGACAAGTCGCCGAACCCGCAAGTCGGCTGAATTACAATATACCCGTTTCTGGAAAGACAGGGTCACTCAATGTGAATATTCACTGAACAAGCAATAAAATAATATGATATCTTCATAAAAATATACAATAGCTACACATGGATCAGTTCTTGGTTGGGAACTTGATCCACTTCTTCATGAAGCTCTTGCGCTCACCACCCTCCGCATCTTTCGGAGCATAAAATCTCCTGGGACCATCGAGATCAATCTCGAGAAGGTTGTTCCACCGTCTACCGCGGTAGTAGATCTTCGCTCCAATGTACAAGACCACGATGGCCACGACAGAGAGGTAGTTTGCGAAGAAGTTCTTCGCACTAGGCTTATCACCAAGCGGCCACACAGCGAGATAAAACTCAACAATGATGAGCAGGCAGCACCAGAACAAACCCCAGTAGGCAGACCATGGGAAGGCCCACGATTTCCATGGAAGCTCAGCGACACTACGACCTTGGGCCTTCCAAGCGGCGCGCATGCGGATATGGGATAGACAGATCATGCCCCAACCGAAGAGAGTAAACAGTGAGGTCAAGTTAGAAAACCAGCCAAATACTGTTGATCCGCTGTCGCTAACGTTGAGGTAGGCTAGGCCTCCTCCAATGAGGAGGGTAGGGACAAGGCCCCACCATGGACGACCCCAGCTATCGGTGTTCTGCATCACCTATATTTTGGAAATTTGATTGTGGTTAGCAAGACTTTGATGAGAAGGAGAAGCGAACTAACCTTTGGAGCCATGCTGAGCTGTGACAAACCAACTAGAATGCGAGATCCACCGTATCCTGAGATACCACCAGTGGAGAGCACTGAGATGAGAATGACGGCGTTCATGATGTGAGCGAGAGGTTGCACTCCGGCATTTCTGTACATGATGACAAAGGGACTGGCATTCGTGCCAGATGCGCCAAACAGGTTGTCATCCAGGGGGCTGACATTGATGGTGATGATCAAGCTACCAAGAATATAGAACAAACTCAACCGGATCCACATCGACTTCACTGCCTTGGGGACCGATCGTAGAGGGTTACTCGTCTCAGCAGCGACGAGACCGGCATTCTCCGATCCAGATAGGGCAAAGATACACGTTGGCATGACGGAGAGAAATCCCTTGAATCCGTTGAGGAAGGGCATGTCATTCCAAAACTGGAAGCCAATAGTACCTCCTGGTCGTGCTGGGTAACCGCCTTTGGGACCACCACCAGCTGACAAGACAATTCCGGAAATGATGACGACGAAGATGAAACCGAATTTGATAGTGGCAGCGACAACTTCAATCTCGGCGAACCATTTCACGGCACCAACGTTCATGGCGACAATGACGAGCCAGAAGATTGTAATCAAGGCGGCTGTTGGGACCGCACTTGTCCAGAAGCCCATAACTGTCACGACACCTTGTAGCTCATTGGCGATTGTGATCCAGAATGAGAGCCAGTAAGCCCAGCCTAGAGCGAAACCAGCAGATTGGTCAACGAAGGTATTGGTCCATTGGACGAACTAGTATGACGATCTGTCAGTAAGGGCCGATGGATGAAAAGTGAAATTCATAGGTGGGAGAACTCACAGCGCTAGGAAGGGGGTACATGATTGCCATCTCTCCAATACTATGGCTGACACTCCAAATGATACTTCCAGATAGCAGGTAACCGATAAAGATACCGGCGGGTCCGGCATTCATCAATGAGGTTCCCGATCCCAGCCAGAGACCCATACCAATGGAGGATGCGAGACCAATCATACTGATATGACGGGACCCCAGCTGGCGCTTCAGCTGGGAGTCTGCACCATGGTCGGTCACATCATAGACCTCACCTACAACAGCTACCTCGGCGTCATTGCTTGGGACGCCTTTAGTGTCACCATGCTTCTCAAAAGATGGGTCTGACATGCTGTAGATCAGCGGGTGCAAGACCCGACTTCACTGATATAATGATAAAGAACAATGGGTGAAAGAAAGGGCCTTCAGAAGGGCTCTCAACGCGAATGTTGCAAGGAGAGATACTGGGGGAGGGGTCATTTTATATCCACCTTATCACAGCTCCAGTCCAAAGAGTCCGGCGACGTATAGATCGTAAAGCCAGGCAAGAATACCCCGAGAATGGTATACATCGCGTGGTATTGATTGGCTTGGACAGGGGGTCTTGGCGCACGGGGCGTCCTTATCAGTGGAATGCACTGATGGTGCATGGGGCCAAGGATGTCAACATCCAGACATTTTTCTCGATGAGCTGATTGGCCTCCCAAGTTAGATAACCATGAAACAACTGGTGTGGCCACGCGAGACAAGATAACCTAGATTGGGTATCATGCGGGCCAAGAACCCCACTTGATGTACTTGAAGGTTAAACCACCCGTGTTGGTTACCAAGTGCACTATTTAATCCAGTACAGTACCCTTAGTAACATTGAGAGGCTCGAGAGATTATGAAATTATGAAATTATGCAAGACAACAGCAGTTCGCTTGCAAATGTGGCTTATGTCGCAAACCTTGCGTCTAGAAACCTATCAACTTCACATGGTAGAGATAAGAGACCACGCGGCACATACTTTCTTGGCCATTCTTTCAGCTCCAAAGTCCGCATTCTGGAACATTGCGCCAAGATCAAAACGAATGCCCAGGCAATAATAACCTTGGCTTGCTCTTATCAATGAGACGCGCAGGATTCCACTTACCAGATAACCGTAACTTATTTTGGCTTATCGCGCGAACTTCATAATCTATTTGAATTAAGCAGCTGGGGATCTGGGACGAGCCCCATTGCCCTACTGAATTACTCCGAAGATCTTCCTACATGTGGATACAACCAGTCTAAGGGCCTACGTAATTGATATTGGTAAAATTTCTCCTGAAGGATTGTTACTGATCCTCAGGGATAAAATCCAACGAAGATATATTTCGCCTAGAAAGGTAACAGGTGGTTTGATCTCATTTGACCGCGCCCGTAAGGGGGGAATTTGCATTGGCATATCCGTATTGAAGCAGCTGGGGCGTGATTTTGCCACATTCATGTTGAATCTGGGGTAACGGAGAATCAACCCTGAGGCAAAACCGGTTGTCTTGCCGGGCACCTGCACTCCAGGGATGCCCAGAAATCGCCGTAAGTTTCGCGCAAGGCTCGTGCTACAGTAGGGTCTTTTCGGCCGGCCCGATTGGTGAAAGTCGACACGCAGGGGATAAGGCGTTCCAGTAGTGGTCCATCCCTGTAACGTTTTCCTGCAGACTCTCTTTTTCAGCAGATCAATTTGCCAGTATTGGCCAGGAAATTGTCGCTCAGAAGAACCAGCCGATTTTCACGAAAAGCAACCGGCTTAGGAGGCCTTGACACACGGGAAAGTAACGGGTCTTTGCCATCAAGGGCTTCGAGCAGGTTCAGCTCTGGTGTTCAATCAACCTTGGGTTGATCTTTGGCTCGATCCATTCCCCACCAGGTGTTGCCCCGTATGCACTTTTGCCAGCCACAGATACTTCAGGTAGCCAATCAGCAGACGAAAGTCACGTAGCACAATCATGCCATTCACCTGTATTAGGAATAGCATGACAACGAGCTCATCACCTCACTGATGAGGTCACAGACGCAAAGATCCGCAACTGGGGGATTTATGTGGGAAAGGCATGGTCTCACGGTAAGACACAGTCCATATTGTAAAGCCCACCGTAGACGTCAAATCACGACTACCACTACGTAACATTTAATGTATTGCAATGCTTCAGTAAAACTTGTCAATTTTGGTAAAAGACTGACTATGATTGGCCAAAATAATTCAAATAACACTATAGTGGGTAGTCGATACTCACACTTGGTCTATGCGTAAGTGCAACACACGATTAGTATCAGGCACTAAGAAGGAACGTTTTTGTACTTAGTGATATACCGAAAGATGGCAGGTACTTCTAAGATAACATCAAACCCCAATTTTCCGCATAGTCTTGAGAATGTTGAGCTAATCGAGCCGAGAACCTTGGAAGAAATTGAATACAACGTTAAGAATGCGCAGCCAGCAACACCTTGAAATCCCTTATGGTGGGACATTCCAAGAACACATGACCCTCCAGTGCAATATTCAGCTCCGTGGCAAACTTCTGTACCAGAACAAGTGACAGGAGAGAATCGATCCCCATGGAAGACAACGTTGTCTCGTCAGTCATATCTGCCAGATCCATGCCCGTCTCAGAAGCAATCAGACCCATTGCTCCACCAATCAATGTTTTCTCAGCAATCTGCCCTTGACCGGCGATGATTGAATTCTTCTCATCACCAGAATAATTGTTGGACGTCTCCACTTCCTGTGATGTGGAAGGTTTTGACGACGTGAGGTCTGTTAACGGCGTACATATAAGCATTCCATCCGTGGAAGAGACTACACGAGAACCAGATCCACTCCCCACTGATTCGAGCGATTGACAACCCTCTCTTGGGAAGAACCGACTGAGGAGTACTCGAGGATACGACCGAAGTGTCATTCTTCCAATAACGCCGATCACCTCCTTGGCTTCGAGTACATACACATCACCTGTGTAGAGTGTTGTACTATCTGGAACGAGTTGCATCTTGACGTACGTCTGGTACTTAACTCCTGGTACCAATGAACGAGCAAAACGCATTGAGCGCCAGCTGTCCATTACAAAAATATTGTTTCGATTATCCACAGCGTTGCCACAGTTCAGAGCGAATCCTCCAATATGGGCTATGGGGTCGATATACTGAGGACAGACGGTCCACTTGCCGTCAGATGGGGGGCTGAGAATCACTTCTGCCGTGGCCTCCATGCCGTTGAGTATCACCGACTGCATTCCATGGTACGGCTTGGAATATTCTACCAGCGTGTGGAAGAGGGTGTAGATCAGGTCCCGAGACAAACGACTAGCTTTACCTTGGTTCGCCATCTCATTGAGAACTTCAATGCGACTGGTCAGTAAATGGGCCAGATCTGCCCATTCGTTCATCCACACATGCGAATCTCCGCATTCAACCGCCCCGGTTGCTACTAATTCCTCAGTACCGTCAGCCAGGATATGATACCACGACATGTCAATCAAGCCGCGCTTGAGGTCTGCAGATGCGCTGACTTGGACAATTTGTGTCCCAGTCTGATGCTCGTGTGGCATCAGACCCTTGAGAATGCGCACATTAGAGAAGTCCATTGTAGGTAAAGCCACCCCGAGCCTAATTTTGGAATGAAGATAGTTTGCCAACGTCAATGCCATGTCGGTGTAAGCGAACTGAACGGTTTTTAGTCAATTTGAAGGCCATGTAAAATAGCTTTGGCTGGGTGCCTTACCACTGAAACAACGGGCCGACCATTCATTTTATGGCCGGAAGCAACGTGAAAGAAGTCTGGATGCACAATATTGGATCGAACAACTACTGTGCCAGTGTCATCTAATATAGTCTCTTCTACAACCTGATGTATCAGAGTTGTGTGCAATGAAGACTCGTTCAACATGCTCAGACGCTCAGAGCTGCGAGACCCTTTGTCTTTGACCAACATCCAGTCGCCATTATACTGAATCCAGTGGTTCCTATTCTTCCAATGATATGAAGGAAGGTCTAGAAGGCGCAGATCAGATTCGAACGGTTGATACCATGCGTTCCAGTTCAAATCTAAGCCCGCATGGTATAGCTCCACCATACTCTTCGCGAATGTGTGCCAATTATCCTCACCCTGTTTCAAGCTAGGAACTGCAAGAGGAGGGTCCGCAAATGCTCCGCATAGCGAGTAGCTGTACGTCGGATGTGCTCCAATCTCGATCCACACCGTCTTAGAGTCAATAACACCCGTTTCCTGGGCCTTTTCAAGGACTTCGACAAATCGCACGGGAAGCCGTGTCATATCCCGCAGATAAGAACTGTCAAATGTAGTGTCATCGCAGATACTGATAGCCAATGAGGGCGACAATACCGGTATCTTCGGACACTTGAAGGTCACTGCCCGAGCGAGCTTTTCAAATCTGTCAAGAATGGGCTCAATCTGGGAGGAGTGAAACGCGTATTGCACATGGAGCTTGGTGGATCGATACCCCCGAGCTGTGAGTGCAAGTTGAATTTCCGAGATGACATCTGCAGATCCCGCTATGGAGATATTCCTGCGTCCGTTGAAACAGGCTTCTTCAAACGATAGCCCTTGTGCGATCTCCCGAATCTCTTCGGCTGTCGCTTGGACGGCCAGCATGGCATGGGTATTTGGTGTACAGAGCTCCTTTAGCAGGATTGCTCGTTGACCAACAAGAAATATCACATCACTGGCCGAGAGGACACCAGATGCATACAAAGCCGGGTACTCTCCCAGACTGGCGCCAATGACTACCGCAGGAGTCACCCCAAGGCTGCTCCACAGGCAGCACAATGCCATTGCAACGCATACTGCCGTCAAATGAGCCACGATAGGATCCGTTTCGACGACGTCAGGAGCGGTTGTCGTGATAGCTGGTAAAATGGAAGGAAAACCGTGTAGCACACAAATTTCATCCAGGCGCTTGACCTCCTCTCGAAAGATAGGTTGATGATCAAACAGTTTATGACCAACGCCCACATAATGACTACCCTGACCCGAGAAAACGAAGGCAGTCGATGGTGAGATTTTTGGGACGGGTTTCTGAGGGTTGACAGACTGTAAATGGTGCCTGAGGGAATCGCTGACCTGCTGGATTGTCGCACCATCAACAGCAACGCGATATGCATGATGCATGCGACGTGCTGTGGTCGTATAGGAAAGACTGGATAGATGAATGGCGGGGTCGTTATCTAAATGACTAATGAGACTCTCAAGGTTTCCTGTCAGAGACACAATACTCTTGGCTGACACCGCGACGACAAATCGCGTGCATGGCCAGCCTTTCGGACTAGATCTGGCAGGTGGCTCTTCCAACAGCAGGCTAGTATTTCCTCCAGCGGCACTGAAGTTGTTCACCATGGCATACCGTTTGCGGCTAGCATTTCGGGGCCATGGCGTGTTTGTTTCGGGAATATGGATATTCAGTTCACCGAGGGCTGGGAACCGGGGATTCAATGCAGTTTTGATGCCCACATGTCTCGGGATTTCATTGTGTTGAAAGGATAGAAGGACTTTGATGAGTGCTGCCATACCGGCCGCTGCCTCCGCATGCCCAATATTGGCTTTGACCGAGCTGATGTGCAATGGGTGGGAGCGTTTCACCCCTGGAGGGCTGAAGACTCTAGTAACGGATTCCATCTCAATCACATCGCCGACTTGTGTTCCCGTGCCATGCATCTCGACCACGTCCACGTCCAGTGGGCTGACGCCCGATTGGGTCAGGATTTGCCTGAAAAGGTTGGCCTGCGTCGCTGCATGAGGGTGTGTGATGGACACGGCATTTGCGGAATGATTAGTTGCACTGCCAGCAATAACCCCCAGGATATTGTCATTATCCTGCTCAGCATCTGCAAGCCTCTTGAGCACCACAGAGCCTACACCGTCTGCTCGACAATAACCATCCGCGTTGCAGTCAAATACTTTACAGCCGCCCGTTGGGGACAGAAAATAGCCCCTACTGAGCCCAGCAAAACTGTCAGAGTTAGTGAGAATATTGACTCCTCCCGCCACTACCATGTCCGCATCTCCATGGAGAAGCGACGTGCAAGCAATCTGAATTGTCGCCAAGCTTGCCGAGCACGCAGTGTCGCAGTTGAAACTAGGACCGGAGAATTTGAAGAAGTAGCTAATGCGACCAGGCGCAAAAGCTCTGTAATTGCCGGGAATAAAGTAGGTGTCAACATTCTGTCCTGCATTCGCCTCACGATAGTCATCACAGCATTGACCATAAAATGTCCCAATACGGAGTTTATTGGTCGATGGCGTGCGGTCATGTGTGTAGCCCGCATGTTCAAGGGCCTCATATGCCGTGACAAGAGCCAAGCGATGAGTAGGGTCGGTCTGTCCGGCCTCACGGGGGGACATGTCAAAGAAACTGGCGTCGAAAAGTCCCGGTTGATCAATGAAGCAACCAAAAGGACTCATACTGGTGTTTGGAAGTTTACCCGTGACGTCTGTATGACTATCAACATCAAACCGATCTGCTGGGACCTTGCAATGAACATCGCGACCCTGTTCCAGCAACTCCCAGAACTTCTGTGTATCATTTGCTCCACCAGGAAATCGACAGGACATACCCACAATGGCAATCTTTTCCGAGCCGGGATCAGGGATGCCTTTGTTCTCCACAGCGAGCCATTGCCCTATGTTACAGAGGACAACCTTCAGGCAGGGATGAACGACTGAAATTTCGAGAATCAAATCATCCACGATGCCATGGGGCTTGAAAATCTCAACTTGAACTTCTGTATGCTTCCTTATGATGGAAGATGCTTTCAGACTTGCTGAAACTTTGGCCCAATGAGCGGTTTTTGTCAACAACTCATGGACTACAAGTTGAAAAAGTTCCGCAACTGTGGAAGCCTTCATAATCTTCCCATCCGTGGAAGATACTAGACTGCCGATGTTGGTAAGACAACGCGTCCCAAGTGATTCTTCGATTCCATTAACTGCCCATATGCTGTGGGTCTGGTCATATAGGTGGGGTGCATGGGATGGGCCCCAATGCATAAGCAGTGGAGACGCATAACATGCATCTCGAAGTGGCTGGGATGTGTTCCGCAGCTTGCCCAATCTGGAAGGAGTCCCGGATATTAGGACAGTGTTGTTCCCTTGTACGGCGCTCACAAAGAGCCGGCTTGGATGCGAGTCGGCTATTCCCTATGCAGCCTTTCGTCAGCAATTGGTTGCCTTTACTGCCTGCGATTAAATCTAGTTGGGCTCACTCACCATGGTATCATTCAAAGCTTGGACTTCAGTTTGCGTCGCCTCCTCACTCGTGCCTCTGGTAATTACAGTCCAACTCTCCAAAGCAGCGCCCGTGGTCTGTGACTCGAGCTGTCGAGCTCTTTCTTGCATCACGATCCCTGTTCTGAACGCAACTCGGATGGCCTCTGCCCCAATACCTGGTATATCTGCTAGAGTTGGCGATGATACCACGGCTGCAGCCGCCAGTAACCCCATATCAAGGCCCGCCAATAGCGAATTAGCTTCGTGGAAATCGAACTCCTCTGCTCGATGTTCGTAGTCCCTATTACAGTCAGCGACGAAGATATTGTCTCACGCCTGTTTGACCTTACCCTACAAAAAGGCATAGTGATAGCAAGCATGAGAAGGCATTGCTCAATGGGCCAGCCAAAGGTCCAGCTTGCCAATTATAGCCTTGGATAATATCCAGCACAGACTGAAAAGGAGGCAAATCACTTTTTAGCTCGGTAGAGAGTCGGCGAAACTCATCCCGCAGTACCGTTGTGCTCTCAGAAAGCAACCAGCGTAGGATACGGTGGCTTGAAGACCTGGATTGTGTTCGCAGTTGGTGACAAAGGCTTGGAAAGTCGTGTCCTGAGGGTGGTTCAACAAACAAAATGAGCTTCATAATGGATTCAGAAGTATACAACATGCCGATGAGTGAAGAGCCCCTCTGCAGCTTAGCTGAGCCTAGAGCCTTTATCCTTTTTGTGATCCTAGACCTTTGTACGGAGAAATGTGGGAACAATCACAACAAGTGACGCCCAATACTCGGTCTATCCAAGACACAAGTCTTACATCGCGCATGTATAGACCCATTAACAGCGGTGGCTGAAAGCGAAGTCGCCATTTACTCTGCCAACGACCCAATGAGAGCACAGCTTCGTATCTATTGATCTAGATGCTCGAGACGGAATGATCGGAATTGGTTACAAGCTAAGAGCCCAATGTATCAAGTCTGATCAATGATGGAGTTGCATTGAGTTAACATCTACAGGTAATCAATCAACCGAAGATGCCATTGCATAATCAATAATGCGGCCAGATTCCCGGTATAGCGGATTGGATGGTGATATGTTAGCACCCATGGCCCCTTTACGCCATGCGTTCGAGGCCAAGTTGTCTCACTTATCGGCCCAATCATGGTATCAGACCTCGAGGACGTCTCTCGTAACCTGGTACATGATGCACTCAATAAAAGGAGAGGAAACACATACGAACGCCAGTTCGTATGCAGGTAGAACAGTACTGCTCTATGTTTACGAATATATGAGAAGGGAAGACATGATTCTACGCGGAGCATTGATCACGGGCCTAGTCAATAAAAGGAGTCACACGGGCGCATTGAACTCAAGCCATTGACTCTAGATTAGGTACAGAACAGAATGGCTGCTCAAATTCTACTTTCTGTGCTATTGGAGGCGGAGAAGGCTCTTGCTGGTGGGGTGATTACGGATCCAAATCAGCGAGAGGAGCTCTCTCAAGTTTGCGAGCGACTATGTCTGCAATTCCACTCTCCAACTCGCAGATTGGATGACCTCTCATACCGGGTAAGCTTCCGTCATTTCAATGAACGGAGTAGAGCTAATGCGTATTCGTCGGGCAGTTGCCAGAGCTTGTTGCGGTGAAGATCGCGATCGACATGGGAATATTTGATACGATTTCCTATGAGGAATCCGGGCTCACAGCTGCTAGTATTGCATCGACTCTGGGAGTGGATAATATTCTTGTTGGTGAGTGACTGTGCACGAAAATTCCTCCTGAAAGATATTTGACACCGTACAGAGCGTGTGATGCGATCTTTGGCTGTGAGTGGTCTTGCTCACATTACACCCGTCAACACCTACAAGCCCGATCCATGCGTGAAGGATTTCAGACAGGGCGGATATATGCGGGACCAAATGATATTTCTTCAGTATCGTCTTTCCTCCAAGTCCCGAACCTACTGCACATGCATGCTAACAAGTATTTCACTATAAGTGACGTGCACTATCAAGTATTCCCAAAGCTTGCAGACTTTCTGGCTGAGACCAATTATCGAAACCCCGGTGATGCCGACTGTGCACCATTCCAGATGGCCATGAACACCAAAGAGCACTTCTTTGAATGGCTTGGAAAGCGAGAAAAGCAACAGGAAGCTTTCAATTGTCTCATGCAGACCAGTCGCGGAAGAAAGTACCCTGTCAAGTGGCCAGATATCTTCCCTGTTCAAAATCGATTTTCTCACTTTCGAGGAGTCAATGCCTCGAAGGAAATCCAGTATGTTGACATTGGAGGAGGAGTTGGTCAAGAAATTGAGACACTCGTGAACACGATACCCGATCTATCTGGCTTGTTCATATTACAGGATATCCCAGAGGTTGTGGCGAGTAGCTCCCTGGGCGAACGAGTCCCTTCCCACGAGACGCAACATTTCCAGCTCATGGGTCATAACTTCTTCCAACCTCAACCTGTGAAAGGGGCCGATTTCTATTTCCTTGGCCGCATCCTACACGATTGGCCAGATATACAGGCGCGTCAGATCCTGGGCCATATCCGAGATGCTATGGACGAACACTCCGTTCTTCTTGTTCATGACCGTGTTCTCTCAGACATTCCGAGTGAGGTCTTTCCCAAGGACATTCAAGCTGATTTTATCATGATGGCTATATTTGCGTCCCTTGAGCGCTCAGAGACACAATTCCGGGAACTGCTCAAATCTGCTGGACTTGTGCTGTTGCAAACATGGAGACCGGAGAGATCTTTGGAGTCCAGACAGGCAGTATTGGAAATTATGAAAGAATGATTGGCTTTCCTGAGCTCACGGCTCAATGTGTGTATAGCCTACCGCAATATCATTTCTGTTAGGTATCTGCAATGGCTCTTTTTCGGCTATTTTTGTCTATTAATGCCACAAATAAGCTACGTAAAGCATCCTACTATTCCCAGGCGCATAATATGGGCCGTCAAGCATTGTTTTTTTTCAATCTATTATAACAGTCAACGTTCGGCTAGTCTGTTGATTATCTCTAGGACGTAAATTCCATTGATTGTATACCTCTCAATTTCAAACCCCCAGTTTATCAGGTGACCTCAAGTATACCCTCGGAAACAGAAGATATTGTTAGAGGGCAGGACCAGATCACAACAAGATCATTGTAGTCCTCAGTTGTCTCGTGAGCCTTCTCCCTGTCCTTGACTCCGGCTATATTGGCATATAGAATCAACCCCAGCACGGTGGCGGACTCTCTCCTGTAATCAAGTTGCTTTACCAATATACATTCAACACTTGCTAATCATTTGCAGCATCAGAAGCCATTGTTACGATCCAATGCAATTTGGGTTATCGGTGATGTCGCTGCGAGCTGCATCGCAATGGATTCTGAGATGGTACGGTCGCGGACCATGGAAAGTGATGAAAGCCTCGCGGAAGGCGCGGAACTGAAAGAGACGGGTACATGATCATTCTTGACGCCTTGGATGTATACAATGCTATAGGTTCATGCGGGAAAGGGGGCCAAGGCGCACGCCACGAGCAGGCTTGCCTACATAGATTTCGCATTCAAGACTACTGTGCCTGGGATAAGAGCGATAAGCAGCAGATGACCAATCGGTATGCCTGGAAATATGTATTAGGTGTTGTAGATTGTTTTTCACGTTTCTCCTTTTTAATAATGCAAGGCTGAGATTTGCAGGCATATGTGGAGGACTCAGGGATGTCGATAGCAGAGGCTAGTGAGCGAGGACGCACTTTTTATTTCGATTTCAACTGCTTATGCCTGATCGTTCGTGCTTAGGTAGTTCTACATGATCAACCTGAAACGAGTATTCGGCAATAATTCTCTTATTGTCTCCATCTTGGTTTTATCGGAATTAAGACGGATGAAATTAAGGATGACCACTGGACTCTGGGGTCTGGCCTTCAAAGTCCATAATTTAGGTTTGCAGAGACAAAGGTATGGAATCCCACTTTTGCTGTAAGATACAGCAATTGAACCAATTAAGGTTCGCTTATCTTCAACACGGAAATTAGATTACTGTAAAATATGTAATATCACCGCGTGATTCTTAGAGACAGAGCGATATAAAGACAAAGGAAAATCTTGCAATATTCCAGTCTTCTACTGTAACATTCGAGAAAACTATCCGACTATCAAGTATCTACATTCTTAACAGTTCCAAACATGGTCAAAGCTATGCAGCAGAGACAACCCATTCAAATAGCCCGAGATCTCTGGCGTCTCTCCCGGTTTAACAAGTATAACCCATTTTTGGGTACCTTTGCTGGTGGTAAGAGAGATATAGCTGAATGCTAAGTGCATGTTGCTTATGAGCCTCGTTTTCTTAGTATGGTCCACTTTCCTAGCGGGCATTATCAAAGTCCACACCGAGCCTAGTACGACCGAGCTACCTAATATGTTTCGACAAATCGGACTATGCTTCCTTTACTGTTATGTCCTTACTGGTGCAGGGATGGTCTGGAATGACTGGGTCGATCGCGATATCGACAGCCAAGTAGCACGAACAAAAGACCGCCCCCTCGCGTCAGGGAGGATCAAGACAACCGAGGCGCTCATTTGGATGATGGTTCAATATCTTGTTGCGTGGTGTATACTAGATTTCATGCTGGCTGGTGAAGATGTGTAAGATGAACCAGGTTCGGATAAGGGTTCATGCTAACAGTTTGACATGTAACAGGCTCTTTTCCTTGGTCCCAACAACCATCGGAATTGTCCTGTATCCATTCGGCAAGCGACAAACCGCCCAGAAGCTTGGAATATACCCCCAGTTTATTTTAGCCGCAGCAGCCGCATGGACCATTATTACTGGGGGTGCAGCGATCTCACCGCAGTCTCACGATTATCAGATGCCGCTGTGTTTGCTGGTTGTAACCTGGATTCTATATATCAATACTGCCTATAGCTACCAGGACATGGTCGACGATGCAAAGATGAAAGTCAATTCTCTCTATGTTCTCGCCGGTGGACAGATCAAGCTGTTTGTTGCGGTGTTGGCGGTTAGCGTTCTCATCTCCATTGCTTGGATATTGACGCATGTACATGCGTCAGCGTGGCTCTGGATATCTTGGATGGGAGTTTGGTCGGCGTCTTATGTGGAACAGTTGATAGGATTCTCGGCGAAGGATCCTGGGAGTGGAGGCGCTGTTCATGCTAAGAACTTTGTCCTTGCGATTTGGACCTTTGCGGCTTGTAGTGTTGAGCTTGTTTTGGGTCAACATCCAAGACTTCATTAGTGTATTTAATTTAAAGAAACTACACAATGCAAGCAACGTCAAATTCTGTGAAGATTTCAATGGGTCTCATGGATTAGTTAGATTGTTTTGCCTGCCTAAATGACCACTAGAGCCGAAATTCAGTCGTTCTCTTGTTTAAAAAACATATCACATTACACACAATGCTTGTCGTGAAGATTGCCTTGTTTGCCTTGTACTCTTGGTAAAATCGACACGCAATGGCCCGGATGGCAACCAGCACTCGACATGCTATGTCTCTGGCGATCTTTAATCATTTTTGTCCATCGACTATTGATCATTTAGATTCAATTTTTTTTCTAGTGCATCACACCCCTGACTTGTGTGTTATCCTGGAAGCGCTGGCATGCATTGAATGTAAGTAGCCCAGCAGACCAGTCACTCAGGTCAGCTGCTGCGACAAGACCTGCAATGAATTATTGGGTAAATAGGTCAGCCATAGGGGCAAGATAAGAATGGTACGTCAGCATGCCCTTAAGTCAAGCCATTATTGTATTATGGCTGCAATAGAGGCCCAGGGTCCACCAATGTAATGGTCTTCGGAGGCCCGGAATCCAGCTCTGAGCAATGATGTCTCGCTACTCTGCGGACTTCGGCATATTTCGACAAGTAAAAATGAAATAAGAAATTGATAATACAAAGCAAGTACGGGAATGGTAAAAGCAAACCGAAATTATCCTGGCCAATTTAGTAGCTGGTATGGCTGGCCATGTTGAGGTATAAAACGATAGATCCTAATAGTGTATCCGACGAAATCTTCAACCAACCCTCGAGTACTTGTTCCTCATTAACACAATGGACTACGTCGACCCAAGCAAAGCTCCATTGGAGTATCAGAAATATGAATGGATTGCAAACCTCTCGGGGCTTGCCTGTGGATCGCTTTGGTCCATCCACTACTTCTTACAGGCGCGGCAGTCCCTTCGTGAAAAAACATACTCCCAGGCCATTTTTCCTCTTTGCGCCAACACAGCCTGGGAGTTTGTGTACACTTTTATCTACCCCCCAAAACGTTGGGCAACCCGGGTATCCATTTGCAGCTGGTTCTTTATGGGACTGACTGTCATGTACTCGGCGGTTAAAACATCGCCACGTGAGTGGGGTCATGCCCCACTGGTGCAACGATACCTTCCCCTCATATTCCTTTTGGCGTTTCTATACTTTGTCACTTGGAACTTGGCCATCGTGGGGACCTGGGGTCAGCCGATGGCCGGGGTGTGGACAGGGATCTTTTGCCAAAACCTGCTACTCCTGGGGTCTCTGTCCCAGCTGGTAGTACGTCAAGACAGTCGGGGTCTCTCTTACTCTATCTGGTAAGCCTACTTCTGATACTTTACCAATTTGCACCTCTTAACTTGAAACAATCTAGGCTCACGCGATTTCTGGGGGCCGTAGTGATGATTCCAGGTCATCTTGTTCGATACTGGTACTGGCCAGCGGAGTTCTCGTGGTCCAATTGTCCTGCGATAATATGGGAGTCAACTTTCATCATCCTGTGTGAAATTACGTACGGTGCTCTATTGTGGTATTTTCGACAACAGAAGACGCAGAATATGAAAAAAGCCGCCTAGATATTCAGTTGACAGGGCACCAGAGGAGGATAGTACTTACCATATTGAGAGCTTCAGATACCATGCAGTTTGTCAAGAAAGTGGAAGGACGAAGCGGAATTTTGTTCAATCGGCCGTTGAAAACGTGGAAAGGTGTTGGACGTGTCAGCCTTGACACTACCTAAGGAGTTTTCGGTGAACACAATATTAAAAATACAATAGTCTATTGTACCGCAGATGTGATAAGATAAATATATGGGCGTTCAATTCACTCAGAAATCTTCTTAGATAGCTTCCTCTCTCCACCTCTTCTAAAACAGAATATCGTAGATAACTTCACTCGGGACGATATTACTATCTACTCTGTTCATAGTGTAGCTGTGGGACCATACAAGCCAATTGATTTAGAGTTATCTCTAATTGCCTATACCGCGCACAGATGGTATTCATACACCACGTACTACTTGAGAACTTCCAAGGTTGTATGCGCTACTAGGGTAGTCTTCTTCGACTTTCTTCTCTCGTAGACGCTTGGCTCAAGTTGAGTAGTAGCATCCCGACTGAATATTGTCATTACAAACCTTGGGAGAAATATATAAACAGGCAATGTTTGCGGGTTGGAAGTGACGTCTTCCCAGTACAATGCAGGATATTGTTAGCAGTAGTATGCCTGCGGCGTAATTGAGAAGATGAATGGACGGAAAGGAAGCCACGTCAATGTGGACCTAGATAAAACTATCAACAAATCCTGCAATGGCGAAAATCAAGAAGCCAGAGGCTTTCCACTCTGATATTATTGGGGGGAGGCTGCCGATGTTTCTTAAGGTAATCTGGGACTTTCTGACATCAAGGAGAAACAATCAATGTCCTGTAATAATAGCTTATCGTTTGAAGTTTTTTCGATTCATTTGCAAGATTTTGTTATGTGGAAGTTGGGGTATCACCCCGCTGCACGGCAATTTGACGCCTGAAATAATTGGCAACAAATGTTTCTCTCGACATTTCAGGGGATTTACAGTGATTCTCCTCGTAATTTTCTCTACGGAGTATAGGAACCCTATTCACTATTTCGCATCACAATACCATGTACACTCTCATGAACTTGTGAGGTCTCATATGGTGTGTTGGTTTACCTCATGATCAGGATTCCCAGTAGCCGCCGTGCCAACAATGGACCAAAGACATATCATTACAAGAAGAAAAGGATCAAAGGACCAAATCTGCCTAGCAATAGTGTGTTTGAAACCCTTTGGTCGCTTTGTGAAACTGGTGCCTAGATGAGCCTGGTCTAAGCCACAAGGCGGATTCTGGTCAACACTCAAAATCAGTACTTATGTAAACCTACCCATGAGGTTATGAGTCACTTATAAGCGCATCCTCGTTTCAAGCGTTCGTGATTCTTAGGATTCCTTACTCGTGTGTGTTCAAAGCCTTGACTTCTAACCTTGCTTTTTTGAACCCCGCTCGGCCCCACGCCCACACGCCCCTTGCAGCGAATATCCAATAATCTCTGCCACCCAGCAACTTGTTGACAACATCATGAATCCCAGAGTCGGAGTCGCTGTTTTTATTGTGAACAAGGAGGGAAAGTTTGTCATCGGCAAAAGAAAAGGGAGCCATGGAGCAGGTTGGTTCAAACATGGAGTCATTGATCAACATCCGCTAAGAGATTTCATTCTTTAAGGCACATGGGCTCTCCCAGGAGGTCATCTTGAATTTGGCGAATCCTTCGAAGAATGTGCGAAACGAGAACTAGTTGAAGAGACTGGTCTGGACATCATCGACTTGGAGTTTTTAACTGCCACAAATGATATCATGAAGGCAGATGAAAAACACTACATCACCATTTACATGAAAGGCGCCATCAGCGATGTATCTCCTCAGCTGCAGGTAAGTCGATCACACTTTACTTTTTCTGCCCCTATTCCTTGCATATACTGTAGCTAACATACGGCCAATCAAGCTTCGGGAACCGGAGAAGTGCGATGGCTGGGAATGGATCTCGTGGGACGAACTTCGAGCTCAAGGGGAGACCCAGATATCTTTAGGCTCGGAGTCTCCAGAGCGGATATTGTTCTCACCTCTGATCGCATTATTCCAGCAACGGCCAGACATTCGTGTTTAGGAGAGCATCTCAGCGGTTTCTATCACAGAGAGCATTCAAAGTCATCAAATCATTTGAAATAAACATGGTTACACCTTACCTGCCTTGTCTACGCGTCTCCCCGTATTTGAAAAATGCCCCATTGGAAGGAATAGTCCGGAAATGGCATATCTGGGAAATATTAGCATTTGTACAACGATCCTCAATCCTAGGAGTAATATACTTCATTCATCAAGCACAGCATGTCAATCCCAATTTCTTTGGAACTAGTTCGTGACATTCAGAGTCGATCATTGCCCAAGCCAGGAGGTTCGCGCCCAGGTTTTACTTCTTATAAAAAACAAATTGAACGTGATATGGGTAGCATCAGGGACATGATAAACGTCATTGGGCTCTGGATTGCCTCTTTCCTGTGCAGATCAATGTCAAGGCTCACAACCTGAGTACTTATCAACACAATCCATGGTATCGCAGAAAGAGCAAATATAACCTTGCTCACCTATATAAAGAACCATTGTCTCTTGGAAATCAAATATCATTCTTTCTCTCGGAAACTTATCTTCATACCCACTCTCTTGAGAATCCGCTGTTGCGACCTTCCACTCATTTGACTCTTAAACACACTCATTTGTATAAACTATGCATCTCAAACACGTTCTTTTGGCTTCGAGCCTAGCCCTCTGGAGCAGCCCCGTGGTTGCCACTCTCGGGGGTCTGGATGGTCTTGGGCCTCTGGGCTCTAGCCTGCCTGTAAAGCGGTTTGAGAAGGTCGCCAGACTAGCTAATGCGGTACCCGAGGGTGCTGCAACCCCAACTCCTTCCTCTTCTTCCGATCCATTGGCAGGCTTGGAGGATCTTCTTCGTGTGCGAGAGGACCCTGAGGAGCGTCCCTTCTCTGGCTACTTCCATTTTCCGGAGCCAACACCCACGCCGACTCCCACTCCTTCCTCTTCTTCCGACCCATTGGCAGGCTTGGAGGATCTTCTTCGTGTGCGAGAGGACCCTGAGGAGCGTCCCTACTCTGACTACTTCGAATTTCCGGAGCCAACTCCCATGCCAACTCCCACTCCTTCCTCTTCTTCCGATCCATTGGCAGGCTTAGAGGATCTTCTTCGTGTTCGAGAGGACCCTGAGGAGCGTCCCTACTCTGACTACTTCGAATTTCCGGAGCCAACTCCCACGCCGACCCCAACTCCTTCCTCTTCTTCCGATCCATTGGCGGGCTTAGAGGATCTTCTTCGTGTCCGAGAGTACCTTGAGAAAAGTAGTAATCAGGGGCTATCTACATTTGAGAAGCGTCTTGCTCCAACGCAGACTGCTTGATCTGGTACATCTTTCAGACACTTGAACGATTTGTGGCGTGTATAATTGTCAAGTTTTATGCTGTTGGCAGTTGGACTTCTATTCATTCGGGCTTGAAGCATTTACTTCGTATATATTTAATTGGTAATTTGCTTTAATGGAAAAAGGTTCATACAATCGACCTACTCATGTATTGTAAAGTAGGTGTGCATGGTTCGCACATCTAGTGTCGGGCGTCAACTGTGGCTCGAAGACCCAAAACGGTTTAGCGCGCAGGCCGTGAGTTAAACGGAGTTCATTCTCCGTTCTTTCTCTTCCAATCTCGTCTTGCCTATCAACTCCAATTATCTGTGCTGACACTATCACGGTCAAGTCAGCTCTCTACAAAATTGGATGGAACTTTTTCTGAAGTTTCAGGAGATGTCCCGATTGCCGCGCTTCAAGTGATATGATCGGCCCTATAGCCAGCGCCACTGATGCTGATAGCCCCCCACATAAGAGACTAATTCCTGCACGCTATTCCCCCCTAGCTTGTTTTTCTGGGGCTTCTCGATCTATCACGCACGGCCGCGTGCACGCTTTCCTCTCCGCCTTTTCCTCCCCTGGTCTTTAGCTTCGTGGATCACTTTCCTTTCTTTTTTTTCCCCTGTGATCCTGGGGTGCATCTCCGACCCACACAACATTTGTCCTCGAATGACCAACCCCAGTCTTCTAGAGCTGCCCCGAGGGGTCCAGCTCGTCTATCTCGCAGAGGGCGGAGCCAATGTCATCTATCGGTTTGTCGCCGCCCCAATAAATTCATCGCTCGTGGTGAGGGAGCCCAAGAGACCGGTCTCCCCTATTATGATAGACGAACCTATATTGCCTGTCGGGTTTCAGGGGAAATTACTACGCCTACGCAAAAAGACTGCCGGCGATATATCATATAAAGAAATCAATCGCAATTTCAATACCATTGTGCGCCCGTTATTCAGACCAGAAGCATTAGTGGATCAGTCTCTTATTCTGCTCCCCAGTGATCTTATTCAACGCTGTAATGAGCAGCTTGTCGCTATTGAACTTAATGGGCAGCGATCCAAAAAGCGGCATGGCGGATATCTTTGTGCCGATGAGCCATTTGGCTTACTTATTACCGACATGACGACCTTCAATACACCCGATGCTACGCTGGCGGAACTCAAGCCGAAGTGGCTCACACAGTCCCCTTCTGCACCTCCTAAGGCGCATCGGTGTCGGACCTGTGCTTTAAGAGATATGAAAAATTATGATGCGCGATCATCAGGCTCAAAGGAGCAGCGATCCTTTTGTCCTCTAGATCTTGTGTCTGAGTGCTTTGAAGACGTCCTGCGTGCTACGACTTTCATCAAGGGTTGTAATGACCAGGCCCGACTTGCGGAAATTCTGTTTCATAACCCAGTTCTTCAGACATTACGAGCTCAGCAGACATCATGGGCAAAGGTAGGTCTACATGGTCCGCCTCCCTTATCTCAAAAAGCATCCCTCGACATGACTTTGCGAGATTGTACAATGTTTATCAAGGTTTGTGATACTGAAGAAGATTTGCGTTGTTTTCATGCCTCTAACTAATATTCACAGATACCACATGATGAGAAGTCCCCCGTAGAGATCCGCCTAGGGGACTTGGACCTGAAAACGGGCGCAGGAGGAAAATCCACCTATTGGAGAAAAATCGAACTTCAGCTTCTTGATGGTGGCTGGTATTCCGGATCCAATAGCAGCCAAGATCACAGTGAGTGTGCACTTCAAGACTCAACACATTAAACCTCGGACATCAACCACCAAACTCACTTCGGCGCGTGTGGACTTTACTCTGGCTTGCATACTGGGTATATTTTCACTATCGCCTGTTATCCGGGAGAATCTTATGATGCATGATTTCATAAGTATCGGGCGGCTTCTGGTTATCTACTTCAACCTTTGATGATTTTTTAATCTAGTTCAAACCTTGTATTCTCAATCAAATTACCTGCCAAAGCAAGAGCCCTGAAGACCGAGCCCTCCAAACACATACTCAGCTCTGTCCCATCGGACTAGACAGACTACAAGCAGACATATATGCAGTGAGCCAGTCAGAAGAAAGTCTTGAGTTTTCTGTAGTATATTCGTGGGACCCAAAATTAAAGCGGGTTGTACTTCAATGTAAAGAACACAAAAATAAACTCCGCTCCACCCCACCATCCCAAACTCCCCACATCAACTCTCTCACAATGGACTATAGATCCCTCCCCACACCTGCCCACTGCGTTGCAGACTTCTGCCTGATTCCAGTTAGTAAAACATCGCATGTCATGTCATGCCATATCATTTGATTGGTGTTTTGCCCGGCTGACAGGTTCCATCAGATCGGCACCGCGTCGGCTTCAGTCTCGGCCCAAATCGCTGATGTCCAGCGACTGATTGAGCAATCCGGTGTCAAATATGTGATGCATTCTGCCGGGACTACTCTCGGTGCGTTTTCTTTTTCTCCGACTGGCTATCGCTGGTCGCCTCTTTCCTTTTCTGTCTCACTTTCTCGTGTTTTGGGCTGTTGGAATGATTAATGATCTGGAATATCTGACTGTGACACTTACAGAGGGATCCTGGGACCGTGTCCATGAGGTCATTGGACAGGCACACACAATGCTCCACCAGCAGGGCGTTGTCCGGATTCAGACTGATATCCGGGTTGGATCGAGGTATGTTTGACATTAATTTCCCCTTTGTCCTCCGGAAAACCATATCTGGTTGGATGTTGGAGCTTCCCCTGATGCTGTGTCATAGCACTCTGGCTGACGACTGGTTCGGTTTTTTCTCAGGACGGATAAGGTGCAATCCCCTGAGGATAAGGTGAATAAGATCCGGGAGTTGTTGGGACAGTAGATTCTAGAGTAGAGTTATTGGATTACTTTTTATTCTACGGTAATACGACATATAATAGAAAGAATCATAGCTTGTAAATTGATATTGCTCTAAAGATAATAGTTCACATCATGATGCCACAGTATCTTGTACAAAAACTACTGTTCAGTTCGTCCAATCGTTGCAATAAAGCCAAACCCAATAACGCCTTTATCTTTTGCACGGGCGTTTTACACCTGTGCCGTGCCATACCGGAATAACGTACCTATCCATATCCATGCTCTATATACCGGCTGAGTACCCTCAAGAAATGTTCGAAAACAAAACGCTATACACTGATAAACACGCGTGGAAATCGAAAATGAAGAAGCGGTGACATCAGGCAATCAAAGGCTGATGCCACCTCCGAGAATACTACCCCAACTGCCGCCAACCCAGACCCAATTACCCATAGTGGGAGTGGAGCCTGACCGAGCGGACTCGGCTAGGTTGACTAGACTTGTGAGAACGCCGTTGACGGTAGAACCATCGCTACTCGATGTCGACGCAGACGTCGAGACGGAGGTTCTGCCCACAGCATTGGTAACATTGTTCAAGCTGTCAACGGTATCGATAGCCGGGCCACGGTTGAAAAAGTCCACGAGGATGAACGTGGGCTGGCGACCATTGTATGCTGTCTTGCACTTTGTCGCCGTCGATCCCAGGTTACCTGTACCACCGGACGGGGCGTTCGTCGTGGCGACGTAGCTGGCATTCGGGTACTCGATGTCGAGAACCGAAATGGTAGAGTAGAGGAAGTGATTCATCAGAGGGAGAAAGTTGGACGCGAGCGCGGAGGAGAGATCGTTCTCGTAGGTGGAGGGTCGGTTGGGTGTGCAGGTGAAGTTGGAGGCATCGGTCACGTCATAGTTGTTTTCCCAGACAAAATCCCACTCGTCCAGCAAGTAGGGGTAGCTGGAGCTTGCGTCGAGGGATGCGACAAAGTTCACGAGCCGGGTGCCGTTGTTGATCATTTCTTGGAGGGTTGGCCAGGAGGATGGTGCAGTGGTTAGGGAGCTAGGCTCATAGGCGTAGCTGGTGATGTTGGCATCCTCGTAGATGGCGCCGAGTTCGGCGGCCGTTGCAGAGTCAGAGTTGACAAGAAGGATGGTGACAACTGTAGAATATGTCTTGTTAGTGGGTGTTGCATTCTTCGCACTGGATACCGTTGCGCACCTTCGTTGGGGTTGTCATCGAGCCAGGTCTTGATCTTGCCCAGCCAGGTCTTTAATAATCCCGCGTCAAGCAGATCACAACTGCTGTGGCACAGGTGCCATGCGGAGTCGCTCTTGTGGACTTGGGCGGTTACTAGTCGGACGCCAGCATCGAGTTGGGTAGTAGTGTCGTAATATCTATGAGAAGAGTGGGGTTAGCATACCAGTTTGCTTTTCTGTTCGATTTTATTGACATACTGATCACCAGCAATAGATTCATCAGTGCTAGAGTCGCGGACAAATGGACTGTCGTGGGCACCCAGGTGTGTGATCTCGCCGTAACTCTTGTCGCAGAGGTCGGGAGAGTTGTTGCAGGCGGTGGTGCGAACATTCAACGGATTTGCGAGTACCAGCGGTAGTAACGCTAGGATATTGAATGATCGCATATTGTATGAATAATTCTATCAACGGAAGATAATAGAATGGGTAGAGTGTCAAGAGCGTAAATAATATGGGGATATGGAGAATGTTTATGTGACGCCGATCCATACTAAGCGGGTCCTGGCCGCGTTGCCGTCTCAACTATTCTTAGATCTTCACAGCCACGTCCATTTATTGGCCCACCGTTATACTCAGCCCCTAGTCTTGGCTTAAAATTTCACTCTTTGGCCTAGACTTTTATGCTAAGAATTAGGCGGGCGAAGCGCTGACGACAGAAGTGACACGGCCTTTAATCTCATAGACGCGAGGAATCATGACTGGTTCAGAGCGATTGCTTGGCTTCTTGCAATCCATAGGGTCAAGTTTCATTTATATACAATTATTGATACATTTAAAGTTATTTTTGCATTCGCCTCATCGAGCTCGCCTTCGTGACAACATGACACCGCGCGAGTTCCTCCGTGAAAAGTATGTGCGAGTAGGGTTCAGGAGCTTCTCCGGTTGCAAATGTTCCCTCCTCTGGAACAGGGACTCTCCCCAGGCAAGGTTGATATCTTTCAATACTCGATCTTGAGTGTAGGGATTGACCCTCCGCAGCATACGGTTGAAGCGCACTGCAGAATGACAGTAAAGTCCAAATAGTATAGTCAAGCGGACCCGAGTCGCTTGCTGGATTGCGCCCAACTGAAGAGTAAGACCAGCTTCCTCCAGCTCCCGAAGAAGTATCAAGCCTCGTGTCCAAGGAATAAGCTTATCACCTGTAACAGGGTGTTCACAAGGGTATTTGTTCTCTGTGTCACGCGTCACACGAAACTTGAAGCCCCAGGAAATGATGGCTTGTTGCATCTTCTTGGCAAAGATAAGATCAAGTACCCGACTGTCCGAGCGAACAAGAGGCCTTTGCTGGGCAGGAGACATCCCTCGGAGGTTCCCGCTTCCTTCCAGTCCATGATTATACTGACGAACGAGCCACAGAGAGCATTCCCGCAGTTCATCCCAATGGTTGCCCATGCCCAGCCGCTTAAGAAGTTCCTCCCAGAAATCAGGGCTCACATAGCATCCGGTAGGAACCACGCGCTGGAGTACCTTGAACACAAACATCAATGCATCACGGGCAGCCGGAGCAGGTAGCCATTCTCCCACCTGTGGGGTGTGGTGCTTCCGGCGACGCGGCAGGAGCTTTTCAGCCATGAAATCCACGCTGTCCTCACTCAAGGTCTTGCCAAGCAAGGTAAGTTCATCTACCACCTTGGAAGCTGCGCTGAGCTCGCCGGTGGCCATGTGTTTGCGGAAGTGGATATCTAGTAAGCCTGGAGAATCCGAAAAATGCTCTCCCAGGATAGCTAGTGACATATTGTACTGGCGCCAGTCGCGAGCCATGTAGTATGAGACCAAGAGTGATTCCTGCAGCTTCACATCCTCCAAAACATCAGGGTGTTGGTCACTTTGCAACAAGTCTGAAAGCAGGAACTCGCGATTTTGGGCTGCGAGTTTCGGCACCAGCCTCGCGAAGACACTGTCGGCGGTGGTAATGCCAGACTGGCGGAGCAATTTGAGAGTTTCTAGGATTTCCTGGCCATCATGAGCTCGTACAGCCATCTCCCAAAAGGTTCTAGGGCCAATTTGGGATATTCCGAGCATTCTGAGGCCGCCGATCACCATGTCTGAATTGAGAGCACGAGTAGCAAACAGTCTGGCAGCGATATCGTCTTTGTATTGACGTTTCCCCGGTCGGCTGGACTTTGTATTTCCCTGGTCTTTTTTATTGGTCTCGTTTGCTGGTGGTTCTTGTGACGGATCTTGTTCAGGCGAGAAGGATGGAAATCTCATCTGTGCATAATCTCGAAGGTTGTCATATTCTTGCCGAAGTCCGTACTTCCTCGTGAATTCCAATAAGGGTTGAATTTCCTGCAATGATCGAGGATGGTCAGATCGGGTAGTCAACCAGGCATGTATTGCTAATGCGTCCTCTCCATAGCCTTGCTCCAAGCAATTCAGAATGACTGGTCCGTAGATGCGATGATCAATCCCACGGCATAGAGCCTTCAAGGTCTTGAGCCGCATGTATTGTGTTTTGGACTTTAGTCGAGGACGCGGATGGGCGAATAAAAGCAAATCATTGGCGGGAGGGAGTGATGATGGTGATATGGCGTATGGAATAATCCGTATAAGATCACTAGGTTTCGCCAGATGAGAATCCTGAAGCTTTCGATGCCATTCGATCGCCTGTTTGCTCATGCCTCGGTCCAGAAGACCACCCACAGCTCTTTCATAAAGCCGCGGCCAGCAGCAGCCGCCACTGCCGCCAAGAGTTATTGCGTAGTCTAGGACATCCTTCAGGAATATCTCCCGTGTCAGTCCTAGGTCCACGAAACTTTGCCAGAAGAAATCTGCACGATTCCCCGTGAGCGGCAATTCTACTCCACCTGCACGGTTTGTCAATCCTTCCCAAATCACCTGAGTGCCCTCATCTCCGTAGTGGCGCTGGCGAAACCGAAGTAGTTCCTCCCAAAGCTCAAAATTATTCCTGTGTTCCGGGAGGTCCACTAATCGTGTTCCAAAGTCATTTGTATGGCCAATGTCGGATTCAAATTCCAATCTTTCTGGTTTCAAGCGTAGTGATTTGACGAGGCTTTCCGAAGCCCCGCCTAGAGTCGAATCGTTGTCGCAAAAGGAAGGTTCTTCAGATCGAGGGCTGGGTTCAATATCGTAGACGGAGAAACTGAGCGGTTTTTTCTTCGATCTGGTCGGCCACAAGGGTTTCATTTTCTGGTTAGAAGCGCTAGGGTCATTGTCGTCCACTAGTGAGGATCGATTGGCACATTGTGATTGACATCGAAGGCGCGCGTGTCGGGACTCCAACTGCTCGATCCCGATTGAGGATGCGGCGAGGCTGTCGATTATTGAAAGCGCGGACGGCCTCTTCAACAATCGAGTCAAAGCCGGTCGCATGGGTACAAGGAATAGGATGGCATCCAATGCTGGACCATGCTGGAACTAGACCAAATGAAAAGATAGAACAAGCAACAAGCCAGCTTCCGCGGAGGAACTAAGGACGCTTTCCCCTTTCGAGAGAATCACCTTAGTAAGCACACGAGTTTGATTGGCAAAAAGCGGGCGGAGGAAAGAGGGAAGTCACATGACCTACGAAGCTCGATCCTAGACATCGTGAACATCACCCCATTCCCTCCTCCCATTGCCCAACCCCTCCACTCCCTACCAACCGCCAAAATGTTCCGCACTGCGCCTCGCATGGCCGGGTATGTCTGCATTGATTCCTGCTCCTGATGATCACAAATTCTCCCAATTCCGTCCAGGACCGCGTGTCCGTGTGCGCCCGAATTTCGTTGCGCAGCTCCTCGGGGACGCAATTGCTAATTCGCATGGATATAACTCTGGGAAAGACCAGTCGACTAAGGATTAGTGACAATTACTGACGTATGCTTTGCGGCCATAGTTTCGTGTTCCGCGAGAACCGTGTCCCCTACTACCAGCGTCTGTTCCAGAAGAACGACGGCAAGCGTCAGTGGTGGAAGGTTAGTTCGATCCGGATACAGCCTTGTATAATGACAACAATCTGACCCGGCGTTTCTTCACAGACCCCCCGCAGCGGCTACGTCATGTACCCCTACCTGATCTCCGTCTACGGTCTCGGTGCTGGTAAGTTGACATTGTGATGTACTAGAAGTGAATCTATGTGCAATAGATTGACATTATAATAGCTACCGTCTACGCCTCGTGCCGTATGGTTCTCGTGAGTTTCCCTTTTGATTCCTCTTTACACCTCCGGCTATGGATTATGCCTGGGGGTTTGTTTCTGTGAAACCCAGCTAATCTTTTTCAAACAGGGCCACAAGACCTGGTACTAAATTAGCTCGACGATAATAGATGATGGCATCTGCAGTTGGCGGGATCGTTGAAGATGCAGTGTTCCAAGGATCATGGATCACTCGATTTGGTGTATTTCTATTCCGGTGATGGTTAGATTGGTTTGCAGGCACACTGGTTTGGGGCTGTATATACCACCAATTCAAGTGCCAATTAAGTTACTTTTGTTTCTCTGAACACTGAATTTCACCGCTGTTTTCAGCACTTCAATTTAGCCGAAAATTGCATGCTTATTTCCAACATCATGCCATTGGCTGAAATATTACGTCAGGAGAGTAGGCCACTGTCATCATCAATGGGCTCCCTGACACCTACCGGATGCATTTAGAAATTTATCACGATAGCTATCTCTGGGTTCCCAATATTTTGCCATACAGAAAGCTATAGTTCTTGATTCCATCTCTGTTCCGTGTTCCGCTCCATCTCCGGTCCGGATACAGTATTGATTAGTCATCTGGTTAAAGGTGTTTCGTGCCAATCGGCGTGGTATTTGCCTAACATGTGTTCTGGTTCTCATCTAGAGAGGAAACTTCTGAGTTATCTGCAATTGGATGAATCCGCTCTCTAAAACCTCATTCCTGATATCGGTATACAACACCCTTGGCCAAGACGCCCGTGATCAGCAAAAACAAATCACAGGGAAACGTTGTGCGTCCGTCAATTTTGAAGACCAAGAGGCTTTAAGTTGCACCACCACTGTTGGATCTGATGGATTCATCGTATTCAGAGCGCGCTGCCAAGCGAGTTCGACAAGCCTGTGAGCCCTGCAGGTGGGTCTATAGTACCCGTCATTTCTGATATCATGCTCATGTGTTGCGTAGAAGGAAAAAGGCGAAATGTCCTGGAGAGCAGCCGGTCTGCTCATTGTGTGCTAGATTAAAACAGCAGTGCGTATATGCTGAATTTAAACGGCGTCATGCGCCACCGGAGGACCAATCGAGGTCAAGTGCTCCGCCCTCATCCTCTTCTCAAACACTTGTAAGTGTTGAGATTCTGGAGACATGAGTGTGATTGCTCTAACACCTGATAAAGGAGGATAGGTTGCGTAGCTTAGAAGGCAAGCTTGGGGCAGTACTTGACCATCTGGGGTATGAATTTCTGAACAACTTTAGAAATGTTCTGTACTGATATGTCGTGTCGGCAGAAATACAACCGAATCTTCGGTATCAAACGACGTTCCTGCAGCGACACCATCAGGAATGAACCAATCCACCATTCTCCCGCCGTGGGAAGAAATCTTTCCAATAGCAGAACTTTACCTGCTGTATTGCGAATCTCAGCCCTTGCCTCTATTCCACAGAAGCAGCTTCATTGCTAATCTCAAACAGCGCGATGTTGAGATTATATATGCGATTCTGGCCCTGAGTCTCCGGTTCTCAGATTCATACCGCAATTATCCTGACCTGACGGGGTTAGTCAACAGCTATGCTGAAGTGGCCCGGGGTCTAGTCATGAAGCGAGTCTCGGAGGGGCCAGTCGAGATTTCAACTTTACAGTGCCTGTGCCTTTTGAGTTTGGTTGATTTTACAAGTGAGTAAATCGTCAACTACTTCATTCTATTGGTCGCTCATGTTTCCTAGATGGCAATACGCATCGCTCCAGCATCCACAGCAGTCTGGCAATGAACCTTGCACGGTGCGCCAACCTTGGCCTGGAGTCCCGTGCATTGACAAATAACATCCTTCGCGAAGAACGAAGGCGATGCTTTTGGAGTATATGCCTTCTGAAACGACTCCACGGTGGCGAATTCTCAATTCTAGATCTCCCAGATATAGGGGGCCCGCCATATCCTCAGAGCCCAACTCGACCGGCCCGCGCTATCTCTCCGGGCCCCCCGACCCCGGGAGTCCGCAGGAGCGAGCTACAGGACCAAGGCATTGTTGCATATGTCATCATGCTAAGTGAAGCGTTTGGCCGAACAGCACGATATGTACGGCATCGGGGACGACCGGGTAATGTACCGCCATGGTCGCCTGACTCGGAGTACTCTAAGATCATTGCGCTGCAGATGCAATTGGAAACTTGCATGCCACTCATACACCGCTTCAAACCGGCAAATCTCAGCGACAGATCTTTAGAGGAATTGCAGGCCCACAGAGAGTACTGGGGCCCATGGTTTTTAAACCAATTCATGTACCACACTATTCTCTGCCTCCTCAACCATCCCCTGCTGCTGTCTCTGAGTTTGCGTACGTTTCGGAATACCATCCCCGAAATATTTTTGCAACATACTTCGGATCTCATCTCCTCGCATACGACTTGGATTATCCACTTCATCAATTATTTTGAAGAGAGATCCTTCTTGGTGTCAGATCCATTGCTGGGATACAGCGCTGCCGTCGTGGCTACTATAGAGCTTCAGTTAAGCTTCACAGACAACTCGGCTATTAGAGAGCAGAAGCGAGACAGGTTTACGAAATGTGTTAATTTCGTACAACGAATTGGCGAGAGATGGCCCCATATGGCTCGCTTGGTACGTACAGGAAATAAATTTTCAATGATGATGACCTGCTAAACTTCTTCTCCCATATATCTAGGCGGAGAGACTACAACATTTGGAGAATGCTGTTTCAGCTACCTACGAATCCGACCTGGGGGTCCAAAACCAAAGTCTTCTGATTGATCTTTCCCGCTTCTGGGAAATCCTTGAGTATTCATCCAACAGCGATGTCGATTCTGCTAGGCGTCTTTTCGGAGATTCGCTATACAATGGACCACCATCTGTGGCAACGGAAGTGTCACAGACTTCCCCTTTACCGGCACCGACTCGCTTGACTGAACAGGAGGAATCATCTTCAACTTTTCAATCTCCAAACTTCAATACCAACACCGCCTTTCCCAATGGCCCGGAATACCCCACAAACTCACTGGTGGCGCCGCAGCAACTGGCTTTGTCAAACGATGACTTTTCTATCCTTGCTACGAACTTCTTTTCTCAGGGACAAGAGTTTCTTCGAGGTGGTGATAGTTGGGAAAATATTGGGAATTTCTAATTGCCTTTAAAGGGTAGCCATAGCAGCTCTAGGTACATCATTTCCATTATTTCCTTAACAGTCATCTAACAAAAACATGGTAAAAATAGATGAGTCGCCATGTTTGATACTTCAGCAGTTTTTTCTGACATGAGATCACATAAATTCATACATATGACAAGCAGGCTATGCACTCAAAGCCCCACGGAATGTTTCCACAAAAGTGTACACCTCGGAGAAGGTGTTGTAAAGAGGCACAGGCGCCACACGAACAACATCCGGCTCACGCTTATCACAAATAATGCCCGCATCTTGCAGTCTCTCGGCGACCTTATGCAACAGTCCAGGCTTGAGCAATACACTCAGCTGTGCGCCACGAGAGTGGGGATCTGAAGGTGTGATAATGTCAAACTGACGAGTCTCATCGGTCGTGTCCTTCAAAAGAAGGAACTCGAGGTATGCAGTCAGCTTAAGCGACTTTTGACGCAAGTCAGACATGGAGGTTTGATCAAAGACAGACAGTGCAGCGCAAAGAGTCGTCAAGTCGATAACTGAGGGGTTGGAGATGACAAAGCCGTTAGCTCCAGGAATAGGCTTGAATTCTAAACATCGAGTATTAGTAGATGTTTGAAGAATAGGCCCTGCGAATCGACTTACTGTTATCCATCTTAAATCGTACAGACCGGTCACCACCGTACCAGCCGGTCAATCGGTGGCGGAACTTCGGCGCATCCTCGCCCTCGCTATAATCCACCTGGCCATGGCGCTCGTGCACGAAGAGACCACCCATCGCTCCGGGACCGGCATTGCCATACTTGTATGTGCACCAAGCAGCAAAGTCGACGTTCCAGTCGTGCAGCTTGATCTCGACATTACCATATGCGTGCGCCAAATCCCAGCCCACAATCAGACCGCGGGATTGGGCGTATGATGTAATGCGAGGAATGTCAAACAACTGACCAGTGTAGTACTGAATACCGGGCAGCAGAAGAACAGCAGCATCCTCGGCGTGCTTGTCAATGTATGAGAGAATCTTTTCAGTCGGGATCTCATATTGGCCCTCATCAGGACCAATCAGGACCATGTTCTCCTTGGCATCGAGGCCGTGCCAGGCAATGTGGGATTCAATTGCATACTGCTTGAGATTAGTCTGAGGTCTTCTATGGGGCACAGCAGGTATTCTGTACTCACATGATCACTGGGGAATGCCTTCCAGTCCATAAGAATCTTCTGTCGCTTCTCTGTCGGCTTGTAGAAACTCGCGAGCAGGAGGTGCAGGTTCATAGTGAGGGTTCCCATGGCAGCGACTTCTTCAGGAGTAGCGCCAACAACCTTGCACATGGATGCCGAAGCTTGCTCTGAGAGCAGTTGCCATTGCTTCAAAGGTGAGTCCTCGAGATTGGTGAAGTGTCCGCAGACACCAATGGACGACCATGTGTCGAGCTGGGCTTCCATGTACTTGGCAACTGCCTTGGGCTGAATTCCCAGCGAGTTACCACAGAAATAGATGCTTGGCTCCTTGGAAAGACCTGCAGCACAATGATGAGTCCTCTAATCCGGTATTTATACAGTTGATTCGGGGACTTACCTGGCTTCGCCAGCTTCTTGGAAGACAGATTGGCCTTGGAAGGGATAATAAACAGATCCCGCAGCTCTCGGAGAGTATCTTCGGCATCCAAGGAAGCTGCATATTCCTTACACGCGGCCTCGGCGGGGAAGACATGCTTCGGCGCCTTCACACCATTAGTAGTATTTCCTCCGCCCATATTGATGGATGGTAAATAAGGCTGTGGGATGAGGTAATGACAGCGCACAGTAACGCCTAGGCTGAATCAAGATTATGAATGGTGAGACTGTAAGACCTAACGCACCTGCGTTTTATAAATGCAGTGGTGAGGGGGATGCAGTAGCATCCGGGTGTTATCTCCGCTTCCGCCTCCAGATCCGTCCCCACAGTTTTGAGTTTACTTATCGAATGTTATTGCTGAAGAAGTACATTGTACAATGTGATCAAGTTTTTACTAATTTAACGATAGATTGTGGATTTCAGACGAGTTCAATTTTATCATTTTTTGTGTAACGCATCAGTGGGGGGCTCGAGGTCTCAAGTCAACTCGTCATAGGTCCTGTATGAGATGCAGCAGAGATGCAGCAGAGATGCAGATTTGCTTTTTGAAACAGGGATCACATTTCCCCTCAGCTAGAAAAGTATAAGATAATCCCCGAAACTATTAAACTATAGCTGGTTCCTGTGATCATTATCTGTCATCACTGGTACCTACTATACATATCATATGTACATATTCAAATTACATCATGCCACGGAACACGGATAGCAATACGGATGAGAGATCCGTGTTTTATAGATAGCAAAAGCAAATCAGTGGCCGACGCCAGCCGCTCTGGCGTTTATACCTATATTACCCTGTCTTATTGACAGTGATTTGACTCTTTAAAAGTCAACTAGGTAGACACCGGTTATGGGAATATTCATCCCGATTCATTTTTATTACAACCAGCTCCCTCTTGTTATTCCTCTACATCGATTCTTTGCCCTATTCTCATCATCCCCCACTCCTTTTGTCTCAACTCCATCAATATGCTCCAATCTCCTGTCATCAGACTAGAAGATTACGCCGTCTCTGACAGGAACGGCTTCCTTCCCACCAGCCCTCCTCTTGCCAAACTTCCCAGTGCTTACTACGAGCCCTGGGAAGCCCTCGCCTGTCGGCTATCCACCCTCATCAAAGATGGCAGCATCAGATCAAAGATCGACAATCTTCCGATACTTGATGCGTCTTGGTTACAGACAGAGCCTGAATGGCGACGTGCCTACTCGGTATTAGGCTTTCTGACCCATGCTTATATCTGGGGAGGCGAGAAGCCAAAAGATGTATGTCCTCAAGTGACGGGTCAGACTTTTACCAGCTCTAATCACATTTTCATATATCTAGACCATCCCCCCTTGTATTACAAAGCCCTTCCTTGAAATCTGCGACCATCTCGGACTCCCGCCCTGTGCAACATATGCAGGGCTCACTCTGTGGAACTATACGGCACCAGGGGATGTAGATATCTCCAACCCAGATAATCTATCTCTATTGACTTCATTCACTGAAACCGTGGACGAAGAATGGTTCCTCCTTATCTCAGTTGCAATTGAAGCAAAAGGTGGCAAGCTGGTCTCTTTAATGCTCGATGCCATTGCCGCAGCCACTGCCAACGATGTGTCACGGCTGACTGCACTGCTGTGCAGATTTGCAGATGGTCTGCGGGACTTCAACTGCACACTCCAGCGCATGCACGAGAGATGTGACCCCGAGGTCTTCTTCTACCAACTTCGCCCATTCTTGGCTGGTAGCAAGAACATGGCTAGTGCCGGTCTGCCTAAAGGTGTTTTCTATGACGAGGGCAACGGTCAGGGACAGTGGCAACAATACAGCGGTGGGAGTAATGGTCAGAGCTCGCTGATTCAAACCTTTGATATCTTCCTGGGGGTAAATCACCCAGCGACCGGAGGAATCAGTGGCCCTTCTGGGTATCTAAAAGTACGTCTCAATCTTGGACTCCACTGCCATATGCATATCGCTAACCTGGGATTGCACAAATTAGGAAATGAGGGACTACATGCCTGGCCCTCACAGGCGATTCCTTGAGGTTTTGACACACTATTCGAACATCCGATCCTTTGTGATATCCTCGCCAAATGAACAATCCTTGAAAGAGGCATACAATGCGGCATGCTTGACCCTCTCCGCATTCAGAGACACTCACGTGAAGGTTGTGTCCCGATATATCGTCCTGGCAGCCAAACGAGGTGCATCAAACACACAATCCTCTGAGAATGTTAACCTCGCTACTGCGAGTGCTCAGGTGGATGGATTGAAGGATGACAACCCGTCCGGGTTGTATGGAACTGGAGGAACTGCATTGATGCCTTTCCTGAAGCAGACAAGAGATACCACTAAAGATGCGACTATCTAGAGATTTCAGTACATATGTTTTATTAGGGGTTTAATACTAGTACCGACCGCTCCTAAATCAGACCGTCTTAGGATAAACGTTTTCCGTAGAGCAAAGTATAGCCTCTTTGCGTTAGCGGTTGATAATTTCTGGTCTTCCCGTTAAGGTGTCTCCAATTATTTGGAAGGCGCAATTGACGCATCTTATTTGAGGAAGGTAAGATTAGATCATTTTAGGAAGTTACAATTATCGAGTATATACCCGCCCTCGTTTTCGATTTCCAAGCCTTCTCTTTCGTCCTTGATCATCCCCCTTTTTCTCTCGGGATGTAAGCATCGTGAGATGGACGACTCATATCACTTATCAGGTTCTCTTACTAATGTAGAGATACAACACGCAGAAACGACGAAATGCAGCTTTCTTTTCCCGATATGATTTTCTGTAGTAATTGGACATGATTCTCCGTGTGTACATTTTCAAGGCAATCCAAGGACAAATGCAATCGGGTTTCAAGCCTTGTAAGAGTTGAGTTCGGCTACCCACGCGCTGTCCTGTATCTTCAGTCGAATCAGGTACTGGAAACGATTTGATCATGGCACGTTTGTCAGGATCAAACAGGGCTTTTAGTCTCAGAGAGACGAAGCCGAGGGCTAGTCTCACTGGCGAGCTTCAACAGTGCCTATTATTGATGAGAGTCGGTTGTTGCCGATGGCTCCTTGAAGACCATGCTAGGGGTTTCGTTGCTCTGAGACCACCATGTTTGAATCTCAAATGAATAGCATTTGTAGACACGGCCCCAAGGTGACAGCTGCATGTGAGATAAGTGCTGATTGTGGTTGTGGTTGGCGCAAATCGATGTTGCGACGAAAGTCCCGGAATTTCAGAGACCGTGTACAATAGTCTGGGCATGTAGACTACTGGAAAGAAGATAGCTTGCAGGCGATCATCTCTTCTTTGTATTAGCGGGAACTCCCTCGCTTTCCCGTAACTCTGCAAGCGTCTTCTCTCGCTCAACCAAGCGGTCCTTCTCCTCTTTGATCATCGCATCAACCGTCTTCATAGCCTCCGACATCCGATCAAGCTCCTTATTCTCAGTCGCCCGACTGTACGGATTCTTCGGCGCATCGTTAACCGGGATCTCCGCCGTCCGTCCCGCACCTTGCTTGGCATTCTTGCCCTTAGCCCGGGGCGGAGCAGTACCAGCAGGACCTCCAGTAAGGATTTCGTAGAAAGGCTCAACAGGCTCATTGAAAATGACCTCCTCGTAATTCTGGCTCACAACCACCTCCCGGCGCTCCTTCATTCCCTCTGCATCTGGTCCGTAGGGGTGAAGTTTCAGGCTGTGCCAGAGGGTCTGCGGTTTCTCGTTTGACTCGGGGACGAAGTATAATTTGATTTGAATCTCGAATTCACCCCACCCGGTCTCGACGACTTCGAACGGGGGCGCCTCGATTGTTCGGACGTTTTGTGCGTATGTCTCGTGGAGTTTGAATTGGACCTTTTTCAGCCAATAGGAGATATCTTCATCGTTGACGCCCTTCACGAAGATGCGCCATTGGTGGGTGTGGTCGACGGGTGCATTTGCGGGCTTCTTCTCGGGGTCAAATAGCTGAGCTTCGCTGCCAAAAACTAGACATCTGCGTGTTAGTGATTATTTTACCAGTAGGTTTGTTGTTCAGACGTACTGAATGGGCGGAATACTGAAACTCCCTAGGAAGGGATTAGCTTGGTTTCTTGATGACTTCGGAAAGTTGTACCAAGGAAAGTGTACTCACTCTGACGCGCTTGTTTGCTGGTGCGGACGGCATATTGACCTGCTGGTCCGGTTGAAGGATGGAGTGTAGATTGAATGATCGTGTTGCCTTGATTAAAGCTGTTAAACGGGCGCGACGGAAAAAGGCGACTCGCGACACACGTGACCCGGTGACGGCATGCGGGAGCTTTCGCATAGCTTTCAAGGTTCAATTCTTGTGAGCTTGGTCTATGGTACATCTTGGCTACTCCTATACAATTTTGTATACTTGATCCTGACATATATTTCTTAATACACAATGGCTACCAAAAGGCTTGTTGTCGCCGGCGGGAGTGGCTTCTTAGGTTTGCGATCCAAGGCACATGGGCCAACTCGGTGAAGCTAATCTGTCAATCAGGTTCCAGGATCTGCAAATCAGCTGCAGCGCGGGGCTGGTCGGTAATCTCGTTGAGGTAAGCTGAAGCTTTCTCTTCCCTCGTGCTTCATCTATCCTGCTTTACGAAGGCTGATCTCTTCTCTAGCCGGTCCGGCGAACCGCGGTGGGACACGGTCACTGATTCCTCGACACGGCCAAGCTGGGCGAGCTCAGTCGAATGGGCCAAAGCTGACATTCTAAAGCCGGAAAGTTACAAGCCTTTTTTGAGTGGTGCTACTGCGGTTGTTCACTCCATGGGAATCCTCCTAGAGGCCGACTACAAGGGTGTTGTACAGGGAAGAGAACCCATTATTGGGGGACTTCAGCGGGCTTTCAGCTCGTTAAAGCTTGGCAGCCAAGATCTACAAACACGAAAAGAGGGCGAGGCCCTTCAGCCCAAGGAACATGATGGCCAATTGACTTATGAACTTATGAATAGAGATTCAGGTGCGTATTGATCGATTCAAAAATCATTCAGCATACGAACTTTGGTTGCCTGAAATCTGACCATCTCTTGTGAAACAGCTATCGCATTAGCCCAAGAATCCTCGACCGAACATGTTCCAGCATTTGTATACATCTCCGCTGCGGCCGGCGCACCTGTCCTTCCTGCCCGATACATCACCACCAAGAGAGAAGCCGAAGACACGATCGCCTCCACTCTTCCGGAATTGCGAAGTATCTTCATTCGCCCTAGTTTCATTTTCGATTCAAGCCGAAAATTCACATTGCCCATCGCCCTGGGCGGTTTTCTCACTTCGGAGGTCAATACTTTCCTGGGAAACAAGCTTGGGTTCCTTGGTTCCATGGCTGAGAAGCCGCTGAAAGTCGATACCGTGGGCGAGGCCGTAGTCGAGGCTTTGGAGGACGAGTCAACAAGAGGAGCAGTAGGACCCAAGCAAATTGAGGCTTTGGCCACAAAGGCCTGGAGGAAAGCAATGCTGTGAGGCAGCCTGATTGACACATGACGTTTGACGATCCGTTCAGAGACCCATCTTATGGTTGACATAAAAGCACACGATAAATTGCGGGTTGACGGCTAGTGTCTTGTTCCAAACTTAACTCAGAAAAGTGCCCAGCACATGTATATTATTTCTAATTTTTTCATGCCGCATTAGATCATGGTTCCTCGCTCGAAACTGTCCCGAATCTCGGTCGTATACTAGAAAATCTGTCAGATAAAACGCTTTAGTAAACGAAGATTACAGAAGCATACCTTGTTGTAAAACCGGGCAAGCTTCTGGTTGAACTGCTTGTTCTTCTCGTTGATGTACGTCACGTCTGCCTCGTCATCACCGCGGCGCTCCTTGCGTTTCTTGAGGCGTACCTCCTCGGCCTTGTGGATATCACCAACAAGTCGGTCTATGGCTGCACGGTCTGGTTTGTTGTCGGTGAAGCCAACGCTGTCCGCGGTGGAGTAGAAACTGCCATTCTTATCGATGGCGATCATTTCGCCGTCGGCAGTCTCCACAATTTCAAGGTCGCCGTTAGCAGCGGCCTTCTCGATTGCAGCCAGCTTCTCCTTTTCGTATGCCTCCAAGTTCGGGGGAAGTTCACGCATTTGTCGCTTGTACACTTTGTTAGCATCCTGGGTGTAATCCTGGAACGCAACGTTGTCACGGTGACGCTGCTTTTTCTCCATGCGTCGATCCCATTTCTCAGATTCGTCAACGGTCCAATCCCAGGCTCGCTTGCGCTCGAAATCTTCGCCGGTCGCTTCTGTGTCTGCCTTGAGGAGGTTGTGCGAGGCAAAGGCGTGTTTTCGGGCAAGTGAAGTAGCCAAATTCGGGTCAGTGGCAAGTCGCTGGGTCTCTGCTGCGGTTTCTTTCAGATTGCGCTCATTGGCAGACTTCTAAGACGGGTATCAGTAATGAACTCGACAGAGCTTTGTGATTAGAGCTTGTGTTTGGGATCTCGGGTATCGTACCGCTCTAGCCTGAAGTGCCTTAAACCTCTGTAGTCTATCATTTGCCTTGCTAGCCGCGCCATCCTCTTGCTTGTCGATATTTGGCTCCGCAGTGCTAGGTGTGTCGGTGGGATTTGAGTCTGAGGTATCGTCTATCTTAGCTGGCTTTTCGGTGTCCTTAGCAGACAAATCTTGGTTTCGTGTCTTCGGCATGGCGTCAAGACACAAGAACTGAGCAGGCTTGTGACAGTTTGGAGGGGAGGATTGAAGAAGGTGGGAAGAGAGGTTGCGACTGCAGTTTTCCGCGATGAGATGACATCAGTCTCACCGCCCTTGTTCACCGCCCTGGCCCTGGGCTTGACACAAACTGCCACCCCAGACTTTCAGTGCGGGTCAGTTTCCATCTCCACCCGTGGGTCATCTTGCCCGCGCATTGGTTTCTGTTGATAAATTCGCCCAACATGAGATGCGTGGCTCCGTGGGCTCGAAGACCCAGATATCTTCCTTGCGTCACCCTGATCGTACGACCAATCTCTCGGTATCATTCATCCTCATCCATTGATACCCTGACTAGCTCCAAAGCCAGTACTGAGTCCATCGTCCCATCTACCTCACAACTGCTTCGGTTCAGTATTACCGCCTCAAGCAGAGTAGGTGACAATAACCACAGTAAAGCAATACGCAGTCAAGTTATCAAGCTCCTCGATGCTGATTGGAACTTGGGTCCTCCTGCGGCCTTGTGGCTACCCCTCAAAGGTGTCCAACCAATAAACCAGCGACAAGGTACTTTGTTGCTTAGCTCTGTGGTGGATGTAGCAGCTTTGAAATCCGTTATTGAAAGAATGGTCATTCATTCGGAGGGAGCTGCCCGGCTACAAGTGAACAATTGTATCGTTCTAGGGAATGCGTTACAGCGCTGTCAGTCTCACAACACATATTCAGAGATTGTTGCAGTATTGAGCGATATTATCGCGAGACTCGAACGGCTCAAACTTCCTATATACTCTCAGCTCTGTGAGCTTGGCATCTACTATGCAGCGCTAGACCTGTCCATTCCCGCCCTACATCAGTTTCTCCGCGCATGGCAACGAAAAACCGCGAAGCGATTGACCTTCGGGGATCGAATTGTTCAAGCACTGACATCAGCTGTCAATGCAAAATTCTTCGAAACCCCGAATTATGACCCTTCACCCTTGCTCGCCGAACTTACAGGTGAAGGGGGCGTTCCTTCAGATATGCATACTATCTTGTATCAGTCGCTTCACCAAAATCAGCATGACTTCGCTGCACTTCTCCGCCTTCTGGCTGGAATCGGTAGTGACGAGCCATTATATGAGTTCTGGGCTGCATTCTTGCAGACATTCGATCGCAAAGACCCCGATGCTTGCCGCTCTGCTTACAGTGTGGTTTTGATCCTGATCAAATCTGGGCGTTCAGAAACAGCCCTAGATTTCCTGGAAGATATCTCTAAGCAGTGCAATGGCACATTGCCCCATATCAAGAATTCACATGATCTACAAACTCTATTCCAGGATCCTGTTGTCGGGAGATCGCTGGCCAACTTGGTCAATGATGAGTGTTACAAAACGCTGCTGGAAGCGGGATTCGCAAGTATGGAGCAGAGGCTAGGCATCACATGGCAAGGGACTCGAGAAAAACCAAACAGCAAGGCACATTTTGGTGTAACTCTGAATTCTTTATGGGCTACCTTGACGGATCAGCCGCTACTAACTATCGATGGTGATTGCGCGGGATATGACGATATCACCCGATTTTATCCTGAACTTCAAGCCCATGGGTGCTCCAAATCTCGTCAGGAGCTCGGGCAAGTTGTTGATTTGCTCAATGATCATGATGGCGATGTATACAACGTGGTGGTGCAGCTCAACCTAAACGAAGAACAGTGGAAATCCTTCCAATCCGAATTTCCTTCTGCCGAGTTTCGGTGGTGCCCTCAACGGTCACCAATAGAGTTCTCCGACTCCCCACTCCCCACTTTGACAGACCAGTCTGAGCAATGGACACCGGCTTCGCTCGGTTTGATGCGGGCTCGCCCCTATGTCAATGGAGAGCCCCAAGCGGGGGCCAATGGCTTGCATTTGATGCAGTTGGGATACCTGGAAATGCGGCGTGGTCCAAACGAGCCATGGAAACCATCCGGGTATATTGTGGCGTGGGATCGTCAGTTTGGTGAAACCATTGCTCTCTTTGTTGGGGAATATTCAGCGGTCATCGGCCGTGGCGCAGCCTCCGCAAATGCTCCATTCGGCACTGTAATGTCTATTCGGCCATTTGACAAGCCCCATGTATTACCCTTGTCTCCCGATCGACAACCTCGTGTCTTCTCCGGTCGTTATTACTTGGACGTTGATCCAAGTCCAGATTTGGGTCCGTGAAGTGTCGGGTAATCCTTGAACCAGTCTCCAGGTACAGGGAAGATCATTCAAGGATCGCATGTGGAGACGATCTCACATGTACTGTGATTGCAATGATTCAGCGGTGTATATTTTGAAAATTTTCTATTGTATTTTTTCTCCAGCACATGAGAGTCGTAGAGACCCGCTTTTTGAGAGTCTTCGATGTCTCGGCGATTCCGTTTTCTGCCCCTATCTCTGTACATCTCGAGGAACTAACGAAAGGACGCCCACCTTGTGTTCCCCACAACGCTCCACCATTGTCATTTGAGTCCAGACCCCAATCAGCGACCGTTTCCTTTCGCTTTGGTCATAGCCCCAGCTCTGATCGACATACACTATGAACGCATCTGGCTTACCTTCCCTGCATGTTTGACCATTTCATCACGGACTTGCTCGTAAGCAAACAACCAGGATTTTCCGAGTGACCCGGGGCTGAGAAGGGAGAGATCGACGGTAAGGGTTCGCAAGCCACTCACCTTGTGTATCGTTTCAGCATTGCAGGGATCGTGTCAGCTTTCAGTCTGTACGTTGTACGTACCTTTCTCGAACCGGTAGCGCGATCTTCATCTCGAATTATTTTCTTTGTGCAATGCCTGCATGACGGTTTGCAACGTGGCTGATATTTTCACAATGACATTTGGTCAGTAACTTACGATGAAGGACCCTCGTTAGGCTCATTTATGGCGCAATGGCCACTTTCGTTATCAACGTGCACTACAGCTCGGGCCTGGTGGGGACCACGCGTAGTAGCGCCCCTCTCTCGCCAATGATCCAGGACCTTGGGATTTCGGCGCTTGTCACGCGAATCTGTGTGAAAAATTGCGACTGCCGCTATTTGCCGACAGATGAGCCCCATAGAGGCCGTTTCTTATTCGTAGAGACTAAAGAGTTCAGCTGGTGTTGGTTCATGGGTTCTCAGAGTACCCGCAGGATTGGACATGACCATTCGACCATGATCAATAGACCTTGGGCTTGCACCTTTTTTTAGATCATACAGTGTGTGACTGATCGATACGACGTTTGCCTACATGGCCTGGGCGCTTGGGCCCATTGGACCCATCTATCGTGATTCACCAAGAAAGGTGGTCCGCTTCTCCCCAACTCGTGAACGGCTGCCTTTTTTGAGATCAGATCATACCAGGACCTAACACTCCCGAACTGCCATGCGAGGGATAGCCGGAGCCCACTGCCGTGGAACGCTAAAACATCTTCAATTCCTGGAATTACATGAACTTACCGACTCCTTCCCGAAAGCTTGCCACCCTCGTCATGGGATAACTGGGTCGATTCCCCACTATCACGGCCGAGCTCGGTTCCAAGATTCCCACTGTGGGGTGGAGGAAGATCTCGACACAATGTACCAAGCCCCTGGGTTTACCTAGCTTCACTGTGGGCGGAATTTGCGCCGAAAGAATTAGTCGGTCAGCACCCGGCCTTCGCTAGTTATGCAATTTGGTGTTAGACTTTGGCTTTATCCACTCTATTCCGTCAAAGTTTTTGCGTCAGGGTTTGATTTGATATGGAATCCCGTCCCCGTTCCATGGGACACAGCCCCTAATGAAGAACCCACACAACTTAAATCTAGTATTTCTGTTGATCTACAGGTTTATTCATTGCTGGGTTTTTTTTTTTCTCTATGATTTTCTATAGTTTTGTGCTATTCTCTAGTTTGTGGTGTTTTTTTTTTTTTTTCTCGGTTTTTTTTTCCCCGGGCATTTCATCTGATCCTGATCCTTCCCAATGATTACATTCAGGCGACTATGGGCAAGCCACACCTAGGATCCCGAGTTCCAGGAAACTTTCCCAGCGACATCCGTGCATGGCATATTTCCTGGACGCTAACGCTCATCACAAACTCCAAGCCACCTTGACCGTCCTTTCAAGGGCCTGGTAATGCCAGGGACCAAATTCCGCAGTTCGTCGGTTCATGCCCACGCACAGACTAAATAAAGACACACACCCAACCCACTTCTGCACCTTGAAACCAATGCCTGCTCGGCCCGTTCCCCCGGCTCTTCCCTTTTTTCTCTTTGCCCAGTGGAGCTCCAATCGTAGTTCCGTAAGGGCGGGTCCTGTTTAAGCAAGAAGAAGAAAAAAGGAGAAAAAAAAAACCAGGTCAATACACTTGACAGTTCACAGCCCCGTTCCCTGTTCTCTTTAACTGAAATGATTGGGCCAGCTTTACAAGAAAGCGGAGAGGAAGAGTAATCCAGGGCAAGTTTGACCTAATTTTTCATATGAAGCTGAAAAAGCAGAAAAGAAAAGACAAGAAAAAAACGACCAGTATTATTTCACGACAAATACCAGGGAAAAAGGAAAAGGAGAAAAAAAAGCCATTAAAATTCACCCCTCGCAGCTTCTCCATACTGATTCCACTCTGGATTCCACTGACAGCGGCCACACCGAAACTGGGTCCCATTTTGACAGGCTGCAGCGGGTTATCAGATGTCCACACAAAGAAAACCAGGATATGCAATCCTGGGTTTTGCGTGAATACCTGCACAACTTCGGTCCTTACATATCAAACAAACTCAACTACATCTGAGACATCGGATTTCCCGCGCGGGTGTGGCTGACTGACCGCTTTGTGGATCGTATTCAATGCCTAATTCCATGCTGAGAGTCCACTGTTATTCCTACTTAAGGTAGCGCAACGGCCGCCCAACGGCGCCTGCGCCTCCCAGTCTTGAATAGATGTCGAGGACCCCGTCGCAGCAATGTGGGCATCCCACCGACAGGCCTCACATCGAACCTGCATTTCAACACCCTGGTCCTGTGCCCATGACATATCAACCCTATCCGCAGCATGAACCTCGTCATTTTCACCCTCCAGATGCGGGCTATGAACGTCAGGTTCTGCCCTCATCGGAGGGTCCTCGATTACCGCCGTTGGGGCGCATGACAAGGAACCCAGATCCACGGTATATGCTTTCTGCGGACACTAGCTACATGAATCGCTCGCCATTGCCCCAGACGCTGCCACTACGAATGCATCATCCGGTGCCCATGGTTGCGAATTCACGCGACTACAACGTGCCATATCTAGGAGGTTCGAGTCCTATGTTAGACCATGGCCACGAATATCCTAGTCATCGGTTGCGGACATACGACCAGGAGTCCCAGTAAAGTTCCTTTTCTTTTCATTTTTCTTTTCGAACCACCGCTACCTGTCAGTCGCCCGTCCTCGTGTGGTGTCTCTCTATGAGCAGCTTTACTTGATGAAGAAGTACTGCTGTCCGCGGTAACAGATCTTCAAAGAACCTCTTTCTGACTCCTGGCTTTCTATAGACATAGCAACAGCTCTATGGCTATACCTAGTCCTATACACTCGGAGAGAAGCTCAATATCCTTCGTGGGCAATCAAGGCCCAGCAAGCACACCGAAAGAGAAAGAGCCCGAACGGAATCGTACACCACCTTACAGTATGCCCCATGGCTTCGACAAACTTCTACACCATGAACCCGAATCATCCCCTCCCACCCCGCCACGCCGGAAGTCAACTTTACCTCGATACCATCTTCATGTCCGCCAGCAGCCTATTGCCGCACGAGCATGTGGCGCCGGTGATCGAGATCGACGTCCTGTTGACCCGCCACCAATCGTACAGATTCTTCTCACAGACTTCGACCCAGAATCCGAAGACGACAAAGACACCCTTCAAGATCCCCGCTTCACAGTTGGCTGTCTACTCTTTCCTTTCTCGGACTCATCTACCTGGACCCAACCCCCGGATCCAGAACAAGCAGAACGAGATCAAGAGAAAGAGAAAGAATCAGACGGCGTCGCTCGCGCAGACGACGATTTTTCCACTCCTCTCCTCTCCGGAAAAGCATTCATGTCTCCATTCTACGTCGAAGCCGATCCAGATCCCAATTCTGCACCCACTCATCCCTCTTCAGATGATATCAATCCCCCTCCATCTTCTCAACCTCATAATCTGCGTAATGCCTCCAAACTCCATCAACCTGCTACCTTCTTTATTTTTGCCGATCTCTCTATCCGCACAGCGGGTTTATATCGTCTACAATTCCGGCTTATGAATTGGGGCTCCGTCGAGGATACCGGTCAATCGATGCCTATTCTTGCGGAAGCCTGGTCTGATCCGTTCCGAGTGTATGCTGCGAAAGATTTCCCGGGAATGCGCGACTCATCCATTTTGGCGGAGGGCTTGAAGGAACTCGGGTTTGTGGAGTTGAAAACTCGTGGGAATGGGAAGGGAAAGGGGAGGAAGAGAAATTGATGACATCTTCACTACTTTTTTTTTCATTTTTCTATATCCGTCTGGGGTATTTTCTTTTTCTTTTCTTTATTTATGACAGACACTTTGGAGACTTGGCCGGTGCCGTTGATTTTAGGGTCGGTATATGCTGTTTCGGGCCAGATGGGTTTAACGGGGATGAACGGGGCGTTTCTTGTCTTTTTCCAATCTCTCAAGGATTTTTTTGGTTTTGGTGCATATCATTCGGTTCCTGCGTTTGATATAAGATATGAATGATGAGGCGAGATGACCAAGCTGTTTTGTATGACCATCTGGGGTTTCAGCTTCATAGGGTGGACAGGAGTTTCTCGGTTATGATTATAGTAGATTATACAGAATAGGTTATTATAAGATCATACAGATTATTCGCGTTGCACAGTTTCATGACTGAGATTTTTCTAAAACATAAAATCTACGTCGAAATGCATCTGTAAATCATTCCAAACAGAAACGTTTATCTTCCATTCTGGTATACTGTACAAAATTACAAAAACTATAATACTTAATAAACTAATCGAGTCAATCAATACATAACAACCCAAGAAGACGAAAGACAACCTTAGTAGCCCCGCTGGTTACCAGCAAGATTCTGCTGCTCAGCCGCACGAGTAGTTCTAGGATCAAGCTTATTCATAGGGTCGACATTCTGAGCCTGAGCCCCAGATTGTCCTCCTGCACCGGCACCTCCGTAACTACTACCACCGGCCGCGGCATTACCACCGAAGCTCGGCTGAGCAGTGCCACCCATACCGCCTGACTCGGCACCTGTATTCGTCTGGCATGGTGCAGCATGGCTAGTGGTTGAGTGGGACTTGTTCTCCTGCATAGAGGTGCTATGATCGTCCTCGGTGCTCATATCGGAACCAAATTCACCAGGCTGGGAGTGGGAACTGTGCTCCTGTGTGTTCTTGGAGTAATTCTCCTCACTCTTCTTGTGGTTGTCGAAGGCCTGCATGCCGGGTTGCTGTTGTTGCATACCGGACTGTTGCTGCATACCAGGTTGCTGCTGCTGCTGCCCCTGCTTGTAAGATGTGTTGCTAGGATTGAAGCCTTGGGCATGGGCAACATTTGGACGTTCGCCTTCCGTTCTGCCTTGGCTTGCACGGTTATCTTGATACGGGCTTGAATTAGCTTTGATTTCGAGATTAGGAATGTTTGTGGAAATATGGCTTAGCATACCCATGTCACTGTCCACTCGAGGATCCATCTTGTTGCCCATTGATGAATCATGAGGTCCAGCATTGGATGCACCACCTGTTCTGCTCTGAGTGTAGGGGTCGGAGCCAGAACTGCCACCGAGGTTTTGATTGCCAGTTCTGCCTTGGCTGGCGCGGTTGTCTAGATACGGTCTCGGGTGAGCTTTGGCCCTTGAACATAAGTATATCTGAGCGATTATGGCTTAGCTTACCCATGTCACTGTCTACTCGAGGATCCATCTTGTTGCCCATTGATGAATCATGAGGTCCAGCATTGGTTGCACCACCTGCTCTGGTCTGAGCGTAGGGGTCGGTGCCAGAACGACCAGTCCCCTCGCCAGAGCGGGAAGAGCCAAATGGGTTCGAGCTCCTACTGGGGTGGTTGGTGCTGCCTTTGGTGTCAGTGCCGGTACCGTAGTTATCCTGACCAGGCTCGTTGTAGCCGCGGTCTGTGTCCCTGTCACGATCGGTCATGGCGTCTTTGACTTTGTGCATGAAGTTGGACATGATTGGTAGTAGAAAATAGAAAATATAAAAAATAGATTAGATAAGGTAGTTTGATCTGAACTTGAAGTTATTGGTTAGATGGTTTGAATAGATATAACTTTAAAATGATGAGCAATAAGATGCTACCGCTAGGGGCTTTATATGCCACCCGCCTTGGTTTGCCTCCCAATAAAAAGCTCCCCTCACGAACCCCCCCTTGTGACGCAATATCAAGGTTCATACGAGGAGAAATTCAAAAATGAATCTGAATCAAGACTCATGACGGTCTTATTATCACGGACATGACGCGTCAAACAGGTTCAAACCACGAAAGCGGCTAAATTTTGCTGGGAATGAGGTTAGCCATCAATGTCATCGGTCCTCAAGTCTCGGGTTTGGAAGGTAAGGATGACATCAAAAGATAGTTTCTTGAAGATCTGACCAGTGGGAAGCTCAAGATCCTGATGATGCGGTGATCACGGTACACGAGCTTACCCCGGTTTCGTTCCATGGGCAGCCAGAGGAACCATGGTTCCATATTCAGGTTTTGGAGAACATCTCGATTTCTTGTCCACTTCTGACTGACATTATTATTTGTGTAAGCCTTGTCTTCATAAAAGAATGGCTTATTAAATTAAGAGAATAAGGGGAAGATAAGAATTAAATAGAAGAGAAGGTTTGATATTCGGGGAAGAGTCTATACTCGAATATCGCGCCTTCTTAAATCAGATTATCATTCCTTCCTGAAACAAAATGCATGAGTCGCGCTTCCGCTTGATGGTTTACAAGCAGTGGTCCCGGAGATGGATCTTATTTAATTGATTATCCCCGCATGTAATTTTATATGGTATGACTGGTACTAAGTTGACATTTTCTGGGGTGAGAACAATGTTGGGCAGTGCAGAGAATACATACTATGGAAAATTTGGAAGAGAAAACCCAGATACTAGCAGTTTCCAAAGGATATATACAGGAGCAGGGACAAAAGCACAGTCACAGTATAATTACAAGATATACACAATTCAACTGATCTACTAGATCAGTCTAACCTTCACACTATCGTACAGGTAACAACCTCTTCGGCACTGATGGCTCATACTCCTTATTATACCAATTAGCCTTCAACTCCGCCAACTTCCTCTTATACATAGGATCCTGCTCGATATCCGAAAATTCTGTAAAAAACTCCAACATAACCCGCCCATCGTGCACCAGGTCCAGTTCCCGCGCCAAAAGAGCGCGCATGAACGTTGCCCTGTGTTCACCGTGGCCATTGGCGAGACTATACCACTCATACGCAAGCCGGTGGTAGTCAGCGCGGCTCATGGAACGATTAAATGAGTATTTTACCATTTTCATGATAGACTGCCAACTGCTTAGCTTTGCGATGGGATCGAGTTCAACCTTAGTATTGACCTCGATAGGTTTCCAGTTCGCTGCAGGATGGGGGTTGGCTTTTGTGGGTTTTTGTTCACCGCGCGTTGGGTATAGGCCTTGGTGGGTGAGGTAGTAGAAGTTTGCGAGATATAGACAGGCTTCCCCACTGCCCGCGGTGGCGGCTTTGGACATGCATTCTTCGTACTTCTCCAGGTTGTTCTGGTTCATCATGAGAGACGCATATTCCATTAACGCGGTGGGGTCGTTATACACCAGTGCTGCGGTCCGGATGGCTTCGTCTGATTTGTTGCGGTGTTCCTGGGAGTTGTCCAACTCACCCAGTGTTGCCTGGACTAGCGCGTATAGTCTGTACGGATCATCCAGCAAGCCGCCTAGAACGATATCCTCAAATGGCATGGGTTTGCGTGCCGTTGGGGAAATATACGGTAGCACCTTTTCCTCTAAAAGCTCAGCAGCGGACTCGTACTCCCCTCGCAGATACATGACTTTCGCTTGCAATAGTAAAGCCGGAGGGTATCCCGTCTTCGCAAGATCAAACAGTACATCGAGCTGAGGGTTGTTCCTCGACGGTACAGATGTATCCGTGAACGAACACCGCGCAGAAATCACGGACGGAAGAGCAGCGTTAGCCATTGCACACGCCGTAATCAGCCAGCCGCGAAGGAATCGGTTATCAGCGGTGACCATCCACCCAATACGAAAAACAGCATCGACATCTGCATTCGATCAGTAAACAACTCAAATCCACTTTTCCCCTTGGCCTCGATATAGATCAATATCATCTCGCCGTCAAAGAGACTCACCAGTTGAAATTTTCCGAATAACAAGCCTATCCGGCTCCGTTGCAAATGCCGCTCTGATCAACTGCGTACCCACATCTTTGTATGTACTCTCACTAATCGCACTGGGAATCAAACCATCCTTGGTGGCAGCTGCATACGCCCATCTTGCCTCTGTTTCATGCTTTGCTACCATCGACTCAACATTCCCGACATATTCTGGCTTGATATTGCTCAAACATTCATAGAACATGCCTGTATGATCAATACCTTTCTCCGCCCGCCGTCCAGCGTGCCAGGTAGCCTGGAATACTGCATTCTGTCTCTCGTGCTCCCTGGCTCGCCTCGCGGCGGGTGCGGGGCGTGGTTTCGCTTGCTTCGATGAGGTATTGTGAAATGGTCGCGCGTTGTGTACTCCAAGGTCTCCGGCTTGGAGTAAGTTTGCGCACGGAATGAGGCCATTGTTACGAGCCAAATTAATTGTCGTGGGGCTGGACGCGAGGAATTTCCGGAGGTAGAGCCATTTTCGGAGGGCTGCCTGTGTTCTTGCCATGATAGCTGGTAGCTGGTGGGAACAGGAAGGAGCATAGGTGGTCGGTGAGTTGAGGTTGAAAATCCGCGGAGGTCGGGATTGATCCGCATTTTGATCAGAATTTCGGCGATTGGCAACATTACAAGATCAACTTTTTTACCGGGTTACATTTTGAAGCATGTCTATCTGAACTCCAATATCTAAGGAAGGCAACGAAATTGCTGAAATGCTCAATGCAGTCAATTAAACAAAAAGGAGCCCTTTGTACTCGACGGGTCCATAACAATGCGTATAATATACATTTGCCCCCAACCAGGGCCAACGCTCCAGGATATCCTCGAAGCCCTAAATCCTCGTACATACCCAAGTCTTATAAAAAAACAAGGAGAGAGCAAAGTGTCAAACAAAAACAGCTCTATCCAATCCCATCTCCGATCGGAACCACCAGTCCCTGATTCACTTGTGCTTTTTTCTTACTCCATGACAACCTTGGCACCAAGAGCCTTGAGGGTCTCAATGATCTTCTCGGCCTCCTCCTTGGGCACAGACTCCTTCATGATCTTCGGCACGGACTCGACGAACTTCTTGCTGTCCACCAGTGACAGACCGAGCATGTTCTTAACCTCCTTGATGACCTTGGGCTTGGAAGTAGCCTCGAACGACTCAAGCTTCAGGTTGAAGAGGGTCTTCTCAGCGGCAGCGGGGGCAGCCTCCTCCTCCTCAACGGCAGCGGCAGCTCCGGGGGCACCGGCGCCGGGGGCCATGGCGAAGCCACCGACGGGGAGGTCGGGGATGTTCAGGCGGGTCTAAGGAATCCATTTTAGCTTTCTGGTCTGTCTCTTGCGGCGATCACACTACATGTGATCAAGATTGTAGTCCCATTGACGCAATTAAAGGTGGCATTGCGCTCCATCAATCAGGGAAATTGGTGACCAACCTTCAAGCTCGAAACGAGATCGGCGGTCTCCAGAAGGGTCAATGTGCTGATCTGATCAACAATCTGGGCAATCTTAGGGTTGACAGGGGCAGCGGCGGCCTCGGTAGACTCCCATCGTCGGCTGGCAGGTGTGCGGGTTGTGGGCAGGTATGTAGACGCGATGCGCAGAGAGGACGGGCGGACGGAGCCGGAGAGCTGTCGGTAGGCGCGGACTGAGAGAGACATGGCGGAGATGGGATGAGGAACGAGGAGAAGATTAGAGAAATTCTCAATTGAGGAGACGCTCCGTGGTAGGGGAATGGGGGAGATAATTAGCTTCGCCGCGTTACAAGACGAAAAGTGAGTGATGGGTTTCGGGGAAAATCTGGGTGTCACGTGGCATATATTATGTCAGCTTTGCGATAGGTCAACAACTTTGGGCCGATTTGTATACATCATTCCTGTTTAGTGCAATTATTGTTTTCTTATTTACTTGATAAGGATATATACCATAATGTATGGATGTATTATCATACTCGGCTATACACACCAGGCGACTTTTTTTCGTGATATCGTACGGAAATCTATCAGCGTCCCAACGGTCTCGAAGCCAACAGAAATGAAAGAATCTCAAGTAAAATGCACGTAAACCACGTTATAACACGTTACATTTAATCCTCATCCCAGTTGGGGTTGGGACCAGGCGGCTTGGGTCCACCGGCCTGGCGAGCCACAATGATCTGATCGACACTCAGCACAGTCCGGGCAGCCTCACTAGCCAGACGAATAGCCCAGCTCTTTGAGGCCAACAGGTCAAGAATACCCTCGTCCACGGAATCAAGAGTACCGTCGGAATCACCACTAATCTCAAGATCCACACCGGTAGTCCAGTAGGGTTCTTCCTCCTCGGATGAACTGCCCTCCTCTTCCTCTGTGGCGGGGGTAGTGCGGTGGTGTGCGGTGTACAGGCGGGAGAGAACCTCGGTGGCATCCAGGCCGGCAGATTCGGCGAGAGTGCGAGGGATGACCTCGAAGGCCTCGGCGTACTTGCGGATAGCGTGCTGGGGCAGACCAGGAGTCTTATCAGCAAAGTTGGAGATCCGCTCAACGAGCTGGATCTCAGTGGCACCAGCACCGGGAACCAGACGCGGGTCCTTGGTGATGGCCTTGACAACGTTCACACCATCATCAATGGCGCGCTCGACGTCCTCGAGGTGGTTCTGGGTAGCACCGCGGAGCACAATGGTGGAAGTGCGAGTCACGGCGTTGGCATCCTCTTGACGGAAGACGGTGACGCGGTCACCTCCAATCTCGATAGTCTCGATGATATCGACTTGACCCATCTCATCGGGCATGGGGGCACCCAGGCGGGCCAGGGGAGTGGCGCCAACCACACGGCACAGGCGGCGAAGCTCGAACTTGGAAAGAATCTTGATGACCAAGATGTTGAAACGGTTGAGGTAGTGAAGGGCCAGCTCGCCGACGGTGGAACCAGCAACAACGACACGCAGACCAGAGTCGTACAGCTCCTTGATGGCAGTCTCCAGACGCTCCTCCTCGCCCTTGGTGTAGTCCATCATCTCCTGGGCGTTCTTCAGCAGAACCGTACCCTTGGTCTCGGTTTGGGAGACGTCAATGGGGCAGCTGAACACGCCGACCTTGGCCCTCTTAGCCGATTTGACAACTCCATCCGGCTCACGTCCAAACACCATACCCTTAACGACCTTAGACTGCTCCAAGCTACCACCCATAATCTTAACAACCCGCACATTGTCGACGTTGAAGTTAGTGGGGTTCTTGGGCAGGACCGCAAGGACCGCCTCCGCTACCAAACTAGCCAGAATATCCTCAGTGCCAGACTGCTTGCTAGCCACAACTGTGCGAAGAGCCTTGCTGAGCTCCGATGCTGAGCGCATGTCCTGCAGACGGTCGACCTCGAGATCTAATCACATAAGAAGTAGTCAGTAACCGTATATCCTGTATCCCCCCTGATACCGAGGTTCAAGAGCATACCCTCTAAGACCTTCAGAGCATAGTTCTGTGCCTTTTCATAACCCGAAACAATATCACTGGTCTTCAATCCCAACCGAATGAGCTCCTCTGCCTTCTTGAGCAACTCGCCGGCCAAAACAATAACCAAGTTGGTACCATCACCCATCTCCGAATCCTGCTGCTGGCTAGCCATAACAAGCAGCTTAGCAGCGGGGTGAACCACATCCAGCTCGCGCAGGATAGTAGCGGCGTCGGAGGTGAGGATCATCTTCTGCAGGTGGTTGATGACGATCTTGTTGCGGCCGTAAGGGCCCAGGGAGGTCTGCACGGTCTGCGAGATGGCCTGGCAGGCCTCGATGTTACGAATGACAGCTCCATCTTCGGCGTCGTGGCTGCATTGATAGTGCGGTTAGTACATTGTGGTGCTGGTGCCGTGCTTTGCGAGCGGGACAGATAAGGAGGTGTGGGTGGTGCGGCGGTGGGATGAAGTTTGGAATGGTGGTTTTCTCTGCTTACCTTTGGTACCCGGCCTTAAAGAGGCCCGCTTGGGAGGGCCCAGGAATTGATAGCGACATTATGAGAGGTCGCGTCCGAGAAAGATGCGACGGAGGGGGATATGACGGGGGGGGATGTCGATGCTGGGTCGAGTTGTGCCGGGGTTTTTTTGGGAGCTCGGGGACAGTGGGTTTGCTCCGTTTGCACGAGGGGAACTCACCAGTTGATCGTCAAGTTTAAAGTTGCATCATAATAATTCCAAAGCTATTTTCAAAGGGGATGGTTTCTAATCTAATATTACAATAATAATCGTTCGTTCACTGTCCTTCCTGATTTATCTACTTCCCATTTACCAGCCAAATGAACTGGTTTGCGAACGCAGTGCATTTTGAAACTGGGGCACTATTGAAAACTGCAGTCAGTAATTTGTCTGAGAAACTCCAATGGAGACAGTCTTACTATAGCTTCCAAGGGAGCTGCAGCCATTCTCAGCATAAATATGCTCCGCTTTTTCGAGCCTGCAACTGGTCAGTCAAGAAGCAAATCACCAGGGGGCCGAGAGCTTCATCTTACCATCCACGAATGGCTTCTTCGCGATTATAGCTCTACAAGTAGTGTTAGTAACGATAACCCCGAAACACCTGGGTAGTTCTACTAGACAGGGTAACGTACTGAAGGGTGAGTGGACAAAAATTCCGGTGGTGCCTCCTTCTCTACTTTCTGCATCCGCTGCCACCTAGGACATTGTTAGTCAAGGCATATGACACTAGGGATATGGAGTAACATACAGCCTGACAGCAGCTTCAGGATTGAAGCAAGCCTTAGACATCATCACTGATAGTCACAGTTAGCACATAGTAAGCAGTTTTTTCGTCGCTACTTACACAATCCAATATGATCTGCTTCAGCCTGAATTTACCCATTAGCCAAATAATTCACATATCATACAACGCATGAACTAACCTCCTGTGTCCTTGAGTTTGGCAGACTATACATGTAATTCATAACAAGCGAGCTCGCCTGACCGGAGAAGTCCAGTAAAAGCGCAATGAATAGAGCAACACCCGTAGTGATGAAGCTGTTACTTGCACGCTCGGCCGGGTGATGCGCCACAACATGCGCAATTTCGTGGCCTAGAACAGCCGCAAGGCCATCATCATCTTGACAAATGGGTAAGATGCCAGTAGCAACGAATACTTTCCCTCTAAATAAGATATTTCCATGTCAGCATGCAGTCGCTTCTCAGCCCCGGGCCAGGCCGATGATTCTGCGGGGTCTACTTACCCCGGAAGTACAAATGCATTCTTCATGTTAGGGTCCGCAATAACGTGCACCTTCCAATCAGCGCCCTCAATGGGTGCAAGGGGAATTAATCGCTGCAGGACTCGATCCACCATTTGTGTCACAGGATGATTATCCGGAAGTATCTTGCCGCGCTCTTCGTTGAGAACCTGGCGGTAGGTCTGTTCGCCCATTTCCAGCTCCATTTTCGCAGATACCATGTTGAAGCGGCGACGACCTGTTATCTTTGTTTCGGGAATGTTAGATCTGACTTCTTGTGCGACATATGCGTTGTACTTACCTCCACTACATCAGTGTTGTATAGGTAGACGCCTGATAATCCCAGTCCAATTAGAACGTAGTGTTGTGGTTTCAAGTATCGAACCACATTGTATATCAGTGGTTCGCGCCGTCCTCCTCCTCCGAAGCGATTATAGGTGTTGCGTGGGTAGCTGAATCGCGGGCCCGAGGAGAATGCTCTGCGTGGGATTTGGGGAAGTCGGCATGTTGGTGATTTTTGGAGGCTTCGGGGGTTTTTTCTGGGTAATGTATTGAATTTCCACTGTGAATATGTTCGAGGAGAGATTATTTGAGTTGTGCGCGACAGCTGGGTTCCTGGCAAATGAGAAGCGCGGGCTACTGGTTGCGCGCACGCCGTCGGGAGCGGGCGAGCACTACAGATAGTGCGCAAAATAGATGTTTTCAACATAGTTTCAGTGGCAAATGACCATGTTTGTTGATTTGAGTCGGATGAAGAGCAGGGTTCGATCCGGAGGTGTGACTCGAAAGTTGGAGGTGCTCTGGCGCGAAAGCGGAGCCATCGGCGATAAGCAGCCACGCTTCCGGCGTTTAGCCATGGAAGGATCTAGTGAGCCACAGCACTGCGCAGAAACTACATTGAAGGTTCTACCAGGGTTTACAATGCAAAGTGTGTAGTCATCGATCAAAATGGGAATCAATTATGCGGCTATATCAGTCCAGGAGGTCGTCACGGAATTTCAACAATAACCAGAAAAATGATAAAATAACCTATCCCATCCTCACACCATAACCAAGACCGTTAGAGCATTGTAAACAGATGTATATCCAAAACGGCACCAATCCACAGGAAAAGCGCAAACACACCAAAACGAAAGCCCCTGGTATCATGCTGTATAGTCATGGCGGGAACAAAAGTGGTATCATAGGGCAAAATGGAAAAAAATGAGGAAAAGATTCAAGTCATGAGCCGACTCCCCGAGAAACGCACGTATCAACCCAAGAAAAAAGAAGAGGAAAACGAACAAACAGGGGGTAGTATCAACAGTATGCAAAATGAGAAAATATTATATAAGAGAATGAGACCGTTTACTCTTCGGTCAATGCATCATCACCCATCTCACGCCAGTCTTTTGATCGGTCTGTCAACCGACGGACACCAGCAATCCGTTGCGCCCAGTGGGCTTCGGATGGCGTGCGGTATGTGTAGGCGCGCTGGGATGAGATGACGCCGATGCTCTGTAGAACTGCCTTGCGGGAATCGCGGCCGAAGACGGCCGGGTGGTTAATCCACTCCAAGGCAGAATCCAAGTCCGCATTGAGAGCGGTCATGGTCTGACTGTCAACAGAAGAGGCAGGTGTGATAGTGGCGGTTTCAGATGCGGAGGAAGCATGGCTGTCTCCAAAAGTGGAAGACTTGGGCGAGGAGGAGCTCGGGGTGTGGTCGCCTCGGCTGCCCGAGTCGCTAGTGCCCGAAGGCCGCGAAGCTACTGGTGGAAGTGGAGGCAGGCCACCCTTGCCGAGGCCCTTGAGGATACTCCGAGTTTCATGCAAAAGATGCTGACCCCGATCGTGTTGGCCGCGAGAAACGAGAGTGAGTGCGCGAGTCAACATATCAGAGGTGAGCAACTCCATGCGTCGCTGCACAATAGAAGGGTGAGGGGGAATTGGGGGAGTCATGGGTCGTGTGTTCTTGGCCTTGGGGTTGGGTGGAAGCATGGTGATGGCAAGCAACGACGGGCGAGGGGAGTGAGTGAGATGGCCATCCCGGAGAAGGTCACCATAGGTCAGGTCAGCCTGAATCAGCGGAACCTCCTCCACACTGAGCACCCGCTGCTCGTCCCCATCTAGTCCACCACCCAGTGCCTCCAATCCGGAGACCAAGCTCTCCCAGGGGTCTTGGGGCATGTTGTCCTGTGTGGCATTATCAGGGGAGATGACCAGCTGCACTAAGACATCGCGCTTGTCGCCGAATCGGAGGTCTCCCAAAGCGGCTTCGGCATCTCTGCCTGTGGCGCGCTTGGTAGTGTGAAGAGCACCGCTAATCTTGACAAACTTGGCCGGAGATCCTTCGGGGAGGCGAAGCTTGAGCTTGACATTTTGGTGGGATGTGGTCTGCAAGGCACCTAAGCAGCCGGCAACACATTCACGCAGCATCATCCAGTCCTTCACGTAGAGATAGGAGCCCTTGGTGCGTGTGGAGAGCTCAATCATCGTGTCTGGTTTGTGGGTCAGGCCAAGTCCAAACGAGTGGATGTTGATCTTGGCAGCCTCGGCGCGCGAGACCACGAAATCAACGCTTTCGGGGTCGGAGGTAGATGAATCACTGATCAACAAAATAGTCGAAACAGGATTGTTCAACTTGCGCTGCATCAGGAGATCCATCGCCACATTCGCACCTTCGACCACATCAGCACGGAGACTCTTCTGGCCCACGGGGCGAATTGAATCAAGAATTTTATTCCATCCACTCCAGTTTTTTGTGGTCATGCCTACCAAGGGCACTCCACCGCCACTCGAACCGAATGTCACCAAACCCATCCGATCTCGGGCTCCCAGGTTCATAACAAGGAACTTAAGAGCGTCGCGCATCAGAGTGATCTTAAGACCCTGCATGGACGACGATACAGGAATGACCACCACAATATCGATAGGAACGTGGAACGAGTCGATGGACATTTTATCCATATCGGGGTTGCTGTAGTCGGTGATAGCGGTATTATTTGACTTACCCGCACCGTAGGACGAATTGATGGAGGCTTGTCGTTGGATGCGGTTGGTCCGGTAGTCATCCTCTTCCGCGCCAGAGTGATCCAATTCATAATCCTGAGAGCGCGACAAGTTCTCCACCGGGTGCAGATCCATCAAGGCGCGGCGCCACATCTCCAGTTGCTGACGAGACTGGAAGCGCAAGTAGAAGTAAGGGAGTTCACTGACCGACAGGTTTAGGGAAAGGATAGGCTCGTCGGTCCCTGCTTCTAAGGATTTCAGGTGCTTCTTAATGAGGATTGAACCCTTGAGGGTGCAGCGTGGCCGCTTGCGCTTTTCTGGTTCTTCATATTGCTGAGAGCTGGATGGCTTCTTCTCCTTGACGCAGATGAGCATCTCAGCAAACAAATAACATTCCAACTCTTGCCATGATTCTCGGTCCTTTCCAACGCGCATTTGTCCGTGCAGACGCAGCTTGCCGAATCGGTTGAACTCCAGACCATGCCAGTTGTCGACCCGGCTCTTGAGCTCCTCAGCGATCTCGTCCAAATTTTCCGCCGGTTCCTGTTGAATGGAGCGGGCATCCTGAGAACCTCCAAATCGAGCAGAATATGGCTCATCCAGCTGTTGTTGGGTGGCCTGGCTATGTCGCAGGTCCTCTGCGTTGGGGCGCCAGTTGCCTTCCGGCACTTCCACAGTGATCAAGCAAGTCAGGGATTGTTGCTGCCGAGATCGGTTCATTGTGGGGAATTCGCTGCGCACGGTGACAATCGGGGCCGGGATGGGGTTCTTGGTGACCCCTTGCCGAGGACTCAAATCCGACTCCATAGCTTGCACGTCGTAGTCATGCCGCCTTCCACTGCTGGGATGTTGACCCTCATTGTAATCCCCTGAAGAGCCCGCCGCGCTGCCGTTGCGTGAATGAGGTTGACGAGGTTGCGATGCGGTGGTCAGGCGCTCGACACGCTCCCGCTGGCCGGTGGTGTCGCGGCTGTCGCGGCGCGCACCGAATGAAGGGTCCCGGTTGTTTGAGCGACTCCCACTGTCACTGGGCGGCCGGCGGATCGATTGCTGTTCCCATGCGTTCTGGCCCGTCAAGCCACTTCGCGTAGTGGCGGCGTCGCTCATGGTCACCGAGCGCACAATATTACTGATTTTCTCTGTCAAGCGGGGTGCCGGTTAGCCTGATATGGATCTCTTTTGTTTTGCTGGGGATACGAACCGATGTCCAACACATTGCCTCCGCGGCTCGTGTCAAGGCCGAGGGGTGCATTGCAGGTTGGGCAATATTGCGATTCAAATTCACGGATGAATTCGTAGAAGCATGCTTCGTGAGACACGTGGCTGCAGGAAAATTGAAGGACCCGCTCTCCCCGCAAGGTGTGTTCGAGCGGTTCCTCGCAGACAGCGCATTCGCTGCCAATGAACGTCCTCTCTCTCCGAGTACGGGTGCGGTCAACCTCCATCGGGCCGGTTGGGTGTCTGCCCGATCTAGAATTAAAAGATACGCGAGATCTGTTGGAGTGCGAAAGCAGAGGGTCCGGGTAGTCTGAAATGGAGCTGGCTACCGTCGAGGGCGCACGCGGCCGGTTCGTATGGCTATCGACGTGAGAGAGAACACTCCCGGATCGGTCTGTATCAGTCTTGCGACCAAACGAACGTAAGGAACGAAAGCGGGACGGTGATTCTGGTCGCGATTGAAATTCTGTACGTCACCCCCATTAGCTCTGCGGGGACTTGGAAAAAGAAAGTAATGACCCTGCTGACTTGGAATTTGACCAAGACTGGAATGGGTCGGGAATGTGGGAAATAGAAAAGGAAATGGAAAAGAGAAAATGGAAAATGGAAAAAGAAAAATACAGAAGAGAAGGAATGTTATGGGGTGTAGTCAGGGGAGGTGGTTTAGGAGCATCTAGAACAGGCACGGGGGGGGCAACACAGTCTCAGATTACCGGCTTCTCCGATCAGAACTTACCGGGCAATAGGGATCTTCTCTTAGATCGACTTAGAAAGCCTTCAGGTTGAGAATGATTTGAATCACTCCCAGACTTAGACTCCGATCTGGGAGAAAGTCGAGGTTTCCACATGGGGGTCACTCTTAACAAAAAGAGGAACTACCAGAGGTGGGGGGGAGAGGAGAAGAGGAGAAAACAAAAAATAATAAATCCAAAATGACCGAAACTTAAAAAAAACGGGTTTTAGCGTTTTTTTCTTTTAATTCATCAAGGAATTATTGACAGGGGGGAGTGTCAAGGTCAAGAGGGATTTAATCAGAAAGATCGGACTATCGCAAAGCGGCTTAGTTGGACCCAAGTTCTCCGTACCTCGTAACCTACAATTGTATATCCATTCATCAGGGGGCTGTAAGAACCAAAGGTTATTGGTGGAGAGGACCAGGATTCATTTCACCTCTTGACACTAGTTGAACCCACGCAAGTCTTCGTTTCGGTTTTCCGAATCCATAAAAAAAAATGGGAATTAGGAAATAGGGAAATCCAAAAAATTTAAAATCAATCCCACAAAAAAGGAGAAAAGTGACGATCGTGGGTATAGTCCAGCAGTACCTGGTATCTGGAGAACGCGATCGGGTCCACTTACTGCCGAAGCTGGACTAGCGAATAATGAGCCATGGATGACTAGTTTAGCTTCGTGGGTCGGGGATTTTTTCGTTTTTTTCTTTTTCCAAATTCCTTTTTCCGTACCCTGATTTCCTATTTTCCTCTTTTTTCGGTGGACCGATCCATAGAATGGAGGGTTGGAGATTGCAGTTGGCGGATTTCATTCGCTCGTCCATCTCTGGGTCGGGATGGAAGGAAAATGGAAGATTCCATGCCGCATGGCACAAAGTAAAAGAAAAACGTGGTTGCAAAACCCCCTTACACGAATTCCTGCAGGACTATACATTAGTGACGGAGTCACCCGCCACTCCACGGCCCCCATTCTATGCTACAGTAAGGGACATGCCATGCCCTCGAATGGTTCATGTACAAGAGTGGGCACCAGGGCGCCGGGCCCTGTTCTGTTGCCGGAACATGGCGTGGAGCTCATACTTCCCACTGGAGAGCCATGAGAGAAACATATCCAATTCCTAGCCCTGACTGGTTAGGGGGTACGCGTTCATCAATATAGTATTCGCCCCCTTTCTTTTTTCGGTCTTTTTTCTACAGTATGCTTCTACTGTAGTGTTGGTCTACGCGTCCATGGTTGTATAGTTGGGGCGACGATTGTATTGGAATCCTGATCAGATTCCCGCCGGCACCGATGCAACCCTAGTAAGCCCTAGACATTTTGGGCCTTAGCTTGATAGACCTTCTACATACAGCCATTGGTATTCAGAATATATCACATGTTTTATTAGGGCTGTCAGACATTCATCTCTGGACATATAAGTCATCGGGTATAAAGTCATTCAGTCTCTCGTCATACATCCGTTCTGTTTCCCTTACTCCAAATTCTCCATTCTCCAATTTCATCCCAGGGCCTTGGGATCGCCCGTCATGGTCAATTCATCCATGGATTCGTCGGTTCCTGAAGAACCCCTTCCCCAGAACTCACTCGGCAAGATAGCCGTTATTGTCGTCCGAGATACCCAAATTATTAAAGTACATGGGCTAACCTTGGAACCAAAAGCTGCGATGACGAGATCTGATGACATAAGCATACCCAACTGAGTATAGTGGAGACACATGGGGAAGCTGCAACGTCTCTTATTGGCCATATACTTGCCGACCGTCGATCCTCCCAAACGTTTTCTGTCAATGGCACTGCAGATTTCCCAAGGTTCATATTTGATCACACGCTTAAGCTTTCGCCTCATTTTTGCAACTGAACGTCATTTTCTGTTCAAGTGACTATGCGTTCGGCAAATGGCTGAAAATCCTTCCCGGCAACCGTCTTCTCTTGTCGAGGTGCCGGGTTTCTAATCCCAACGAACGCAATGGCGGATCTCCAGTCTGCTATTCTCCGCGACTCCCGCAAACCTGCCCGCTCACGGAGATTTCCTGACCCAGATCCCTGGCTTATCAGTGCGCTTCACACATCCACTCTGCGCCTTGACCCCCTTAATCGTCTGCCGCGCTTGCTCGTCCCGGTGGACGCCATCTGTATGTTCACCATTCTCCACACTTGTTCCCGACCCTTAGTGGCCCGGTTAACAGGAGCAGCACGAGCTAAGTGAAATTATTTGCACATCAGTCCCGTTCTCTATCCGTGCTGCCACGAGGTGGATTCTCCCAAATATCGCGTGCACAAGTGATCGGCCCAGGCTCTGCTTTTTGGGTCCTCCCTCGTCCTTTCCAAGTGAATATCACGACTGTCGATCTGCTGCATTGACCACTGGTCGTCGTCCTGGCAAAAATTTTGGACCCGTAGGCGAGTCTAGCCTGGTCGGGCTGCATGGGGATACTGCGTCGGCGAGGACTAACCGGGCCGCCACTATTGGACGTGTCCACGGCAACGAACTTCATTTGGCAGACACACGTAGTCCATACTTTGTGAATGCTGATCGGAGAATTGATTTATCTACACGTGTAGGTTTGTAATTTGACGTGTACGTGCTGATCGACCTCGTGCGAGATGTATCGATTGCATCCCCTGAGAGCTGTCAACTTGGGCCCTACTGAGATTGAATGCCCCATCGGAACCCTATGATCTTCACTACTATTGCCGAGCTAATATGACAGCTCCAGGTGGCCCCCCCTTTTTTTTAACCGGTAATTGGGATTTACATTTAGACTCTCCTATCCTTTTGCACCAAAAATAAGAACATAAACTCAACGTACAAACTATTGCTCTGCCTTGCTACTGCGGAGATCCAGTAGACATAGGTTATGCAAGTGCAAACCCAAATGAAACTCAAAATGATCTAGCTTTCAGTCCCGAAAATTCAGTCTACGCGCCCTTTTGGGACTTGCATGATGATCTTCGCCGTTGAAGGTCTTGCCACCTTGGAAAGCGGGGATATGCACATCCTCCTATCCTCCATCAATTCGGACCTCGACCGGAGCTAATACCTACAATACCTACAATGGGGTATTGATATACCAACAAAGATCAGCATACTTCTTCTCCTGTCAAGTGTCCTTATCGTTGTTCTAGTCCTTGTCCTTGTCCCACTTATCCACTTCCAAGGTTATGTGGCTCAACGACGCACGTTGTACTCCATAAGAAATTGATCGTTTTCTGCGCCCGCTGTCGTCCGTGCTCAGGGGAGATCACGAAGCCAGCGTTTCAGAACGTGAACAAGAACACAGCCTCCAACCGAGCAGGTCAGACTGTGCTTTTGCATGTCAAACATATTGGTTCAATGTCGCCATGCTATTCAGTGGGTAGTGAGGTGTAGATTTCGGTGTTTAAGGTTTAGTAGTGAAACGCCCTCCGCGGGTCTGATACACCTTCTATTCGCTGGGGTCAGTCCCCGGTATAGGAACTAGACGCACATGGGACTCGGGCTTCCCGCTGTCACTGTCCAACGTGTGCATGGGTGATTGACGGTGCAGCCTGGGATTGAGATATATCGCGCATATTTCGGTTCCGAATCTTGGTATATGCGGGCCTGCATTGCCCAGGTGGCCGTGGTAAAGGATTCTTCCTGCCCAGGTGCGCTACTGCACATATGCATGCAAAGGACTTTCGAAACATTGTATAGGTTCCATTTCTTGTTTAGGATGGTCGACCCGACCGTACATTTTGAGCCAATTCACCGACTTAGCTTCAGCTAGCAAGGTTTACAGGGTTTCTGGTTCCTGTGGATCATAACAATTGAAGAACAGGTGGCAGGGAAGAGCATGTTTCATGATCCCATCTGCTTCTAGGTCCAGCTCCACTGCCAGTGTCAATGTCATACACCGTACTCCATACAAACCGTCTAGATCTGTTACAAACAAAGAAATTCTCCGATTTTTCAATTGCTTTGTAACAGTTTTGTCCAAAAAGATCCACCGGGTGATACAGTGTCAAGCTCCTTCCATAAAGAGACTGATCAACAATTGAAACTACTAGGGGCAATATGAAACATCTACAAGATTTTACTAGTCAATCACCGAAAATGCACAGCCGATTGAAAGCGAGGCTCCAGCGTTCTAGAGATGGAAACAGCTAAAGTCTAGAGAGTCCAGGCCATCAAGGTCTTGGTTGCCCCGGTTAGCTATTTTTCTCAGTTGGGCAATGTGGACCGATATTCTACTAGTTTGCTGAATGTTTCAGGTCGGATTTACATGACTTGCGGCTCTAGATCGAATTCGTCTTGCATTTTATTTAAATTTTGATTTTGTATCCATTTTGGAAACCAAAAGTTGTAAGCATGAACTTTCAATCAGTGCCCCTATCTGGCTAGCTGAATCCATAACCCAGTTTGGTCTGCGCCCCGGAGCCCTATGAAAGTGGAGCGTCAACATTCGGAATACATCCGTGGCCCGCTATCTATCCAGGACAAGAAGCCGAACCACGAACCACGGAACTGAGATGTTAAAAATTCGAGTATTTGGAAGGTATTTAGACTAGACATTGATCGGTCGATGCTATGCACGTTGAGTACTCACATGCTTCCAAGTTTTAACTTGAAGACACGTGAAGCAAAAGTATATCTCGCACGCGGCATGCAATGACAGTCCCCGGCGGAAATGCGACGGGTCGAATTGACCAGGTGTACCGCTGCAACTCTATCTCCTTTGGTCTTCTCACATGCCAAACCTTGGTTGCTGCATATTCTCATACTAGTGAGGGGGTGTTGGCACTTCGTGTTCTGTGACGAGAGTTGACTGATCAATTGAGGAGCTGTGGATTTAGCCTCTGATTAAGGACTGATGTGATTAATACACCACGGCCTTTCTGACCCCAACGGTTTGTGCTATACATATCTATGCACGTTGAGATGATTGGTTGTCGAAGTGATGAGTTGGTGGCTGTGATCCGACTGGTTCGAGTGCAACGTGATAAGGGGTGTCCACGGCTTGCATCATAGATGTCCACAAGTGTTGCATACCAACTGGTCAATCAACCGGACAAGCTCCGGAGTATGCGGAGAATGTTCGGACATGGGGTTTCTTACAATTGACCGTCTACTTTCCATCTTGTGTTCATCTATAAGACATGGAATATTTTTCCATGACTTCCAAAGAAGCATTGTAGCTGTTAGAGAATGGGTGGATATCTGTTGAGCAAAGGAAGTACATCCAGTATTTTTCCGAGCTCGGACAGATGGCCTGGTGGACTCGAACACAGTATTTTCTGACCCAACAGCTATGACAGAACGAATTCTCACTTTCCTTCACTAACCGGCATCGATTATTCCTCTATTTGAAGCTTCTTGGGCGGAAAAGCGAGCTGATATATACAAGGCCAGCTCCGGGTTTGGTCTGTTTGCAGGTGTCTACACCGGCGGCCCCCGAAGGGGAAGCGCTTAAGTAATCGGGAAAGTTTGTTCCCAACATCTCATCGGAAAAGTATCGCTATCTCCCTCCCCATCCCTTCTCACATATACAATTGGGCTACCTGCATCATGCTCTTCCGTACTGCGGCCCGCCAGGCTGCGCCTCTGCGCCGTCAGGCCTTTGCCCCTTTGACCCGTCGCTCCGTCACCACTGACGCCGCCTCTGCGCACGCCGAGAACATCCCGCAGGTTTGTTGAGCCCCGTTCGGAAAACTGGAAACCCCCGTTCAGGCGCTGTTGGACCCAATTCTGATCATAGCGATTGCGCTGCATAGGAGGATGACAAGCCGTTCACCGTCCGCCTCTCCGATGAGAGCTTCGAGACCTACGAGATCGACCCGCCCCCGTACACCCTGGAGACCACCAAGAAGGAGCTCAAGACCATGTACAACGACATGGTCTCCATGAGGTATGCGACTACCACCGAGAGACTTGTCTGTACATGTGCACATGTGCTAATTGCTTGATATTCACAGACGTATGGAGATGGCCGCCGATCGCCTGTACAAGGAGAAGAAGATCCGGGGTTTCTGCCATCTGTCGACCGGTCAGGAGGCCGTCGCTGTCGGTATTGAGCACGCTATCACCCGCATGGACAAGGTTATCACTGCTTACCGTTGCCACGGTTTCGCTTTGATGCGTGGTGGTACCATCCGCTCCATCATTGGTGAGCTGCTCGGCCGCCGCGAGGGTATCGCGTACGGAAAGGGTGGTTCCATGCACATGTTCGCCGAGAACTTCTACGGTGGTAACGGTATTGTCGGTGCTCAGGTGCCCGTCGGTGCTGGTCTGGCTTTCGCTCAGCAGTACAACGAGCAGCCCAACACCTCCATCGTCCTGTACGGTGATGGTGCCTCCAACCAGGGTCAGGTCTTCGAGGCTTTCAACATGGCCAAGCTGTGGAAGCTCCCTGTCCTCTTCGGTTGTGAGAGTATGTTCACCCCCCACCTTTTCAAGCGTGGATGAGACTCCGAAAACTAATATATCAAAATAGACAACAAGTACGGTATGGGTACCTCCGCCGCCCGCTCCTCCGCCCTGACCGAGTACTACAAGCGTGGTCAGTACATCCCCGGTATCAAGGTCAACGGCATGGACGTCCTGGCCACCAAGGCCGCCGTTCAGTACGGTAAGGACTACGCCATTTCCGGTAACGGCCCTCTCGTCTTCGAGTACGTCACCTACCGTTACGGTGGTCACTCCATGTCCGACCCCGGTACCACCTACCGTAGCCGTGAGGAGATCCAGCGCATGCGCAGCACCAACGACCCCATTGCCGGACTCAAGCAGAAGATGCTCGAGTGGGGCGTTACCTCCGAGGAGGAGCTCAAGAGCATCGACAAGGCTGCCCGTGCCCACGTCGACGCCGAGGTCGCCGAGGCCGAGAAGATGGCCGCTCCCGACAACACCAACCGCAACCTCTTCGAGGACATCTACGTCCGTGGTTCCGAGCCCAAGTGGATGCGTGGTCGTACCGTCGATGAGACCTTCTACTACTAGACGTCTTTTCCCCCGCCGAAAGCTGCATGACGGTGCCGGTCTAGGTCTTAGTCTTGCCTGGATCTAAAAGAGTTAATGCTTTGGGTATTTATTCCCCTGTGGATCGAGGATGACGCGCTGTGCATCCGCGTTCCTATCTATCACTATTCTGTAATTTAGCCGATGACTACTCTTTTCTTTGTTTTTGTCCGTGTCTTTGTTTTTCTAGAGTAGAGCAATTGTCATCATCTTGGTTCAGCCATTGAATCCATGTAGAAGGCATTATTTAGATAATGCCGTCCCAGGACCCTCTATAGAACTATATCTGCATCGGCTAGCCATATAAACTATCAAAAACGTTCCCAGTCAAGTCAGTTCCCTTAACGCCTATGCCTGTGTTTTGGGTATCAAACTAAACGCAACAAAATATAAACATCACCCCAAACCCATGGGGTTTTATAAATGAACGTAGCCCGAGAAACAGTTCCCACCTAAGCAGACTCTTGCCGCAACATCTGAAGAATCATCTCCTGTGTCCTCTGCACGGAATCTAGCTTCTCCTTGAAGATAGCACGATCCCGATCTAACTCCCTTCGTATCTCAATCTGCATCTCCTGCCGTAGTTCTTCCTTTATACGCTCGATATCAGATATGGACCCGTATGCGTTTGTCTGGGGTCCTGTATCTGAGGAGAAATCGGCACTCGACTCAGAAGCGGCTTGTACCAAAGCAGAGAGTACAGGTGAAGCTCGGCGATCTGGGCTTCCATTTACAGATGTTGTGTCGAGGTGTTTATTAAGTTTGCCCAGTGTTTCGAGAACAGCGTTCATCATGCGATTGTTTGGCGGATTGTTTTCTGTTATCTGCGTCTGCGTCGTTGCCGGCGGGTTTGGGCCGGAGAACATGGATTCATAGCCAGGAGGGAGCTTGACACCAGCAGGCAAGGACACAGAAGACGACTGGACGTCATATGGAGGTGCAGTAGCAAGCGGAGCCATGCCGGCAGTATTCCCCGGCTCTTCGCCATGAAATATCTCACTAACGTCATGACCACCAGAAGAATGAAGCATTTCCCCAGTGTTAGCCTGCACCTGCGAAGTTCTCCGCCGAATCATCTCATCTCGCTTCTCAATCCGCTTCGCTTCGGACTCCTGCCACCGCGCCCAAGTCGGAATCCATATATCCAACACAGCACACCACTGCGGATTCATCGAGTCTTCTGATAACTGTGCACCGGATATCGCACGCTGCTGCTGCCGGTCTTCAAGAAACTTCACACGCTGTTTCGTGACAAGCTCTACCTTCCGTCGTACTGAGTGCCACGAATATGGCCGTCCATGCGCGCGTGTGAACTCCTCTGCTACACCGCGCCACCAGTTGCAGATATCGCTTCGCTTGCCGAAACTTCCAGCGTGCCGGTTGCATATCTCGAACAATGAGACTTCTTCTCGGGTTGTGAGTCTTTTTCCATGTTTGCGACTTGCGTCACCGTCATCTTCTACAGAGCGTTGACGCTTCGTACCGCGACTTTGGTGTATATCTGGTTCCGGTGATTGCAGTGTGGTTGATACTGGGTTCTCGACCGACGTCATTTGCAGGTTGCTTTGTGACATTGGTCTGCTGCGGATTATTACCGCGACCGACGGTGATTGCGGACTTAGGCCTTGGTGGAGGCCTGGTGTCCCGGCTGGGACATTTGTCTCGCGTAGTAAGGGAGATCGGTACGGTGGCTGGGAATATTCTGAGGATATTTGCATTGGTGAAGTCTCGCTGTGACGGTATTTGACTACACAGTTGGTTCAACTGTGGTAGGTACGAGGTTCGAAGGACGACATGCGCTAAGGTAGGGATGTGGCTGTATCACAATTGATTTTGGAGTCAGGATAGAGGCGAAGCTTAAAGGTATGATATAATAATAGTTGAACAGCTACTTGATCGGCTTCATCAAGCTTCTGGTCTAGACGCGGGGAAACGAGAGAAGTGCAAATCGGTCGGCAGGTTTGCAATTTTGAGAGCGGTAATTTTCACCCCGTAATTTTGCTCCACTTGCAACTGAGCCACTATGGTTATTTTGACCTGAAATTGGACTCTTAGGCAGATAGATAAATCTTCTCAAAATACAGATTGAATGACGCAGCTCTTTACAATAAATTGGGAATGCACAATTGCGTTCTAATCCTATCGTTCCTAGCATTAAAAGTATTAACAAGCCTTGAAATACTGGCAATTGCCTTCATTCAACATTGGCTTGAAGTGATGTATTAGCATATAGTAATGGAAGCTTGCTTGTTCGTTCACGATCACAATCACAGGAAGAAACTCAAATTCGGTTCCTTATACACCATATTGATCGTATCATCATAAATCATGAGCCACTCATATAATCGCTCAAGCCAACGGCGATATTTCAGAGCCATCGCTAGGTCCCCGCTTTCGCATCTCGTAGCTAGGGTCGGTCTCGCGGGTCTTGCGACCAACAAATAGCCAGCGGAAACCACGTGCAGTAGCCTTGATCAGATCCCATGGATTCATGGCATCGAGGTAGGCCTTGATGCCCAGGAATCCACCATAGTAGCGTTGGTCAGAGCCACTGCTCATAATGTCGCCCTTGTTGAGCATGTACGGACCCCAAGGGAAACCCCAGAAGTGCAAAATGGCGAAGAGGAACATTTCGATACAGATAAGGAGATTGGGCAATCCATTATTCCAGTCGGCAAGCTGGACTTTGGCGGATGATTTAATTGTTCCAGATGAGGTTAGGAAGTCGATGACCGTCTTTGCTAACGTTAGAGAGAATCCAAAATGGGGGATTGGGTGGATAGGAGTACTCACCGATTGCCAGAAGGAAAGGAAAATCACAAGCTTGATGCAAAGAATCTTGAGGAAAGGCCGGTGATGCGCGATGTCATTCTTGATCTGGATGTAAAATTGGATCAAGCAGTACATGGCAATGGTGACTGCAATTGACTCGATGACCAGAACCTGAAACTTGTGAGCAAGACTGGAATTTGAAAAGACCGAAGAGTGGACCTACCCAAACATGGGCATAATAAGGGCTATCTGAGTCCTCACAATACCGGCCGTCAGCCTCGGCTGCAACAGCAATGACTGTCATGATCACTCGCAAGAAGCAGTATTGGAAAACACCGATCCAGATGACCTGTGTCACGTCAGCTTCCATTTCTCTCTCTTTTGAAGGCGGGACTGTCATACATTGAACCAGGTGAGTCCGCTGCGAGGCCTCCGCAGCTTGCCTTTATCACGGTTTCCACAGAAGCATTTTTGCATCCAGTTCATAGGCCAGACCCAATTGAGTGGTTCGATGCCGCGGAAATACTCCTTCTGGGTGTGTAGATCGGGTGCGATGTAGGAGCAAAGCAAAGTGAAGAAGGAGGCAATCGCAAATGGCTCATAACAGTCGCCAATCAGTTCAAAGTATACAGAGTGCCTGTAATAGTAGACACAGAGGAATGAAGAGATGGCGTAGACGGGAATCATAAAAAGGATTCGGATGATACTGGGAGAAATTAGAAAACGGAACTGGAGATCGGGTAGACGACTTACTATCGTTGTTCATTGGGGTTGCTGTAGTGAGTGGCATGGCCGATCATAATAATACTGGCGAGGATGAAAGCCAGTACTGTGAAGATGGCGCAGAGAATCCAACACAGCTCGTGGAAGGTGATGCCACCATCCCAGAGGTCAGTCTCACGGACTGTTGAGAGAATTAGATACCGTTCGAAGAAAGGGGGGAATAGACTTGATTAAACTTTGGACTTACTAGTGATGTCCTCCTCGGTGGAATTACACTTGGGCCAAGTCATGGCGGGGGAGTATTGGGTGCTTAGATGAAGCTTGTCAAAACCTCACGATTATGAAATATTATAAACAGTAAATCCCAGCCGCTGACGTACGGAGAAACCGGATTATCAGGCAGCGAGAACTTTTTGCCGATTCAATAAATGTTCAGGCTCCACCCCTTAGTCCCAATCATGATCGGCGTAAGGCTTGTCTTTTTCGCGTCGGTGCGGAACGCCGCGTAACATGTGGGTCAGCTTATACTTTGTCTCTGCTATGAAATTGTGCATCAGATTGAGATCAGGTGAAGTCATCAGTGCCGTCATTAAGTTAGATATGCTGTCATTTCCTTTTGTTTACATCGTGGGTACTGATAACTTATAGTTCGTTTCCAAGGTTGTACTTAGTAAGCCCAGGAACAAGCATCATAAAGTGGAGTCGAGAGAATGAGCATGGCATTACATCCTTTTTCGAAATGGAACAGAGATATTAATCCAATACATTTCCATACTGTGACCTGTAAGAAGATCAATTACAATGAAGTTTCAACTCTACTCTCGCATGTAGGTAATGAGCCATCAATATGGTTTGAGAGTGACTTTCTACATAGTTTGGGGATCAATATATATCCGGGACCACCATGCAAAGAAACCTTCGAAGCCCTTCCACCACGTCTTTATATGATTGTTCATGAGTCCATATCCCAAGATTTGTTGGCCTGTAGAAGACCTCGTCTCAAGATTTCCTAGTTCTATGGCTAGCGACATGTTGACTATTGGCCCTGTTCGTTATACTGAGTTAGGTACTCCTGAATGATAATAGCGGTGGGAGACGAAACCATTCAACATCGTCAACGAGTCGCTGGTGTGGCATGTACTGCAAGTTGGAGGAAAGCAAAGCTGTTGAGTAGTCATGAGAAAGGGATTGAGTGTTGAAAGGCACCTTTGGTGAAAATTTGGTAAAAGTATTCTTCAACCTCCTTTAACTTCTTACTGTCTACAAACGCCGTGTCTTCGCCACTTTTTAGGTTGACTGAGGCCTTGGAGGTCCACAACAAATCTAATCGCTCTATGATTGCCAAGCGCTCTCTACTCAACAAGCGCAGAAGAAATTACGTTGACAAGTTTAAGGTCACCTCCAACTTGCGTGCTTCCCCCCTTCGCATCACCAAAGTGAGTATGACACTGGATGGAAAGCCAACAGTGACCAGAAGTCCAACACTAACCATTCCAAGAAAAAATCCAAGCAATTCGATTTTCCTCTGATCTTGGACTACCTTTATGATGACAATTCTGTCCATTCACCGAGTCTCTCGTCTGCACAGTCTCTCTACGAAAGCATAGCCTGGAATTTCATACCAACGGATCCACGTGTGCTGGCCGATTTCGGTTTCGATAAACTCGCCACACGCAGCGAGAAAGGTCATCTTGTGAGACTCTATCAGGACCTACGGTTGTTTAGAGTCTCGGCCGATGAACTCCATCTATGGCAGGTAGAGGGTACCTTGGTTGCCAATATCAAGCAAGCATACTACCAGATGCCTGATAGTCACCGAGGAGTGTCCTTTTCGTGGTTTTTGAAGCATACTTGGGTTCTGGAGACGTCACCGTCATCGGAGGAGCTGGTGTGTCATGCTTTCTTTCGTTGCAAGGGTCTAGATTCAACACCTATCTACAGCACAGAGACCAGCATGTAAGAACTTACCGTGTCTGGAGAGTGCTGCAGACTATTTCTCCAACCAAATCGAGCATGGAAAGACTTCTGCTTCCCAGAAATAGGTAGCAACAGTATCTACTAGGGGTACATACGGATATTGTCTTGCAAAAATATGGAAGATTTTTTCAGCATCGTGAACGAACATAAAACATCCTTATCGAATGACACTGAATTTCTTTGGAACATCTAGCAACATTTATTTCATGTAGAAAGATTTTAGTATTGATATATCCATTTACAAACCATTATGGCTATGGTAGTACAGAGGGCCAGGAAACCCTGAAAACAAAAAGCAAAGAAGGCACCAACACCATGGTCAACATGAGCACCAGAGGGGATATGCAGCGGGGGGTGAATATGAAAGAGACCCAGTAATACACTCGAGAGAAATGATTGGGGGGACAATAATAGAAACAGGAAGATATGGCTGAGTAGAGGGGCTTATAGTTTCATGAATGCTCCTCTACCAACGTCTCTTCAGGTACCAGCCATAGGCCGGGGTGCTAACTGACTCGCCGAAGGGAGTGGGCACTTCTGCGGAGCCAGGGCGGGCAACAGGATGGCGCAGGTATACAGCGGCGCAGATATTCTGGTTGACCTCGAGGTAGCGGGGAATGAAGGCAAAGGTAGACATGTAGTCCCGGGGGCGCCAAGGAGTAGCGTAGGGCTTAGAGTGATCGATGGGGTTGTCACGCATCTGAGTGAGAGCCCGGCGAAGAACTTCGAACTCCTCATCTGACAATTCGGATGCGTCGACCTCACCACCCTCGGCAGCCTTCTGGAAGGCCTCCGATAGCTTGTTACCGGCCTCGTCTTCTGATTTCTTGGATGCGACAGCGGTCTCCTCACTGGCCTCGGTGGCTGATTGATCCTTCGACTTCTTGGCGTCCTTGGGCTTCTTCTCAGCGCGGGTCGCCTTCAGCATCAGAGTGAGCTCGGAAAATTGCGATTCAAGACTGTCTGTAAGGATGGTGCTGGTCTCGGAGCGGGACAACACACGGCGCACGGCCTTCTGGAAGCCGCGAAGCTCCTGCTTGCGCTTCGCGGGGAGCACATCCTTGTCTGTGGACATGATAGTCTTGGCCTGGGCCATCAAGGCCTTGAGGGTATCCTTGGCGCTTTCCTTTTCTTCCTTCTCCGCGGGCTCCGGCTTGGCCTCGGCTTCGGTTTCAGCCTCTTCCTCTTCCTCGCCCTTCTGCTTCAGCTGGCGGGACTCTCGTCGCTCGAATTTCGTCTTGGGGGCACCGGTGGCATACATAACACGCTCCGGCTCGACCTGGAATAGATCTCCGGGGTTGAGGAGGTAGCTGGGGTGTCTCATCTAGGAGCGAAACATGTATTAGTACTTAAACTGAGACCAGTGGACTCAATTGCCATAACACACCTTCTGGCCATTCACAGTAACTGCACCATGGATGACAAACTGTCTTGCTTGTCGAGCACTGCTAGCAAAAAGTGCTCGGAAAATGGCAACATCCAACCGGCGCTCCAGGGGAGCGAATGCCATCTGGGTATAGGGGACCAGGCGCGAATGGAAGGGTTTGCCCTGCTCTTGCAGGCCGGAGCCTCGACCAGCAGATGCCTTAGATCCATCATCCATCGCGAGATCGGCGGTGTTCATGGGGTAGACGCTGCGGATACGCTTCGAGAACATGCGCTTCCATTGACCCTCACGGACCTGCTCACCGTGGTAGGCGCGGGAAACAGCCTTGGCGGTCCATTTTTGCTGAAAGAATGTGCGGTTTGCAGTAGCCGGGGAACGGAATCGCTGTAGGTTATACAAGTTGTACTTGCTCCATGATTGACGGATTTTCTAGACGGAGAACATCATTAGCGGCTCGTCGACTTGGGGACGGAGCAATTGACATACCCCCTTAGACAAGGTATTGCTGGCCCTGTTCCTCATTTTGGCGACGGCAAATAATTGGACGCGACGCGGGGAAAAGAGTGTGATGTGATCGAGGCAATCGTGGATGCACGACTTGATGGACCTGAGCACCCAAAACTTCCATGCCACGTGACCTTCCGTCAATTGCCAGTCTGTTCCGCCTGATAAACCAGGCAGACTAGCTTGTTGATTCTGATTGGCTGAGTTCTGCCTCGCTTATGCTCAAACCAGTCACCGCCCAGGTCTTGGGTATAAATATCTCCCTCCTCTTCCTCCCTTCCTCCTCTTTTTCTTTTCTTCTTCATACTTACCTTGTTTGGGTGGCTGCGATCATGAAGGCGGTCCACCACAGATTGGTCCCTGCATTGCACAGCGCGGCGGACTGGTTTGTTCAACGGCTTTCGGGTCATTGACAGGCGTATTCTTTGGCACTCTCCACTTGTGGAACTTATCTCTTTTCATCAATTCTTGGGTCAGTGACTCGAGCTTGGAGAAGAGGATTAGTTAGCACTCCGTACTTCAGACTGTGCTCGTAGAACTGCCAGTTGCAACGTTCCGAATCATATCACCTGTAATACTTGTCAAGTCAGGCACACCGTACCTGTCCAGGTGCGTCACTCGTTTCCCAACCTAATCCTCTCGGGAACTTCGTCACACGCTCCCCCTCCCTGATTTCTCACATCCTTGAACAAATACCAATAAATAATCAATATGTTTATCCCCTACATGAGGATTAACTCCCCTGCATCACCTTGTTTTTGAAAATAAGAAGTGCTGTGTGATATGTCTGAGAGAACTTGACTTCAATCCTGGTCATTGATTATGTTGGTTTGATTCATCGAAAGGAGTATATGTGTATAGTATTTCTTCACTTTCTGTTTTTTATACAGCTACAGATACTGTTGAGGTCTGTCTGCATCGATATAAGCACCTCCCTCCCTATATATACCCTTGAATCATCTGAGGTGCCCAACCTTGGCGTTTACACTGGCACATTGATCTAGAAGCATCTTTTACGGGAAGTTCAAGATCTATATGTTATCTGGGCTACTCAGATAATATACCAGGAACTAAAGCTATAATTTTTTTTAAATTGTGTATTCAATGCGCTATATTGTAAAGTAGATGTTGGTATCTCAGACTCGTGAAACTTCATAAAACAGATGCAGGTGATCAACTCCCAACCCACACAGCGCCTTATCCAATATGCATAATCTTAACCGGACTCCAAATATTCCTCAAATTATTCTCGTCTGGAACTCGGGAATACCTCAGCAAGCGAATCAGCTTCCTGGGGATTAGTCCACTCCTCGAGCAGATCATGCGCCATGTCGACAGTCTCGTCATCAATACCGGCCTCGAGAACGGATCCGTCGCAAAATGCCAAGCGCGTGAGAACCACTAGGTGTTTCTGCTTGCTGCCCGGCACACGTGCCAGCTTCTCTTGCATGTTTATAGAAGACCCGTGACGCCGGATCACCCCAAATACTAGGCGCATCAGTCCGTTGACTAACGCAACTCGCAGCTCCTGCTCAGGCGGCGACGCGTATAAGGCATCGAGCTCGTCATGCATGGATCGGAAGAGACGTGCCAACGCGTTAGGATGAGCGGCAATGATGGCACTACCATGCTCCCGAGTCGGCGCTGCTGGATTGAATGCTAAAGACTCCAACAAAAGTAAAACCTCCAGACGCATTGCACATATGTCGTGCGGGGTGTACGGCACAAGACCCTCATCCGGTTGGGCACGCTCACTGAACATGAAGGAAAGCCGGTCGACTAGCCATCGTTGTATATCATTCTGTTCTCCCTCCGAAGGCATGATGGGCCCGAACGACTCTGGTCGAATGCTAGTTGATAATAGGTGCAATATCAGCACGATATCCTTTAGTGGCTGTGAAGGATGTAGCATAACGAGAGTGAAGGTATGTCGGATCTGCCGCCAAAAATCCTGCAGTGCATCTTTGACATGTACCAAATCACTTGCGATATGATACAGCAGACGCAGGGCCTCGGTTGAATCAACCTGTGGTTGTAAATCTGACTGTGGAGTCGGTATTGGTCGGATCACCCTCGCCTTTTCCCGGGCAGCGGGGGAATATCGAAACCGAGGAACTGCGTTGACTTCAACAGAATCTTGCAACACAGAGACCAAAGGACCAATCAGCTTTGGAAGTGGAATATCATTCATCCTCAGGATATATCGCGCAAGGGTCATAAATCGGGGAACAGGTTCATAGAAACGCTCAGTCAGTGCACGTTGCCAGAGTGGCCCAATCGTATGCATGTATTCAACTACATAACTACCCATGTCCAGCTGAGCCAAACGGTCTAAGACCATGCTGGACATGGGTCGTCCTGGTTCCGAGGGAAATGATATTCTTGCTAGCGCCTCAATATCGGTTTCTTGGTCAGGGAGCATGCGGTGATTCAACAGCCGTTTCATAACCTGCTGATCACGTCCAAGCGGCTCGGGCCCTTGCTCGCGATCTAGTCCAAGCTCATCGGCAGGCGCATCAACCATCACTAGCTCACCAGCAGGGCTCAACTGTAGTGGGACAGGGGCATCCTGGCTTGCCCGTCGCTTTCGCTTTCCTGGAACAGTCGGAGTTGCTCGTTTGGACCGGGTCGCCGACTTGCTGGGTGACACGACAGCGATCTCGTCATCGTCGAACCCATCCCGAAATGGTAGGTTTCGAGATTTCTTGGGCGTTACAGGCGGATGCACCTCTTCCTGTCGCTGTTTCAACTTAAAATTGCGCAAATGATGCGCCTCCTCTGCTAAGTCATGCTGAAGGAAGATATTCTCCGTCGCAAGGATGTGCCCTTCGGACATCGCGGCTTCGACCATTTCTTTGTGTTTTGTTGTTTCCTCCGCTATGGCCGTGCGCAAGGCTATCAGCTGCTGGTCATAATCCGCGACCAACTGCGCCTGTTTGGATCGGATGATGGCAATCTCGCCGGTCTTCGATTGCACCTGGGATTTCGCTTCGAACAATTCAATTCGCAGTTGTTCTTTCTCTCGCTCCAGCTGTATATTCAGAACGTTTAGTGACGATGTATCAATCTGCACATGCTCCGAGCCTACCTGTTCTAGACGCGTATTCACTCCAGATATGTTGCCTGGAGCATGATCATCCACCTCCATCGCGTCAGCCATCTCACTGTTGACGGGCCAGCCATGCTCCTTCACTAGCATACGATGGCCATTGGGAAGCGCCACAGAGCTACCCGCATTGTCATGTACCTCCGCTCCCAATTCACCCACTTCCAGTGTGTCATAGTCGTTCGTTAATCCGGTGTGTAGACGAGGAGGTGGTTGCAAGGTCGCGGAGTTACGGACCGCGGGTTTGACCTGCGTATGGAGAGTCGAATTGTTTGGGACTGTTTGGCTATGCTGGTACTGAGTGGCCTGACCCTGTGTGGCCTGGAAAGCACTTTGTTCTAAGTCAAAAAGTGTCCCGGGAGGCAGAGAATCGAACTCGTCAGAGAAGTAGTCATCGTCGTTGTCTTCCATGCCCCCGCGCCATGGATTACAAGGGACCTGAATGATAACGGGAGACTCGGTATATATGTAGGCAAGGTGAGACAAGGGTTTGAATATTTTAGAAATGCATCAGCTAAGGTTTGGTGAAGTCGCAATTTAATCCAGCGCCAACTGCTCTCATTCGCAACGCGGAGGATGAGGCTGACCGCTTTCGCGGTGCTGAATCACGTGTAAATGTGCTGCGATGTACCTCTGGGTACCTTAGGTATCCATGGATGGTAGCATTTAAGGCCCCGGGGAAATAATCATGCACTAACTGGCCAGATCGCTGACCCACCAGCTACTCTTCTTTTTGTTCCCTTTTATTTTTTTCTGCCAACGCTGCAGAAACCCTTTGGATGGACCCCGCTAGCTAATCTATTCTAGTAATTTATGATAGATAATTGGTTCAAACAGAAGATGCATGATGATTAGGTGTTATGTACATAACCTGACATGAGAAAAACCTGGGCAAATGGCATCGTCACGGGCGGAAGACCCACCGCCTCAGCCACCGCTCCCACCTCCGCGCATGAGCTCTCGAAGTTCCAGTCTCACTCCGCTTCCTGCTTCTGGTCACCTCCCCTCTTCACTCCCTTTCTCTTTTTTTTTTTCTCCTATCCCCTCCACAACCATGGCCAAGCCCAAGCACACGGCTGCTGGTCGCAAGGGCAATGCTTCCGCATCCCTCAGCCCCAACAAAAACGAGAAGTTTGCCTTTGAACAGAACACGGAAGCCGAGGAGGTGAGCTGAAAGCAGTATTAATTGAACTCCTGAATGTTGTTGACGCGCCTCGATCTGTTCTTAGACACCCGAACAATCTGAAGGCGAGAAGAAGCAACAAGATTGGGAGAAGAAACGGCAAACCTTCATTACCCGGACAATATGGACCTTCGTCATGATTGCCGGTTTCTTCATCGCCATGTTCTCTGGCCACATATATATCATTGGCCTGGTCACCGCTATTCAGATTGTTTCATTCAAGGAAGTCATCAACATCGCCAACAAAAAACCTCAGGGCGAAAAGGAGCAGAAGCCGGCACCCCGCTTTACCAAGCAGCTAAGCTGGTACTTCCTCGCGACCACCATGTATTTCCTGTATGGAGAGAGCGTGATATATTATTTCAAGCATATTTTACTTGTGGATAAGGTTCTTTTGCCCCTGGCAAACCACCACCGCTTTATTAGCTTTACTCTTTATGTCATGGGTGGGTGTGCTTCAGCTCTGCAGTTTCAGAGGAGTGTTTGCTAACGGCTCTTTTAGGATTCGTGTTCTTTGTGGGAACTTTGCGCAAAGATACCTACAAGTTGCAGTTCGTTCACTTTGCTTGGACGCACATGGCGCTGTACTTGATTGTGGTGCAAGCTCACTTTGTCATGAACAACATCTTCGAGGGCATGATCTGGTTCTTCCTCCCTGCGTCTCTGGTCATCACCAATGATATTTTTGCCTATGTCTGTGGCATTACATTTGGTCGTACCCAGTTGATCAAGCTGTCGCCGAAGAAGACCGTGGAGGGCTTCCTTGGCGCATGGATTTGCACCATCATTTTTGGCTTTTTCATGACTAATGTGCTGATGCGGTACAAGTACTTCATTTGCCCTGTCAATGACTTGGGCTCGAATGTTTTGACTGGCCTAGAGTGCGTTCCAAACTCCGCCTTCATCCCGCAGCCCTACTCCCTCGAATTGATCGGTCTGGATAAGACTTTCTATGTTGAGCCCATGCAACTTCATATCCTGAGCTTCGCTACTTTCGCCTCTCTTATTGCTCCGTTCGGTGGTTTCTTTGCCTCAGGTCTGAAGCGCAGCTTCCAGATTAAGGACTTTGGCGAGTCCATCCCCGGCCACGGTGGTATTACTGATCGTATGGACTGCCAGTTCATCATGGGCTTCTTCGCCTACATGTACTACCACAGCTTCATTGCTGTCTACAAGGCTAACGTTGGTGACATTATCGAGACTGTCATCAACGGTCTCACGGTTGATGAGCAGTTCGAGGTTGTTCGCGGCCTCAGCAAGTACCTGCACAACCAAGGTGTCGTTTCAGATACTGTAAGTTTTTTCTTTCTTTCAAAATATACATTTGAATTCATTTTGGCTAACGCTGAATCGCTACAGATTCTGGACTGCCTTGTCACTGAGCTTAAGCGTTGATAAATTCGAGTCGCCGGCCTCTCCATACAAAAACTTCACGACTTCTATTTACATTTCCCCCTTTTTTGTAATACATCCCGAGAACTACTTCCAACTCTTTCTTTCTTGCCCTCTGGCCTCCGATGAAGTACGCCTTCCTAGCCGCTTGCTGACTGGGGATTGATTGGCTTTTCCCTGGTATGACATGAATGCATCGGTTGGTTTGCCGTGCACGATGGCTATTACAAGTCTCCCTCCACATCCCACTTTTCAACACGGCATCAGTTTCATTACTCAAAACACGAGATGGATTGAAAATCTCAAGTGAAATCATCGTGGTGAAGACCGGGGCGCGATCTTTAATTTCGATTCATGGATGTTTTCTGTCTTGCATTTTTCTCTTGAACCAGTACTTTATCTATTTTATGTTTTTTGCCTAATTGGCACAGGATCCGCTGGTCTCCTGGTCTTGATAATTGTGTTACAGCTGTTCGTGGGTGGAGGCCTGCTAACCCCCCCCGGTGCATGAGAAGGAATTCATGGGATTTGTATTGTGTGGTAGGCCAAGGTGGCTTTATTTGCTGTTCGCTGTCCTGCAGTAATTACTATCCGGTACTCTAGAGCAGTAATGCAGGCAGTTGAATCTGTATATAGCTTTCAATTCACTCGTGGAAGCTGACCTCGTTGTCTGAATGAAACGTGCATTGTTCAAACATTATTTTTTCCTAAGTTGATAAGCCTTCGATGGTAGCTACATGGAGATTAGAAGCATGGGCCTAGAATTGAGTTGATTGATTCTTTTTCATTTATATCAATAGAAGTAGGGTATCACAGAAACATTCAAAAATTATGCAGATAACTAGCCATACCAGCCTGAGCAGCTGTGATCTCATTCAATCGCCGATGCCAGTAAGTCTGAAATGCAACACTCCAATCCACCAAACAGTGAGGATCGAAGAAGCGCGTCCGGCTCACCTTTACTGTTCGACCTCATACTCTTCAGTCTCAAGCTTGAAATACTCCTCAACCTGCCTTTTCTCCTTATCCGCTTCAGCAGAATCAAGCATAAACCGGACAGCTGCTTCCCGGCCCTTATCTGCCCTGTGGCGCTCACCATTGGCAGCAACAGGTGTCAACGGGTGCAAAGGTCGCTGTGGAGATTCTGCGGAATTCCCACCTCCACCGCTCAAATTCCTTGAGTCACGGGGTCGGTCGACCCAGAATGCGAATCGACAAATGCTGATTTCTCCAGCTTCTTGATTCAGTGGAATGCGGACGGTCAAGAACTGGTCTGCTGGGAAAAGCGGTCCTACAGATGTTGAGGAGCGGTGGTGCGTATAGAGTTCTAAAAGGTCAAAGAGGGTCTCTAGACTTTGGTATTAGTATGGCTGTATGTATACGTCGAAATGGCTTATGCTTACCCATGACTTCTTCTCTGCTCGTGTTCCATCTCTCGTATTCCTCTCTGGACTCTAGGGCCTCGGTACGCTGGTTCGAGAGGCGACTGGCGAGTTCGAGACAAGCGAAGGCCAAAGGTGACGTTGATTGTTTGAGTGGTGCAAATGTTCGATAGAGATCTAGTGAAATGCGGTAGGCCAGGCTCCGAACTTCCATTGAAATTCCATGACGACGGGCCAGCTTGAATAGAGTCTTATGGGGATGGCGGGTGCGGAAGTCGAAGCCTGATGCCTCTAGCATCAACCTCTCCAACCCAATGATTCCTCGAGAATTAGTGTCAAAAATCTGTCAATATTCGAGTCAGTAAAGTTTCCATTTCCTTTCCAAATTACTGGGGATTTTCCAGAATAGTGACCTACGGGATCATCTGGCGCCAGGTGATCTGATGGTGACAGCTTGAGATTGTATGCTGCGCATACAATATCTCTTGATTTTTTGAGGGTATCTTCAGTCTTGCATGCAGTAAATAATGCTGCTGCGGCCGCATCCTGTTGTCATATTAGATGGGCGATCTCCAAGAAAGGGACAATGACGTTACCACAAAGTTATATTCATTATCGGGATGCACCAACCGGAACCGGTGATAGTACATCGTAGCGGTATCATAGGTCCGCACTGGCCTGTATTATCCGGTCAATGTCATGCTTTGCAGGGAGGCATTTCTGGAGGCGGAGATTCAACGGAGAACATACAGGTGGAGCACTTTTCGCACATTGTCAATCCACGACACTCCTTGCAGACGCAATGATTCTTCTCTGAGAGGATTTATTCCCAGGGCCTGAATACAATCTTGAATAGTCTGCTCAAACAAGTACGGCCTGGCTACCTGGATAAATGAAGGATGAATGGCTGGGCGCTCCGGAGCTTGGAGACCGGGCTGTGGGTGAGGGCGAACCCGCTCAAGCCTTGATTCGAGTGACATATCAGATGATTGAAGTCCAGTTGCTTTTCACAGTAAACACGGCGATGAAAGGCCCTTGGAGCTTGTGCAGTTGAAGGTCAACGGCCGTGACTGGTTCGATATTGAGATCACGTGATCGGAGAGTTGTTAATCCGAAGTACAGCCCATGTGAAGGTTGGGGAAGAAGGGAGAAGAAAGAGGAAAGAAGAAGTAAAGGAGAAAGTCAATATATTAAAGATACTGGTGCAGGTCAGAAGTTCAGCTTGCCTTCGCGGTATACGACGGCCGGATGCCTCAATGAAGTTATCAAAATCGAGTGGGCAACCATTGTGTTCAAGTAAAAATGGAAGATAATTCTAGACATGATGTGACAGACTTGATGATAACCAACATTGACAAGCTTTCAGAATCAATTCCCGCCCACTATTTATTCATCTCTCCCGTACTTGCGAACCAATTTTTGCATGATTGACATTGCACCCGAGCGATACCCACCACCAAAAATAGCATGATGATTCAAATGATGATATCTAGCGAAGAAGTCAGCTTTGTACAAATTAAAACAGATGATGAAGCACAACTTACAGCTCGTATAACCGCACTCGATCATCATATTCCTCCACCGGCGCAGTCTTCGGCACAACCCGATGATACTGATCAAAGAATCGAGCTCCAAAACCACCAAACATATGCATAATTCCCAAGTCGAACTCATTATGTCCATAGCAAACACAAGGATCATAGACTACGTCCCCAGGCTGATCATCACGACCACTGCCCACGATGCGGCCCCGGTCTGCATTTCCACTCCATAGATCGCCGTGCACAACGACCGGTACGATCCCCTCGCCTTCACCATGGGAATCGTATCCTAAATGACTGTCACCTAGTAGGCGGGGCACCACCTTATAGGCCGTCTTCTCCACGAGCTCCCGAAGTCCCTCGTCGCGACCATTGCGGTGCTCAGACGTGGCGAGAACGGTGAGCAGTCGCTCATGAGCATAGAAGTCAGCCCAGCTATCATAGAACTTGTTCGCCTGTCTGGTATCACCGCAGAACGTGGGAACAGGAAATCCGAATCGAGGCTTCCCAGTCTTTGGGTCTGGGGCCGCGGGCGTAGTATGTAGTTTACCAAGTCTGTACGCCAGCGTTGTTGAATTGGTTTCATCACCCGAACTGCGTTCCATCGCACCCCCGAGATCAAGATACTCGGTGGCCAGGAAAAAGTTCTTGCATTTACTGTTTCCCTCGTCCATAGGCCCCCAGGCTAATGCGCGTGGACAGAATCCCGGCACAGAGCCTGCGATCGCATTGAGAGACTCGTACTCGCCGCGGAACATTTCTTCAGCGGCTTTACCATCTGCTGAGGTCTTGACGAAGTATCGTCGTTCTTCTTCGCTTCCATCTTCTTTGGGTAATTTGGCACGAATGGCGCCTGTGCTTGTAAAGCCTGAACCTAGTCCGGAGGTGGAGAGGCTGACCTTTGACGGATCGGACGGAAGAGATAGAGCTCGAAGAATGGCTGCTGGTACGGGTGACATATTAAAGGCTTTTTCTTCACTATGAAGCTTGTTCTGTAATGGCCAAGAGAGAAAACTCAATCAAATGAATCTGCATGTGGTTAACACAGGTATGCGAGAATCAAGCTTGCAGGGCTATGACGTTAGATCTCCGCACCACGAAAATCAACACACCCTACAGTATATGGGACAAATTTTCTGAAAGGAACACTTAAAATTGGAATTCTAATGAATTTTGCTTGGTATTGCACAAAATGGCATATGCACATTAATATGAAGCCCCGTATCCAGTTCTCAATACATATCTCATAGTCAAATCGTTCAAAGGCGACTACAGTTGGTTCAATAAGTGCATAGCAGTCTTAATGCGCTCCTTGACATCCAGGGACGGATCATCTTCGAGACTATATACTTGATCAACAATCCCAAGAGCCTTGAGTCTAGTGGCACGTTCGCGACATGCTTCACGATCACTCTGGTTCTCACGGTAGACCAAGTTAATGACCACCCAAGCACAGTTGGCGCGCACATTTGAGTTAGAATGACTGAAATAATTGGACAGGAACCGTAGGAGGTCTGGGTGAGAGAGCAGCAGTTGCCGGTGCCGGGTAAGTCCTGCGGCAATGTGGATGATAACGGCACTGACGGCGAGCAGGGTTTCTTGCGGTACTTGTAATTCCCGGTTGGAGAGCTCACGGCGATGTGGTAATTGGATGGTGCGCGGGCGCAAATTATCAGCGAGTGCGTCTAGAAACTCATTCTGGCCGATCTCTTGGAAGAGAAAGTCGATCATTTCAGGTGCACCAGTCCCGCACATCATGTTGCGCAGCATATCAAATGTCTGCTCTTGGACAGCAATGTCATCTTGTCTCGACTGAGTGGACTGCTCCAGGTTGCCATGCATGACAAGCTTGCGCCGACGCCTGGCATCAGGAAGGAACATATCCAAACTCATCTTCGATTGAGGCATGCTGTCACCCCCCATCTTGAATCCTTCGGCTGACTCGCCTATATCTTCCATGGGGTTGAGGATGTCAACTTGTTCCCCCGCTGAGTTGGCTCGACCCATAGCAATTCCAATAGCATGCTCTGTCTCTTCGTCCATTCCGCGTCTAGTCAGGGCACTGAGTGGGTCTTGGCTGATGATTTGTCGGATCCAAGCAGGCCCTAGAGCTTCAACTATCTTCATTCTTATATCATTGGATGTATCGAAGACCACATGTTTGAGGGCCCACAAGGACTCTATCTGCAACTTGGTACTGGGTGAGCGGGCGTGCTCGCAAAGCATGGGAATTACCTCGCCCGAAATGATCGCCTGCAGAATATTTGTTAGATGATTGCCTAAGAAAGATCAGAATAACGCGTGCACTAACCTCCTTCATAGGACTGAAATTCAGTGCTAAGTTACAGAGCGCTGCAGTTGCCGCAATTTGGACTTCTAGGTCAGGATGTTTAACAAGTGTAAACAGTGGCTGGGCCACGCCAGCATCAATCATGCTGGTCCTCAAGGTGCTGACCGACCTGGTGAGCATGCGAGCTGCACCACAAGCAGCTAAAAGTGTTGGTATCGGGTTGCCATCCGCTGCAGTATTCTTTGGGACCGAAGCGGCGTCGGCAGGAGCATCACTTGGCCGTGGTTTGAGGGAGTCGATGATATAGGGAACCACTCCGTTATCACAAAGTATTTTTCGCCATTCATCTTTAAACGGTACCAACGAAGCCAAAGCCTTGAGAATACTTTCTCGATATCTCATAATGTGGCAAAGTGTAGGCGAATATCCAGGAGGCCCCAGTCGACTATCCGGCGACATTGTTTCAGGGTCCCGAGCTGGAATATCCCCCTCCGAGTGCCACATGGGTCGTAAGGTCTCTGGAACTGGATTATAAGTCTCTTTGAGAAGCTGAGAAAGTCGCTTGAGTGCATTTCCATCTACAGCATGCTTTTGTAGTTCCGGGTCATCCATGACCAGATTGGCCAAGACAGCCGGGGCTTCCTCCTTCAAAAGCTGTGTCGGGGTGATGAGTCCATCATCGTTCGCACCAGGTTCATCGGGGACCTCAAAGTCTTTCTCCAGCATGCGAATAAGAATCGGAACCAAGAGGTAGCCGAACATTGGAACTCGGTGCTTTTTGGCAAGGCCCAGCCGAAAAAGAACAGTCACTAGCCGAGCCGCCATTAGTTGAACCATACCACCTTCTGAACGGAGGATGCAAAGCAGCCATGGCACGATGGAGTTTTCATCCTCTTCTGGCGGAGACGTTTCGGCCAGCGAAAACGGCGTGGAAAAAGAATGGCTCTGGCGACGCTGCACACCAGGATTTCCTAGAGGCGGGAAGTTGGCCGAGCCTGAGGCTGGTTTGGCATGTACCATTGGAACTGACGGGAGAAGATGATCCACTGGGTTTGTGCTGGAATGACGGGGTACCGCCGAGCCTGACAAGTATGTGGTTCCCCAAGGGTTTTTTTTAATGTCAGTCGGAGCGAATCCAGGGAGTTGTTTGGGGAAGACGGTGACAATTCCCGGCGAGGAAAGGAAATGCTCTGCCCGCCACTTCGAGTGCTCGATGATCACAGTGATTGCGCGAAGGATGGGTGCCAACCGCGCCGATGCTGGGGCAGGCGGTGGGAAATCACCTAAAGCTCCAGGCTCATGTAAATGGTCCTCGGAACCCGGTAGAACAAACCCTTGGGCGATCACGAAGCTCGCGATTTTAACAGCTAGGGCGTCCAGTACTCCACATTCCGCCAGCGTTGTTTTGTGAATCTCTTCTGTGCATAGCTTTCCAATCAAGGCAGCTGCCAGCTCAATACTGGCTTGGCTGCCCGAGGGCCCATAGTTCTGTGCAATAATGCGTCTGATAGCTCCGACTGTTTCAGGCGCGAAGACAATATCTGCCAATCGGGTATCCCGGGGCCATTGGTCTTGATTTTGCAACGGTAATCGGTCTGCAATTGTGTTGAGAAGTCGGAGGATGGGAAGAACGAATTGCCGAGGGCAGTCCGGCGAGGACAAGATAGAGAGAAGCGTGGGAAGAATATCGCTGGCGAATATTGGGGCGAGGAAAGTTGGACCACCTGTTGAACATGTTAACGTCATCATCACTGGAAGTTCTGGGCCTTTGATGCGCAAATACCTTGCACCAAGCTTCCAATGATCAGGATTGCCTGCAGGCAGGCTTCTGATTCTTCTGATTCTGCTGGAAATTGATAGGCTCTGGTCGCCTGGGTCACAGAACTGTTAGATTCAATCGCAGATTGGTTTCCTGACCATCGCGATCTGAGCACCGAGGCCAGAGTCGGGACGATTCCCGCAGCAACATAAATCTCTTTGCGCTGGTCATGGCCTATCACCTCATTCTTTAAGGCTCGAAGAGAGGTGATTTGAGAGGAAATGGAATCTGGGGTTTGAAGCTGTAGCAGAATCGGCGGAACCGCTGCTCGCGTCATCGTCAGAAGACGACCGCCTCCCAATGAGGTAGAGGTAGCAAACCAAGAGGAAATAGACGCGGCGAGGTGGAGCGTCTATTCGTATGAGCTGCGGGGTTCGTAATAGCTGGTCGATCTGAGTATGGGAGGACTTGGCCGAATTCGGCCAGTTGTGAGGGCGGGGAAGAAGTCGCGTGCAATCGGGCGGTGGGATTAGACCACCTGTGGAATCAAAATTATGTCCCTTGCTCTCCTCAGCCAATCTCAAAATGGCCTATTAATCTTTGAACAATCGAAAACGATACTATCTGCAGCTCACAATTCAGCTTCCAGAGCTTAAGGACGGAGGTGACGGACTCCACTCCGCACTGGGGGAATGACTGGATGGTTACGTAAGAGGCGGTTATGTAAGAATTGACCGCCAAGAGTACTCCGTATTCAATAAATTGCACAAAATTAGTCTTTGTAATCCGAAGCTGTCATATCCATTAATTGATAAGGCATATCCAGCTTCTACAGAGCTTATCTAATAGTCCAATCATACGTAATTCCCAACAATAATATTGTGGAGGTGAGTGCCAGATAATGCATGCAATATGCCCTAGTGTCTAGACTAAACAGAAGTACACGGACAATATACGAATACGGATTCGAAAGGGGCGCAGTGGTAACGTGCTAGTAAATTATGGCCTCAGGCCACCATCTGATCAAACCAATGACGCCAGTCCTGATCTCAATTCCGAGAGAACTAGTATTTCTCCACGAAGAAATAGTTTGCATCCCTAGTGTACTACTAGTGACCTACCTTACCGCAGATAGCAAACTGTCCCCCTTTAATCTGTCCTTAGTCCGGTTAGATCGGCTCTGATTCCCCCCAAAGGGGGTTTAGCGGTGATGGGTTTTTCTGCTAAGTCTCCACCGCTCCCACTATTGGGCTCATCACCTGATCAGCCCTGTGGCTGTGTCACGTATGGTCACGAAAGTCTTCAACCCACCAATAAAGTAGTCGAACAGCTCCGGGAGGAACGCCGATGGATCCCCGAAAAACATATTGAATACATGATTCTGTCGGGGGATTGGCCGTGGATCGAGATTCGACGTAATAAATTACCTCATAGCAGAACAGGATTTTACTCCCCTAAAGGGTACCCGTTCCTCTGACTCCCCTCCCTTTTCCTTCTTTTCTACCCTACGTCTTTCAAATGAGTAAGGGTTCTTGCACCAAGTGCTCTCCACAACCAGAACCCCCGGATTTCCAGTCGACTTCCTCCACCTTGCGATCTACGTGAGGATGAGGCCGTGCGCCAAAACCCAGGTTCCGCAGGTGCCCCATTGACTCGTGCGCCCACGTGGTGCCAGCGTGCCTTCCCATTGCTTTGCCGCAACATTCCTCTTGATCCCTCACTAAGCCATGTTGGCTTCGTCCCCTTCACCCTCGTCGGCCGCGCTACGCTCTGGCTCCGCCCACCCACATTATGAAAGTGCTCCACAGTTTAGTAGCCCTCGTTCATCTCGCCTGGCCATTGAGGAGCTCCGTTCGGCCTTGAATCGCCATACCGTCGATCCCGCCTCCCCTGATTCCCCCGCCGCCCTCCAACGTCGACGCGCTTCTGCAGTCGATCCCTCTGCCCCCAGCGCTGCCTTGGCTTCTTCATCCCACAGCGTGTCCGCCACTCCTTCCACTGCCACCCTTCCTACAGCCACACCATCTGGCCCTGTGATTCCACCACCTACCCCGTCAGTCTCAATGCCCGCCCCGGACAATTCGGGGGGCTCCAATAAGCGCAACAGCCAGAGTGACCACCACTCCCCGAATGCGCCTTCGGCGGGCACATCGGGTGGTCAAGATGTGGAGGTGTCGCAGACCAAACGTTTGCGCCCCTCTGCGCCCAGCGTCAAGATCCTGCCCGCCCAATACGAACTGGCTGATCCCCGTGACCTGGTTGTGCTGATTTCCAGCATGCTTATGGAGCTGATTCGCTTCAATGACAAAATTCCCCTGCATCAGGGGCGTTTGACGCGCTTCCACTCCCGATCGCCCCCTCGGATCTCCGTGCAGGATTACCTGCAGCGTCTGGCAACGCATGCCACCCTCTCGCCACCCATCCTTCTCAGCATGGTCTACTACATTGACCGTCTCTGCGCATTATATCCCTCCTTCACTGTTTCCAGTCTCACCATCCACCGTTTCTTGATCTCCAGTGCCACCGTCGCCAGCAAAGGATTGAGTGACAGCTTCTGGACCAACAAGACTTACGCTCGAGTCGGCGGTATCAGCATGAACGAGTTAGCCATGTTAGAACTCGAGTTCCTCTTCCGCGTGCAGTGGCGCATCGTGCCACAACCCGAGGTCCTGGTCGATTATTACCAGAGCCTGGTAGAACGATGTGAAGGGTTTGAGATTGAGCGCAATGGCAGTACCACCACCACCGCCACCACGACTCCGGCAGCATGAAAGAATCCTCATATGTATGGAAAACACGATCTGGCCACGAATGTTTCGTTATGGACTATGTTTTCGGGCTGGCCTCGAGTTCTACAAACACGGCCTAATGATCAACTTTACATTGGAATGGATTTCTTTGCCTATCGACCTTTAATATTTGATCTTATTTGCATCTACGGCCTGGCCCATGCATATGCTACAATTAGAAGGCACGCATCCGAGTCAGCGTGAGATAGCGGGTCTATGTTAGCATACTCCACGCTGGGCGGTGATTTGTAGCATGGTTTCAGCGCTTCATTTCCAGCGGGACTTATCTGGCGTTTTGATGTCAAGGAGGTATTTTATCTATGAACACTATTTTACCTACACCGATTCCCATATTCTACAAAAATATACTCATTCATGCCTACGAAGTCTTTCTTAGCTATCTAGAAGTAGAGATTGACAATGAACTAGTACTAAATGATATTCATTTCTATGAGACTACTCCGTAGTATTTCCTTCCCGGGACTTTAGGGCATAGGGTGCGGGGATTAGGGCAGCGGGTCTGGAAATCTTGAACTTCATGCGTCACCAAACGCGTCTTCCAGCTTTTGTTTTCTTTCAATTCCTTTGCTAATCTCACTTCTCTGCATATTAGTCATGAAGCAAACCTCCCTCTCCAAAGTTACGCGATCCTGTTAGCCTTCGATTTTCTTCCCTCATCTAACCTCCCCACACCAACCATCATGGATCTCGCAGAGGCCGTCAAAGCGATTCAGCCTTTGCGTGGAGAAATCGTTCCTATTCGCACTGTGCAAGAAACACGGCCACCCGAGGAATTTGGTATGATCATGCACGATCCTGAATCCCAGCTGTCAATATCATTAACTAACTTGCGTGCAGGCGACGCCTTCGTCGCAGAAGTCAACGTCAAAGGTGCAGCCAAAGTGATCAAGTGAGCTACAACCCAACTATTAATGATAATGACTCAAACTCATTCTCTTCTTTAGAGCGCTCGATTCCAAGTACCCCCGAGTCCCCTCGCTCCCATTATCACATCTGCGCCGTTTCGCAAAGAGAGATATCCTGCCCGCGCCACTTCGGGCCAAATTTGAAGCAGGAGGTTCATCTGCAGTTGGAGAGCAGAAAACTATTTTTGTTGTGATTTCACCCCCATTGCCTCCTGCAGAAGAACTGCAAGAGCTACTTGCTCCCTATGCGCCTGAAACATATGGCTCCAATACCCGCTCCGACTCACCTGATGCATCTACACCTGCACCCTCACCCTCAAACATCCGCCTTTTCACCACCAAGATCCCCCTTCAACCACCCTTCAACTCCGCCCAAGCTGAAAGATGGAGCAACACCCTCTGGCCCGTTGTATTTAATCCTGCCGCGCCCCGATCCAATGTTGCCCCGCCCCCTCAAATTCTGAACCGGGCACAGGATGCTATTGAGCCTCGTGCAGGATACTACCTCTCTCTCGCGCGCAAAGTTGCTGCAGAGGCAAAGCAGTCGGGGCGTGGCCGTGGTGTCGGAGCAGTCGTTGTCGATCCATCCATCGAAGCCGCGATTGAGGCTGCTGCGTATGAAAGTGGCGAGTCCAGTACTGATCGATGGATGGATGCTGTCCTCGCTGTTGGTGGTGATGTTCGGTTCGCCCGCTCAGAAGCTGGGAAGCCATCTCAGACAGATCTACACCCCGGCGTGGCTCCTAACCCGGCCTGTGCAGTGTTCGATGCTGATTTGGAAGGCGGGCCAGATCTGCATGCACTGATGCGTGTCGCTGAACTTGTTGCACGACGACGCCGTGAGGATCCTGAACATGAGGAGGCCACAGCGGCCATTTCGACTCCGCTGGCTTCTATTGCTACGGACCCCCAGCTTTCTTTGCAGCTAAGTCCTCTTGAGTCATATTTCCTCTATCAGCCTGGTCTTTCGACAATCTCCACCAATGCGCCTACTGCTGATTCCGAACGGCTTGTGTCCTCTCCCCTTTCCCCAAAGAAGAGAAAGCATGAAGAGCCGAATCCCGAATCCACCTCGGCTCCTCTTGACACTATCAGCCTTGGCCCATCCGCCCAGGGCGTACAAGGCCAAACTCAACCTACAACGCCTCCCCTCCCAGCTCCCCCGCCATCAACCGTCACGACCTTCGCTGACCCTTCACTCCCGCATCCCCTAATTGAGTCAGTAAAGGCGACTCCTATCTCTTCAGCTCCAGGCACAACTTCTCGTATTCGCACCCGCTCGCAGGGAGGCTATCTCTGTACCGATCTTGACATTTACATGTCCCACGAACCGTGTCTTTGTTGCTCCATGGGCCTGCTTCTCTCCCGATTCCGGGCTGTTATTTTTCCGCGTTCGGGTCGGATGATAAGTGGCGGCCTGGCATCTGAGCCAGTCATTGTGCCTACGCCAGATCGAGACCCTTGGTGTGATGATGAGGACGAGACTGAAGATGCGGGTGAGAAATCTGGGGAAGGTGTAGATGAACGTTTGTATTATGGTCTGCATTGGAGGAAGGAGCTGAACTGGCACGCTTTAGGGTTTGAATTTGTTGAGTACGAGGATGACGATGAGGACAAGGGCGAAGACAAGGGTGATAATGTTGTCTTCAATGCGTGATGTATTTTACGATTATGAACCGATATTGTGTACGTAATGAAGAAATGCTTAAGCTACGTTTAGTGGAACGAGTGAAGTAAATTTCGTTTGAAATTTTTTTGGGCTTCTGTAAAGACATGCTTTTTCGAGGTTCTCCATTTCCTCCTCTTCCTCTTCCGTTTATTTCCCAACTGCAATGCACTTCTCGGCGCACTCACACTTTTTCCAATTGAGGGTACCCTAGCGGATATAAACGACAACCTCATCCAACGGACAACGGACATACTTCTTCAACAAGTGACTATAGAGCCAAAAAGCCGTAGCATCGCGCAGATGCTGTCTTCCACACGTCAGCTGATAACACCACCGTGGGCACCACTGGTTCTCATCTTCCACGGTCTATGGGAAAGGAAACAGACAAGGAATTTCATGACGTCGTCACATATTCCCCTATCTACGCCACACGTCAGGTAGCGCAAACAAGTACAACAGGTGAAAAAGGGGGTGGTAACAACAAATTCTCCGCCAGTGTCTTCTTTCTCAGACCCAAAACGGTCGGGAATCGACGTGGCTTTCCCTGAGAAAAGAAGTGATAAAACAAAGTAAATACGCGGGGTATAAACCGGATTTGACATCCCATAAGATACAATCCAGAAAATGGCGGGGCTTAGCAAACAAATAGCTGTTCAAGATTTCAAGGGGGGGTTCTGGGGGTAAACCACATGTCACCTAGTGGTAGGCACTTTAGATGATCCAAAGGTTTGATGAGAATTGGGATGGAGTCTTTTTGGCTAGTGCTTGTTGAAGACACAACAAACCACAAAGACTGGCTCGAGGACGCTTCCTTCGGAAGATCAAAGAACAAGGATACTGGGTCCGCCTTGCCAGTTCTATCGCTCGAACTTGAGTTGCCAAAGAATGTCCTCGAATGCATAAATGAACTTTCAAAAGCGGCGGATGTCGCAAATCGGCTGGGTGACATTTTATGTACAACCGATGTAATCAAAGAGTATTCGAGCCCTGCAAGAGCCTTACGGCCACAATGTAATGGAATCAATGAACATGGAATGGCTCACGATGTGTCACCAACCGGGGGGTATGGGTACGATGCTCTCAAAGGGGGAAGATGACGATAATAATGAGTAAACGACGAGGGAAACGGATTCGGCCGTGAGACACGATTTTTCAGAGATGAACGACTGGAACATTTGGAGCAATGGTGGGAGCACACCCAGTCTTGCACAGAAATCAAGCCATTCGCTGGTAAAACAACAGGTAGGCGACACGATTGTCGCGGGAACCATATCTACCCAGGGGAGTTCTGACGCCCGAGGAGGTAGCAGGAGAGGCGGTAGTGCCGTTGACAGACTTCTTGCTTGCGTGACTGCTAGATCCACTACCATTGACTTGGCTCCAGCCTTTGTCGCTGTCCGCCGAATCTAGGTCATCCTGGTCAATGTGATCGAAAATATTTCCACGAGGAACCTTGTCATTTTTATGTTGTTCGAAGGCGGCTGCAAGCACTTTGGGGTCCTCCTCACCGCCAGCTTCGGCCACATCTTCGCTGCGAATGCGGCGGATAACTGTATCATCCATTCGGATCCACTCACGGCCGTCTTGCCGTCTCACATCGACAGTGTAGTGACCGCCGCTAGCATTCATTCCGTGGTGATAGATGACACCCATAAGACGGTACTGAGGAAGACCACCAGAAGCGGTTAAAGCATTGCGCCGGTGGGCAGGGAAAACCTCCCGGGGGATCTCCAAGTCAAGTGGGTAGCCAACCTTCTTCCAAATCTTTTGGGTGGCTCCAGTCAGACTATCATACTGGAAACGCTTGAGATGAAGGATAAGCACCGGGGGCATGGTCTCAATGAAGATCTGTTTAGTCGCGGTGACATTGGGTCCACGGGACGAGTTGAAATCACCCTGGATGCTCTCAGGCTTGGTCAGTCCCTTCAGAGCATCGATGATGTTGTGGACTTCAGGGGACCCAATGTCGAGTTGCAGGGGCTGATAAGGCTCCATAGTAACTGAGGTCTTGTTACCCGGCACCTTGAACTCGGATCGTAGCTTGCCTCCAAATATTCTTGTAACAGGTGATTCAGTTGCGTGAGCCCCAGATGACTGGGTCATGGCCGCCTTCTGCTTATGGCCAACCTCCAGCCACCCATCACCGGACGCGCCATCTACAGCACCTTCGGCAAGCTGCGCTTCTTCGGCCCTTCGAGCATGTTGGGCAGCACGATCACATTCTTCATGGAGCTCTTCAAGGAGGAAGCCCAAAAACTCCTGAGCATCTTGCTGATGGCCGCGCCGCATATCTCTAAAGCGAGGCAACTGCCGGATCATCTCATACACGAACTCGGGAACAAAAGCATCACCGTACTTCTCTAGCTCATTGGGCTTCAATCGCATCTTCAGCTGCTCTTCTGAAGTGGCGGCGTCGATGACACGGAACTCTCGCATGAACATGATGAGAGCATCAATCAATGGTACATCACTTTGGAAGCTGTGCGCGGATCTGCGACCAACATAGTCAAGAAACTGATGGAAAGGCACGCAGGAGACCAGGATCTGCAGTACTGAATTCATGTAGCACATATTGCCGGTGTTCACCAGTCCTCGAGGCTCGAGGAAAGCAATCTTATCACTGTATTTGGTGACATCTTCACCAAGGCTGGTCAAGATATCTGCCAGAGTTTCACTCTTCTGTGTGATCGCATTGCTCAGCTGGGCTGAAGCTGCGGCGCTGGCCGACTTAGCGGCTTGTTGCGACCGAAGAAGCTCCGCCCATGACTTAGGAGCAGCGGCACGGGCGGGCGAGGATGGCTTGGATGAAACTTCATTGACAGCTGTGGACTCCACACTGGTATCTGAGTCAATCGCTGCATTGGATTTAGGGGTCTCTGCGGTAGCGCTGGGGCTGTCTTTAGTCTGTCGACGCGGGGTACCTGGGACATTCGGCACTACTGGAACGACGGGAATGGCAGGCTTTGGAGTTTTATGCTGGGCATTTGACTTCGCCGCAGATGAAGGAGTCGTAGGCTGTGTTGAATTTGCATCCGATTGAGGAACGGAGGTCGTTGGGGTCAGAGGCTCAGAGATGAGTTGAGTTGCAAAGTCTGTGGGCTTGACCTCCTCCAAGGGCTCAACCTCTCCCTTTCGCGGCCCGATTATCCATCGCCCATCCTTTTTAGGAAACTCGACGGAGTCCCGCATTGGGTTCCTCCTCCTCCGGCTATCAACTCTGGCGGGGAAGGAAACTTCAGGCACCGACAACCAGGGTACCTGTATTAACGATCAGATAATGGTCAAGCAAATCAGACTAATTCCAAATGGAGCTTACCGGTGCAGCAAAAGCTGGTTTGGGGTCCGGGATGGGGTCTGGTATGGATTTGGGCTCCCATCGCGGCGGGGGTGAAGCGATGGGGTACTGTTGAATTTGCTGAGGCGGTAGGCCAGCGTGATCATGCAGCTCGGGTTGAAGTGGTGCTGGGATTAATGGAGACATGGTTGATTGCAGCGGCGTTGATGTTGGGGGTTGCATAGGCAAGGTCTGGGGGGGGAAGATGACTCGGAGCCACGACGTGGTGTGAGGGCGGGTACATGGATACCATCATCGGGCCATAAGGCTGATGGTAGGGACGTGGAGGAAGCTGTGCCGGGCCATAGGGGTACCAAGAAGGAGAGTACTGCTGTGGTACATATGCAGGAGGCATATGACCATTCATGCCGTTCATATTGTTCATCCCATTCATCCCATTCATGTGCGGCGGATACCCCCCCCATATACATCGGGGAGCGCATGTTGGGAGGACCTGGGTTGTAGGGATATTCCTGTTGCCTCCTTGATGGCCCCATGGGCGGCTGCCCATGGGGCATCGCGGGTAGCTGGTGGTTCATCTTGACCAAAGCTCAAGAAAGAAGAGAGTTGCCTTCACCGTTTAGCCACGCGTTGCCTCAATGGGAGCCATGCGCGGAGGAAAACAGATAAGCCAAAAGCGGAAGCCTCAGGTACGCTTATGCAGCCATATTGGCCTCTTTCCTGAGGTTGGGAGAAGTTCGTCAAGGGCGTCCGGGAGAGGAGAGGTCGATATATCGGATGGAATTCCGAGTGCTGAAGGCGCAGGAGTTAGGAAACAGCCACAATGCGGTACAAGAATACCAAATAAGAATATCGGTGCCTGGATGCTCACATCAAAGGTCAATATAGATAAATTTGAGGGGCCGGTGGTCAAAACGGCCAGGGTGGTGAATGGGGAGGGAGGCAGGCGAGCAATAGCCTCTATAATTAATCCGTTCTTTTGCCGAAGCGAAGCTGAAGTGCAGAGTCCAGGTGGTGATTAGTTAATCGATGCTGAGTCATAAGCACGTGCTGTCCGATGACATGCCCCTCCAATACTTGCCTCTCGGATCTTTGTCCTGGGTTTTTAGTCGCTCTCTCTATTCTTAGATGGCCTCTTGAGGCTCATTCTATTCTTACAGCTTTGCGTGCTCTGTTGCTAGGGCCGCTGTGAATGGCTAGTTCTGTTTATTCACGTTCGCCCTGATTAGGCGGGTCTGTACAAAGACCCTGGCCCCTCGTTCGCCAACCTCAAGGACCAATAACTTGGATCTGCCGGAACAATTTTGACTGTCTAGCTGTCTTCTTTATCTGAGCTGTGCTGAAGATACCGATTTGGAAATGTCGTCTAATGCAGGACAGAATCCGCCTTCCGCCAAAGCAATAAATATCCCAAATGCCCCGGCCGCACCTGCAGCATTTCACTCAACAGCTTCAATCGATATCAACACTCAGCGGCGTGTAGGGGGCTCTGGGAGTTTTGGAGCAGGGTCGTCATCAAGGAATCTGCCCACTGCAAGGAGCACTCAGGGCCGAAAGAACCAACATAAACACCAGAAGAAACCTCGGTTGTTGGATGATGATGAATATAGCGAATCGGTGGGTGATCTAGGGTCGTTCATATTCGAGCGTTGCCTACTGACCCTACCAATGCTCAGGCCGTGATGAAATCAACAAATAGCCGCAAAGGACAAACGTCCATCACTCACTTGATGAACTTTTCTCTCCCACCGCGCCCACAGTATCAACCACCGCCTCGCAACACTCGACGCTACAATACATGGGGAGCAGGATCAGGATATCATGCCGTAGACAAGGCACGCTATGTTCATGCCAACTACCGATTCATAGTCTCCCCGGATCGAAACTACCATTCGCAGGCAGCCAATGCCGATGTTCACCTGGATTGGGCCTCAGTTCTTCAAGTGCTAGTGTCCGCACAGACCCAAGCGGCGAGCTGTCCCATTTGTCTATCAACGCCTGTGGCGCCACGTATGGCTCGATGTGGCCATATATTTTGTCTTCCCTGTCTCATTCGGTATATGCACTCGTCAGATGACGACAACTCGGCCCCGGAAAAACGACCTAGGTGGAAGAAATGCCCGATCTGCTGGGACTCTATATACGCTTCCGAGGTTCGTCCTGTTCGATGGTTCCGCGGGCAGGAGGGCGATCTTCCCTTTGAAGGGGGGATGTTGTTCTAAGGCTAGTAAAACGAGAACCTGGTAGTACCCTTGCCCTACCCCGTGATGGTGCTGAAACCCTTGGACGGGGGGAAGATATTCCATGGTTTCACGTGGCGGAGGTTACGGATTATGCTCGGATAATGAAAGGGGGCGAAGACTACATGGTCTCTCAGTACGATTCCGAGATCGAAGATCTGCGCACACAAGCAGTCGAGGACGAGCTTATGTTTGGTGATGAAAATACATGGACCCGAAAGGCCATATCCACTATACACGATGCCAAGGAGAAGCTAAAAGGCATTGGCAATCCACCAGATGTTCTACGCCAACTTGCAGTTCCCAAGTCAGCCGCCCAACCCGCAGTGCAGGCAGAGATCAACGCGACTGGAGTCTCAGATTCTGTCATTTCATCTGCCAGTGGTGTCACTGACCCGGTGCTCGGTCCGGCCACTGATTCCCACCAATCCGCAGACTCCGCATCGACACCAGCAACGTCTGATGAAACAGATCAACTCTCAGAGAGTCTGGATAAAATGCGGGTGAACCCAGACTCCAACTCGAAATCGCGGTCTAAACCCAGAGGTAAAGAAGCACAAGGCTCTCATCCGCCAGACGAACCATATTACTTTTATCAAGCCTTGCCGCAGTTCTACCTATCGTCTCTTGACATTCGGATTTTGAAGGCGGCCTTTAATGAATACGCTTCATTTCCCGCGACTATACTACCTCGGGTAGAGCACATTTCAACAGGTCACATTGTTGATGACGAGCTTCGCAAGCGCGTGAAATATCTGGGCCATCTACCCTACGGGTGTGAGGTAAATTTTCTTGAATGCGACTGGCGCGATGTAGTGGTACCGGAAGTTCTGTCGCGGTTCCGTACTGAGACTGAGCGCAGACGGAAGCGCAATCGGGAGAAAGAAGCCCGCGAAGAAAAAGATCGTATTCGTGCAGAGAAAGAAGAGGATGATAAACGATGGGCTGCAGCACGACGCAAGCGACCGAGTATTGGGAATGATGCTAGCGAAGCACCCTTCTCTGCCCATGACTTTCAACCGCTGGCAGGCAATGACCCTGCCCTTTTTGATACTGGCACTTCCTCCGCCTCTCCGCCCCGCGCTTCCTCTCAATTTGGGGCATTGGCTTCCCCTTCTACTAGTCCTCCTGGCACCCGCACTGTCTGGGGTACAGCAGCTATCGGCTCGCTCTCTCCGAGCTTGGAAGCTCAACGCGGGACACCAAGTGACGGTTGGTTGAATGGTTGGGAGGATGAGCTGCTGGCCCAGCAAGAGTCTGAGATAATGGCTCTGACGTCGCCCGATGCTCACCCACCTGCATCTGGCCCAGCAAGTGGTGGCAAGAAAAAGAAAAAGAACAAGATCACACTGATGTCCACTAACAGCCACCGAGGTGCATGAGTTGGGCCATTTTGGTCCCCCAACCATTGATTACGCTTATTCTAGAAAGTTCAAGGAACTGTGTATCGAGGATCGCGTTGGAGTCTCAACATTTGTCTTTCTTGATTTCACTTGCCACCATCACAATATACTATATTCAGCTTCTATGCTATCGAGCGTTTGGGATTGTTTTCCGCAATCAATCTCGGCTCCGGGTCCACATTCCAGTCCCAACATTTTGAATTGATGTCAAATACCTGATATGAAAATAAACATACAATAGATACTTGGCCTCGCTTGATAGTTTTTTATCATCCCATCAGCAATTTAAGTATCTATTTCTCAGCCGCATCACAAATGTACCCACTAGGTTGTGAAGAGTCGGTACCTGCAGATTCACTTACTGAAGTAAGCGCTAGAAGAAAGCCAATTGATGCATTGCCGCAAGGAACGACAAGCTTGGCGCAGGATCGTCACTGCAGGACAAGCCCAAAGAGTGACAGAATCTTTTTGAACAATGGATATAAGAGAAGACCTCGGATTCGAAACTAATTAAAACAATTGATTAGCCCTTTTTGCTAGTCAATTTCGACCATAATCGATGTAGACTAGCATAGTAAAGCTAGGATATTGTGGGGGGAACCAAGGTTCCACGTAGTGCGGAAGAGGCGCGAGTGTGATTCTGCAGTGTATTTTTGCGGTACCGACACATACCCCCAGTGGGCGGAAAGGTACACGCCAGGTACACCATATGTAAACATTCCTGTTTTTCCCTTTCCCACTTCTTCTTTTCCACCTCGCTCTCTCCTTTCCCAACTATCCACCCTCATTTTCCCCTCGGATTTTGGACTTCCGAGTAGGCGATCATGACTGTCACACGTTCCCAAACGGGGCGAACCCCCAAGTGAGTGGCTGTCCCAGGATCTCACTTGCGATCCACCCCCCGTTCAACCCCCCGTGCGGACTGTTTACATGATCCACTTACAATTCCCACCATATTGTCCCTTGGGGATTTCTCATTGACATGAATGTTTTCGCATCATCTAGGAAGGTGGATCGCCCCGGTTTCATCGAGACCCCTGGCCGTCGTTCGACTCGTCACAGCTCTGCCTTCGACGGGAGTGAGAATGATGCCTCCGACTCGGCAACTACCAGCAGGTCCAAGTCGATCACTCGTCGTCGCACTTCCGCCAAGGTTAAGATTGAGGAGGAGGAGGATACCCCGGTGAAATTGAAGACCAATGGCAAGGCCTCCGCTCCCAAATCCAGATCTCGCATCGTGGACGGTTGGGAGGAGGGACTTGATCCCAAGATCGACTACAGTGGACACTATGAATTCGGTGGCTCTCTGGGTGTCTCGGCCATGATGATTGGTTTCCCCATGCTCATGTACTACATGTGGATTGGTGCGACTTACTATGATGGCAAATTTCCTACCCGCGAGGAGGGGCAGAGTTTCTCTGACTTCTTTGGCCACATGGCGCATCTCGTTTACACCGGTGCTTTCCCCTCGCTCAAAGCGTGGGTCATCTACTGGGCCTTCTTCATCTTCGAAGGTGCTTGCTACGTGCTGCTTCCTGGTATCTCTGTTACTGGTCGTTCGTTGCCGCACTCGGGTAACAAGCAGCTGCCCTACTACTGCTCAGCCGTGTGGTCTTTCTACACTAGCATTATTCTGGTGCTGGTTCTCCATTTCACCGGTCTCTTCAAGCTCTACACAATCATTGATGAGTTTGGTCCCCTCCTTAGCGTTGCTATCTTGTCGGGCTTCCTGGTCTCCATTGTCGCCTACTTCTCGGCTCTGGCTCGTGGCGCTCAGCACCGCATGACTGGATCCCCCATCTATGACTTCTTCATGGGTGCCGAGCTAAACCCACGCATGTTTGGCATCCTTGACTTCAAGATGTTCTTCGAGGTCCGCCTGCCGTGGTTCATTCTGCTTTTCCTTTCCATGGGCGCGGCTGCTCGCCAGTACGAAGTCTACGGCTATGTGTCTGGCGAAGTGATGTTCCTCGTCATGGCCCACTTCCTGTACGCCAATGCCTGCTCCAAGGGTGAGGAGTGCATTGTGTCCACCTGGTAAGTCTTAGTTCTAAATTGGCTTGAGATCATGCAGCTGACTTGAAAATAGGGACATGTACTACGAGAAGTGGGGTTTCATGCTCATCTTCTGGAATTTGGCCGGCGTGCCTCTGAGCTACTGCCACTGCACTATCTATCTGGCTAATCACGACCCCGCGGAGTACCACTGGAACCGCTTCTTCCTTGCTTTCCTCTACATCGCCTACCTGTTTGTTTACTGGGTTTGGGACACTACCAACAGCCAGAAGAACCGATTCCGCCAGCAGGAGCGCGGCACCATGGTCAAGCGCAACACCTTCCCTCAGCTGCCGTGGCAGACTGTGGAGAACCCGAAGACTATCACCGCTGAGGATGGCTCCAAGATTCTTGTTGATGGGTGGTGTAAGTCTATTCCAATTTGCTCTACGCGCAACAACGCTCATACTAATATATTCCTTTTAGACGGCAAAGCCCGTAAGATCCACTATACTTGTGATCTCTACTTCGCCCTAAACTGGGGCTTGATCACCGGCTTCTCCAGCCCCTTCCCATGGTTCTACCCGCTGTTCTTCGCTTGCATGATCTCCCACCGTGCTCTGCGTGATATCCAGCGGTGCCGAACCAAGTACGGCGAGGCCTGGCTCCAGTATGAGCGAGAGGTGCCCTACCTCTTCATTCCCGTGAGTGCCTTCCCACTGAGCTGCTTTGCGGATCATTCCTAATAGTATTGTCACAGTACGTCATCTAATTCAAGCCCGCTGACGACGGCGTTTCCCATCCGTTTTCTTCCCCTTATCCATATTTGTACAGCGGGTTCAAGGCCATTTTGCTTATGCCCTGGGCCCACAAAAATTGCCGTATACACTTTTGGCAGAGGTTCACTTGCACACAACTCGGGATACTTTCTTTATAATGATTGCCTGATATAATTGCTCCGTGTGCCGGTGCGATTACCCTGGCAGTGATAGTTCAACATTCAGTTTCCTGTATAATATTCAATCAATTCCTGAGTTTTTTTTTTATATCACCTTCTTTTTGTTATTTTCCAATCAATCAGCTTGTAGTATGGCGCGTTCATGTCAAATCTAGCATCAGGCATTCGCAAATTCATGTACTTGCTGATGTAATCATTTTGGCCCCGCCATCAGCTTATCGATAAGTAGCTTCATTCCATCAATTTACGGTTGCAGCTCCAAACTTCTTAACCGGTTTTGAGACAAAGAAATAGAGCAATTCTGAGCAAGTATCATCATGCTCGTCCAAGAATCATTTCACGAGGTCCCCACCACGGCCGATGGACAGGGGTCCATGGGTACGTATAACCCCTCCCTACCTGGTTGTCATGAGTTTCATGCTAGTACAATTGCATATCTGCTTCATTGTTCGCTAACTAATTTTTGTTAGGGATCTACGTCTTTCACCCTACTATTCCGGGGTATCCTAAAGCACGGTTTCCGGGAGTGGTTGTCTTCAGCGAGATCTATCAAGGTTGGCGCCGCTAGCTAAGTGCAAGCCATTGTGCTGCAAGAACCAAAGCTCACCAATCACCCCAGTAACGGGTCCTGTGGCGCGTTTTGCTCGACAGATCGCCGGTCAGGGCTACATCTGTGCGGCGCCATCGAGTTACCACGAATTCACGGGCCCCGAGCCCTTGCAGTATAATGCAGAGGACACGGACAAGGGCAACGCGTGGAAGATCAGCAAGGTAAATCAGATTGATATGATATGCATATGTGCATTGCATTGGTTTATTTTCGGATATCCTTGTGGGTTTCTTTGTGGGAATATTGTAGCTGACTCCGTTGCAATAGAAATTGGCCGCCTATGACGAGGACGCTAGTCTGACTGTGGACTACCTTCTCTCCCTGCCCACTTGCAATGGTCGGGTCGGTGCCACTGGCATGTGTCTGGGTGGGCATCTTGCGTACCGTTGTGCACTCGATAGTCGGATCAAGGCGGCTGTGTGTTACTTTGCGACGGATATTCACAGCAAGACCCTCGCTGCGGGCAAAAATGATGACAGTCTTGCGAGAACTGGGGATATCAAGGGCGAGCTTCTGATGGTATATCTCCCCTTCTTCTTCCTAGTCCTATGTTTCTATCGCCATGCCGAGATGTTAGATGCTGACCGTACTTAGATCTTCGGCAAGAATGACACGCACGTCCCTCCCGAGGGCCGTGATTTGATCCGAAAGACGCTTCATGAGAAGGGAGTTCTGTTCAGTTTCTATGAAGTTGCCTGGGCTCAGCGTGAGTTTACCAATAAATTCCGAAATCTGAAGTCGGTGCTGATCATGCATAGATGCGTTTATTCGGGATGAGCTCAGCAAGGGCCGATACGACCCCGCCATCACCAAATCCTGTTTCGAGATGCTGCTCGAGCTATTTGGGCGCACTTTGAAACTGGACCTTGGAGAGCATGATGGCAAGGAGCTGGTAGTTGAGGATGTGTGTTAAGCTAGACTGTGCTGATCTCCCGTGTGGGACTGCAGAAATAAAGGACTTGTATCCGAAGTTGTAAACACAGCCGTTGCAAGGGCAAAGGTACCGTAGATTTTATTCTGTACGGTCGCCCCGTCGACCACGTCCAATTGTCACGCAAGGGCGGATATATAGATTTCGATCTTGTTTTGATTTTGAAAAATTCTGATTTCTTGCTTACAGTTATCCACTTGTTATGCCGATCGACTCTATGGTCTGTGCTAGATGTGCAAGGCAACTCCATAAGCGGGAATCCTATTCTTAGTCTTCGACCCAAATATCGTGAACCACTGGTTGTGCTGAATCTTTGCCATGGATTTCATCTTCAATTTTATTAAACAATCTTTTAGATACTTATCTAGCCAATATTGTAATTCATCACCCAATTTCGGTTTCCAAGATTTACAAGTCGGCGTTAATCCACCTTTAGCCTAGTCCACCGCTAGCGCCAATTTCCGAGTCCCAAACCTTGGAATCACCTCACTCACCTCTCTCTCACGCATTGACTCTCCTTTGTGGCTCGTCCTTCGCTGGAGCCTCTTCTTTCTCACGGTCTCTCATCACCATTCGCCTCCTCCAATCGCGACCGGTTTCTTAAGCGCGGGTCAGGGGACGCTCCGGTTCCCCGTCCCCATCCACTCGATACGCCCTCTATCGCGACCGGGACCTGTCCTATCGGGATCCTATCGTTGTCAACATGGGCTCAACACAATTCGGCAATTTCAAGGTGAGTTGCTAGGAGTTCGCCCTGGATATTCCACGTTTCGCGCCCAATAGACCACAACCCCCGCTGACCATCCTCGGGTATCACAGGACTTCTGTCGCGACTCGACATTACCCGTCTGCAATGTTCGTGAGACCTCATCCTGAACCACCGCGCGAAACACGGCCAACTAATCAATGTTCTTTCTCGTGAATAGCTCTTTGTGGTGAATCAACCGCCTAATGCGAATTTCAGTGGATGCGCACTCGACGGTATCAGTTTGAGTGGGGGTCGCCATCTCGCCAACTTAGGTATGGACTGCTGGGATATGATACAGGTCTAGAGTGGGGGGTTGATACGGAATACAGGATCCATTCTGATCGCATTCATTGCCATCTTGGCGTCGCTCTTTATGCTATGGAGGTCGGACAAAAAGCATGCCGCCGTTGGGCGTCGGTACGCATTTCCCTCCGGGAAATACAGTGGTTGCAAGGGAAGAGGCTGACGTGGATTGAATAGGGAAATTCAACTGTTTCTGCTAGGATTCATCATCATCGAGATCTGTGAGATTTTCACCGTGGGTGGACTTCCGATCGAAGATTCGGTCCGAAAGGTAAGAGTTTGACGGATCCTCTCAAGGTGGTGTTTTGAGTATGAATGAGGGCCTAACAAGATATAACTAGGGTTTTTCGGCTGTCCACCTTGGCGCAATCACTGCCACCTGCTGGATCTTATTATTGAATGCGTTTGTGGGTTTCCAGCTACTTGATGATGGCACAGCGGCTTCGATTGGCCTAATTTCCGCGTCCGCTATTGTGCTCTTCATCGGTACTGGCTATATCGCCCTGGATACTGCATTTGACTGGTCCGGCCATTTCGTGGCGAATAAGGATACTTACCGCAACATCGCTCTCTACGTCCTGTACCAACTGTTCCCGCTGGTCTGTCTTGTCGTGTTCTTTGTCCTCGAATCCGTACTGGTTTTGCGGGTACTGGGAGAGTACCGACCCATGCGTGAGTTTACCTGGCAAAAATCCCTTGAGAGACCCGTTTGCTAATATCCTAATCGTAGTTTATCTTACCGGTGCCGCTCTCTTGTTCGCCATTGGTCAGATCTTTCAATATGTGATCAGTGTTCACCTCTGCGAGGCTTCAGGTGGTGCAATTAACGGTACCTTGTTTGAGACCCTCTTTACGCTACTCGCCGTAATTGGCGTCTGGGCTTTCTGGAGCAGTATCACCGAAGACGACTGGCCTCTGCCCGTCGGGGGTGGATACAACTGATCCCATTGCCATTTCTATTCCGTCTTCTTGCAGATTTCTCTGTTTCTATTCAATACATACAACCTCCGTTCACCTGTCTTCAGGCTCTCCGAGGCGTTAAGTTCTTTTCTCGTGACAATTTCGTCAACGATGAATAGAGCTTTCGACGTTGTCATACCACATTCCTCTGGGTCATGTTTCACGATCAATTGTTTTATTTCTCTTTACCTCTCCGGCTTGCCCGGACAATCCTCCCCGACTTGGCCCTTTTCTCTCTAGGGTTTCACTGGCCTTGCCGTGGGCATGTTTTTGTGTTTCAATTGTCAGATACCTCTCCGTCATGTACTTAGGTTATAATTCCCATGTCCGATAATCAAGTTCTCTCCATATTTATAATTAATCCTTTCTCTGTAGTACCTGACGTTGACAGAAATGCGAAATTGGGTGGGCCCTCAATGCAACCCGGTGTGACCATATGTTCTCATTTACTTCTCTGTCATGGACTTGTTCCTCCGTAGGTGTGACTTCCACGGCTAGGGTACCTTTTCGGCACGGCACAAACTGCAAGCTCCCTTTACAACCTCTAGAATCTAGATATATAGTCCAACTGGGCTAGCCCAGAGTCCGCAGCATATGCCTGATCCTGTCCTTCAAAATTCCAGCGTATTTACCTTGGACCTCAGACGCCTCAGACACCTCAGACTCCAAAGGAATTCAATCCATCCGGTCAGTCCTTGAAATGCGTATCAACATTGCGGCCCTCGCCCTCGCCTCTAGTTTGACTACTGGCATGGCAACACCTGCACTAGACCGTCGGAAATATACGGGCGATATGTCTTGTATGAGAGCCATCTCTTTGCCTATAGGACTAATAACTCACATCTCGGGTTTGGCCTAATATTTCTGTAGTACCAGAGGAAAATGGACTCGCGATCGAACAAACGCCTCCAACATGCAACGGCGTTGCATGTATCGGTCTGACAGGAACACTCACTTGTGTCCTCTCCGCCATTTCAGGTGGAGATACTACTGCATTACAGCATTGCCTTTCAGGAGGATTAAGTGAAGTATGAGTATTTCCTGTCTCTCTGCTTGAGAGGTGAATTAGTCTTTCCATAATGACTTCTCGTACTGATAAGCTATATTGTAGATTTGCTCTTGCGCTGCCTGCATTCCGCAGGTGAACAACTTTCTTCAAGCTTTGGGTATCTGCGTCACTGGTCTTGATATGGATAACATCACTGCTTCTTCTTTGTCCCTTCTCTTCACGGCTTTGTCGGAGATGAAGACTACTGCCATAACAACTACTAAGTTTGATGCCTCCCAAATAGTTCCTGTGTCCTCTACTTCTAATTAATATATTGAAGATAGCCAAGTCGGCTCTTCATGTTTATCCTCCGCGTGCCTATCTCCTAATCACGAGTTCATGTCGAGGTCGAAGTCAATGATCCATCAAGTATATTCACATCTTGCGTTTTGAATCAGCGCTACCACCACTAAGGTATACATTATCAACATGCCGCTACACTGGCCACTGAAATTCACATAAAATTAGTAAAATCATTTTGCGAGTTCTCATCACACGCTTTCATAGATAAAAAAAAAAAGAAGACGAGCCTCACACAATTTCTTTTCATTCCTTACTAACGTCATCCAGCATTATCAGGTCCCAGGTCCTCTATAGTCGGACCTTGACATCAATGCAAGGAAGTGTCCACTCTCGCCGTCCCAGCAAACTGCGCAACCATTCTAATCCAACTCCAGTCCATTCATCAGGCCGTGACTCGATTCCAAAACTTTGCTGTGCAGTATCCATGGCCGCTCCTGCTAGAACCTTTGCAGTAGAATTGACCGTGTCAAACACAAAGCTCGCAAGGCTATCACCAGGAAGCGGTGCTGCCATCGTGGCGTTCCCGGGCATCGGCACATACTCTCCGCCTGACTGGGAGCTATAGCGTGGCGCAAACCAGTTGCTTCGAAGATCGAATATGCACCGGTCAGACCAGTGGCAGGATGATGCGAACAGGATAAGAAGGAGCGCGGAACAGTAGATGCATGGTCGGTGGATGGTGTATGTTAGCGCCACGAAAGAAATGATGAATAGCGGCGAGGCATTTGTTGGGATGAAGAGGAGCGGAAGCCAGCTAGAAATATCAAATGTCAGTTTCTCGATCTCCGTTCCTGCGCTTTGTTGCGCTTTTCTTTTCTGGTGAGACCGCAGGCCTTACCTCCGGAGACAGAACATCGTGGACGGGGTTGCCCGATGGCTTCGGGCTGGCGGGAAAGGAAACTTGGAACAAGCTATGGCGGTATTATCGAGTTGGGTCGTGTGCTGCCGGGTGAACATCCATCAAACTGTGGCTTGTTTTCATGCGGCCAGGTCCTTGAACATGTGTAGGAGTTGAAGGTGATGACGAAGTTCGGAGCGGCAAGTCGTATCGTAATTACGAGTGTATTAACCCGCGTAACGAGAGCCACAAGCTGTCCAAGCTTTTCTTATTCACATCCGAGACTCGAACTTCTTTCCTCTTCATCTTCTCTTCATCACTCATTAACGCTCTTCACGATCCCCTTTCTTTTTTGCCTTGTCCTCATTGTGAAATTTGATATCATCCTGTCACTATATCCTTCAATTCGTTGTCATTCCTTCCTGTACCTGGTTCACCGGCAGGCTTGAAAGACAAGCTCCAAGGAGCTCTCAACACGCTTTTGTGGATTTTGTTCGGACGGTGTCGTAGCACGACGAAAGGCAGACATGTCTACTCCGAATGATCTTCAGGCCCTGCTGGCATCTATACGGCCACGCCCCTCTCCGAATCATGCGTCCGGACAAGAGTCTGCTCAGCAGCAGCAGCAGCAGCAGCAGCGGCCAGTTCAGCCTGGGTATGCGCAACCGCAATACCACCACCCTGGCATGTTTCCGCATCACCCTCAGTACCCACCCTTTGATGCTCGCGAATTGCCTCCTGCCATGCATCATCCGGAGATGCATCGGTACCAGGATCATGGTGTCCATGGATACCATCATCCATCTGTGGCATCGGCGGTTCAAAGTCCTTCGCCGATGAATCCGGTTAATACCCCCCCTCATCATGCATCCGATACTATTAGTCCGAACGTGCCCTCCCCTCGTCCCGATCATAATCAGTACCCGCAACCCAACCACTCCGATAGTGCTGCCAATCTGCTGAATCTTCTAAGATTCAGCCAGGGCTCTGGTGCTGCGATCCCGTCGCCGGCTGCCGCTATGGCCTCGGAACAATCGCGGTCTCCCCCGGTTCAAGAGGTAGCCTCATCTTTGCAGGGACGAAACACTTCCTCGTCAAACTTGATGGCTACTTTGTTTGGCGGTGCTCAGGCTCCTGCCCAGACTGCTGCGCCTGAGGTTGCGACTCCTGTCCAGGAAGATGGTGCTCCAAGCGATCAGACTCAGAACATGTTGCTGCGTCTGCTTAATCGATCCCAATTTGTCGACGAGGCTACGGAAGTCCCCCTCTCAGTCGCATCAAACCAGTCCAATCCTGAGGCATCTGTTGAGACGAAACCATCGGAGGCCAATGACATTCTGACGGAGCCTGTCGCTCCCTTTCTCGAGGCTGCGAAACCGGAAACGGTCGTATCTCCCTCTTCTAAGGAGTCAATGTTCACGTATGTCAATCCATTCGATCAGTTGGCTGCCATCTCGCCCGGCACTAGATCTCCCCAGCCCAAGTCGGACTACGAGCCCTCGGTTGTTGAAGATATGCAGAAGCTGGAGGTCAATCCTTCCGCTGATGAGGATGCTTCTCCGGCTATTGAATTCGTCGCAACCCAGAAGCCGAAGCGGAGCAAGTCACCGGTTCTTGAAGCAGGGCAGAAACAGGCTGTGAATGACGTTGTTAGTCGTCTCGTCAGCGAGATCGGACGTTCGCTCAGCAGTGGGGAAATCCAGGCTGAGAAGGCCGAGGTTGAAGCTGAAGTGGAAGCTGAAGTGGAAGCTGAAGCAGAAGCCGAAGCTCTCGCTGCCGAACCGACCGAAGCAGTGATCTCATCGATCGCTGACCGTCTGCGGGAGACAGTCATCGAGCCCAAAGAAGTCGCTGAAATGCCTCAATCGACTGAGCCTGAAAAGGGATCAGATGTCGAAGCCGCTACCACTGCTGATCATCAGACCCGGAATGAGAATGCCGAGGCTCTGGCTGACAGCTGGGAGAGCGCTGAAGACAGCGCAGAGAAGGAAGAAGTGCGTGTTGTGTCCGTTCGGAATTTCCCCTTACAGCCGTTCATCTCCGTAATTGTCAAACCGCAACCCGGGAAGATTGTGTCCTTCCGTGACGATGCCGTTATGGATATTGCCCGCCTGAAGAAGGATTTCGATCAGCTGGACCGCTCGTTGACTGCCGCCACATCTGATTATATCGTGTATGCGCTTGCTAAGACTGGCGGAATCCGGATCATTCGCCAGGACGATGGCAGTGACCGACAAGTCTTCCGGTCTACTCGGGACCGTGTCTTTAATGTCTCCTTGTGCTCGTCTCTCTCCGCGGTGGGCCAATCCGAAGTGCAGGCCATCCTCGGAATCGGTGTCAGCGGTGCTGTATACTGGTCTTTGATTTCACGGGAGGGCAAGGATCTGTTTGAGATGGATGCGCTGGAGAGTGAAAGCCTCATATTCCCGCCATTCCCTGCCTCGGACGAGAACACCTCTGGTGGTCAGCTGAAAACGCGGGCCAAACAGAGCAGTCGTCATGCGGATCTGATTGCTATTGGGCGGGGTAAGTGTATATATGTCGTTTCTCCCCAGGCTGCGATGAATGCCAGCTATGGTGTGTCTGGTGCCCAACGCACGGTGAACACGGAGAAGTTCTTCAAGGAACGTGCTCTGAAAATCTCCACTGGAAAAGCCGGAAAAGACTTTGCCTTCAGTGGTGATGACACTGTCATTGCGTCTCTAGACAAGACCGGCCGTCTGCGCTTCTGGGATATTCGTGACCTGCTGGACCGTGATAGCTTTGCTGAGGGACCGGTACCGAACGAGGTGCGTGTTCCTTTGAACACATTCGTGACTGGCTCCCCGGCAGAGAAATCCTGGCCTACATCAGTACTCTTCGTGGACAAGCTGCGTCCGTACACACGATCAAGTGCTCTTCGGTACGTTCTCGTGGGACTGAAGCAGAACCACACCTTGCAGCTCTGGGATATTGGGCTCGGCAAGGCTGTGGGAGAGGTGAATTTCCCTCATGAGAACGAATCCGATGCAATCTGCAGCGTGGTATTCCATGCCTCGTCGGGTATCATTGTAGTCGGACATCCCACCCGCAATTCGATCTATTTCGTGCATCTGTCGGCGCCAAGGTACAATCTGCCTGGTATGTCGCAGGCTGCCTTCATAAAGGCTGCGGGTGATAAGGAGAGCTCCCTGCCCAGGCCAGATTCGACTGCATGCCTCAGTGGTATTCGGGAAATCTCGCTTGGTTCCAAGGGTCAGCTAAGAAGCCTGGAGCTGCTCCCGTTATCCAAAACTGGTACGGAGAAGCGCGCGCCGGAAGAAACTGATCTCTTTGAGTTGTATGTGATGCACTCGCGTGGAGTGACGTGCCTGAACATCAAGAGAGATGATTTGGGTTGGACGTCAGACAACAAAGTAATTTCTCCGATCGATGCCTTGGAGGAAGGTTCCATTGAAGTCCGTGAACTTCAGTCTTTCCCGCCGTCTTTGACTGAAGACCCCTCCGTCAACGGTGATACTCCATCTCCCACGACACGTACTCCCAAGGACACTGCGAAGAAAAATGACATCGCCGACTCCACTGGTCTTGTTTCCTCCTCTCGCAACATCTCATCGTCTCGCAACCCTTCTCCGGTCAAAATTTCCTCAAAGAAAAAGCCTGTTGACGAACAATCTGAACCTGCTGCCCTTCCTCACAGCACTGAAAAGCTTGACAAGAAGAAGAAAAAGAAGGCTCCAGCCGACGCCGTCAAACTCAAAGACCCTACTTCTACAGCTGGTGTTGAACCCCTTCCCCTCCCCTCCTCCAAAGAACTTGAAACTCTTACCGCTTCTACCGCCACCATGAGCAACTCCCATGCCCATGAAATGGCGTCCTCCAACCACCTTGATGGCGCTTATCCTACTGTCGGTCAAGTTACCGAGGAACAAATGGCCCAGCAATTGAAGGAACAATTCGAGAATTCTCGCGGTGAGTTCATGAAGGACATGGACAATATTTTCGGTTCTGGAATGGAACGCCTCTTCGCGCGGTTCGACGATGAACGTCACCATTGGGATAGTGCTTCAAACGTCAAGCAGGAGAACCTTCTTCGTCTTGTTTCAGACAAGCTGAGTTCCGATCTTGAGAAGAATTTCCGACGCATGTTCCAAGAGGCCATCACAGACGATGTTACCCCTGCTGTTGATCAGACAATCCATCGTGCAATCTCCCGAGTTCTGGAGACCAATATGCTCCACCATCTACCGAAGGTCTTGAGGGAGCAACTTCACCAGATCATGCCCCGCATGATCGAATCAACTGTCGAAAACCCCGCTCTGGTTGACGCGGTGGCCAGCCGTATGGTGAAGATGCTCGAGGGGCACGTCCAGAAGGGAGTTACCCTCGCCGTCTCGCATTCTTTCATGCCATTCATGGAGGAATTCGCGAAGCGAAGCAAGCAGGCTTCTGATGAAGCTGAAGCCAGAATCAAGATCTTGGAGGAGGCACGTGAGAAAGATCGTGTGACCGCCAACATCACCCTGGCCAAACTTGAGCAGATGGAGAATGCAATGCGTGCCATGGTCGCACACATGGGTCAATTGACTGCCAACAACCTCCCAACTACCAACACCGGCCCCTCGAATATTGCCCCAGCAGCAAAAGTTCCTGCCCAGGCACCGGTCCAGGCACCGGTCCAGTCTTCTTCCCCCGTTCGGGATCCTCGCCTGTTAAATCGGCCAGAGCGTTCCTCTTCGGCTCTGGCGAGTCCCTCAATTCCAGCTCTCTCGGAGGAGCTTGCAGATATTGACCAGATGCTTTCGGGGCCCCAACCCCAGTATCATGAAGCCATCGTCAAGGTAGGATACTTATATATCAAACCCATGCTTTTCTTGACTCGTTTCTAAATTTTTCACAGTGGCTGCAATCCGCACGACAGGCAGAAATTTTCGACAACTACTTCTGCCAAACGAATCCCTCGTTCCTGGCTCAGCTCCCGGCAATTGTCGTCCTCTCTGCTGGTGTGGCCGTGACCGCTTCTCTGCAGCAGAACATCTCTGCTCGCCTCCACTGGCTCGAAGTGAGTCTGCGCAACGTGGACCTGCAGGTATGTTCTTCTTTTTCTCTCTTTTCCTCCCCGTCCTTCCCTAGAATTAGTTCGTCGTGCTAACTTTTCCTTAAAGGATCCGGAAGTGGGTGCAGTGGCGGCTCAGATCTTGAGCTTGTTGAGCAACCGGCTCGGCGAGCTGTACAACGCGGTTCACAGCCGCAACCCCTCGTCCAGCCTGCTGCAGCAGATCGTCCCGTTGTCCCGGGCTTTGCAGGACATGTACCGCCGAGTCCCCGCCAACTGAGCGGGTTAGTAGGTGTGTTCCTTGTATGTGAGATATGTGTCTCTGAGTTCCTGTGTGCCGTGCTCTGTATTTCTTCTCTTCTTCCTGAGGCGAAGGAGATGAATTCTTTGAATCAAAATTACAAAATTAGTGAGAGTTTAGACAAACCAACTAAATTTCTCCAAAACTTCGAGTCCACTCCTAAACTTGACTAGATAGTCATTTTGCCACTTAATTACTCCCCCTTGCACTCTTTCATTGCTACCACCTTTCTTTCTGTTCCCTCCTATCCTAATACTGTCGTACGTCCCGATCACACAAATTTCTCGAACAGCACCCACTGTACATACCCTCCTTACTCCAGCTTTTCTTTATCTCATCATACTATTATTGTTGCTATGAGTGATATGTCCATGCATCCACCTCCATGACAACCATGGCCACTTTGCACGACTTGAGGCCAGGAGAATAACGGTCTGACTTAATGTAACATGAGACCACCAGCTCTCAGATATTTCAAGACAGCATGGAATCTGACTGGCGCTCTCTGATTGTTGATATTAGACATCTTCTTGCCGAGCAATGCAACAATAGGGCTTTATACCAAAGAAGACATGCTGCTGGGCACAGTATATCGTCCTTCATCTGCTACTCCATTTCTGGCTGTTCACATGTACATGTAAAGAAGTATACCTTCGGAAAGTTGATACAACAGCCACTCTTAGTGGTCGAGCACCTCCCCTATAGAAAAAGGTGAATAAGTAAGATGTCGGTACATTATATTTCAAGTGTCCAAATGTCGCACTTCTCGATTTGTCTACCATACTAAGAATTCCAATTCAATTCATACAGTGGCTTGAACATTCTCGTCTCTTTCCTAACTCGGCTAGGCCCTTCTTTCTGTTTGTAAAGTATCTCATGATTCAAAAAAAAATCAAGCACATAAATAAAAAAGACTTGTTGCTAGCAAAAAGTTAACTTCAAGGTCTTGCCCGGGATCGAACCGGGATCGGTGGAATCAGAATCCACAGTGATGACCATTACACTACAAAACCCTTGCTTGGAGAAATCGATCCACATAGTACCGCTATAAACCTACAAATAACAACTGCCATAAACTATTAAAATCTCGTCAACCAAACCTTGATGATCGACTTCAAATGCTATAACTCGACCACCATAGCTGCCCAATCGTGAAATTTTTTACATCCCCGACTAGTGCTTTTTTTTGGTCTCTCTAGACATATACAGCTATGGAGATGGCCATGGGTTCCATGGTTCTGGCTAGGGAATAGATGATATTCTTTGGAAGTCTGGAGTCTTCCTATACAAAAATCCACTGGCTATCTAGATGACAAGAAGTATATGCAACTTTCAAGGCCATGAATAAACAGAAAAGACAAGTAACAATGCACTGGAATGGGGCAGCGACGTGAGTCGACTGCCCCTTCCGGATAAACAACATATACAAAGAGTGACAAGGGGTCAAATAACAAGGTAAAATCAGAAAGTATCTTCGGAGAAGAAGGAAAGGTGATCCTTTCCTATAACAAGAACACTCTGCGCAAGAAGCTGACAGGCAGCGTAGCTTAGGACAAAGTCTCCTGTGGGCCATTTTTATCAACAATGTGTCAACAAGGTATGTCTACCAGAATGGCTAAGGGGAAGCAGACGCATCGTTCTGCCTTCTGCCCGCATTTGGCGTTGGCTCGTGAATGACCAGGTTGACAGGTCTCTCTGGTTCATCGGTTTGTCCAACACCAGGATTGGCTTGGGAAGGCGATGGAGGAGGAATCTTTGAACGACCAAGACGGAACAATGGTGGAGTGGGCGAAGAATACTGTCGGCGCCTGCGGCTTCGGAAGCTCGAAGAGTCATTCTCAATGGGTGTGGCAGTGCTGTGAGTACGCCGAATTGCTTCGATGGGTACAGAATTAGTTTCCGTGGTACTACTCGCAGTAATGGCGGTTGAGAGGGTGCGGGGAAGATGGTAACCGGCTTTGCCGACCGGAACGGATAGTCCATGTACGATCTGGAATAGTTGTTAGGCTGAAGTCTTTCAAGTTTCGTCCATCAAGATATACTCACAATGCTGCAAATAGCAAGGAACCACACCACAATGGAGGCAGTATCTGCCACCTTTTGTGCATCTTCTCGCACTTGACCATCAACTGTGATCTCCAACAGGAACTCTCGACAGATCGATAGATAAAAGATGGCACCAACGCCAATCGGGCCGAAGAATCCCACGAAGGCGGCGTGAGAAAGATCTTCGATCTGGTGGATGTATTTATGCATGGCGAATATGATCGGCATCCGACGAACAAGGAGAATGAGAATCCCCAAAAAGATGAGCCGATAGATGGGGATGATATCATTGTGCAAGAATGAATACCACGGGCAAACCGCACCAAACCACATGAACATAGACAGATTGAGAAGCATATCAATGGTTGGTTGAAGAGAGTCATCTATCGTTTCGAGGCGGAACCAATCACTAAATCGGTCAGTTATGGTATCTAGTACTTCCGATTCAAAGGGACTCACTCGTGAGTAAACACATTTCCGGCGATGAAGCATGCCAGAAGATCATCGGTACCAATAAGCCCACATGTTCCAACAATGAAGAGCTAGATTCGTGATTAGATTCAAGGCCGCTCTAAAGCTCCATGTTGCAACTTACAGCAAGGGAAACAGCAAACACCAGAAAACTCTCCCGGTCAACATAGTGCTTCTCTTCAGCCCAGTGGAGTAACTTTCTCGATAACCAACCAACGACAGCTCCATAGATAATACTCAAGATGATGGTGTACACCCAAGTCTCATAGAACCACAAAGCCATGGCTTTTCCTGCCCCACCGCTATATCCCTGACCACCCATACCGGTGTATTTGAGAAGATAGATGCCAAAGAAAAGGAATGGGTAGCCCAGACCATCATTGGCACCAGATTCAGCGACAATAATCCGCTGCAGGGGGCGTGGGACATGCTTGTCCGCAAACTTGCCCTTGACAATGGAATTGGACAGAACAGGATCTGTCGGGGTCACACATGCTGCCACAATCAGAGCATGGAGGAAACTAAAATTCGGAACCATGGCCCAAACGATCAGACTGCTACAAATCCACATGGCCGCCATGCCAGGGCCAAGCAGCAGAGACAAACTCCGCCATTCAATCTGCAGGTAGCGTTTAGGAAGCTGGACACCGGCCAAGACTAGCTGCACGCCCAGCACCAGCCGGGTAAAGTGCATAGTAATTTCCGCGAGGTTTGCCGCGGAGTGTAACGCATAGTCCTCGGGCCTGATAAAATTGGCTGCATGAGGTGAAAATAAGACTCCGGCTAGCAATGAGATCACTGGCGGCACGGTTAGTGACTGCACGATCTGCGGTGAGGGGGTCCACCTACATGCTTCCGAGAGATAGAATCGCTCCTTGCATAGATATGACACCAGGCCGAAGAGGGATACAAAGCCTCCAAGCGTAGCACAGACGATATTGAAATTGATCAATGCAAGAGTCGGCATTTTGCCGGTGGCGGGGTCACAGTCGGATAGCCGATCCGACGATCTGGGACCTGCAAACTGAGATCTTAAGATCTAGGGATCTAACGTTCTTGAGTCGCCGGGGTTTCAGGAGATGCCAAAATAATATTTAAAAGAGATGTATTCCAAGTAACAAGAAGCAAATGTTATCGAATCGTAATTTGAACGCGCTTGATGTAATACAAGGCGACCATCTGGGAGACGAGGAACGACCAGAGAAGAATCACAGTGGCAGCTCAAGGATCTAAGACCCTGCAATGTTTGCGATGCAGTGATGTTTGCGATGTTGCGATGTTGCGGGAGGAGAAATCTGGAATTACGGAAAGAGAAAGATGTGGGGAAGAATCTTGGAAGCGGACTTGGCATCTTCTTTACGGAGTACACGCGTACGTCAACATCGAACACAAGGACCAATATTGCTCATTAATTGGAATGTTTTTAGAAATCATCATCAGATACCTCGTCAGGCATATCTCGACTTTTTTCCAAGGCTTCGGCCTTCTGTCTAACACCCTCATGCGCTCCCTTCACCGCTAATCGATCAGCGGCCTCATTTCCGGGGTCTTGGGCATGTCCCTTGATCCATTGAAACAAGGTCTTGACTTTTAGTTCCTGACGTTCCTCAATCTTCACGAGAATCGACTCAACCAGGTCTCGGTTTTCGACGGGTTTTTTGTCTTTCGTCATCCAGTTATTCCGACGCCAATTAATGAACCAAACAGTGACACAGTCAATTGCATATCTACTGTCGGTGAAAATGGTTACGTCTCGGTGGCGAGGCGCAATGTCAATCGCTCGTAGAATCGCTGTCAATTCTGCCCGTTGATTTGTCTGGCGATTCCCCTTGAGCGGCTCCGACACGTTCCTACTAGGATGACAAAATGTAAATCAGGACTGATGACAGGGAATAGACGGATTGGCAGACAAACCTTGAATCTCCAGGTCCGAAAAAGACTCCAACCCCAGCAGATGCTAATGGTGTTCCATTTCGCAAGGAACTTCCATCAGTGTATATCCGTAGCATCCCCGGTATCCCCGCTGCTTGTGTCTTGGTAGCAGCCTTTTCAGGTGCAGTCTTGTAGATGACCTTCCCAGTGGTGGAATCCAGCAGCACATTGGGATCAAAGCCATCCTCCGCGCCTGGCGGTAAAGGACCCTCCCCGGGCGCATACTCGACGCCTTCTGCGTTTTTGGGATTCTCGCCCCGGATACCATGCGGTCCAGTGGGTTTCTTTGCACTACCAAAGACAACTGCAGGTTGCGCCTGTCCTTCTCTCACAAACTCCTCGGCCTCCTCCCGCGTCGAGAATTTGCGATATCGCGGGCGCGTAAACCCTTGGATCTGCTCCTGTGCTTTCGACCAATCCGTGTACACCCCAGGAACGCGGCCTCGCTGTATCCCATAATATCTTTCGGCGCCCTCCGCACCGCCACGGGACGGAGGCTTTGCACCATTCAAGAATGCGGTGGCATCTTCATGGCTTAAAAACGATTGAACTAGAGCACAGGAACGAATTAGTATTCGGACAAGCCTGTGATTTTGGAATGAGCTCGGAGCTGCCAAGGGAGCACTCACAAATAGCTCCCTTAAACCCTGTTATTTGAGCCAAACACTCTGGCCATCCATAGTAAATGCCCGGCTTGAAGCCTGCCTTGACAGCATAGTATTTTGCGGCGGGGACTCTTTTGCGCTTGATCCCTGCGGCGGGAGGTGTGGATTTCGGGGCTGGCGAAGCTTTCGGTCCGGGCGCCGGACTGGGGGATGGTGTGGCACCCTTCATGGAGTTGACGTAGTAATAGGTCGAGTAGGAGGATCGCGAGGTTTCAGAGGTTGAATGAGTATAAAGGGAGGTATTTGGGAGTTTCTTATCGGAGCTTGACGTCTGCAAATCTGCACGGGTTATCCAGCGTCGCGGAGTGAAACGCGAACGCGGCCGATAACTCAAAACCGACCACGACCCCAACTTCGGAGCCGAGGACGAAATATGCCGGTGAATTGTGGATTCCCCGAATAACCACGGGGTGAGCGACAAGCTTTTCGTATGAGGCAAGCAACGTTGAGGAATTTGACTCAGACAGGGTTGAGATGAAGAGGGGGATCTAGGGAGGGGGCCTTGCCTGATTGGGACAGGGATCGTGAAACTTGACTTTTGGATTTCTATATTGATGCAATGGACCCGCGATGCTAGCTATAAGCGTAATTTAATCAGTATTTCAGTGCTATTTTCAACCTTCTGAGGTTTCAACAACGGTATAACAGGGAGTTTGCGAATAGGTACGTATGGACATGGGTCGAACAGGACTCGCTGAGGATATACTAGGATTGAGGACCACAGTATCAACAGCATTGTTTCAAATTTGACAATCTTAGACTAGTGAGCCTTTCCGAATATCTGCGGGGGTGCTTCTTTTTGGATCCATTGGGCCATTTTCATCATTATATGCTCTGATTGAGTCGGTTCATAACGGACTTGACCTCTTGCTGGACACTCTTGACCAGATTAGCCACAGACAACTCTTCTTTGATCACACCAATACTTGCACCACTGAGTAATTTTTTTTTGGTCAGTGTAAGCCATGCGTGAATGCCATCTCATGGGTTCCAAGAGAACTTACGCCCATACCGTCCGCCGATCATCCTCTCCGTTCTTCATGGCATCCTTGTAACGCTGAATGATGTCCTCGTCGCTAGCACCCGATTTAGATTCATCATAGCTGATTCCAATAACAGCTCTGCCGTCATATTGCCTGGGGAAAACATCGGTTGACTGGAAAACGTCATGCCGAATGGATTTGATGGTCGAAGCAGCGCCGTCACTGCCAGACAGGATCGCCTTTTTGATAAGAGATGGGGCTGCACATTCCTCAGTAGCGACGAACTAAATCTTGTAAGCACGCTGTGCTGGTTAAGGAGGGGTATCGGATGTCTCACTCTAGTGCCCATAACGACTCCATCGGCGCCTATGGTCAAGAAAACATCGTTAGATAATCACTTCATATACTTGAACTTCAATAACTCACCAAGTCCAAGTGCTGCAACACAGCCCCTGCCATCTACAATACCACCAGCTGCCAAGACTGCAGTGTGGGATGCAGCACCGGTTTCTGCAAGGGTGTCGCGTACCTCGGGCAAAAGCGAGATCAGGCTAGCCCCCTGTGCCCATTGATGCCCTCCGGCATCAGAACCTTGCACAACGACAACATCGGCACCTTGCTTGACAGCCTCCGTAGCTGCCTGAACGGTTCCTGTCTGCACGAATATTTTAACATTCCAGTCGCTCTTTGTCCGGACCTGGTGAATCCCTTCTATGATGGGCAGATGATCTGCGTCGGCTTCGGGGAAAGATAGCCAGACTGCCGCTAGTCGATGTCTCTGAAGTAGTGGAATCACATTATCAATAAATCCCGAGGGCTTGAATGTAATGAATCCGACGCCAATGGGTAGATTGTTGGAGGAGATAGCTCCAACCTCTGCGCGAGCTTTCTCCAACTGGTCGTTGAGCTTCGTGAGTTGGCTTGACTCTGTAGTAAAGTCAAACCCTCCGCCGATAAAGCCTATTGGATCATCCGCCAATTACTCGTTAGTGAGGGGCGTTAGGTCTACCACCAAATCGATGACTTTAGGTCGAGCGGAGCACAAACTCGAATCCAGCTGGGAGGAAATTTGTCCACATACCGAGACCACCGGCCTTGGTCACTGCAGCTGCCAGGGAATAATCCGCAAACCCGAACATGGGCGCATTGGCGATGAATGGAGATGTCGTATGGGGAAACCATGTTTGGAGGAGGTGCTTTGACTGGGCCATGGCTATCAGTCGTGTTGTTCCTGTGTGGTATTATTGGATCAAAACTGGTTATTTCACATAGGCCAGAGAACTTGATTGATAGCTTGGGATTTAGAGCAGAAGTCCTCGAGATGAGCTCGCAGGTAGCTACGAGGTGATGTAAGATGTGCGAAAGTCTGGAAATGGGGCCCGAATATATAGCCCCGCATTAAGCTATAAATCATGTACTGTCCAGACGGTAATATGCGCCAGGAGTAGCGGCTGGCTTTCTTGGGTTCTTTTTTTGTCTTGTATGAAATTCATGGAAGCGCCTACTAATAAAGCTATTCTAGGGTACATTAAGTTAATTGGTCTATGGTTGTTTATCTGGTATTGTTGGTGGTGAATTGCACCGGGTTTAGCGGCCGGTTTTTCTTGGCAACGAATTCTCACTGTTTCTGTGCGCCTTTACTATATGAACTGGATGGCGACTTTTCCCTTCCATCGCTGCTCGGAAAAATTGGTGTTGTCGTTCTTCTCCAGTTCGGGACCTCCAATGTCATTTACTGTTGCCATTGTTTCCTCCCAGGCCAAAAATCGAAACTCTCCTCATCCTTGCCACCCTTCAAAACTTCAGGCTCAAGCTCGTCATCATTGTCGGTTTCGTAGGTTAGGTCATCACGTATAATTCGCTGCCAAGTGACTTGGAATACAGCCTTCCACTCGGCCTCTCGGAAGTCATACGGCCAACCATATTGCTCCTGGAGGACCTTCTAGATTCTGGGGTACTGTAGAGGTGAATATTGGACCATGTTTTTATGTGAAAAAGGTGATGACCTACTACATCGTGAAAACGTTTCTTCTCAGTAAATAGGTCACGAGGATATCTGATCATGCTAGGGAGGATCGCAAGTGACCTGACTTGTTGAAGATAAGATGATGTGGATGACACTTTCGATAGTCATCGTCGAGAGGTGGGTTGTGAAAGCTCCATATTCGTATTGTGTCCTTAAGATATGTAAGTCATGACCCTCCATAGATAATGAATATACCTACTTTCTCTTGTATCGAGAATCACATGGATACCCTCATCCATTGAACAAGTTAAGGCTATCTCGTGGGGGACAAGAAAGTCTGACCGGGGTTCGTCAAACTCAAACCGATCCGGATCGCGACCTCCACGGAACTCATAGTCCTCGAGATAGTCAAATGCTCTTGAGTAAGGGTGAATAAACTCGATATCGCCAGATATCCCTGAGAACTGGAAGTATGGTAGTCGCTTCATCAGCGAGATCACAACAGGGTCGAGATGAAGCTTCTCGCATAGGGCCTGGTTAATGTTGTGACCTTCCTGCGGAGCCCAGGATACCTCCCAAACCGAAAGTACGTTTAGTTGCAGATAGACGTGGTAAATGTCACTGATGATGCTGACAATTGTATGCTCGCTATTGGGGAGGCGAGCCACGTGAAAGTCAGCAGTCATATCTTGTACTTCAGTGAGATCTTCTTGTGGACCGGTAGTCATTATTAGGCGTGGGACTTCTCTTTCGCGATTATGATTCCATTGCCAGTGAGCTCCAAGTATTGCCGCAACGATGACCGTACAAATTACTTGAGTAGTAAGAGTAGTAACAAAGAGTCTCGGATATTTGGTGATAATAGTTCGGCTATCTGGAGGCGAAGGAGCAACTGGGGAGTCTTCATCCATTTCAGGCGGAAGCGATTGCGGGGGTTGAGATGAAGACCTGCGCAGATGAAAGGCCACACTAAGAGATATAAAAGAAATCTGACGGTATCCAGGATGTGATTTCACCTGGAAATTCTCAATTGAACTATCACTACAAACACCCATAGACCACTGAGAAGTTTGGGCCATCTTCTCAGCCCCTTCTGACATTCAGTATGATCATGTTTCTACGGTAAAATCCAGTCATTCTTTTCTTTTTGCTGTTGGCTACGTATCTGGGTAGACTTTCGTCCAGCTTTCGGGTGTAGGTCGCCGGCATCCTATCGCAAGTGAATATGTCATCTCAACATCTTCTTTCTACGCCTGGAACCCAGCGGTCAAGACTGACTGCACCGGCCTGCAAGCGGACAAATATGTCTGCGTTGCTGTGGCTTAATTGTCTAGGCGTCGTCCCAGGGTTGAAAGATGATACTAGTGAAAATACTACTTCAAGTTTTCTGTACTTATGAGCTGTGTCGTGTTCTCATTGGGGGCACCGAGGATACATATACATCACTTTTGAAAGAAGAATTAGAAGTTATTAGAAAGTAGTCGTGTTTCTTCTGATCTCAACTTTTAGAAACCCTTCGAAATTCCCAAATCCTTAAGCTCCTGGATCAGGACATGTGGCCGAGTATATTCAGGCTCGAAAATATCATGTAGAGTACCCATTCCCAGTTTGGGGAAGTTAGGTACATCTGACGTGGGAATTTCACCAGAGTCATAAAGAAAGTTCGTTACCTCATCTTTAAGAACAGCAATTCTCCCGGCATGCATCCGTTCCATCTCCATAGTGATTTTCACGGTCGGTCTTAGTGATTGATCGCGCTTAGTCCAATCAAGCTCATCTCGCATCCGCTCTAATAGCCCAGACCAGTCGTCGTTGGGAAGGTTGAGGGATCCTAGCTCAACATATTGAAGTGAAGATGATGCCGAATTCAGCAGATCAATCAAGTCTGATGTGTTGATACTCAACTTCGAAAGCCCAAAGTGATGAAGTTTTGGCCATTGCTGGATAGGGATCAACTCTTTTAAAGGGATAACTGGTTCTCCAGCTATACCGCCCTCTAATGCCGTTATTAAATGAAAGTACGTTAGATCCTTCGCCAAGCTAACAGCCTCGGAGAAGCATCCGCTCGTGAAACCTTCCTGATCATTATAAATCCAGCCATACCCAACTAGTAGAGATAGATAAAGATGACGAAAGCCTGGGCGTTTCATAATAGCAGCAAAATGGTTAGACTCTTCACACGGCTGAGCAAAAATCGTGTAGTTTATCCCAGTGGCGAGTGACTTTGAATCAAAGCATAATTCGGAGACATTATGGTTATCCATCGTGGATAGAACGCGAAGAGCAATCCTAACCCCTCTCCACATCTCCTTATACTCTTCTTTCGTCTCTAACCATAGCAAAGGCTCGAAAATGCCCCCTTCATTCGGATCAATTTGCCATCCCCGTGGAATAGGATAGTTAAAGCCATAAGGAAAGGCTCGGATGGTCGGTGTTTGATATAGCGGAGAGAAAGTACGGCCATGCGCTGCAGGCGTAACGGTCACCCGCATTAGCTGTGAGAATCGCTCTAAGCCATAAATGAAGGCTTTCTCATCATCCCGAGATTCGACCACAGCTTGTTGGTCCTTGATAACCCGCGAATAGTACTCCCAGCAGTCCTTTAGAGGCATCTATGCATCCACCTGCCGCTGGCGAGCTATATGGTCAGGCCTATCCACGTCGCGGTATTTTCGCACTTGTAAATTGCTGATATTTCCTTTACATTGCTTCGAGAACCACTTAGGACATCCTTCTCCGTCCTTCATTTCCAAGTCATTGCGATTTATGAACGGCTCAAAATCCTCCCAGGACACCGGAGCTAGAATAAAACGTGCGTCATCCCAAATAATTTCAGTGACCTGCTCTCTGAAAATTGGATGATTCGCTATAGAGCGAAAAACTTCGACATCTAGCGGATTGGCCGAGAGAAACACGCGCGGGAATGACAGTGGCGTCGTCTCGCCGAGTAGTTTGTTTACCAAGCGTAGGGATTTGAGATCTCGATTTGGTAAACATGATGCGACCAACAATAAAATCTCAGCAGGTAATTGAAGAAGACTGGGACTTTGTACAGCCATTGTAAGTTTGTATTTGGTGGGGGGAAGTGAAAATGAGAGATGCGCGGCGTGCGAGCGCGGGTGAATCCTCTATTAAATAGGCCTTTGGGACCTTAAGTACTCTGTACAGTGACAGTGTTCCATACGAAAACTTGCAAGTATCCACTTCAATAACACATTCATTGATGGATCCGCTAGGTTCCAAGCGATAGGATCAAAAACAGGGTCTCTTACATTACGCCTATGCTATTCCTATCTAGGCCTAGCCCCTTTAGGGTCCCGGAGATATGTTGATCCTGGATAGCAGAACTTAGCACGTATCGCTGGTACCTATGTGGGTTACCAAATTGGGTTCAGCGGCTAGTTTTCTTGTCTGCGAATTCTCGGTGCTTTGCTTTTCGTACTAGTAAGATATAGTTGAAGCTTTGATATCAATTGGCCGGATGGTGTAGTTGGTTATCACGTATCGTTAACACCGATAAGGTCCTGGGATCGAGCCCCAGTCTGGTCATTTTTTTGATTTTCTTTTTTTGTTGCCTGTTTGCCTTATCTTGCCTTTTGTTTGCCTTGTTGCCTTTTCGCTTCATTTGCCTTATTTGCCTTTTGTTTGCCTTTTTGCTTTCTGCACTTATCTATATGTTTACTTTGCCCTCAAATTTAGCTTTCGTATCGATGACCAAGTGTCATTTCATCATTTCTATCCCACTATGGCCAACCCTAGACCTTGTCCTGTCGAGAATGCTTGGAATGTAGATCCTCAACTGGAGCATCGACTCCGTAGTTCATAACACTCTTCACATCACCCAAGAAGATACAAGCAATGATAGCCACCAGGCCAAAGGGTGCTGCTATAATGAAGACAACCCTGATTCCATCCGCATATGCCTGCGTGAGGGCAATGACTCCCGCCTCGATGATGTGGGAATTAACGCCAGCCACCTTCTGGAGTGCCACAGTATCTTCGGAGGTCAGAGCCGTGACAAACCCAGCGAGAGAAGATTCTGGAAGTCCTGCATCAAGGGCAGCCTTGGCTGTGTTTGTAGGGATATATTTATCCAGGCGGCTTTTCATTGCTGCAGAAGCAACAGCCGTGAAGACCGCCACAGCAACAGCTCTTGAGCATGTAGTTGACGCTGTGGCGGTAGCAATAAGGTGGTGCGGAACAGAGAGTTGAACGCCTGCAATAATCAAAATGAGAGGTGCACCAAATCCGATACCCGCAACTGCACTGAATGCAAGGGAACTGAAATCATCACCGGGCTGGATGGTCGCCAATCCGACAAGACCACCTGTGAGGATCACAAATCCTGCGATCATGGGAAATCGGATAGTCCTAAATCTAACGCTTAAATACCCATATACCACAGTACTCAAAGCCGAAGCAATCCCATAAGGTTGTTGGCGGGCGGCCTGGAGGAAAGGGTCCTTTTCAAAGAGAGCTTTTGTTCTGGGAGGAAGATTTGTCAGTGTATCCAAGGTTTTTCTCTTGGAAGGAAGTATGTACTCACAGGACCGGATAAAAGATGACATAGGCGAAGAGGGATATACCCTCAACAAAGATCAAAGCAATGCAGATCCCAAAAGTACGGCCACTGTGGTTTGGACCACGGAAAAGATCATGATGGAGAATACCAGTCGTTGTAAATCGCCACTCATAAACACCAAACACCCCCAAAGTGAGAGTACCGATGATCAAGGTCGCTAGTACCGGGCCACTGACCCATGAGTATAGACCGCCGCCGAGATTCAGACCAGTTAACAACAGTGTTAGTCCTGCTGTAAGTAGAAAGAACCCAGGAAGATCAAGTCGGCCAAGCTTTTGCCAAAGCGACAGGTGATCTAAACGAGTGTGCCGCTTCGGTGGTCTGTAGCCAAGAAAAAGGCAGATTGCCGTCATTCCCCAGAGAGCCATCTGAATCCACTATATAAACTGTCAGATAAATTGATTCTGTGCAGCGGATGGGCCCGATCTCACGTAAAAGTTACGCCAGCCGGTGTGCGGGTTCTTCTTGGTCAACGACCCGAAAATCAAAGGCGCCACGCAACCGCCTAGGGACGCCGCAATATTCATGAAAGCTTGGATCACTGCATAGTGCATTAGTGTTTTGATAAGAACACTGTGTTTTCATATTGCAAGCCTACTCGGTCGCCACTTTCGTGGAACAATCTCACTGGGTATACAGTATGCCAAGGGGACCGTAGCAAATCCGAAACCGATCAGGACTTGAGCTGCGATCAGACGATATATATTGCTTGAACCAGGGGCGATTGCACAGCCAATGAATGATATGATAGCTGGGCCAACAAGCAGTGCCTTGCGGGCTTGAAAGGTATCCGACGCGGAGGAGATGAGAGGGGCGAATACGGCCTGGACAAGCGATAACGAGTTCGGCACCCATGTACCACTGACTATATTGTTGAGACCTTCTTCGATGTAGGTCAGCTTTGAGAGATGAGCAGTTAGTATCTCAATGTCAAATGTTCCAGGCTAAAGTGATTGGCATACACCAAATGGAGGCCCCAAAAGACCAAAGACTTGGACGAGATTGAGAAAGAACATGGCAGCCAATGCAATGTACGTTTGGACATGAAGCTCTGGCTCCTCATCCTCCTCATACATGAGATTTCCATCGGAAGAGACTTGTGATTGTTCAACATGCTCGGACTTCTTCACATCTTTTTCCTGGGCCAAGGGCTCAGGGCCATCATGGTCCACGATGGGAGGCATCTGAAATTGAACAACTTTCAAGATGGAAATAGGCACAGAAAAAAAAATATCAAATTATCTTCAAATAGAGAAGAAATGTGTCACTGCTTTATACCTTATACCCCGGATTTAGAGCTGTCCAGACCCAATAACCTTGGAATACGGGGCCCCGCGTTGTGTCCATGTCCCCACAAGCCATTGATTGTAACCGCTACTAGAAGTGAGACTAGCCCAGAAATGCGGGGCTTATTAGCGTTCAATAATCACTTGTATTGTTTACCAGGTAGAAGTGGCTTTTCTTCTACGAAAGGCGAAGATAGCAGATCGGAGAAAGTGTCAAGCAGCAAAACCAATGCGACTGTTCACATTCCATCCCTCATCAGACCTATTCGATACTGCGTGTTGCTTGTATATTTTCTTGGGCTATCACGAAGGAGTCGGCCTGCTCAGGACAGGATGATAAGGCCTCACCCAGAAGAGGTAGTAGATAGCTATGAACGTTACTGGTAACCGTGGCAAGTATATCCTGATATTTGTAAGCCCGGTTTCCCGGTCTAATTCAAGTCTTTTTCTCGGTCACATCGCTCTGTCTAGAGTGGTGTGGCTTGCAAGAGCTTACAAATGGACACATCATCGATTAAATTGGGATGAAAAAGTAGCATTTGCAATTGAACCGCGAAGCACTTTGGGTGGAAGATGGTCCATAGATCCTGAGGGTTTTAAACTCAGCATAGTCTCCACATTCCTAATAGTCTCCACATGTTTTAATCCATTTAATCCATCTGAGGAGTCTTGACGTACTTTCCAGGTTTCCGAATTTGCTGTACTTTACCAATAGTAATTTTCTGCAATAAATTGGAAATATATCAAGATTATCGTATGAAGGAGGTATGAATGGGTGTTCGTATATAGAACATAACGAATTGTGGGGATGCTCTGTGGTCCCGCCAACAAACCTAATTAAAGTTAACCCCGCTCTATATCCACTCGTGAACTTTAGAGATAGAACTCAGGTTCTACCTAAGAAGCATCGGAAGGGGTTCACTCGCAATATTCAACTCATAGACCGGATACTAATAGCATAGATGAGGAATCCGAAGTAGGCAGTAGGTAGGCTGATGAGATAAGAACGTCAGACTTTGGCTGTACCATAATCTCGAGAGTGATAGTACATCTAGTGTGATGCTAATAACAGCATTACAACATCAAAGACGATCATGGCAACTGATGCGTCTCTCCCATCAACTCTGCCTGTTAACACCATCAGAATGCCAACAGTGTCATCACAGTCGATAAGATCTGTGCCATCCACTCTGCCCAAAAACCTCATTCTTCCCGTGTTGAGCTCTACAAAGCGTCTCTGTGTCGCGGCAGATGAGGTTCTCACATCTTGCAAAGCAAAAAAGCACACATCAGTGGCTTTTTGTCCTTGGACTACCCAAAGAAACACAGGCGCCTTACTAGGTACACCTCCAAAGCGGCGGATGAGGTTACTTTGAGGGTTATCAAATGTACACTGTATTGATTTTGGAGATTATAAATTTCTCTCAACTCTTTTCATATTTATGATCGTCGGGATTAAAGACAGACGTTATCAGCCAGCAGAGCAGTGGTTGCTCTCTTACATCCTGTATCTAATTGTTTTTGGTCGGATTGGATATCACCTTCTTTACCGGGCTGTGTTGGGACCACTCTTGGCGATGCTGGAGTATCTGTCGGTAGCGTACTTTGCCAAATGTTGCTTCCGATCTCAGTCGCTTCTTGCCAGATTCTCATCTTCATCATATAGATAGTACTTCATGAAACCTGTTTCCCAAACTATAGACAGCCTTTTGGAATAATAGAATATCATGCGAGGCCGAGGTGGATACCCCTAATCTTCCGTTCTTGCCATCTATTGATATACCACGGACCTGTCTGTATTGACTGGTGTAAGGTGCACATGGAGTGGGCCTTTCTGCCAGAACAGATAAATATATTGCCTCTCCATCCATCCCTTGCTATCCTCTGCGATTTTCATATCGAAATTGAATATCACTCGCGCCAGAATCATCCGCATTTCGGCATATGCCAGACTATAACATTGAAGTTAATCGAAGGTTGACACAAATGTGAGGCAAGCCAACGTACTTTCTTCCCAGGCAGTTTCGAGGTCCGACATTGAATGGTTGAAGGATTTCAAAATTGTCATCTTTATACCGGGGGTCCCCTAAGAAGCGTTCTGGACGATAGAGACTTGGGTCTGTGAAATGCTTTTCATTATGATACAATGCCCAGTGATGCAGTGCAACAATTGTCTGTGATACATGTCAGTAATTCGTAATTTGAAAACCTTGATTTCCAGCACTTACACGTTGAGGCACAAACCGTCCGAGAATAGTACGACCACCTGCAGGTGTGACCCGAGGTAACCCAGCCGGCACAGGTGGATAGACTCGTAAAGCTTCATTTAAGCAGGCTAGCATGTAGGTCAATTGATTGACCGAGGTCATGGTGATTTCTTGTTCACTCTGGAATGCGGACCGAACCTCCACAGTAAGTCTCTGAAGGGCTACAGGATTCGACAGGAGAAGGTAAGTCACCCCGGCAAGGAGGGTGGCAGTTGTCTCAGAGCCCCCGATGATCAAAATGTTGCCATTGGACTGGAGATTTTCGAGACTGAGATTCTAAGGGCTGTCAGCTACAGGAGCACCAGACATCCATGAAGCATTAGACTGACCATTTCTTTCCTTTTGCTAAGTAGTCCCTCAATTAGATCAGATCTCTCATTACCAGGTTCCATCCGTCTCTGCAGTTTTGCCATGGACAATTTCGTTTGTCGTATAAACCGGGATAGCGCAGATCTCGGGACCACCGCCCAAAACAGCTTGTTGAGTAGTGGATAGAATCTCATGGTTTGCCATATCGTCCCCCCGCGAGCCGATTCAAATATCAGGTGGACATAGGGATGATACTCTGAATTCTGAAGACAACCAAAGGGCTCCCCGAAGGCGAGATCCCCAATGATATCAAAGGTTGTCCAATTGTACCACGCAGTAAGATCAACCGCTTTTTTCCCTGCGGCACAGTTCTCATGAAGCCGCTGGATGAACAGGTCAATATACAGCTGAATCAGGGGTTCCTGTTCTCGCATCGACTTTTCAGAAAAGCCATGTGCAAGCTGACGCCTCAGGATACTGTGTTCCTCGCGCTCGGCATTGACAATGTTCACCGGCGATCCTTTCACAGGCCGATAGAAATTTTGAGATTTCGCAAATTCTTCGACACCTGGACGATGGCCCATAATATCTCTCCAGGCGGTGGCGTTGGAGAAAGCTAGTTCGTCTGGCCCAATGCGTACCACATCGCCGTACTTCTCGTGGAGATAAAGCACATCATATGGCATGGTACCTCGTAACAGCTTCCAGCAGTATGGAATGCGGGACATACCGTGCAGAATTGGCCCAGGAAAGGACCGAAGCGGGTGAAATAACACATTGTAAAGTGCTCTACCCACAGCGTGAGCCAGGACCTGAAGTGGTATGATTAGAGTTTTTGAAGGGTTATGATTAAGGGCTATCTTAACTCACGATGGTGAATAGAGCAGCGGCTACCCAACTGGGGCTTTGGAGCCCAGATTGGAGAAAGCTCATCGAAGCCATGCCGATGCAGAGGGATGGGTGAAGGAAGGTTGAATTGATTGTTTCACGGGCCACCACCTCAGCCATGAGCGGGAGAAAACCGTAACCCTTGACGATATACAGTCGACAAACATTTCTAGCTGCGCACGCTAAATTTTACAGTCGTAATACTTTTGATGTTTAGTGGTCATTGGCCCGGAAATGAAGTGCACAACGTGTGGCGTTTTATTCACATTCGTATCACACGTCCAATAAGGGGATGTTACTCCAGGGAATTACTTTGTTAATTGGACACTAGTAGTCGAGTCAAATCTCAAACGCGAAAACGAGAGCGAAAGCGAAAGGATAAAGACAAAATTGGAAGGATTTAAGTATTTCCAGATGATTAAGGAGCCCTGGAACCCTTCACGTCATAAGTGGGGACATCGACAGTGGCAGATCTGTGGAGTATCGAACCAGCCCCGAAACCAAACTCTCCATAGTAACCAATCCATCTGCTGGAAAGTGAAAAGGCACGAACATATTGATGGACATAAGACGAATTCCAAAGCAAAAGCCAAGTCAAATCATTTTGATTGATTTGAGTTGCTTTGATTAAATAATCATCCACGTGAGCTGTTCACGGGCCTCTTCACTTTGGTGACATAATGTGTTGTGCGCCTTCACGATTGCAACCTTCTCTGCAATACTGCTGCACCTGGTCTAAAACAAGACAGTATGTTCGAGGTGGGCTTTAATTATGTCCTGGGCCTCACGGTCATTCCTATTAACTCTAAATAGCGTCGAGCTGCGGATCGATACCATCTGCGAATGCACCGTGCCCGCTCGGCGGTGCTGACTTCAGATGAGATTGTTGAGGTGCGCGCAGCTCAACGAACCTTCGAAGGTGCCTATGTCCGAACCGCTCTCTCTCAGTTCTCCTTTGCCCTCGTCGTACTTAAGATTTTCACCGCCGAATTCTACAGTATCGGCGCGCTATTCGCCATTTACGGGACCGGAGTCTTGATCATTGGACTGTTTCGCCGCTCTCAGGGTAATCGCCAGTTCTTTTCGGAGCTCGGAGAAGATGGTATTCATCGTCATAAATTCCGGACCAGTGGAAATGCGGTGGTGGTCTTGACCGCACTGAGTATTGCGGCATACGTGTGCTTGATCGGTCTGACACTTACTCTGCAAAACTGATAACGGAGGCATCCGAGGGATGTGGAACCAACCACTTCCTCGCCAAATATTCCCGCTATCTTGTCCTTGGGCAATGTGTGTTACCCCCTGCGTGGCCGCCAAGCGCTAAGGATTCTGTGTCACCGTCGAGACAACTCATCACCTGTCGGGGGTACCGGGGACCGGCAGCGGGACGATCACCGTGAGGCAGCCGGAGCATGCGGTTGGTCGGAAAGCAATCTGTAATATTGTGGCTCGGGAACCGCCAAGAAAGCCGAGTATGCTCTACGGAAAGGGAGGACTTGCCCGAGCGGAGACGCGCATGTTGCACAAAGCCGCCCCAAGACTTTGCTGACCATTGACCGGACATGTCGGGTTTGAAATCGGATGCTAGCCTACTGATTCCAGATCCCAACTAGTCGGCCTGATATCTCGGATTTAAGGGCTGATATCAGCTTCTCGTTGCCGAGAAGGAAGGGTCAATAATTACCTTACTAGTGGAACCTGGTTGGTGGATTCTTCAGTTGATCAGACTAGTCATACTTCAGCACAGGGATGGTGCCATGGTGATTGCTCCACCATAATGATTTGGCCTGGGGATGTCTTGAGCCAAGCATTCTAGATAGATAAAGATGTTGTATGGATCATGTTGTCGACCTTGTACGTCTCTAGGCGTGTATATAGTCTCACCATCCAATTTCCTCTCTATGCCTTATGATCTACCTTGCATACCTCTTTTCATTTTTATTTTCTTTGCGCCCCTGACATCATTCCATGAACTGAAGCCCCATTGATCCCCACCTATAGTGGACTCGAAGATCAACTTAAGCTGCGCTGTGATTTCATTCATCTGATTGTGGCTGATTTAGCCCTTTTTCTCTCCCCTTAATACCTTTTTTATTTATTACCGTATATCAAAGAGAAATCCTGGCCTATCGAAGGTCCACGGTTGTATAGGTCGTGTTTTGGGGTCCATCTTACAAGGAACGCAAGTTGCCTTTGATCATTTTCCCTCCATCTCCACCGCACACAAGGGAGAAATTCAAAAACTGGCCAAGATTTACCCCAATCTCAGCCCCTCACAGGGGAAGTCTTGTGCGAAGATTCCCAGTTGATCGTTAGCATACAACAGGAAAGTGACGTTTGGCCCGGAGTTGAGTCATCCGCATCTCCCGCCTTATTTTTCTCCTCTCCCACTCTGTCTTTCGAGGGGCTTTCATAAATCCTGTCCATCAAACCGAGTCCGGTTACCTTAAAGGACTATTTCAAACATCAGAAACTTGCTTCTCCGGAAAGGCTCCAGACTCCTTACCGGAGATGGCACAACATTCCGACATTGCACGGTCGGCGATCATGTCGTCCGCCACTTCAGATCCTGCAGCCCCGGGGGATCAGAGGAATATGAACCAACGACCCAACGGCATCAGCTCAAAGGGAGCTGGGCTTGGCTCGGGTAAAGAAGGAGCAACTTTGATTCCACCTCCGAAAACTGTGGTCGGAAGAGCGCTAGGCAATGACTTGCATTCCGATGCCCACAAAGCCTCACAGGCGCCCAAGGGCGGAGTCGGAACCGCCCTGACTGACACTCCGATTTCTACCGCACCCCCGTCCCCACAGATGTAAGTCTTTCCTGCCTATGAGTCGTCGATTACCTTCGTCCCCAGAACCTTGTGTTTGCGTATTCGAATCCCCAGCCTATGAGCGAGGACAGTGGCTCGATCGACACTGAAATGTGTTCCGGGTCAAGTCTGTTCCGCTCTGTGGGAGAGAAGCATCTCTCCGGATGCACAAGCTAGCTCGTGTGCCCCAGACCCTCCCCACCATGTGGCTGAGCCGCATTCGCTTGTCTTGTGATCGTTTGTGTTTTTAATAGGCTTGTATTCTGGTCTAACGCCTTTTTGCCTGCAGATCAGGTCGTACACAACCCGGTACCCCGAGCAGCAGAGTCCGAGCCACTACCCTTGATATTCCCGGCCTGACCAAATCCAAGGTCTCCCCCGATGGCCGAATTGCTCAGCGCGATGTCGGTGCCAAGCTGGTCATCGTTATGGTCGGACTTCCTGCTCGTGGCAAAAGTTACATTACCAAGAAGCTTGCCCGTTACTTGAACTGGCTTCAACATGACACTCACATATTCAATGTCGGTGCACGTCGTCGTGTCGCAGCTGGCAGGTCTCCCACACCGGCAACTCCTCGAGGCCATGAGATGGCCCCAAAAAATGTCCACAAAGACCTCATCGACTCTGTGCGCCGCCTGAGCGTGAGCGTTGGGACCCAGAACCAAGGCGAATCTTCGCCACCGGAGGAAACCACTCTTCCACCCCCGATTCTCGTAAACGGCAAGGATACCAAGCCTTCTCCTTCACAAAATGGAGACACGATGGTGCCACCATTCGATGGCCCTGGCCTGGAAATTCCGGACGAGGCCATCAAAGAAGCTCCTCTGGAACCAATGGATCAGACTGCGAACTTTTTCGACCCCCAGAATCAAGACGCTGTCAAGCTTCGAGAGCGTGTCGCCCTCGACACCCTTGATGAGTTGCTCGACTACATCCTGGACGAAGGTGGTAGCGTCGGTATTCTCGATGCAACCAATAGTACTATGGAGCGTCGCAAGGCTATCGTGGACCATATTCGCAATCGTGCTGGCCCTGAGCTGAACATCCTGTTCCTTGAAAGCAGCTGTGTGGATCCAACTTTGCTGGAGGCCAACATGCGCTTGAAGCTTTCTGGACCTGACTACAAGGGTCAAGACCCGGAAAAGGCGCTAGTGGATTTCAAGAAGCGTGTGGCTCTCTACGAGAAATCGTACATCCCCTTGGGCGAATACGAGGAAAAGATGGGCATGGCTTTTATCCAAATGATTGATGTTGGTCGCAAGGTTGTCGCTCATCGAACACATGGCTTCCTCTCGTCGCAGGTTGTCTATTACTTGCTCAACTTCAACCTCTCTCCACGCCAGATTTGGATCACGCGACATGGAGAGAGCGTGGACGACCAGGCCGGTCGTATTGGTGGAGATTCTGACCTCAGCGAGAATGGAAAGCGGTACGCCAAGGCCTTGGCTCGATTCGTGAATTCTCAGCGGGAGAAGTGGGAGCTATACCAGCGACAGAAGGACTTGCTGAAGCACTTTCCTCCCCGTCCGGGTGACAGCACTCCCCCCAATCCGTCTTACATTCCCCATGATACGCCGCGTAACTTCTGTGTATGGTCATCGATGATGGCACGGGCTGTCCAAACCGTCGATTACTTCAATGAAGAAGACTATGACGTCAAGCAAATGCGCATGCTCGACGAACTTCACTCAGGAAGGATGGAAGGCATGACCTACAAGGAGATTCAGGAGCAGTTTCCCGAGGAGTATGCTCACCGCAAGAAGGACAAGCTCTTTTACCGATACCCAGGCCCTGGTGGAGAAGGGTACCTTGACATTATTAACCGCACTCGGGCCGTCATTGTCGAGGTGGAGCGTACCACTGATCATGTCCTGCTGGTCAGCCACCGGTCCACCGCTCGCGTCCTCCTTGCATACTTCCAGGGCCTGGAACGTGACCAGGTCGCCAACCTGGATGTTGAGATGGGGGTGCTCTACATGTTGGAGCCTAAGCCCTACGGGGTTGACTTCAGGGCCTACCGATACAACCCTGAAACCGATTGGTTCGACTTCGTTCCCGATTACCAATTGAAGCAGGTGAATGGGCCTCCCACGACCCAAGCATGATAGCCTAAAGCTCTTGCCGTGGGTCCTCGTGGGAAACTCCCTCCCTATGATCATGATTTGCTATGAACTGTGACGACAACTTCCCCATTCAACATCAAGATGACCCCGACTCGGATGATGAGCTTTCGGTTCATATCAATTATCGATTCATTGCTGCATATGGGTTTTTATCTTCCATTTCTTTATCTCCTTTTCTTTCCTCCAATTTTTGTTGGGGGCTTTGTATCCTTTCCTCGCTCCATTGCGTTGTATTATGTTTCAACTTTGCAGTCTTTCTACCTGTTGCTTTTTGTTTCTTAGGGGAGACGATACAGGCGTGATTTGCATGCAAGAGCTCACTTATTTATTCCACCCCATGTTGCTCTTGTTGTCTTTGCATAGATTTGGCGTTCAACGGAAGCGATGACTCTACGAGCTTACTATGGCTTCAACCAAATGAGCTTCCCTCGTCAGATACCCATTGCATATCAACATTGAGTTGACTGGGAATTTTGTTCAATTCCCGTGGTAGCTTTTCCTTTGCCCTGATGGGATGTACTGGAGATTTCTCAATAAACCACTTATCTTGATTTGCTGTGGTGTATGCACTAAACAGGACTGTTATCCAATACACTTACTAGTATACTTACTAGTTCATCTCTACTCATCCAGCTTGACCCGCTCAAAAACTTCTAAGAAGGTCTCTGGCTCATCTGCCCCTTCAACCACATACTTCCCTTGCACTGTAAAATGCGGAACCCCAGAAACCAATCTCCTCGATGCCGCAAACGCCTCGGCATCAACCTGCTCCGCCCCAACCCCAGACTCAAGCAACTTAGCCACCTCCCCACCATCCAACCCAGCCTGAACAGCCGCCTCAAGCAAAACCTTCGCATCCGTAATGTTTTTCTCCTCTTCGAAATAGGCTCGGAACAGATTCTCGACAACCCGGGTCTGCAATCCTCCAACAGCCGTCCCTGTAGTACCTCCTGGCTGAGTACCTTTAGCCTCCTCTTCACCAGCATACCAAATAACCCGATGAGAATCCCGAGTCGATCCCGTATTTCCTCCAAACTTGAACATAATTCCATCACCCTCGCCCGCGGCAGCTAGTCGTGCGAACATGGCCTTGCAGCGCTCGGCTCCGAACTTCTCGGCGTACATTTCTTGCTTGTTTATGCCAGGGAATGTTGGAGATTTTGGGTTTAGGTAGAAGGCGCGCCAGTTAAGTGTAAATGTGTCGGATGGATTGCTGGCTTTGTGGGTGTTTATTGCGCGAGAGAGGCGTCGGTAGCCGACATAGCACCACTGTGTTTGGTTAGTCTGATATAGGTCTAGGAGAAGTGGGGCCGTGCGTACAGGACAGACGCTGTCGGATATGATCTGGATCTTGAAGTTTGTCATGGCTTTCTTGTTTTCTTCTTCGGTTGTACTTTAAGAGGAGAATGAAAGGGTTGAACGTCACTGTACTCCGTATATAACGAATGCGGGTCTTAACGTTCAATTTGTCAGCATTGAGATCCACTCGGACCTTATATTTGGTTCCAATCAAACATGAATTTCCAGTACTTTTGTGCTTGACCTATTCTATTTTGTTTGCTATTTCCCCCTCTTTTCTCGTATTCATGACTTCCCGTGGTTCTTGTATAAACCTTACATTCTTTATGGTAGAATCTACATTGATATACCTGGAAAATATTAACTGAAAGTAAAACAATGCTTTTGATGCGAGCTATCCATGGTAGAATACAGCTAAGTCTATGAATGCGCTAAAGGAAACAATCCCAATAAAATGTTGTGTCATGACCAAAGTTCAAATACAAGGGTATAACGGTCTGATAACCACCCTAACAACTATCCCGACCAACTCATGATATACGTCTACTTAAAGAATTTGCTGAGCCTGGTTGCTTGCGCTCCACGGGGTTTGCTCAGCGAACAGGGAAGATGAGTTGTTGTAAACAGGGACACCACGAGAGGGGTCATTGTTGTGGGCTTGCTCAAGAACAGCCTTGTACTATTGAGATTGTCAGTAAGAAGGATTGTGCAGTAAGGGATGAAGGGTCTTACCTTGAAAACAAAGTTGAGAACAAGAGCAGCAGCAAGACCAATGCATACGACAAGAGGGCCGAACAAGTTGTCCAGGTCCTTGCCACTCCGTTGGCGGATGAGCCGAGAGCGCTTCTCATACATGTACCAGCCCCAGGCAGCGGAAAACAGGGCAAAGAATGTGTACACAACGGCAAGGGCTTGGGCAACTTTGTTGTGCTTGCCAGCAGCATTGTACAGACCCAGTGACAAACTCGACAACAGAATACTGATGTGGAGCCACTTGATGAAGGTACGCTGGTTGGCTAACCAAACCTTACTTTCCACGCGAACGGGACCAGTGTCTTTGATCCAGACACCGGGGTCTCGCACTCCAGGAGGCAAGGAAACAATCTCCCGCCCAGTCCATGGCTTCGAGATGCCCAACGACTTCAAGATGGAGGTGAAACGAGACTGTTCTTCCTCATTCTCCTCAGGCTCTTGCACTGCTGCGGCAGGGGCTTGAGGCTGCACCTCACGGCGCTGGGGCTCAATATGAGAGAGACGGCGGTTGGCCGGCACTTCGGTGAAGCCAGAAGGCCTACGAAGCACTGTGTGAGACCTGGGTTCGGACCACCGACTGAAGGGAGATCCAGCCAATGCATGGGCACTTGGGCTACCTGCGCCACCTAGGAAACTGCCAACGGCGATGTCATCCTCGTTGCGCCTCGCCAGTCGTTCTTGCTCCTCATGGAATGCGGTCTCGGGATCACGACGAATGTCATTCTCAAGTTCTCCCAGCCAGAACGGGAAGTTGTTCACGGAATCCTCAAATAATTGGGCAGCACCGTGGACGAACTTGGAGAAGCGGGGTGCATCTTTGACCAGATGAGAGGCCATGAGATCATTTACCCACTCCGCCTGGTGGGCTTTTCCACGCAGCTTAATTTCAAGTAAGGCGTGCGGGAAACGGACAATTTCGCCAGTTCGAATGGAGCTGAATGGGTATGACATCTCGCCATCGTCGAGGTCGGCACGGTGCCACTCGGAAGGGTCTCGGCAGGGACGCTCAGGGTCAAGGCAGTCTTCCCGGATCATGGCGAGGTTGGTGTCCATGGAAATGCGAACGCGGTCATCGCCGGGGATTTGGAAGGCGGTACGGGTGTAGTTGGCCCGAACCATAGGTTGCAGGTTGTTCTCATTGATGAAAGACTGCAGTTCTTCTACATCCTTCTTGAGAGATTCCGCTTCCGCAGATTCTCCGTTGTTCATATCCTCCATCCGATGAACCTTCTTGTCCAAGTGGTACTCGCCATCCAGGAACTCCTTGATGTGCTTTTCCTTCAGCTGCACCTTGACCTCCCGACTGCTGTCTGAGTCGGTCACAGTCTTCTTCTCCAAGTAGATGGAGGGCTTATCTTTCAGCTGTCCCGTCCAGCGCAACCGCAGAGATCCAGCCTCGGGGGCACGGGCAACCTTCTGGTTGTACAGGTCAAACTGAGGGTTATCAAAGTAGAGGGAGGTGATGGTCGGATCGTCGAGGGTATCCACATTCTTTGAGGTGCCCGGGTTGTAGATCAGGACTGGTAGGCGACGGAGGATGTATGTCTTCACCTCCAAAACGTTGTCCGAGTGGACCCAGAACTTGTAGGAGGAATAGACATCACGGCCAAAGCCACGTTCAGGCTCCTTCGGCGGTTGCACAATGTCATCCGTCAGAGTTTCACGGACAAAGGAGTACATCACCGACAGACGGTGGACCAAAGGCGAATAGTCCTCTGAGTTGAATGGAAGCTGCGACAGGCGAACTTGCAGCAATGGCTTGACGCGGTACCGAGCTCCACGCTTGCGGTCATGCTTCTTGGCTGCCTTGAGGAAGCCGGTGAAGTTGATGCGGCTGTACTTCTCCAACTCGCTAACCTCTTTGGTGATGCCATCGAGCTCCTGCAGAATCTCGGTCGCCATTTTGCGCTTTTCCTGTTGTTCAAGAACGACGGCCTCTTGCTCTCCGGACGGAGCCAATGGGCGCAGCTTGGCCTCGCAGGCTGATGTGCGCTCGCGGAGCTGCTGGGAGGTCTCCGATTGGAAGGCATTGACCTTGTCCAGCTGCACATTCAGCAGTTCCTGCACAAAGGCCTCCTCATCCTGTTCAGTCCAAAGACTGTCATCGGAGTCGCTGGCGTCGCCAGTGACATCATTCTCACGCAACAGTGCCTTGAGCTTGTTGTAGTCAATGTATTTGCCCTTCCATGGCGAATACACCGTGTTCTTGAGAGTCTTTCCGAACCGCATACTGCCTCAAATGGAGCTCACTCGGACTCGAAATTCGACTCAGCTTGGTATCAAGTGACGAGGGGCCGAGATGGATAGAAGAGGGGAAGAGAGGGCGCAAGAGATGTGAGCACCACGTGGGAGCCAGTACAAAACTAATGCTGCATTGACTTTTTCTCCCTGCAGAGTAAACTTTTTTTTTACCGAGCACATAGAAGAAAAGAATTCAGTTAAGCGATTGAATGTCGATAGCTTTAGCACGCACGTGCTCATCTGGCTCGCTCTCACGGCTTGCCGCTTTCAGATGAAGTGACCAATCACAATACGGAATTGGTCGGCCCGTCCGTGGATCAATTATGGTCCGACACTAGCGCAATTACAGTAATTTTACGTAAATTTAATCCACTCTTACCGATGTCAAGCTAGTCGACATCAAGACTAGTGCCATTGGTAATTACAACCGAGGCTCCTATGTTGTCGTTATATCCAGGACTGTACACCCTATATTGGACCGATGGCCGCCTCTTCTCCACAGCCAGGGCTGTCTCATCCCCTGCATAACATCTTGTTGGAGCTTCACCAACGCCCTTATCCACACGTCCCCAATCCACAAGGTTGCAAAAAACGCGCTTCTGTCGCCCTGATTATCCGAGTTCGCCCGACCTATGATCACTGGCCGACCTCGGCCTCAATCGGTGACCCATCCTTGTCGGTGGAGGATCGACTAGACGAGTTTTTTGCCCAGCCGTGGGTCCAACATGGTGACCCAGAGGTACTTTTTATCAAACGCGCGACGCGAGTTGGCGACCGGTGGACTGGGCATGTCGCGTTGCCCGGCGGAAAACGAGACCCAGAAGATGAAGATGATTGCGCAGCGGCCATCAGAGAAGCATCAGAGGAAATTGGGCTGGACCTGACCACAGATGACTGTATTAATGTGGGGAACCTTCCTGAACGGGTGGTGACGACTAGCTGGGGGTCGCAACCGTATGTGCCATTGGGTTTGCTGCTAAGCGGTTCGTGTGGAATGGAGATGATTGACTGATATTTATACTTCTTAGACTGATGGTTCTTTGTCCCTTTGTCTTTCTCACCACTCGAAGTGATTCCCCGAACCTCAAGTTACAACCTACCGAGGTGGCATCGACACATTGGATTCCCTTGAAAGCGCTCCTATCATCATCACTCCGCACTGTGGAATATGTGGACATGTCGCAACGATTTGCTAGACAAGGCGGATTTCTGACTCGGATGGCTGTTCGATCCCTGATGGGATTTATGCAGTTTTCCGCTGTTCGACTGCTTCCCTCTGAAACCCAGCGGTGTACCTCGGTCCCTGGATTTGTCCCTGACGAAAACATCCAGCCTTCTTTGATGCAAAGGGTAAAATCATGGTGTCTCAGCAACCAAGCAGACTCAGGTGAGGCGGATCGTCCACTTTTGCTCTGGGGTCTTACCCTTGGCATTCTGGCCGATTTCTTGGATATGCTGCCTCCCAATACGGCTGTGCAGATGTGGAAGTATCCGACTTTCACAGTGCCAGACCTCCGGCTGATTGTGAGTATTCTGACCTACAATCTGCGAAAGCGTAATTTGCAAAAGGTCAAATCGGGCGTCCGCCCCAGTGACACTGCATCGGATGGTGAAACTGCTGCCCTGCCCGTTTCCCCAGAAGCTGCCAGCCATGACCATAATGAAGTCGGAATTGGTGGATTAGGGGTAGGACGCTACTATGGGCCTACTGACCGGGCTGTCGATGGAACCTCCTACGCTGTGGGTATCATGTTACAAGGTTATTATGACCGGTTACGAGTGGCGATCTACGTATTTCTTGCCTGGCGGATGGCTCTGGGGTCGGCGGCTGCATTCGCTGCCTGGCGATTTCTTCGCCGTCGTTGACGATACATGGATACTTTGTAGAGGTACTTAGACATGTAAATTTGCCTATATATAATGAACATTGAGAAAGGAAACAATATCAAAATACGTTGAAACCGTTTTCAAGTACTCGTTAGTATCCGTTCACAGGCTCGACGACTCACATCTTTGCTAGATCAATGTTCGCCAAGTCCTCGTCCAAGAAAAACTTCCAGGAGGTGGATTGACTGTCGCTTCAGCGTATATTTCCTTTGACCAAATGAGTTCCCACAAAGTGCAGGCCAAGAAGATACTTCGCCAACTTCAAACTATCAAGCGCATGGGGAAACTTGCAATTCGCTCTCATGTGTTACTTGACCCCAACATACTCAGCAACGGTCGAATCAATCCACTAAAAGGGGATATCATCTTCTCAGACACCGGTCATGATCCAGATACCAGCTTCATGCAGAATGATTTCTTTGAGTCTACATGTATTGTTGATAATGGTATGATTGTTGGGCTTATTGACAGGAAATTGGCAGGATTTTTTGGCTGGAAGATGTCTGGAGAAACCACCGTCGGACCAGAAGCCCACCATGAGGAATGAATACCAATTTGATGGAGGAGCAGATTCAGGATTTAATGTCCCGGAAAGACCTCTATGTACCAGAGGATTATATAAAAACGCTGATGTTGCCAAGGCGTGGATATAGATGTTACATAATCCACGGATCCACCGTAAACAGTGCCCGCGTTCCTTCTCTTGTCACTACTTCCTCAAATGCGCCATGGCTGCCACTCAGAAGCTCTACCCCCGCGGGACTGTCAAGCGCATCGTTAAGGCTCATTCTAATAAGAGCGTGAGTAAGAACGCTGATATCCTGGTATGTTGCAACCCAGCTAACTCAGCTCAACATGCGACAAGGACGTCACTAATGTCTTGACTGTTCACAGATATTTCTAGATTACATGCTGTTTATGCAAGAGTACGATTGAATCCTGACTCGAGCCCCCTTATCCGATTACCAATACATCCTTCGAGTCGTGTTTATAAATCAGCGCTAATCATCCCCACAGATTGATGCGCGAGGCTTCCATCCGATCTCGCAAGTCCGGCGAAAAGAATATCTCAGCAAATTCCATCCGCAAGGTCACCGAGGTACGCTTTCAATTTCATTCGAAGCGATAATGGGGTCTGTGTTGATAGTCATGTTTCATATACTGATCAGCATGGTCGCGTGCAGAAATCCCTGCGCAAATACCAAGGATGATTGAACCTGAAACCGAGTCATTTCAACTATCATTCTAGGTGGAAACATGTGCGCCATCAGAAGCTATGTGTGATTAGGCTCTCCCTGCGGATTTTTCTTGTGCTTGTGCTATGCTTGTGCTGTGCTTGTTACAATGGCGTATAGGCGTTTGGGGATGATGATACCCAGACATTTGTGAAAGCTCCTTTAATTGAATTCAAATTCCAACAAAGCTTTAAGTATCAATTCAAGTAGATGTCTTATCTAGTAGCTATTTGTGTAGGAAGTGTAGGAAGTGTATAAGGGGAGCGTGATGTGGGCTGTACCGATCAGGAAAGGCTTCGGGGGACTTCCATCGGTGGAAGTTCCACCCGCATCCATTCTTCTCCGTACAACTCTCCCATAACTCTGCACTTGCGCTTTTTCTTTCTTCCCGCGTATTGCAACGCACTGTCTCTTCCGGTTTCCCCTTTCAACTTGCTGTGCTACCCACATTCCATCATGGCTTCCGCTTCCCACAAACCCAGCGCCAAGAACAAGAAGCACACTCCTCAAGCTGCGAGCATTTCCCAGACTGAACCCGAGAGCCCCACAGACGCGAATGACTCAGAGCCTCCGTATGTCAAGGAGCTTCAGAAGTACGTGTTCAATTGCATCCTCATCCCGCCAGAGCTAACAAAGTGCTTTTAGGAGCCTGCGCAATGCGGTGAAGAAGCTGGTACGTGAACTTCGATTGTCTCCTGATATTTGGTGGGGCTGTATCTAGAATATTGGAACACCGTCGCTAACTCTGCTATGATCTCCATAGAATGCTACCGCTAAAATTGACTCTATTCTCGCCGAGCACCCTGGAAAGTCTCTTGATGACCTTGTGGAGGAGAAGAAGATCAACGCCGACCAGAAAGCTCAAGCGCTGAAGAAGCCTTCGCTCCAGGCTGCTGTTACACAGATCGAGGAGCAGCTCGGTCACTACAAGCAGTTTGCTGCCCAATACGAGGAGAAAATTGCCATTCAGAAGGAGGCCTTGGACCAGCAGAAGGCGGCGCTGGATAAGATCCACCAAGAGGAGTTGGCGGCGGTGCGCGCAAATGCTGTGGCCGATGCTACTGAGTCTACTTCACGCGTGCTGCGTGAGAAGTTGTTTGAAGTAGCTAAGTTCCTATGCGCGGCAGCCAACATGCGACGCGCTGGAGATGAGACCCCGGAAGGCGTTGCCTTTGAGGCTGTCCTTTACCAGGTGTACGCTGGTAATCAGGATGCGGTCACAGCCATGGTCAAGCTCATTGAGGGTGCGGATGAGCAGATTCAGGGTCTTGAGGGGGAAACTTTGGACTTGACCTGTATGTGGTCCTTGAAAATTTACCTGGTGTTGATTATTTTTGCTAATGCTTTCCTACGTAGATGGCAACGTGAAGCAGGTATCCAACCGAAAGGCGCCCATCGAGGAACCCGAACAATACGCCAACGCAAGCGAAAGCTCTCCTGCCTCGGACCCAACAATTGCCAATGCTGGCTTGACTGAGCTCCAGGACACTTCTATTAGCGCCGAGGTCGCCGCTCAAGCGGAGACCACGACTTCTAAGCCCGACCAGGTGGCGCCCCCAACCCAGACATCGACCACTACGGGTGCTAACCCGGCTGCCGACTCGACTTCCCTGACATCTGCATCTGCGGGCATGGATGATAGCTGGGCTGAGGTTCCTCGTGACCCTGCAGAGACTGAAAATGGCCTCCAAGCCACCCCTGCCAACACTGAGACTAATGCTGCTGCCGACACTGGTGCCAAGGGCAACTCTAGCCGCCGTGGCCGCCATGGACGCGGTCGTGGTGACGGATCCCGCCGCGGCCGAGGCGGAGGCGAGCAACGTGGTGGAGACCGGCCTCGGGGTCGACGTGGTGGAAAACGCGGAGGAGCCAACGGAGTGTCCGCAGATGGCCAGTGATCAAGTAGTGCATATGGACTGTTCGCCCTTCCACCGTCTGAGCTCAGTGGTGTGATGTATGACGAACGCAACGAATTTTCTTTTCTGGAGTGATGCGAAAAGCTCTCCTATGTTATCTTTTGATTTCGAGCGTGCATATTTCTCAGTTCTTATGCTAATGAGGGGAATTGGGAGGCGGATCAGATAAACCGAATACTACTAGTAGTAACTTTGTCCGGGCTCCACGTACTCCACTCTTCCGTTACCTCATTTCAAGGTTCCTCACACTTTCATTGTACTTTCCATTTCTTCCCTTGGTGCGCCAGCTACTTAAAAAATAAGAATTCAATCATGGCTATTGCTGGCGCACAACGTAAACAGGTCCTCAAGGTGTTGATGATCTCGCTGCTGCTAGATCTGGTACGTGTCCCGTGTTTACTTATCGTCATCCCACTTCCAATTCTTACTCATGAGACCAGATCTCCTTTACATTCATTCTACCACTCTTTCCGTCGCTATTGTCCTTCTATCGTGCTCAGGACCCATCGCCAGATTCCCTCCTCAATCGTATCTTCCATTACTTGAATGCCTACAAGAACTCCTTCGCCCGCCCCATCGACTCGCGCTATGACATCGTTCTCCTCGGCGGAGCTCTCGGCTCCCTCTTTTCCATGCTCCAGGCCGTTGTGGCCCCGGTAATCGGTCACCTGTCCGATACACATGGCCGTCGCCGCACTTTACTCTGGGCAATGATCGGAAACCTCCTCAGCGTCACACTCTGGGTCTCCGCAACGGATTTCCGTACCTTCTTGGCTAGTCGTGTGGTCGGAGGTCTCAGTGAAGCAAATGTGCAATTGGCCAATGCTATCGTCGCGGATGTCACTGATGAAGCGCACCGTGGCGCATCTATGGCCCTGGTTGGCGCTTGCTTTAGCGTTGCCTTTACCTTTGGTCCGTTGCTGGGTGCCGGTCTGAGCTCAATTGAGATCGTCGCGGCGAATCCATTCATTACCGCGGCTCTAATGTCACTCGTGTTGATTTTCGCGGAGACTGTTTACCTATGGGCTTGTCTCCCTGAGACCCATCCGCGACTTACCACCCTGAAGCAGGAGACCGAGACCGAGAATGAGAATGAGGAATCGGCCAAGAAAACCGCGGCGAAGAAGAAGGAGTCTCCTTCCGCTCAGAAACCGCACACTAATAACCCAGCTATCCTCAATGCTATCCACTTTCTCTTCCTGCTGCCCTTCTCGGGTCTTGAGTTCTCTCTTCCCTTCTTGACCGCTACGCTCTATGCTGGGACCACAACTGCCAGCCCTGCAGCTCTGAACGGCCGCCTTCTCTCCATGATGGGTCTTATTGCCTCTCTTCTTCAGGGCACCCTCGTCCGTCGTTTGCCTCCGCTAGTCACTGTTCGCGCCGGCGTGGTCGCTTGCGCCATGTCCTTTTTCTGTCTTGCTCGCATCTCCTCCGTATCAGGCCTCTATGCGGCTGGTGCTATGCTTGCCATCACAACAGCCACTGTCGTGACGGGACTCAACAGCTTGGGTAGCTTCGAGGCAAGGGACGCAAATCGTGGTGCTGTTATGGGCCGCCTTCGTGGCTGGGGCCAGGCAGGACGAGCTACTGGTCCTATTCTTTTCTGCACTTTATTCTGGTGGGCCGGTCGTGAGGCCGCATTCACTGTTGGTGGTGTTGCGATGTGCATCGTAGCAGTTGGAGTCTTTGGTTTCTTGAAGTCGCCCCATGTTCACTCGAAGACGGAGTGATGGGTTTTCTTTTTTCTTTTCTCTTTGGTGTTGTAGGCTTGTACGATGGATGAGAGTGCATACCTGATCCACTCGCTGGTCGTGTGTGGCAGGATGACCGTTGTATTCTATTTGTATCTCGTTATGGATGTGCAGCAAGTAGTGTTTGGGTGTTGAGCACAGTTTGATCTATGAGTGACTTGATTTTTTCAAAAAATATTCATAGATATGATCTGCATCTGTCCAGTCTGATGTAAGAAATGAGTGGTGTTTATCATGCATAGTTATGACAAGGGTATATAGTACACATATAGAAACAGGGTGAGAGTGGTGATATCAGTAATACGTGATCTCCAAGGTCCAGCCAGAGAAACCATGATTCCAATCTGAATGGACTTGGTCCTTTGGTACGAAGCTATCAGCGTCGGGTGTACCGAGTGTCCCTAGGTAATCCATAGTCCTCACAGGACTCCATAGCTAGCCCAGGATTGAGTGCTGGATCCAGCGACCCGCGCGCCTTGCCAATCAGCCAGTCAGTCAAGGTTACAAACTTAGCTGTTCGATCCCATCCACCCGCTTCATCAGCATGTTCAATCGTGTGTGTTAGAATGCGCCCTTCCTCGTCAAAAGAGAAAATGAACAGCCCGGTGAATTGCTCTTCCTTTGAGAGCTTGAAGATTGGTTCCTCGCCGCCCAGTAGTACACTTAGTCCCTTATTGGTACTGTTCTTCGATGACGATGATGATGTACCACTACGTGTTTGCGGTATTTGAGACGTTCTTGCGCCGGAACCGGATGCTTGCGATAGGCTTGCATTATTTTGTCGCTTCTCAGAAGAATTACGTTGTGATTCGTGGAAAGGCCGGCTATCTGTACGTGGCTCGGTCTTCCATCGTACCACTAACCGTTCGTCGCCGCAATCGTGGTTCTCCGCGTGCTCGGGGTCAAGAATTGTGCCTGCGCGTACGATGCGCTCGCTTAGGATCTGCAACTTGACGTTTCCTACCAGTGGTACACTGCTCCATGCTACTGGAACGGTCCACAGTGCAGCGCGGTATAGGGTGCGGCCTTTGACGGTGGGGAGATGTGGGTGTGTCGATGGAAAGAGGTGGAGGTTGACGCTCGGACTGAGGACTTCTGCAGGTAGGGTATTGTACAAGATAGTAGGGAGGAGAGGAGAAAGTGTTCGTAAGGCTATACATGGAGTTAAGTCAAAAAACGGCTCCCGATGAAGCTGTGGGGGATGATTTGGTGGCACTCACTCTTTCCGAGCTTTAATACCCGCTCATCTGGTGGTTTATGATCGCCCTTCTGTGGTGTTTCTAGTCCATCGATTCCCCTGCGTACTCCAGCTGGAGAGAAATATGTTGTTGGGAGAGGTACGGTTGACTGCGGAGGTAGCCAGGCCTCGTTCAAGATACCATGCCGCGCTTGAGCAAGTCGGCATCGCGGAGAAGATGCAAAGCTACGGCCCGCCATCAAGTTTAGCGCTTGTGAGCGCAGAGAGGGCGAGGCCAACTTTGGCATTTTGCCTGTGGATTGTCATGTCATGAGAAGTTGGAAAGTTGGAAGTTCTGCGGAGTTGAAGTTCCGCTTTCTGCTTGAAGATTGCGAGCCAATCGGAATGCGCCAGTATACAATGTGATTGTATCTTATACTACTGTTCTATCATGTTCCATTCAATGCAAAATTGGTATTCATTCTGGTCTTAGTGAGTTTAGGCCAATTCATCGTCATCATCCATGCCCATCACTCGTCGCTCAGCAATTTCTCGGATCTTGTCCTCCAATACACCACGCTCGTAGCGTTGGGCCACCTTAGCTGCCGCCTCAAGCATCTTACCATTACGATCGTTCAGCATGGTTACTAATTCAAGTGCCTTCATACCACGCTCTTCACCCTCTCTGCATTCGATGGCCAGCATCTGCAGCAAGGTCTTGTCAATCTCCACTTCCTTACGTGCCATTTCGGTACGTTGGCTGGCTGTCGCATTGGTCGATTCCAAGAGGTCCCGGAAGAGCGACAGAAGGACATTGCCACGCACGAATGCTTCTTCAAACTTGACACTGGCGTTTCGTTCTGACGCAGCCTCTTCTGATTCATTGGAGTCCCTGACCGCATGACTGGAAATGGGAACCTGGAAATCAAATTCGCTGAGCAGCGGTCGCGGGAAGTATGGGTTCTTGTCACCACCCTTGAGAATGATGCAGTGAAACTTGTCTTCCGCCACAGCAACCGGCCAGTAAGTCTCTTCCTTGCGACCTCCAGCCAGTCGGGCAAGTTGCTTTGTGTCGAGGAGAGGCACCCATCGAGCCTGACCAGGAGTGCGCCAGTGCTGCAACACCAGTAAAACACCGGTAGTATCATAAATGCATGGGTCCTGTAAAGAGTCAGTTTTGTCCTCGAGAGTTGATTGAGCAACATACTCCATGATCAGAAAAGAAAACACTCTGCAGTCGGGTTTCGGATGGAAGAGCGACAACGTCTTCATTCTGGCAGATTTCGTCGCGCTTGACATTTTCAATGGTGTATCGCAATGATGTGTGTCGCCCGTCAGATCCTACCGGGCCATTGCCAATTGTCATGATGTAGTCTCGCCATGCAGCACATGTCACAGCCTGGCTCTTCTGTCGGTACACCCGATAGGGTGTTCCAAAGAGAGTGTACACTCGCACATAGTCTTTTGTCGTGACAGCAACAATATAGGAGGCACTCAGTGCCAGAGCTAAGTAATGTAAGCAGTGAGACTAACATAACGTTTTTCTATGACTCGTACCTCGTACTCCCTCTCCTTCGGGTAATTGGGTTCGCCAATCGGCTCTGGTCGTCCATGTCTCATGAGGACGGTAGAAGATGGTAGCAGGGCCATCCGAAGGGCTGTTTGAGAAGAGGGTTCCGTTCTCGTCTATGGATTTGAATTATTAGTGCGAGAAGTAACAACCGTTGCTGTTGCAAACTCACTAAGGCACGCTTTGTCGTATTGGTAGGGGTCTGTAAAGTGGAAGTCTCGATGAAGTTCTCGATCATAAAACTCCACTGTCACGGTGTGGTGCGTCTCTTGATCCACGGTCCACACGGCACCGGTCAAGTTCAGGCCTAAAATGATGAGTTCAAATGGCCAAACAAAGAAAGAGAGTGCAAATTCTCGACTTACACAGATATCGTCTGCTCCCAGCCCACGGTGTGCTACCGGGCTGGATAGGAGGATGGGATTTTGGTTGCACGGCGCCCGAGAAGATGCGCTTGCTGTCAGAGCCATCCAGGTCATCCAAATGACCATTGGGTCGCTTTCCGTACTCATTCAAATCCTCAACGTATCCTGCTCCATCGTCATCCTCGACGAAATTATCCTCCATCTCCTCATCATCGCCGAGAATATCATCCAGCTCGTCCGGAGACCCTCTGCGGGCTGCCCGCTTGATGGCATCTTTGGATCGGTCAGCCAATGTCTGCTGGACATTGTTGGAAATGTCATTCAATGGACCGGGATAGATGGGTGCAGCCTGGAGAGACTTCTGTAACTGGGCTTCGTGATCCCTCGGGACGAATTTATCGTAGATGAACAATTCTCCATCGGAAGTGGTGAACGAAAGCGAATTGTTCGTTGGATGCCAGGCAAGGTTGATGACATTGCCAAAGTCGAATCGGTGCAGAATGCTTTGGGTACGGGTTTCCCAGAGCACGATCTGGCCGTCAGCTCCAGCAGAAGCCAGCAGCGTACCATTAGGTGCCCAGCTTAGTGCCGTGATGTCGCCCGTATGTCCTCCAGTAAAGCTCTTTTCTTTCTTCCAGTTGGAGATTGAATAGACTGCAATGTCTCGAGTGGCTTCCGCCACTGCAAATGCAGTACCGTCCGGATGCCACACGGCTCTGGATGTTGCCTCTGCGTCGGGCTCGAGTTTTCGAATGACTCCATCCAGTTTTCTTACCAGCTCCGGTTCCTCTTCTGTGAGTGAGTACACCGAAAGAAAGCCATCTATGGCTGATACGGCCACAAAACGGCCCTTGGGATCAAATGTGACGTGTTTCGCGCCTGTTAGCTGGTCGCGGAGGTATTTCGTCTCGATTTGGTTATCGATTTTGACGAGTTTCACGGTGAGCTCACTAATCGCAATGGTTAATCTGCATCCTACCGGCAATAATGTATTCATTTGAACTCACTCGCTTGCTACTGCAAGCCATTGGCCATCCCGGGAAACCGCCACGTCTCTCACAGGCAACGCGCATCGCACCAACTGAGTTCCAATCTTGCCCGACAAGGTATTGAATTGCCAGACCTGACCGTCCTCAGTGCCCACAATGAAGGAATCATTCTGTGATCCTTTATGTCAGTTCCTCTATTGCATAGCTCGAATGTCCAGCTCGCATACCGTGGCACCGATTCCGACATAACCGTCTAGAAGACCTTCATCCACGGTCTTGGGCTCGCCATCTTGATCAACGGTGTAAATCCGAATCGCTGAGTTTGATCCAGCAGTAATAATTCGTTTCCCGTCCGGTGTGTAGGTTAGGGTTGTCGTTCCTGGAGTGTCTAGATGGCAGGTTGTCTGTCAGTCAGGGTAATTATCAATAGATCGGCCTGTGACTTACGGGCTGGCCGACCGCGAGGGCGAATAGCATCAGTGCTCATTGAGAACATGCCGCTGAAAAGTGCAAAGTTCTAGTGATCACAATCAGAAAGTCAAAGGCATCACTCCCTGTTCAAAGTGATCGGCGATAACGGGGGAAACGCGTCCCGCGTCGCGCGCCAGATTAAGCCCGATTAGGAAATATAGGGCTTAGGGTAATCATGTATCAGTCTGTTATAGTTCGTTGTTCAATTTTTCTTGCTATTCCAGTTGATCTTAAATTATATTCTCTCAATTGGCCTACTTCTTTCTATTTCCCAGATGCACCACCAGCAGTAAGAAAATCAAAATCAGTTCCCTCATGCGCTTGGTTCACAGATCGCTCATACAACCCACGATATCCTCGTCTCTGCTTTCTTGCCTGGACAGGGCCCTTCTCAGCCTCGAGCATTTGCTTTCGGTGAAGGATTCGAGTCTGCAATACTTCTTCTGGTACCTCAACATGCAGTCTGCGGCTTTCAAGATCACAAACAATCAAGTCACCAGTCTCAATAACCCCAAATGGCGAGCTTGGAATGGCTGCCTCGGGTGATATATGGAGGACAATAGTTCCTCCAGCCGTTCCAGACATACGACCATCAGATAAGCGCAGCATATCTTTCACTCCAGCTGCTGCCAGTTTTTGGGGGATGGGAATCAGTCCTGCTTCTGGCATACCAGGATTGCCTATTGGGCCAATGCCTTTCAGGACTAGCACGCTATTCTTTGTGACAGGTAAATATGGATCATCAATGCGCTGAGCTAGGTCAATAGAGTTCTCAAATACCACAGCGGGTCCAGTATGAGAGAGCAGAGATCGATCTTTCGAGGCAGATGCTTTGATGACAGCACCATTGGGTGCAAGATTGCCCCGCAGAATCGCCAGAGATGATGAAGGATAAAGAGGATCGGAGAGAGATCGGATAATCTGCTGTGGAAAGGACACTCGCCTGGACTGAGCTGCATCAAGAGCCTCTCCTAATGTTTGACCGGTGATGGTCACGGCGGATAGGTGAAGCAGTGGTCTCAGTACTTGTAACAGTGCAGGCATGCCTCCAGCATTGTGGAAATCATTCATGTAGTTGTCACCACTCGGCTTAAGATCGATGAGAAGAGGAGTCTTTCGACCAATTTCTTCAATTGTCTGCAATGTAATCATACCCTGAAGCTCAGGGTGTCGATTGGCAATTGCCAGCAAATGGACCACGGCATTGGTCGACCCGCCAATAGCCTGGAGAACGGTGATGGCATTCAGAAAGGATTCCTTTGTCAGTATCTCTTGGGGTTTCCTTGCCAATTTGGCAACTGCCACTGCATTTGCACCAGTCTCTTCAGCAATCCGCAGCCGTGCAGATGATACAGCTGGAGCAGAGGCCCCGCGAAGCGGCATCATTCCCAACGCAGCGGTAACACAAGCCATCGTACTCGCTGTTCCCATGACGCCACAAGTCCCGATCTTTCAATGGACTTAGCTTTAGCCGGATAACGAGATTCACTTGTGAAGCCAGGGAGCATACCGTTGGTGCTAGCTCTTCATTGATGGCTGAAATTTCCTCCACGTCTATTTCCCCGGCTCGGAATGCTGCCCAGTTATTGCGACAGTCCGTACAGGCGCCAATTCTCTGACCACGATGGCTACCTGGTAACATAGGACCAGTGATCAGGGGAAGAATTGGTTTGTTGGCGGATATTCCCCCCATCAACTGAGCAGGAACAGTCTTGTCACAGCCTGCGAATTGTGAGCAGAAGTATGGCAATAATTTACGCAATGATTGATGATATACTCACCTCCGATCATTATACATGCGTCCAATGGTTGAGCACGAATCATCTCCTCGGTGTCCATGCTCATCAAATTCCGTAAAAACATACTCGTGGGGTGTGAGAATGATTCATGAACACTGATTGTGGGAAATTCCACTGCCAGCCCTCCATTGAGATGGACACCGCGCTTGGCGGCCTCTATGAGCTGCGGGACATTTGCATGGCAGGGATTGAACCCTGAGAATGTATTGATAATGCCCACTATAGGTCGGGAAAGGGCATCTTCCGAGAATCCAAGGGCCTTAATGAACACCTTGCGGAGAAAAAGAGAGAAATGTGCATCTCCATACGATGTTAGACCCTGACGCAGGCCGGAGGTAGATGTGATTGGAGTGCTGAGGTCATAGTCCTGATTAAGCTCAGGCTCTTTAATACCCTGCATCATGTGCTTAGACTTCCAAGGTCAGCTTTCAGAGATGCTCTATCGCATATAAGTAATTATGGATGCATTTATTGGAGCTTATATATTCCCAATCTCTGAGTGGATGGTGTTATCGGGTCAACTCCGAGCGGATATTATTCCGGTCTCACCCCGCGTTCTCGCTATTTGTGGAGCATCCATAGATTTACATCTCAACCTACCTATTCTTGAATTGAACTATTGGCTCAGCATGGTCTGTGCCACTTAATGGCCCTCGGCTCTTGCAACATCGGCATTTGTATCGAGATTGCTCTTTGCAGATTGCTGCATTGACAACCAGCATACTACCCTCACGATATCGTGGGCGTGGAAGAAGGACAGATGTATCAGATAAAATACTAGATTGTCGAGCCTTCACAAATGACATCCACTTAGGTAGGTACCCCAAGTATGTGCTTGAATTGATTTCATCATATTGGCTATTGACGAGTTGAGAAGGTTAATAAATCCAACTTTGCGCGAGATTGTGAAAACGCATGAATTGATGCAATAGATAGTACAAAGAGAACATGTCTCACTTCTCACTCTGCAGAATCTTTTGCAATCTAGCACTCTCCTTTTCATATCGGAGAATCTTTGATTGCGAGCCATGAACCTTGCTCAAAAGCCACTCAATTCGCGACGTCAATTCCCACGGATATTTCGGGAGCGAACCGAGCAGCGCAAGTTCTTCTTCATACTTGCCAATGCTCTTGTTCTCATTGCTGATCAGCTCGCTGAGAATGAGAAGATCTAGTCGACCTTCCAATGTTTTGTTCTCGATCAACTGCCGGAATGCAGCCTTGTACACGGGCTTTCCGGGTTTGATCCAGCGAGGGAACCCCTTGACAGATCTAATAGAGATCAATTCGGCTTGCTCAAGTGCCCGTAGGGTGGCTTCGCCATTGCCTTTGAACAGATCATTGAATAAGACCTTGTTGTAGAGAAGCTGTCCATCCTCAGCCTGCCCAAGGGCTTTGATAATGTGCCATGCTTGCTCAGTGGTCCATTGTGGTGAGGCTGAGTCTGTGCCTAAGATGAAAATTTTCATGATTTCAGAAGCAGACTGTTCAATAATTCTGTTTACCGCAGCTATTTGAAGGTATTAGTATGGGAAGCAACTGACAAGTAAAGGTGTAGCATCGACAAACCTCGAGGAGTCTCTCCCGCTTCAATGCGATGTGCCATGAACTCAAGGTCAGTGACCCGGCCTCCTAGGATTTGAATACAATCATCTAGGCCTTGGAGCTTCTCCTTGGATTGTCCGCCTTCGCCTGTTCCGGATTCCAAGTGATTTAGCACAAAGCGACGACCCACTTCCAGGGAGCAGTCACCCAATCCAATTGTCCGGAAGACCTGGTTTGGAAGAGCTTTGCTTAGAGGTTTGGAAAAGGACGAATCGGTAGTTAGAAAGATGACATGCGCAATATTGGCAGTCGTCAACCCAGCCGCCCATTCTGTTAGTTTGTCGAGCACAACACTATTCTCTGCATCATACATAAAATTGTCGATGATGACAACTGGCCGTTTGTCAGGATGAACTTCGAGATATTCATCGTCTTTGAGACTGGCATCCTTGTCTTCCTTCCGCCGACCTTCGAGCGCAACTCGCTTCATGGCTACTGCTGTATTTTGCCAGATTTTGCTAAGTTGGGCATCCAGGGTCTCAGAGAATCCAGCCTTGGTACCGATCATTCCCTGCGCAGCTAGGTCGATCAAACTGCTAATGCTGTTCATCCATGAGAAGATGGGTCGATAACCGACCTGCGCTGCTGCCCGAGCAATCTTGGCAGAATCACCTCGAGCGTCTTGAATCTGCTTGCAGTCAATGATAACTTTGTAGTGATGATCTTTCAGCGCCTGCTCTAGAACCAGTTCCCGCTTGCCCGAGCCTCTCGGGCCATGGATGACAATGAATGTTTCCGCGGTCTCTGTTAGCCAGGCTTGGAGCTGCGAGATATCGCCTTGCCGATCTTCCCAAATGGCTGTCAAGCCCCGAGGATCCGCCTTGCGTTGTCCAAAGTAAATCTTATTGGCTTTGCTGGCCTGCTTCCGAATCCACTGCATGACGGCATTATCTTCAATGTGAAGTGTGGCCTTGATTTTGAGTTTGATGAAGAATGTCCGAATAGGATCGAAGATAATGACGGTGATTGCTGCTACCAGAGCCGCGATGACAGGAAACATAATTCGTGGGTGGCTCAAAATCCAATCCTTGATCATAGACAAACGAATCTTGCGCTCATAGCTTATCTTGAATCTGGTACCGGATTTTCCCCCTCCGTCTTCCTCAAATGCATCATACCCGTGCATGCAATTTCTTGCCAGTACGGAGTATCGAGGGCGTTCGAAGCGCAGAATGGCGTACCGGGGCTCAACCTTTGAGTCCGATGGCTGCTGCTGGATGTCGAGGATTTTGCCAAAGGGACGAAAGAGAGAATATAGTGCCTCTTGATTCAGCTCTGCTGGTGGACCTTCAGTTGAGGCGGGCAGGAATTCAACTTTCAGGCTTTGGCTTGGGATCCGATATAGATCTTCAATCCATGGTCTTCCCCGAACTACATCGGCCTCTGCTGTTTGGAATGGATTAAACCATGGCCTGATAGGGTTTTTGGTGAGATGTTCCTTGATTGCCTCACTAATGTTCTCATCAGTGGTGCCGAGCTTGCGTTCGAATTTGACGAATGCACCGCCTTCCTTGTATCGTGGGATCACTTCTTTGATTTCAAGTTTCAAATTTTGAGGTAATACACGCTGGGCGATATGAAGAGGATCAGCTGCAGCAAGGTCAGGGTTGCTGACTCGCTTCAAGAGCCCTTCGAGAGGCTGTACATGGCTGAGAGGACCCCGCAGCAGCCATTGAAGCCGATGGGGGAAAATATCTGGAGCATGTTAAGCAGAACGTCATATTTGCGTCGAGTTTCAGTGCTTACTATTGATATATATGATCCCTTCATTGTCGTCAAGCTTGATGTGCCCTGACTTGATCGTGGATATACACCGTGCATGAGCCGTAGAGCGCAGTGGAGCTGGTCTCCAGGGATAAGGACGAGAGACGCAGACGGAGGGCACCTTTCGGGCCTTCACAGGGAAAGATACTCGTGCATGAAATGCAGGTCTCATATTCGCAGCATCATAAAATAGAAAGAAGAAAATGTGAAACGGGAAATCCAAGGTTGGACGATCAGGATGCCATCGTTGCAATGATGTCAGTCAGCTCTTATCACTGTGACTTATCGGCAGTATGCTATCTAATCAGCACGTGATACAAAGAGCACTTCCCGAAAACCCGCGTTGGCGCATATCCACCCCGGTGATTCCAGCGTCTCACAACAGAAACCAACTCTTCCAACACTTCCCACGACAATGGGTTGGTTCTGGAGCTCTAGTCCTCAGAAGGACAATTCCAACGATACAAAGGCCCCAGTGGCACCACAATCCACAATCCAAAATGCACCACTCAAAAAGTTGACACCAGACGAACAAGCCGATATGGAATTCAATCAGCTTCTGGCCGACCTCCGAAAAGCAGACGGTGAATTGAACAATGATTATTCATCTTCATTATCGCCAAACGGTACTCCATCCTCCAACAAACCCATCTCCCCCATCGCACCCGAATCCCTCTACCCAGACACCATGTCCTGTCGCTCCGCCTTCGACTACGCCTTCTTCTGCCAGTCCTTTGGTGGACAATTCGTGAATGTCTATCGATATGGAGAACTGCGATCCTGCAGTGAACACTGGGATAACTTCTGGCTGTGTATGAAGACCCGAGGCTGGTCAGATGAGTTGCGCAAAAAGACCATTCGAGAGCACAATCGGAAAAAGGCAATCAAATACAAGACAGGTCCCAGCAGTGAGGATGTTTGGGACGTGAGACTTGACCCGGCAAATGAGGCCTTTCAGGGTGATTTCGCCGCTTTGGAGCGGGAGATGAAAGCTGAAGAGGAGGCTCAACAGAAAGGAGCTGTATGATACCCCCGAGCTTGTTCCCTTTGGGTTGTTGGGGGCATTGCATTTGTACTATAAAATGTAGATATGTATCCTATATCTGGCGCAATCTCTACTATAATTTACGACATGTGGGATTTTGCTTCTCTGTAGAGGGATTCTTGTCCATAAGGCTATTCAAAAGTGCCACTAGTCAAGTTGAATGGCCCCATCTATGTAAGCCTAACTATGGTTTCTGCAACATTATCCTGGATGTGGTACAAGGCAAATGTCTATCTTTCGTAGTTCAAATGCAGGGCTTCACCATGCTAGAGAGCACCTGGGCAGCCTTATGTGGTTGCTTTCTGCTGACCCTCGTTAGCCCTGGAGTTTTCGATTCTCGCTCTAGAGCGGTCCGATAAGAAAAGCAAGAGCAAAGAAAGAGCGACAAGCGCTAAATTATGATGATGAAGTGCTCAGATTGATAAGAGACACGAAGAGAGGATACTATGTACAACCAAAAAAGAAGCACCGCATGACAGACGCTCTAAACACCTTGCATAGAGGAACGCTGCCGTCAGATAAAACAAATGAGACCAAAAAAAAAACATGTGTGCAAATAAGATAACCGAAAGAAACACAAGTATCAAAAAGAGAACCTCCCCGTCGAAGATCAGATGGATATCCTTTAAAACTCAATCAAATCCCACTTTTGGAAACTTTTCCACACCACATGCAAAATCATCATTGTCCGTCATTCTCATAAACAGATCCCAGTGATGTCAGCCATGTTTTTAGGCGACGACTTGGGTCTCCGTCGGCTGAGGAACAGAGTCAATGGCAGGCCGACGGACAATACCACCAGTGACAGGGAGGTGGGAGCTGACTCCACTCAGGAAAGCGTCAACTTCACGGGCACACTGGCGACCCTCATTGATACCCCTAGAAATGATCAGGTCAGTAAAATATTCGATAAAAGATGGAAGAAGTTAAAACTTACCAGACAATCAAAGACTGGCCACGGCGACAGTCACCAGCGGCGTAGACACCCGCAATATTGGTCGAGTAGTGGCCAGGGGGAGTCTTGACGTTCTTGCGAGGGTCACGAGCGATATCATCACCAAGAAGACGATCTTCGGGTCCCAAGAAACCCATAGACAAAAGGACCAGGTCGGCGGGGAAGAATTGCTCGCTACCTTCCACAGTCTTCATGTCCCAGCCACCAGTGGCGCTCTTGGTCCACTCCACACGCACGGTGTTGATACCCCTTACACGACCACTGCCATCATCGACGAACTCTGTGGACATGACACAGTACTCGCGAGGATCCTTACCCATGTGGGTCTTGACCTCCGAGTGACCATAGTCAATACGGTAGATGCGAGGCCACTGAGGCCAGGGGTTGTCATTGGCACGCTCTGGCGGAGGCTGAGGTAAAAGCTCGAAGTTGGTGACCGACTTGGCACCGTGGCGAACTGAAGTGCCAATGCAATCGTTACCAGTATCACCGCCACCAATTACAACGACATGCTTGTCCTTGGCAGAGATGTACTCGCCGTCGGAGAGATCGGAGTCTAGAAGAGACTTGGTGTTCTTGTGCAGGAATTGCATGGCAAAGTGCACACCCTCCAGCTCACGCCCAGGGACCTTGAGGTCACGAGCAACCGTAGCACCAGTTGCGATGATTACAGCGTCGCTAGAAGCACGGAGAGACTGAAGGGTAACCTCACAGTCAGGGCCAACAGCTGCACCGGCCACAAACTTGACTCCCTCAGCAGCCATGAGATCCACACGGCGCTGAACAACCTTCTTGTCAAGCTTCATATTGGGAATTCCATACATGAGAAGACCACCCATGCGGTCAGCTCGCTCGTAGACGATAACGGAGTGACCAGCACGGTTCAGCTGATCAGCAGCAGCCAGACCAGCGGGACCAGATCCGATAATGGAAATAGTCTTGCCGGTACGGGTTTTTGGTGGACGAGGAACCATCCAACCCATCTCGAAACCACGGTCAATGATAGCGCACTCAATCGACTTAATACCGACAGGGTCTTCGTTGATGCCAAGAACACAGGCACCCTCGCAAGGAGCAGGGCAAACACGACCAGTGAACTCGGGGAAATTGTTGGTCATGAGCAGGCGGTTAAGAGCATCTTGCCACTGATTCTGGAAGACCAACTCGTTCCACTTGGGAATGATATTGGAAATTGGGCAACCAGTGTCCGACTGACAAAATGGAACACCGCAGTCCATGCAACGAGCCGACTGGTACTTGAGCTCATCCTCGCTGAGGCGGTTGGAGATTTCGGCCCAGTCCCTGGTACGAGTTGTAGGGTTACGGTACTTCTCGCTGCGGCGACTGTATTTCATGAAGCCACGAGTCTTGTCCAAAATCAAGGCAGAACGTTTCTTCTCGACCTTCGAGTCGCCGATGCTATCCTCAATATCGAGCATATCTGCCTTCTTCTCATCAGTCTTAGCCTTGGCCTTCTCAGCACTGTGAACTGGAGTGCTGGGAAGTTGAGGAAGAGAGAACTCGGCCTTCTTCGCGGCCGCGGCCTTAGCAGCCTCTTCCAGCATAACTCGCTTGTAATCGATGGGAAGCACCTTGACCAAGTGAGGAAGAGCGCGGGTAAAATCGAGGAGAATACGAGCCGCGAGCTCGGATCCAGTGTAGTGGTGGTGGTCCTCGATCAGACCACGGACAAAAGCGATCTCGGAGGGCTCTTCGATACCAGAAATCTCAACCATCTCCATGTTGACCTTGGAGTGGAAGTCCTGGTTCATGTCCAGAACGTAAGCAATACCACCAGACATACCGGCGGCAAAGTTACGACCAGTGGAACCCAGAATCAGGACACGTCCACCAGTCATGTACTCACAACCGTGGTCACCAACACCCTCGACAATAGCGGTAGCACCCGAGTTTCGGACAGCAAAACGCTCAGCAGCAACTCCACGGAAGTAGCAAGTACCTCCAGTGGCACCGTACAGACAGGTGTTACCAACAATGACATTCTCCTCGGCCTTGAAAGCAGCACCGCGAGGAGGATACACAATCAGACGGCCACCAGACAGACCCTTGCCAACATAGTCGTTAGCATCACCCTCAAGCTCCAGAGTGACACCAGGGGCAAGATAAGCACCAAAGGACTGACCAGCAGAACCCTTGATGTTGGCATGGATGGTGTCTTGAGGAAGACCAGCCTCGCCATAGCGTCGGCTGATCTGATACGACAAAGTGGCACCAAGAGAGCGATCGGTGTTGACAACGTCGCACTCAATACGGCAAGGAAGACCCTTCTCCAGAGCAAGCTCAGACTCAGCAATCAGCTTGTTGTCGAGACGAGTGTGGAGGCGATGATCCTGCTTTCGGACATTATAGGTGGCAACACCAGGGCGAAGCGAGTGAGCAGGAGTCAGGATAAGCGATAGATCCACACGCTCCTGCTTTTGGTTGCGAATGTCATCTCGAACCTTGAGCAGCTCGGCACGACCAACCATCTCGTTGATAGTGCGAACGCCAAGCTTGGCCATGATCGCACGCATCTCATTGGCAACGTAGAAGAAGAAGTTGATTACATTTTCGGGTGTACCCTTGAACTTCTTCCGCAGCTCGGGGTCCTGTGTGGCAATACCGACGGGGCAAGTGTTGAGGTGGCATTTTCTCATGAAAACGCAACCCATGGCAATTAATGGAGTGGTTGCAAAGCCATACTCCTCAGCACCAAGCAGACAGGCGATGGCGAGGTCACGTCCAGTCCGAATTTGACCGTCAGTTTGGACGACAACACGGCCACGAAGATCGTTAAGAACGAGAGTCTGGTGAGTCTCGGCAAGACCCAACTCCCAAGGAAGACCGGCATACTTGATACCAGTCCAGCGCGAGGCACCAGTACCACCATCATGACCGGAGATCAGGATGTGGTCAGCTTTGGCCTTAGCGACACCAGAGGCGACGATACCAACACCGACTTCGGATACCAGCTTGACAGAAATACGAGCGCGCGGGTTGGAGCACTTGAGATCGTAAATCAGCTGCTTCAGATCCTCGATGGAGTAAATATCGTGGTGGGGAGGAGGGGAAATCAGGCCAACTCCAGGGGTTGAGTGACGAGTACGAGCAATAGGACCGAGGACCTTATGGCCAGGCAGCTCACCACCCTCACCGGGCTTAGCACCCTGGGCCATCTTGATCTGCAGTTCATCGGCATCAGCAAGATAGTTCGAAGTCACACCAAATCGGCCAGAGGCAATCTGTTTGATAGCAGATCGCATGGTGTCACCGTTCTCCATACGATCGCTGCGTTCGGCATCTTCACCACCTTCGCCGGTGTTGGACTTGCCTCCCAGTCGGTTCATGGCGATGGCAAGAGTGGAGTGAGCTTCCATGGAAATGGATCCGTAAGACATGGCGCCAGTTACGAAGCGGCGAACAATCTCAGTCCAAGGTTCAACCTGATCAATGGGAATGGGAGTTCTCTGGTCAAAGTCAAAGTCAAGCATACCACGCAGAGTGCAATTCTTGATCTGTTCGTGCTCTGCCTTGGCATAAGCCTCGTAGGATTTGTCGTTCTTGGTGCGAACAGCATCCTGCATGTTAGCAATGCTGACAGGGTCGTTGACATGGGCCTCGCCGCCATCACGCCAGTGGTATTCACCGGACTCGGGGAGGCCGGGAATCTCGACGATGTCACGCGAGGGATAGCCACGCTCGTGGAAAGCGAAAGCGTCCTGGGCAATCAAGTCGAATGTAATACCGCGAATACGGCTGGCGGTTCCAGCAAAGCAGCGGTCAATAACGCTGTCGTCGATACCAAGAGCCTCAAAGATCTGAGCACCCTTGTAGGACTGGAGAGTGGAGATACCCATCTTGCTCATGACCTTGAGGATACCACCATCACAGGAAGCCTTGTAGTTTTCGATGACTTTGCCATCGGGAAGGTCTTTGCGAATGAGCTTCTCACGGTTCATCTTGAGGAGACACTCCATAGCGAGGTACGGGCTGATGGCATCGGCACCGTATCCAAGAAGGACACAGTGATGGTGAACTTCACGGGCTTCGGCAGTCTCAACGGCCAAAGCAGCGAGGGAACGCCACTTATTGCGAACCAAGTGGTGGTGAACCAATCCGGTAGCCAACAAAGCGGAGACAGGAACACGGTCAGCGTTGGTAGCACGGTCAGACAGAATGATGACCTTGTCACCTTGTGTGATGGCTTGAGTAGTAGCATCACAGATAGCATCCAGTGCCTCGAGATAGCCAGCAGTACCCTTCTTCTTGTCGAATGTGATATCGATGGTGCAAACATTCCAATCCTTATGAGCGTGATTTATGTTCTTGAGGGCGTTGAATTCAGAGTTGCTCAAAATAGGAGACGGGAGAAGCAGTCTGTGACACTGAGTTTGGTCCATCTCCAGCAGATTGCCCTGCGGACCGACGTAGCACTCAAGGGACATGACCACAGCCTCCCGAATGGGGTCAATGGGAGGGTTGGTAACCTGAGCAAACAGCTGGCGGAAGTATTCATAGAGCAGACGAGGTTGTTGAGCAATGCAGGCCAAGGGTGCATCGTTACCCATGGAGCCCAGGGCTTCTTTGGAGTCTGCACCCATGGGACCCAGGAGCAGGCTGACCTGCTCGAAGGAATAGCCGAAGGCGCGGAGACGAGGGTCGTTTTGTACGGTGTTATCATCAAGGGTGAAGGAAAGATCCACATTTTGATCCAGCAGTAGCTTGTTAATAGCAGGCAACTTCAGGAGCTCTTTGTCCAGCCAGCCGGCAAAATCGTGACGTCTGGCAACGGTCTGCTTCAATTCTGAATCGTCGATGATGCGACCAGCCACGGTATCTACCAGCAACATCTTTCCAGGCTGCAGACGGCCCTTCTGAACCACACGCTCGGGATCTATGTCAATCGCACCAACTTCAGAGGCACAAACGATGCGATCATCATCCATGACATAGAAGCGACACGGGCGCAAACCGTTACGGTCAAGGTTGGCACCACAATAACGGCCGTCAGAGAAAGTGAACAGAGCCGGGCCATCCCAGGGCTCCATCTGGCATGCCGCCCACTCATAGAAGGCGGACTTGGCCGGGTCCATCGCTGGATTGTCCTGCCAAGCTTCGGGGATCATAATCATCACAGCCTCGGGCAGAGATAGAACACCATTAATCATGAGCAATTCCAGAACATTATCAAAAGCTGCCGAGTCGGAGCCGCCTTCCTCCACAATGGGGTATAATTGGTCCAACTCGTCACCAAAGACATCTGAACGAAGAACTCCCTCGCGAGCACGCATCCAGTTTTTGTTTCCGCGCAATGTGTTAATTTCACCATTGTGAGCGGCCCATCGCAATGGCTGAGCACGATCCCAGGAGGGGAATGTGTTAGTCGAGAAACGGGAGTGGACTAGGGCAAAGTGACCCTCATAGTCGACGTTGACTAGATCATGATAGTATTGATAAACTTGCACCGGGGACAGCTGGCCTTTGTAGACAATATTCCGGTTGCTGAGAGAGCAGAGGTAGAACCAGTTACCCATCCCAATAACGTGGGTGGCACGCTTCCGCAGAATGTACAATTGAAGTTCAAAAGACCGGGCGTCGAACTTGTCGGTATCAGTGATTTCGGGCTTGTTGCCCTCGCCGTAGGCAGATTTGAAAACTACAAACGGCTGCATGATAATGGGCTCACGCGACAGCGCAGCTGGACCTAGAATCGTGGAGTCGCGGGGCACCTCCCGCCATCCCAGGACGCGGAGGCCGAGCGAGGATGCCAATTCCTCGAAGCTGGCGATCGATTGCTTCAAAGCATCCTCATCTGGCTTGAAGAACAAGTTTCCGACGGCATACTGGCCCAGTGGAGGGAGGTCCACGCCTACCTCGCGGGCAAAATTCTTGATGAAGAACTTGTGGGGGATACTGGTCATCACACCAGCACCATCACCGTCTCGTGCGTCCGAGCCAACGGCTCCACGGTGGGTCATGTTGCACAACAGATTGCGGGCTATCCGAGACGACGTCAGCGCAAACTTCGGGAGTTTTTGTATGTTCGAAGGTTTTGAAAGACTTACCATCGCTCACAATCTTGTGGCTCGGTTTGCCCTTGATATGGCTGGATTTGGAATTGAGGTTAGCCGTGTCGTTCCTGTACCCCAATCTTGATACAGAGCTCACTCACGCTGCGAATCCTACACCACAGGCATCCTTTTCATATTCGGGGTCATAGAGACCCTGCCGCTCGGGCAGTGTATTGGCCCAGCCATAGCCTTTCTTAGGCTGATACTCCGAATACTCCTGAGGAGCTTGGGCTTCACTTAAATCTTTGCCATAGATTTCCTCCAAGTTAAGACCCATTCTTCTCGCCGGGGGCCGACAGAGAATGGACACACAGAGGGGACTTTTTTGGAGGGATGTGTCTGGAGATCTCCGCCGGGATTCTTTGGGCGGGACTGATCGATAGGGCGATAAGACAATGTCGTCACCGGGCGCAGCACGGGGAAGGTAGAGGTCAGTTCAAACTGAAGACCCGTCTGCAAGGAAGGTTTAAAGATGGGAATGGGAAGGAAAGTGAGGGAGAAAAGGAGGGGAATGAGAAAAAAAAGACAAGCGGTTACGGCAGGACAACAGGTCCGGGGATTGTAGGCTGTTGCTCCGATGGAAATCCCAAAAGAGAAGGGAAATAAAATACAGCCTGTGGGGTATTTTTCCTTATTGTTTTTCCGTGGCAAATGCATTTCTTCTTCCAAGGTTATTTCACTTCTACCCTAACGAAACCAGTTTCATGGTACCTATTGGCTACGTGTCTGGTCCCTTGGAAATCAAATGATTCATTTCTAGGGAACTAACTTCTAGCAGAATATTGAATTGTGACATCTGGGATTATTAAATTTTCAATTTTACCAAGATTACCATGTAAGACACCCCGGAGACTTGGAGAACCCCTCATAGATGAAAACAGCAGGGGTGGGAGGTGGGGGGGGGGCATTCCAGATGGACGTTAGAGCTTCCAGCAATGATGGGTCGAGTAATGATAATCATTATGATTACGGCGAGCAAATCGTCAAGATAAGCGTTGATCGACCAATCAGAGACAAGGCATTGCAACCTCTGAGTCCAAACGATTAGGTTTCTGCTACGTCAAGAGTCTTTAAGATCCTCGCCGGTGGAGTGGGTGTATTGTATTGTATCAGTACCTTAATCTTCGTTTCTTTACCAGTGCAACTCCTCTCAGGTGTTCTATGCCTGAGTCATGTATACTTCGAAGCCGAGTACATTGTCAAACGTTAGTACTGGTACCTCAGACTTTATGGCCCTAGTATTACTTTGTTGTTTTCCTCTTGTTCGCTTTGGCCCCCCTTGATTCATGATCTCATCTACATCCACATGCGTATGGTCAACGCATACCCGGGCGGTGGGGCCACCGAACGGCCCCAAGGGAGAATCCGACGGTATGATTGGCTTGTAGACGCAACCAGACCACGAAAACTAGAAAATCAGCCTTCTCCAAGATGCCTGTTGTCCCAAGTGGACGGTGGTTGGTGGGGCAATTGCATGCAATGCTTAATCCAGTCAATAGTTTCTCTACTATTGCTGTACAGCTTCAGGGTGTTCAATCTGAGCTGTTCTCTTTCTTTTCTTTAGACGAGGCAAATGAGAAGGAAGAAAAAAAAAATCCCAATTGACCAGAAACAGTTTGATGATAATGCCAAGGTGTAGATTAAAAGTTTCATTAAGATAGATGGCCGTACATATATCCAACCCCGTTCCCGAGCCTCCGCCCCACAGTGTGCAGGTCAGATCAGGGGCCACGCACTGATAAATACAGGTATATACCAATACCAAACATACCCGCCAGTCCGACAACGGCCAAGCTGTCCGGAATCTTCCTCTCCTCCCCTAACAATTGCAATCTGACCAATGATCCTCCCTACTATCAATGCTGGTGCGCCCCCCGATTTCGGGGTCATGTTCTCTCTGCATTTGGATCCCGAACCGCTTCTTCCAGCTCATCATTTCAAGTCATCCAAACTGCTTATCGCGGCTTGGAAGATATTACCTGCCATCTCACTCGTCGAAGCCGCACCCCAGAAGATCACCACGTCCCCGGAACCCCCCATCGACGTTCCACGTTTCAAGTGGAATGTATTCTGGAGACTTGGGTTCATTTACCCCGTACAAACCTCGGACTTAAGCATTCATCCGGAGCTCAATCCCCCGGACACGTGAAGCGGGTGAGTATATGATAAGACTCTTGATAATAAGCAAACATAACCCCGCCCAAAATTAAGGTGCTCCGCCCTGGTCGTTTTCCGAGCGGAACTGCATGTGTATTCCTATCGGCCGAGGATCTCTTTTCCCTTTATTGCCTAGCATGCTATGGAAAGAATACAATCAGGCCATACATGTCAGAACAGAAGCCTGGATGAACTGAGGTCCACGTGTGTCGTGTATACTGTGGTTCCGGAAATTGTCCAGGTACTTCCTCGCTTAGCGCAACTCTAACCTTACCATTTCAAGTCTAGATCAGGTCATATTGTGTGTGGTTTGTCATGGAGTTTTTTTTTGCTCTATCTTCAGGTAATTTGGTGGGCTTATGCTCTGTGCATTTGACGTTTCTCTCGAAATTCCGGATACGCATCATCGTAAATGCATCGGTGAGGCGAGTCCTTGACCGTAATAAGTTAGCCTCTTACTCGTGTGATCCGAATATTTGCCTTACTGCGTGTCTTGGTTGCCTATCTCCCCACGAAGTAGTCGTCTCCCGGGCAAATGATGGCTTCAAGTTTTCACTATATCAGCATATCGATAGGAAAAGGAACCCAACTTTTCCATTGACACATTCTATCTTACCTGGCTACTCATCAAGTCGGATGTATGTGGCTTTGTTGGAGCCGCAATTGCTCCACAGGCAAAGGCTACAAGCACATAAATTCGCATTTTCGTCAGAATCAGGTCACTTTACTGACTTGGAAAGATCGCATCTCGTCTATTATAATAGAGTATATCTTCCGGAAATGGCACGTTTTCTAGAAGTTCCTTTGCTGAAGACATGAAAATCCCGGATGCGGAAGTGAGGTTCAATGTTCAAATCCGGCCTTTTTCTGGATATACCCGACCAATCAAAGTTGCTTCCAACCTCAGTTTTGCTTGAACTGCAATGCAGACGAATCATTTGACTAAGAAGTGCCTATAGACGCTTTGGGTACTTTGTATACATTCCAATCTCCATGGGATCCACAGTGGATATCCCCTCACCGCCAATAATCGGGGAGTGAATATAAGACACCAGGTGCGTGTCCATCGATCTTGGGGTAACATGTGCATCGCTTCTCCGACTTTTCCCGGGTTCTCGTCCTTGACTCTTGTCTACTTTGGGTTCACCGGACTGATCTCATCGCTGGGATCGGGTAATTGCGGGAAATCCATGGTTGGACCGCGGCCAAGCCTCCACGTACGAGTCCATACAAAAGGTACGCGTACTTTTATTAAATACCAGGAACACAGCTGCCGAGCCCGAGATCTTCCCTGTTCTAAGGTTCTTGATGACCTGATTTGAGACATTGGTGTAGCCTAACCTTGTTAAAAAAAATACAAGTGTTAGGCTTCACGGCTCAACGTTAATTATATATTTTCCTGGTACCTGCGTAGTAGCCTACTAGGGATAGATATGGATGTATGGAATACGAGCTGATGACTCACGATCACTCCAACCTCAACCCATTTGGCGAAAATGTTTCATTTCAGGGCCAAGGACAAATGAACATTTCCCCATCACCATTACCGTGATGGCGAGGAAAGATCTCCCAGTTATAACTCAACAAAGCCCAACAATGGCATCACAGGAAAATGAAAAATTCCTGATCCGTCGTATGCACAGCTCAGACATCCCGATATTGGGCATTTTAGCTGCTACAACCTACTTTAATTCCCCCCTCACTGCCTTCCTCTGTCCACGTCGTCATGAATACCCTGAGCATGTCATCCGTAACTTTGTCCAGATGATCCAAGGCCGCTACCTCAACCCTCGAAGCATTGGCTTTGTAGCCGTGGAGCGCGCCAGCCCATCCACTCCTGTAGCCTATGCGCAGTTCATTCGACTAGGTAATGACCAGTCTGCATTGCAATTGCTCTCCGATCAACGCTCCATCTGGCGTTTACTGCAAGCATGGTGGTTCAAGATTCAAGTATCGGTTGTGAATCTCTTTTCACCTGATCGGTCTGTCAATCATGATGCTCTGGATGCGTTTATGGAATCAGCTAAGCGGGATGAGCAACTGTACTGGGAGTCTCCAGAGATGAAGATCAAATATTCGAACCGGTGGCATGCGCAAAGCGTGGTGGTATCCTCGTCCTATCATCGACAAGGAATTGGACGGCGACTGATGGAAGAGGTACTAGGAAGAGCGCAGGATGAAGGGGTGGTAGTAGGATTAGAAGCAAGTGAAGATGGGGAGAAGCTCTATCAGAAGCTGGGATTTGAGCTACGGGGTTTATTCTCTATGAACATTGGTCTACCAGCTGGAGGGATCATGATGTGGACTCCGGAAAGGTGATGCTTGCATACAGCTGCAGGTATAAGCTATATAAACCCAGTAGGTGTCTCATCCCAGATATACCTGTGTATGTACTTGATCAAACGGACGATTCGGACCTGAGTCTCATACGTCATTTTAGTCAACAAACGCAATGTAGCTTATTCATTGATTGTTTACGAATACATGCAGCCCGAAAGTAAATCAGCCTTGTAGATCCCTATTAACGGAGATGCATTTGCGTGGTGCATTGCACCAATAGCTATGTCCCCGCAATGCCAATGTTTTGGGTTGCGGAGCTCCGACCCGCCGACTTTTCCAGCGCCCTAGCTCCTCTCCATCCATGGATTACTCTTGAATTGACCGCATTTGTCTGTCGAATGAGTTATTGACGATTCTTTATAACTCTCTACTCTCACCTGACCACAAGTTATATTCCTCATACTACCGTGACAAATACGTGCTACCCAAAGCTAGCAATATCATCGCAACGTCGCGACAAGCTTCAGAGGAGCAACCACCCAACGTCCCAACCACATCTACTCGGACTCGACCCAGAAAATAACCGACAGTAAACGCCCCTCTCCATAATTGCAACAATGCTGTCTCTACCCTTTCTCACCCCTCGCGATGTAAGTACTGAGCAAATCTCCAAACCTATGCGCGCCCCACACCAGAGGTCAGGATCTAACCCTGCACAACAAACAGTCACATGAGCTCTGGTTCGGCGCATCACAGCCATATCGATCTACCTCCCCCCAACAATCACATACCGACGCCGGTGCCAATCTCGCCCGTCGCAATGGCAATAACACAAATAATCACCGAGCCTTCATGCCCTCGCGCTCACCAGCAAATGGTCTCGCGGCTCTCGCTATGGAGGAGCGGGCCCTGCGCGCTCGGAAACAGAACATTGCATCCTTTGGATACTCGTGGATTAAACCAGCGGGATGCTCAAAGACAATGCTGGGTATGAAAGAGGAAGAGGCTGAGCGCGAGGAGGCGCTTGCGGCGGCGGCGGCGGAAATCAACGCTGAAGGAATGATGGAAGACGATATGGGTGTGACACAAGGAGAGGAGGGAGAGGAGGTGGACCAGGGCATGGAGCGGGATTTGGACGACGAGATCCCCGATGCGGATGCCGAGGGGTTGATTGAGGAAGGCGAGGAGGGGCTAGAAGAGGAGGATGTTGTCGACGAGGAGGGTTATATGGAGCGGGATCTGGATGATGACATTCCTGAAGGATACCCCGATGACGACTACGAGGAAAGTGGGTTGTACGAGCAGGACGATGAGGACTTTGATAACCAACCTGATTTGGATGCGGAAATTCCCGAGGCCGGGGAGGGGATGAGTGACGGCATGAGTCGAGATCTGGATGTTGAGATTCCCGACGCCGTGGCGAGTGGATCCGAACAAGAAGGCGAATGGCAGCATACCGATACCGAGGAAGAGTCTGATGAGGAGGAAGAGAATGACAATGTCGTCCGCAACAGACTCACGGAGAACTTTAGAACAAGCACGCCCAACAGTCGTGCCGGCATGTTACCAACGCCGCCAATGCGCCGGGCACGCGAGACTGAAGCTCAGAGCCGGTTCATCAATCGCTGGAGTGGTGGTGGTGATGCCCTGGACTCTAGCAGCATGTTCCTCGAAGATGAGGATCTGCGTGCATCGGTAACAAGTCAAGGTAGCCGTCGCAGTGGGCTTGCTCGACGGTTCCCTCGTCATGTTGGCAGACCACGAGACAGTTTTAATTGAAATTGGCACCTTGGTTACTGCAGAGTTATCGACTACTGTCTTATTAAGTGGTTTGCATGGTGTTAATGGTGTTTAGATTGAACTGGATTTGCCACAAAAGCATCAAACTCAAGAGTCAGAATTGCATAGAACATGCAAGAGACTCAATATCATATGGTAGTCCTTCAAAAACTCTAGGGTTTAAGCATGAGCTTCTCCCTTAATGTTTACTTGGAATGTGCATTATATACTTATGTATTCTTGAATCTCAAAAAATCAGTGTCAGCATGACTCCGTTGGACACTGAAAACTAGTGAAACACCAGGTTTCTCAGTCCTGAATTAAGCCCATTTCAAAAGGACACAAAGCATTATTGACCTTGTATGTAGCGCCTCCGATAATCACATGGCATGCAATAAAATGCAGCCGGAATCCCAAAACTAACACCAAAACACCTTAGCCAAGAAAATGTCATGCTATACTAAAAGCAACCGTATGTATGCGTGCCGCCGGAAGACACGAAGATTGAGGCCAAGTACACGCTCTTGCTTCTGAGAGAGAATCAAGTATACAAGTGAAGCCGTGTATAAGCCATTGGTCATAGCTCTGGCAATCAGAATATCCACACATAGAAGAACAAGAAGAACACAGCGAAGAAGAATCCAACCCACACCCGCCAGCCAACGCCAGTGCGTTCAGCCATGCGAAGCATGCGGTTCATGTTTCCCCGAAGCCGGACTCGGGTACTTTCAAATGAGCCTTCGAGACCGTCTATGTGTGTGGTATCCCGGATTTCGTCTCCAATCGCAAAAGTGAGCTAAGAGGGTCTTGTCAGTGGCTATTGCAACAAAACTCAACGGCGCGTTGCCCTCGCGCCATGGCCAAGTATTCAAACCACTTACATCTTTCAGCATCCTCACTTTGGCGGTGATACCTTCTACCTCCGCATCATTTTGTGATTCAAGTGACGAGAGGACTGCATCTGAGTAGTGGCCCCTACAACAGAAGATTAGAAACCAAGCACAACTCAACTTCATTAAGGCAGCGACCATTGAGCATACTTCTTGTCAGGGGTTGCGCTTCGATATGAAGGTCCAGCAGCACTGCCATTGCCATAGTTGTTCCCAGCTGGGCTGGAATAGCCTCCATACCCGTATCCGCCCGCCGGAGCTGGCGATCTGCTGGCCGGACGGGAACCGCCACCGTAAGAGTCAAATAGGGAGGAAGAAGCGCGCGGATCACGCTGACGGGGAAATCTGTTCATGCTTGTTAGTTGCTATGGACACTGAGGATTCCCATTTTGTAATGTGGTCATAGGGAAAGGAGAGAGGGTCGGACTATACCGTGAAGCCATGACGTTCGTGTCCAGGTCCAGAAAGGATCCGAGGAATTATAGGGAATTACCAGTCAAGTAAGGTTCAATAATGGGTCAGTAGTTACTTGGGGACATTGTGTGGTCCTAGCAACCGGTGAAATTCATGATATTTTGGAGAACGTGGAGAGACCCTGGTTGCGGACAAAAACACAAGGTGGCCAAAGCGTAGATCCGCGAGCGCACGTGATGACGCAGTGTTTACAGGAGTCTAGGAAAACAAAACAAAATGCTGGGAGTGAAACGAATGGACCATTTAATAATTAGGCGGCAAGGTTTTGAGCTCTACAAGGCATCGGGGAATTTAAGTCTTGACGCAGAACGCACTCCACAGGTGCCGGGTACCACAGAGTGAAGCAGCTCACTACAGTAATTTCACCACATATATGAACGATATTGTTGTAGAAATAAATAGAATGAATATGCAGTAAGTGCAATGGATAATCATAGTTGGACGCTAAATAGTCGTAGATCTTCTCTGAAATAAGAGAATCCGGCCACAACTGAGTTTCATTGAATCATTGACAGCGCCATCCGGCGCGACTGAGAACAGAATGAGAGCGTGTCTCGAACGAAGTAAGACATGAACCTCCCCTTAGCACATAGCGCCGACCTAACCTGATCCTTCATAGCAATGTTCGTATCGCCTGAGTCGTATCGTGGAGCCCGGCTATTTAACCGCGCATGGCATGGTCATTGTCGTCATCCGCACCCTGGTACTCCTCATCGTCCTCGTCTTCATCATCATCGTTCATCTTGTTCTGCTCGGCAACATCAGCGTAATTGATGACCTTGCCGCGTGTACGGCGACCGCCCGAGATGATGTTGCCTTGGTCGATAGGCTCGAGGTTACTGTCCATGTCCTCGTCCTCCTCTGTAATTTTCTTTCGGTTAGCAACGATTGAGTTGATTTGGGGGCGTGGCAAGTCACGTAGCACCACTAGGCCTCGCAATGATCGAGGCTCAGGGCAACTATGCTTGCAGATGAAGGGGGCGCGTACCGGTCTGCTCCTAGAAACGCGCAAAGTTAGTACACCATTGAGCCGTTGAAAGCAGGGGGGTGCGATAGATTTCGCAAGCTTACAATTTCAGGCTCGCTCTCCGATGAACTGTCATCGTCCATGTTCATCTCGTTGGTAGGGTCGGTGGACTTGCCCTTGCCCTTGTCCTCGACGGAGGGGTCGTTGAAGGTAGCGCGGTCAGCCATTGTGGATGTGTAACGTGTTGGCAAGATGGAAAGCGTAGATGGTGTGAAAGAGGTTGGGATTGGAGAGGGGGGAGGGGGGAAATTTAAAAGAGACGGTCTGCGAGGTAAGGTAGCTGTCCAGCCAAAACAACTAGCAACAGTAAGGGACGGCGGGATCCCGTGATGTGATTCGCTCAACAGGGTGGGGACCTCGTGACAGGCCGTGCCCTGAGCCTTCTGTATTTGAAGTTTACTCACGGCATTCTACTTGTTTTATGAGTATTAAGACAGTGATCAAATGTGTAAGCTATATTATCAATGCATTCACATTAATATGATATATTCCAAGTACAGGCCGTTCCCAACCTATGTCAAAGCAAAGCATCGCTCTACCGACTCACCATTATTCCCCCACCATTTTGGCATCGAGATCTGCTTGCCTGCTCCGAAAAAGAAGAAGATAAGCAACATATTGAGGTTAAACCCCGCATCAAACGCTGCAGCAATCAAATAGTTGTACCGCTTCCATACTTCGAAATGGCGCCGATATGCCCAGTACATCACAACATAACCACCGATGATAGCGGATGTGTAGCCAGTACTAAGGTTGCCGTAGAACATAGCAAGGCCGCCAAAGAAAATACTGACATTCCAAAGGTCAATTCGCAACCTGGGGAAGAATCGATGGAATATGAATAAGATCGGTGGGATCACTGCACCGACTAGGAAGGACCATGGCAGGGGCGTCATCTCGGCTTCCGCGAAGAGTCTCTTGGGACCGAGAACGGCATATTGCACACCCATAGTGTTCGATGTGCGCAATGATTGGCCAGTCCATTGATTGAGCGGATCTGTTTTCACTCCAGTCAAGTAGTCTCCTTTGGTATCCATCACCCAGCGAATGACAGCATAATTTATGGGAATGCCCATTAGGGTGCCAAAAATCTGGGAGAAGAAAATCTCACGCGGGGGTATGTGCATGTAGTGCCCGATCTTCTGGTCTTGTAACATATACTGCGCACGATACCATGCGTCACCAGCGATGGAGCCGTAGACCGAAGGGCCACATGGGTGCTGGTGGCCGGAGCCAGCTTTAGTATGCACCATGTACCCGTACATTAGCTCATTAAACGACCCAGTCTCAAGTTGGTAGTTGGAAATGGCGTACAACCAAGCAAAAGGAATGACGAAGACAGCAGCGCTTGCAAGCCCGACAAACAGGGTCCAGATTGGGATGAACAGGTTTCCACATGCGATAATGGTTACCAAAATGACCAGTGCTGTTAGGAACAGGGAGAGGTACCACCACAGTGGTATCTCTTTATATTGTCTCTGAATCACATTGAGGCGGTCATGGTATTGATGATGAATGCCTTCTCCCGGTGATGATCTAGCAGCCTTGCGAGCCCCGAGAATCTTTTTAAGATTGTTTCTTATTTGGACATAGCCAAAAGTCGCAATCCAGGTGATTGCCGCTGGCAACTTGGCATAGTCAAACCAGGTCGCCCACACATTCTGTAGTCCCATATACATAGGGCCATACTGTTGATAGGCTGTCTCGTTTAGGTGATACTCGGGGGTCAGCACTTTGAGTGTTGGGTAGGTCGTGCCGTTAGCCATCAGGAGACTGTTCGACATAAGGCCATGTTTGTAGGAACCGAGGTCGCCCCATTTAGCTGCAGGGATCAGAACCCAGCAGTTAAAAGCATATGCCAGGAACAGAATGACCTGTGTCCAGAACGGCGTGAGCATGATTGAGGACCCATTCCAGTTGATGTTAGACCAGTCCAATGACAAATTCAAAAACCCCATACCCCCAAGTCCAGACCCAATGAAGTTGGCCACTGCGTTATGCGGAGCTACCCAGCAGAGAAAAGCCAGGGAAGAGAGGAATGGGAATACATATTCTGGGAGGAACTGCCACAGGGTCATCCCCAGGAAAGCAAGAAAAAACACTTTCATTTGGCGTCGGGCGACGGGCGACGCAGTGTCTGTTTTGCGGAAGGTCTCGAACAAGGTTGTTTGCATCAAGGCCTGTGGCCAAATGTACTCGGGATCTGGCAGCAGAATTTGTCGTGCAAGAGCAGCAAAGGAGTATCCCGTCCACACGATGGCTAGCATGAAGAAAATAGCGACTGCCGGATTGATTCTTGTTCCATACCAGAGTTCTGCTAGCACAATCGGCGCATATGCCAAATTATACGTCGCCCCCGATGCCGCTGTAACTGTGACGAGCACATGCTCTTTGATGCTCCACGGGCCAGGATTCAGGCTGAACGACCATCTGGTACCAGGCAAACGGACCGTCCAGGCCGGGAGTATTTTGGCCAGAAAGTGTCCCACATAATGACAAGCAATTTGTACGAAAAACACAGAGTAAGGGGCACTGGTGGTACGGAAGTGACTCATCTGAGACAAGAATGCACCAGGAATGACAAAAAGCGCCGAGAGCACAAAGTAGCGAAAGGTGATCGTGGGGAGAGTGGGATCATCGGTCAAATTGATAATCTGGCGTACTTGCAGAGGCAGTGCGGCGATTTCAGGATCATTGTGACTCTGTTGCTCAATCGCAGCCGTTTCAGTCTGCACTTTGTTTTTCTCCTCGTCGGATGGAACGATGCCGGGGATATCTACTTCAGACAGCTCTCCCGTCTGGTTGCTTGTGACCTCAACGATGGCAGGGCCCTCTGAAGGGCCCCGATGGCGCTTGAGTATACCCAGACGAGCCATGTTGGGGGAGAGGGGGGAAGAAAAGCTCTCAAAGGGATATGGCAACAAATACCAATGGGTGGCTGGTGAGAATGAGGATCAAACAACATATTGTCTTGGGGGGAATCTATTTTATTTAATCAAAGTAAAAGCCGTGAAAATTGCGACCTTTTACTATGCCAAGTAAACTAGCAACGCTTTTCTGACCAAGCTACATGAAGCCCCGACAATTGTGAACATGCGGACCAATGAGATCGTTCAGAGGAGCAGTGATTCGCGGCAGAAACCCCAGTTTGAGTGGTCCTCATAGAGTTACATTAGGAAAAAGCTCGAATAAAGTTGGGTAACAAGGCCAACTCAGATATAGCGCGGATGGCGTTATCAGGGTTTTCCCTTAATCGGGTTTGGTTTGCTCGGCGCTTTTACCTAAACTCAATTTCACCGAGTAATGGCCGGCTGCTACTTTAGTCATGGGATTATTCAAAGACAAAGAAGAATCAGAGACAAAGAAGCTGGAGATATCATGCTGTGTATAGTATGTACTTTAGAATCCATGGCATAGATATAAAGATGAATCAGGTCATTGATGAACGTACAGGTCTACTGAGAGTTTGTGGTATTTAGACTGGAAACATGGTGAGAGAATCCCAAGATCATGTAATGATTAGGATCTGTGTAGCAGATGAGCAAGATGGATAGAACGTCAAGACAATATACCGAGATTGTTGCAGTCTGTAGTCTGTTGTCTATAGATCAACAATTGGCTGAATTAGGCAACGATCTAGAAGGGACCATGGATGCCTGGTGTGGGCACCTAAGTACTCAGGTGTCTAGATATGGCGGAATTCTTATGTTTGCCTGAGGTGGCAATGGAAAGAGTGACTCATGGAAAAATGAATTCATCATGACGCTTTCGCGGTGACCATACTGATACGACATTACCCCACTATAATACGGTGAGAGGGGCTGTGACGTACCCCGTCCATACCGAGACAGGCATTGAGCTCAGTCCGGGCACGAGCCCACGATTACATCATACTTTTGCCCCGCCATGATTGGAAAAAAAAAAAAAAAATCTAAATACAGATGACAACAAGATAGATGTCCAAAGTCAATGGGAAATTGACGCCCAAAGAATGCTTAAGAAGATACTTGTGACCAGTAGAACAAAGAATGAACCCACTGGGCCCATCTGGAACTAGCGGGTCCTTTCATGAAATGAGAATTGGTGCTGTTGCTGGGGCATCGAAGACCATGGAAACCCATGGATGCCCATGGAAGCTCCCCTGCTAGAAGCTTCTGAACAATTCACCGCTCACTATATAGTAGGATTTCGCTGCCCTCACTCCTCTTCTTTTTTTTTCTACTTCACATTTCAATACCCCATTAATCCTCCCATTTCCTCCTTTCCCTTGTACACTACTCGAGTCATATCACGAATTTCTTTATTAACGACTCAACACACACATTCACAATGGCCCCCGCTGTCGGTATCGATCTGGGTACCACCTACTCCTGTGTGGGTGTGTTCCGTGATGACCGCATTGAGATCATTGCCAACGACCAGGGTAACCGCACTACTCCCTCGTTCGTTGCCTTCACCGACACCGAGCGTCTCATCGGTGATGCCGCCAAGAACCAGGTTGCCATGAACCCCCACAACACTGTCTTCGATGCCAAGCGTCTCATTGGTCGTCGTTTTACCGACGCTGAGGTTCAGGCTGATATGAAGCACTGGCCCTTCAAGATCATTGAGAAGGAGACCAAGCCCGTCATTGAGGTTGAGTTCAAGGGTGAGGCCAAGCAGTTCACTCCCGAGGAGGTTTCCTCCATGATCCTCACCAAGATGCGTGAGACCGCTGAGGCTTACCTCGGTGGCACCGTTAACAACGCTGTCATCACCGTCCCTGCCTACTTCAACGACTCCCAGCGTCAGGCCACCAAGGACGCCGGTCTCATTGCCGGTCTCAACGTCCTCCGTATCATTAACGAGCCCACCGCCGCTGCCATTGCCTACGGTCTTGACAAGAAGCAGGAGGGTGAGCGCAATGTCCTCATCTTCGATCTCGGTGGTGGTACCTTCGATGTGTCCCTCCTGACCATTGAGGAGGGTATCTTTGAGGTCAAGTCCACTGCTGGTGACACTCACCTTGGTGGTGAGGACTTCGACAACCGTCTCGTCAACCACTTCGTCAACGAGTTCAAGCGCAAGCACAAGAAGGACCTGACCACCAACGCTCGTGCTCTCCGTCGTCTCCGCACTGCTTGCGAGCGTGCCAAGCGTACCCTCTCTTCCGCTGCTCAGACCTCCATTGAGATCGACTCTCTCTTCGAGGGTGTTGACTTCTACACCTCTATCACCCGTGCCCGCTTCGAGGAGCTGTGCCAGGACCTCTTCCGCTCCACCATGGACCCCGTCGAGCGTGTCATCCGTGACGCCAAGATTGACAAGTCCTCCGTCCACGAGATCGTCCTCGTCGGTGGTTCTACCCGTATCCCCAAGATCCAGAAGCTTGTCTCCGACTTCTTCAACAAGGACCCCAACAAGTCCATCAACCCCGATGAGGCTGTTGCCTACGGTGCCGCCGTGCAGGCCGCTATCCTGTCTGGTGACACTTCCTCCAAGTCCACCAACGAGATCCTGCTTCTCGATGTTGCCCCTCTGTCTCTCGGTATCGAGACTGCCGGTGGTGTCATGACTGCCCTGATTAAGCGCAACACCACCATCCCCACCAAGAAGTCTGAGACCTTCTCCACCTACTCCGACAACCAGCCCGGTGTCCTGATCCAGGTCTTCGAGGGTGAGCGTGCTCGCACCAAGGACAACAACCTGCTCGGCAAGTTCGAGCTCACTGGCATTCCTCCTGCCCCCCGTGGTGTTCCCCAGATTGAGGTCACCTTCGACCTTGATGCCAACGGAATCATGAACGTCTCCGCCGTTGAGAAGGGCACTGGCAAGTCCCACCAGATTACCATCACCAACGACAAGGGTCGTCTGTCCAAGGAGGAGATCGAGCGCATGCTCGCTGAGGCCGAGAAGTACAAGGCCGAGGATGAGGCTGAGTCTGGACGTATCCAGGCCAAGAACGGTCTTGAGTCCTACGCCTACTCCCTCAAGAACACTCTGTCCGAGGGCAAGCTCCAGATCTCCGAGGATGACAAGAAGAAGGTTGAGGACAAGATCTCTGAGGTCATCAGCTGGCTCGACAACAACCAGACCGCCGAGAAGGACGAGTACGAGTCCCAGCAGAAGGAGCTTGAGGGTGTTGCTAACCCCATCATCTCCGCTGCCTACGGCGGTGCTGCCGGTGCCCCCGGTGCCGGTGGTGCCCGCCAGCCCGATGATGTCGAGGAGAAGCCCGAGGAGCTCGACTAAGCGTCTCGCTTCAGTCTCTAACTTCATGCTTTTTTCTTGGCTCTATTTTCTTTTTCAACGTCTTGTTTTACGAACTTATGGGATATCGAGTTTTCCTTTTTTGCGAATGATTGCATAGATACAAAGTTTATCTGCTGGGAAAAGAAAAGTCCTAGCGAATTTCAAAATATTTTTTCATAATTCATTATTTCACCGTATTTATGTAGTCTTCCAGTCATCTGTGTATTGGGGTTTTTTCTGCTTTGCTCTCATTTGCTCTCATTTTGTCCTTAGGTATACCTTAATTCCGAGATTATTAAAGTGTCTCATACTGTCTAAGCTTATCTTTGTCGTATTATACATACTAAAATGAAACATCAATTTTTCGTGACATATAATAAACAATCCAGTTTTAGAGCCCCTTCCAGTACTCGTAATTGTGAAAAATTAAGGTCAATGGATACATCGGCCAGTGTGGAAGAATCCTCCGTGAAGCTCACTAGCGACAGTGCTGCAACAAACGCATATGGACGTTCGATATTATACGTTTCTGCTCACAAAGCTGGGACTTCTGAAGATTCCTTCATAAAGATATTCGGGTAGGTTTACGGTCCTCAACCAAACATCAATTTGCAGAGAAAAGAAATCTGATATCAAATACGCTATTAGCGCTACATCCGATGGAGATCAATGGTAAAAAGCCCACCAGAATGATAACAAACGACCCTTGGTCCATTTCCATACAGCAGTCATAAACCCCAACTCCAAGAGCCCATATTATGCACAATCGATGGAGTACAAGACCTAGTGTCCCCATCCAAAAATCAAAGTTCAATACAAAAACCAGATTCGATCTCGCGTAGACTGCTTATAGATCCTGGTAGTCTCCGTTCCACCATCGCTGCAACCGCTGCTGTCCGAGCTGCATGACCGTTCCGTATCCGATTTCTGATGCTCTCGAGGGATTCTGTTCTATTTGATCACGACGAATCCGGGACATGACGGCGGCAACACCCATTGTGAGGGCGAAGATAGGGTCGCCTACTCTGTTATCCAAGAAAAAGATGAGCGGTGTTCCAAGACTGGGATTTGTAGGCTCGCATAAGGGGACGAGTGAATCAGAGACGTAACTTTGAACACTTACCGAGAGAGAAGATAGGCAGCCATAGCAATATTGGTTTCTGGTCTGGTTCGTAGGATTGAGGTGGAGCTAGATGAAGCCTTGGGGAAGCTTTTGGAGATGTATTGTGGCACGTGACTTCATACGGGCCGACCGCATTGAAAAGTACAATTAACCTGGGAACACTTATAAATACGTATAAACTTATATTAATGGTGAGTAATGGCGAATGAGGAAACAATAATGAGCTTGTTTGCTTTTTCTTTTTGACTATCACTCTAAACTCCATCGGAAGAAAATAAAGCATGTATATGAGGGGGAAAATACACAAGTCCCTAAAAGAGCCGGGAAAGCCCGAAAGACCCGAAAAGAAGAAGAAATGAAACGATTTTCCGAGAAGGGGGGAGTTGTCGAAGAACGCCAAGGCTATAAAAAGACTCCTTATGTATCTGACCTCTATACGACCTGACCAAAGGCAGGGATCAAAGTCTGTGCCAGCCAGAAGCTGAAAACCAACTTGGGACCAGTCATCAGCAGCTTGGGGGTCAAACCCTTGAACAAACTCATGGTACCCTCATTCTTGAGCATGTTGGACACAATGCGGAATCCAGACTCGGGGTTCTCGAAGTTGCGGTTCTGAATACGGGTCTTGATCACATCCAGGGGAGCGGAGACAATCAGCGAAGCGCTGGCACCGGCCACGGAGGCGACAAAGTTCTGGTCCCAAGTGGCCTTGTTGTAATCGGTCAGGCCGTAAATGTATTCCTTGGCGAAAGCAGATCCACCGAAGAGCTAGCGTGAGTGTAAGCGAGCGGGTCCTATCTCCCTCAGACGAGCCCGGAAGAGTTACTTACCGCGAAAGAACCAGGGGCGTTACGGGCGGCAGTCCAGCCGGCACCCCGGTACAAACCCATACCCTCATCGGAGATAATCTTGAAGAGGCCACGGCCACGGAAGGCCTCGGGGTTTGTCTGACGCTTAATCTTCAGGACGTCCAGAGGAAGCAGGACAACCTCTCCAATACCGACCAAACTAGAGCCGAAGAATCAGTAAATAATACTTGAGGGGACGGAATTCAGGAAATGTCTCTCACCTGCCAGCAGTGGCGTGCATAATAGCCTTTCCATTGCCCTTTCCGAAGGCATTATCGAACTCGTTACCGTAGTGCAGAGCCAAGTAATCACGAGCGAAAGGCTGACCACCGTACTTGTAGATACGCTGGAGAACCTGTTGTCGACATAATCAGCCCACTGCACAGCGAATCCAGGGGTTTATTTCCCCAGAATCACCAACCTTGTAGCACGCAGCGTAGCCCAGACCGGGGAAGAGCGAGGTGAACTTGCGACCGGCGGAGGCATCGGCATACTCCTTGAAGACGACCTTCTTAAATTCGGGGATGGTGGTAATCTACAAGGCACTAGAGTTAGCGATGATCACGGCGCAAGTCGTTTTCGTGATTCAGAGTCTGGTCTTACCCGAGTCTGGTTGCTCATCAACCGCTTCGCCGTGGTGTCGACCTAAAAACTGTCAGTATTACCATCGAATGAATATCGAGGCGATTGAGTCGTACGGGGTGGAAGACAGCCAACTCGGCGATACCAGCAGAGCCTACACCGGGGTTAGCATTTCGGGAATCTCAGTGCAAAGGGGGATCCCTACCGGAACCGAGGAGACGAGCGACGGCAGACTCCTTCTTGACATCATTGGAGGCGGCGCCAGCACCGTGAGCGAGAGCGGGAGACATTTTGCAAGTGATAAAGAGGTATGCAGCGTAAATGCGTCAGGAACATGTGCCTGTAAATTTTATCTGAGCACGAGCGGCACTAGTCCCAATTGGGGTCCGGAGTCGGAGAAGCGTCGGATCGATCATTACTTAAGGGAGTCTTGGGCTTCCTCTACAGAGTATAATCAAATCAATAGTAAGATGGTAAAAATACATAGTAAAATAAATCGTAGATGATTGTCTGTGCATACTGAATTTTATCAAAATTGACATCTATAGTCGCCTCGCACATGGTGAATCTTTGGTTCTCTATTTTCACTATGGGAGATAGTCCAGGGAGGATCAAAGAATGATTTTAATTTGATTTCATTGGATTCAAGGGCCAGCAATGGGCAAGCTTGCCGAGCAATAAAATGGCATGAAAGGAAAAAAGATGTGCAGAACACCGAATGAACGCCGCGTGTCCGTGAAAGAGAACCCAAATCCCAAGGTTGCACGAGCACCTGCTTACATCACTTGGAAAGATCCGGGATGTTGAACCTCTATGGTAGATTCAGACTGGAAAGCCAAGCCGTTGTATAGCAGGTGGTAGCCATATACGTCAACCTTCAAAAGTCACCGAAGGTGTTCTCGCCGGAATATCTAGGATCGCAACAAGTCAGAATAGAACTTTCCAAGACGATGAAGAAAGAGAAAAAGTAAGAGAAAGAGGTAGCATACGTGATGTACAAAAAGCCATCGTCATCCTTGTGCTCTTCATAGATGCTGCTCATGAGAGCGGCGGTGGGCGGGAGGACCTCATCCACGAAGATGAAGATCGCCTTCTCCGGGGAGAGCTTTATGCGCTTGCGAATCACGTAGACAAACTGGCCCACGGTGAGATCGGCGGGGACGAGATACTTCTTCTTGTCGATGGTAGCGATGTCAGACTTCTCGACCTTCTCACAGATGACCTACATAGCGAACTCATTAGTTAAAGAAGCGGTGAGGGGAGGGGGGCAAGCAAAGGTATGGCAGGCAGTGCCCATAACCTCACAAAAGCCACCAGCAGCCCAAGAATGACTCACTGGGATGCGATCAGTGTATTTCTGGCGGATGCGCTCGGCCTCAGCCTTCCGCTTCTCGAAGGGGTGCTCGTCCTTGAACTTGGACCGCATAGTCGATAAGGCTGATAAGCCAAGCAGGTCTAGGTGGAGCGAAAAAGGGTAGATTCCAACGGGGGAACGAAGTGGTAAAGACCAGACAATATGATGGTGATGAGAAAGGTGTCGAAGGGATCAAGAGAGATGGAAGAGAGAGGGGTGATGACAAAAGGGCACACCCCCGCTGACGTTACTAAGAGCAGCATCACGGGGCGGTGAGGCGGTGAGGCACGCGTCACTGTACAGTCACGAGGATAGGGTCACTTGGGAAATTCACTAATTACTTCTACATTGTTCGTTAAGATAGGTAGCTGAAGACAATCCTCTGGTTCTTTTCAATAGCACAGTATTGATTACGGTGCAGACCCTCCTCGTCAGACCCTCGGTACACCTTACGGCAAAATGCGGGTTCTCCACTGATAAGCATCTACCTACCCAACCGTGGTGCATCAACCTTAGTATATCAAGGATATTGTAAGCTATTGTTATCATTGTACAAGCTAGGACTGTCAGATAGCCCATCCCTATACAGAGATAGTTTTAATAGTGTAGGCATACTCTTCAAATGGGTCTCTGGTAGGCAGAGCCTCTTTCTCCAACGATTCCCAGCAACGGTTTAGCGGCTCCACCTACGTGATCCACCAAGATTGTCAACGTGGGCCAGGCTACAGCTTCATACTCTACATTATTGAAAATTTGACATTTTGACATTTGGCTCTAGGCTTTAAGCTAAAGCTTTTTGACTAGTATAACTCGCTTTGGCCATATTTTCGTTCCCTCTTACAGGTTATATCGAGGGATTAGTAAATGCTTACTAAGTAACTTAGAATATGTCCTAGAGAGTTGAACGTGCGGTCAATTCCTTCTGCTTCATCCAAATCACAAAAGGAATTTTATAGACTGCTATGCTTTTGTAAGTGACCAGATAATTTAGTTGTATCATGGATATGCTATGTGTATATTCAATTTGACAGTATATGTCCTCATCTGCCAGGCATGATTTCTCTCGGTGGCACACTTGACTATCTAGGTACAGACAAGACTCTTCAAGTACCAGGACAGTAGCATTCAACAGGTCTACATTACATAGAACGCACTCACTGTAGTATACAGTATTCGAATTCAGTACTTGAGGTTGAACCAATCACCGATCGCATCTTATCGCTTATCTCATCGGAGGCAAACGGAGCAAACTCGCCCTCCGCCGGTGGCCTGATGTCGAGCCATAGCTTTTCTTGCATTAGCAGTCCCTGGGGATCAATCAATTATCTTACGGTCAACTTGTACCCGGGATCCATTTATTCGAACTGGTGCTGCATCAGATCTGGGCTTTTACCCCCCCCCCCCCCCTTAACCCTCGCCCCTTCGATGTCCGCCGCGAAAATGACTTCGCGATCATTCACGCCTCTGCGGAGGACATTTACCCAATTCTCGGCTCGAAACGCTCGTTCTGCGGGTCACAATGCTGGAATGACATTCCGAGGCTATGCCACAGGGCAGAAGCCTAAGCCGCAATTTACCGTTTGGCGTCCTTACCTGCGCCTCGCCATTGGCGTGCCCTTTATCGGTGCGATCATATACTCCATGGTAGGGACAAAAAAGAAGCTTTGGAATCAATTGTGAGAGGGCCATGGGCTAACATGTGCAACATAGGCTACCGGAGAAATCACCGAGCTTGATTCTCCGTCCATTGTCGAGTTGGACGAAGCCTTGAAGCATTCATCTCCCATCACCGAGTCTTCGCCCATGCGCCTTCGGATGGAGAAGCTCATCAAGGACCACCAGCAGAAAATCGTTCAGGAATTGAGCAAGATAGATGGCATGGAATTCAAGCAAGATGCCTGGACACGTCCCAATGGTGGTGGTGGTGTCTCATGCGTGTTGCAAGATGGCAATGTCTTCGAGAAGGCGGGTGTGAACGTCTCGATCGTCTATGGCGAGTTGCCCCGACCTGCTATTGAGAAGATGCGTGCCGACCACAAGTCCTTCGTTGGTGCCGGTGTGGACTCGCTCAGCTTCTTTGCTGCCGGTCTGTCTCTTGTCTTGCACCCGCATAACCCCATGGCTCCTACGGTGCATCTGAACTACCGGTACTTCGAGACTTCAGACCCGAAGAATCCTATTAGTGGTGACAAGAACTGGTGGTTCGGCGGTGGTACCGATCTTACCCCTACCTACCTCTTCCCTGAGGATGCCCAGCACTTCCACAAAACCATCAAGGAGGCCTGTGATCGCCATGATGCGACTTACTACCCCAAGTTCAAGGCTTGGTGCGATAAATACTTCTACCTGCCCCACCGCGGCGAGTGCCGCGGTGTCGGCGGAATCTTCTTCGATGACCTTGACTCCAACTTCCTTCAATCCTCTTCCAGCTCGTCTTCCAACCCACAGGAGACCCTGTTCTCCTTCGTCTCGGACGGCCTGGCCTCTTTCTTGCCATCCTACGTGCCCATCATTGAACGCCGGAAGGACATGCCTTATACTCCATCCCAGAAGGAATGGCAACAGTTGCGCCGCGGCCGCTATGTCGAATTCAACCTGGTATATGACCGTGGTACCAGCTTCGGTCTACGGACCCCCAACGCCCGTGTTGAGAGTATTCTCATGAGTCTCCCACGTACCGCTAGCTGGGCCTATATGGATCCAGTCTCGGGCACAAGGACTGAAAATATGCTTGTTGATGAAGAAGAGTTGGGCGAGGATAAGACCAGCGAAAAAGAGATCATGGATGTCCTGAAACACCCCCGGCAGTGGGCATAACTGAAGCCCATCTCCTAAGTACCTTTGTGTTTCTGCTGCTCGGCCTTAAACCCCCGTTAATCTGGTAATAATCGTTGACGTATCATTGTCTTATTACCTACGAGGCACATACTGCCTCTGTTCATCATGTACATTACTTCACAATCTGTGCAAATATACTCAAAATCAAAATCTTATTTTCTTTTCTCACCAATTACAACCTTGCATGGTAGGCTCATAGGATCAGTCAGATCTTTGCCCAGTTTGACTAGGTTTAATACGCAGCTATATGTAAAGGATACCGTGAGGGAAAAACGTTGTACATGTAGCTAATATATATACATTGGCCTTACAAACATTGTTCGAGGACCTCAATATCAAGATACATACATATCGACCTAGCCAGTTTGACAGTAACAAGCCACAAACTATATTGACAAATAACGAAGTGCTGATATATATAAACGAAGAAAAAAGATGCATTCTATGTGCTATGATAAGAATACCATACGACCGAAGGTCTAAAAGGGTCTAATGGGATATAAACGAGATCCTCTAATAATCACAACAGAAAGGAGAAAGTGACTCAAGCGATATAGGCTGTCAACGTGATTTATTGGCCAGCAACAACGCTTCTTTGCTTAGCCAGCCAGCCTCGTGGATCTGTCATACTGGCGCCTTGGCGATAGCGTGAGATGGTCATGTTATTATTCTGCCACCGACTTTGAAGATGATACCAAGCTGAGCTCACAAGACTGAGCTCTCGGGCTTGGTCGTCAATGGTTTTTTGAAGTTCAATCTGTAGAGGGGAGACATGGTCAGAATGTTGTGATATAGGTATGAAGGAATTTGGAGGAACTGACTTCACGTTCTTTGGGAATGCCATCATCCAGATTTTCCTCATAATTCTTCATGCTCTCTCGAAGTGACTTGATGAGTTCATTCTGCTGCTGGATATACTATAGGGCCAAATTGAGATTAGCATGGTATGTCTCGAATATTGAGGTGGGGTAAAACTGACCTCCGCACGCTGAGCTAGACGCTCGACATTCTTCTCCAATACCCCGGCGCACTGCTTGAGCAGCTCGAAGCTTGATTTTTGAGGAATTTCACCGCCCTCGCTATTGTGAATCTCAAATTCGCCCAGCAGCATCTGCATCTCATTCATGACCTCTTGATCCTCGACGCTGATCTCGTTCTGCTTATTGTCGAGCATCTTACGCAGCTCCTCTCGTTCAGCGCAGACCTCGCGAACTAAGGTTTGGCTTGCGTCCACTTCCGCTTCTAGATGGTGTACATTCTGCGTGAGAATACCCCAGTCCCCACGGAGCTTGGCTAACTCGGCAGAGTTATGCTCTTCAAGTTCACGGAGCATGTCCGCCTTCTCCACATCGACAAGACCAACTGGGCTACCGTTAGCGGTATATCCAAACATGAATGCTATCAAAACGTACTTTGGGTCTGGGCATCAGATAGATCCTTTTTGGTGCTTTCCAGACTATCCTGGATTTCTGCAAGTCTTTTCAACGTGCCAGTATAGGTTTCGTATAGTTTCCAGTATTCATCACTGCGTACGTGATTAGCGATGACCCAAAAGGGTATTTGGGCCCAACATACCTTTGCGTGGAGTTAGAGCGGGCGAGTTGCACAGATGTGTTGAAGTTCTCAGAAAAGCCTTCTGTGTGCGATCCCGGCTGACGGGTGTTAGCAGACAGGATACTTATCAATGAATACAGAAGCATAGAACTCACAGCAGATGGTGCTTTCACTGATTCCACCTCTCGCTTCAATTCGTCATTGTCGGGTTTGCTGGAAAGGATTAGTCGAGGGAAATCCACAGTTGAGAGGCTACATACAGCTGAGAGTCTTTCATGCTCATAGATTCAAAGTCTTTGGACAGTGTTCCTTGCATCTTAGGGGTCTCCGAGCCTGGCGAGGGACTACCGGGCAGGCCTTCTAATTCTCGAAGGCGTTCTCGGAGCTCACTTATCAAGGCATCATCTCTCTCATGTTGTTCATCCGCACTTTCAAGTCGTTCAGTAAGCGCATGGTTGTTGAATTCGAGCTGCTTTTTGAGATTCTGAATTTCATTGCACTCTTGCTCAATGCGAGGAAGAAGTTTGCGGTACTCCTCCAGCTCCACATCATGTTCCGAGGTCCATCGTTGCTGCGAATCAGACTCCTTCAGCTGCTGCTGGAGATCTTTGATCTGATTCTTCAGGGTCTGGTTTTCTTTCTCAAAGTCCTGACTAGCCTGCAGCTTCTGGCGATACTTTTCAGCCGCATTCGCCTTGCGGGCCAACTGATCTCGGTCCGTACGGAGCTCGTCATAGTCATCTTGTAACTTTTGATACCGTTGGTTCTTGACCTTCAATGACTCGACGTTCATGCGGAGGCTGTCCACCTCATCTTGGGCGGCGGTGAGTTTGGCCTCTTGGGATGCGATGAGATCATCTTGTTGTCGAGTCTTGCTCTCCAACGCCTTGGCATTGAACCCCAGATCGCCCTTGCCAGACTTCAGGGTCACCAAACGATCCTCGGTGGAAGCCAATCGATTCTGAAGGGTGTCATTGTTCTCTTGCAAGCGCGCCAATCGATTATGTAGGTCCTCCAGTGCCTTCTCCAGCTCCTTTTTCTCGTGTGATAGACGATCGTTCTCCGCTAGCACCTTTCCGACCCGCTCCTCGAATTGCAGTTCCAGATCCACCGGGTGATCTCGCTTCGCCAGATCCTCTCGAAGTTCGTCTGCCGCATGCATGGGCTCATGCTGGCCATTGTGTGCCTCCTCAATAATATCCTTGAGACCCTCCTGGGTCGAAGTGGTCAGTCCCTGGAGGGTCTGCACGTATGTCTCGGCGTTGGGTGAGCTGATGGCAGCGATCAAGAGGAGTTTCAGCAATTTATTCGTTTCTTTGGAAGAGGCTTTCTCTGCGATGGCTTCGAGATCTGGGGACGGGTCGAGACCGGATGGCAGCGAGTCATCATTCTGGTGTCGGATATAGCTTAAAAGGAGCTTGTGGACATGTTTTAGGTTCTGCCATTTGGCTACCCAGTGGTTTTCGGGGTTGCGCTCGGGTATCTCGTCGAGAAAATATTGAGGATCGATATCTTGGAGGATTTCCCATAAGATTATTCCGTCAGTCAATTCCTCCGGGGCGCGAAGTGTTTTGCCCAGTGAGAAGCTGTTGATCCATTCCAGCAGAACCTTGGTCACGTTGTGTTCCACAGACATGGTGTATGAAAGCACTCAAATCGGCGGAAGGAATGGATGCAGGGTGCAGCATTTGTAATCCCCTGGTAGAAGGGGAGGAGGAGAGTTGCGGATCCACGCGAGCGCGTTCGGGGGCCACGAAGAGCGGCGAGTCGCTAGCGGGGAGGATGATCGTCCCGATTGTGGCTAGGCCTACAACATACATGATACATGATACCAAAGCAGCTCCATACCTATGAATTATAATTCATTGCAATCGAGATCATTAAAAGAATTCCTACCAGAAGAAAGAAATATTATAAATCAATCCAACTCCAGCCTTTGCCCCCAATCAACCAAGTTCGGCTGCACTGCAGCTATGACAGATACTCCGAGTACACCAAATTGACCAAACATCAATGGTAGGCCCCTTCTCGCCTAAATTACGATCAATAGTGATGCCTGTGGGGATTTCTCGTGGATGGTGTCATGAGATTATCATGGTCCCGGATCGACGTTCATCATATCTTGTTCCCTAGTACCATCTGGTGACGTGAAATTCACAGATTCTCTGACGATCCTGGAGAGACCCAAATCTCTTTAAGAATCATGCTCCTGACCCACAAATTCCCCGTTCGCGGACACGACCTTGTCCTCCTCGATCACCGGTTTATATTCGGTAGACTCCGTAGAAAGGGTCTGAAGGGCATTCACAGGAGCCTCTGCGGCAAATCCACTGGAAATACGATGTTAAAATTGAGGGGAGACACGAGAACGGATGCAGGCATACTTGATCAGAACTATATCGAATATCGGGTTAGCTGTGACAATCTTTGGGCGGCAAACGGATCATGTGGGGATCTTACAGTATTCATGAGTGATGATGCCACCCTATAAAGATTAAAAGGGTTAGTATTTAGCACACAAGGGCTGTTGTATAGCTTACCGAGGCTACCAGGGAGTCTTTAGCTTGAGTAATGACACTGGAGGGAGTTCCCTTGGGGAAGGTGATGATAACGGATTTGAGCGACTTGGCAGCCAGCGCCAAAGGCAGCATAGCCATGAAGGCGATAGAAAAGAGCTTCATGTTAGTTTGGTTGAAATATTTTGATAAAGTAAGCAAAGATGGAATAGATTCAAAGGAATACTTCGTAGAAACACAAGTTCAAGTTGGACATGCGTCATTGATCACATGACCGGAAGTTCAAACCTTCTGAGTTGGGGAATCCCTTTCTCTCCTCATTTCTCCTCTCCTCTTCCCCTCCCCCCCCCCCCAAATCAGCGTTGCGATCTCTTTTCTTCTGTCCTCAGAATCTTGTTGGACTTGGGTGGTTTCTTCCGTTGGCCTCGTTTATCTCACCCCTGGCGTTACGTCTCCTGGTCTTGACGTGGAGGAGCCAAGTCGCGGGAAAGGGTCTAGATTGGAATATCTGTTGTTCAAGTCTGCAAGATAGCTAGCAAGCATTTTACAAGTTCCGACTTTTCTCTCCATCTTGTGTTGGTCCCGGCGATTTCACTCCGTGGATCACCCAGTCTAGGAAGGACAATTCTGTTGATAGTGACTTCTGGCCCATTGCCGGCTCAAACAAACCAAAAAAGACAAGGGAAAAACCACAAAGTTGAAAAGAACCCAAGAGAAAGAGGGGGGAAAGAAGAAAACTTGAAGCACGAGAACATTGCATATCACAAGGACGTGTGCTTCTGCACAAACTAACCTCACTCTCCAGCATACCCTCCACTTCACCTCGCCACCACCGCCATGTCAAACTCGGTTTCCGACGAGGTAGCAGAGGACTACAAAAGCTCCTTGGAGGATCTTATCACCAACGATCGCTTCCAGATCAGTAATCTGACTGTCATTGCGAAGGAGAACACAGAACATGCAGAGGCTATTTCCAAGGTGCTGGAGGATCATATTCGATCTGTAGGTGTCGTCCCTTTCCTCCAAGGCGTAGTTCGGATTCTCTGACCGTCCAGTAGATCCCGCCGCCGCAGAAGCTGCCCGCTCTTTATGTAGTTGATTCCATCGTCAAGAATGTCGGAACCCCCTACACTCTCTTCCTGGGACGGAAGATGTTCCAGACATTCATAAATGCGTACACCCTGGTCGATTCGCAGACTCGCCGCAAGCTGGATGAGATGCTCAAAACATGGAAGGAGCCTGCTGCAGGCTCGTTGGACACTCGCCCGGTCTTCCCGCCCCAGATCACTCGCGATATCGAAAACGCTCTGATTAAGGCGCGCACCGCATTCCTGGACTCACAACGTTTGAGAGGTCAACCGGAGATCAACCGCGGTCGTGGTAGCGTAACGCCAACGGGATGGGCCAATAGCCCTACTCCACCGGGCATTTCTCGACAAAACCCGCCTTATAATCATGGAGGCATCTCAAGAACTGCGGTAGGCAACTTTTTGACTGTTATTCCCCATATATACTGACGCAATTCTATTAGACTCCCCCTCAAGGACAGCTTCAAGATGTGGACTTGGTGACCCTGAACCGGGACCTAGAGGCCTTGATAGCCTCAGCACGGAATGACTTTGCGAACAGTCCTTTCAATCCTACAACTCAACAGCGGCTCAAGTCTCTGCTTGATCTCCAGCTCATCATGCAGCGCCAGCAACTTACTCCCGAGGAGCGGAAGCTCGTTCGAAATCAACTGTCCTCGTTTAAAATTCCTCAGCCAGCACCTGTCCAAGCACACAATTCCTTAGTACCAGCCCCAGCTCCTTCAGCGTCGACACCACCAACCCAACCTGCATCCCAATCGTTCCCGCAGATGCTGAATTCCGAGACCATTGCGGAGCTCCTCAAAGCGACTGCCGTGAGCCAACAACCCACTCCCCCTCCCCAGATTTCCAATATTCTCCCTACAATGCCTCAGATCCCTCCAACCAGCAATACACCGCAACCAGCCGAGAATCCCATCATCGCCGCTCTCCGTTTACGAGGGCTTTTGCCTCCTGCATCGGCCCCGCCAGCCATGGGCTCGGCTGGAACACCTCCCCCAGGCTCTCTACCCTTCTTCATCCCTGGTCAGCTACGAGCTACGCCGCCTGTTGCAACTCCTCAGGCATCAACTCCAGTCGGCTCGTCATCCACAGTGCCCATGAATACTATCTCGATGAAGATGTAAGTGCCCTGAAAGAAATAATCTCATGTGTAAGTATGCTTATTCATTATAACCCAGTCCTCGGATTGCGCTCGTTGTTTCCCTCTACGATGCGAAATCTAATAGGTGTGGTACCTGTGGTCGCCGTTTTCCGGCTACTGCAGAGGGCCGAGAGAAGAAAGCCCGGCATTTGGACTGGCACTTTAAGACCAACCAGCGCATGGTAGAGGCTACCAAGCGAGCTCAGACTCGTAGCTGGTACGTCGACGAAGGGGTATGTAATCTCCCATGACTTGGTATGAATTTGGGGCCATATCAGACTGACCGAAAACGACAGGATTGGATTCAGTCTCGTGAGGCCGATGATGACCAAGGCACAGAAGATGCCGAGGCCACTGCCGAAGGAGCCGCTGGTGCTGATAGTAACGACAGCAAGAAAGGCCCGCCGAAGCAGTGGATTCGGGCTCCCAACGATGCCGTGCTGCGCAATACCCCTTGTCCCATCTGCCAGGAGAAATTTGAATCGACTTGGTCCGAAGAGGTGCAAGACTGGATCTGGCAGGATGCCATCACTGTCAGTGGTCGAATCTATCATGCCAGCTGCTACGATGAAGTCACCAAGGATGGGCCAGGTCCACGCAGCTTCACACCTCAAGCACGAACAGCCACGCCAGATTCCGTGCTTGGCAAACGAAAAGCCGAGGCAAGTGTGAAGTCCTATCTACCATTCTCCCTCCATATCACTAACTATCTGTCTAGGGCATTGAATCTCCCGGGTCTAAAGTGCGTATTAAGATGGAGTCATAAAGCAACCTGTAAATTATATATATTCATTCCGTTGCAGCATGACGTTGCTTTGTGCCCCGCTCGGTGCATCTCCGGGGTTGTGAATCTTCCCCACTCGAATGAAACCATAACTCTTTCTTTCCCTTCCTCCCAAACAAACCTCTCCTGAACATACTTCGAACTATTGCCCCATAAACTACTGAGTCGATTTAATGATGACACACCTAACACGATGGGGTATCATGGGTAATGGAATCTTCCTAGAGCTACCCCCAATATTGCACAATGCTAACCAAAGCTATGAATCAAACAGCCACGGGCGGAATCGCAAAGAGTAAGATGGTCTCTGACCTCAAACGCACAACTACTGATCCGCTAACTTATCTTACTAGCATTCGTCCTTGACCTTCTCAAAGACCCCGCGACCCGTGATGCCTCCGATATTGCCCACCAAGTTACCGCTGTCGCCTCGTCCTCATCCAAAGACAGGGCAGACCAATTCATCCTAGACGTTGAAATTCCAGCGCCCTGTGCCGCATACGCCTCTTATGAGGAGCTCGTTGCCGACCCTAACGTGGACGTCGTATACATTGCTACGCCACACTCCCACCATTATCAGAATGCCATGTTGGCTCTCCAGGCCGGCAAGCACGTACTATGCGAGAAGGCTTTCACGGTCAATGTAGCCCAAGCCAAGATCCTGTGTGAAACAGCTCGCAACAAGAACCTTTTCCTTATGGAAGCAGTTTGGACTCGCTACTTCCCGTTGAGTATTCAAGTGCGCCAGCTGATCCAGCAGGGAGCCATTGGTGAGGTATACCGGGTCCTCGCCGATACAAGCTTTAGTGATGATCCCGAGAATAAATGGGGTTGCGACAATCGTATGGTGAACCTTGATCTGGCGGGTGGTGTGCTCTTGGATTGTGAGTGGTTTGACTCTTTTATATACGGAATCTTCTGAGCTAACTCAAAATTAAGTGGGCATTTACTCTCTTACCTGGGTCTTCCAGGCCCTCTACCACACTCTCCCCCGGGACCAGAGGGTGGCACCCTCTATCACATCACAGATCATACCCTATCACCTGACAGGCTCGGATGAATCGACCACTGTTCTGCTCAATTTCCCTACTTCTACGCCCAGCAACGGTCCTCATGTCAAGCACTCGCAGGGAGTTGCCATGACAAGTATGCGTGTTGCCAATGATCCAGATGAGAAGGGTACTTCGGGTCCCCCAATCCGCATTCAGGGTGACAAGGGTGAGATCCAAGTCTTTGGGCTTCCCTTCCAGCCCACACGGTATCGGGTCATCCCAAAGAAAGGTCTCGGTGAGATGAGTGAGGTCGAATTCTCATTCCCGGCTCAGGGTCGTGGCATGTACTGGGAGGCCGATGAGGTTGCCCGCTGCTTGAGAGATGGTAAGCTGGAGAGCGAGGGTATGCCTTGGGAGGAGAGCCTTGTGATCATGGAGGTTATGGACGAGGTGCGCAGGCAGGGTGGGTTGAAGTATCCCGAGTCGATTGAATCGACCAAGTACCCTCTGCAGCTGTGACATGCGGCACATTATGTATGACATAGCAATTACTACCATAACTAGATCTCTTTTCCAAATTTACCTTTCCTTCCCATTGGACTCTACGATGCAAGTGACAGTATTGATAACATTGTATTGGGTACCAGAGTACACATACTATACAGGGCCACAAGAGACAGATTATTCGTCTATATGCTGGATATTATGCCAGTCTAAGCTTTTTGAGTGCTCCCCAGACCGATACCAAACAAAAGAAAAACGGTGAGCATCATAGAGCTAGACTGACAAGCCTCTCTTGCCTTTTTTGGGCTGGAAATACTTTGCGCCCTTCCTCCCAAATCAAGAACCTTTCGCTCAGTTCTTGTGGAAGACACCCAGAATGCTCTTCCAGACCTGGCCAGGCTCCTGGCTGGCATCAATACCACGCCAGATGCCGGTCTTCTTGTAGTACTCGCAAACGGGAGCGGTCTGGGCGTGGTAAGTAGCGAGACGCTTGGTCAGGGTCTCAGCATTGTCATCGGAGCGCTGGATCAGGGGCTCGCCAGTGATGTCGTCCTTCATGTCGGACTGGGGAGGGTTGAAGATCTTGTGGTACGAGCGGCCGGAGGCGGGGTGAACCAAGCGACCAGTGATACGGGCCACAAGCAGGCTGTCGTCAATCTGGAGCTCAACGGCGTGCTGGAGCTTCTGCTTACGGTCCGAAAGCATGTCATCGAGGCGCTCAGCCTGGGCGACAGTTCGAGGGAAACCATCCAGGATGAAACTGTTCATTGGGTGTCAGTCGGCCGGAAGCGAGCGGCAAATCTGGTATCCGCTTACCCGTTCTTGCACTCAGCGTTGTTCTCCAACTCGCTCTTGATCATGTTAATCATGATCTCGTCACTGACAAGACCACCCTGGTCCATGATCTTCTTGGCTTCCTTTCCGAGCTCGGTCTTCTTCGCGACCTGTGACCGCAGCATGTCTCCGGTGGCCTGTTCCAGAAGCAATTATTAGAAAACATGACAAAAACTCCGTGATACTCGGAGAAGAGGGCCATTGCGACGACGTACCAGGTGGCAGGCGCAGTACTTGTCCTTGATGTTGGGAGCCTGGGTGCCCTTGCCTGCGACGCGTTAATAATCATACGTGGAGTCATTGGTCTCCTACATCCGGTGTCACCTACCAGCACCAGGGGGGCCCATCAGGATGATGCGCATCTGCTCGGTCAAGGACTTGGGCTTCTCGCCGCCATTGACCAAGCGCTGCTCCAGCTCAACAACCTTGGACTCGAGCTTGCTGATGGTGTCCTTCAGACCGGAAACGACGTCATCGGTAATGGGAGCCATTGTGACAGAGGAAAGGAAAGAGAGGAGAGGGGGCGTCTAAAGATGAAGGTTGTGTTTGGGGTTGGAAGAGGAAGAGTCGGGGAAACGGAAAGGAATTAAGACTTAGCGTCCGAGGTTCGGAGGCTGGCAATGCTACGTAACTAGAAGGTACACTCACCGACTTCAGCAGTACATTGAAGACTTGATTCTGTAAATTTAGTTCATATATTGATTGATTGTGATCTCGGGATATTCTATTGCATGACAGTACAATGATTCCTCATCCCTAAATGTATGGAAATCAATAAAAGAATACAAAGCTGCAAACACCAGCCATGGATTACCTAAGGCCACCAGCCGCAGTGGCGCAAACACCGAAGCTCTCTCTCCAGAGCATCATCGCCCTGTTACGAGTTCCCCAATTTCACCTTCAGCGCCTGCCATTCCATCCGGCTATCTTACCCTTTATTGAAACCTTTTTAGATTCTTCTCTCATCCTATCTTCTCCTCGAATTTCCTTCTCATCATGCCTGCCACCACGGCGGACACCTTATCCCTCGTCAACCGCAGCGTCACGGTTGCCCCGTTAGTCCTGCTCTCTGTCGCCGATCACTATGGGCGGACAGCAAAGGGCACTCGGAAGCGTGTAGTGGGTGTGCTACTGGGTGAGAATTCAGGTAACAATGTGCGGGTATCCAACAGTTTCGCAGGTATGTATAGCATAACTTCCAACGTGATGATCAGGTCCGTGATGTGTGGGGAGCTGACCATGGCTACCACATCTAGTACCATTCGAGGAAGATGAGAAGGACCCATCGGTCTGGTTCCTGGACCACAATTTCGTGGAGTCGATGAGAGATATGTTCAAGAAGATCAATGCCCGCGAGAAGCTTGTCGGCTGGTATCACTCTGGCCCCAAGCTGCGCGCCTCGGATCTGGAGATCAACGAACTCTTCAAGAAATACACCCCCAACCCTTTGTTGGTGATTGTCGATGTGCAACCCAAGGAGGTTGGCGTTCCTACAGATGCTTACTTTGCCGTGGATGAGATCAAGGATGTACGTTACTTTCTTTGTTGATGTCTACCCACATCAGCCTATCCGGCTGACATGGAGCTAACTGCCACCTTTCCCATCACAATAGGATGGAACCACAACCTCAAAGACCTTTGTGCATACACCGTCGATAATCGAGGCCGAAGAAGCGGAGGAAATTGGCGTGGAACACCTTCTCCGGGATATCAGAGATGTCGCAGTTGGCACGCTCTCCACACGCATCACTTCACAGCTACAGTCATTGCAAGGGTTGCACCTGCGGCTACGTGATATTGGTCAATACCTGCAGAAAGTCCTCGATCACGAGCTCCCGGTCAACCACGCCATCCTGGGTAACCTTCAGGACGTCTTCAACCTTCTCCCCAACTTGTCGACCCCAGCCCAGACACCAGGAATCAGCGGACAGGAGACACAGATTGAGAACAGCGAGCTTGCTCGGGCCATGAGTGTGAAGACTAACGACCAGCTCATGGCCATCTACATCAGCAGTTTGATCCGTGCCATCACTGCATTCCACGACCTGATTGAGAACAAGATTCAAAACCGGCAGCAGCAGGAGGAGACGGACTCCAAGCGGGAACAAGAGTCAAATGCAGGCAAGGGTGACAAGGAAGCCAAGAAGGTCAACGGGTCGACCAATGGCGACCAGAAGGAGGAGCAGGACACCTCCGACAAGAGCAAGAAGAAGAGCTAAATTTGCTTTTCAACTTAGATTGGAGAATTCAATGCCCGTCGATATGATATGACCGCTTAGAACTGCTGCCTGGCAGTGTATAGTACGGATAATCCAAGGTTATGACCCGGTAGCTGTTGTCCTTTTGCTTCTCTCCTTTCCTTTCCATGATCATTTGGTTGTAGTCATATCACTCTGTAAATGCAAGTCCAAACAGTTTCAAAGTACTTTTAATGAGGGTGGTTCGCTTTCTCTTCCTTGTTGGGGGCTACTCAGCACGACTTCATCCGATCAAAAAAGCTGATGTTGTGCTTTTTTAACATGGACCTGCCATCGGAGAAAAGGCGAAATCCCTCAGGACCTAGCGACTCAGGGTCGCCATATCGGCAGAACAAATGGTTCCAGCGCGGACAGTACTGCCTTGTCCGAGATTCTGCGCCTGTAAAGTGACAGACAGCCCATCGCATGCAAAACCGAAGCATCAAGGGATGTGGCCACTCATCCACCCCAACCAGCACACCAGCCGGCCAATTCTTCTATGGAAACCGGGCCCCTGCCATCTCCACTACCCCCAAACAGCCCAGGACATCGAGCAAACAGAATACAAGCTAAAATATGCTTGCAAACTGGGGGTGAACCCCTGTCTGTGACACGGGAGAGTGTCCCACCAAATGGATAGCAGCCGGGTCTCGGGTCTGGCAGCAGCACTGAGCCAGAGAGGGGGTCTGCAGAGACATACGTCCTGGAATGAATGTTTCGAAAGGCCGAGAGGGTGAACGTCGGACAGGTACAAGCCCACGCATGCAAGCGCACCTCGTAGCCTTTCAGCTGTTCCTGCGTGGGGAATGTAGACGATGGAGTACCCTGTGGAGCAGCAGTAGAGGCAGAGATAACGAGAAATATATCTTCACGCTGAGAGTCATAGTTTTTCATGTATGTTGTTTCTGCTTGCCCGGTGTTTTGCTGCTCCGTTGCGAATCTGTGGCCGTGCTCGGGTGTGGTTATGGCTCTGTCCTCGCGCACCAAGCGCTGCACGAGCCTGCGGTCCAGGATGTCAAGGGCCGGGAGCAGGTCATTAGGGAATAGGCAATGTAATGTCAACATCAGTGGTTTTACTCTTGTCAGCTGTGATGCCGAAAGTCCCGAGAGTGGGTTCTGCTGTTCCCTCTCCTGGGGCCCCAATTGCGTCCTCGGCGTGTCAAGCTCATTGATATAAGTGCCAAGAGACTTGAACTCGGACAGTTGTTGGATCAGATCATCCACAAACATCGCAGTGGGTGCAGAATGCAAGTTGAAAGACTCCATGTGGGTGTGGCATTGGTAGATTCTCGCTGGGTTTAGATAAGATACTCAAAATATATTGTGACTAAGAAATCTATCAGACTAAACAAAAACAAGAACGACACGCCAACTATCAAGATCACTTCTTCTTCTTCCCCTCCTTCTTCTCTTTCTCTTCTTTCTCCTGTTTCTTCTTCTCCTTTTGCTTCTTCTTTTCTTCCTTCTCAATCCTTTTCTCCTCCTTCTTTCCGTTATCTCCGCCTCCTAGTGCCCGTTTGAGACCTGAGAAATGCTCCAACGCACTCTTTTTAGCACCTCGTTTCTTCACAATGCCCGTGGGTTTCGCACCAGGGGTGGGTTTCTCAGAAGAGGCTGACTTCTTGGATTTATTTGAACCACTGCCAGATCCAGAAAAGTGCTCTTTAAACCGTGATTTTCTCCCTTCCTGTGTTGTCTTTCCGGTTTTCCGGCCAATGACATTCCTCAGCTCTCCTTGAATGTTGAGATCTCTGAGAATATTGTTCTTCTCGTCAACCCAAGTCAATTCCAACAGACCTTTAGTATCTGGAAAGTCGACCAGGTCCATTGGATCACCGGTCTCGATCTCGCCATTCACGACTACGGGGAGTCCACCAGCGGGGGTGAATTTCAGTCTGAAGGTGCTAGGATGCCCGAACAGATTCATTGGCTCTTCTCCCTTTTCGATTGGCTCTGGTGGGACTTCTTCATCGGTTTGGACGCCCTGGTCTTGGACTTTACGCGTCTTTGTAGCTTTGGACCCCTTCTTCTTTTTCTCTTTCAGCTTGATTTGCTGATATTCGTCCTCCGTGACCCGACGATAAGCAAACATGTAGGCGTCAACTGTAGCCTTGGATCTAGTCGCCCATTCCCCAAACGTATTGAAGCGCTGGACATTCTCATCGTCAATTTTAACCCACTTTCCACCGGGCCCCTTGGCAAAGATATAATAATGACCCAGATTAGGACTCGAACCAGTGTGCATGATCACGGAGGTCAGCTCATAATAGACCTTTTCTTCGGGGGCAACGAAGTTTGGATCAAAGCATGCGCCATCCAGTTGTAAAACCTCTGACATCAGGATTCGAGATTTTATCTTAGAGGAATCCCCCTCGCTATCAAGTTTAATTCGATTGAGATGCACTATTAGACACTCCGGAGTTTGTTGAAAGTAATCCTTGTCAAATCGATTATTCTTGCATTCGTTGCACCTTAATCCCACATCTCTCTCCCTGAACCACTGTTGGATGACTTTATGTAAGGCGAGCTGTGTTGTGTCCCCTGCTTCTGCGGGGAACTGAACGCGCAGCATATCATGCTCAGATTGGAGCCATTTGGCTTTACAGGCATTCTCTCCAACACAGACTCTGTTGGTGACCGTGAAGAGTCGGAAGAGAGACGCTAGATCGACTTGACTATGTATCGATTAGTCATGGTTGATTGTATCTGTGTAAACCAGACTACTCACAGGATGTCCACCATGTCCCCCAAGAACTGTTCATAAACCTCAGTCCAAAACTCTGCCGCGTCTTGCTGTCCTTTATGTTCACCGTACTTTTGGTTCCAATCCAAAAGGATAGTATCGGCGAGGTTATCGAAAGAAGTTTGATGATTACCCTCACCATCCCAGTAGCTGTGATATAGAATGTGAATGTGACATAATTTGCATGACAGACCCATCGCTCCTGTCTTACATTCCTTCTTGCCTTCAACATGTTGGTCATGATAATAATCCAACCAGTTCAGAAATGCTGGCAAGTGTAGAAGCATCTGGAATGTCACAATCTGGTAACAGGCTGTGCCCTTATTGACAAAGCCGATATGAGTCGCGGCTGCGAGCCCCGCGGGCCAACCTGGATTGCCCGCAAACTACCCAGGTTAGTTCTCTTTGATCTCTATGGATTGATACAACTGACTTACCCGTGCTATAGCCATTGTGGAGTTGAGTAGAAAGTAGTAAAATAGAGTATAAATTCTGTATAATTGTATAATCGCAGGAAGCAATGTAGTTGATAACCCGACTTGCACGTTTCCGTCATCTCGAATTTATATTTTGAACCAGTCATTGATCATGAAAGAAAAGGTTCGAGTTCAATATCTATTTTCATGTTGAAAGGAGTGAAAGAGGACTATGAAGTACCCATATATAGAAAGGTCATTCCCAACCAAGTCTCTTAGATCTCTTAGATCTCTTAGATCTTCAAGAATAGTCTTAGCATAGTCAAAGAATAATCTCTTGGAATCGAATACTAGGACAAAGAGATGTGGCTTGTGTCTCATTCTATAATTCCATTTCACCCAGGAAATGCTGCCATAGGCATGAGAAAGAACCGCCAGTTCCTGACTTCAGCCATGGAACCCCCTAATCAGTTTAATTACTCTTCGGTGGGGTCTACCGAACCGTGGAAGAACGAGACTCCGCAATGGTCCAGAATCCCAAGTCTAGACCATGAAGTCTCCTATCATGATCGACAACGGTCATTCTTTCTTGGGTTATCCATCCCATTACACGTAACTGCTTAGGTAATGAACTGGTTCCTGCTCCGTACAACCTCTTTGGCACCTTTTGACCCCACCAGCATCCCCACAAGACTAAGCGTGTTTCAGGTGTGGGCCGCAACCTGACGAAAAGCGTTTGCCGCGGCTGCTGATTGGCTCCAATTTCGAGATCCGGCCGAGTCCCAAGGCCGAGCAAGGCGATCTCTCGACAGCCTTGTTTCTTCCCGTTCTCAGCAATCGATCTATCCAACTTGACAAGGGTCGTTTGCTTTCCCTCTCTGATCATCCTGGTTTTTGCTGTTGATTCTTGTTTTGATTTCTATTTTTGTTTTCATTTTGCCCTTCACGTTTCTACCGAAGATCCCACACCCAAACGGTTGGGCGCCATTCAGCTCATGATCTAAGTGGAACCCGCCCCCGTCGTTCTCGTCGGCCCTTCCGAGAGTATGTTGTTGGGGAGTCCATAATTACGGAAATGAAATCACTTCGAAACAGGGGAAATTTGCACGGTGACAAGACCCGGGTCAGAAGTGGATGAGTCGGACATTTCAGGCGATCATGAGAAACCCGCCACCAGCTCTTCGGTCACTTCCACTTAAGTCATAGTTGCGATGATCGAACGTTTCTCCACTTCAAGCTTTCCCCTCTCCTATAAACTCCGTCATCCATACATTCGGGGATCGGCATGGATCATCGTCGCTTCGGGTCCCAAGAACCCACCTTGAGACCGTTGCCCCGGTTTTATTCTCTTCCCGTCAAAATCACCTGAATCATGCCATGGGAGCTCTGGACTCGCACGTTGTAGCCACCGGAAGTGGACCATTCAACGTCACGAGCGACAGTTGACAGGTTGCATGCCGATCCTCGCATGCGTGTTTCAGGCAACCGGATCCAGCTTTAGCTATGAAAAGGAACTCATGTTCAAGAACCTGCATTGGCACACTCCACCGCCACTTTGCAAAAGTGATTGTTTGGGTCGTTAGGCTGCATGTGGCTTTGCCACTTGGGGCTCCGTGCCAGCTGCATATCCTCGGTCCAATCACGGAGAATAAACCAACAATTTGCTGCAGCTTGCCCGTTCCCGTTTTAATTTGGGGTTTTGGTTTTCATTTCGGTTTTCATTTGGTTTTCATTTCAGGACGTGGTCCCCACCGGTCCCTTAATCTGGTCACCCCTAAATGGCCCCGTCGTTCAAGGTCTTCCAGCCCTCTCCCTGGAAGGAAATTAAAGCAGACCTTTGAGACCTTGGCTTCTCGCTTGCCGGAACCCCAAATTTTCCCAAGTCATCATCAAGGTAGGCCGTGTAGAGGAACGGAGAATGTCGCCGATCCGGTCCTTCATGCGATCGGGCCCCAAACTACTTTAATTCTCTTGATTACACTTCAAGTGTTTGGATTCTAGGCCCATGATCAACGGGACAGAAACGCTCGTTCTCTGCGAACGAGGGCCTGCACGACGTCTGGGCAGTACACAACAGAACCCGCTTGGGCATTGGAAGTTCTGGAAGAACCGAATTTTTCCCACTGGTTTGACAGATCGGGACCGGGGTTGGAGTTCTTGAGCATCCAAGGATTCAACTTCTCGATGTCAGTTCCATGGGAGATGTAGACTGGAAAAGGAAAATAATAACGAATTAATGAAAAGAGGGAAACCAGGAACTCGGAATGAAGTGGATCCCAGAGGAGGAAAACGAAAAAAAAAAAAAAAAAAGGAAAAAAACAAAAACAAAAATAAAATAAATAAAATAAAACCCTCCAAATAAAAAAAACAAAAAAAAAACACTAGCTATAGCTTTAGCTCAAGTATCACCAACAAACCATAGCAGGGAAAAGAGGGGGGGGGGGCAAGATAGAGGTCAACCCAGTCATGATGCGGCAAAAACGCCCCCTGGAAGCCCTAAGAAATGAGAAAAATCCCCGAGTGGTTGCACTGAGGCTGCAAAAACCACAGTGGGACGAGAACACCCCAGATCCCGTCTAATACCCCTCGTGATGGCTAGTGGAGCAGAAAGCCGTTGAGTCCGATCTGGGTCCAGACATGTTTTAGTCACAACGGCATGGCATTAGGGCGAAATTAGTGTCTGGGCCACTTGGTCAGTGCCTTTAAAGTGTCCCGTTACGCATTCTCACCCTCATTTCACTCAAGGATGAGTGCGGGTCTCCCCCTCTTCTCTCCTTTTTCTGTTCCCCTTTATCCTGCGTGAACCCAGAGGGAAAATGGAAATCAGACGCCTGGGAATCAGAATGCGAGCTCTGATCCTCAGTATGCAAATGCAAATTAGAATTAGAATTAGAATTAAATCCCCTCCAAACCCTATAGACAAGATTGCAATAGAGGTTTGACCGCTATTAATTTAAACCAGTGGAGATATTCCCTCTTTTCTTACCCTTACAATACTATACGTATACTTCCCCGTTTCATCTTCACGTTCTGGACTCTCTCTCTCCTACACTTCTAGACCTTCACCTCTTCTCGAATCCTGGTTCTTGCTTTTCTTCGCCTCGAGTTAGATCTCGTTCTTTGCCTTTTGTTCCCCTTCCCCTTATACCACTTTCTTCGGTTCCTGGAGAGCCCTATCCACGGTACTTTGTCCCGCCATTTCTGCCAGAGATCCCTCTCCTCTGACCTCACCATTCGTTGCACAAGACCACTGTGTTTGGCTTTCGTGAAGAAATCACGGAGCATTTGAGCCAGGTTCTCGGTCCCTGAACTGATCATCCCGCAAAGGAATTCTTCCCTGTTGGCTTGTCATTGGAAGAGAGATCACGAGTCTTCCGCCTCTCTTCCGGTCCTCAAAACAGATTTCCCATCTCGCCTGGTCACTCTTGATCCTTGGGAAAAAGGAAAAAGAAGGTCTTTTATTTGGTGGTTTGTGGTGGTTTTGGCTTTCGTTTTTATAATTTTTAAAAGCAAAAAAAAGAAAAAACACACCACTTTTTCGACTTTTTGAGAACAAGAACCCCCCCAAGACGCCACCCCCATCGCGCATATGATTGCGTTACAAAACCGGCCTATCTTGCCGCCCGCCAAAGTGGATATCTCACTGCTACTCAAGCCCCAAGATGAGGAAGAAACCTCGGGCAACCCGGCCCCTCTCTATCCGCCGAGGATGTCAGGTCCTCTCCCCGGCACATCCTTCTTGACCGGTCCCCCGATGGCGGTGCCACCGCCGTTGACCAAGACGGGTCCAACTGGGGCTCCCAAGCGTCTGCAACCCGCCCATACGGCGGAGTCTCCGGCGAAGAAGCAATCCAAATGGTCGCCCGAGGAGGATGCTTTGATCATTGAGCTGCGAGGCAGTGGCATGAAATGGGAGGATATCAGCAAACGGTTGCCAGGTCGCAGTGCGATCAGCTGCCGTCTTCACTATCAAAATTACCTGGAGCGTCGCAGCGAGTGGGACGAAGACAAGAAGAACAAACTGGCTCGTTTATATGAACGGTAGGCTTAAACCATCTCCCCCGCAAAATACACAACCACGGGAGAACAGAGAGCAATCAGAACATACGAAGGGGATCAAACTTGCTAACGTTGAAGTGACTCGCATAGATTCAAGGCAGAGATGTGGTCCAAGGTGGCCGAGGAAATGGCCATCCCATGGCGTGCCGCAGAGGCGATGCACTGGCAACTGGGGGAGCAGGAGATGGCCCGCCGCGCAGGCGTGGTGCCCTTTTCCTTATCAAGCCATGCGATCGATCCACCAGCCACTAGGACTCGTCGAGCCAGCACCTCTTTGGCTCGACCCCGGAAGAGTTCAATCTCCCGCGCTATTCCAGGTCACCCACCCGGCCTGGCCCCTCAACTACCATCTCTCGAAGAACTGACAGCGGGGGTTCCTGCATACGCACCAGCACCACCAGCTCCTCAACACCCACGAGAGTACTATGGAGTGGGCCGCCCCGACATGGGCATCCCCCCCGGAATGATGGGCCCGCATATGGGCATGCCCCCACGAACGTTGCCCTAAGATGTGATGATGATCCACGTACGGCTTTCCTTTGTTTCTGATACGACTTGCATAGCGCCGGCTGGAGGTATACCGTGATTTGTGGGAGGTCGTGATTTGAATAGAGATTTTTTGTTTCGCCACCCCTTGCGACTTGCGCGTTTTTCTTTGCTGTCTTTTCTTTTCTTTTTGGAGATTCTTTTATGCTTTATTGGAGGACATTCCGATTTTGTCCCGATCTCCCCCGTCCCGTGCGTTTGTGAGGAACTCTAGGTTTCCGGTGGATTATCGAGGCTGGATCTCGGCATGAAACCACGCATCATGGGCTGACCATGACCTTGGGTGTGGCAATGGCCCACCAATTGTCCTTCTCATATCCCGACGTCACCACATGACCGCCAGCATTCTCGATATCGCGCTCCAATTCGCCTTCTTCAAACAGATGGTAATAACGGTTGAATGTTTCGGATTCTTCCGGTGCTGTTGGGTTCTTCCGAACCCAAGGAACCATGATATCTTGTTGGTCTCCTTTATCCCAGCCACGACGACTATTCTTCTGCTCCAGAGCCCAGGCATAAACCAGGACGGTACCGCCTGGTTGCGTATCCGAACCGCGTTTCACGGTTCTCAGAATCTCGGCAATGGCCTGCACTCTCCGCTCCGGGGTAGACAGATGGTGCACGACAGCAATGCACATTGCAAAGTCAAAGTACCCATCTCGGTGCGGGAGGTGGAGAATATCGGCCACCACGGCTGAATGTGGTTGATGCTGAAGAGCAATCCGAGCCAAATTTTCCGATCTGTTTCAATGCATGAGTGAACCAGGTTGAAGGCCAGGAGAGACGAGAAAGCAATGCCGAAGCTTATGATACAAATAAAACCCCCCCCCCAAAAATACATATTTAAAAAAAAGAACCCAACATATGACTTTACCCCGTAGCTTTGATAGACTTACCGATCCGATGCAATGATGAAAACATTGCGATTGACCATTAAATTTTTGCCATTTCCACAGCCCACATCAAGGCCAATGGATCCAGGTGTGAGATTTTGTAGGTATTGCTCCACAATAGGCCAAGGCTACGTAGGTAAGTAGCAAGTTCGGTTTTCATTCCCAGGACTATGGACCAAACTATACCTTATAACGTGTAGCAGAGAAGTGCTGGGCAATCTGTTGATAGACCTCGTGCACGTTCTGTTGCTCGTACTCCTCAGCGTGAGACATGGTTGCGGGTTGTTAAGTTCCTCTTCGGGGTTCGATTCCAGTCAAGCGAGTGAGATCACGTGGTTCGGACTGGAATCCAGCTTCCATGACAAATGGTTTTTTTTGTTTTGTTTTTATCTTGTTTTTGTTTTTGTATTCGGTCATGTACAACGTACTAAACTGCATCCACCTTAATGATTGATGGTAACGAGGTCTGATCATTTCTATATTAAGTCTCAAATCGTGTAGGACCAGATCTGTGCCCCCGTTTACAACCAAATTTCAATTGAAACCATTCTTGATCTACATCTCTCTGAATCGGGGTTCTGCTCGATTTCCAATCCATCCAGTCTTTTGCATAGTCGTAGAATATAACTGCGTTTCACCATGATACTGTGTATAGAACATTTGAAAGATCGTGTGGATGACTAAGCACTACCTGCACTCATCCATGGATCGTGCATTGTGTTCACGAGCATCACTCGCTTCGGGTCAAAATTGTAAGTACACTGCTTATTTGCTATGCTAGACTTCCTTCCAAAGGGCTTGGGTATATTTTGGGGTCTGTTTCGGATGCATATGGTCCTGAAGCCCCACTTTGAAGAGGGGTTCGTAATGGATATGCCAATATCAAAAAAAAACCTCGGAGGGGTTGCTTGAAAGCCATTCGCGACCCTGGCTTGTTCTTCTTGTGTATCGCCAGGACCGATCTTGCCTTTTCTTATAACTTTGTTATTTGTGGTCCTCCAGTTTTTGTTGCCGAGACTACAAGAACCAGCTCTAACATCTCCCCACAGAACTCAAGTCAAGGAAGAGGCAGAAACACCCCTTGAAGGGTCATTCATAGTCAAGATGGCATTCCAGCCTACTCCGGCGGATATATCCGTCATTATTACCAATGCAGCATTTTCGCGAACTGCTGATGCAGAGCCTCGCTTCGTCACCGAGCGTCGCATCACCCCGACATGGACTGTGATGCAGCTCAAGGGGAAGCTGGAGACTATGACCGGTGTCCCACCGGGGTGCCAGCGTCTGCTTGTTAAGGTACCTGGTCGGTCTGATCAGTGGGCAGATGAAGAGGATCGAGCTATCGGGGATTGGGGGCTGGCCAAAGGATCAGAGATTGTGGTAGGTCTTGCTACCTTTGATGACTGTCTTCATGAGTCTTTTGAAAATCCCTCTGTTGAACCTCGGAGGGTTGTTGCCAATTTTGTTTATGTTCTGGAGCGTACTTTGTCTACCTGTCTCTAGTGTAGACTTGGCGCGCTCATGTCAAAGCGGCAGTTGTTGATGCTCATTATGCATTTCTTTGACCCGAGCGAGCGAGACAAAAAAAGATGTTCTTGAACCATGCTAAATTATGTCCATAGGTCCATGATTCCCGCCCACAGGCGATGAGGCCCAACTTCACCGACCTTTCATCCGTGGAGAAATACGAATTGCCCACGGAGACCTATGAGTCTCTTTCAAACTCTGTTTTGGCGTGGAAGAAGAACCAAAAGTTGGGCCGCTTTGATCCCAATGCGCTTTCACCCGAGGAGTACCTCCGGCAACAAGTAGCAAAGGACCAGGCTGAGATAGCCTCTCGAGGTACGTGTCTCTGCAAAGGGGTTTGATATCTGATCTCACCATTTGATTACAGGTATTACGGTGTCTAAACGAGTGATCATTTTGCCATCGTCGCCACCCCATATCAGACGAGGAATCATTCGGTTTGTTGGACCTGTGCCGTCGATCCCGGTGTCTGGACCTGGCCGCGAACTCGAAAAGGAAGGGGAACTCCCCGTGGAGCTGCAGCCCATCTGGGTAGGTGTTGAGTTGGATGAACCAACGGGGAAGAATGATGGCAGCGTAAATGGGCAACGCTATTTCGAATGCTTGGAGAAACGAGGTGCATTCGTGAAGCCGGACAAGCTCGAGGTTGGCGATTTCCCTCCGTTGGACCTGGATGACGACTTGGATGACCTGATGGAGGAAATCTGAGGCTTCAAGACTGTTTGGGAGATATGTGTATTTTGATATAAAGTTCTACTTCCGACCCTCCATCCTGAATTAGCGCCAAATAGATTAAGCTGATAGAGCCTTCCGATTCAAGAAAAAAGAAAAGAAAAAAAAAGAAAGGCATAGGGCAGATAAGAACGCTTGAGGCATGTGGTATCGTGGCACATTGTCAACACCGCCGTGACATGGAACTGAATCAAAAAGGCTACAAACAGATACAAATGGCCAAGTTCACATTTACTTCGCCTTCTGCTTGCCCTTGGGACGACCGCGGGCCTTTTTAGTTACCGGTGTAGGATCATGTTCGGTTTCTGCTTCACCTTCACCCTCCCCTTCAGCCTCAGCCTCAAATTCACTTTCCTGAACAGCATTTCTGGATTTAGATAAGGCTATTTCGTCCTCACCCGGGACACAGCCTTGGGTGAAGAAAAGCCGAGCTTCTTTGCTATGGGCGTTCTGGAAGCTATAGTAGTTGCCTATCATAGACCGACATCAGTTGGGAGCATGCACTGCGATGGAAACTTGGACTCACCGCGTGGAACTTGAAACACGCATCCTTTGCCAGCGCTAAACTGCACTCCAGAGATATCGACTTGCACTCGTCCATGACAGACATAAAAAACCATGTGCATTTTCTTTGAGTTCTTGGGTCTCTTCACACCTTCCGGTGGGAGTTCTACGACCCCGGATCCGATGAAAGAAGAGCTAAGCAGCTTTGCAAATCGGAATGTGGAATCTTTGACCTCTCTTGTCTCAATACCAGAAGGAGCATACGCAATATCTGCAAAACTAGGTTAGCAAAATCCACTCCCCGGTTAAATAAGCAGCACTTGCCGATGACATCCTCCTCCTTAGTGCTGGTTTGAGACTTAGGATCCCACCTAGGGATAAAACCATGAAGAACACCACTTTCCTTCTCCCAGACATCTAGATGTTCGTCATCGTCATCGGAAGGCTCCTCTGCTTGCTTCTTGGATTTCGACTTTCGACCGGTTCGTTTGCCTTTTTTCGTTCGCTCCGGCTCAAGTTCTTCAGCGCGAACAATTTCCTTGATGGTTGACAACGGGAAGCGTTGGCCATCTTCAGCCTCCCCATCCCCGTAGACGCATCTTTCGTTGCGCCAGTACGCCAAAGGTCGGATGGATGCGCGCCCTGAGCGAGTATGTGTGGAGCTTTCGTCTGCGGGGTTCTCTCTTTTGAGAATGTACAAGCTGCGGCCCTTCAAAGGACCTGAACGGGTATAATTCTCAACGACTTTGTTCAGTTCGGGGTCCAGGGGTTCACGGTTCGCTTGGGGCTGACTGCTTGGTATCTTTTGCCTCTTGGGTGGCCTGGCATCGGCTGATTCCTCGTCAAGGGGACGTGATTTTTTCGGAGGTCGGCCTCGCCGTCCACTTTTAGTTTCACTCTTCTCCGGCTTGGAAGCCTTGACTGTGGGAGCTTTCTTTATTTGTTTTGAGGTCGTTGTAGATGTCTTCGGCACCGAGCGCAAAGCTTCTGCTGGTTGAGGCGAGTCGTTATCGGCCTCACTCTGGTCTTGCGCTGGATTCTCGGGAACGTCGTCATCGCGAATCACAGTCTCATCTCCAGCATCGAAGCTGTCTCCGAAGTCATTATCCTCGGGGAGAAATGAGTTGGCATTTTCATCAACCTCGCCATCCGAAAAATCATGCACGATAGGGGACTCAGGCGCTGCTAATTGCGCCTTTGTGGCCTTCTGGGCATTATTTCTCTGCTTGGAGACACCCGCGTTCACTGATCGAGTAGTCAATGGAGAGGGTTCCTGCCGCGAACCGTGGGTCTTTGTCAAGCCTTTACCATGTGAGGGGCTAGGCGATAATGAGTCCTCTTCTTGATCTGGCGTCGAGCGCAAAAGAGGCGATCTGCGGATAGAGGAAGAAACGCCCTTTGCAGGCGAACGACCGGTCGGGGGCAATAAGGCAGGACGCGAAGCGTTAGCGGCATTGAGGAAGTCCATGGGACCAGGCGCGTTGCCTATCATGCACTCTCGTCAGATTTCCATATCAATATATCCAAATGTGAAGGGTGTCGCACCTTCATCCATGGACATCCCATCAGAACCCATCGAGTCTTCGGATTCCCTCTCATCAAAGCCATTCACCTTTGCGGGCGATTTCTCAGGAGACGAAAAAAGCCCATCCACTTCTTCCATGCCATGCTCATCGCGCTTGCCTTCTTTCAAGGTAATACCGGTCCGTCTGAATGAATTGCGTAGGTTAGCCGCGAAAGTCCACCACAAGAGATCCTGCGCGACAAACCTTCCTTGAGTTCCCACTGCGGAGTAGTCATACTCGCGGGCCTTGGCCCCACGAGCCATTTTTTGCAGAATTTGGGGGAAATGAACAGATTAGATAATTATCAAGGGTGTTTTGCGATCCAATTTTGGGGTTTCACCCCTTGGTAAATGGGTGGTAGAAGAGCAAGATTATCGCGGAGGGGAAGGAGGAATGCGCCGGAATTTGGGGAGAAAGCAACGCGTGCCGCTAAACCCGAGCGGTCGACGCGTTTGGTGCATATTTGATCACCATTTTATATCACTTAATTCATTCCACTTACCACACATCTGGACCACTATGAAGGAGATCAATTTCAAGGAAGATCTGTCTTTCATTCCTCCTAGTGTGGACTCGACTCGTCTCCTCTCTGGTGAATCCTACGCCTATTATACGCCCTGTCCGGCAGCTATCACGACCCACGCTTCATCCACGGAAAACACGCCATGCGTACTTGGTGTCGACGAGGCTGGACGGGGCCCCGTCCTTGGCCCAATGGTCTACGGTGCTTTCTACTTGCCTATCGATTTGCATCACTCCCTTCTGGCACAAGACTACAGCTTCGACGACAGTAAAGTCCTCACCCCAGGCGTGCGCGCCAACCTAATGCGACTACTCAACACTCCGGGCAACAAATTATTCGAGTCATGTGGGTATGCGATTAAGGTTCTGTCAGCGCGCGACATTTCCTCGGGCATGCTGAAGCCAGGCTCCGCCGTCTACAACCTGAATGCGCAAGCTATGGATGCCACAATTGAGATCATTCGAGGGGTGGTACAGGATCGTTCGGTCAATGTGCAAGAGGTGTACATTGATACTATTGGAAACCCAGCGACATACCAACAAAAGCTAGAACGGATCTTTCCGTCTTTGAAGATCACTGTGGCCAAGAAGGCGGACTCGTTGTACCCATGTGTAAGTGCGGCAAGTGTGGCTGCAAAAGTGACGCGTGATGTTGCGCTTGAGGTGCTATACCAAGCCGTTCTACGTGCTCAGCAGTCTGGCGAGGATGTATCGAATGCTCCAGAGGGGTGGGGCAGTGGTTATCCCTCCGATTCGAAGTGTGTCGGTTGGCTCCGAAGGAACATGGACCCGGTTTTCGGTTGGGGCAACGAGTGTCGGTTCAGTTGGGGTACAGCTAAGGAGATGTTGGATGTGAAAGGTGGAGCCCTAGTAGACTGGCCTGAAGAAGACGAGGAAGGAAATGGCCGGCTCGAGTTTCTGTTGACATCTGGACCCGCAAAACCCTCCGGCCAAGATGGACTACGAGATTGGTATGGGAGCAGACAAGCAGAAATTATATGATGTATGGAACAAACGGGAATTAGGCATAATGAGGCTATTGTAGTAATCGATGATACCCCCCCCCCCCCCGCCCAAACCCTGTGAGGCATGCTTTAATTGAGAAACCAAGGAAAGACGCTCATCACAAGGGCAATGCACAAGCATAGCAAAAAAAAATCAGAAGCCAAATAAGCCGGGTATCATGGAAGAAGGGAAATCTGTGCAGAACAATCATAAGGTGGCAGTCGAGAAATAGTAGTTGTCCCACAGATATTCATAGTCTTCCACCACACTACCCACCAAGTCAAGCAGCGGCTTCCCCTTCATCTTGCTAGTCAGACTGTGTAGCCATGATCTGCTGAGGGTTAGTCTATGTGATCAAAAGGATATTGTGAGATTGAAATCCTTACTTCGTGATGTTCTCATAAAATGCGCCCCGCATCATCCACCAGCCCATCGACCATCCTCGCTTTCTCAATTCCTCTCTCTCAAGACCTGTAAGTCCCCGGAGTCCGCCAGCGACACGCTCACGGAAATCTCGCTTGGCAAGCTGACGACAGCCATATTCCATTCCAAATCCAATTAGCCAGGGGCGCCAGCTGCGCTTGTCTCCGCTCCACCGCTGCATCGCTAAGGCATACACAACAGGTCGCAAAATGTAAAGGACCTCCGCTAGCTGACCTTGGCCGGTAACTCGGTGCAGTAAAGTTTTAGCGGGTTTGATGTCATCTGCAGTGAGTACCTTTGAGATGAGATAGTTGGACACGTCGTTGACGTCTGGGAGGGATGGAAGGGATAGCCCTGTACGAGGCATCGTCCAGCTTAAATCTGAAGAGCGGTCACTGGTAGGCGTATCCATGCCGTTCCAGTCGACCTGATTCTCCTCTTCCGTTGTCCTTGGATCGACTTCACGCTCGGGTAATGGTGGGCTCACTAGCGGCCGGGAATTGGTCAAACGAAGGAGGAGGAGCCGGCAGATTGCCTTAGCAAATTCAATGAACACAACGATGCGCCAACGAGTCTTCTGGCCACGCCGGCGGGCGGACATTTCCCATAAAAGCTCTGTATATTGAAGCATCTGAAGCGCGAGTGCTACACGGCGATAGAGCGAGGATCGCGAGGTCCAGTACTTCGTGTATCGAGCATGAGGAGTCGGCGTCGGTCGTGGGACGGTAGGCGGTAGTTGAGAGACTACCCGCGAAACGAGAGAATCATGGTATAATGATAAAAGCTGCACACCCGAATGTACTGCATAGCACTGTCAGTCAGTCTCCCCCTGTGCTCCTGCAGCGCAGGTACTTGAACTTACCACACTCTGAAGCAACCTCAGATTCACGATATCGACCTATGCATAATAATATTACCTGCTTAGCGATGCATTCAAACAGTGTTTTAGGAAAACACTGGGTTGTTCATTCACCCACCTGGTATGATATAGGTCAGCGACCTCAGAGCGGACTCAACCTGGCCAACCGAGCTGGCATTTTTGGTCACAAAGTCCTCATAGAGCGACAACCACTTAGATGGTTGTAGCATCGTGGGTGGAATGGGATTCTGGATGTTCCGAACGGTCTCCATGATCCAAATCAGTGCAGCCGCTCAAGGCGCTGTCGCGTGGGAGAGAGCGGGTAAGAAGTTGGGGTCACGGGCTGCCAAGAAAGACGGGCCGAGGTCCAGGTTGGTTGCGGCAATTACACTTATAGTTCGGACCACTTACCATTATGCACGGGTTACGGCATATAAAGAAGTAAAGAAGTATACACTTTAGCTTGCAATGAATTGACGATAGTCATGACGAAAATATTTAATATTCATTCTATTCATCTGCCCAGGTCCACAATCCCCCGGGCCGCATGGCCTCCCGGTACCGCTCCTCTACCTTCTCTCGGTCTTGTCTCTGTGCAGCCTCTCGGTCAGATTTAAGTTCTTGAGTGGATGGCATTTCGGTTCGCCAAAACCCCGGGGGTGACCGAGCCCGCTGGTGATTATGCCGATGTTTTCCATATTGGTTGGCTATGGCTCGGGCTCGGGCTTCGATGAGAAGATGGTCACGATCTCGGGCACTTAGCCCTTCCAACAAATGGTAGTCTTCCCCCACATAATCCTCCATGACCCGCTGGTCTTCTTCCTCCTGTTCCGAGGGGGATTTGGCAGGTAATCCACCGAGACGAGCCATTGCGCGAAATCGGCCTCCACAGCATTCAGGTCGTGTACAACCAGCGAGGCACTTGCGATCATCTTTCTTGCGAACAACTTCGCTGTATGCGTAGTCGAGCCCCTCATTTCTCTGGGGATTGAGCTTAAAGTGACCCAGAGTCAGCCTGTGAAGAGGGCGTGACCTGTACGGTTCATCTTCAGGATGCACATTCAAACCAGGTTGGCTTGCAGACTCCTCGTTTTGCAGTGGATATGGTTGGGAGGAGAAATATTCAACAGGCCCAGCGTTCTTCCCTGAAGTATCGTTTCGCCCAGAAGTTTGTGTGGTCATTCGCCCAGGTGTGCCTTTGAAGGATGAGAGGGGTGATTTAGATGGCAGTGGCTTCTCAAGAAGACTTTCTAGGCGGCCTTGGGTGAGGTTGGAATGAGACTTCATATTTGCTGTTGCGGCGGGGGGGATTGAAGTGCTGCTCTTAGGATGAGAATGCGCACTAAAATCACCCGTATCACCATCTTCTGACATTGATAAGACTGCACGTGGGTCTGTAGATCTAATCCTTTTATCGCCATATGTCAAATTGGAGACTCTTGCTGTTCGCGTATTGCCATCAATTGGTTGCAAAACAGAGAGCCGGGTTGGCCCATGATCCAAGTCTCTTGAGTCATCCCAATGCACCGCTCGGCGTGCATGTCGTTTAGTGGGTGTCAGTACAGCGTCGCCGATGTCATCTAGGTCCTGGGTGCTTGGAAAACACTGTCCTAGGACATGGTTTGAATGCTGTAGAGGGCTCGAAGACATCGTCTCATTTTTCACCAGCACTGATCGACCGGTATTGCCAACCGCAGCGTGGGACTGAGAAGGCGCCACCACACGCTTTCTCTTTCGATTTTGTAAATTTGGCAGCGGATGCAACACATCGGAAGGCGACTCCGAGGAATCTGGGTCGCACCCGGGCGAAGACTGTGTAAGGCATAGTTCTGCATGGTGAGGAACAAGAACGTGCTGGCTGTGCTCCTCTGCTTTGATTGCAACGGCTGATGTATCTGCTGAACCAGTCTGGTTCTGAGTAGAGCTATTGGGCTGTTCTGAGCTGCGGGAAATCTCCGGGTTCTGAGATTTACTTTGCGTAGTAGCTGCACTGGATGATACTGCAGCTTTACCGGTGTGGCAAGCCTCTGAGTTTTGAACTCTTTTGAATGTGACTGGCACCCCATTCTGTATGAGTGTGAATTCATCCCGCTGTAGTTGTTTGTCTACATGGCGCAATTTCTTCTTATGTTGCGAAATCCTGGCTTTCAAGCTGCCCCAGCTCTGACAATATATGTGTAAATCATTGTAGAGGATCATGTACTTGGCAGCCAGGGTTTCTCGGGACACATTTTCCAGGTCAGTCCCCCAGAGATGCTCTGGGGCAAATCCATGTTTGAAGTCAGCCCAATTCACAGGGGATTCCAGGTCGGCTGGGCTGAAATCATAATGGCTTAACTCTGTTTGGAGTGCCGTAATCTCGCGTTGGAGCCCTTGTATTCTGCTTTCTGCTGTTTGGCGGGCTTCGTTGGCAATGGCTGCTTCGTTCTTGGCTGCTGTCAAATTGGCCTGATGGGTGGCAAAGTTAGACTGTAAGTTCTGGAAGGCCTGATGAAAAGAAGATTCACACGCCTCTGTGATGGAGACATGGAGCTCTTTCAGGATATCCATAGGAATATAGGTTGGATCCTTATTAAACGCTTTATAGAGGCGAAACGCGGATTAGCACGCGTCCCAACTGGCATTACACTGACCGCCTTTGACGTTACAATCACACGTGATTCTTATCGGTCCTCCGATAAGGGGACCTTTTGACGTAGCAAGCGCTAGGTTTCTCTGTGTACTCCTCCTACAAGTACTTGCTTGTCTCAATGTGTTTCATGGGTCTCAAAACGACCTATCAGCATGCCAAAACGTCTGAGGGGAAATTCACCGTCAGATTCGGCATCCACGAAGCGGATTCGAGATGTGACGACTCCCATCGATCGCCTATCTTCTTTGAGCAATGAGCTTTTATTGCATATCCTTTCCTTTCTGCCTATATCATCATTGAATGTGTGTCAAAGGTTTGTTATGCTTTTTATCTGTCAGAAAAGGTCAAAGTCGTTGAGTACTCTCTAGATTATCCCACCGATTTCACGCTCTTGGTGGAGACTCTGAACTCTGGAAGCGACAGTACTACTCACAGTGGGTGCGACCTCGTGCTCGTCGTTTAGCTAGTGCAAGACTCTCGACATTACCAGCTAGAGCAGAGTATTCTCCTAGAGTTTCCACCTGGCTTGATCACAGCCATCTGGCTGAAGAGGGTAAGGTGACCAATTGGAAACGACAATATCGCCTACGGCACAATTGGTCCAATGGGTCCTGCCGAGTGACCGAAGTCGAATTTCTCGAACCACCATACCCTCCCGTGCTGGTCAAACTCTGTGCGGGCATTGTCTTCACCGCTGATGCTGCTTACGGACTTAGAGCGTGGGCCGCAAAAGACCCAACCAGCTGCTTGTCTAGTATCTCATTTTCGGATTCAAAAGTTTTCACGACTCGCCCAACCTCCTTGGCAGTCAGTCAGCTACCAGATGGGCAAGAAATAGTAGTGGGATTTGAGACTGGCCGATTTAACCGTTACGTATATGACGTTCAGACATGCCGGCTGGGCCTGCGATCCTCTCACGTTGGATTCAGGGATGGTGCCATCACTGCCATGGCCTTGTCCTCGCCTTACCTCCTGATGGTCTCTCAGCATAAGATTCTTTCTTTGTATAACCTCCGCACTCGTTCCACTGGGAAGTCTCAAGATGCCTTAGGACCGTGTGAAATTGCGTCCCTCCAAGCGGAGAACATGGTGGCCCCAATGACCCTCTCTCTCCGTGTTTCGACATTTGAGATTGTGACCACCATTGTCTACAGTTTCTATCACATTGGGTGTGGGTGGTCGTTAGGGATTCAAGAGCTGCGGTTCAATAAAGATGGTCAACAATTGGAGTCCCGACTTACCACTACGGTAGACTCCCAGTACGGCATTCGTCCACTCCAAAGTCTTCCATCCAATAAACGCCGGCAGTCCGCCACCACTGACCCGATCTATTCTTCTGCGGCCGCCCCCACCGAACCATCCATATTGCACCAGCAGCCGCCAACATCCATGTCCTATTCCCACCCATATCTGCTAACATCCCACGCGGATAACACTCTGACCATGTATCTGCTTGTCTCAAATTCCAACAGTCTTTTTGTTCGAGGTGGCCGACGACTCTGGGGCCACACGTCTTCAGTATCTACAGTCCAAGTGACCAATCGAGGGAAGGCAGTCTCCGTGAGTTCACTGGGTAATGAGATTCGAATTTGGGAGCTTGAAACAACTGTTCCCTCATTGGGCAGTCGCAGACCCTTAAAAGAAGAGAGCAGTATTCAAGTCAGTCCTGATAATCGGCAACTGGAAAACAAATTGGGTTCCAAAGGCCTAGCACAAGAGATCGGTGGATTGGATGTTGTTTCCACCACACATGGCTGTATGCATGAATGTGTTGGATTCGATGAGGAGCGAGTGCTCCTGCTCCGAAAGAAGACGGTCGGCACCCAACTGCTAGAATGTTATGATTTCACATAACATTTTGATGTAGAAGATGAACTTTGGTCCTTTTTTGTTGGGGACATTCAAAAGCCCAATCGATGTATGAGAGAAACACCAACGCAGGTCCGGGGACCGGCGTAGCACAAGGTACTCAGGGACCGGGGACCCCGGCAGCACTTGGTGTCGCCTGCAGGTATAAGATGAACTGCACTTCCTCAATTTCAGCTTTTCTTCTTTTTTTCTTCTTTTTTTCTTCTCTACTGCGGCCCTGGGCTCCTCCCGGTCCCTTCGGTTGCGATGTGTTCCATGCTATGGTCGGCATTCGACAATCAACGGCTAGTGCCCTTCTTTCAACCGGTCATGGTCAAAGTTGACTCTCTGTACGTTTCACTTTGAACCCTTCATTTGATGACTCGATGGATTTGGAGAATTCCTACTGCTCAGGCCCTCCGAAACTCCCTTGGTGGATCCCTCGCAGAGCCAGAGCAGGATCTTGATCAGACTACCATATGGCTTGCAGGACCCTGATGTTACGAGATCAGGTCTCACAATGGGACTCAACGCCCAATAGAATCAAGCATGCCCATGTGTGAATAAGTTCCAAGGCCCAGAAGATGAAAGATCTATGGAATGTGGAATGAAGGAGAGTTGAAATGAGGTCTAGATTTGGAGCAAGCTATTCGGCTTCAATTTGCAGATGTATGCAGGACTTTTACCTTTCCCCTACTTTTTTCACCTTGTCTCTCTTTCTCTTGCTATTTTCATTCATATATTTGTTCATCTACGCAAAGTTGGTGGCTTTCCCGGTTCCAGATCCCAATCCCGCACCAAAATCTTTGCGCGGGAAGTTTTCTCCCTCAGACAAGGCCCCCGCACTACAAATTTCTTTCCTTCTCAACCTCTTCCACCTTCTTTCTCTACCTATCCAAACCGAAAAAAAAAACACCCGAATTTCTTTCGAATACCCAACCATCACAATGGATCCTCGTTCCCGTGCCTGCTACAACTGTGCGTTTCTCGTTCTTTGCCTTCTCTGCTCGCCTATGACCCGCACAGTAAGCGCAGGAGATAGAACTCTCAGTTCTGGGTGATTTGATACCATATCAAATGCTTGCTCTCCTGCGCTTTTGTTCATTTGATTCCCATCTACCTTTTATCTGCAGCTTGTCTGGGCGCATGCTGTGCACCAACCAGGCTAGTTTTTGACTGACTTTTTTTTTTCTCCGTAGGCGGTGACGCCTCTCACCAGGTAAAGATACACCTACCTTCCTTGGTCTTATAGGTACCTGTACCAGGGATATCCGATATGGACAGTGCTTCAATCGAGATTGGAGTTGAAAACTGACCCCTTGTCTTCCAGGCTAAGGACTGCCCCAAGAAGGGAACCCCTACCTGGTATGTCACGGTTTCCCTACTCTTGAACCGCAAGAACTTGTCACAATGCTAACATATCCCTTATAGCTACAACTGCGGTGGTGAGGGCCACGTCAGTAAGTTCATACTGGATGGATCATCGTGTGAGAAGGGATTCAGACGACCGGACTAACACTGTCTAGACCGCGAGTGCCCCAATCCCCCCAAGGAGCGTACTTGCTACCGCTGTGGCCAGACTGGTCACCTTTCTCGCGAGTGCCCCCAGGCTGGCAGCGCCGGCGGCAACTTCGGCGGTGCCCCCGGCGGTGGTTCTCAGGAGTGCTACAAGTGTGGACAGGTTGGCCACATTGCCCGTAACTGCTCCCAGGGTGGTAACTACAACGGTGGTGGTTTCAACTCCTCATACGGTGGACGTCCTCAGACCTGCTACTCCTGTGGTGGGTTCGGCCACATGGCCCGTGACTGCACTCAGGGACAGAAGTGCTACAACTGTGAGAGCTTTTCCTTCGTTCATGCAATGCAGACTCTAATTTGATATCCTAGGCGGCGAGGTTGGCCACGTTTCCCGTGACTGCACTACCGAGGCTCGGGGTGAGCGTGTCTGCTACAAGTGCAAGCAGCCCGGTCACGTCCAGGCTGCGTGCCCCAACTAAAATGGTGGAGAACTGGTGTCTTTTTTTTCGTTCTGTGCTTTCCCGAGGGATTTTTCCAGAAACCAACGATTACTTCACATGCGCCACGATCTGAAATGTCTCTTTCCCCGGGGTTCTTTTGACTTTGTACTATCACTCACGGCTTGAATCACGACCATGGGCGTCTTGCATGTTGCTTTTTTTCCCTATTGCAGTCTAATACTTCTTATGTCTCACCAGACGGGGGAGGTGCAACGGGCGATTTTGCTTGCAAAATAAAAATGGGTGTGCATGGAATGGCTTTCTTTGGGCGCTTTACAGGAGATACTTAGGTGCATGGGGAAATGCATATTGATTCTCCCATCTCTTATTCTTAATTTCGAAGGCCAACTCAGATCATGAACTGCAACTACACATCATCGCCCTCTTATATTTGGGGACGTCGCCACAGAAGCGCTCCTCTTCCTCCTTGAGTTGACCCCATTCATCATTGAAAGGGTTCAGACTCATCTGCATCACCCGTCCCAGTATCTCTCGGTCTCCCTTGCGCTCCACGCGCTCGATGACCTCATCCAAAATCCATCCTCGTGGGATGAACTAACGCAAAAGTCAGACATTAGGTATATACCAGGGAAAGGGGTGAGAGGGTATCTTACGTTTGGATTGACTGCCTTCATGGCCTTTTGTCGTTCGTCATCTTGATCTCCGTCCTCGAGCACGCGGGCTCGCCAGCTATTTAGCCATTTTGCAATACGGCCTTTGGCTGAAGCATCAGTGTAACCAATTCCCCCGAATCCCTCTGCATGGAAGAAGATCGCTGCAGCTTCGATCCGTTGTTCTTCGGTCTCCAGTTTAGAAATACTCAGCCCCGAAAGTCGACGGAAAAAGTGATTGAAATCCAGCTCCAGGGCTTCTAGTGTATCCAGCATCTCTGAGAAGAGATTCTGGAAGTCAGATTCCCGTTGCGTCTTCAGTCCAAGCCTCTGGGACATTAGTCGCTTGTACTCGTTCAAGAAAACGGCCTTGAACTCCTCGCCCGTGCGGTCGATGATGGTTTCCGCACGCTTGATAAGCTCTGGTTCCATCTCCTCGGTGACGCCGTCTCTGATGAAGCTCTCGTCATCCACTTTCTTCCCGGCACCAAGCAGTTCCCCAAAAGATTCACCAAGTCGAACCAAATTCCACCAAATGATACTAGGCTGGTTTTTGTAGGAATATCGTAACATAGCATCGTCATGGTTGGGGGTGTATTGAGGGTCAAAGTTATCCATGAATGCAAAGGGGCCATAATCAAGGGACAGGCCATAAATCGAGGTATTATCAGTGTTAAGCACACCGTTCATAAACCCATAAGCCTGCCACGCGGCGACGGTCTTTGCGTTGCGTCGGGTGATTTCGCGGTAAAGGCGAGCAAACCGGTTTTCCTCAACCTCCTGGTGCTCCTGCACTTCATCTCGAGGTACCTGTCGTCGAGGATTATCAATTTCCGGGGCAGATTGCCCTTCTCGCACCGATACGATCGCGGGAAGATTCTCCCATCCGCCAAAGACATCCTCTGCGACGTAGGTGGCAAGTTTTCGGATTAATTCGCGATCGCCACGAGCCCTAAGGAGATCAAAGGTTCCAATGCGGAGCCAAGATTGGGCAAATCGAGCCACAATCGCACCTGGCTCCAGGCGCTCCCGCAGCACCTTTGACTTGGGCAGCAGAGTTAATGATAGAGCACGAGTGGTAGGAATACCAAGGGCATTGAGAGCTGGGACATGTTTAGTTCCAAAATCGAAAATAATGAAAAAAGGAAGTACCTTCGGAGACGATATATTCACGGATACTCGATCGAAGAACAGCCTTTCCATCGGCAAATCGTGAATATGGGGTCTTCCCCGCGCCCTTCAGCTGCAATTCATATCGAGTGCTCGAATGTGGATTGGTACATTCGAAGAGACTGATAGCACGCTATATAGATTACATTAGCATGGCGAGAAGAAGAAAGAACGAAACATGAACCTACTCCATCTCCAAGCTGACCGGCCCAAGAACCACTGTGAAGAGTCAGGTTGTCATTTCGAAAAGTCAGAAGCAAAGTCCACTTACAATTGCCAACCTACAGTATCAAAATCAATGTCAATATCTATGTCAGATAGATGTTTTTAAGGAATTTGTCACTGACCGCCGTAGCATTGGGCCCATGGGTAGATGCCCCCCTTCTCCTCATTCCACCAAATTTCATTACCTGCCACCAACGCTTGAAATTGTGCGGTTTCTTCCTCGCCGGTCTTCAACCCCAGGTCCTCCATCGCCTTGGAACTCACCCCCAAGAGCTCTGACCCCTCGGTTGGTTCCGGGCGGACATAGGTGAACAGAGCACCTTTCACCATGCGAGGTCCTAATGTTTCCCGGGGCGCCTTGTGAGAAGATTCTGGCGTCTCAAAGGCCGGGTCTGGAGGCAATTTGGAGGTGAATACATTGGATTTCGGCAGGTCTGCTAGAGAGGACCCGTGGGTGGAGAGGTGAGATGCCATTTGAATCAACCGGTTCCGACTCAAGTGAAGGGTTCGCCTGGACATATATCGATATCCAATCCAGGTAGGCGTACGCAGTGGAAGTAAACGGACTGAACAGATCGAATGCATGAAGTTGATCTATGTTCGAATCTGATATTGGAGTCAGAGGGGAAAAATCGCCTCAAAGCGGCACGAATGACATCATTGGAAGACTTCCGAGCTTTCCCTCTACTATGGAGTCTCGCGGAACTAACCCGCTGGATCGACCCGCTTCATTTGGCCGGAATCGTTGAATCCCTTTTCCCTACACAATCTCAACATTGCATACAATTGCCTATCATGGTCAACGAAATCCCGACAACCCTATTGAATGATGGGACGTCGGTTCCTATCGTATGTCAAGCTCATCCCGACCTGAGCTCCTTCTTCCCCTTGTAGTGATAGGTGGCTAATCCTGGTATAGCTTGGATATGGAACAGGAACGGCATGGTACAAGAAGTCAGACGACTCCGAAATCAACCGTGAGCTGGTGGACGCGGCTAAGAATGCTATTCACTTGGGGTATAACCACCTCGACGGAGCCGAGGTTTACGGAACCGAAGAAGAATTGGGCCTTGCAATTCAGGAAGCCAATCGGCCTCGAGACAGCCACTTTGTGACGACTAAAGTCCATACCAGTATCGCCGATATTCCTGCCGCTATTGACATCAGCTTGAAAAAGCTTCGGCTCGATTACGTTGATTTGTAAGGGACCTACCTCCATTGCGGGGGAAAGAATCGGAACTAATGAGCTTCAATCCAGGTACTTGATTCACGCGCCATTCTTTGCCAAGACCGAGAGTGAACTTCAGATGGCCTGGGCAGCCATGGAGCAAGTTCACGCCTCTGGGAAAGCTCGGTCTATTGGAGTGTCTAATTTCCTACAGTCTCACCTGGAATCCATTTTGAAGACTGCCAAAGTCATCCCCGCTGTGAATCAGATTGAGTTCCACCCATATCTCCAACATGGAGGTCTACTCTCTTTTCACGAGAGTAAAGGAATCAAGACTGTTGGCTATGCTGGTTTGGTCCCGATTACCCGGGCTCGCGGAGGACCATTGGATCCATTGTTATCGGCCCTGGCTACAAAGTACGCCGTGAGTGAGTCGGAGATTCTGTTACGCTGGACCATGGACCGTGGATGCGTGGCAATCACTACCAGTAGTAAGGAAGCACGTCTAGCTAGTTACCTGCGCTCCGTGACCTTCAAACTCACACCTCAAGAGATCGCTGAAATATCTCAGCTGGGTCAAGAGCATCATTACCGTGCATTCTGGCGAGAGAAGTTTGCGGCCGATGATCGATCATGAAGAATACATGATCTTTACGTTACCCACGTATGTAGTAGATATAGAAATCGATTGTTGACATCCAGTGGAGCTCGTTAAAAGCGGCAAGACGTAGATCCCGAAAGGGCAACCCCGGACTCCCCCCATTTGCTTCTCTCTTTCTCTCATCGGTCACTTTTTCTCTTTCAGTTCCCTTTGTTCTTCAGCTCTGAACCCCCTCCCTCGCGCGCTTCGAGAGATGCCCTTATGAGCCCGCTCGAGGCCGCTACCCCTCGACTCGATCTCTATGCTTTGACCCGCATCACTCTGGCGCATACCACCGCGGTGCTTCCCGTGATACCTCCCCCCCCTCCCCACAGACAGACCCTTGACGAATCGAAGCGCGCGCGCAAACCTCCATCAATGGTGAGACAAATCACAATCTTCCGCGGACTGCGATGTCGGTGAACGATCAACCTCCCTCTGTGGACGTGACAATCTCCCTACGCGCAAGCCAACCCGCTGCGGACCTTCAGAGCCTGGACCAGCGATTGAAGCGCCTCTCAGACGACGTGCTGCCTCCTCACCCCTACCTTCTGACCCTCCCGACAAAGGTGCCGTTTCGTCTGGCTCCTCGTTCCGTGAACAATTGGGCGGTAGGACATGATCGGCCGTTCAGCCCCGAGGAACAAGAACTTCAATACATGACCTTTCTGACCCACAGCGATACAGACTCGTTGCTGAAGGCTGTTGGAGACTGGTCTGACGAGAAGGGGCGCATGATGGCCGACCGGTCCACGGCCCCGACCACCGCAGAAACCCCGAAAGACACTATCGCGAAGAAGAAGATTAGCTTGAACGACTACAAGAACCAAAAGAACAGCGGCCCTTCCCCGGTCATTCAGGATCAGAAGAATCGGGAGGGACGTCACCCGGCTACTCGCGAGGAAGCACAGCAAACACCGAAATCTAGCCTTGTCAAGAAGAGCGACAAGGCAGAGCCACCTCACCCCCCTTCCAAATCAAAATCGCATGTCTCGCTTGATAAGGGCCCAAAGAAACGACCATCAACCTCGAACCTCGAGGCTGTAAGTTCCTCGGCGACCAGAGGCCAGGATATGCATTCATCCAAAAAACGACGACTCTCTCCGGAGAAAGAGGTCCGCAGGGATCCTACTCCAACCAAATCCAATTCACCTCGACTCCCCGCCCTACTTTCCCCGACACTTCCTCCTACTGGGCCTAAATTACCCCGTCTTTTATCCCCTACACTACCACCAGATATTGAGAAAGAATTGGCCCGACTCGGAGACCGTTCACCCACTCGTCACTCCCCTAAACGTGACATCATCACATCCAAACCGAAGCGAGACGAAGCTGCCCAGATCAGGACGTCAAATCCTGGCAACAGCGGCACAGGTTCCGGTCTACAGAATGGTCGTGCGGGTGTTATGTCCAAGGAAACCAACCAGGAGATGATTGTCAGATTGCGGTATGGGAAAGGCAACAAGAAACGGATTGAAGCATTGCTCAAATTCTCCGGTAAAAGGAAACTTAATAGGCCTGATTCCCCATCCAGTCATGGCATAGACACAGATGAGACCACCCAGGTGGAAAAGAAAAGGGGAGAATCCGGTTTAACGCGTGGCAATGGTTCATCTGATCGACTAAAGCCTAAGAGCAAGCCGGATGATGAACTTCCCAGCTCGGGGGTAAACCGATCCAAGGAACCCAAAGGGCCTGTCGAGAAGCTTCCCACTCCACCTTTAACTTCGTCTCGTTCTCATCTGCCAGCCAACGACAAGGTGAAGCCCATATCGTTGACACCGGTGAAAGATTCCAAAGCCTCAATACCACGACGAAACGAACTCGGGGAAGGGGAAGGGAGGACACCTGTGAATCCGACGACTAAACGCCATTCTATGGACCCAGGCATCAGGGGCTCCCCATCTCAGTCGGACGGCCGTTCTCGAAACACTGATCGACGGGCTTGGCGTGATGAGTTTCAACGATTCACCAATATTGGACGAGAACTTAAACATGCTGCGGTCCGGTACAATGCCAAGCCTGATTCGTCAAGCGTGGATGAAAAATTAGCGGCCGTGACAGCCATAGAGGCTATCATGTGCTTCATTCTTGCCTTTGTGGCCGATGATCAATGTAAGGTCCTTACCCGGCAAGTCGGGGACTCTTCAACCTGGCAGTCTATCCTGGCGTACTGGAAGGTCGTGAAGAAGAACAGTACCTCATATCCAGTACTGTACGGCCTTTGTTTGCTCTTGGGTGCTGTTTCCTATGAAGCCATCCATTCCTTGGATCTTGAACGCCTCGCTGTGAGCCCACTACCGGGGGAACATACACCGGTGCCGACTCCTGGCAGTGATGGGAATACCGTCCCATCCGATGAAAACAAAAAAAGTCGGAAGGAGTTCTTAGAGTTGAAAAATCGGCTACCGGAGTGTTGGAAAGAATCACAGAAACTGTGGCTAGAGGGCACTCGCAGTCTGTCCGAGGATGTTTTGAGCAAGGAGTTCCCCAATACCTGGTCTTGCAGGTCACATAATCATGGCGAACGAGGCAAAGCCACTCCCAAACCTGGAGATTATGCCGGTGATTACTTTCTCCCCTTAGGAGGGACCACTCCGCCCATCGAAGTGGTTCGGTTTGGTTGGTCTCTTCTTCAAGAGTGGTGTACACATGAGAAAGTGGATTGGAATGGTCGCTTGGGGCTTTAGCACGAAGCTGCTTTGTTTTTGCTTTCTTCCCCTTTGCTATTTCCTGTCCTTCTTTATATCCTTTTTCTGTAAATTTTTTTGGGAGGGGTAGAGCAGTGGGTAATTCAGGCGTCCCCGGATTTTTTTTGTTTTTTGTTTTTTTTGTTGCTTTCCTTATATTTGCTTTTCGAGTGATTTCATTCCCATGATACCATGAAGCCCTGGAATTTTACGTTCCAATGTAGCTATTTCGATGCTTGAATATATCACGTTCAATACAGATGATTCATTTAATGTCTACGGGTCCAGTTGAGGAGATAAGAAATGTCATTCAACGCCTCCAGTCCATCAATCGCTAGGTGAATCGCAATGGTAAAAGTCGCTCAAGTATAGGAGGAACAGGTCATGATTATCAATGGAAGATGGAGAAAAAGGAAAAAAAAGAAACAGATGAAAATCTTCCGGAGACCTCAGGTTATAAGAGAAAAGATAGAGAGGTAAAAAAAAATTCATACTTCTCGATAGTCAGACTGGAAATCGGAATTCGAGTCGCCAAAGAGCCATCCAGCTTCACGGCAATACCGGGCCTCACGGCCATGAATCCCGATTTCACTCGCCCAGCAGATCACTGACGCATCCACAATGTCCGCGATGACACTTTCCATAGCACCAAGGATGCTCCAGCCAATCATGCCCGCAATAAGACCAACAACATAGGCATATAAACTACCCCGAATCGTATTGCCGGTAGCGACAGTGGTGAGGCTACGGGCAGTGGTAACCCAGCCACCAAACCCCAACGCCAATGACATCATGAAGCGTGCAGCGTGGAGGATCATTTTAGAGAGCCGGTAGGAGAGTAGTGAAGCTGAAGCCCCCGGGGAGCGAGAATAGGCGCGGGGATGAAGTGACGATGAAGCGGCCGACGGAGCGAGGACCGTCATCTGACTCAGTCCGCGTGCGGAAGCGGCCAGTGGCTGTGAATGAATGGCACCATAGGTGAGGGCAAGGGGGTTAGTGAGAAAGGCGATGGGACTTGGAATTAATGAGTAGGCAAATAGGCTCAGCAACGAAGATATGCGGCTAGGGAGCAAGAGCAGAGGCAGCCGAATCAAGAGACTGAGGAGCCGAGACAGACAAATCGTACCGAACAGGGTCGTGGTAGCATGAACGATGGCAGCATGAACGATTTGTCTTGAGGTGGGTGCTGGACTTGCCAGTCTGTGGAAATACCATTGACTGACGGTGGCAGCTGTAACGGCACGCTGGATACCAGCTATCACCCCAATCGACCACAAGTAAATGATCACAAAACAGACGCCCAGCCACCAGCTACTTAGGTCGATGATGAAGGACCTTGATTCGGCCAGGTGGCCGCCCAAGAACACGCGTGTAAACATGAGCATCCATATCCAGGTCCATGAGACGACACAAGCTAGCACACCCAGCCCCAAGGCAAGAAGCTCCGGGTTCGCAGCCAGAATCCGACAGGAGAATTCAAGGACACCAATCGCTTTGCCGATGGACTGACGGCCCCGCGCAACGTTGTAAATCCAGAGGCTCGCCATCAGGAATGGGACAAGCGAGCCCCAGCGCATGGCCTTGTCTTGAAAGCTAGATCCATGCCATTCGCCCTTGAAGCTCGAGATGAATGGATATAAGGAGAAAGTGTATAGAATGACGGGAACAGCGACAATGATTACGTAGACTAGAAGTCGAACGTAGGATCGCAGTAAAGCAAGCCAAACAAGCGACACAAAAATCGAGATAAGGGTATAGATTCCAAGAAGAAAGAAAGAGCGGTGGACAGTGAAGTAAATGGTATCGCCCCACTTCCGCTGGTCCCCGGCTGGAGTGGACGTGTGTAGATAGACAAGAATTGCCGTGGCAAATAATCCGGCAAGGGAAATCAAAAATAACTGACCCCAAAAAGCATCATGCACCGAGAATTCCGATGCGAGCGGGGAGATGGACGTCGGAAATGAACCTGCCGAGCTCGGCGGTCGCGGGCCATTCGAGGGTAATGGTTTGGTATGTTCCGCAGAAGCTTCAAATCGGTTAAGCCCAAAGTGATCTCCCTTGGTTACCGGTCTTTCTCGGAAACGTTGAATAGGCGGTTCATCACCCAGGATCTCTGAGGGGACACGGTCATCATCGTCCAGGTTGTCTCGAATGGAGTCCTCCAAGCCTATGTCAACCAAATTCTCTCGAGCTTTAGCATTGTCTGGGCTGGAACTAGGCCCGGGCACGGGCTCCGTCACTTCTTCCACAGCCTCGATCCGAGATTGATGAGGAGCCGGGATACCCTTCTCTCCTCGCCATGAGCTCTTGATTCCCTTCCCATTGCCGGGGCGATCGTCATCGTATGGCGAATGACCCTCATCAAATCCTACCGACCGTTCTGAATCGTCATCGAGTTCAGAAGAGTCTTTCAAGTGACTGTCTCCAAAATGTCGCCGTGATCGTTGCAATGCATAGAAATCGGCAATCTCACGCTCACGCTCCGTTTCATCGTCTTCTTCCCGGAATTCATCGGTGGCACTGAAGAACAGAGGAGCTTGTTGGGCTGACGCCCGGGAGGCGAACGGGAAGTTGGATATTTGGGAGGCGCCAGGCCGGTAGGGATCCCCAGTTCTAAGGTAAGAACGTGAGGGTGGGTTTCGTGAACTGCCCTGGCGCTGGTTGGGGTGGGCACGACCAGTTCTTTGCAGTTCGTCCGGGCGAGATGCTACTCGCGACTGTGACTGGGCGAGGAAGCGTGAGGCATCTGGCGAGGGACCAGGCGGGTTAGCTTGAGTTGAATGGTATTAAAGGATGCAATGATGACCCGATATCTATCACCTACATTCCGAGAACATGGCCCACTATCGGAGTAGGTGTGGAGATTGGGGAAATTATTGTCGGGCGAAAGTGTCTGGGCCAGAGCAGGGGCAGTCGAGATTTGAGAATTAATGAGAAAACTGAGGTCAACTTGACTCTCAGGTGAGGCCCTACCCCTCTTATAAAGAACCAAGTTGAAGGCCAAATCAAAAGAGAGAGCGAGAGAGTGAACAAAAGGTCATTCAGACGATGCAAGCGTCATCCGGGCAGGTCTTCCCCCCCCCCCGATAGCTGACTCATCCCGATAACACATTCCACTCCCTGAAACTGCATCATCGCAACTACAGTTGGGCAACAATACATAATACTACTTCCTCCATGTCCCAGCCATGGGACTATATTGCTAAGCTCGTCTGCATCGGTGATTCTGGTACCGGCAAGTCCAGCGTGAGTATGGCGCATTGTTTGTGCTGGGTTGAGCTAACTGGTATGTTTTCAAAGCTCACGATCCGCCTCTGTGAAGGTCGCTTCTCCCCGTCGCACGATGTCACCATCGGGGTTGAGTTTGGTTCCAGGATTGTGCCAGTAGGGCCACCTGCTTCGCTGGAGCTAGGTATTGAGGAGTTTTCTCGCGACGCGTCCGGCTCTGGGGGAGACCCATCTCCTTCGGAGTCCGCTACGTCGGGTCTACCCAGCCCGCCACGGAAGCCTGAGTCTTCTTCTCCCCAAAAGCGAATGAAACTTTCGCTTTGGGATACTGCTGGACAAGAGACATACAAGTCTATCACCAGATCTTACTTCCGCGGCGCATCCGGAGCTCTCCTTGTTTTCGACATCTCAAGGCGCTCAACCTTCATCTCCTGTACTCAGTGGCTTCAAGATCTACGCTTGATCGCAGAAGAAGGAATCGTGGTCATTCTAGTGGGCAATAAGACCGACCTAGCAGGACAGGAGTCTGGGTCGAATCAAAGACAAGTAACGCAGCAAGAGGCAGAGGAATGGTGTCGCATGAACAACATTGTCCGCTATGTCGAAACCAGTGCCAAGTCCGGAGATGGGGTGGAACGAGCCTTTTTGGAAGTCGCGGAGCGAATCTATCGTAATATTGAAGCCGGCAAATATGACCTTAATGATCGTCGCAGCGGAGTGAAAGGGTTTGGCGCTTCGGGAGGGGGTAACGCCGGGGTGCCCAAAACAATTACTTTGGGCATGGATGATGCAATGCGCAAAGGTAGTGGCTGGAGCGGAGGCTGTTGCTAAACAATCTATCACTATTATGCAACTGCACAACACGCCGGATGCAGCAAACCTTTTGCACCTTCAGGGCTATTGATCAGACTCCAACTGAATAGACCAAGGCTAGGATGGATGTTGCGTCAAGTATGAAACAAATTTACACACTTAAATCTATGTAAGAAAACACATCAACGTTATGGTTTCGCCGTTTATAGGCAGTATCTCGTACATACAGCCTTCCTTGGACTGTGAGTCTGGATAACAAAGCACGAGTCAAATTGCCTCATCCCATCACCAAAAGAAAAGGTGTAATAGAAAATAGACTTCCATTCTCACTCTTCATTAGTTCGAAATCCGCCAACCGGACAACCAACGCAAGTAAGCCCACTGCTGATGAGGACCCTCCATTCCAAACACGATGGCACGGAAGTGGATGAAAAGTCCAATTATGATCGCATATAGAACGGCGTAAAGGACGACCATGAGGCGGGCATTCAAGCTGCGGGAGATCCAATCAATGCAGAAGCCGAATGTGATGATAGCATAGTAAAGAGCTGGGTAGTAATGGTGGACGTACGTCACACGTGCCATGATGATAAATGGCAGATAGTGCAAGACCCAGCCGATGACAGGGTAGAGACCCGAGTAATGGATATGATCCAGATCCGCCTGGCTGAGCTCCTGGTAGCCTCGTTGCCAGCGAAGAAGGTACCACACTAACAGCAGACCAAAACCACCTAGACTTGCAGTGCTACCCCAGTACACGAGTGGATTTCCGAGAAGGAAGTACTTAATCACACCGTCATCCCATGAACACATGCGTAAGCCAACATTCAGAATCGGCCATTGCCAGAAGGCCGAAGCCAGGTCGTCTTGTTTATCCGGGTCAGGGACCAAGGCGTTGTTAGATGTCATCATAGCCACGTTTAAGTGGATGAAATCCTTCAAGAAAGGCGACTTGTAGGAACCAGGATCTCCAGGAGGCACTGTGTCATTGAGATTAGAGAGGGTTCTTTCCCGGAAGTTTCTGAAAACCGAGTAATTTCTTGCTTACAGCGCTCATTGGTGTGTGACTCCACGTTCCAGTGGGTATAGACATCCCCTGGCTTGTTGTCCTTAACACACGTGGTCTCGATCTGCTTGAAACCCCACTGGGGCAGGTTGACATTCCCAGCCCGCAGGTAACAGCCTAGCACGGGATGGCGGAGTCGGAATGCAGTCGTCAACGTCCGAATTCGCGAGCGGTCCCGGGAGGCAGCATCATCAACGACCTCGACCTTCCAGTGATCTTTATCGTCTCCAATGGTAAGATTTCCGTAGCAGGACACTTCGTGATGGGATTTGGTAACTGGGGCAGGGATTGCATGAGAGTGTAAGTTCCGACCAGTCGATCCGTGAATGAGACGGATGGTGTCTCCGTCCCCAATGAATCTCAAATCGGCCTCGGCATCATATTCTGCCTCTTGTCGGTTGGGATAGATGAACCAGTCATTGTTTGCATCTTTGTGGTGGTAACAAGTAACCTGCTGCTGGTTTGAGCCCTCGGGAAATGTCTGGACATGCGAGTGAAGGAGGCCACCACCATAGCCCATGTTCTTCAAGGTCACACGGGACCCAATTGCGACTTCAAGGGGACTATCCCTGCCAACCTCAGTGCCTCGCAGGTTAGCCTGGAAAAGAGAGCTCATCTGGGCATCTCCCGGTCCGCTGTTCGACAGAACCCAAAAGTGCGCATAGAAGGAAGCCATATACACCAGGATTGGTATGATGATCAGCCCTCCAACACGAGCAAAGAGGTGCTTCGCCAGCACGGTCTAGCAAACAACTTGTTAGTCAGTGATATCGTTGGTTGAAGGACCGGCTAATACTCACCGGGGGCATTTTCAGGTCGCCGAATTTGTTCCAGAGGTCCTCGATGGTATAGAGACCGACAATGGCGGTGCAGAAGAAGCCAACCCACTTCACGCTGCACACACATCCAATGCTCAATCCAGTCAGGCAAAGCCAGGTATACCACTGGAGTGAAAAGCTCTGACGCTGGAGACGGTGGAATCGGGCCCAGCACAACGTGGTTGTGAAGGTGAAGCAAAGCAGCATGGAATCCAAGAGAATAAAGCGGGAAATGGTGGCATACGAGTTCTCAAACAAAACCATCAGACTAATCAACCACACGGTGGCCTTGCGAAAGTTCAACTCGCGGGCTGTGTAGTAGGCTAAGGGAACACAGACAGCACCAAACAAAGCATTGAAGGCGCGCATGAAGGTATAATTCACATCTTCGGGGTATTTTTCACCGGATTTGAACTCAAAAGATCCATTGTAGCCAGCAAGATAACCCGAAAGGCCAACAAGCATCTTTCCGAGGGGAGGGTGGACATCGAAGTAGAACTCGCGCTTTAGGTAGTGGGAACCGAATTTGCCAAAGCTATAAAGAGGCAGTTAGACGATTGTCGCTAGGCAGCTGGACACTTGAAGGGGTTATTAATCCTTACTGAGCTTCATCCCAGGTCACAATATTTGAACGACCAATGCGGTAGAGTCGAGTAAAGAGGGCAAGAGCTGTGAGGATGATGGGGGCCAGGATTGGCTCCCAGCCCGCTAGTACCTGAAGAAAAGAAGTGGACTAATCCCAAACCCCCCAATTAGCAGCTTCTGAGGGTCGGAGGGTTGTCAATTCCTACCTGTGGCTTTTGCTTCTTAACATCTTCTGCGGTGTAGGGCATAGGCGTCTGGGGTCTGGCGGTATCTGGGACATTTCTCCGGCGTAGGTCGGAATCGTGTTTAGCCCCGGTACTTATGGCTGTATCAGCCATGGTGTCGGGAAGTAGTGTTTTCAATTAAAAGGAAGTTTTTTGTTGGGCGAACGATCGAGATTGTGGGGTTCGAAGGGACCCTGGTAAGGAGAGGAAGAGTAGCAGAGGCTCAAAAGGTCATAGTGGCCACACAGGCCACGGTGAACAAAGATGACGGGAGTGCCGAAAGCACGAAAATTGAAGGGGGGTAGAAAAGATATAAGAAACAAAAGGGAGAGTTCGGAAGGAAAAGAGGAAAATAAGAAAAGGAATAAGAGAATAGAGAATAGAAAAGGAAGTTGCAAAGGGAGTTGGAAGGATAAACACGCGCTTAGTTTCTCCTGAGCCGTTTCCGGGAACGTGGTCCTTTCTCCGCCTTGGGGAAATGTAACCGAGACCTACAGCAACACTGGAAATGCGGATTTTATGAACGCAAAGCTTGCATGATTCCTATTTGACTCAAGTAAACCATGGAGTTGAGCAAAAATAAAATAGTCCCACAGCTTTAAGGCCACAATGGCTCTAGAGGTATCATCGCAAGGAGTATATAATGGAAGATGAAATAGCAAAACGAAAGCATCTGCGAGGTGCTGATAGAACCAACAGAATTACATGCAAGAAGACATTTCACAGGCGAGGATGGGGGTTGGTCTTGACGTACCACGCCCAATACAAACAAAGGAAGCCCCTTCCCTCGTCCTCTCTATGACATGACGCCAGACAAGGAAGCAAGATATGTAATTGACAGATACAGCGCTGGAAAAGGTTTGTCGAAGAGTATAAGCCGGACAAATCGGGTATACATATTTCCATAAAGAGTGGGAGCAGGGTCAATCCCGAAACTGAAAGAAGAGGAGAAGGACCAATGTTGAACAGTCAAGACCAGAGCCTTGAAAAAAGAGCCTTGAAAAAATAAAAACGAGAAAGGCTCCAGAGGGTTCAAGATGCAAGTGGAGGCATGTCCAAAGATGTATAATAAAGGCCATCCTTATCACTCATTTTCCTCCTCCCCCTGTTCCAAGCGTCGATAGCTTTGACTGGTGGTACTCCGTTGCCGGCTGACCATGTTCGAGATCCAGCCACCAATTCCTTCACCTCGACTCGCACCCGGAGGAGAACTGGGTTGGCTAGACTTGCTGGGTCCATCATGGCTCTGACTCAAAGATGGGGGGTCAATATCGAGTCCGGGAATGGAACTCTCGGTGCCAAACTGGCCGTACGGTCGACGTATATCAAGGGATGGTACAGGTGATCCGGCACCGATAAGTGACCCTCGCTCGGCATCAGTGGCCGGTGTGGGCATAGCGGTTGTGGCATCGCCGAACAAGACATTCATATCTTCTAGTCGAACACCGCTTGTCTCGGGGTACAAAAAGTAGACTGTGCATTCATCAACATATGAATCAAGAAGCTTAGAGAAATGAGACACGAGGATATTTCTTACCAACTACAAAGCTGCATGCGCAGAAAAAGGCATGGACCAGATACAGTCGCCACTTGATTGCACCCTGTAGAACTGGGGTCACCTCTCCAACAAGCCAGTTGCACGCCCAATTGGCCGCAGTGCTCAAGCTGGCTCCCTTGGCACGGATGCTTAAGGGAAGGATCTCGGGGGGGTAGAGCCACGGGATTGGGCCCCATGACGCCCCAAACGCAGCGTTGTAGATCATGACAAAAATCACTGTCAGGGTTGGCGTGGCACTAATTTCGATATAAATAAAGTAAGATATCAAGGAGAGAGAGATGAGCATCGCTACTGCTCCCGACAGTAGAATTGGCCGTCGACCCCAGCCATCAACGAGATACCATGGAGGGATGGTGGAAAGAAGATATGAGATTCCGTTGATGCCTGTCATGAGAATGGCATCTCGTCCCGCCCAGCCAGCGGATTCAAAGACAAGGGGTGCATAGTACGAAATGACGTTGATGCCGTTTAGCTGGGCCAGGGCTTGGGCCGACATGGCGATGAAGACTCGTTTATTGTAGCGGCGAAACATGTCCCCGTAGGATCTTTCCCCTTCCTGGCGGTGCAGGAGAACCCCCATCTTTATTTCGCGGTACTCCTGTCGTGCTTTATCATTATGAATGTCACCTTCGCCATATAGATTGGCGATAACCACCATGCCCTCCTCATCATGATCGTTATCCAAGAGCCACCTAAAGGTAAAAAAAATATATATATCAGGTCATGAACTTCATGCTTCATAAGAACAACCTACCGGGGCGATTCGCAGATCAGCAAACTTCCGATTCCAAGGGCAAGACCCATGATGCATTGGAAAAGAAGAGGCAGCCGCCAGGAGTAATTCGACTCAATGAAGCTACAGAAGTAGTCCACCCAGACACTGGTTGCATATCCGGCAATGTTCCCAGTGAATTCAATGCAGGCCAATTTACCGCGATTGTGGGGAGGCTGACACGGTCAGTACAGATACGCTCGATTAACCGTCATGAAGGAGTCTTACCGAAATTTCCGACTGGTACACGGGCACGATTGTGGACAAGGCACCCACACCGAAACCGGCAATGATGCGACCCACCATCATCATAGCCATGCTGGTGGCCATGGTTTGGAGGCCTCCGCCCACGAAGAACACCAATGATCCATAGAGGATCGTCTTTCGTCGACCTATCATATCCCCGATCTGGCCTACCATGAGAGAAGATATGAACGCTCCGATCTCCAAGATGGCCACTACAGTGCCGATAGTGGCCCGCGAGGGCTGGTCAAAGTAATCGTCGAAGTACCAACCACTATTTATCGGTTAGATATGTGACTCAGTCTTGGGGTGTGAGCGCCGGATGGGGTAGAGGATACGAACGTGATGATACCGGACATGACACCCTGATCATAGCCAAACAGGAATACCCCTAGTGATACGAACACGCTTGTGAAATACCTACGAGGCCGTCAGTACGACTGCTGTTATCTTCGCTGGGTGCCGGTGACCGAGGGGATACTCACAGCAGGGGTTTTCCCACCAAACCATGGGCTTTGGCATCTTGCCTGCTGCTGGGGGACATAATGGTGGCCAAGAGCCGTTCTACTCGAGATATCCGCCGTGGTGAAGGAGTGGGGATTTTGATCTTCTCTTTAAGGGCTGCGGTATGGGTCTCCAAATCCCGCGGGTAGTGTACCCGCTTGGAGGGGTTCTGTCGTCCTTTACGCACCAAGAAGTCACGCTCGAGGGACTCGCGTGGGCGGTTCTGGAGGGGATCCTCGGCGAGTTGTTCGGCAAGATCACCAGTCTCCGACCAGATAGAGAAGCCGGATTCAGAACGAGTTGACGAGTGGGATGAACGACGGCTACCTTTCTCGCTTGCGGATTCTAGGGCGATGGATTGGGCGGGGGAGCGGGAAAGGGATCGGAGGGGAATGGCGCGTGGGGAGGTTGGAGAGAGAATGATGACGGTCGATGGGCCGGAAGCCCACTTTTTTATCGGGCAAAACAAAAAAAAAATAAAGACAAGAAATCAAGTAAAAATGGAAATCAGATGGAAAATCCCAGGGAATGTGTCACCCCCGTACGATAGCAGTAGGGGGTAAGTAGTATACCAGGAGACCTCCTTTCTGGGGAAAGTTCTTGGAGCGGTCGCGATAGGCTGTGAAGTTGCACTACTCACGAGTATGACGGACTAGTCAGGTGGATATTGAAGAGCGTGACTTGCGGTTGGATGATTTGGGATCTGGGATCTGGGATTTGGTGCTTTGACTGAAAATCTAACACTTTTTCCCAAAAAAGGAGGTGGAGAAAGATCGAAAGGGGAGTGATGTGTCCAATTCAGGATTTGATAGTGAATGACCTATCGCTTAGGTCTGTGTAAAGGTTGAGGGAGATGGAAAGAAGGAAAAGTTGCAAGAGAAAGGTGTCGATCGAATACGGGGTAGTCAGATCCACAGTGGAGTAGAAAACCAAGGTCTACGTACAATAGTGGGAGAATACCCACTTTCTATACTAGACGTCAGTGTGGATATACAGTTAACATGTGTTCCATAATACAGTATAATAATCTTGAGAGATATGTACAACTTAGAGTCTATTCTATCAAAAGCAAAAGAAAAAATCAACCTCATCCCTGTCATGAGCCTGATTGAGGCGATTCGGTACCTCACGTTGTGCTGCAGAGGCTGACTGATCACGCTAACTTTCATTTCACAGGTATATCCCTGATGAAACAAGATGCAAATGCAGATGCACAAAGCAAAGAAATTCAGCCCGCTAATTTATAAGGATATCATATCCATCTTTCTGGATATGCACGCTGTCCGCAAGACTCGCGTATCGTCGACGCACCAGCTCAAAGATGATGAGACCTGCACTGGTGCTGGGAACCTGTCGGAGGGAGCTGCTCACAAAACCGCGGAATAACCATGACCGCAACCCACCGGCCCGCTCGGCCTTGCGTCGGCATCGTTTCCAGGTCTCTTCGTACGCATGGTAGTACAGACGGAGCATCTGTTTTCGCGAGGGGTCCAGGCTCGCTTGGTGATCCAAATACTCTAATCGGCCCAGGTGCAGATTTTGAATTCGGCTAAGAGGATGCTGGATAGCTTGCTGGGCCACCGATGCTACCACGCCCGCCATCATCAGGAAACCAGGCTCCAGTGCATAATGAGGCTTGATAAGTGGCACGCCTCGGTCGCTGGATCCGGAGGAAGGAAGCTGATCCAAATGGTCGGCATGAAGAGATCCATAATACCAGGTAACGAAAGAGTAGTACGACTGAGATTTGACATATTCGAAGGTGGAGAAAAACACGGCATAACCGAGCGAGTCGCGTAGAAAGGAGAGGCTCCAGCCAGCAAAGACTCCTCGAAGCCCGATCTGTTTCAGTTTATGGTGCCCATAATGCCACATACTCCGGTACTGACCCTCCAGCATATCGCTGGTCTGTAGACGAACCTGTAGGGCATCCAAGGGTGCCGCAACGATGGACTGGATGGTTCCTGCGGTGAATCCAGCGGTGAAAGTGGCTGATGGAGGCGCAGGAGGCCAGACACGCTTAACTCCTTGGGACACAGGTTCATGGAGGGCCCCCAAGACCTGTAAATATGAAGTATAGAGAACGGCCCCGATCCTGGAGAACCATGTCCGTGTTAGCATCCTCGGACCTTGAAGTGAGGAGAAAAACGTGGCGCTCACCCTGCATTCGCCAAAAGAGGTGGCAAGACTTGGTTGGGAATAAACTGCCAGCCATATGTTCTAACCGCATGGAGCAACAAGCCAGGGGTGGTGGTATGGATTGACCATTTCCCTTCTGCGACTCGAGGGTTCACAGCTCGGGCAAAAGCCTATTTGGATGAGCACCAAAATGGTTAGCCTAAGCATCGAGGTATGAAGGCGAGGGAAGCATGTACCATATAACTAACACATAAGTTAACGTCCATTATAACAGGCGAGGAGAATCTTTTGTCATTAAAACCTACTCGACACGAGTGCGAAAAAAAGCCTTGATCGGAGCTCGGAAGTAAAAGGCTACCATCTGCGCACTGACAGCCCGAACACCAGCGGCTGAGGCTCCTGTCGCTGCATCATTTCGGGATTTTGTTCGAGAGCCTGGGTCCCGAAGATGGGGGTCCAGGTAGATTGGGTTCATTGCAGACCTTATCGGTCATCGCACCAAGGGTCGGGTTGTGCTTGATCGCTGTTGGGAAAAACAGACAGGTCAGGTCACAGAGATATTCAAATTCCAGAACAGATCAGTAATGCGGCAGAGGGCATTTTGGCGATAAGGAACACCAACTCTTATAATTCGTCGAGGGCATGAATGGAAGCTTGCATAGGAAGCTTTGGGGATACAGCAAGCACTAGTCCTAAAAAGGCAAAACTGAATCTCCGGAGAACAGGAGCAACCAACAATGCCAAAACGCGCTTTTCGCGTCTCTCCGTCCGTAAGGAAGAAAGACAGAGCAAGATTCTCTTGTATCTTGAACATCTCCCCTGCCCCTTCTCATTTCCTATTCTCCCTCTCATCCACCACCTCACATCTGACTCTTTTCCGTTCTTGACTCAATCGTTCCTTTTGGATGCGACATCGATTTTAGCTTTTGCTCTCAAAGGAAAGGTATCCTATCGTCAACCTCTCTCTCGCTGCTGCCTGCACACCTTGCTTGCGCCAGATCGCCCACCATGGCCGAGAAGATTGCGATTGACAAAAACACCTTCTTCAATCACTTGTCCAACTTGTATGCGTCATGGAAGGCCGACAAGCGTTCCGGCAATGCCTTGTTCGGAGGAGCAGGCGCCATCGTTATCCTCATGGGCAAGACCAGAACCGACGAGAGTGCTTTTCAGAAGAATAACGCCATGCACGTAAGTACTCAGCATTCTTTGATCTGATTCTCCCTGTCATGGCAGATGCCAGTGACATAGATGACTAACTTCAATGAACCGTTCAGTTTTGGCTTCTCGGCTACGAGTTCCCGGCTACGCTCTTAGTTCTGACCACCGAAGCGGTCTACGCAGTTACCACCGCCAAGAAAGGTGAGCGGATTTGGCTTTGCGATCCCGTGCATGGCAAAATACTAATTCGATGGTGGGGGTCAATAGCGGAGCTTCTTGAGCCTTTGAAAGGTGGGAAGATCCCGGTGGAACTTCTGGTGACTACAAAGGACCCGGAGTCCAAGACGAAAGCATTTGAGAAATGCTTGGAGGTTATCAAAGGTGCTGGAGTAAGTCATCTGGGAATATGCGAGCTCCATGGTGGTCAGTCATCCGCTAAACATTGGACAACAGAAGAAAGTGGGAACCCTGCCAAAAGACACAACGTCCGGCCCCTTCGCCGATGATTGGAAGCGCGCTTTCGCAGAAATCTCCAAGGACATTGAGGAGGTCGATATCACGCCTGCGCTCTCAAATGCATTTTCGATCAAGGATCCCGAGGAACTGGTGAGTCTGGTTGCACTGTCGGACAGGTCTCGGAAAGCCGTGGCTAATACATCTCAAAGGTTTCGATTCGGAATGCCTCCAGGGCGTGTAGTGGGTTGATGTCAGAATACTTCGTGGATGAGATGTCTCAACTGCTAGATGAAGAAAAGCAGATGACACACAAAGCCCTTGCCAGCAAGGTGGAGGCGAAGATCGATGATGCCAAATTTTTCAACAAGCTAGCTCGTCTCCCATCGGAATTTGACGCCGAGCAGATTGACTGGGCTTACGGTCCAGTAGTTCAGAGCGGTGGAGTTTATGATCTGAAGCTGACTGCAACCCCCGATAGCAAAAACCTTCAGCCGGGCATCATCCTTTCAAGCTTCGGTATCCGCTACAAAACTTACAATTCCCTCATCGGGCGCACTTACTTGGTGGATCCTAGTAAGTCTCAGGAGGCAAATTATGCTTTCTTGGTGAGCCTGCACGAGACGGTCATGAAGGAGATCAGGGATGGGGTTGTTGCCAAGGACGTGTATAACAAGGCCCTCAACCTTGTCAAGTCCAAGAAGCCGGAACTTGAGAACCACCTGACCAAGAACATTGGCTCGGGAATTGGTATTGAGATCCGAGATGCCAATATGGTCCTCAATGCGAAGAACACACGGGTTTTGAAGAATGGCATGACCCTGGCGATCACCATTGGTCTTACCGATGTGAAAGATGCCAGCTCCAAGGGCAAAGACGTCTACTCCATGGTCATCACCGATACTGTTCGCGTTGGAGAAAATGGGCCTCATATCTTTACTAAGGATGCCGGTATCGATATGGATTCGGTCTCCTTTTACTTTGGGGATGACGAAGAGCCGGAGAAACCAGTGAAGGAAAAAAAGGGAGGCGAAATCTAGCGCAATCGCTAGCAGAAATGTGACACGCACCAAGCTTCGAGCGGAGCGGCCGACTCAGATCAACGAGGGTGCCGAAGCACGCCGCCGGGAGCATCAAAAGGAATTGGCGACGAAGAAGACCAGAGAAGGTCTAGATCGGTTCACTGGGACCACCGGAGACGACAATGGCGTGGCCCAGAAGAAGTTTAAGCGCTTCGAATCCTACAAGCGAGACAACCAGCTACCCGTCAAAGTCAAGGATCTTACGGTGTATGTTGACCACAAAGCTTTGACTGTCATCGTGCCAATCATGGGTAGGCCCGTGCCGTTCCACATCAATACCATCAAGAATGCCAGCAAGAGTGATGAAGGAGAATACGCATATTTGCGGATCAATTTTCTCTCGCCTGGTCAAGGTGTCGGTAGAAAGGACGACCAGCCATTTGAGGATCCGAACGCTCATTTTGTCCGCAATTTGACTCTACGATCTAAGAGTAACGATAGATTGGCACAAGTTGCGCAGGATATCACTGAGCTTCGAAAGAACGCTTTGAGACGAGAGCAGGAAAAAAAGGAGATGGAGGACGTGGTCGAGCAAGACAAGCTTGTGGAAATCAGAAGTCAGTGACGATACTTTTCCCTGGGGACCATCCCCTTTATGCTAACCCAACATAGATCGTCGCCCTGTGAAACTGCCCGATGTATACCTTCGGCCGCCGCTGGATGGCAAGCGTGTTCCAGGTGAGGTGGAAATCCACCAAAATGGTCTCCGGTACCTGTCACCCTTCCGCAACGAGCATGTCGATGTGCTCTTTAGCAATGTAAAGCATCTATTTTTCCAACCGTGTGCTCACGAGATGATCGTCCTCATTCATGTGCACTTGAAAACGCCGATCATGATCGGAAAGCGAAAGACTCGGGATGTGCAGTTCTACCGCGAGGCTACAGAGATGCAGTTCGATGAAACTGGAAACCGTCGTCGTAAGCACAGATATGGTGATGAGGAAGAGTTCGAGGCCGAACAGGAAGAGAGACGCCGGAGGGCTGCGCTTGACCGTGAATTCAAGGCCTTCGCTGAGAAGATTGCGGATGCTGGCAAGGATGAGGGTGTGGACGTCGATATTCCCTTCCGAGAGATCGGCTTTACCGGTGTGCCTAACCGTTCCAATGTGCTGATCCAGCCGACTACGGATGCGCTTGTCCAACTCACTGAGCCTCCTTTCATGGTGATTACACTCAACGAGATTGAGATTGCCCATTTGGAAAGAGTGCAGGTAGGCGTTCAATCTCTTGCCTTCGGGTCTTATGTGCCGGATTCCATGACTAACATGACTATAGTTTGGCCTCAAAAACTTCGATCTCGTCTTCGTTTACAAGGACTTCCATCGACCCCCCGTTCATGTCAACACAATCCCGGTTGAGGCACTGGAAGGTGTCAAGGATTGGCTCGACTCGGTTGATATTGCGTTTACCGAGGGTCCATTGAACCTGAACTGGACCACCATTATGAAAACCGTGGTCAGCGATCCATACGGCTTCTTTGCCGATGGTGGATGGTCTTTCCTGGCTGCTGAATCCGACTCTGAGGGTGGGTCGGATGACGAAGCAGAGTCAGCCTTTGAACTTTCCGACTCTGAGCTTGCAGCCGCCGATGAGAGCTCGGAGGAAGATAGCGACTTTGACGATGACGCTAGCGCGGATGCCAGCGAGGAGGACTTCAGTGGCGATGAGGAGAGTGGCGAGGACTGGGATGAACTTGAAAAGAAAGCCAAGCGCCATGATAAGGAAGCCATGGTGGACGACGATGACCGTGGCACCAAGCGCAAACGCTAATCGTGCGTTTATCCTTTCTTGATCTGCGTATCTTTCTTCCTTGGTACTTCTACCAACTTGTATTCCACGCTTATCCTTTTTTTTCCCCAATTGTGCAATTATTCTCTTCTCCAAATTCAAGGGTTGGGAAAGCCTCTAAGTACTGTGATTTCACAGAAGACCCATAGTTTGTCTTTTCTCTCTTTCTATTCCCACCCTCCGGTGACTTAGTAAATTTCTAGTTCTTTCACAACCATGGAAATTCTCTCAATGATCTCTTTGTAATTAATAGGACCTAGAGCCATCGCTATGATCCCCTAGGGAAGTAAAGTTTTTAAAATATACATTGAAAGTCTGGCTGAATGTGAAGATAATCCATTCTATTTGCCTTGACGCATGGTAGCCCACATATTGCGCATTCGGTTCATCTGACCGGGTGTGAAATTATCATAACAGACATCGGATGAATAGTCCATGAAATTGTGGACAGCATCGAGTCCTGCGGAGTCGGGACATGAATCCTTCTGAGCAGGACATCCGTCTGTAGGGGTGGATTGCTGTGGAGTGTCGGCGATATAATCACCGGGATTGCTTGCAGAACAGGATTCTCCCTGGAAAGTATGAAGGAGACCGTTCCAATGTCCAATTTCATGGATTGCAGTCCCTCCCCGGTTATATAGATCCAAAGAACCGCCAGGCATTGTCTTGGCGAGGATGTTGCAACCATCTTTGACATAGTCTGCCCGGGGACTGGTAGCGTTCACACTTGGATCAGGCAGTGTACAGAAGCCCAATACGCTAGAAGACAGATCGTTGGACTGGCCAGCCGCACGGTGCTCAGCCCGTCCAGCTTGCCCAGGAGATGCCTGGAGATCGGTCTGGAAATATACATTCAGAGTTCGATAGCTCCCTCTCCGGAGCGCTTTCTTCATGGCCATGTCATCTCCGTCCTGTGCCCAGACATCATTGACGTGGTGGGTGACACCCTGCAAGCGATACTGGATAGCAGAATCCTCATATGCATCCTGTAGGATCGAGAGCTAAGAAAATTAAACATTAGAGGGCCCGGGCAGATTAGTAGTGGAGGACATACCTGGGAATTAATCATATAATCAGTGACCTGGCCCACCTCAGCATGGCTGCTCACAATATGGAACCACGTTTCAATTTCAATAGGCGCTTGTCGGGCCTGCGACACTGCGGGACTTGGATGGGCCTCATCAACCTTGACTTGTTGAAGGGCACTTAGGAAAGATGTATCTGGATCCTCGGTGGCGCAGATACCGCGTTTCTGGAACACAAGGGGGCTAGATTGAGCTGGCAGGAGGAAAAGACCTGTGGCAAGAAGCACGAGTGGCATAAAAGAGTGACAGACCATTATGTTTGGTTGAAAAAAGTGCCCTGATATCGTGAATTCCCCCACCCGTGAATCAACAAGAGAAGGAAAGAGGAACAAATTCAGAATTATGAAGAGTAGGAAAAGCAAAGCTAATATTCGCGGTTCATTTTGACTATGCCCAACTCAGTCTTGGTCTTCTTGGTGCCATAAACCTGCTCCGATGCCATGAGCCCTAAGAATGCTGCGTCACGGTGGAATGTATGACCCCCAGCAAGGGGCAAAGGCATACAGTACTGTAGGCATCGAAGATCAGCAAAACAGCCCGCAGAGTGGAGATATACGTGCAAATCATAGGCATCCGTATACTACCTCGAATGAAATGATGTCACACTCAAGGGTGGGAGAGAAAGAAGAATGCTTATTGTTATGGTTCTTGGTTACATACATAAAAACTCCTCGTTAAAACACCCAAGCCAGAACACTGGTCCAATTATTCACACGATTTGAACCCCAATATAATACTGAAAATATGAGAAGGAAGAGAACAGAAACACCTGAGAAGGGGAAGAAATTTCAACATCGTTTTGTGTTGTTTTAGAATTTAGGAACTAGGGCGCAGTCGGTCGTCTCGCCCAGTGGCCATGGCAGTGGTTGGCTGATTAGTTGAATCCCAAGATAGATAGGTGTGATCACCCAGTTTTCTAAAGAAGGGATGAGAATCAGCAGACACCAAACATAAGGGTTATAGGTACGTACCTCGGTCGAACCAAATGGGCGATGGTGAATAGAGCTCCAAGAAGTACACAAACACCTCCAACAACCACGTAGGCAATTCCCATGAATGGATTCTTCCCGCCCATGACAGTGCGAGTAGACAGCAGAATCGACTTTGTTCCATCATACTCGGTAACCTTGAATTCTGGAAGGCTGTAAGCAACATGAAAACCAGGGAATCATAAGAAACTAACGATCAAGAATATCCAAGCGATAATCTCCGGCGGCCATGGCAGTGTCATCATTTCGACGAGAGAGTTTGCTGAAAGCTGGCAATCCAGCAGTTCTCATCCAAACCATAAAGTCTTCATCTTCATGAAGGTTAGGCATGGATTCATTCGTGTAGCTGCCATTGTATTTGGTCCAGTTTGGTGGAGGGACCACCTCCCAATGCTGGTATTTGGTCTTTTGGTAAAGCGCTTTATCACTCTCCCAGGCGATACCGTTCTTCGTCATGTTGTAGGTAACCGAGTCGTCACCGAGATAGACAGGACTGTCAATGCTGTCGTTGAAACGAGAGTTCGCAATCAACCCACATGGGTAGTACGCTTTCTTCGTGACCGGGTCCGTGGTGAGGGGGTCACACACACTGCCCGAAATCGTTTTGTTGCTGAGAGCTTCGCCTTTCAATTGATCCAATTCCAAGGACTGGACATATCGGCGATGGTTTTGATAAAAATTGGTGAGGCGATAGTACAAGAACACCGGAGGCCCCATGGATTCAGGGATGTTAAAGTACAGGCTGCAGGTAGTTTGATTGGTGGCCTCATCGACAGTTCTCTGCCATGATGGAGTACCGGTGGACTGCGCTTTGAAAGTCATAGAGACTCGATCGGCGATGTAAGCCTGACTGGCTGTTGGGGCCGCGCTATAACAATCGGTGTAATCAATCACGATCTCTTGGACCTATGTAAACATCGAGGCGTCAGAGATGTCAACGGGTATAAAATCGCGCAATGCAAAGGACACAAACCAGAGAGCTCGCCCAGAGGAGAACGCCACCGAGAGGAGCAAATATGATGCCCACAACAAAGAACAGGGGCAGGACACTCTTCGGTGTTAAAATTGGCCTAATCGGGAGGGGCCGTCAGTATGGGCGGATGCGACGGGTCAGTGGGAAAGGGTCGGGCACGTACTGCCATGCTTTCAATCTCTGCTGCCGAAAAGCAGTATCTGGTACATCAAATGGATTAGTTGAAAAACAAAGATAGGACGGGAGTGTCGGAGCAGGGGATGCGCACTGGCGGGTCGCCGGGACTTGGGCTTCTTGTCGCCATCGGCCCTGGAATGTTCCTGGTCCTCAATGGACTCGGCGCGCTCGGCCTGGGACATGGCTTCAGTAGTTGTTTGTATCAGGCAGAAGGGTGGAAAGAGTGCGGAGGATGAAATGAGGGAGACGTCAGAAAAAGGTGGCGCCGGGGCGGAGCCAGATCACTGGATTGGCGTCCGCAGCCGCCCCACATTTCAGGCAAACGACTACATAGTTAAGTAGTGAACTATGGAGCATCACTACTAGTGCATATGGATCCATAATTACTATAATTATCTGATCTGATAATTTTATAGAGTGTAAGCAACATTTACGTCATTGAGATGTTGAGATATCACATAAGACTACGATCTTATTACGGGTGACAATGTTCAGAAGGGTAATTTGCAGCGTATCTGATAATTCAAAAGAATCGTATCCGGTCAGGGTATCATATCATCCCGGTTGCCATCACAGAAATCTTCCCAAGTCATGGTGCGAACAAACAAGAGCAAGCAAAAAGATAAAAACCGAAACATGATCTCGCAACTCCGTGTGTTGAAGGGGTATGTGTGGGTACGTGTGGAGCCCCAAGCCTGCCATTCTAGATGGATGGGAAAACGCCTGAAACGCCGGTAACAGAGTAAGCAACAACTAGACGAATCAAACAAACCCGAAGATGGAATCAGTAGCAACTTCAAATCACAAATAAAGATAAAAACGAAGAAAATCAAGATCCCATTGCGGAGCGTTAAAATGGAAGCCGGTGTGAAAAAGCGAAGGTATCATCATGCGTGTAATGGACATCAAAAGCAGTAAAACCAAAAGCGCCACTTTAGAGGGGACAGCTCGTTGTGACCATCCAAGACTGATCTCTGGTAGGTACAGCAAAAGCTGAAGTCAATGCGATTATTAATCGTTCGATCCGTAGAGGCACAAATAATGACTCGAGCATGCCTTGGCTGTCCGACAGCAACGTCAATGGAGGCGGCGGAAACAGAAGGATTGGAGGGAGGGCGTACCCGACCCCATCCAAAACCCCCATCCGAAGGCATCAGGCCACAACCATCGAGTTGTGGGGAAGTAAAGCGGGGAGGAAGCGAGGGGAGAGGGAGAACTGATGGGAGATAGATAAGAGCCAAGAAGGAGGGTGTGAGGACCGCTGTCACAGCGAGTTGGAAGGGTATCGAGACGATAGAGCGACTATGCAGAAGTGCAGAGGGGGGTGGGGGAGGAAGAGTGGTCTTAGCCATAGAATCATCTCAGATACTGGTGGAAGTACTCCGGCTTGAACCACCCGACACGGTCATAGGCAGTCCAGAGCTTGCTGGCTTTGTTGACATCAATTTTGCAGGCCTGCTGGGCATCCGTCTTGCGAAATTCCTTGCCCACGCCCAGGGCACGCACACGAGCCTCAAAAATCCGGCGCTTGCTGCACAGATAAGTAGCACAGGACAATCGCAGGGTGGAAGCTAGATTAAGCTCGGCCGGACTGAGCATATGTCTGTCCGGGTCATTGCTCAAGTCCAACATTTGCCCTTTCCAGTCGGCCTTCAATGCTTTGGCGTTGCTGCCTAGCGTATCTAACGGAGGCGAGAAGTCCTGCAGGGCCTGGAAGTCGGTGTCATCCCGATTGGTGCCCAAAGCCCGCGATTTGGCGGCACTAGGGGGGAATCAAAGGTATCCATGGTCTGTTGCTTGGGGGTAGATTTAGGGGTGCGCTTGACTCGGGTGCGCTGAACCCGGGGAGTCATGGCTGCTTTCTTGGGGGCCGGGGCAATCTTCTTCAACTTGGCCGCCAGATCGGTCGGTCGGTAACGATTCATCAAGGCCAGCTGCCGTTCCAGCGTCTCGCGCTCCTCCCGGGCCCAGGCCACCGGATTACGGTTGTACTGGGTAGAAACGATGGGCACGCACGACAGCGCGAGCAGATATTCATCGCGTGTGGGTTTATTGCGCTTGCTATCAAAGCGGGCCATGTGGGAAGTGATATGCTGCTCCACAACCGCCTCCGGGGTCGAGTGGATGGGACCGAAAAGCGGTTGTTCCTCCCCCGCGATCGATTCATGTCGAGGGAACAGCACTGGATCTCGGGAGGAACCCACCTCACGCTCCATCTGCTCTGCTGTGTGGGAGTGTCGTTTCTTGGTGCCCGTATATGGGGTCACCGGGGGCGACGGTAAATCCATCTCCGACTGTGTACGCTTGCGATCAGCTGAGATGGGGGGTAATTTGATGTCCAAGGACGAGGCGTCTCTGATGAATGGAGAGTGTTGGAAGTTCTCCAATGGCTTGGTCTCCGGGGGAGACATCAGGCTGGATACAGGAAGACGATTCATGCTGCTCGGGTGTTTTCCCGGTTGTTGTATACCAGAGGTCATACCAAGGGGGGATTGATTGAATTGATTTCTTTGGGAATCAATGTGTGGCAATTGAAAGAGGATTTCAGTTAGGCAGGAAATTGAGTCCCTTGGGCAGATATGGGGGGGGGGGGGGGTTTAGACTGAAGTGGACGGGAGAAAGGGCAGGGTAAGCGAAGAAAAGTAAGGGGAAGTGAGGTTAATGAGTCGAATTGAATGTTCCAGATTGAATGTACAGATGACGAAGTGGAAGTCAATGGAAATGGCCTATTTGTCACACAGGTGGCGATAGCCGGTGATAAGAGATCCAATGGCCGAGGTATGAGTCAAGCCTCATTCCCAGGAAAGTCCAAAAAGGCCAACCAAGGCAGGAGGAAAAGTGGGTGAATAAATAGGGAGAAATAAGAGGAAAACTGAGGAAAAGACGGAAAAGCAGGGGAAAGATGACTTCTGTATGAGTCAAAGAAGAGGGGCTGTGTACAAGTCAATTGAGTGCGGGGTGGCGCCTAGTCATCTTATTATAGTCATCTGCCCAATGACACACAGATCGCCCCATTTGGGCCCCATGACAACATCTCATGCGGACAATCATCGTATAGGACCTCACCATACGCCAATGGCTGCCTATGCGCCCCACTGAGTTCCTTGGTATCCCACCAATCATGGCTGGAGTGTCTCCCCTGGGTAGTGTGATCGTGTCGATCTGCAGGCTGATCTCACTCGACGTTCAGGAATGGTCCTTGTTGCCTTGTTTTCTGCCGACTCCGAACAGATGACCTTGAAGGGTGATTGCTTCTGGGTGTGGGTTTTCTTTTTTTCTTATCTTTGCTCTCATCTATTCATATAGTCGGAGGAGAGGGATAGGAGAGACTCATGTGAGGTCTTTGATTCTCTTCTCGGGTGAATCAGGGTAGAGGCTTGTGCTTTCTTACTGCCCCATCCAGTACCTATTGAAACTTAAAAATACAACGATACGCGATACGCGATACAATTCACGGAGATCAGTGGCCCGTACGTATATAACCTGGAAGTGACTGCCTTGACTAGGTTCCAATTGGCTCTGAATCCGATAACCGATTCTAAGCTCCTATGGCCTATGGAGTTTCTACGCTCCAACTTGAAAATATCGAAAGATGTGATTCGAGGATAACTCGGGACGCTTGGTCACCTTACTCATATCGATAGAGCGTACTATCCTAATCACTATCGCACCCCCGCTTTCTCCTTATCTTCGTGATCAGATGTCCTAATGGTTAAACTGGGTACCGCCTTCTTAACTTAAAAACACCCTTGATTATATAATTTTCTGCCATAACGTGATTTCCGGTTGAGTCGGCTGCCCGGCCACCCCAGTCTCCAGAAGATATAGTAGATATGATCTTATAATTCAACGCATTCAAATAATATTCAATTTTCGTTCTTGTTCCTTTAAATGACAGCAGTTTGGTTTTAATATGATGCAGAATGTTATGACGTTGCTATCAAATACGCTTTGAGCTTAGAGGCTAGAGCTCTCCAAATATATCTTTGGCTCAACCACTTGAATAAGTTAATTAAACCCCAAGGTATATTATAAAGAGTGGATTATGAATAAGAATTCTGTAGTAGAAGCTATGATTATTGAGATATCAAGTTGTAATTTATCACTTTTACTATATGTTTTGGTATGCACCAGCCAGGCAGACCGGGTGGCTGACTCAACCAGGAATTACGTTAACTATCTTCCTATTGACTAAAACCTTATATATTTTCTAATTATAGCTAATAAGAACTATACCTACCTAGATAGGCTTAGGGTCTAATATTATAGTAACTAATCTATAAGGAATAAAAACTCCTTAGCTAAAGATTTTCCTATTTTACTTACTAAATAGTTCCTATATAGCTAGGGAACTACTTAAGATAGTCTATAGCTATTAAGTAGGCTAGACTATTATTATATAGTGCTAACTAGTCATAGTGAGTATTATTTATAGTAGTTATATATATATATATTAAGGCTTATCCTTAAGTTTAGTTATAAATATACTATTACTATATAGGCCTTATATAGACTTAGGTCTATAGAGTAGACTCTTATTAGATAGTACTAGATAGTAGTACCTAGTTAAGCTATACTTAGGGTCTATATTAAGTAATAAGGACTAAGTATAAGATAAGTATAAGGAATAAAAGGGCTAGATAAGAAAATAATAAAAAGGAACTAAGAGGAACATAAAATAATACTAATATAGTATAGATTTAGGTCTAAGGTAATATAGATTATATTAGTTTTAAAACTAATTCTTAAGAAAGGGAAGAATTAAAAGAGAGAGATTCTTCTTCTTCCTTAATATAGAGGAAGTAAGAGCTAGATAAATAGTTTATAATAATCTCACTTTAAATATCTCTTTATTATAGACTAGCTCTAGATAAGCCTAGAGCTCACTTTTAATCTAGAGGCTAAATCAGAAGTGATTTAGTACTATTTTAGGATATCTAAAGTATCCTATGATTTCTACCTTAGAAAAATAGGTATCTATCTTTTCTTTTATAATAATAAGGTTATAAACTTATAAAGCTAGAAGTATAGGTTCTAAGTAATAATATATAATTAGATATAAAGAACTAAATATATATATAGTAAAGAATATCCTTATATATCTAATTCCTCCTATATCCTATTAGGTCCTATCTTAATATAAAATAGACTATCCTATTCTATTATAGAATAGATTAGTACCTAATTACTAAGGGTTAGGCCTTATATAATCTTATTCTTTTAAATACCTTATTATTAAGATAGGATATTTCTTATTATTATAAAAGAAAAGATAATTACCTTTTTTCTAAGATAGAAATAATAAGATATCTTAGATATCCTAAAATAATACTAGATTACTTCTAATTTAATATCTAGATTAAGAATAAGCTCTAGACTTATCTAGAGCTAGTCTATAATAAAGAGATATTTAAAGTAAGATTATTATAAATTATCTACTTAGCTCTTACTTCCTCTATATTAAGGAAGAAGAAGAATCTCTTTTTTAAATCCTTTTTTTTTTTTTTAAGAATTAGTTTTAAAACTAATATAATCTATATTATCTTAGACTTTAAATCTTCTTTACTATCTTTTTATTTAGTCTTTTTATTTCTTATAATTTCTAATTCTTCTATCTTAGATTATCTAAGAAGATAATAAATATATATGGAATTATCCCTAAAGAAAGTATAGAATCTATATATCTTACTTCTTTTTTTATATTAAAATTAATATTACTTTAAATATAAAAGATTAACTATCTCTTTCTATTAAAGAAGGCGATTACTATAAAAACCCCCCTTTAGCTATAAAAACCCCCTTACTAACTATATATACTTAGCGTGGATTATATAATTAAATATTAGTATTCTTATATATATTTAGAAAGAAAAGCTTATAAATTATATACTACTAAATTATATATTAAAACCTTAAGATTTCCTATCTAAGCTACTATAGTTAAGAACTATATTTTAACCTATTATATAAGCTCTAAATTACCCTATTTAAATACTGTTTTAAACTACTTTTCTAGGTAATTTAAGCTATATATAGACCTCACCCCTAATCCTAACCCTATCCCTAACCCCTAGCTACTCCACGAGCTATACTAAGATAGGTTAAAATAGAGTTCTTAACTATAGTAGCTTAGATAGGAAATCTTAAGGTTTTAGCACGTGATTTAGTAGTATATGATTTATAAGCTATTCTTTCTATATATATAAGAATACTAATATTCGATTATATAATCTACACTAACTATATATAGTTAGAAGAGGGTTTTTATAGCTAAAAGGAGGTTTTTATAGTAATCCCCTTAAAGAATAGCTATAAGAAGTATAAAAAATAATTAAATAATTATAAAAGTTATAAAACTTATAAAAAGAGAAAATTAAACTATCTTTTAATATTAGAGATTATAAATCTCTAGTATCTCTTAAATTTATCTTTAAATTATTTTAGAAAGATAAGGATATTAAGATTAACAATATTAAAACTTTTAATAATTAATCTTTTATTTAAAAGTAATATAAATAGCTAATTAATATTAACTAAAAAATTAATTATTATAGTTAAGGTTAATATTATTAGCTTAGAATTTATTTAAAAATATTAATTTAAATCTATAAAATTTATAATTCTAAATATTTAAGTAATTAAGAATCTCTTAATTCTAACTTATAAAACTTTTACTAAATCTATTACTTTAATAAATAATAAAGATACTATTAAATTAATAAGATAAGCCTATATTATTATTAAAAGATACTTAAATTATAATTAAAGCCCCATCTTACTATTAATAATAACTTTAATTAAACTAAAAATTTATCTACTATTATAGAAGAGAAAATAGTAATTTAAGAATTATAATAGCTTATTAGTTAATAAAAGCTTATTAAAATTAAACTTATATCTTTATCTTAATTATAAATCTAAAACTAATGATAAAGAGAAAAGAAAGTAAGCCTAAAGTAAGCTTAATTTAAGATTAGAATAATATTATAATAAATAAACTATTTATTCTATCTAATCTATATAAACATAAACCTATCTTTTTAAAAGTAGATTAAAAGATATTACTTATAAATTAAGTAAGTACTTATTTAATTAATTTAATCAAAGATTCTAAGCCTTTATATAGGCCTATATACTTATTATCTTAGAATAAACTAAAATTACTTTAGGAAGTAGTAGTAGTAGTAGTAGTAGAATTTATTTATCTAATCTAGCTTATCTTTAGTAATAGCTACTATATAGGGGTACTACTAGGCCTATCTAGTGGTGAAATAGTGCGCTATACCTAAGATATATTATATATAGAGGTAAAATTAGGGCTTATCTATAACCCCTAATTACCTATAATCTAAGAAATTAAGTATAAAGAACGTTAAAAATAAAGGAAAGAGCGTTAAAGGAAAGTTAATCTCTACCCTAGTAATATAGCCACTAGTAT